CGCTTTGCTCTCGCACCGATGGATTGTCGGCACCTCCGGTCCGGACTTCAGCGTCTTTATCGTGGTTTGGCACAGCGCGGATGATCGGTATGCCAAGTTTGGATGGGTTGTACGTGACAATATCATCACAGCGGCGAAATCCATTGATGTTGTGACATACATGGAGGACGATTCTCTGACTAACAGGGGAGGCAAGACTGAATTAGAGCTTGTCAGCGGAGAGAAGTTCATAGTTGAGTGGACGCCGGTTGCGAAGGGTTTTGTCAGCTGGTACCGAGGGATTGCCTGCGTCGACAGACTATGTAGTTTCAAGGCTATGGGCGAAGGCAAGGTTTTTAGTGGCTTTGGAGACTACGAAAGCACTTCAAACATTCATGCTGGGGACAGGAAACCGTCTCTGCTAGTCAACGGAGTCATAAGTGATGGTTTGACCAGGGAGTGATCTGCAATTCTGTTTCTTTACTATTCAATACTAATGTTCACCATTCTCCTCGGCAGCCCGGATCTCTCTCAGCCTCTGGTATGGCTCGGCCTGGTGCGCTTTTCGCAAACGGAGCAGCAAGTATTGCAGCAGATGCTCGAAAAGGATAGTCAAGTAGGTAAACACTCAGGTATTCATGCATTTGATATCTATTGCAAACTGGGCTGGAAGACTGTGACTGTGTAGACCAAACACTAGGTCCTTAGAGTTCGACCGCATCGCCGCAAACGCCCTCGCTGCGGCGGGTACTTCGCTTGCCCTCCCAGTAGTATTCGGCTTCGCATACTTAAGCGACAGAATAAACCGACATAATGGAGCAGTAATCAGTCCTCACGTTTGATATTTAGTCACCTTTATCGTTGTTTTACAGGTACATCCTCATGTCGGCAAGTGGTCGAGATGGGGGCTTTGGACAGCTGTCAACAGTTTTTCCGTGGGTTATCAACCTGTGCACAGCTTGTGGGTACAGTTGAACTGCCGTGAGGGAGGTGAGCCCAGTATGAGCATTGCCTACGTATCGTTGACCGTGAGAGGATGATGAACATGTAGAACCTGGGATGCGAATGATGTCGGTAATTAGCGGACTGATAGTTGGTACGCAATTCTTCCCAGCCAGCGACACACCGTTGTAAGAATGCCCCTGCGTTGTTTTTATTTTTGGAATTCTTGACCTCGATACTTTAGAAATCTGATGGATCCGATACGGTCAATTCAATCGTTGCAATCGTGTCCAATTTGATGCTGATGATCGCGATGAGCTTCCGGTCATCCGGACTGGCCGGAAGAGGGGTTATCTGACCCCCTTCATAACTAAGGTCCGGATATCAATCTACTGGAGGTTTCCTAATATAGAATCTCTCTCTAACAAAATCTATAAATTTACTTTCTCTATATAATGTTTATCGTATTAGATCTTCAGTTTCAAGCTTAACCTATAACAGTATTAAAATTTTGCGTTGAGTAAAGCGGCTATCTTGTGGCAGGCTAGCCTCGATTTTTTGGTTTGTTAAGCAACCCACAACTTTCTAACGAAAGATTCTTGGTCAACAAATTCATCAATGATGGGCCAACTATGAAATCGTCCGCAATAAAGCGCCTTTGATAACCTGAGACGAAATTCTAGTGAGACCTTGTTAGTCAGCGTGGGTGGCCGCTTTAGAGTCCGTGGCTTAATCATTGGACCCGTTGTTAAAAAAAGACGGTGAAGAAACTGTCTATTATTAAGGGGTATAAAGTCATTCCATCCAGCTTCCCCGAAACCTTAAGGCGTGTTCGTATTTATGCCTTTCGGGTTGCGGGGCGAAGCTGGCCCCTGTAAAGGATACACGTTAGGCTTTAATACCCCAGTTGTCCATTCATATGACACACGCAAATTGTTTCTGGGGCGAGGTTTCATTCCTTCTGCAAGCATCTACCTGACCGCGTTTCAGGGGACCACACTACCTTGTTTGGACACAAGGAAGCATTCAAGATTCATCCACCAATCACCGGCTATTCCAATAACAATGGAGGACAATTCCGAAGGAACCCTGCCGAAACAGTGAGCTGCACGTTGTCATCAGCGTTATACTTGGCACGTCCCGGATTGGGTACGGACGACATAACTCCGAGCTGGTCCGATGATCTGCAAAAGGTTAAAATAATGCTTATACGAGACTGCAAAGTTAAATCTCCACCAATCCCAGTCATATGGAAACAAAAATGCTATAAACAAAACTCGGGTCGGTGTAGGCTTAAGGTGGATGAGAGGGGAGCTTAAAAGCGCAGTATTGCCCGGCTGAAAAATATACATTTGACCACCAGGTGTCTGAAAGCCCATCCGTCGAGCATTAGCCAACATGAAGCTTCTCCCCATTCTGAATTTCGTTGCAGCGGCTCTTGCAGCCAGCAGAACATCTGCCCCAAGCGGATGTCTCGTTGTCCGCAAGTCTCCCTCAAGCGGCCAATACGGCACCGTCCAAGCCGCCGTCAACGCGCTATCCACCTCGTCAACCTCGAGTCAATGCATCTTCATCGACCAGGGCACATACACCGAGCAAGTCCTCGTTCCCACCCGCAAAGCCCAGCTGTCCATCTACGGATACACCACCGACACCACCGGCTACGCTCAGAATAAGGTCACCATCACGGGCAAGAAGAGCCAGGCCGACGGCTCCAACAACGACGAGAGCGCACCCCTGCGTGTCAAGTCACCCAACTTTAAGCTGTACAATGTCAATGTGGCGAATACCTACGGCAAGGGGAGCCAAGCTGTGGCTTTGAGCGCGTATGCTGACAGCGGATATTACGGATGTGCCTTCACGGGATTTCAGGATACCGTTCTTAGCAACGTTGGGTACCAGCTGTATTCCAGCTGTCTTATCCAGGGAGCGACCGACTTTATCTTTGGCCAGCAAGCTTCAAGTTGGTTTGAGAAATGCGATATCCGCGTCGTCAGCAACTCCATCGGTTACATTACAGGTATGAACTTGCTGCAATCTCCAACTTTTCCTAGATCTAACAGAGGGCAGCGAACGGACGTGACTCTTCGAGTGGCGTCTCGTATTACGTCTTCAACAACTGCAACATTGCTGCTGCATCCGGAAACTCCGTCACCAACGGCGCCTACTACCTCGGCCGTCCCTGGAGGGCGTATGCCCGTGTTGTCTTCCAAAAGACTTCCATGTCTTCTGTCATCAACTCTGCCGGATGGAAGATCTGGAACACTGATGATCCGCGAACCAGCAATGTGCTTTTCGGAGAGTACAGCAACACTGGCGCAGGCGCATCTGGCAGCCGGGCGTCTTTTTCGACCAAGCTCTCTTCTGCGGTTTCTATCTCCACCATCCTGACTAGTAGCTATGCCAGCAAGGGATACTATGACGCTTCATACATGTAGGCTTAGCTACTGCTCTCACATTACGTGATTGACCTATAAATCTACATATTTGGGACTTCCATTATGGGGTTATCAACCTACTGCCATCCAGGGACGTCCATGAAGCGACCTTATCACAAGCGTCAATTCGGTATCGTAGATCTTGGATTTCTAAGTCTCTTACGAATGTGTGAAGTCGGAAAATTGGACGTTTTACGTTATTGTACGTGCTGAATTGGTGCTGCAAATGACCCATTGAATTACTCTCAGATGAACGTTGGATTCTAATGGTGCTTCCAGAAATGAGCGAACTAGCTTCGTGTATTATAATTCAACTGCGATCCCAGTCCCTTGAGAGATTCTCAACTTCTTGACCCAAGCAAAGCGATCGATATTGATAGCAACTGGATGCCTGTCATTCCCCATGTCATCCAACCCACCTGCACTTTACTCTCGTTCAACTAGGCGATAGCTTTGCTGTTAACACGAACAACCTTGTCAATGGGCTGCTCAGCCACGGAAACTTCCGCCGAATCCGAAGTCGATTCCTCATCGCTGTTTCCCACTGCACGCTTTTTATCTCGCGCCACCAGGAATTGAATAATCGCAGTCCAGACGACTGAACACTCTGTTAGCAATGTGCAAGAACATAATTCCATATAAGCTGCTTACTCAACAAGACTTGAAGCACAAGCGTCCAGGTATAGCCCTTCTTGGCTGCGGGAAAGTTCGTGGTCTTCCAGACAAAGTTCGGCGCCTAGAAAGTAATTAGGACCTGTTTTCCATGGTTTTCGGACATAATTCATCAAATGCTTACGACAGCTTGAACGACGTATGCAAGGTCATTGGCCATGGCGACAAGCAAAGCTCGCTTCTCTGTATCGGCAGAGCAAATCTCATTGATCCAGCTCAGAATCAGTGGTCCAGCACCAAGCTAAATTTCAAGTAAGCTATAAGCATCCAGAGGTAGCAGAGTGAACGAAACTTACGCCCATGTAAGCTAGCCAGTAGACAGCCATACGGCCCGTGATGTTGGTGTACAATGGCATCTTGAGGAGCAAAGCATGTAGGATTATCTGCACGAGCATAATTAGCATGCTCCATTCCAGTCAGTCATCAATTTTATTTACCGTAATAACTGCGCCAATGTACATGAAAGGCCACCGAGCACCCTTCAGAGGCCCATCAGAAAGCCAGCCCCAAATCAAGGCCATGACAATGAGGATGCCCTCCGTTGGAAGCGGCACTTTGAACATTGTCAGCATGTTTTCAAAGCCAAAACTTCGGGGCATTGCTTGAACCTACGATTGTTAATTTGCGGAACGGAAAAGGATTTTCCTGGGACCGGCGGAGGATCGACGTTGAAGCTCTTAAGCCAATATCCCATAGCTTGCTGCGGGTATCCGTTGTTCCAGATAACGTACAAAATTGCTTCACACCATGATTAGCATCAGGTTTGTGCTCTTGTAAAACGGACTTACGGAGCAAGTAGGTGTGCCAGCTAAGCAGGATCCTCTTGAACTTGGCTTTGGTCCAAGGTTCCTTTCCAGCTCTTCCGATGACCCTCATCCTTTCGACTGAAAGTTCATGCTCTTTCTGGGTCGTCCACCAGGTCCTTTTTCCGTCTTGGGGCAAATTGGGGAAGAAGAGGTATCCCATTACGGCTAGGGGCAACGTAATGACTCCGTCAATGATGAAAAGCCAGCGCCCTGTTTGAATTGTCAGATCAGAAACCTTCCGCCGTCATATAGCTCCATGACATAGGACTTGACTTACAGCCAGCATAACCATGCACACCACTCAGGTTCTTATAGGCGGCAGCCTGCAGAAAACCACTGAACATGCCTCCGATATGACCAGCTAGCCAAAAGATCATAGCGCGCTTGCCAATCTCGCGCGGGGTATACCATGAGCCTAGGAGGTAGTGAATGCCAGGGTAGAACCCCGATCTATAACGTGAGTCAGTATCTAGAAGCCTGTCTACTGGCCCTGGGTAACGTACTCAAAGAAGCCGACGAGGAATCTCAGCGCATAAAGCGAATGATAGTCTTTCACAGCCGAAGTGCAAATAGTCGCGACTCCCCAGCCCACTTCGAGGGAAGGGATGACCCAGCGAGGCGAAACTCGGGTGAGAAGTAGGTTAGAAGGGATCTGTCCGACGACGTAACCCACTGTCCAGATAGATGTGCCTAGGCGTTCTGTTAGTGACTGCATTCCAGGAATCATCTCCATCTCGGTGCATATTTACTTGTGACCAACTCATTGCCGTACATGCTCAAGTCCTCCTTCATGCCGCTCAAGAAGGCATTATTGACGTTCGTCTGGTCGATATTCTTGAGGAAGTATCCAAGCGAGGCAAAGGTGAGTACGAAGGCGTCCACCTTGAAGAGAAGCCGGCGCTCCTCGGGCGGAAGCTCCCAGGTATCCCACACATAGCTCTTCCATGACTGGGGCTTGGCGACGATCTTCTCCTCGGAGTTGCGAGCCGCTCCCGCATCCGAAAGGTGCGCGTTCTGGTCAGTGACCTCAGGGGAGTTCTTGTTGTCAGCCATTCTGGACCAAGGCTTGCGAAGACAACTGACCTATTCTGATAGTGCTGCCAAATTTCAAAATGCCTGGTTCGCCCAGATATATATATGATTTCTAGGCGTTCCCTGGCCATCTCCATCGGCGGTGGGACGTCGGATGTCATGGTACTCTACCCATAGTCCCAGTAATCGCGCCAGTCGGCGACGTCTTACTGTCGTATCGAGCCCTTGCTTTGTGGAACTAGAACCCACATAGTTCCCCATAAGTGAATTACTTGTTCAGCAGATGTTCTCCACGTTGGATTTCTATTCCGGGGTCTTGGGGTTGCGACAGGGTCTTGCGTGATTCTGGGGAATATGACACCTTGCTATTGATGGCCAATAAAATGGCGACTACAACCCCCCCAGTGGAAATTTTTATGTCCGTGCTGGTCTTGCTTGTACTGATGAGCAATGTCAAGCTGAAGGAATATCGGGTCCTTGAAGTTAGAATGACGAGCTCGGATATGGCTCGGATATGGCAGTCACGCATCGACCATTCAATTCACAGACGTTGTCCGCCTCCACTACTGCTTACATCGACCGATCAAGATATAAAACTGGTGGTTTTTCAAGAAGTTAGCCGATTTTTCGTGGTGAGGTAGGTTCTCGTACTAGAATTATATCCCCGTCATGACTATCAGACCGGTGATGGTTAGTGCACCCATTGATGAAGAGAACACAGGCGGTCCTTCTCTATGAGTCTCATTATGCATCGCCCTGAAGTATCTTTCACGTAGATAGATATACCGAATGTCAAATTTGTAGTCTCCGATTCATAACGTCGAAGCAAACAGTTAGATGCCAGCAACTCCCAGTCATCCCACGTGTCGTGGCGTAAGGAGACAGTTCGCCGAGATAAACCCAACACCCCGCGGAGCATACAGACCAACCCGACCCTTGTCATCTAACAAGTCTCCAGAAGCAAATCGTCTCGATACCATCCGGGGAGTTTGCCTCGTGTACCCGCCATGTGGGTTCTGTAAGACGTGGTCTTGTTCCTGGGCCCCAAAGGAGTTGTATCGCCGTGCCGTTTTATCCGTCCCCCACTTTATTAGCTATTGCGTTATGTGAGCTTATCTATATTGGGCGTTTCTATAGACGAATGCAGCAATGACGCAAGACCTTATCCCTCATGGTTCTCTCAATCTCGGTATCCCACTGCAGCAGCCCGAAAGATCCGCAAGTCTTAATCTACCTGAACTCGTCCCTGTTTTCACCATCACGACTGATTAGGCCTACCTTTGGGATACACCAGACCCGGGTACATAAAAAATCACACTGTACTCCGTCAACTTGCTCACTTCGAACACTAACCCATCTTTCCAGCAGTTGCTCTGTCTGCCGGCGCATCGCAGCAATATGCAAGAGCTTAGCGGTTTACAGAAAGGGGATGAGCCGGCGTGTGAAGTCTGATTTTATAATCACGGTGTTCCACTCGACTACGAAACACACTTGGGCGAATATAGAAGATGTCAGGCTTTGCGGCGTCAAGTGCCTCCGTGGAGGAAAGCACATATCCGTGGCTGTCTATTAATCTAGCGAAGTAAACAGGTTTGTCTCGAATGATTACTACCGGAGCTAAGAACGTCTCCAGTGAGTATTCGATCGGATCATTTCGTACTGATAAGGCCACTGGATCTTGACACCCAATTCCTGAGCGCTCTTTAGAAGAAACTCGGGCTCCTTTAGAAACTGTCTCCCCACGAACACCAGATCTGCCCGTACACCATCCGCCTTGTCGACCTGCACTACATCCCGCGCGATTTGCGGGCTGTTGATAAGCCCTACAGCAGCAATAAGCAAATCAACGCCATCTTTCTTCAGGGCAGTCTGGATGGTGTTGGCAAGATCGAGCTGGTAGGTGGGATGAATATCGATCTTCTGATCTTTGTGGTTGCCGCCTGACGATACGTCCAAAATGTCGACACCAAGCCCGGGCAGCGGTTTAGCCAGCCTTATGGACTGGTCAAGGTCCCAAGAGGGCTTTCCACTCCATTCCATCCACTCGATTGCGGAGATGCGCAGCGACAGCGGGACAGTGTCGGGAATGACTTTCCGAATGGCCTCGATGACGCGAACGACGAAGCGAACGCGGTTCTCAAAGCTGCCGCCGTATTCATCTGTGCGCTGATTTGTCAAGGGTGATAGGAATTGATTGATGAGGTAGCCATGAGCTCCATGAATCTCGATAAAGTCTGTTATCTTTTATCAATCGCAGTTCCTTTTGGCTGAGTGGAATAGACCGCATACCAAGACCAGCCTCAACAGCCCTGCGTGCAGCATCCGCGAAATTCTGGATCAAAGTCTCGATTCCTTTGATAGTCAAGGCCTTCGGCGTGATATGCGCCTCGGTGTAAGGAATTGTACTAGGTCCCCACACATCCTCTGGCCACCCTCCTTCCTGCTCAGTAGCCACCTTCAACTCTCCCTTCGGCAGAAATCTCGGTGCTACCATGCCTGCCTTGACACCAGCGTGGTTGAGTTGTATACCAATCTTCTGTCCTTGAGCATGGACAAAGTCTGCCACAAGTTTCAGAGGTGCCACTTGACTGTCCTGCCACAGGCCAGAGTCCTGAGGTGAGGTGCGGCCGTTTGCAGCCACTGCGGTGGACTCGACGACGGTCAGGGCAGCGCCTCGGAAGGCGAATGCGCCGAGGTGCACCAGATGGAAATCTGTCAGGTGGCCGTCCTGCGCACTCCAAGTGCCCATGGGCGAGACGACGAAGCGGTTCTGGAGTTCTAATCCTCGAATCTTGATGGGCGTGAAAACAGTTGGAACTATTTCGTCTACCTCTACAGCTATCCCAGTTGCGAGACTCGCTCTTGAAAGAGAGGGTGTTGACTTGGTGAGTGTCATGGTAGGCTGTCCTTGTAGATGGAGATACAATGGGAGGAATGAAGGATGAGATGAGGCGGCTTGGTTCTGGAGCCGAAGATTGGCAGATACATATTTATTTATACTTACACCTTCCGGATAAGAGATGACAAATCTGAATTGCAGTGAAACCAGTTAACACGGGTGTCTGAGGCATACCCATGTATAGTATTTTCCCGTTGTGACGCCTTTCTACGACAATCTGGTTGCGTGGTGCTATTCAGTCTGGCCCACCTGAAGTAGCAGTTACAAATCAACACCACGGAACCAGTTTGTGTTGTTTGTTGAGGCTTGAATCAGAAGCCAAATGCGTTAGCCCCAGGAGTGGAGCGAAGGATTATACGAACCGACAAATCATATGTTCTGCTACTGGGGTCAGCAGTTTCTTCCGTCGTTGGCCATTTGCTTTACTAATCAAAAGTAGAGATCTCAAGATATATGGCAGGTATTACGGCATATGCCTCATGTCGAATATCCACAAAGAGTCTTCTTGCACGCCTCCGCTACGGGGCAACATTTTCAGCCAACCCATCATAAGATAGTAGATCACGCCCTTTCCATGATGGATCAAAGAACCCCGCAGTTATCGGGAACTGCCGGAAGTTCCCATTACGGTGATAACGTTATGCATCGACAGAGGAGATTTGCTACCAAGGCCCGGACTGGATGCATTACGTGCAAGTTAGTAATCTCGACTACCTATGAAATAACGTATCCGTGACTAATCTTTTGCCTCAGGATCCGGAAGATCAAGTGCGACGAGGCAAAACCATCCTGCCAACGCTGCACATCAACTGGGCGCAAGTGTGATGGATACGTGACCGCCATGCCTAAAGCCCAGTTAGCTTCCTTGCTGCCATCCGGGGGAAACCATGCAGAGAGACAAGCGTTGTACATGTTCCGAACCAAGATTGCCATTTCCATCGCCTCTGTAGTTGATGCCGGATTCTGGACCTACGACCTTTTGCAAACTGCCGAAGCTTACCAGACTGTTCAGCACGCGGTAGCAGCGCTGGCTACGGCGTATCACGCGTCCATCCTATCCAGCCATGGCGACCAGATGGAGAGGCAATTCATCCTGACCCAGTACAACAAATCGATTAATTCCCTGTACCAGTGTCTCAGCACACCGAAACCCCTCACCAGAGACCAAAAGGTTGTCATATTGATGACTAACCTCGTCTTTATTTGCATCTGCACCGTCCAAGGCTTCCATCGAGAAGCGTGTATGCATCTCCAGAGTGGCCTATCGCTGCTTCACGAGTGGCAGTTAGTAGCGGAAGGGGCCGATGGCTCGGATACAACACCTACTCCGGTCCAGCTTTTGGCGACTGTCTACACTCAGCTAGATACACAAGCTCGAATAATCATCAAGGCAAGTACTCCACATCAGAAAGCAACATGGCGCCCTCATACTGTTGCGCTTGATGGCTGGGGGAGAGGACGTTTTCGGGCTGTTACCAAGGCCGTCAGCCAGCTCGAGAATTTACACAACAAATCCATTCAGATTACAGCATTACCGGGACCTGTCGAGAGCGACGTTCACGCTCGTCATCGTTCACAGCTTATGGAGGAACATCGCAAGCAGTTGCTCACGTGGGATCTAGACTTTGGTTGGCTCATTGGTCAGGAATCTAACTCCATCAAGGCACTCCGTATGCGAAGGCTTTTAGCTGGCGCAAACTTGGAAGCAGGGCTCAGCCGGGCAGGTAATGCATCCGAATGCGATCAAACGTGGGCGAGCGAGACCCTAAAACTGGCCAATGAGATCGTCCAAAACTCAAGACTATCAGAGGCAGTGGTGGCATTTAGTCCTGCGGGAGGCTTAGTCGAGGCTCTTTACTTTGTTGCCACGGCATGTCCAGACGATGGTATCAAGACGAAATGTATTGATCTGTTGGAGGAATATCCCATAATTGAGGGATTATGGAGTAGTTGTGCAGCGTATGCGGCGCTGAATAAGAAAGGACGCGTGCTAGCATGACTGAAAAATGGAAGCCTTTGAAAGATAGAATATAAATGAAAAGCTTCGACAATAAATCGTTATAACATCAGACGACATTGACTTGTCCAAAAATGTATCAGTTTTTAAGCCAGCAACCAATGGGCCGTAGTGAATATACGGAATCCAGTCAGCTCTCACCAAGTCCTTGGCCGATTCACCCTCAAGCAGGAGCCTAGCGTCTCTGCGCTCTCTCGGAATATCCCTATTCTCCTCTTCGTCCTCCTTATTATAACTTCTAACCTCCTCACCACTCCTTTCCCTCTCCCGCTAGCTCTCACTCTGGCTATCGAAACCACCTCGAATCGAACTCTGACCAGTTTTGACCCAGTGATCCCGAAGATCTACAAGAGCCCTATGAAGACTGCGACAAACAGAATCGTCTGCCATTCCACTCTTGGCAAGCCCAGTATACAGAGCCTCGGATACATCGACGCAAGTGGAATCCGAGACCTGCCACTGCGTCCCAATGACGTGCCGAAAACCGAGGAGCTGGCACGCGCTGATGAGATGAACGCCTTCGTCCTGAAGTTCAATGACGTCGTTAGCGCCGCTAAGGCATGCTGAAAGAAAAGCCAAGAAAGGAGGCTTGGACTGCAGTTTGGCGTCCATCAAGTTGGCAACGGTAAGAAGACCATCTCTCATGACTATACCGCTCTGTGACGGCTCCAGGGGATCGACACGACCATGGCCAGCGAAATGAAATATGGCACACCCATCCATATTATCCAGAACCTGCCGCGTGATTGGCTCTTTCAACGTGGTAGATTCCAGCTTAAAAGAGGCACAGATCTTTTCTATCTGGTCGATTTCTCTTGCCACAAACGGGAGAGGAGTCAGCCTCGGCATATATTGTGCATCGCCAACGCCCACCAACAGCGCCTTTCGACCGGAATGGGCGATCGTGGTTTGCTTTTGTCTCCTGCCAAGGACAAACGACTTCAAAGAGGAAGCATATGAAGACACAACTCGGTCCAGGACTGTCATTGGAGAACCTGGGGTGTGTATGCCCGTTGCGTGCAGCGGAAGATGCGACAGAGGCCCAGTAGGTATCCATATGATGCGTGGTAGTGGATCGTCGGGAGCAACTTGACCAAAGCCAAGTTCATCGAGAATTGGCTCTGCGATCTCGTTCCAGGGCCACTCCAGCATGGCGACATTGATTCGTGGCCGGCTTCTGATGACGCGGCTTACCCATTCATCAGCCTCGTCCAGCAAGTCGTCCCCAAGCTCGAGCACTTCGATATCCTCCACGCGATTGTTAATGAGGAAAGCCTGAGACCCCCAATATCGCCTCTCGGCATGTTCCGTCTTGTGCCCTGTGTTACATGCTGGGGTTTAACGCAGGGCATTTCTTCCCATCCTTCTTGCCACTGTATGAAGAAAGGTTCCTGTCCATGCGAGTCTCTCTCGTTGATCGTGATGATCACAATAGCCTCGCGGGGACGGTGACGGAAAAGGGATCGGGGTTATTATCCGTGACCAGAGAATGCCAAGGTCTCGCGTTACGTTCCACCCTTGAATGAATGGATCAACCGAATCATGGCTTGTTTCATAGCCAATCTCGTAGCCTGTCATTCCACAAACGGGATCCACAGATGGAACCAGAGCAACTTAGTGCGACTCTAGCGCTCTTCCGAATACTCGTATTCCCGTATACGCGTGTTCTGCTCCGCCCCCTTCAAAAGATTTTCTTGAATACGAGTATTGGCTTAAAAGCAGCCGATGGACAACATCCCGCCATTCCGGATTTCCATTCACACACGCCGACTTCCACGGCGTCCAGCAACAACCAACCAGCCATGGATACGTCCGTCAAGCCCCGCCGCTCGCACCGGAAGTCTCGCAACGGCTGCTGCGTGTGCAAGAGCCGGCATATGAAGTGCGATGAAACTCGCCCGGCCTGCCTCAATTGCTCCGTCGGTGGCCGCCAGTGCGAGTACAAGCTTAATCCTCCATCGAGATCAAAGTCGCCAAAGTCGAACGCCTTACCTGCTCCCAGTCCAGCTAGCTGTACTTCTATCCCATCATCTGCCGCCACACCGTTATCCACACATTCCCATGGCCAACCACCCGTGGAGGCCATCGACCAGGGACACACCCTTGTCCCTGAGAGCGCAAGCCTCTTCACTCTTGAGCACTTGGCTCTCTTCCATCACGCGCAGAATCACATGTCCTCCGCCATGATGACCGGTCCCTCTGCAGACCCCGTCCTCCCGACAGTCATCGAATATGCACTGAAAGCCCCATATCTGATGAATGAAGCACTCGCTATCGCAGCTCTGCACTTGGGCGATTGTCACCCAGGGCGATCAGACTACTACCAACATGCCGCAGCCTTGCAGATGCGTGCCCTGTCATCGTTCAATGAGGCCAAGCAAGAAGTGTCGGACATCACTTGCGTTCCCATGTTCCTGTTCGCATCTTTGCTCGGACTCCACGTGCTTCACGACACCCTCCGGAACCGACCCGACAATTTTAGCATTTTCCTCGATGAGTTTATGGGTTACCTTTCCCTTCATCGTGGTGTGAGCGCTGTGACAAACCAGTCGTGGAGTGCGATCAAAGCGTCAAAACTGGCCCCGAAACTCACAGAAATCGAAAACGCCTTCAAAGTCGAAAATGAGGAAGGTGTCAAAGAATTAGGGGTCCTCTACGCAATGGTTGACGAGTCGCATTTGAATGATTCGTCAGTCGAAACATATCACGCCGCCATAGAGACATTGCGAGGCACTTTCAATCTATATCAAAAATTCAAAGTAAAGGGTAGTCAACAGCATGATGGTCCACTTGCATTTGGCATCGCCGTCAACGAGAAATATGTCGACTTTCTCAAACAACGGCGACCCGAGGCACTAGTAATCCTAGCATTTTACGCGGTGATGCTCCATTGGAGCCGGGACTTTTGGGTATTCAGGGACGGGGGACAGTATTTGATTCGGGCCATTACTGGCTATCTTGGATCCCACTGGGAGCGTTGGCTGGCGTGGCCGAATTCAGTCCTGGACTGCGGAACTCCCCCACACGACCCGCGGATGGACATTGACTATAATGAAGGGGGTTAAGTTGTTGCCTTTAATTTAATATTACAAACTCATAAGTAAAAGAAAAGTCTCTATTTTGGAGGCGTCCAGCTATGCCTCGGCCAGCATGCACATCCCGGCGCCAAACCCCTCGGTCCATTAAATCGGAATAGCCCCTCTCGCCTTCAGCTCACTGGGGAACCTCCAAGCAAACAGTACGGCGACAGCGAACATCAAGAGCGAATCAAAGACGTACATGGTCCACTCATGAGTAAGAGAATAGCCGGATTGACCCTGAGCAAATTCAACCACTCTAAAGAGTGACCGAACCATGATCAAAGCGCTGACTGCGTACAGCATGTACAACGCTTCCTCCCAAGGAATCAACCCGTCGAATGAATCCACAGTAGGCGCACTCCTCATTCTGCGATGAAAAACAACCGCAACGATTCCGAAAAGCGCAAACATAACGACCTGGACCACAAGGCCAATCATGACGAGTCTCTCACCCCACTCAGCGAGACCCGGTTTCTGAATCACCATCAATCCCGCAGACCCTCCCTGGATGACGAATGACAGTACGTCTCCGGTCACGAACGTCTTGGTCAATCTCGAGGGCCTGATCATGGAGTATTTCTCGGCCTGAATGCTAGTAATTATTCGCCCCAACGTCATGTATATCGATGCGGCAAAGAGAGTAGGAGCAACGAGAATGAACATGTTTTGGATGGCGTATGTCATAATTTTACCGGTTTTATCGTGAGCACTGGCGCGGGCACCGTATCCAACAACTTCAACTGTGAAAAGTACGTTAGTAATGGAAAGGCTAGTGCAGTGTGAATAGCATACAGAAACATCCAACGGCAAATACATTGCAGAATCGGGCCTTTGTCTTGTAGATCTTCCACGAGATGTAGAAAAAGGACGCCAGGAAGAGGAGCAAGAATAGGACCGCAGCGCCTTTGTTGGGGAGATAACGCCAGAGGTAGTAGCCGCCTTTAGTAGGCTCAACCCCGGGAATAGGATCCGTCATGGAGTTTGCCATGTCTGGTTTAACTTGGCGTGTCGCGGTTTTGTTGGAAAGTTCGGGGAGGATAACCGTGCCAGGCGAAGTGGCGAGGATGACGGGAGTGCTGTTGAGAGACCGATGCTGGTGTGAGGCTGATTTAAGCAAAGGGGAGAGGTCGTAACTTGTATTTAAATGTGTTCAATCTTATCATAGACATTCTTCAATCTTTTTCTCCGTGCATTTTATTTCTCGATACCCGTATCCGGATTTGTGGAGAGCCTGGTCTCTGCGATACGAGTATCAGTCGTCCCGAAAATAGAGACACGGATGTTGTGGAGACAAGCTGGGTCTCACATTTGCTTCACTGTGGCTGGCCTAATGAGATGAACTCGGAGAACCACTATCTGCGCCGTGCGCCTCGTGTATGCAAATCTCTCGGTGTTTGACATCTCAGACTCTTATCATGCTGCGTGATGGCTGTGCGCCTCTTCCGTAGCGCAAGAGATTGACAGCAACTTTGACCTGGGCCAATTCACTCGCCAATGACGCAAATAGACACATCCCAGCCAAATATGTAGGTACGCTCTAGTATTAAGCCTAAATAATATGGCACGGTGTATACTCTCCATTGCGTGGCTTGTCGTTTAATTTTATCGCCACCACATATCCGTATAACGGCCCAAAGCCATCTCCCCGGGCTCAAAGAGATCATGGACCATATCCCAGCCACATTTGAGCTGGGCGACGGGCAACCACTTTGCCCTCAATTTCTCCACCTCCATCAAGGCCGTCTCGTCTTCCGGCAAAAGCCCACAGTCCCGCAGCACCTGTTCAGGTGGCACTGTTCGCCTCTGATTCTTGAACACGTACCTGGCCACCGAGGATGCAAAGACGGCCTTGTGCGGATCCTTGGAAATATCTGCGCTCTTGCCTTTCTTAGAGGTCCTGGAGTTCGGTTGCATGGCGTACTCTCCCGGTTTAAAATGGCCTGCCTTGACGAAATGACTCACGAGATAGATCCATTTCTCATCCCATGTTAGAACGCGAGTCCATAGTTCATATGGCTGGTAAGGCAATATCTCCTTTCTCCAAACGCAATTCGCGCCGCCAAGGATCATGATGAAATTGTTCGGGCCAGGGAACGGGTTGAATGGTTTGCTGAAGAAAATCAAGCTGAAGTTACCACGGGAGATGTCCAGATCCGTGAAGTAGGTCGAGTTGGACTTGTGCATGTTGTAGTCACACTCGAGCATGGGAGCTCGCGTGGTGGTGATGGCAGGCAGGAAGAGGCAACGCGGATTGAGGTGTTTTGATGGAGCCGAATCCGTCATACGACGGATGAGTGCGCGGAGAAAACGGACCTGAGGCAGGGATTAATGATTAGTTGCCGGTCCCGAAGCAAGGGGCAGTTTGAAAGGCTGAAGGTACGGACATGCCACATGAAGTGCCAGTTCTTGATGTTGGCTAACGCATACACCACTAGAATCGTTTTCCAGTGCAAGAGAGACACCGCCAGGTCTCCGTACCCCACCATAGTGCTCAATACGGCGGCCATTTTGTACGGACCAAGGAGTAAATGCCGCAATCGAGTAAGTGTTGTAGGCGCAAGAATATGGTGGACAAGACAATTCAGTAGCCACACAATCAAGTCTTTTATTATCCCAAGTCTTTTCTCAACAGAATTGTCAAACGTATGCGATTGTGGTTGTTGAGGACGTGGCCCTGGTCACGCCTCGGCTGGATCTGAGATGCCTCAAAAGTCGCATGTGGAAGTCCCACATGGAACGGAGAAAAGGGACTCCTAAGCTTTCTGGAGGAGTTAGCGCACTTAAGAGCTCTTGGAGCTCCTGCTTCTCGGGGGGATGTGGGTTTAATCCTCAGACACAAGCCAATTATGACACGGAGGAGTACGCACCTCGGCACTTTGTGGGTCTACGGATACCGAGCTGAGTGATACGAGTCCCAACAACATGAGCCAAGGAAAGATGACAGGGAGTCAACTCCGCTCTGTCCGTATCTTTGTGTGCGGTATCAGATTGAAGTGGTGGTGAGTGGTTGGTGGGAGATGGGGAGGCCAACTCGACGAGGACCTACCCTAGAGAGACACATGGCAACAGCGAAAAACCAAGCAGAGAGGCAATGTGTACCGACAACTGCGGGTTAGATGGCAGGAAAGTAATCTACGGCATCTTAATCAGGATGGGAGTGCTAAAACTTAAGAGAAATACGGGAAAATATGACCTTCACCCGCTGGGCATGATTGTGTTGTCAAATGAGCATGGAGCGCGTTGGCGTGGCTTCCGAGCACAAACAATATGATATGTCCAGATAAGGATCCTGGACCCCAACATTTGATAACAAAGCAACCTTCCCTCTATAGGGCGACTTTGTTCTTGGTGGTAGATCGAATTGTGTTGCCCTTGATCCTTCGGTGAGTGCTCACAGAGCTGTGCGGGATACGCGACTGGCTTCTTTTGTCACCATTACACACTGTAGGGTGACTCTGTTCCATCGCATTCAACATGCAAATCGAACCGTAAAAAAAACAGCATATGCAGATTCTTATCAAGATCTAGTTGTAGACGTGGTAGCCTAGTCGTATTGATTGGCTTGCTTCACTAATTTTAGGACGTTCGCATCTACATGGACAAACTAAACTAAATGAACCAGCAAAACAACACAAACCACAGAGGAGAAACAATCGAGTGCCGCACAACCTACCTTGCAAGCCACGATATGAAAACATCAGGTGGAGCTACTCCATACTTGACTTAGTATCATGGACCCTTGAATTATTCAGCCTTCTTAGGCTGGCGCTTTGCTTAGCTTGGTCCGATGATATGATTATCTTGGCGGCCAAAGGTCTAGATTCCGGTGCGTAGATGCTGTGGCTTTGCTTCTAGCCCCACCACCGGAAATCCGCGATTCGTAGGTTGTTGTGGCTGTATTTAGCCAGCTTGCAGAATGGACGCTCATTGGGGGATTTGGTCAAGAAAAGGAACCTGCAAGTAACATCAGAGGTCGCATACCAAACAGCTATAGGCGTAGAAATAGACACTCAATAACAACACAGCATAAGGGTCAGATTTTTTAAAATCGGAGCAGGGATGGCTAGCTGATCTTTTAATTTCCACAATTCTTAGCTTGCGCAACTACACCACGCTATTGCCTTAAGCTTCATTCTTGGTGATTAACAACCGTCTAGCTTATTATCAAGCATCTTTCCTTGCAGATTCTCTCCTACAAGTACCTGTTCATCGCACACCACAGGTCCTCCTTTTTCGTATCACACATTCTGCGGATATCCTGCTCTTCAATTCCGTCTCGTACCCTTCAGTCAAACAGAATGCGCCCAACCCCTTTCCTCGCCTTGCTCGCAGCCTGCAGCATCGTCGGCACCTACGCGAGCCGATGCCAACTCTCCCCGAGCACCACTACGACTGCCGCTGCCCAACCGGCATCAAATCCACTCTGCGACCCTCAGTTTCTGTTTCAGGCGAGCATATGCTGCGTTACAGGTGTCGCTGGGGATGGACTCACTCTATACCATCAAGATCAGACAAACACTCCGCAAGCTTGTGCTGACGTCTGCAAAACGTACAGCGATTGCGTTGTGTTTCGATACACCCCCGGCGACCATACTTGCGCGCTATATCAGGGCTCAGTTGACATTGATAACATGGTCGACGTTAAAGGGGTTGATATATCGGATCTTCAAACATCTCCCGTTTTCTTCAACAGGTGGTGCTATGGAGCACAGCAGAAATAAATACAGGCACAATATACTGGATCTAAGCGGAATGATTAGTTGAAGTTCGTACTTCTCATCATGTGAATGGCATTGTATCGGCGCTGATGAGCCGTACTGGTTACTGCTGGTGCTAAAAGAAAACGAGGGCGGAGGTTTTGTCTCGCTAGCTCAAGCTTAGGTCGTGGCTACGGATACACAGTTGCTCTACCAGCATCTTGAGCTACTATAAGACCACAAACAGATTTAGAGAGAGTGTGAGCAATGATGATGTCATGCCTAACCATAAGTCTCCAAGAGCTCTGCCAGGCACCTCGATGCTTTTGTGTGTGCATTCGGCATCGCCAGCACCCACGCAAGCCGATGCCAACACTCCCCAAGCGGCACTACTACTGCAGGTATCGCTCTCACAACCTCCCCGGTTACCTAGCCAGGTCTAACCTCAGTCTGCGGGGGTACAGAGTTCCTGGACACTAGGCTGACATGCTGCGTCACCGGAGCTGCCGGGGAAGGGCTCACCGTATTTTTGGAAGCCTTGAAAGACAACCAGTACGATTGTGCTCCCCCCTGCCAAGTTTACGGTCCCTGTGAGGTTTGTCAGTTCTCCCCGGCCGACTCAATTTGCACTCTATACCACGGCTCAAGCGCTATTGATACGTTTGTAGTTGAGACCTCTGTCGTTTTGTTCCAAAAGAACTGCTATGGAGGACAACAGGTTTAAGGTACTCTATCCCTGGGAAAGGTAGCGCAATCCTTGGTTTATGCTCTTCCGGTCCTTCCGGATTTTGGGCTTGTCCCCTGAGTGCAACCCACCAACAACTCGTGGTGCACACCTCGGCACTTTGTGGGTCCCTTGATTTGGCGGTGGATGTGTGGAGTTGGGCGAGCTGGTTGGGGATAACCTGAGCCGAGAACAACATTCTGGTAGCAGGAAACATATGGAACTTGATGTAGCAGAGACTTCCACCGAGAAGCATAATTATGACTGTGATGAAAGTGGTCTGCCGGTATAAGCATGTTGACTGGGAGGGGGGGCAACGCATGTCACAAGCTTTGGCAACACCTAGATACACGACACAAGCTAGAGAAGCGCATAGACTACGCTTGTTCGACTCTCAAAGTGTATTCTAGCATGCGCCGAGGCAAAATTTACCAAAGGACTATATTATCCAAGCCTCATTCCCTTATTTCAACTCCCGCAAACACTATACAGAGACCTATCTTGTTGAGCACGGGTCAAGAACACTGCATTTAAGCATATCGCCGCTTCCAACCTCTATCATGTCCCCCGCCGTACCTCCCACGTCATACGCCGGCATTGGCTATAAAGACATTGAAATCTCTCATGTACCCGCAAATGCCCCTGAGGCGACCCAGGTCCTCGTGGTAGCCCTCAACCGCCCAGGCAAATTCAACGCCGTGACCGAGAATCTACTCAATGAACTGGAGGCTGCCTATCGTCTGTTTGATCAAGACGAACGTGTCAGAGCTATCGTGCTGACTGGAAATGGAAGAGCCTTTTGTGCTGGGGCTGACCTCGCTATTGGCTTCTCCGGCCTACTCGCCTACAAGGAGACCGAGGAATCCATGACGAAATTCAGGGACCAGTAAGACTTACCTTGATCACCGTTTATTATATGTTATACCGTATACTTATCCCATGTAATTCAGAGGCGGTCGCGTGGCGCTTGCAATCTCCCATTGCACCAAGCCTACCATTGTGGCGCTGAACGGCTCAGCTGCTGGGGTCGGTCTCACGTTGACGCTTCCAGCTTGCATCCGAGTCGCCTGGGCAGATGCCAAGATTGGTATTCCATTCTCTCGCCGAGGCCTAACTCTCGAAAGTTGCAGTGCATTCTACCTGCCACGTTTGCTCGGACTCTCCAAAGCCATGCACTTGGCCACAACGGGCGCAACATACATCGCGTCGGATCCTCTCGTCAGCGGGCTATTCTCGAAGCTCCTGCCAACGCCTCAGGAAACAGTGTCTCATGCAATTGAACTTGCTCTCGACATTGCAGAGAACACCTCGCTGTCCAGCACCAAGCTCATGCGGGACATGATGCTGTACTGCCCGGAAACGCCGGAGCAGACGCATGTGCTGGACTCCCGAGTCTTCATTTCTGTTGTTGGTTCCAAGGACAATATGGAGGGTGTCGGCAGCTTTATGGAGAAACGGAAAGCAAAATTTAGTGGCAGTGTCGATAAGGAAAACTTTCCATTTTGGCCGTGGTGGAGTGCTGAGAGTGCTGAGGGTACTCCTCGAGCTAAGATCTAAAGATCACTACATTCAGCTGGAATTTGGATGGGGATGCGCCAGCGGACGAGCCTAGTTAAGTAAAATAATTTCCCTTCTCGCCAATACGCAGGTCATGCCAAATGATGGCCCTCTCCTGTTCCAATTGTTCCCTACAAAAATACGTATGTTCCAATGGCGAGATGGAATGCGGTGTGGTTGGAAATTGTTATATCTAGCCCACTTTCGCCAAATCCGGTCAGCAAGAGGAGAAATCTCTCCACCCAAAGGACCTCATACCGCGCTTTTAATGGCTTAGCTGGGGTTAGATAATATAGAATGCACACTTCCCACCAGACCATGTTGTGGACATAGTAGCCTCCTTGAATTCAGCCTTCCCCTCCTGCAAGAGGCGAGTTTGGTATGCCCGCAGCTTGCGCCGGCAAGTCACCTTGAAGACGAATCTGTAGCAGAGATTACCGGATAAGCAAAGGCCCAAAGGCTCAACAACATCACCATTTGTATTACTCCCTAGACCCTTAGAGGTGGACTGAGCAGAGGGATAATCCCGCAACTTCTTGAAACATGATTGGGATTATGCTTGACTGTAAATATGAGCGAGGCGATGGTGTCTCAGTAATCAATGCACTCATACATTAAATATAACCGGACGCAATATTTGGGTAGTGTTCACTGCACTGATATATACTTAGAGCGTATTATTCATCAAAAGCATAGCAATCGTGACTTTGAGGTCGAACTATGAACAAATTGGCTTTCAGCTGTTTACTAATACAATTCGCTTGCTCCAGATTTTGTCCATGGAAGGAGCTTGGATCTAGATGACGCTCATGCGCTCGCAGCAGCTACCTTTGCCACCAAGCCCAAGATCCCCGCCGCCGTGATGACGTCCTCGGACGTCGTGAATCCTTCTTGAAAAGGGAGACGCTCCTCTTCTGTTGTATTGTGTTAGCGCTTCGCTTCACACGTTTGAGAGATCTTGACTTACGGAACATGATCCTGACCCACTCGGTGACTGCGTTTCCATCTGCGACGCTCCCGAAAATAGACAAGTACAGAGCCGTCTCGATGAAGCTGAATTGGACATCGCTGGCGGACATTGCGAACGCTGGGTTGACAGCTGCGGCTGCTTGGATGCGCTCCTTACGGGCTGTGGCGGCCGTCTGGATGGAAATTGTAGACTGGTTGAAGTGCGAGGCTACACTTTCCCAAATAGTCTCGTTGAAGCTGTGATTGTCGCCAAAGTAGACGTCATTGCGGCTCAGACTGCCATCGTGCTCAAGGACTAGGATAATTAGCTTCCCTAGGTCATACTCTTTGCTCTGTGGATGACGACTTACTACCGTGCTTGTCTAGGTTGTCAAGATCAAAGGTGACGTTATTTCCAGAGAGCAGAGCCTTCTGCCCAACCAGGGTAGTAGCGGCTGGGTCCAGGTTAAGAGCATCGGTAAATGCGACGATCAGATCAGGCAGAGAGATGTTCAATCCATCGCGGGGGAGGTATCCGTGGTTCGCCAAGGAGTTGACCATGGGGCAAGGGCTTCGGCCTGGATTCATGTCAATCATCAACAACTTCTATTGTCGATCCTGTGCACTTACGGTCATTTTCGGTAGCGGCTTGCCATTCATTGCTGGCGCTGGCAGCCAAGGCCGCCGAAAGGCAGAATACCACGTTGAACAGCATGATGAGACGAAGGAATGGTCTGGGCGGTGAAAAAAAAAGAGTGAAACAGAGCCGAGAGATTCTAAGATGTGGGCTGTTCCTCCTGTTATTCTTTTTCTTTACTAGGTTCCATTCAACTGGGGTTATTAATACCGAAAATATGGGCCATGGATCGCCTGAATTGCGAACCGCGCTCGCCTCCTGTCTAGGATCAACGGCCGGATGATGGACTTGTTTCTGACTGTCGTTCCGTCGGTATCGTCATCCGGACAAGGGTGAGGTTGCGTCGGCGGACCTCGTATTGGTTCTTTTGTGTCTCTGCGGTGGATCACGGCCCTTACCGATGCAAGATCAGGGGGGAAGCCGGGATATGCATGAGCTCCCCACAGGCATCGCACCAATCAAGAGGCGTGTGATTAATTTCTGCATTGACAATGGCCAGAGTCGCGGTGGAGAAGATTTAAGGGTCCAAATGTCGATGCTGTGGCCGAACAATCCGAATAGGGTGCCATCGTCCGTCGGCCTCGGTAGGCCAGCCACCCTAGAGTAAAAAAACATGTGAGCTCATCGAAAGCGGTGTAACCTTTGTGGTAAAAAGCTAGCCCTAGCGTGTAAATGTCCGACACTTGTTCGGAGGAGTGGTAGGGCGGGAATGACGTCTACTTTCGGCAATGCTGAGGCTTAGGTTGTGAATGGCCCGGTGGGATCTAATTGGGGCATAGCCGTGTCCTATTTAGTGGCCCGCGCCGAGACGGAGAAGCTGAGGTTCTGGGAGTTAAGAGTACAAGGCTAAGAAGTTAAAGATATTTCTTTCGACGCATTGCCTTATATATCCTGCAGTATGCTACACAAAGACGAAGTCAAAACAAAATGGTAAAAAGGATACACAGATGATGAACTAAAAAAGAGTAAAGGTGAGTAAAAATAGGTACAAATCAAAGCGACCCAGGTTCACTATGGAAGACGTGGATTTATTCTCAGACAACAAAATTGACCAAAAGAGAAGATATAAAACGTTGAGAACTACATGAGGTTGGAGGTTTTGCGATAAAAATAAAAATTGGAAGTTAAATGACGTGAAGAGTGAACAAGAAACCATTTAGACTACTTAATCTTTCATCCAACGTGACCTGCTCATCATCGACGAATGACTTCGAATTTATTTATTAAAGTCGATTTATCCATGGAATCCATTTAGAAATAACCTTTTGCAAAATTCCACAAAAAGATGTCCTAAGGTCGCAACAAACAAGCCACCCAATACGTATGTGATTGCTTCCTGTTCGAGCGATGGTGGACTAGGTTTGATGCTATAGATTTGGTCGCGTCTTGGAATCCAGATCAGCGCAAATGACTGGCAGCTGCAGATGATATTTGTGTTGCTGTTCGCTTCAAGCCTCATATATTACCTTCTCTCCTATCCCCAAGCAGTACTCCTCTCTAGCAGTTTGGTGGACCCGTGGCGATCTATTTGTGTTCCTTGACATAATTCGAGCCCTGGGAGATCAATGGCGTGTACGTCAGAAGCAGTCTTAAGCTACCAATAGTGGAGTCGCAACACCGAGAGCCTCACATTTTTGCGGCGTGTCCTCAATCAAGTCATAATATGAGTGGCTACGAATTATGTGAACACGAGTACAAGTATCTGTACAATGAAACTAGCGGTTGATTGCGGTGGGTTTGTGGTGATGCATAGTGTGTAATCTGAAAGAACGAAGAAGTATCATATTTCACAATCGAATCCCTTCCTCCTTTGCCCACTGTTCGTCACTGTGCCCCCTCAACGTCCTTAGATACTTGTTGAAAGCCGAACTAGTCTTCATGGCTTGATCCAAATGCTCCCAATCAAGCGTCTCCTTGCGGTGCTTGGCCAGTTGCCGCGCGGTTAGCAGGGTGTTCCGAATTTGCCGGCCGTTCATCTCCTCGGCAGCCAGCTCATCCAATCGGCGTTCGAACTCGGGAATGTTGGCATCTTCACCCGCATCCTCGATCATGTCAAGGAAGTTCCTCCAGATCTGCTTGCGAGAGCGCTTTGTCAGGTTGTTGTAGTGGATTGCTACCTGGATGCGAGACTTGAAGGCTTCGTCGAAGGTGCCAACTCGGTTGGACGTCAGAATCAGGATCCCGTCGTGGTATTCGAGCACACGGAGGAAGACTGGCGTGGAGTCAGACAGAGTAACGTGGTGACGCTAAGGAAGCAACTTACTTGAGACCAGACTATTCCTTTGTAGATCTGCCGTTGTTCTCTCTTCCAAAAAGACATCGGCTTCATCTAACAGGAGAACTAGATTCAGTTAATAGTTACTCTTCCACTCTTCACCATGTAGTCTCACGTACCACAATCCCAGATTTTACCCAAATACATGACTGTCTCTAAGTACCTTTCGACGCTAGAAGGTTCTGTACCTATATCGCCACATGTCACCCGATATAGTGGCTTCGCAGCAATTTCCGCGACACTGGCAAGCACAAGTCAGAATGAGACTCGATTCCACACGATGAAGGGGCAAACCTTTCTGCCGTCAAGGTCTTTCCTGTTCCCGGGCTGCCATGTAGAAGAATAATCAGACCGTTTCCCTTTCCAGCAATGATGTCGTCCATTTTCTTGACTGATGTGTGTACGTCCACAAGTGCGTGGATCAGCTGCTTTTTGTTCTCATCAAGAACCAGGCGTTCGAACGCCATCTTGTTCCATTTTATCGCGCGGATGTCCTTGACGTGGAGGCTAACTATGCCGGATATAAGAGTCAATATCAGGGAACTGTTGTCCAACGTGGCGTGTAGGTACGTCTGGCCAACTTACCCCACTTCTTTTCTCGCATATTAAATCCGAATGTTGTTGACGGGAGGAGCATCATCAATTCCTTTGACAGGTCGTCATGTTGAGTCTTATTCAGGGGCCAGGGATCAAATTTGGAAGGCCTATCTGGGCGAGAATCGTGGTGGCTGGCGTCGAAGTGCATCTTTTCGTAGGTCCGTATATCGACCATGAACCGACTGTCGACCTATGGGGCAAATTGTCAGTGTTTCTCGGTTATGATTAAGGCGCACATTCACCAACATAATAGTGCTCCCTGTTTTTATCCCATCCCGTATAGTTGACGAGGACCTGAGCTTTGTGATCCCAAAACTTCTGTCCGCGACGTTGAAGTTGTTCAATGTCGCTCTGGTGTGCAAACTCAACCGGGTGCACATCGAGATCCGTAATGGCCGTCTCATCATCCGAGGGTCGGTCAATGATCTCCATCTTCTCGTCCCTTAGCAGCTCAGTGCCGTTGTAACGCCATGACCAGCCACGCAAACCCATCCTCTTTGAGTCACCTTTCCGTCCACGATCTGGGTAGTCCAGGAGCACGAAGGCCTTGAGGCCGTCAGTGCCCTGCGACTTTGATAGCACCATTTGGTTTGGCTTGAACAGCTTGCCAATATGTCGGGCCGACACCATGCCCCGCTGGAAGAGCGCCTCAGCGGATTCATATTCCTCCTTGTAGTTCTTGTCTAAAAACTCCAGCAAAGGTGCAAGCACGGCTTTGTAGGTATCAGACTCCTCAAACAGTACCGTGAGTCGCTTGCGGTGGTGGAATAGAAAGTTGTAGGGCGCACTCATCTCCACGACCTCATTTTCCTTTTTGAGCCTGAATTGTGCAACTGTCTCTAATGCCTTTTGTAGTAAAGGTGAGATGATGCGTAGTCGATCCAAGTTCTCTGAGGCCGTTGGTTCCGGGTTCATGAAGTCCAAGTCAAGATCCTTGTTGTTCTTTTGCACTGTACAGCTGTGCCCCTTGAACACGATGAAACAAATCGACGAATGCTGAGCAAGATATGCATGTATGTTGTAGATAGGGACTTTGCCTGTGGGGTCCTTGCTGCCATATCTAGGCTCATCCTCGTAAATTATGCCAAAGTGCTTATGCTGGGAATTATTGCAAAAGAATTTGTGAAGAACCTGCGAGCGTGGGAGCGCTGCTGCTTCTTTTTCTTCTTCCACTTCATCTTCGTCTTCAGACATGGAACCGTAGCCGTCGGGAGCACGGAAGTAAGTAAGCTGCTTGTCGAGACGCTCTATGGTGTCGAGCAGAAAGCCAGTGAATTGGGCGATCTCGGTCGACTGGTTCAGAACATCCACACCGAAATATCTGTCGGCAACATAATTGAGTGAACCTGCGAGCCCGAGATTTGGTGGGAGTAGATCTTCGCTGGGAGTCTCCCACGTCTCAGTTCCAGATACCTTGTCATTAGCATTGTCGCGGCTGTCATCTCCAGCTGACTGAATGGCTTCAAGGCCATTTTTGTATTCGGCCGCCGCCCTCTGAGGTTGAGATGAAACCATCTGGGCTTCTTGCGACCCTTCGACACTTGGGCCGCCGTGCGCTTTGCTGTGGGGTGTCCTCTGCCTCCATTCTGCATGTCTATCAACCTTCACGGGCATTCCAGGTGGTGGCGGAAGTCCAGCCCTTTGCATGCCGGGAATTGGCGGTCTGAAATGGTTTTGTGGATAGGGCATGGGAATCGAGTTATATTGTGTAGGACCATCGTTGCGAATAAAATTGGGTGGTAGGCGATGCATCGGCCGGCCAGAATCATCGAAATCCTGCAAGCCTCGCCCCCTTCCGATATTTGCTGTCCAGAGTTGTCAGCATGGACTTCCAGCATCAAGATAGCCTTGTAACTTCAACTTACGGCCCGGAAGAGGAGGAGGAGCAGGCTGAGCTCGACCAGTTCGGTTGGCAAATTGTCCTCCATCTCCGACATTCTTGAGCGAGAGAGCTGCTCAAATTTGTTAATCTTGACATGCATCACCGGGGCAGACTACGCAAATCAAACTCACAACCAGAGTGGAGCTTATCGGCCAGGCTCTCTAGCATGGCTTTCTCTTTGTGATCTTTCCCCCGCGTGTCATCGCGAGAAATGGTTGAGTCAACGAAAAGATCGCTTTCAGCATTTTCGGGCTCTGACTTGGCGATGTAATCCAACTCTGAGCCATCACTTGAGGCGCTCCTAGAGTCTGTGTCAGACGTATCCATGCCCGACGAGATGCGTTCTGCGAGATTTGTTGTGGTGTTTTGTCTCGGCTTGCCACTCTTGCTATTGCGAGTAGGTATTTTGAAAGATTTTGCACTGAGAAGGGTTGGTTGCCTGCGTCGAAAATCAGCGCACTCAAGGCACAGCCTCAGATTTTCCTCTCGCAGCTCGGAGACGATCGCAACTACAATGAGCGAAATTATGCCTAATGCTGACTCCTCCGCTTGGGTGCAGTAGTAAGGCTCACTTCAGCCGACTGTCATGCGCTGTGTACTTCTCTGTAACTGCACAATACCCTGGCAGCCTATCATACGCATTTTGTCCGCCTCATTTTCAAGGGAATGGCCTGATTCTCCCGATCTTCTCCGTTCACTTCCACCACCATAACATGGCTCAATCAACCTTACTGGGCCAAACACGGTGCCAAGACGCTCCGAAAGCCGTACACAGCCACAGTAAGCCACAGGGCCGATGTATTTCTTGGTATGAATACTTTCCAACAGCTTTCCAGAGCCGCATTTAATAACGAACCAGCTTCTGCACTGACTTTTGCTACATCTCGCCTCATAATGCCTTGTTCTCTAACAGCTTCAACACACAATGTTGCCTGCTCCACCAACGACGCAAAGGGCCCGCAGTCCATCTCCAACTGCCCTCGCTACCCGAGAGAGCGCTGGGTCAACCAGGCCCACTAGCTTCTCAGCCCTTTCCATAACCTCTCCAGCGTATGTTACGGGGCACGCGTATGCGGATTGGTATCTCGAAACCCCCAGAAATCGGGGAGTAAGGTTTGTGCTTAAGCACGGTAATCGATGCAGCAACTCCTGACCCCTGCTACAGATGGACCGATCCGGCCAAGAGAGCGTTTGACTCGGCCATCGAGGTCCTCCAGAATGTACCCGGACTCGATGACAGCTATTTGGTATGGATACGTGATAAGACGTCTATGGCTAACGTCCAGGATGCTCTGGAAAAGGCGGTAAAAGAATACGAAAACAAAGCCGAAGACTCCAAGGTTCGACAGTGGTTAGCGCGCTGTTCATCGCGAGTCTTGTACTATGCAAGTCAGTCCGTTTCCCGGTGGATTGCCTAGTTAAGGTGGAACGCTGATTTTCTCCGGCCGAGTAGCGATCTTTGATGTTTACGCCCCTTATCATCGCGATTACGTGTCTTTTGCTTGGGGGGCATTCAAGTTCCTTTTCATCGTAGGTAGAGCGGAAATATGCAACAACAAGCAGGCGAATACACAGTTAACATACCACAGGCTGTGATGAATCAGGAGGAACTTCTTGTTGAGTTGGCCAAGGCCATCTCGCGGATCGCCGATGTTCTCCCCCGGACTGAGCTGCACGCGGGACTCTACCGAACAGATAGAATCCAGCAGGCCGTGTCCATGGTCTACGCAAAGATTATCGAGTTTAGCGTCAGGGCGATTAAGTGGTACAAGAAAAACAAACTCAAGCACAGCATCACATCAATCATAAAGCCCTTTAGCCTCAGCTTTAAGGATATCGTCGACGAAATCTCAGAGCGGTCGCGAACAGTGGACGAACTGGCTAGCGCGGCGGCCAAGGCGGAAATCAGAGATCTCCATATCAACGTACACCACTTAACTCAAGGGTTCAATGAGTTGAAGGAGATCATGATTGGTGAGTGCATCGCACATTGTGTTGCCAACAGAGAACTAAGGCATGGCAAGCTTCCCAAATCCAACAAAGTCAGATCATGATTGACCTGCGGGACCAAAGACAATTCTTCTGCAACAATCAGATTCAAGACATGAAAAATCTGTTGCTGGATGGCACGACGCCGCCAAAGGATAACCTGAGCTACTGCAGTTCGATGCGTAACCGCCGTAGGCAGAGAACTCCTGTCCAACTCCCGCCGCCAGAGATTCTGAAATTGAAGGCCTGGCTTTCGAATCCATCTTCTTCGCTCCTCCTTGCTCGAGAGCAAGGGGTTAGAACCAGCGCACTGGACTTCGCCACTGGCTTCCTTGAGGCTGTGCTTGAAGGAAACTATTCGGCCATTTGGGTCCTACCATCTGCTGGCGGTGACTGCCAACCATCCCCTTCAGTCACAGGTGTGCTGAAATCTCTGGTCTTGCAAGCTCTGACTATAAATCCAAACGGTATGAGCGAAGGTGCCCACCCTGTACGGATGCAGCACCTCGGGAGCGCGGTTACAATCGAGCATTGGTTTAAGGTCCTGGAGCGGTGCTTACGCGATATACCTCGGCTTCTCATCGTGATTGACATGAGACTAATTGAAATGGCCGTGGACCATGACGAGGATGAGCACGACTGTTTTAGAGTGAGCGACTTCGTTCAAATGCTTCATGAGATAGTGCAGAATCGGGCAAGGGGAGGGTTGAAGATCGTGATAGTATCATGGAGATTCAAGACAGCCACTTTAGCTGAGGCTGAGGAGATATTTGGGGACGAGCAGATCTTCACGGATGGGGGCCGAAGGATGGAGAAGATGATGAGGCAGCCGAGATATAGGGCAGTATTAAAAAGAGACCACGTGAAGTTCACGCAGAGACTCAAGGCAATAGTCCAGGAGTTAGGCGAAGAGGATTAGCCATTAATGCATACATTTCATGTGTAAGAAAATGGACAGTCCTGCCTCTACGAAAATAAATAAACTGCATCTCCCAAGGTGTATCTGACTACCTAATGATAAACAGTCTCAAGCGCTGCCCTCCGCTGCGTTCATCTCTGCAAGCACCAACATGTCTTCGTCGGAGATATACTTGATATCGACCTGTTCCTCTTCTCCTTCCTCCTCGTCTTCATCGCTATCACTATCCCTGCTATCGCTTCCCAGTAGCGTCCCATCCTGAACCACCTTGGTCTTCGTCACCTTTTTCCACCATCCATGCCTGGAAATCTCAAGCATCATGTACGCAAAGGCGCTCTCGCCATTCACAGATCCTTCGTGTAGATATCCCGTGCTCCCGAGATAGAAGAGATAGCCGCCAATTGTGACATGCTCGTTTGGACTCCCATGCCCGTCGGCGGCCACACCTGTACGCTCGCCTTGCACGATCTTGTACTGCAGGTTGTCGGCATATTTGACCCCGACAACCATGTACACGGGTGCCTTGTCGATGCGCGCCTTGAGCGTTGGAGAGGAGGTTTCAAGGTCGTTGATGAACTTGAGTATGTCGACGACGCTCAGCTCTTCGGTGACGACGCGCTTGGAGGAGAAGGTCATGGCCTTGTCATGTGCGTGGCCGGCCTCTATTTGAAAGCCAAACGTACTCAGGAACTTGGCCCAGAGGGCGACGCCCCATACTTTGGCCTTGTGATGGACCAAGTCCTTGATGGCTTGTGGCGGGCCAACGGATTTCTGTGCCAGCGCAACCGGAGCTTGTGCAATGGGGAATTGGAAGACCTTGAGGGGATGATCGAATACGGCGCCGAGTTGGATTTTGCCGTCGCGGCCGTTGCCGAGTGGGCCAGGAATATAGAGCGTTGGAGGTGCGGCGACGGACATGTTGAGTGGTTTGTGAGGTATCTGTAATCGTGGGATTCACAAGATGTTGTGAGAATGTTCTCAAGCCTGCTGGTCACGTCCTTTAATAATCATGTATTTTCTGTCTAGCTGCTGGTGCCAACGCTGTCGAGTTGGTCGCTTGGATGCCTGGCCGGCCGCCTTGAATGCGACGCGCGATGAGAGCGACCCATTGCGACCCTTTGCGACCGACAGAAACACAGCTGGTCTGTGTCGTCAGCCCCTTCAAGCCATCATTGGACAACGCCAAGCGAGGGTGTAGTTGTCTCGTATTGACGTCACAATTGTCTAGATGTGCTTTTTCCGGAGGCGGTGCTGCACCGCCATCTTACTCGGTCTGGCCCCCATGGCTAGCCTTCTTGGCACAATCAGCGCGGGCGTGAGGCTATGACGATTCTTTACTTGCTATACTTGTCAAGATAATAGTGTGACCGAATACACTGATACTGGTGTTGTTTTCGGTCCTCGCGGCTCAACATGACCCCCTGGTATGAAGCTGCCACTGGCGATATTGGGAAGCTGAACAATTGATTGTTCAACTCATCCACCACGCGTGCCTTCTTCCAACCTCCTCAGCGAGCGGGGAACCTTCCCGGCGCCGGTCACTGTGATGGGCTTGAGACTATTGACGCCCGCATCTGCAGTCGTGCCAGTCGGGCTGCCATCATTCGCCCATAAATCGCTCAGCGTTTAGCACACTTGCCTAGTCCTCATGCGGACACCCCCAAAAGGAACATGTGCATTGAGCCTTCAAGGGTGGCAAGACGGGAAGTGCGGCTGAAACGAGGCTCAGCCGCTGGAGTTTCCCTCGTCCTCAAGCCTGCTTTGAAATGCCGAGACGCCGAGGACGACCCTCACACACACCACCATCATCGCTCTTCACATGAATTTTTTTGTCTGACAGCATGTCAATCAGCTTGTCTCATGATTGGATTACATCGAATAGGGTCAAACGTTGATTGACCAATACTCAACTGACATCACTTTTCGGTTATGTCTCTGACTCGCGAAGAGGTCAAGAAGGCATTGGAGACGTTAGCTGAAACGTCTTCCACGATTGCACTTGAACTATCTAGGTCAACTCACAATACCCAGAATCCTGTTCGGTCTGAGCAAGCTAGGGGGCTACGAAAATTGGCCTCAAGGCTAGCAGCCTTTGTCGAGAGGAGCTCAATGATGTCCGAACCGTATGACTTGGCGATTTTGGAGCTCGTGAACCAAGCAATTTCCGTGAGTCAAACTAGGTCGGCTTGAGGCAGACAAAATGCTTACTTTGCCCTTCACCACTGCAGCCAGTGACACTAGCTTCGCTCATAGACCCCCAGGGTGGAATCAGCATTGAAGCCTTACTGAAAGACTCTTATTCAGAATTGAGGCCACAGGTCAATCATCTCCTGACACGGCTGAGTGAAGGCTTTACAACGGGTGTAGATCGGGAGATATTACTACAAGACCCACAGCCAACTCAGCAGGTTTTCCAACCCGTACAGTTACAAAGTGAGCAACGAAACCAAGTACTACTTTCCCAACAATCGACCCATTAACTTCCCCCTCCAGCACCTGTCGACATAGAACTTGAGCTACAGCACATATATAATGTCATCAATGATACTGCGCACTGCAAATTGGCACATGAAAGCCACCTGCGACAATTCGATCTACGGCTACAGCCTCTCGAACTGGAGGCGTTTAACGCCGAGCTTATTTTCAACGCACACCCCGTTTGTAGTGAAAGCGAAGGCGTATGCCTCCATGAGACAGAAATACGAGTTACCATGTGAGTGTGTGTTTAGTCGAACTCTCCAGGCTGTCAGCGCCATACGAACAATTGTCGAGGATGAATATTTCGCGCATCCTCTCCGTTCCCATTTTCCTGCCCTTGGAACTATTATATCAAATCTCCCTTAACAGCCACTAAGTCGAGGTAGGGATTCAAGTAACGCCGAGAATCATGGAAGCCAGACGTACAGCCCGTGTTCCGGCATTGTCGAGGCTCATGGCAAAAGACTCAACCTTTCGCTCGTTATCGACGATACATTAGCCCACGAGGCACCAACATTATTCACTGGCGCCTCAACCTCAAGTCTCCGAGATCTAGTCGCCGGAAAAACCGCAGGGCAGTCGTTCGGCAGCTTTGTCAATAAAATAACCCCCTACGATGAAATCTCTCTTGCCTATATCCTCACCAAGTCGATTTGACAGCTTTATAGCACAGACTGGCTCAGTAGACCATGGACTGCTGATGACATCCATTTCTATGACTCGCAAGAGCATTTAAACTACAGTCGCGGAGGAGACGTAGATCTTCTTCAGACATATCACCCCTACGTCCACGTCCTGTTACCACAAACTCGCATGGAGATCGCAGCGATGGCACCACCTGGCTCACGTATAGACTACTCGGACGAAGAGAGTCAATGGCGGGGACGCTCCTTTCCCGACGTTCTTGCCCTAGGGGTGCTGCTCATTGAGGTTCTCTGGAAGAGTAAGGTCTTGCCGCAAAAAGACGACTCTTCGGCGCCGATTCACGGGAATCTAGCCAAATATCGCACAATGGCCTTGGCCATTATTACCGAAGGTTTCCCCGGCGATCGCCAGTCGCTAGTTGAGGAAGGTTTTCGGGATATTCTGCAAAAGATCTTCCATAACAAACTGTTCCAGGGCGAAGACCAAAGGGGGGACAACGGGAGAGCAATCCGGAGAGATATCCTCTTTACATCGCTCCTAGAGCCTATTAGAAGATTGTACGAGGTGGGAGTAAAAGGCCGGGTAAACAGAAATGGTCATCATGCGGTTGTCAGATCCATCGAATGTGGTCCTGGGAAGGCGACAACTGATTTCGACTATGGGATACTCCTAAGCCAATTCGAAAAAGGCTGCGCCAACAGAAAGAGCCACACGAAAATGTAAGTTAAGTCTCAGCCAAACCATCCATTCTTACGGCTTCCTGGATAGGTCTGTCTTACCAATCGCGTTCCTTCGACTAACTGTACACTCTCATCAGAGCACGAGCGCTTACGGAGCTGCAGCAATTTCCAAGAATTAGCAATTTCTTAAGAAAGCTGATGATGAACACAGAGCCGTGGGAAATCAAGGACCCGATCCGGGTCGCGGTACTCGACACGGGTTGCGACCTCTCTGGGAGATTCTTCACCCGCAACGGCAACTCTGGTGAGGCGCAGCGGATCCGCTGGCATGACTTTGTCACACCAGGCCAGGCTGTGCCTACTGATGAAGACCCAGATAGACACGGTACTAACATTGTAACGTTGTTGTTGATGCTACTGCCAATGTGTGAAATATTTGTTGGCCGGGTGGCGACCTCGCCAGCACAACTCCCGGATTCGGTCCCCAACATTGCAAAGGTATGATAGCCTTGCCTTTTTCAAAGAGGCCAGAAAAAAGCTCAAAAACGAAACACGTCGCTGACCATGCACTTGGAAATAGGCCATCAGCCACGCGTCCACCCAATGGAATGCCCACATAATCACCATGTCGTGGGGCTTCGACGAAGAAAAAGGAGAAATCCGAGATGCACTCAACAAAGCCTGGGCAAAACGGCAGCAGCGCATCCTCTTTTTTGCAGCTGCGAATAACGAGGGCTTTAAGGAGCCCGAATTATTCCCCGCCAGCCACTACGTCAACGTCATCTCGGTCGGTGGTGCCGAGGACGACGGCGAGCCCGCCAAGGGACTCTGCCCAAACCCAAAGCCCGAACACGACGAGGGCGTCTTCTCTGCCCTAGGAGTAGCCGTGCCGTGCGGCAATTGGGAGGATAAGCCACCCGTAAAGTCCGGCGCAGGAGGAACCTCCATGGTACCGGTGGGCATGAGTGGCTGCTCTTTCGCCGCTCCGGTGCTGGCGGCGACAGCGGCCCTATTCCTCCATTACGCAACCTTTGCGGCACAGTACAGGCCTGAGAACGAAAAGAGACTGCAAAAGATGTTTGAACCACAGGGGATGCGTCGTCTCTTCCGCAATATTGGCCAGGTGAACAAGAGAACGAACGTGAGACGATGGTTTGTACGGCCCGAGCACTTGTTTAGCCCAAAGGCGGTGAGGAATTTGGACCATGGCGATCTAATTACAGAAATGATTACCGCTTTGCGTTTGTAGGTTTATAAGAGATCAAATAGGAACATATAGTCTTGTAGCCACAAAATCCCTCCCGGAATGCGAGTCCAATGTAGGCTAGAGTATGGAGAAGTTGTAAAGAAGAAAAACAACGCTGTAACCGTATGAAGAGCCAAAGTTAAAACCAGGCAGGTTGCAATATCGAGTGGTTCCATCCGTAAATAAAACACATGAGCCAACAAGATCTCGAGTGTTTCAAATTATTGTGAGCTCATAAGTGACCCCGGTATCCCAGTGGATAATTTGAGCTGAAATTGTCTTCGTGGGATACTAAACAGTCAATCTTGAGGGTTAGCTCCTGACTAGGAGTCGTCCATTTCTCATCTGGCTTGCCCAGAGTGACCTTCTGCCGCGGCGGACTGGGCGCCGTGTCAATTGACTGGAATACTCATCACTCCGCGTATCGCTTCCAAGGCGTTCCTCATATGCCATTGTGGCACCGATGATCCGGATACCAATCCCTCGTAAGAGGTGTAGGCTTTCAGGTAGAATGCAATACTCGCCTTTTGTGCCGGAGATGAATTGAGAATTGCCGCTGATGCAGATAACGATATGTCGCCCGACCCTGACAACGAGGAAGGGTGATATTCGGTGATCATGGACGAAGGATGCTTGCGCATGTGCGGTACGCTGGATGATACAGCCGCGTCCGTGTTGTTTAAAAGCAGAGGATCGGAACCTTCCCGGATGGACTGTGGCCGAGCCTTTCGAAACGGCTTCAGCCAGCGAGAAGGAGCGGAGGCGAGGATGTTGCCAAGCACTGACTGTGTAGGAGGCGGCTTGACTGTCACCACCAAAGGTGATGCGTCAAGTTCCGTAACTGTTTGGCGAGGAAATGTTCCAGGGAGAACTGGATTGTCGTTGACAGGGCTTTCCATTGCTTTCATCGAAAAAGCTTCCAGACACCACGCAACATGATCCACGAAATCTCTCCATGCTTCCTCATTAGATTTCTTGTCATCGGCGCCATTCTCCTGTATTTTCGTTGATCGCTTACACTTATAGTGCTCTTGAGACCCTCCAACCAGAGGACACACTGGGCACGTAGTGAAAGCATCCATGTCGATGATCGGTGCAGGGTCAAGTTGCACCGAACTCGAAGCTGAAACACCCAACTTTTGGAGCTCCGCGGTATGCTTGTCTTCCAGATGTTTTATGCGCGACCCGTTGTCATGGAACTTCTCCTCGCATAGCGGACATGGCCAATACTGAATGTGTTCTTGTGAGTTTGTGACCCCATGAGGATCATTCAACATGTGATCAAGCCATTTTTTCCTTGTCGCATAGAAGGAGAGAGGCTGTGGACAGCCTGGGATCAGGCAAGTATACGGGGCTAGATCAGCGGTGATGTGCTCCCTGCCTCGCTTTAGTTTAGGTACCCATGGAACGGCAAGTATTGACAGGTACATACCGCCAAGCATGTGCTTCAGCAAAGTAGGCAGGAAGAGAATCGTAGCAATATGGACAGCCAAAGTTTGTCGACGAAGCAGATACGACTGGGGGAGCGGGCAGCATGAATGCCGATCGTGGTGGCCAGGTCGTGGCGATATCTGCTACTTTTGGTTGCTTCGTTTTCTCCCATTTCGTCCTCGCCAGTACAAAGCGGGCACGACGCTTCACATTCGCATCGATCAATCGATCGCGGATCTGTTGGCTCATGACATGAGCGGTTGAGTGATCCCGGCGATTGCGCAAGGCTTGTGTCGGCTCCTCCGTCGATGTTTGGCCGTCGTCTGCGGAAGCGCCACGCGTCTGACTCATTTCCTCCTTGAAGTCATCCAACTCCTTGCGCAGCGACGAGTCGATATTCGCGTTGTCCATAGTCCAAATCGAGGAGCACGGCAGCGCGTTACGCGCCGTCGCGGTGAGCGTCACGACATCGCTCAGAGTGTCCTCCACGTCCCGACGAGCTAGATTCTGCCCTGGGTGCAGGAACTGGTCTTTGTTGGCAAGAAGGCTGTCCAGGATCCATAAGAGATTGCTGAGCGTCGATTGCAGTGACTCGCGGAGGTGTAGCTTCTCGTCAAGGCTGTAGCGGCCCTCGGCGAGCGAGCCAGAGCTGTGCGACCAGAGATTGAAATCTATGTATCGTCGCTGGAGCCAGACGGCGAAGTCAACGTCGCGGTCGTAGCGTTCAGAGTCCCGAAGACGGTCAAACTTTTGTCGGCATGCCGTGGCGGCCTCAAATATTGGCTGTAGCATGGTGGAAGCATCAGGTGAAGTAGGTAACGGCGTTGGGCTACAATGGTTAGGGGTAGGCAATCAATTGAATGAGTCGTGAGATCAGGCGGCGAGAGTCGGACGAGCGGTTCATTTATTTTCCGGGCGGCTGTCTGCTTATTAGTGCGAGGCAATCCATCTGAAAGAAGGCGACTGGCACTAACAATTGGTACATGCCTCCCGCCTGAAAAGGGTGGCACTCTGTAGATTTAATTGGACCCTATTGAACAAGTCACTAAGAGGGGGCACAGTGCATAGATACGGAGGTCAGTGGTACATCAATGGCCTATGTATCATAAGTAAGTCACTGGTACAGGAGGCCAGACGTCAAGATGATCACTTGTTGACTGTAAAATAAAACCAGCCCATGCGTCATGAGAAATGCTGGGACTTCCATTGCAGCATAAATTAGGCAAGGTTAAATGTACCTTTCCTTTCTGCTCTTTGATTAGCCTTGAATTTCTGCTCGTGACCTAATTTCAGGCTTACGACTGAAAGGAATGTTACTTCGTATTGGAAAAGGCTATCATAACATGTCATGGCCGCGGCCCAGGCGCCTTTTTTTCTCAGCACGGGTCAAGGGTAATCTGCACCAAACCACCCAACGCCACCTGCATCACCAGTTCTTCCAGACTCAACGGTCATCTTACCTGGGCGCCCAGGATTCTCAATAGCCAGAGATACGGATGAACTAAACCTTCAACACACCCAAATCAGACCGCACTTCTTGACTATTAGTTTTCTCTCACTTAGTGACGTTGGTTAAAGGTCAAATCGATACTAATGTCAGTTACGTCGCACTTCCCTATCCTCATCTCAATCTTGTTTTTGGTTTCATCAACACCTGCTAGTCCTTCAAGGCCGACTTCTGTCATATCAAGTCAACAATTTTCAATCTGGAAGGCGATGCCTAGTTTTTCTTCAACCTGACTTAAGAATCGTCTGCAATCGGCACAAACCGCCCGACTCACACAAATCCTCGCAATCACTGTTGGAAGTCTGGGTTGAACTTTAACAAGGTCCTGCAGTTCTATGTGTTCTTGTGTCCATTCTCCTCTTTTCTCTGGGCCGACACGGTTTATCAACACCTCTGGAATCACCATGTGCCTGTCAACGTAATATGCAACAAGCTTCTTCTCAGCATGCGAAGCTAAGAAAGACCCAGGAGATGCTGCCTTATCGTATATGTGTGTGGGCAAGTCGTAGTCGATCAGTACAGAGAGTTCCATAACTCGGCGCATCCAGAGCTCGTTGTCGATAATGTCGTCGACGGAGAAATCAGTTCTCCAGCCACTAGCGGCGCTGACTATCGGGAACACCCTGCCCCGGTCCATTCGAGCGATGGATTTGTTCTTGTCTGCGACATCGTACGTAGTCGTGTGCGCATAGTATGTAATCTCATGCTGTGATGAATTTCGTTCCAGAACATATCGGCCGGGTCTTGATTCCTGGTTCGTGCTAGAGTACTGGCCCGTAGTGCTAGGGGGCTCATAGCGGCGTAGTCTAATTGCAATGATTCTTCGATTGGTCTCCGCGTCGCTTCTTTCAGTACACTCGGTTTTCCTTTCCCTCATCGCTTTAGTGGCTGTAGATGGCAGCGCGTAGAACAACGCATTTCTTCCGCTCTCGTCTTTGAGATTCGGATTGGCGCCATTGGCGACCAAGAATTGGACTGCTCTTAATCTTCCCCACAGAGCCGCCTCCATTAAGGGCGTCCTCTTTTTTTTTGTTGACATTATTCAAGTCCCCACCTTTCTCGCAAAGGAATCGCATCTCAAAGTGTCCTTCTATTGCGGCAAAGGAAATGCAATTCTCCCCATGTATATTTGTTGCCGCGATGAAAGGGTCCTGATATGTTTTGGTGAGGTCCTCAACGCCCTCGACATCATCATTGATGCAAAAGGAAAAGAATATGCTGAGTCTCCATGTACGGTTCTCCCAGGGATCTTCATCATTTTCATCTGGGTCTGGCATCCCTTGGGCTCTTTCAGAGTCATGAACAGTGAGATTGTCGAGTTGCTCTTGCATCTCTTCCACGTCGTTAGCATCCGTTACGGTGGCTTCTTTCTGATCATATGACCCTTCATCCTCGTCGTCTTCAAGTCCTATCACATCCACTATAACGAATCACCCATTTTTCTTGTCGAGCTCGTAGGCACACTCGGCTTTTGCCGGATCTTCATATGGATAGCACATCTGATACCGGCGCGAGCCGCGTTCTTCAAGGCGGCCTCGATCACAGTGAGATTGACGCGTTTGACGTGTCCAAGGGCGATCAGCGACCCCATGACAATGTATGCGGAAACAGTACGGGCAGTAAACTCGGACATCATGATCATTCCAATCGAGAACAAGGGCGAGTGGCACACAGCGACCGTTGTTATTGAGTAGTCCTTTTGGAAGGGACGACGTATCAGGCGGCATCGTGGTCGGGGAGTACTCAAATACCCTGGGGTGAAATGTGACCAAGTAAATTTTCAATTATCTTTGAATGCATCAAGTGAATGAAGTTGAATGTTTGAAGGTGTGAGCTTTGGACGGTGAGGGGTGGTGCTCCGCTGACCCGAGCCTTGTCACGCACGTTATCATGCCCTGAAAAATGATTACTCCATTTAGATGGCTGAGATGGAAATTGGCTTTCGTCACATTCGACATGTGATGATGTTGAAACCACAATGTGAATATATTCAGCCTACCCACTGCTACCGAAATTAAATCATATTTTTTGTGATTATTACGTACGGCCTACTCGGTGTGTCTGGAGCACAGATCTCATTTCACTATTCAGGCATATTACGAGCTACGCGATCGGGAGTGCGCATTCCACTTTTGGTAATCAGTTTGGTAATGCGATCATAGCCTTTTCTAGCCTCTATGGATGTCTATGATCAGAACTGTGATATTGTTGGACAAGCACAGTATGCTGTCACACTTCAAGCAGTACTAGGTGACTTGGAAAATCAGTAATCCGACCTCGTCCAATTTAAAGTAGCTATGCCGGGCCAGAGTAGGGAGCGTTTGATATCGTGCAGGCCGGAAGAAACTTTAGCTTACAATCTTACGATGGTGAGCTTCTGGGAGCAGAGGAGTGTCACAACAAAATTTTGTTTCATAATTGAGAAGCTAACTAAGAACAGACACGAGGCTGTTGTATCAAGAAAAGAATACAATACTTGTGCGCGATAGAGAGTGTCCAAATATTTTACCCCAAAGAACAACTTTGTCCAAAACGTAGGATTCGCCATACAGTCTGGCTCGGCCGATAAAACCACCCCACCCCACAGCTAGTACCCTTCTCACGCATTCAGTTTTGCGTTAACAAACTGCAATGCAGCTTGTCCGTAGATGGAGCCGTATTGCTGATGGTGGGCGGCGTCATTTCCGTTGCAACAGTACGGGTCTTGGGAATCACAGTAGGATTGGATCTTGCTGGCAGAAGGGCAAGAAAATCCGGCCGGACGTGGATCAAACTAGGAGTAATGTTAGCATCAAACGTAGTCTTCCTTTTCAAAATAATGGTACTGGGAGAAACGAAGAGAGAGGCCACAACCATATACCCGACTGGGTGTACGTCGCAGTAGGAATAAATACTATGGAACCGTGACTTACGCCTTTCGCCCTGCATGTGCCAACTTCATATGGCAGACCATAGATGTACCGAGGGTCTCCCATGAAGATTGCTGCCTTGACCATGTTCACCGCAGAGGCAGAGAGGAGAACGGCGGTGTTGGAGAGGCCCTGGTTGGGGTCGCCTCCTCCACAGAAAGCGTTGTCGAAGATTTGGCCGCCCTGCATTCAAATCATCAGATAATGTTGTATTTATCTTGGAGACCAAATTCGGCTGTGTGTAAAATCGGGAATGGAGCACTATCCACTTACCTGGGAATACCCAACCAAAACAAGCTTGGTGGTAGGGCACCGGCTATTGTACGAGTTCACCGCAGAGGCAACAGCATTCGTACCGGTCACCACAGAGTTGGCATAGCTGATACCGCCACAGCTGCTCTGACCGCCACATGCAGGATAGGTGATGGCCTCAGAAGTAGCACCTGGGTGCGCATTGAGGATCAGGTTGACAACAGTGCCTGCCGAGCCGTACCCGGGAGATACAGTCGTTTCTCGGGCACCAAAGACATGGATAGCCGGGCAACTCTGTCTTGTCACTAACCCAGCAACCGAACCCTGTGCGAACAGGAAGGATAAGATGACGCTGAGCTTATACATGACGATTGTGTTGTCTCGGAAAGAAGGCAGTGAGTGTTTGTGTGTTTGTTGTGACAAAAGTAGTGCGAAAAGATCCAAGAACTTGAAGTTGCAGATGTTGATATTTATACATATACTATTGAAAATAGTAGCACTCGGGCCTTTTAGGGTAAAGTTTCGGCTATGTTGATTCATCTCCTCGTCGCTTCTACTTCCCAATACCTGCCCATCCGTTCCAAACACGGTCCGCGATGCCGGGTGTCCGGACCAAAGGAAACCAACCCAACCATCTCATCACGACAACAAGTTTATGGAGTTGAAAGCCGGGTAAATACAAAAACCAGTTGTCTGGAAAGTCTGGATGATCTCACCGACATGTCAGGACACTCTACGCTTGCCGCCTTCCGAATACGGACAAGGATAACCCCTGGTAGTCCCACCATCACGGGCTAGAACCTCGGGACGCCGGTCCTTGTACACGCAGGGACACGGCAATCGTGCCACGAGGCTATTTAGGCAGATTTACTCCGCAGTATATTTAAGCTACTAAGATCACATTGCCGAAGCAAATGCCAATGTGATCCTCATTGGTTCCCACCAGCGGGGCGTGTCCCTCCGCGGGTCGACCCTAGATCATCTGCGGCATGAATGCCGACGTTCCGAGGACCGATCCAGTAATGATCACCCCTGATGTTTTGTGTTTAGTTCGCCCGGCACGGACTTAATAGATGGAAAACTCGGTGCGTCATTCTGGAACCTGCAATTTCCAATAATCTATTCGTTGTGGACGGGTATTAGGCTAAATGTACTTTCGTCCATGACGCGAATTCCCGTCTTTTCCTCCAACTTCTTGTCATGTGGATTAAGATTCAGGTGAGTCCTCTTTTCGTTTTGGTGGACGGTGGAAAGGAAGGTGTATTGGTGCATTAATTCATCCCAAGCGATTTAAGTGGGCTATGTAAAATAGGGGGAAATGGTGCCATCAGACCTCAGGTAGTCCCACTCGTATAGTCCCACTCATATAGAGAAAGCTATATAAGTCGTCCGCCATGTCTCTCAAACACTGAGAATCACCCCTCTCCATGTCAAAGCATTCGGAATATTCGTCAGAATATCCACCATTGCCGTCGCCATGTTCTCGTTCTCAAAGCTTGTCCTTTGCCTCTCTGCGGTCACCGCAGTTCTCTCCCTCCCTTTCAACGACACTGAGGTACCCGACCTCAACGAGCTCCTTCCGCGTGCTGGCACCCCAAGCAGTACCGGGTACAGCAACGGATACTACTACTCCTTCTGGACCGACGGTGGCGGCACCGTCACTTACACCAACGGCGCTGCTGGTGCGTACAGCGTTTCCTGGAAGAACAGCGGCAACTTTGTTGGAGGAAAGGGATGGAACCCCGGAACTGCCAGGACTATCACATACTCTGGCACCTTCAGCCCGAGCGGCAACGGTTACCTCGCCGTCTATGGCTGGACTACAAGCCCTCTCATCGAGTACTACGTGGTCGAGTCGTACGGCACGTACAACCCGTCCTCTGCCGCCACCAAGATCGGCTCCGTCACCACTGACGGCGGCACATACGATATTCTCAAGACCACTCGAGTCAACCAGCCTTCGATTAGCGGCACAGCCACGTTTGAACAATACTGGTCCGTTCGCACTTCCAAGCGCGTTGGAGGCTCCGTCAATATGGCAAATCATTTCAACGCTTGGTCTAAGCTTGGCTTGAAGTTGGGAACCCACAACTATCAGGTTGTCGCCACGGAGGGATATCAGAGCAGCGGCTCATCTTCCATCACCGTGAAATAGTGCTGTTCAAAAATGTTGGAATCAGGAGGATTGGGGACTGGTGGATAAATTCAATTCAAATTGATGGGAAATTGTACATAGTCAAGAGGTTGTTGTTTCATGATTTTGAAGTGGCCAGTAGACTAGTCAGTCTAATTGCTGTCGTTACCATAAATGTTTGCTTTTATTCACGCATCTCTGTGCTACTTGCGTATGCTAATATTGAAGAACGTGACCAATGTACTGGGAAGGCCTGATACGTTAACCTGAACGCCCAACTCTATCCCAAGAGGAACCGCGAAAGATAGAACGAGGCCCGGGTTTTCTCATCCGTTTTGGAACCGGCTGCTCCCACTGAACATCAACAACCTTGGCTGATGTCCGATCAGAGGGCCAAGAACTGTTGTAACTGACAACGAGCAGCTTCACAACCGTCCTCATCTCATTGAATCGCTTTTCGAGTCTTTGGAGTAGCTCCATGAGCTTTCCAGAGTCCCCTTCATTCTTGGATACATCCTCGGCCTCAACGATAACGAAACATGAGCTGAGATGTCCGAGGATCCAGCACAATAGGTTTAGCCACTCATCTTCGCTATGCGAAGCAGATAGTTTGGTTATACTCAGGTTTTCGGAACCCGAGCTCATTAGATCTGGAGCCAGCTTCATCAATTGGAATGCTAAGTTCCGCAGCACCTCTCCCGTGCAAGCCATGTCGCCTTCGTCAATATTGGTAGCCGAGAGGTACCATATGACTTGTTCAGTCCGTGGTCGCAACAGCCCGATAACTTCCGTGGCTATCTCTTTGACTTGGGCCTGTGCTCTTGGCTGGGTTCGCAGAACGAGCAAGGAGGATTGGGGACTGGTGATCCATTGTCCTATGATCTGCAGAATATGAAGTGTGCCTTGGTTCCGGCTTCGCCATGTAGATGATCTTCGAATGATTGATCTATGCCGCTGAAGAGATTCCTCTGGTGACCTATTGGGCCTCATGGTGTCTAGCATATCCTTGAGATGCATTTCCCCGATACGAGGCTTCATGTACCTCACATCTACATGAATCTGATCAATTTTCTGCGAGCTAGCTGAGATAATTGTCAGCATTTCAGTCTCAGTTCATAGTAAGGGCACCGTACTGCTCCAAGACTGAAGGACTTTTCCTACAGCGACAGTGAGATCTGCATGCGAAGCCTCGAACCTGGTCTGCATCTCCTGCAATCTGGTCTCCATTGCAATCATTCTCTGACTCTGGTCATGCAGAGAAACACTGATTTCGCGGACCTCGGCCTTGACTAAAATACCAGCCAGATCGTCGATGGTCTTGGCGCACTGCTCAATCTGTTCAACGGTGTCTTTGTAACGTAGTTCGAATGGCTTGAATAGTGCAGTGAGAGCACGGCCAGCCGGGCCAACATTGTACCACTTTATAGCCTGTTTTAGAAACAATATTATGTGCGCGTATAAACTCGCAATGGCGTCTTTCATGTCTTTGGTGCGGTATAGTTCAGCGCTTAGCTTCGCTCGTGGCAGCACATCAGCGATCATCGTCAGTGCCCTTGAGAATTGCACAACAAGATTTCCATGGTTAATGACGCCCTGTTGATCGTCAGTATGAAACTCCAAGTTTTTTGGGTGTGCATTATCGAGATTCATCTGTCGCTCACTCACCATCAATACGAACTTGATCATTCCCCAAACTAGAGAGACGTATTCGGGATGGTGTTGTGACAGAGTGTCTAGTATCTTCCCATAGTACAAAACTCTGACCGAGAGTCCCTGGACCCATTTCGCGAGGCCTTTTTTGACCTAGGATGATTTGAGGTATTTGTTTTCCACATCTTTCGTGGTCTCGACCAACTCATCCATGGAAGTCGCCTTGACTGTCTTCAGCCAAGCAAGAGCCTTGGCGTTACCCGTAAATTCCACTTCCAGGTAGCGGAAAGCGTCGCAGAATGCCTCACCGGCGACGTCGTGGCTTCTAATAGACTTAGCAAGCACCGCGATTTTCGTTATTCGCGCAGACTACATACGGCTTAGCCAACGATAGCGCGAAGGGTTTGCAAAATAATGCCATATCGATTTCGTAATTTAGGTCAGTTCTCTGTATCCATGTGTCTGTAGGTTCTGAGATAAGAGTCCCTACCGGAAGTGAGGGAAAGCTTTGCAAAGACGGCAATCCCCAGAGTTGGAACTGAAATCTGCCCTATGAGGCTGAGCTTGGGGCTGAGCTGGAGGCCACAGATGCTTCCTGCAGTCAACATGCAGTTAACAGGGATGAGCACAAGGCAGCCCAGGATGCCAGCCAATGACTTTGGAGTATAGCTGCCACGGCCCATTTTAACTCTGCCTGCTCTGGTAAACATTCTCACCTCATCCATCATTGACTCACCTTGGCCCGTATCCTGGGAACCATCGGCAGCGTGACTTTCTACGGCTGCTACTTCTGTTCCGGTCTAAGATACAATCCCATCCCGCGCGACATACGTGGACGGACTGCCTCGACCACGACTTGTTGTAGAATCCCACAGACCTCCACCGATGGCGGCCAACATGCAGGATATAACTCAGGCCGGCCAGATGATGCATCGGCGACTAATGCGCGAATCCAACGCCAGCCAGGTGCATGAGATCGTCCACCAAAGCGTGGTCCAAGACACACACAACTTTACCCGCCTCTCCTGGCAGGCCAACGTCCCTTTCAGTGATCGCGTGAGAATGAGGATGAACCTGTATGTTCTCCTCTTGCTTCTTTTTTGCCACACTCGCGACGGACCATGGGCGACGGGCGACGTAAAGCTCCATTAGAATTCTGACCAACTTACTAATAGTATCTCTAATATTACCCTCGCTACGAATGAAGTCGACACCATACTGGCAGCCCGTTATAGCAGCAAGTTTGAGCGACATTTATTTCATATGTCTCCCACAAAGGTGTGCTCCATCACTCCTGCCAGCCTGTACCGCGTATCATCCGAGGCTCTGGTGCTAACCTATGTTACAGGAAGCGTATGACCAATCAATAGCGAATAGGATTATGGAGTTCTACAAGAAGCCCCAACTCGGCAAAGACGGCCTCAAATTCGATTCGCAGCTAAATGTCATCAACATCGGGACCTACGATCCGGATGAAGAGGTCCCTCGCGACAACCCCCTCATGACTCCACTCCGTCCTCGGCTCGAACCCTCCCCGAGTCCTCCCCCAGAAATTCCCCCAGCTGCAGTCAGTCTGAGTCTTGCCTCTCTCGACGATGGCGACAAGTCTAATCGCTAGAAGGTCCGTCCCGGTTCGGGGGATGCCATCTTGGTCGGCTATCTCGACAACGGACGCGACCCCGAGATCGCCCGTGTCGCCGCTCGTCAGGTCCTACCCTTGGACAAAGACTCCTCGGACGACGAATCCAGTCTTGATGGACCCCCCGAAGAAGTTGCCATGACCAGTCCGGCGCCACAGAACGTCGCCGTAGTTACACGACCACCCTGGGCTACGTATCCGGCTGATAAATACAAATCACGCCTACAAAGGCATCTTCAATCTCTGGAATTCAAAAGGATTTAGTACTAACTCTCGACAGTACACGACCGACTAGGAACTCCGGTCTCAATAGCAATTACACAAAGAGTTCCGTAAGAACCCTACAAGTCGGCAACAGCAAGACCATCATACAGCGGCCGCATGCGATGCTCTCCACATCCTCGAAGTTCACTAAACACATGCCTGAGTTAATGGAGGCATCCAAAAAGAATATATCTCAGCACCGAATGTACACCATTTCGGACGACTATACCGACAGCGGGAGGGTTCGAAAGAATCGACTTTGTTCTCTTTCTTCACAGAACGCTGGAGGAAGAAGAGCGCGACCTTAGTTTTGACGTCAGTAACGGAAAGTGAGATAGGATGTCTAATCCCCTGGGTGTAGCGATTTGGAGAAGCATATAAAAGCCTATAAGTAAAACAAACAATCAATCTCAAACTATACCATTCACCCAGAAGCCAAAATACGTGGGTAACAGACACAATTATATGCAACAAGGTTTTTTTTACTGCGAATTCCATACATATTTCCCAGCTCATCAAATATCATTCTAGCCGTATACCTGTTGCCCGTGCATAGTCTCCTGCCTTGTTCCCCTGTGTCTTTTCAACGTACGACTCAAACTCATCTACTACCCGAATTGTCTGGTCCAGATGTGTATATCCCAAGGGCTTGTTGCGGAAACGAGCCAGTTGCCTCGCGGCCGTGATCGCATTCCGGATTTGGCGGCCATTCAGCTTCTCTTTTGCCAATACATCGATCTTATCCTTCAACTCTTCAATGTTGACGTCCTCCCCTTCCTCAAGCACTGTTGTGTGAGAAAATCGGGTATCTGCACTCGAATCTTTCTTCTCCAGAAGTCTGAAGAAGTTGTTCCAAATCTGCCATCTTCCCTTCTCGTCAAGTGGGGGGTAGTGCATTGCAAGTTGTACGCGGGACTTGAAAGCTTCGTCGAATATACCCACTGTTGCAGAGTTAATTTAGCAGCTTGCAAATGGAGACCATGCAAGAAAGGAAATGTCTGCGGGAGTTAATAATACATACCACGATTGGATGTGAGAATCAGAATCCCTTCGTAATACTCGAGGACGCGGATAAAAACGGAGACCAGGGCGTTTCGCTGCAGATCAGTCTTCTCACGTTCTTCGAGGAACACGTCACTCTCATCCAGGAGAACGACTATTTGACTCAGTTGCTGTTGCTAAATAGTCGGAGTTGAAAGGATACTCACCAGCTTTCCAGATTTTTCCGATGTATAGAGCCGAGTCTAAATACCGCTCTACACTCTCGGGATCTGTTCCAATATCACCACAAGTGACACGATATAGCGGCCTCTCGGCTAACTCTGCCACGCTCTCTGCGGTTAGTGTCTTTCCGGTACCCGGACCACCATGAAGAAGAATGATTAGTCCCTTCCCCTTTCCTTCAATCATGTCGGGAGACGCCGTCGAAGATAAGTGAATGCGAACCATGGCCTCGACGAGCTCTTTCTTGTGTGGATCCAAAACCAATTGCTCAAACGCCTTCTTGTTCCATTGTATCTCATGGAGGTGTCTGATGTAGAGGGTCCCTAAACGAAGCAAGTATTAGTTTCTCGGCCACTCCGTCAAAATCCCAGTAATTCCCTAACTCCACTTCTTGTCATGTAATCCATAACCCCGGACTTTGGCGGGAAGTAGCAGAAGGAAAGGGTCTTCCGGCGGAACTTCCTGATCCATAGACTCCTTATCGAGGTCACTTTCTGGGCGGATTTCTTCATTTTGATTGAGCCCATGAAGTTCCCGATACGTTTCCATATCTATCATATATCTTGCGTTGGACTGGATTTATTAGCGACGGCATACGTTCCCAACGTCAAGGATTTATGAATCTCACAACTTGAATGTCGAATGATGCCTTTGGCGCATCATAACCAACGAAATGTCCTTTTCGACACGCCCAAAACATGGCTCCACGATTCCGCAGAGTTGTTTCCAACTCCTTGGTGGAATCGAACTTTAAGGGGTAGATAGGCAGTGACGTGATTGGTATAGACCCACGGGCATTGAAAGGCCATTGGACAGTGAGACGGCTTTCCACTTTGTAAAACCTCCCATCAAAAGCCCAACTGTAACACGTCAAACTCGGGTAGGTCGTTTGATGGAAAGTGCATTTCGTCGAGACGCATGCGACAGCGTGTCCTTCTTCGAATCGAACCAGAATGTCGTTCGACTTGAATAGTTTTGCCAGGTGCTTCTCGTTTACGAGACCTTGGGAGAATAATTCATCTGCCTCTTCATATTCAAGTCCAGAAGTCTCTGTGATATACCGAATCAACTGCTCAACACAACTCAGGCCACTTTTGTTAAGAAAGTTCTGTGCGATGCTCATGAGTAGGGTGGCGTTCTGGTATAACTGTAAATACGGTGGACTAAAATTCGTCTGCCATCCCGCAAACGTAACGTCGTGTACTGATAGCGTGTCCATAGCCCTCGCCAACTCCCTTGATGGTATAAGATCTTCGCCATATGAGGGAGCAAAATCGGAGTCGTTTGGGAGGATATAGAAGTAGGATCGGACATTGGGAGGGAGTCGTGGATGGATTGGTTGCGGAAGTCGTTCAAATAATTCTTCGCATTGGGCGTGGAAGTTGAAGCAATCGTAACGCCGTCGGATGATTAGGTTGACATCGTCATAAGTCTCCAAGTACTCATCGATATCATCAGGAAGCTCCACTTGGCCACGCAAAGCGCTCGCACGACTGTCGCCCTTAAACAACCGTGGCTGATCGAGATACACGGTCTCACTATTGTGTCCCCCATGCCCCGATAGAGCAGAATCACACCGTACCGCATGAATGACCATTGTCTTCAACGTCGTTGGAGGGATGATGTCCATGGTTCTCTCTCGTGTCGGCGGCTCTTCGTCTTCTGGAGAAAGCCCCATTTCCGGGGAATCGAGTCGTCGGCGCTTCCTGCCGACGTGAGGATGCTGAGATTCATGGTCCTCATTCTCCGTTAACGCTGCAAGTTGGTCCATGGTCGGATTTTGGCGTTATTAACCTGTGCCAGTGACGGCTGGAGGGGATGTTTGATTGAAGAAAGATGCGCGTCGGATGATTGAGAAAAGGGCTCATGGACGCGTGGCGCAGCTGGGCAGTCAGCCTTACAAGAGAGGTAGCCTTGCTGGGTGGTGTTGGGCCGCAACTGGGTTATTATTCAGTATAACGATATCACCAATATCGTGGTATGCATCGAATTTCCGTTGGAAGTTGGAACACAGCGAAATGCCAGTCATCCAAGCTTGTTGCCAGGCGAGGAGATAATGTACTTGCCTCTCAAACACTCTATTGCTAGCTAAAAAGGATGAGGCAGTTTAAGCCACTTTATTAAAAGAGCATAATAATCTCAAATTCGCCAGAGGACTTCCTTCTTCCTTCTAGGAGAGTCGTCGATAACGTGTTTGGTTCTACCTGCGCAAGGCCTCTCTCAGGTTCCAGACCTCTCCTCGTGCGTTATCTTCCGCCCACTCAGTGACAAGACTGGTGGCGAGTTCGTGGTCGCATAGTGTCACAGCGGACTCAAAGTCGAGCAGCTCAACATGCTTCGCGCGCTGGTCCTGAGATCGCGGCGCCAAGCGCTCCATGGTCTCGAGGTAAATGTCCCGCAGCAGCGTCTGCTCATATTCAAGCAGGTGGATCCAGTAGAGTTCCGTCTTCCCCTGGTTATCCAGCCGGGGCTCATCGTCGCTAGACTCTATATCTGATTCTGAATCGCTGCCGTAGTCGTCCGCCTGCACCGGAAGTAGTCGCTTTCGTCCACGCAGAAACTTGGGAATATCACGGGCACGCCACATCGGCACGGCAGAGACGCACTCCCAGTCAACGATGGCGGCGAGCGCGCCACTGTCACTCACGAGGATGTTGTTATCTGACAAGTCATGATGCCACAGCACCGTCTCCTCCCTCGTCGAAGGCGGGAAGAATTTCGGTAGCAGGCGGCAGAGCTTCTGAGCGCAGGCAAGAGACCGCACCGCAACTTGGCGATCCTCGTCATGCGGTGTCTCCTTGATGATACGCTCCTGTTCACTCAGCATAACATTGAGACGAGCGAGGAGCCAGTCGTGGCTGGATTCGAAGGGGCCGGAGATCTTATCCAGCTGCTTCTGAGGGCCCCAGAAGAATACCGGAGAGACCATGGGGCCAATGCGGAAAATGCCCTTGTCGTTGACGGGGGGCGTCGCCTTCGTTGGGCTTCCCACCTCCTGTGGCGGCGAATCCGTCATCACAACGCTATCCCGGTCCGCCTCGAGTATGTTGCCGAGTGAGGTGAAGCGGTTGGCCGGGCGGAGTAGCTCTGCCTGGAATTGAGCAACTGTGCGGACGAGTGCGGCCTTTGCGTCGATGGACATGGAACGCCATTGCTGTCGCAGAGGCTTCCCGGGCATGCGCTCCATGATGATCCACTCGAAGCCGACGTCTGGGCGGAGGTTTGAATCGAAGGCGTAGATGCGAGGCACCGGCACCGACGTACGCTCTTGCACGAAGCGGATTGTTGCCGCCTCGCTTTCGGTCTTGTAGCGGGGGCAGACGGGCAGTGAAGCGCGAAAGAGAAGCGTAGTCGTCGGGGACTTGTCGGAGCGGTCATGGGAATCACCATCATGGCCTCGGGCAGGACGTATCGTATAGAGCTTGTTGAAGGCGCCTTGGGCAAACGGCTTGATGGTCACATCCTCGCCAGCAAAGGGTAGGGCGGTTTGTTGGCGGATGATGCGCTGGAGAGTGTCGAGTTCAGGCTCCGCTCGCCAGTGTGGCTCGAGTCCAAACAGTTTGTTCACCCACTCCAAAAGAGAGGCCTTCAGAAGAGCGGGCCCTGGAAGAGCAGGCCCTGGAAGAGCAGGCCCTGGAAGAGCAGGCCCCAGAACTAAGAGGTCCATCACAGCAGCTTCAAGTAGCCCTGGCGCTTCTGTTGGGGTGGGACGTTTTCTGACTGTATGGTGTCGTTGAAGGGGTCGAAAGTTGAAGGTGGTCAAAGGAATCGATGGCCAAATGGCCCGATAGCCCGATGGCTTCGGTATTCGACGGTCTCGATGGTTTCGTGGAGAATGGATGCGACGACGCTTTGGCGGGATGACGTTTTGGTGGGGGGACTGGTTTCAAGAGTCGTGAATTCCAAAAATAGAAGGCGGTGAGTTTAAGTCGTCCCGCCTGCCTGGGCACGTGACTCTCGGGTCTGACAGCCTCGTGGAATCACAGGGACAATTCTAGGACCTGATGAACTGTATGATGATGACTAGGCTAACTATGCGTGACAGACGGTGTGTCGCAGGGACAATCACTTCTGTCCTGGAAGTTATGCCTAGCATCTCAGGCGTAAAGCGGGACAAGTCGGAACAGTTCACCAACACAACCTGAGTTGGGAGCTAGGTGCCTTTTGCACATCAAATAAACGATGACGATTTGGGCTGATTGAAGACCACCTTGATAACGTCATTATGACTGATGGATTGATTGTGTTGTTGGTCTTCTTGACCGGCGAAGGTCGGGACGGGACACCCTCCCTTCGACCGAGACATTTAGTGTCACCACACCGGCGGTTTGTAAATTGCAGGCCTCATTTTCATATTAGCCAATGCTATCGAATTGCGAGCCTCACTTTCAACTTGTCCATTGCTAGCGTAACTGCCGAGCCTCACTTTCATCACGCCGCTGACTGCATCATCCCGGCCCGACAACGAGCAACTGTGCCTTCTCTCTTCCTTGGGTTCGACCGGTCTTAAATAGGCTCGGGTCTCAGCATGTGTCCCCGCCCACCTCTTTGCTCCTGTCGAATAAACCGAAAACTCCATACACTCTTCATTCAACTACTATGGGCCTCCAAGACCTCATCGAAGACTTCATTGACTCCGTCCCAGACGAAAAACTCAGGGCGTTACGCGCAGCGGGAAGGACAATTAAAAAAGATGCCAACCTCAGGCTTGACATGCAAGCGGTGAGAAACCGTCAGCTCCTTTAACTAGGTACCTTAAGCAGTTGAGGTACAAGCTCCACATAAGAGAGCCATTCGCTGATACTTCACCCTTCCTGTCTCAGATTACCCATGATGGTCGCTACAACCTGCAAGTCCAAGTTAACAATAAACCAAAACACACCTCGCTGAGAGAATTTGCCCCGAATTCCGTTACAGGCGCCGTCTTGGTTCAAGAAGGCGCCGAGCCGAGCGATATCAAAGAAGCGCTGAAAGGCAGCATTGACCTCAATGCCGGCCGGAATGAGCGGCCGTCGGTCAATGTCGACCGTCGTGTCGTCGAAGAGGAGGAAGTCGATGAAAATGCCAGTACCCGTGAATGGGCCATGCGGAACCAAGATGACGCCGAACCTATCGAGGTTAGGAACTTGGATGCCATTGGTGCGGACGGGTTTCTCTGAAAGGAGAGGGCGTTGCTGCTGGTTTTGACGGCCCCTTTCTCACACTCCAAGACGGCACGAGTCGATTAGGTGAACTTTGAATGTATTTTGGCTCCAAGACAGAGGCGTTTCTCTGACTAGCTACAATTGTTATTTTGGAAACTGGTGCACTTTATATGAGAACCCGCAATGAAAATGTTCAGTTGTTCAAAGAGCACATGACGGAGGCCAGCATTCGACAAATCTGCCGCGTGACCTCCTTGAGATACCTAGATATAATGAAACGTAAAGTTCCAACTGACTAAATGGCTCCACTCTATGCCAGCCCCTCGATCAATTTCCATAGACCTCCCGCGATGGCAATGGCGACAGCAATAATGCTAGGCGCAAACTTAGCTCCTTCCGCCCAGTCCGGCCTGTGCGAGCTGCCTGAGTCCCTTGTTGTCTCCGAAGCATGCCAACGTTCCCGGATCAGCCCAAATGGCTGCCCATTGACCTTGAAGGCCAGCGCGCCATGCATGAGGTTGAGCATCACTTCCACCTTCATGGACTTGCCTGGCTTGCCCTTGAATTCGCTCTGCTCGAGAGCCTATGGACCAAGTGTCAGCAAGCGCATCCCCTAGTTATTGTTCACTTTACACACCAGTTCAAGCGTGCTGCTGAGGTCGATGACTTGCTGGCACCGGCCCTTCCAATGGTTCAGCTCACCTGTCCGCTTGCCCAGCTTCAGCCAGCTCGAAGAGGGTCGCTTTTCGCGGTTTGTCACCAAGGTGACCTTGGACGCAAGCTTGCCTCTATCATCAAACGACAGTCGCAACTTGAACGACTTCTTGTCTGGCACCGAATAGACGGTGCCTTCCTCCACCAGGACACGCATGTCCTCCGTCTTGCCATCCACCACCACCCCGTACGCGGCCCCGGCCTTGCAGGACCAAAAGGCCCGGTTCTGTTCCTTGAGAAGTTGCTCTTGCACCAGGCCCTTGCAGACGGCCAGGTGCCGCTTTTTGGTGGGGATGAAATTGAGCTTGTCCCTAGTGGCGAAGGCCTTGCTGTTCTCGTGCAGGTAATCCTCTATGTAATCCGATGAGCCCAGTCCACCAGCCAGGATGCCGTGGCTGAGTTCAAGCTGCGGGTCGTCGACGTGCTTGGCTTGTTCGTCCTCGAGGCGATTCCCTAGTTCGGCAAACTGCGCTGCAACCTTGACCGCTTCCAATCTGAAGGCGTTTTCAAACAGGTCTTTCTTGTCTACTTCCAGCGTTAACTGATGGCTCTTGCCATCCCAGCCGGAGAAGCTGAATTGGAGCGGAAAGATTCTCTTGCTCAGCGTTGCTCTTTTGGTGCCATATGCGTGCTTGTGCTCGTAGTAGTCGCGGCGATACTCGAGGAATAAGAGGGCACTGTCGACTTGCTCCTTGATCACCTCTTCGGGGTCGTTGTCCCTCGCGATTGACTTGTTGCTTTTGACAGCCTTCTCGAGTTCCGGACGCAAGAGTCTCTTGGCTTCTTTGTCGATGTTTGTCCCACCGGCGTGTTTGCCGCTGCTGTCGATCACAATGCGGGCCTTGCTGGTGTTGCCACCGTCGTATTTGACTTGGCAGATTGTAATGTCCGAAGTGCCTCCCCCGATGTCCGCAACAAGTACGAGATCGCCCTCCTTCACCGTTGTATTACGGTTCTTGGGACTACTCTTCTGTCCTGAATCAGCCAGGAAATGAACCATGGCGGCACTCGCCTCGTCCAACGACAGGAATGACTGTTGGCTTCGGAAGAGTGTGTACCCAGCTCGCTGGATCAGTGATCCAAACGTGATCTGTGTGTGCTCGTCCCACGTGTTTGGGTAGCTGAAGACATACATGACCTCGGCTACGGTCCAATCGACCGCTTTCGTCAGCGCCTCTTTAATGTAATGGCGCAATTTCTCGAGAAAGAAGACGATGCCTTCCTCGTGTCGCTTGTAATCTTCGCCGTCCGGATCTTCGAGTCCGGCCTTGTATAGCTTCCGCACCTCGATGTTTTCGTTGATTCGCTCGAATTCTACCGATGTTGGATCTTCCAGTACGGCTTTTTGTAGCTTCCGTAGCTCGGCGTCCGGGTCGGAGGAGTCCTTGTTGACGGCACGTTCTAGCCAGAAATCTGGATTGAGGACCTCGAATCCCCAGACGCAAGGTTCTCCATCAACCCAAACAACGATTGTAGGCACTTTGGATCGTTCAATGAGGTCCCCTGGGTCGGGTTGTTAGCATCGGTGGATCGTGCACATCAATGTCCAGCATGCCGCCAGGCTCACCTTTGGGGCCAATCCAGTGTTCGAGGTAGTCGACACTATCGACACCCTGCGTCGGCAAGGCCCACGCAACGGATGCTCCTGAAACATATTAGCCGTCAGTCTTAACGGGACATGTAGAGATGGTGGCAAAATCACCTGTCGTGCCAAAGTCGATGCCGACGATGAGATCCGGACGTGGATCTGCTGTACTCTCAGCCATCCTAGAAAACGATGCTGCAATGTCATACAGAGTCAGAAGATATCTCCTGGCGTCGCAGGTTAATGGTGATAGAGTTGGAGCATCCAGGAAGGCGAGGTGCAGCCTGTTTATCTTGGCGTCAACCCTCCCTGATTTCCAACAGGGCGCTCTGCTTGGCCCTCCCACCAGGGATGTCGACACCGAGGGGCTTCAGCGGGGTGGGTTCACGAAAGCCCTGGCGGTAAACGGAAGCCCATTATTGGCAGTGGCTCTCAATAGAAACTCTCCGAGCCTGCGGGCGTGTTACACACGGGTTCTCCGGCCTCAGTCAAGGCGGACCCGACAAGATGAAAGGGCAATCGAGGCTGTCGGGAGTTTTTCAAGAGTCCAATAGCGTGCAGGAGTTAGCGAGAGTACATTGCCTGGTTAGTATTTATTGGTTATCCTCGGAGCTCGTGGCACACACCTGCTGCCTCGGTGTAGCACTGGAGCTATTGTTCTTCCGTTTGCCTTCTGTTTCGGGTAGTGAATCCGACGTGCAACGATACACAGCCTCTGCTGGATACGAAGAAGCCGAGTCCAAGCGGAAGGAAAGACGCCTAACATAGATTGTTGTAATCCAAAGCCCACTCATCACAAACGATTGGTCACCCTTACTCTTCGGGGCCGGTGCGACCAGTCTCATCTCCTTTCTTCCCCATATTGTTGAAACGCAATAACCGCCGGTCTCACCTTGGTTGGTCATCATCTTGCTGATTCCAGTACTTTGAGGAAATCGACGGGGGTCGATTGTCAAGGGGTTGGATGATGTAGTAGGGTCTGTATGGAAATGCCGGGCCACCGGTCTATTATTTTTGCATTACCGCATATGTCGCCTTGACTGCTGCGGCAAAAGTGGAATGAACACTCCGCTAATGCGTAGTGCAACTGAGGCCTATATACTGGATGTGACAGCATAGCTGGTAATACGGTTTATGGATCCAGAATACAGATGTCCGGGGGGCGGCAAAACGAATAAGTGTTGAAGTCGGGGTTAGAGGTGTCAAAATTAAAATACTAAAAAGGGATAGCAAATATAAGAGTCCCAGTATCTTTGAGTCGAATATATCTTAGCATTTGACGCACTAATCGTTCGTCTTAAGCCACGCTAATGCAGATTTTACCAATATGTTGCCCCCCCATCATGTATTCACATGCCGCAATAACCTCGTCGCGGCTAAACCCGAACTCCTTTTCCACCGGCAACTTCAGGCCTTTGGCCACCACGAAGCGAGTGACGTCTTCAAGCTGCTGTTTGGATCCAACCATGATGCCACGGACAACGGCCCCCTTTGACAACGCGAGGGCAGCAACATCTGGCATTTCATCTTGGGCACATGCAGCGAGGAATCCAATCACCGAGATGTTTCCTCCGTACGCCACTGCATCAATGCTCTTTGCGATGGTCCCTGCACCACCATTTTCCAGAATGAAATCGGCTCCCCGACCCTTGGTTATCTTCAACACTTCACTAGACCAATCGGGGGTTTGGTTATAGTTGATGGTGTAGTCCACTCCGTATTGTTCTTTGACATGCCTTCAGCTTGCTGTCAGAGGACGAAGTGATGATGGTGACAGCCCCTGCAGCCTTGGCAAGTACAAGGCCAGTGATAGAAACGCCGCCAGTGCCTGTCATTAGTTAGCCTCAAAGCGTGCAAATTCCAGGATGTCATACCGAGAAAGAGAACTGTCTGTCCTGGTTTTAAGGCAACGTTTCCATACAAAGCATTCCACGCCGTAGCTCCAGTGCAAACCAGAGTTGATGCTTGCGCGTAATCAAGTTGGCTGTCTTCGGGGATCTTGACCAAGGCATCGCTAGGCAATGCTATATATTGCCTGAGTGCGCCATCAACATTTCCTCCAAGACTGTGATTCCAATCCTGGATTGCTCCATACGGCGTGTTCAGGTCGAAAGAGGAGATGACTCTATCATGTGGAGCAAAGCCTTCCACTCGATTGCCAACACTAACCACGTCTCCGGCGAAATCGGAGCAAGGAACCACGTTGCCCTTTACGGTAAATGGGTATTTGCTGGTGGCTACTGCAACATCGCGGTAGTTGAGTGATACCTTTCTGATCTTGATGAGGACTTCGTTGGGGGAGGGGACAGGAATAGGTTCGTCATTGACAACAAGATCGTGAATGGAAGTGCGCTGGGGAAGGCGAAAGACTTTTTGGAGAGCCATATTTGATGTAAGCACTCCGGCGATTTGGGCTTTCATGGATGGCCAGAAGTATTATGTATTAGGGGTTACTCCTGAAGCAATCTTTATATTCGCACATCTCAAGCACCACAAGCATCGTATCTACAACGGATTTTGAAAACTACAATGAAACGAGCGCTGACAAATTCAATCTCGGTCTGGTTGATTTCAAAGCATGCTTCCTATTATAGTGATGGACTGTTTGGTAATGTAGACAGCGTGGAGAAGAAAGTCTGTGGAGACTCTCACTGCGGATGTGGTAAAAACAAGATTTTTGAAATTTCTTTGGGGTTGAAATTATGGCTCCAACGTGTTGGGGGTAAAAAATACGACATTGATGCAGTACATCCAAGCTCAAACACGTTGATTAATCGTGCCCACAATTCTTACAGCTTTCAGACTTGGGGCATTCCTAAGAGAAATACTATGGCCTGTTTTTATTCACAGTAGGGAGAGGGAAATGGCTGGACTTTGAGAATGAACTAAAGCTAACTAACAAGTGGCGTTTGATACTAGACTTAGTAGAGGCTGTAACAAGGCTTCAAATTTGGTGGATTTGGAGCGGTACCCCAATTGGTATTAGACGATTTGATCAATTCATAGCCATCTGTGTTAGCTTACCTCAACCCTGGATTATTGTAATGCATTGTTGCTCTAGTGTATCAGATGGCGTGTCGTTCGGCGGCTTGGTCCAGGGTAAGCATAACGAGCTTACTTGTGACCAGTGAACGGGACGCCACGAGCGGCATGGGTGAGATTGTTAGTCTCAATTTAGCGGGATCGAAGGATTTTTCCTTTATCTCACAGCTAGCGCCGTTCTTCAAGCCGCAGGTTACATCTGAAGTAGCCAGAGTGGTCGTAGAAAGAGCCCGGGAGCTGTCGGGACAAGTCCAGCATCCGATCCTAGATGGCTCCAGATAGAGTGGAACGTGGGGTCGTTGTCGTGCTGAAGCCGCCAAGGCCGTAGTTAAGGAGATCGCACTTCTTTTCGGTGGGTCAATATGCTGAGGCCTGGCAAATTGGGTCCTTGAAACAGATGGCGGCGCATTCCGCCTCGGATCGTTGGTATGGAGAGCGGGTTGTGTCTACCTCGTAACTTGCTGCGAACAGCCCGGCGACGCAGCCACAAATGAGACCTTCTTCAATATTGGTACTTCGCTGGCAAATGAGGGCACAGGCATTCACTCAATATGGACGACACCGTTTACTGGCCACAGAGTAAATTCACCTGGTGCAGGCTGCCCTAACTGAGTATTCCAGCCTTGATCTGCTTGTGTTGGCGATGTTAGCCTAGGCGCTACGCCCAAACTATTAAGTGCCACAGGGCGGACCGCTTTTTAAGTAAATTGACTAGACTATTGGAAGACCAAGCGATTCATACATAGCCCTAGCGAACCCACCTGGGAAATTACGTGGCACTTGTTCCTCCGACTGAAGGGAGAAGGCGATCACCCCTGATCTAAATAGGCTGTGTCTTGATCACGATCTGGAACGTCCAACATTCCCCGCGTAGACCGGGGGAATGCCATCCGTGACGCGGCGTTCTTCTGAGTCTCCTTCACAGTCCCTGGATGCTGAAGCCATTTACCCGGCCTCGCAATTCACTAGGCCCTGGCCACATGGCATCGTCGTCAATGGTGTATGCCCACCCCTTTCCCTCGCCCTCTGCCGGCGCCTATCCGCCTCCTCGACACACTGCGCCACTCGTTTTAGTAACAATTCAGCCAAGTCAGAAGTCTAGACGCTGACCATTTCCCCCTTGACTCCATCCGTAGGGCGAGTAATTGGTGGACGGGCTATTGCATTTTCCTAGGCCCCCCTTGCCAAGGCATCTGTGGATGGACGCCGTGTTCATAGGGGACGGACCCTCGGCCAGCAACGGAAGTCGGTCTTCTTCGATTGAGCTGTGTCTTTGAACTCGATTTCTGTTTCTCGTTGTATTTTTGATTCGCCCTCGTATTCCTTTGCAGCGCGTCTAATATCTTCTCTTCCTTGGTTTTTTTTGGCTGCTCGTATCCGTGGAAACGGGGGTCGCTCGATTCCCCAGCTAACAGACTCACTTATTCCAACGGACGGCAGCGCGGAGGGGATTTTTACTGCTATTTAGGCCACCATGATCTGCACTGGTTCAGCACGAGCCCTGGCTGGCATCATCGCCTCACTCTCTTCACTTCCATCTTCAGTAATCGCCGACGTCCCTCTCTATACCGACCTCCAGTCGTATCAGGATGGAGCGCTCGGCAACAAACCGCTTCAGACCTTCCATTCGGCACCACTCATTGTGGCTCCCATTTACCAGGTCAGCGCACTTGAGCACTACGACGGCGATGATTCCGAATACCTGTTCATGACCGCGTCTTACGCAGGGCGGTTTGGGCCCAGTATCGTCTCAGCCAAAGACCTTAGCCTTATCTGGGGTGATGAGAACTACTTGTTCTCCCAGGCGGCCGAGGCCAGTTGGTTTAAGAACCAATGGGTCATGTCTGTCTATGCCGACCGGGGAGTCCGCATCATAAACCAGCACTACCAGCTGCTTTACTTCGTGCTCCCACAAGGCGACTTGGCCACCCTCAGCGCCGATTCCCACGAAGCATATCTCACGGCCGATGACACTGTCCTCTTGATTGTTTGTCCGGAGATAAACGTGAATTTGACATCGTTCGGTGGACATGAATCTGACCCCGTCCTGAACTGCCACGTCCAAGAGATTGAACCCGTAGGGAACAAGGTGCTCTTCCAGTTTGGGACTCTGGAATTCTTTGACGTTTCCGACACGTACTGGAAATACAAGGGAAAGGGTGTCTATGATCTCAGCACGCCGGCGTTTGACTTTTGTCACATGAACAGCATAGAGAAGGTGCGCATTCCCTTGACGTCTACAGTGAGGTGAATGGGAGTGTGGAGGCTGACGTGACCACACATAGACTCCCGAGGGAGATTTTCTGATTAGTTACCGCCACTTGAGAGCCATTATTCTTGTCGATGGCAGGACGAGGGAGGTTAAATGGGTAATGGGCGGCAAGAGAAACCAGTTCAACGGCATTTCCCAGGGCAACAAGTCGGCCACCTTTTACTGGCAGCACCAGCCGCGCATGACTGGCAAAAACCGAATGCTCCTTTTTGACAACGCCGGCCTCAACAACGGCTATTGTCCGAACCGCACATGCTCCCGCGGACTGGAGCTTGAGTTCGATCCTGTCAAGAAGACGGTCTGGGTCGTCAACGAATACTACCACCCGCAGGACATCATGAGCAGTTCAAGAGGAGGAGCGCAGCGACTGGCCAATGGGAATACCCTCATCGCCTGGGGCCAGAACGCCATGTTCACCGAGCACACACCAGAGGGGGAGATCGTCTTGGATTTCCAGCGAGGCCGAGTCGGCCATCACGACCACGGAAGCCCACCCCTCATCGCCTACAGAGCCTTCAAGGGTCCGTGGGAGGGAAAGCCAACGTGGGGACCTAACATTTCAGCCACTGTCGAGGTTGAGGGAGGACCAAAGAAGATCTTTGTCTCGTGGAATGGAGCCACTGATGTCGACAAATGGGTGTTGGTAAGTGGCTAATATCGTTACGTTGAAGATCCAGAGCTGACTTATTCTAGCTTCAATCCGACGACGTGTCCAAACTCACAGGATCCGGCACTATTGTCGCCCAATCTGCCCGTCTGGGTTTCGAGACTCCATTCGACATTCCACTCAAAACAACATTCGCCCGAGTCGCTGCGATTGATATCAACGGCAAGATCATTGGATCTACTCCAGCGGTTGAAATCCACACTGGGACGCTACTCATGCTCGACTACGATATTACCGACCTCAAAATCGAAGAAGCCGATTCCGAATTAACCGAACCAGCAGAGCCAACCGAAGTGGCAGACGCTGTGATCATGACCCATACACCCGCACCTGCACCTGCACCAACGGCTGCCCCATCGCCATCGCTCAACAATGGTTCGCAGTGGGTTAATGACACTGGCTCCCCCTTGACCTTTTTCTACTTTGGAGCTGGTGTTATCTTTGTACTTGCATTGTAAGCTTCCCGTCAATCTGGCAGCCTCCAACTCCCAAAGCGCCTCGGTAGTCGTTACTGACAATGTTGCAGAGCATATATCTTGTCTGTTGAAAAGCGTCAACGATTCGTTGAACTTCGGCGATTGGTCCCCTGGAAATTTGGAATTCCAGGTGTGAAGGCAGGATATCAACCGGCAGATCCCAAGGAAGCAAAAGGCGCCTAATATTCTGTGGGCTCTTGTACGGACAGTGGCGTGGATATGTAGGTCGGCGTAAATATGCGGGACGGCGTTACGAGCACATGTATATAACAACGTGTAAGGCTTTAATACCAGCTGGATCGAGCGATACCATAATGTTGAAATTTATAATTTACGACTCAATCCATCGTCCGTCTTCTCAATTTGGGGGCGGTTCCGCGAAGGGCACAGCCGATGCAAGTCGATTACATAGGTATACGAGAAATCCAGTATCTTACAACTAGTTTTTAAACTTATTTAATTGAGCTTATGAAGAATCTCAAGACACGTCAAATTTGTCATCGTCTTCATCTGTAAGACGCCAGCTCTAGACAGGTATACCAAGAGCCTTCACGTGAGTCTATAATCAGTAGGCTAGAAAATTAATTTGATGCAGCAGTGGACCAAAGACCGAAACGCTATGCGGTCGTTTGTTCTGTTCTGGTCGATAGCTGCGCGATGATACGCTTCTAATTCTACACAAATGTGAGACAGAACACTTTAACCTACTTGATTAGTTTGCATCACCTGGCGTCCGATGTGCTCAGAGGACATGGTGATAAGAGTCGAGAAGTATAGTGAAGGAATCGACCCCGCTTCCACATTCATATCGACGCCATTGTCCAGGCCAGTCCAGGCCCAAGCCACGACGCCATCAACGACGTCGACCGTCCCATTCATTGGCTGAGAGTCTTTCAGCTCTCATAGCTGCCTAAACTCAACAAAGGGGCTATTTCGGCATGAATGACACGTCATGCGTCATGGGGTACTGGTACTTCACATGACCCGATACAATAGCATATTCGTAAAAACCTCTCGTCAGAGCGGGCCGCGGAGCCTGTATAGGTACCTGTATATACGATATGGAGTTTTTCGACATGTGACGATTAGGTTAGTCTTACTACTAAAATATTCGTAAATGTTGAGTGGGTTCGTGTGAAATCTACGGACTTCAAATCACCCCGCACATTACGGATCGCGCTGAATGCCCCAAAAAGACCCATAGACGGACGGTGTTCTTCCAAGATCTTCTCACGAACATCAAAGCCTCCTTTCGTCCCTTCGTCTCTTTGTTTACAATGGATCCCATCACCCTCATCGGCGCTATTGCCTCGGTAGCGGGCTTAGTGGACCTGGGAGCAAAGCTCTGCATCACCTTACATGACATGGCAAAGGTTTTCTCCTCCGCGCCAGAAACCATTGTCCTAATGGACAGGGATGTCTCCTCGCTACGATCGGTGCTGCAGCAACTCCAAAGTGAATTGGAAAAGGGAAATTCACACGCTCTAGACTTGCCTCGCGAAACCAGGATCAATCTTCAAAACGTGCTTGAGAGCTGCGAACTTGTCTTTGCAAGCTTGAAAACGATTCTGGACAAGTTTACAAACTACCCCAAGAAGCTCGAAGGAGCGGGGGTAGCAGTAATCAAGATCAACTCAATCAAGATAAGATTCCGATGGACGATGGAGGAGAGCGAGGTGGTTAGGATTCGCAAGAGTTTGCAAACCCACGTGCAGACGTTGCAGCTGACTTTAACTACAACTACCGCGTAAGTAAATCCGCAGAAGGGGTTTTTGTCAGAAACTGACATCTCTGAATCCAGCCTCGTAGTTGCTCTCGTTCACGATGACACGACATATATGATCACTCTACTCGAGGATCTCCACTCAAGTTTGCAGAGAACTGCCACCATCACATCGGAGACCGTAGTAGGTCTCCAGGTTCAAACTCCATTCCAGTCCATAATACATGACCCTTCAACGACATCGACTGCTCCACAAGGGATTGAACAACAGATGGCAGCAGCTGTCATCACTGATCAGGGGCCGGATGAAGAGCTACTCCCTGGACCTAACGCTCCCAGTAACGAACCAATATCAGTACCAACAGGAGAAATCAACGAGCCGGGATCAGTACAGGTTAAACCACCGGACCCGCAGCATGCTTCTGTTTCAAGATTGACAGTATCGAATCAAGGGAACAGCGCCTCAAAACGCCGTCGATCAGTCATCGCCGTGCCCGGCGAAACGCTCTTTGTGGCTGCTCGAGCAGGAAACAAAAACATCTTTTTACAGATTCTTCAGACTGGCTCAAAGATAACTGAAGTAGAGGTAGACGGCACAACCGTTCTACAGGCCGCAGCGGAAGCGAACAGTCTGGATGTTGTCCTGTCACTGCTCTTTTTTGGGGCAGACCCGAACCTTGGAGGTGGGCGAACGGGCAGTCCACTTATAGCAGCCACGAACAGACAGCATACACAGGTCGTGGCTGCTTTGTTGGAAGCAGAGGCGAATCCGGGTGCGTTTTACCCCGATGCTCTTCCCTGGATGAGAAGCGCATTTCACTGCGCTTTATACTACAAGAACCTCGAGATTCTATCGATGCTGCTAGGCGTGGGCACAGACCCAAATGGAGTCCCGGGTCTCTTGCAGTATGCCTGTTCTGCTGGGACACTTGAGTCAGTTAAGCAGCTCTTGGATGCGAAAGTGAATGTCAACAACGTTTCTGACGACAGGGCTTACTTTGGAACGGGGTTGCAAGTCGCCGTATTTAATAAGCGTACTGATGTTGTTGAGTTCCTCTTGGAACGTAAGGCGGACCCGAATATTATATGTCCGACTTCTCTCCCTTGGCAACGCAGTCCGCTCTTTCAAGCGGTATATTCGAAGGACTCTGGGATGCTCTCAATTCTGCTGGGTAAAGGTGCAGATGTAAAGAGAGTGCCTGGTCTCTTGCATTATGCTTGTTCTGTCGGGACACTTGACTCCATCGAGCAGTTCTTGGACACTGACCTCGATGTCAATGGAGTTTTCGACAACAGCGGATTTTTTGGAACGCCATTGCAAGTGTCGGCATTCAGTAACCGTACTGACATTGTGAGGCTCCTCCTGAAACACGGGGCGGATCCTAATATTACGGCCACAACACTTCTACCTTGGCAACGCAGTCCGCTCTTTGAAGCAGTATATGCGAAGAACTCCGAGATCCTCTCGATACTACTAGATACAGGTGCAGATGTAAATAGAGTCCCGGGACTCTTGCATTATGCCTGCGCCGTCGGGACTCTTAATTCTGTTGAGCAGCTCTTAGTGGCTGACCTAGATATCAACCAGCTTTCCCACGAGAAGGCCTTTTTCGGAACGGCACTGCAAGTCGCGGTATCGAATAGCCGTACTGATATTGTGAGGTTCTTGCTCAAAAGTGAAGCAGATCCTAATATTACGGCTACAACGCTTCTGCCTTGGCAACGCAGCCCGCTATTTGAGGCGGCATACGCGAAGAACGCTGAGATTCTCTCGATGCTACTAGGGGCGAAGGCCGACCCAAACCAAATTCCCGGGCTCCTTCCGTATGTTGCCGAAAACAATGACTTACGCTTCGTAAAGATCATGGTCGAGGAGGGAAAGGCGGACATCGATTCTGTGGATGAGACCCTAGGAACTGCGTTGCAAGTTTTCGCGGCAAAGGGCCAACGAGATGCCCTGGTGTATTTGCTCGATTTGGGAGCTGACCCAAGCATTGGGGGAGGTCGATTTGGGTCTCCGATAAACGCTGCGATGGCAAATGGACATGAGGACTGCACGAAAGAGCTATTGAGCTAGAGAGCTATATGATCACATCGCGATGATTTGAGGGAGGGGGAGGAAATGAACGCCATGGTTGGCATGTCGTTCACAGTGGTAGGTTGCAGAAGGGTTGTAGGATGGCACTTTGCTCGACTCAACTTGACATGCTTGCCCCAATGATGCAGGCCTGCAACATGAGGGTTCCAATCAGATTGTCCGGCACGGTATTGTGCGTAAGTGTTTGAAATTGATAGTTCGCGTACACGCCATCAATAGACTCTATGATTTGTAGGTACACTGGTAATCTTGCCTATGGAATTGAATAATTATATACATATCTGAAAGGAACCCTTCACGCGTTCAAACCTACCTCCCACCCCCACTGGGAAGTGTATCTAGACACACACAAAGTCGTCGCTCTGGAGAGTTCCATTCGCGCTCCTCCCATCCTGCTTAATCTTTGCCATCTTCGGGTATGGGCACAGAAGACGATTCTTCTCCTCTCCATTGTCGTCTTTGTACGAATGCGGCAGTTTCTCTGGGACGGTTCCGTTCTCAACCCACGCTCTCAGGGCGTCGAACGTATTCGAGGGCTGACCTCCAGATCCGCCGGAACAGTGCAGGAGGCCTGGAACTTCGAACATGCGATAGAAATGGTCTGCGCCTGGGATTACTTTCTCCACCATGTCGTAGTAGTGCTCTGTACTTTTGACGGGAATAATTTGGTCACTCTGTGTCAATATCAGTAAAATTCACTCCAATATCGCCCAGTTGACATACCATTCCATGGTAGCCCAGAATTTTGCCACCCTTTTTGTAAAAGGCAGTCAAATCTGGATCGTTTGTCCCGATAATAGAGTCATAACGCTGTATGGAAGCGTGGAAATAATGCTCAAAGTCATCACGGGTCATGTTCTCATACGACCACTCGGAATCAGCTTCAAGAAAGTACTTGATCCAGACTTCTCCAAGTCCCACGGGGACGCCTGTGCACTTCCCATCAGAGGAACACGAGGTCATGGCAGTCCCAATGTCGTTCGTGAGCGCAGTTGTTGATCCCGTGAGCTGGCTACCGATGTTTGGCCCGTACCACATGAACTTGCCACCCTTTGTTTCCGGGCCAGCCCAGGCAGCCTTGGCCAATGTTGCTGCATTCTGAGAAATAGTCATATTCTTCCCAGTATCGGAACAAGCGAATGATTCCCCGACCAGGGAGAGGGGGTCAAATGCGCAGGCAGTATCGTCAGCGATTATGCCGTCGACAATACCATCAAGGCCATCGCATGCATTGACTGCCGCCGTGGTAATCGCCTTCAGTTCGCAGGGATAGGGGTAATAATCCATGTCCATCATCAACATTTGGGGCCAGAAAGCCGATGCAAGCAGCTGGTTCCAAAACAATGCTGGAGCACAGGCGTGGATCCCGTCGTATGCATCTGGATATCGCTGAGCAAGCATCATTCCTTGCCTACCACCCTGTGAGCAGCCGCTCCAGTACGAGTACTCGGGACCTTGACCGTAAAAACTGGCAACCAAGCCCTTGGCAATGATGGCCTAATGTTGTCAGTTGCGAGCTATTAGCGGCTTGGCTGTGAACGCACCTGGTCTTGGAGAGAGACAGACCCAAAGTTGTTGAGCAAATAGAGATTTGGGTTCCCCTCGCTGGCCAAAGCCCAGTTGTCCGGCCCCAAATCATCTCTCATGGACAATCCAGCATCTGTGGTGCTTGTAGCGTATCCTTCCCCCACTGCGCCAGTCATGGCCGTGTAGCTCGGGGAGTACCGGCCTGCAATCCACCCGCCGCCTCCAACAGACTGAAGCCGGCCGTTGTAGTTGTCAATTGGCAACCACGTCTCAACGTGAATGGTGTCGTTTTGGCCAGGATGGGTGTATGTTACAGTCACGTTGCAGAAATCGAGATTCTTCACGGTGACTGTTGGGTGTCCATAGTAGAGGAGACCGTAGGCTGTGGCATTGTAGTTTTCCACTAGGTTGGCCTCCAAAGAGATGACGTGCCCTCCAAAGAGTTGAGGAGAAGCGAGAGCTTCAGGTGAGCAGGACAGTGCCATGGTGTTGGTGTCGTGGAATGGGGTTGAGTACTTGAGAACATTATTTGTGGCGGATGGAGCCCGTACTTAAACTTCCACTCCTTTTCCCTTGTACCTTTTCCAAATATACAATTTCTCATCCCTTTGCCTTCGTAAATCGCCAAGCACTTAGCATATCCCGTCGGATATTGGAGGGAAGGGTGGCGATCCACATGGATCACCCGATTTGGTCAGAGCTTTTGCTCCTCGCGAGTATAGAATCCTTTAATACGGATACTCGTATTCATGATCCAGGAGCGGCCACGCGTAAAGCTTTATTTAGAGATCACACTCCAAAGCTTGACAGGGATTCATTTAGCGCATGGATTGTTTTACATAGTAAAGAAGCATCCCCAGGAAGTGAAGGCACTTAAATTTGAATGAAACTCAAAAGCATCATGTTACAAACCAGGAGTGTCCATCCACATATAGGGAGATGCCGAGACAAACTATTCTCTCAAGTATATCAGCGTATTCGATTGCGATACCGACAGCTGACATCACACCGCTATACCCGAAAATTTCCCACCGTCCCTCGTGCAGATCCACGGCCCGCTCGAGAAACCTCGGAAATAAGACGCTCAGAGATCGACTATCTTGAGTTGACGAACTGGGAATTTTAATTGTTCATCGCTGACTAATGGCAAGCGCCTAATTATTTCCTCATTGTAAAATTATTTCTGACCCGCCCTGCTTGATGATAACCTCGACGAGAATGAACCACAGCAATCAAGATGGCGCAACATGGCACCGTCACCAAAGCCGAAAAGGCTCTGCATGACCAGGTCAATATCCTACCCCGTCGCCAACTCATCACCGTAATGGGCGCGCTGTCTGTCACGCTCCTGATCACCTTCATCGACCAGAATGGCATCTCAGTCACCTTGCCAACGATTGCAGAGAATCTCAACGGTCAAGATACCATCTCGTGGGCTGGGACATCTAGTCTCCTTGCCAATACAGCCTTTCAGATGTTATATGGTCGCCTTTCTGACATCTTTGGCCGTAAGGCAGTTTTCTCGGCCGCCATCTGCCTGCTAGCATTGGCTGACTTGCTCTGCGGCTTGAGCCAGAACCCAACCATGTTTTATGTGTTCCGGGGCGTGGCAGGCATTGGCGGAGGGGGCGTCGTCAACTTGTCCACGATTATTGTCTCGGACATTGTCACTCTGGAACAAAGAGGAAAGTATCAGGGCATTATCGGGTCCATGATCGGCCTTGGCAATATGATCGGACCTTTTTTGGCCGCTGGGCTAGCAAAACAGGCGAGCTGGCGGGTGTTTTTCTGGATGCTGGCGCCGCTCGGGGCGTTGACTTGTGTCGTCACGTATTTCTTCCTGCCCTCAAAACCGCCAACGGCTAGTTTGAAAGAGAGTATCCGGAAGGTTGATTGGATGGGCTCGCTACTTTCATCCATCGCCATCATCTTTCTTCTGATTCCCATTTCTGGAGGTGCGATACTACATTCTCATCAACACGACGTTTACTATCACTAATACTCAGAGTTGAAAAGGCGGTGCCTACTTCTCATGGGATTCGCCCATGGTCATAACCATGCTTATTATAGGGGGCCTTTCAATCTTCCTCTTTTTAGGATGGGAATGGAAATACGCAAAACTCCCCATGATGCCGCGTAAGTCATTTAGGGCCTCATTCGCTCGCTAAAACTTTTTCGGTTCTCTCATGAGTGCTAATCAAATTTCAGTTGATCTCTACCATAACCACATTGTGGTGGTCATGCTGGTGCAGAACTTCCTATTTGGCGCTGTGTACCAATCTTACCTCTACTATATGCCTCTTTATCTGCAGAACGCCCACGGCTACTCGATCTTACGCTCAGCTCTCATCACACTTCCCTTGGTTGTCTTCCAAATGGTATTTTCAATTTTATCAGGTCAATACATATCCCGGCAGAAGCGTTACTTGGAAGTTCTCGTCTTTGGCTTCAGTATGTGGACACTGTGAGTATCTTTCTCCTCCCTTGCGGTATATAGTAGCTAATTTTCAATGTGTATAGTGGGTCAGGCCTTGCCTTGCTATTAGACCGGCATACCAAACCGACCATTATCATCGTCCCGCTCATCTTAAACGGCATCGGGGTCGGCTGCATCTTCCAACCCATTCTAGTTGCGCTCCAAGCGCACACGCCCAAGCCTCGTCGCGCCGTCATAATCTCAAACCGCAATCTGTTCCGCAGTGCCGGCGGCGCAAGCGGTCTTGCCATTTCAGCCGCTGTGCTCCAAGCCCGACTCCGCGCGACGCTCCCATCGAGCTATTCCTACCTTGCCAGCTCGACCTACGCACTGCCTGAGAGCGTCAAAAACGTTTCGGGCGTTCTAGACGCATACATGGCTGGGAGTCATGCTGTCTTCATCCTGCAGGTGCCATTGATTGGTCTTTGTCTATTAGGAACAGTTTTGATTCGGGATAGAGGGCTTGAGCCTCCAGGGGATCCTGTTTCTGGGGAATCTCCAATCAGTAATCAATTTGAGGAAGAAGGTGCTAGTGAACCGTCCACTCGGCCTTATAATACTTCTCCGAGAAGTCGGAAAGGTGTCAATGAGGATCTGGAACTACAACTTATGACTTCTGCAGTAGACCATAATGAGGACAAACGAATATAAAACGATTCTACGAGGAATAAATACAATTCACTGACGGCGGAGAAGTCGTATTGCAGCAGAGATATCATTTGCACAGCCAATAAGTCGTTTACATTATGTCGTCTGGCGCTCTCACTACTATCTGTTGACCACATCTGTCCAACTGCAACTTGCTAGGCCTGCTATCGGCTTTTCTCGACATGAACCACTGCAATCCTTAACCCCTCCCATGATTTGCGAGTGAAAGTCTTTACGTCGGTTCGTAGCTGGCCTCGGGTGTCACAAGGTGCAAATATCTCACATATGCACCCCAAAGCCCTGGGCGGCCAGAAGCAGTATCGATAGGATCCCCTTGGAGGTGGTAAGCTGCTGTCCAGACTCCTTACGAGGAGGCCCGCGTTGGTTGCGGCGCGCTGGTTTGGGGTCCTACAGCGTCGGCTCCGGAATGCTCTCATCCCCCTTTGTGGTGTCGATGTTTCTAATACTCTCAGCAGTTCCAAATTCGGACTTATGGGTGTTGAATAGGTTGATAAACGCGCTGTAGTCGATTCCGTACTCGCCGCCGATTGGGCTACCAACGTTCAGTCCGCCGGTGTTGCAGCAGTCGACCCCAATAGCAACCAAGCGTCCGTAGTCTCCAGTACGCAGTACCGGTCCTCCTGATTGCCCTAACACAAGCATTAGTAAGTCAGAAAACCCGCAGGCTGCGTTGTACTCAAAGACACACCTCCAAAAGTAGACATCCTGTACTCAATCATGTTCAGAGAGCTTGTGGCGAGATCATACTTCGTAGACTGAAAGGTCTCATACATTCCGGCGCCTCGTTCATCCATCAATTTCTTATCACGCACAGATTGATCCCCAGGGTATCCGACTAGACCAATTTTTCCGTCGAACTCCGCAGGTGTGTCCACATAAGAAAAAGGCGAAAGGTTGCCAGTAAAAGGTTTATTGACCTGGATAAAGGCCACGTCCTTCGGGCGGTTTCCGTCTTGAATCCACTCTTGAGTCGTTACCACCTTGCTGCCGTAACGAGCTTGCGTCTGAACGGAGTCCAAAGAGCGCTTCCCGTGGTAGCCAAGGTAGCATTTGATCTGGGTGGCCGCGCCGAAGCCAAGGGTCCGGTCGTACGCGTTATGTCCGGCGGTGACAAGCAAGTCATCGCGAACAAGCCACCCACTTCCCATCGCCCAAGTCGACGTGCCATTTTTGTCTTTGAAACATGCTTGGATTTTGACAATGGCTATACATCTTCAGTCAGATCAGGGTGACATGAAGAAAGGTTGCTGGGCCTGGACACTCGTTTATCTGTCACTTACAACGGAGCTTTCCTCCATCTGCGTAGTCCTGTGTATCAACGGGAATCCGAGAGTCTGGGTAAATTATTGATTCATCACCATCCTGGGCGATGGCTGTTGTTTTATTCACGGCAGTCAATTGATCCCAACTTCCTACCTCAAGGTTCCAGGCAGTAGCCTGAATGGCGGAGTTTTTGTCCATGGAAGATACGCGTCGAAGACGTCAGAGGGGCAGGAGTTGAAGAATGATCAAAAAGAAGTTGAAAGATCGGGGGGTGATCCTGTTTGTACTTATGATGTGCATGTGCCCAAAAGCGCGGGGTTCTTGAGACAGATGTGAGCTGAAAAGTGATAGTTCTACACTAAAGCTACTATTGACGTTTAGTCGCAACGCTATTTGTAAATGGAGAGACATACTACCACCCATGTGGGAATGCCGCCTAGAATTAATGTAGGAACATGGAGTTAGATGCAGAGACTAGCCAATCAAACAGCGTATTATCACACAGTTTGCTAACCGCGCTGTGTTTGGTCCTTATGGCAGGTCTAGACCGCGTACACGTACATGTGTGCAGCAGCCTCATCAAGCTATCGATTGTCTGGGAGGGGCCGAAAGGGAATTTCGCCAGTGATGGTCGTTACCCAGAGATAAGAGTCATTATGCTGGCCATGGGAGTTGAAATAAGTGTGGATGTCAGCGTTATGTTAGGGGCAAGGACAAATCTTGTGTTGAACGCAATAGATATCAGAGTTACCAAAATAGCCCTCCCCGAATCTCAACGTACTATGTCCCTATACAATGGCAAACTGTACCGACCAAGTTGTCGCCCAGCGCGACCCCCCAAACCTTCCGGTTGATCAATGTCACTACCTCTATCATTCACAGCCTCCCAATCCAGCCACTTTCCGCTCAGGGTCAGCATCGAGAACACTTCGCCGTCGATACTAACCTTGAAAACAGTTTCTCGCCTGGAGCTCAAGCCAGCTGGGTGGTCTGCATAGATCTCGTATCGCCAGTATGTTCCTTTCCGCATATCGTACCACCAGCCTAGACGTTCAAGGTCATGGGGCTCAACTTCCAAAACCGTTGAAGGGTAATTCCCCTTGAATAAAACTAGAGACAGGGTCCCTTGCTTCATAACGTCTGGAATAAATCTTTGCTTAACAGTCATTTTGGCATCTGCCATTGTCCTGCGGAACGTTTCAATTCGCGAGGATTGGAGATCATGTTGCCACGCAATGCCTGCCTTCTCAAGTTCGTTTCGATTCACATCAGTCCACGCCCAGTCCAGATATTCGGTTGTCAAAATGCCGCCTTGGCGAGAGGCTTTGAGAGCCTTGACAACGCACAAGCTTTCAGCGTTAGGTTTGGTTCGGCCACCTTCCCAGTCGAGTCTCATAGCGTCAGCTAAACTCGCGATGATCTTTTCGAGATACCCGTCAACAAGCAGATTGGCTGAAAATCCCTCTGCGACAGTGTTACAGCCTTTCTTCGTAGCCAGAAACGCCCTGATTTCTCTGGTAATATCTGCGGGAAATGGGCCCTTTGGGAACAGTTCTTTCCATACCGACTTTTGCATGGATGCTATAATAGAGATCAGAATGTCCGGGTATTTCTGTGGCATTGCGCCCCAGTTTCTTCTCGATTTGTTGAAGTAGTTGCACCGCCGGACCACTCCTTTTTCTGTCCGTTCTAAGATGTCCCCTAAATGATCAAACGGGTCAAATAGGATAGAATCATTATCTAGCTTCCCGCTGATGTCACGATACAAGGCGTTGTCGAGATACCTGTGACAATTCGAATGGTTGTTTGCGGCGGCCCTCACGAGGTAAGGGCCAGCTAGTTTGTAGGCACTCGGTTGATCATTTTCGGGCTGAGATATTCCATTGGAAGATTGGAGCAAGTCCAGGTCTCTCTCTCTCTGCTCTTTCTCGTCATATTCGATCAAAGCGACCTTTCTCCGTGCGCCCTCTTCTTGACATTGCGTTCTGTACCGGCCAATGTTATCCCAGGTGTTCGAGACCCCTTGTAGAGCCTGTTGAAGGGCCATAAGTCTCTCTTCCTCTAATTCGAGCGATAAAGACTCTGTACGGTACGATTCGACCAGCTGCGTTCGCTGTCGACGGGTCGGGAGATTGAGACCACCCTTGCCATGATTCTTCTTTCGATCGTCGGAGTCGGAGTCGTCGGAATCATCGTCGTCGAATTTTCCAAGCCTACGCCTGCGCCTTTTTCTCTGTTCCTCTTGACGTCTTTGTGGGGTCGACGTTGCTCGCGATGAACTGGTTGGGGGAGGTTCTGCTCTCACAGAGACGGGTCGCCGAGAGACATGGCCTGCGACATTGCGGTACTCTGGATCCGGCAGTCCGGTACCGTGTTCGAGTAATCCGGCAATAGATTTCGGGCTGGACTTCGCGTGGAAGTCAGATTGCTGTGACTTGACGGGTTTCGCGACGAGGCTGTGTTGGGCATCAAGGACCACTCCGTTGTCCCGACTTGTCTCACTGTCTTGTGGCGTCATCTGGAACGATTTGATGCGGTGAGTTTGCTGATTGAATGGTGTTGGTCAAAATGGAATAAATAAATAGAATGAAGGTGCAAGATTCGGAGAGACGGCGGAGTAAATGTTCGCTGAAGTGAGCGGTATGAGCAGAATGCCCAACCTGGTTGCCTATTTGCCTCTTTGCCTCGTTCTGCCTTACTGCGCCGCAATCGCCACCACTTGATTAGGCATCTGCAAACAATCCAGACCATCCAATCAAGTCAAATCAAAGCCATCATGTGACATACGGCTGCATTCCTCAAGACCAGCCCCCAATGTCAAAATGTATCCGCCAAAGACTTCATTCAATCAAGAAACGCAGCGAAATGGGATCCAGGACATCCGCAGATACAACACGGTCTTCCACCTCTCGAAAGAGGTCTGTTGGAAATACTTCCCTGCACACAGTTCCAGAGGCTCCACCAACAGAGGAGGAGATCCTCCAGAAGCCATGGAAGTTCATCGGATACAGTGGATACGCGAAATTTATCTCTTCCGAAGACGACTTCCTTATCCTTCGTCGCTTTGATACGCTAAATACCAGAATTGCCTTAGCTCTCCAAGACGAAATTTGCGAACTCGAGGAGGAGCTGTCTGAACTGGACATCGCGTATAGCAGGAGGGACTGCGATGATCTGAGCAACGGCACTTTCAGAGACGACGACGTGGAGGAACGAAGGACCTTGATCGGAAAAATAACCAAGAAATTGTTTAAATATAGTAAGGAACTTTTAGTCTCTCATGCCACACAACACTGATAATTTTAGATGAATATGTGCTTCAACAATCGAGTTTGAGGAAATACCCCCAAGCGCCAAGCCGAGATGTTAAAAGCATACGAAATTGGCACTACAACTACGACTACAAGGCAATAGCAGCAGAGGAGCAAAGTTATCTAGATCATGAAAAGGACTTGTTGTGCGTGGTGCAAAGAGACAAGGCTCCTCTGCGTCGCCTGATCGACAAATCGCAGCGGCTACGCACACTCCCAATATGGAAGAACAAGACCAAACAAGCTCCAGATGTTGACATACAACACGTTTCATACTATTCCGACAAACGGATGGATGGATTTGCCTCTGGTGTGATTGTGGCGGTTGGCGTAATAATGCTCATCACGCCCATCTGGATCCTCCAAGCAATGAAGACTCTACAGGCCAAATTGGCGGTAATAACCGTTTTCGTGTTTGCCTTCTTGCTCATATTGTCGTTTCCAATGGCTTCAAAACCATTTGAGGCTTTGGGTGCAACAGCAGCGTAAGTCAAGTCGAGAAATCTCCCGTTGAAATGTGGACTAACAAGTCTTAGATACGCAGCGGTTCTCATGGTTTTCATCCAATTTGGTACTACATAACCCAAAGACTAGTTTCGGATGGCTTCAGCAAAAGAACAGAGATTCGGTCTTGTAAACAGTCGATGCGCAGACTGATATAGGCGGTGAAGTTAAGGTCTGGCCCTAACGAGTTGGAAGAGTTGGCTAAATAAGCGTTGTCAAGAATCTTCGTTCTTGTCATCACATCATCACATCGATCACCGGATGATACCATCAATCAAGGACAATACAATTGCTATGTCATCGTTATATTCACAAAACTGCTCTAATCTAGTGTCATCCCTTTAAGAGGTCGCATTGAAGTTTGCTGACTCGCACACCTCTGAGATACTTCAGCGGCGGCATAAATGAAATGCCATTCATCCCATCAAGTTCACTTTTCCTTGAAATATCCAAGATGGCCATTCACATAAAAGGGTCATCTGTATCTACGGTGGAACGAACTCGGTTTATTCACCGAACTAGAAGAAAAGTCGATATCTAGTTAACTGATGGACTACATTACATCTCCATTGAATACTCGAACCCGGGCATCCAGTCAGAGACCAGGTCATCTTCGACAAAAATTGCACTATGCATAAGGCCTGCAGAAATGGGACCCTCTTAGCCTAAGGATAAAAAGAGGAACTAGTTGAGCTTATATACAATCTTATAACCCGAGATCTTGCCATCCCTGAAAGCTTGGAAGCCTTCATTGACTCCACCCAACCCCTGGTCAATTACCCACGGGGTGTTTGGGCGAATCTTTCCCTGACTAAGTAAGCTAGGAAGCGCCTGATAGAATTCCGTGGCGAGTTGGTGGTCCTCCTCGGATGCCTGTTGAATGTCAGTACGTAGCAGAAGGACAGTTTCAACTTATAATTGCGGCTCACAGGTAAGATGCGGGAGCCCATCTGATGTTCCTTCAAGAAAGATGTGAATACAAGAATGGATGTAACCTTGGTTCGCGATGACACATGTTCGGTGAACTCTTTACTTGGACGCACGGTGCAAAGGATCCCTCCTGCCTCTCGCATGGCCGTAGATGCTGTAGCAGACGACGTCTCATTCCTGATCGTGTCGAAAATGTACTTCAGATTAGGCAAGGCAATTTGAATCTTTTTCACAACCTCAGGGTCTTTGTAGTCAAAGACGTGTTTCGCGCCCAGGGAATGGAGCAGCGGAAAATGGCGCGGGCTGCAGACTGTGGCCACTTTGAAGCCGAACAGGGATGCAATTTGTACGGCATAGAGACCGACGCTGGCTGATAATCGCGTCAGCAATTTCCGTATCATTGTTGAAAGCCCGTGGAAGCCTACTACTTCCAGCCCAGACGAGTAGCTCTACGTCTAAGCCCAGTGTTCGATCGATGTTAAGGCTCTGGGACCTAAACAAGGCTAGCCATGCAGTCGTCGCTGCCAATGGCACCGTCGCTGCCTGCTCTAGAGGGATATTGTCCGGAATCTTGAAGCAAATATTCTCGTCCGCAATCGTGTAGTCGCTGTAGGCTCCCAGGCCTTTGATTTCGCCTGTGAAGAAGGGTTTCAGTTAGCAGAGAACTTGTTCATGAATCACTGAAACAACGCACCTCCCCATATCAAGCCGGCAACCTTGTCGCCCTTCTTCAGACGTGAGACGTTGCTACCAACAGCGTCTACCCTGCCCGCAAAGTCACAGCCCAAGACACGCCCGTCTCCAAAGATCTTGTTGTCGAAGCATAGGACATCTGTCGGATTCTGCGCTGCGAAAGCCACCTTGATGAGGGCTTGGTTGGATGCCGGCCGAGGTATGGCAACCTGCTCCTCAACGAGAGTCGGCTTTCCGTACTTCTCCCGGATCACCAATGCCTTGCAGGTCCGTGGGCTCATAGTGTGGAAAAAAGGAGAGCGAATTGGCCGAGGTGCGCGGAGAAGAGTTGATGGCGAACGATGGAAGGATGCGAGAGGCCTAAACCGCTGAATCCTCATGTCCATGATAATTGATAAAATACAATTGGAAGGAGTGAGCTTCTATTTTTGCAGACAACTGAGGGGAGGGCTTTAAATACGTTTCGCCCCTGCGCTTAGAAATCAAATTTGTTGAAAGTAAATAACTGCCTGAGGTGGTTATTGGCACTGACAAGGGGATCGAACTCGAGATTGTAAGTGCCTAAGGCAGTTATTGTTCGTTATCTAACGCCAAGATCAACATTCCGCATTCGGATTTGTAAAGCTCGTCTATCCACTTTATTCACGCCAATCATAAGAGCTATAATCTTCATTCGTTATTGATATGAATGAAGTTGAAGAGCCATGTATGCGCCGGATGCCCGCCTTGTCTTGGTCTGGATGTTAGTGATAAGCGCTCGCTGTTTCGATTGCATGCGACTAGAACCGTGGGCTATTTGAGCATATGTGCAGGATTTATCTCAGATTTTGAAGCATTCTCCGAGTATTTGGTCGTCGCAATGAGCCAATCTCGCTATTTGTATTTACGATCGATTGCTACTCAGACCTGCCCCCGTGGTGCTCACACACTTTACCACTCTGTGGGTATTGGATCCCGTGTTCATAAAGTTGAAAAAGTATGGAGAGATCCCGGAGTTGTTGGAACTTCTTGTTTATATACTTGAATAAGCATGAGTGGGCATTTGTAAGTACACGTAGGACATATCGGTGGACTGGGTGGACGGGTGGACTGGGCGAAGGTGGACATAAGGGGGAAAAGGTTCGCATAGGTGGATGTGGGTGGACATACGTCTTCCCGTTTAGTCCATTCTGCCACGCTCTAACCACTCGCTCTAACACCCGGTTGTGATATCGGCAGTGATGCAGTCTCCACGCGGTAATCCCCCGGGTTCATGCCAGCTACGACCAGCCAGCTACACACTCTCAATAATACGTCACAAAACCACGCATATATACAATAGGACGTTTATACGGCATTACAAAGTAAATTGCAAGCAAAAGAGAGCAATATTCAGACAGACAGAATTAGCACATGGGCAGAAGACCCGAATCTATTCGTTGCTCAAGCCAGAAAATGGTATTCACTCCCGCAACCCAAAGTCGATCGCCTTTGACGGAATTTTGTCATGCTTATTTCTAATCCTATTCTACCCCGCCGTCGAACTTGTCGGGTAACATTACAGCGAGGTAAGAGGTCAACCAAGCTCCGCAGTTGTTCAAGACTGTGCTTGACCAGTGAAACATTGCAGCTCATCGTCATCTCGGTGGAGAGTACTACGAGGATCTGCAGTTACACTACCCCACAATATAAACGGCCCGTTTAGAAGTATCCAAATCGCCTGCCGAGGCTGCAAATGACCAGATCGGAGATGGACATGCTGTGATTTCCCCCGCATTTTAACCCCATGGGGGAGACCTCTCCACATTAACCAGGGGCTTTTGCCAAGAATGACTTGCCGGCGATATTTGCCGTCTAAGAAGTCGTTGCTTGGCTAATAAGTATCACCGGGTCAATACTGAGCGAAAAAATCGTATGGATTTCCGCCAAATTCACAGTATAAGTATTTGACAGTATATGTTACCAAAGTTTAGAAATCATGTGGACAATGCGTCTTCGCATCAGCAATCATGGCAATCTCAATCTCACAGTTGTCATTTGAGCATCATCGCTTAGCTCTTGGCATCGCCGAGACTGAGCCTAGGATCTCTTGGCGATTCGATGGCGTCGTCTCCAATTGGGAGCAGAGCGCATACAATATCGAAATTGCTCGGGGCTCAGCCAAACCCAGCCTTCACACCTTCAATACGTCCGACTCCCTCTTCGTGGAGTGGCCTGAAGAACCGCTTGATGTTGCTGAGCAAGCTTCAGTTCGTGTTCGAGCTCACGGCAATCAAGGGCAACCTTCAACACCCTGGTCTGATTGGGTGACTGTCGAGACTGGTCTCCTATCTTCGAAAGATTGGGCTGGAGCTGTGCCAATTGCAGCAAAGCGCAAGACCGAGAAGGGCAAAGCGAAAAAGGCCATCTACTTCCGCAAGGAGTTTCCCGTCAAATCAGCAATCAAGTCGGCCAGACTTTATATCACGGCTTTGGGCATATACGAAGCCGAGATCAACGGCCAGCGAGTTGGTGACGCTGTCTTGGCCCCGGGTTGGCAGTCCTACAACCATCGCCACGCATACGACACCTACGATATTACGGAGCTCGTTCAAGAAGGAGGCAACGCTATTGGCGTTGTAGTTGGCGAAGGGTGGTTCTCCGGCAGATTAGCCTGGGAAGGAAAGCGAGAGTTTTGGGGAGACACAATTGGTCTCTTCTCTCTGTTAACTGTAACCCTTGAGAACGGCAAGACTATTTCAGTACCAACAGACACATCGTGGACTGCCAATCTGGGTCCTATCGTTGCCTCTGAAATTTATGATGGCGAAACCTACGATTCCAGATTGGAGTCGGAGATTGAAGGGTGGTCATCAGCCAGTTTTAGGGATAAAGATTGGCTGTCTACCAAGGAGCTTGACCCTCTTGAGGGCTCGCTCGCTCCTCCCGATGGGCCACCAGTTCGAAAGTTGGAAGAACGACATATCGAGACAATCACCAAATCTCCTTCTGGAAAGACAATCATCGACTTTGGCCAAAACCTTGTCGGCTGGATTAGGCTGACTGTTGGAGGACCGAGAGGCACAAATATCACTCTACACCACGCTGAGGTATTGCAGGAAGGCGAGCTTGCATTAGGTCCGTTGAGAACCGCCAAGGCAACGGACAGCCTTATCTTGCATGGTAACGGTACGCAGACGTGGGAGCCTCATTTCACCTTCCACGGGTTTCGATATGTGCAAGTCGACGGGTGGCCAGATGACACACCCATCACAGACGATTCCATAACCGCCATTGTGATCCACAGCGACATGGAACAGACCGGATGGTTCGAGTGCTCCAACCACCTCCTCAACAAATTTCACTCCAACGTTCGGTGGTCGATGAAGGGCAACTTCCTGTCAATTCCTACAGACTGCCCGCAGCGCGACGAGAGACTGGGTTGGACTGGTGATGCCCACGCCTTCGGCCCTACAGCCAACTTTCTTTACAACACGGCCGGTTTCTGGCGAGGCTGGCACAAGGACATGTGGTCTGAGATGCAGAGAAACGACTCCATGGTTGTTCCTTTCTACGTGCCCACTCTTCCTCCCAACGGCCCCGCCGCGCCAGCTGCGGTCTGGGGCGACGTTGCCGTGGCAAACCCATGGAATCTGTACAAAGCGTCCGGAGATGTTGGTGTCCTCAAGGAGCAGTCTCACCAAGCTCAGGGCTGGGTTGATGTTGGCATTCCCAGAAATGAAGACGGGCTCTGGAACCGCAGCAGCTTCCAATTCGGAGACTGGCTGGATCCTACCGCACCGCCTGAAAGTCCCGCTGATGCAAAGACATCGGCAATCCTCGTCGCCGACGCCTATCTCATCCGCATGACAGAGCTTCTGGCCAACATCTCTAGCGCCATTGGAGAAGATTCCAAGGCAAAGGAATATCGCAAGAAGCACGGTAAGCTCCGAAAGGCATTCCAGAAGTCTTGGATGGAGGATGGCCACCTCGCGAACCAAACGCAGACTGCGTATGCTCTTGCTCTTAACTTTGGTCTCTATACCGATGCCAAAGAGCGCACGACTGCTGCCGAGACTCTTCGTACACTTATTGCGGACAACGACTACCTCGTCGGCACTGGCTTCGCCGGTACACCTGCATTGGGGCCTGCCCTGCGCGATATCGGTGCAGCTGATGACTTTTACAAGATGCTTCTCCAGACGAAGACACCCTCCTGGCTATATCAGGTCGTGCAGAATGGCACTACTACCTGGGAGCGTTGGGATAGCTTGCTGGCCAACGGCAGTCTCAATACTGGCACAATGACGAGCTTCAACCATTATGCGTTCGGTTCTGTTGCCGACTGGATCCACCAGAGTATTGGCGGATTAGCCCCTGCCGAGCCCGGGTGGAAGGTTGCTGAGGTCGCGCCAAAGCCGGGTGGCAACATCACCAGTGCAGATACGCGGTTCATCAGTGGTTATGGAGAGGTGAGGGCTCAGTGGTGGATCGATGGCGATGAGTTCCGCCTGAACTTGTGGGTTCCTCCGAATTCAAAGGCGAGGGTGACGTTGCCCAAGGGAGTAGAGGTTGAGGAAGTGGGATCCGGATATTACGAGTACAGTCAGTCTGGATACGAAGAGTACGGGGAACTATAGGGCTTAGGAACTTGGACTTTAGTCACCGATAGGGGAACAGTTTATCAATAACTATGCTTCGACTTCTACTTCCCCAAACTCCGTTTTATCTACAAGCCTCGTATTAACAGACCCTTTAAAAGTCCCGAACGGGGAAAGGACTAATGGACGCCTGGGCAGTGGTGCATTTATTCGCAAGCGCTGCCTTGGCCTCGGGACTATTGACGGAATAGCAGTCGGTGCCAATATCAGAGACGCCATCACAGATAACAAGAGGAGTTCCGCCGCAGGGGCTCTGCACGTTGAAGTCCTCAAACTTGATGTTCTCACAAACAGCATTCGGGTTAGTGCTGCAGGTCAACTTGGCCACGGCGCGGCCGTACTTGCCGGAGGTGTATCCGGTGAAGTTCTTGAAGAGGACGTTGGTGATGTTCATCTGCGAGGGGTACTGCGCGCACGTCGTCGAGTTGATGTTGAAGTAGCACGAGTCGATGTAGGCCGAGTACTCGTTGTTGGCGTTCCAGAAGTTGCGGAAGGTGACGTTGTCGATGAAGCCGTAGCCAACGTCAGGGCCGGCCCAGGTCTTGAGGCGGGCGCCGTGCTGGCCGTTGAGGAGCCAGACATTCTCGATGAGGACATCCTGGACGAATGACTTCTCGCCTTTGTACTGGCCGAGAGATCCCATCGACTGGCCGTGCGTGCCTGTTTTATGTGTGAGCATGATTGTACCCTCGAGTGGTCAATTGCGTGGCTCTTACCATTGCAGTACATGGTGTCAACGTGGATGTTGGTGGCATTGCTCTTAGGTGAGAAGCAGTCATCACCAATGTTGACCCATGCGCGCTCTACACTGAGGTTTTCAATGTTCAGCGAGTCGAAGAAGTCAGTGTTCTTGGGGAGAACGGTGGCGTTGTTAGACTGCGCAGTGCAAATGACATCGCGGAAGGCAATATCCTTGGCTAAGAAAATGTTAGTGAATCAGGCCATAAAGCGCACAGTCTGCTCGGAACTCACAGGTAACGATAAATGTAGTCCAGCAAGGTGAGTCTTTGAGGTGAATGCCCTCAATCGACAAATTGGTGGCATTCTGGGCGTAGAAGAGGATGGGGCGCAGATATTCGTTGTCAGGGTCGAGAATCTCGAGTCCTGAAAACTCATTCCACCAGCGCTGGCCGTTTCCGTTCAGGACACCCTCGCCATAGAACTTGATGTTCTTACCTCCCAACTTCCAGAACATGAGAGAGTTCTATGATTTAAATTAGTAGGCTTCACGGGTGGTTCAAAGACATCGGCAACTTACCTGGAACGGGTGAGTGAAAGCATTCGCTTGCCAATACGCGGTATCGTTGGTGAACTTGATCTCGCCCTCGAGATGGATGTGAATATCGTTCAACCAGGTCAAGTCCAAAGGCTTGCCGATCATGTAAGTATGCCCCTTGGGAAGGTAGAGGGTGCCACCATGGTTCGCCTTCTTCAAGCCCTTGAAAAACGCATCCGAGACATCATCCTTGTCATTCTTGGAAGAACGGATGGTGACCTTTTTGCGGTGGTTGAGGGTGGGAGCCTTCCAAGGATGCTTGGTTCGGAACTCGGCAATGTTCCTTGGCACGCCGGCAGGGAGCTCAACGGCGCTCACAAGAGCCCCTGCGAGGAGGGAGACGAGTGGAAGGACAGCGGATAGCTTCATGGTGATTGACTGAACAGCACCGTGATGAGGAACTCTGGCAAATCGAAGAGACTGGACCTGCGTGAGGACTGAGCGAGCTGGAGACGAATTGGCCTTGGCGATGGGCTCGATTTATACATCTTTTCTGTTCCCCCTTGCGATCCCATCCCTGCTCTGGATCCTGGCGATGAGCCTTAGTGCCCTGCACGGTTCGAAGCAAAAAAACAACCTTCAATAAGGCGGTATACATTGTGGGGGGCGGGGAAGCAGGGAACAAGTCAGCATGTTTGGGGTATTCGCTTAACAACTGATCCGAGCATTCTTGGTGTAGAGTGCGTATGGTTGAGGTGCTGAAATTGCTAGGACCAACGCCGATATTACCTTGGGGGTTCTTCAAACACTCGCCTGCTCGAGTCATCACATGCATAATGGGGTATTTTCCGTCGTCCGCTCATTTTGCTCCGCAACAATCCACCTATGAGCAGCTTGGTGTGTATCTCGGGGCACGACTAAATTGAGGGGTTTCGGTCATTTCGACTCGTTTCGGCCGCATCACCAGTTGCGATACGACGCTGGACGAGGTGACAAACATCAGTTCTAGAGGAATTAGACTGGAGACGGGGATGATCGACCCTAGTCGGGCCAGCACACTGTGACATGATTGATGGAAAGAGATATCCCGTCCAGCGGAAATATTTCCCCACAGCGGAAGGGCCCTCCCCCACACTTGGAGATCCCCCGCACACTGGTGATCATTACTCGGGTTTTCCGTCGGCTAGAAAGTCCTCACTATTGATTCCCTGTATTTGGGTGCTTTTCAATCAGTCGTAGAAGATCTAATCATACCTGTCCTTGCATCAGCTGGTGACTGGGGTGAAATGAAGTGTGGCACATGCCTAAGTAACTATGCCTAGTTCAGGCACCTCAGCGTATTCGAGGGGGAGAAGATCTCCACTGTGTTGAGTCGGACTATGCTACGGTAGCCTTTGGGGGTGGCGCCTAATTACGTTACAACATGGTCATTGACAGCTACTAACTTTAGGGGCTGGGAGAAATTGCGAAGGGCATTCTTTGGCGTGAGTGAAGCGGAGCTCTTGTCTGTGCCTGGAAATACAATCGCAAAAGTCGAGCTGAGTTAATCCACACCGCTGCGTTTTCGTCCAAGTAAGGGCATGCAAAATAAATTGATAGCTGTCACGAATACAAATACAGCCAGTTCATATACCGCAATCAAATCATAAAAGGAATCTACCTCATATTGCTGAGTTCTCACGATTCTGCTGTCTCCTTCCCGATCTCACGAGAGTAACCCCAAATCACCCCGAGGCATTCTATTTTGCCACCACGCCGGGTTCTTAGAATATCCAAAAAGCTGATATTTTATTTTTGCTCTTCAAAAGATGAAGGCCACCGCCAGTGTTCTATTCGGCGAATCTGCGGTATCAACTTCCGTGATCGGAATTCAATGCGGTGGCGAAGGCCTCTCCCGACAATGCTGCTGCTCCAAATCCAACCAGTATTCAAGCCATTATCGATCACATTGAAGACCAGGGTAAAATTTATACTTCCCGGGAGCATACTAGCAAACATCTCGTCTGTGCTTACTACGACGCTACGACGAATGACAGCCCAAGAAGCATCGATCTGCATTGAGGCTCTTCTTGAGTAGGGCTGCTACAAATCCGGCACTTACTTAACTGAGAGGATAAAGCAGCGACCCATCAAACTGTTCAATTGGAATTGGTTTTATATAGGAGCCACTGAGGTGCATGTAAAAAGGTCAATCTGCATGCGAATCCGGCCTGGAAAATCTATCCAAGTCTAGGGTAGCTTTCGTCGCAATATCCCTCTTGGATAACGCCTCGTGTGCGCTCCAGACTTGAGCACTACTTGGGAGTGTATAAACTACTCGCACAGAAAATACTCCATTCGTAATGGTTTTTTGTATCAATCATTTATCAGCTATGATACCACACATGTTCTCACCCTTGGACCACCGTGAATGATAACAAGCTGCGTCAGTGGGGACCCGCAAGACCAGGGGCACCATTTTCCGGTATTGGAATGGCAGGAATTTTTCAGGATCGGTGGAACTCCGTGTCGGTTTGTTTAGTCGCCGACATGCCGATCACTTTCAAGGTCATGATCCTTGACGCAATTTAGTTGCGGTCGCCTTTCGACGCAACACCATTTTCCCAAAATAGCTAGATCCAACCATTTACCCAAACGGGAAGCACCGGCTTGGATCTCTCCGCCTCGAATCCCCGACCGCTGATGATAGCGCACACCATTTTCCTAACACGGCTAGACTTGCTCTATAGCAAAATCACGAACCTTCGAACATTTGGTAATTGTTGTGAGTGAGAAAGATTCAGATAGCAGGGCAAAGCAGCTCTAAATCAAATATAAATATTACAAATTATCCTGACAGATTTTTTGTCTCTGAGACTTGCAATCCATTCCTACACCAGCTACCAGGACTCCAAGTGTCGCTCCTAGCCACCGGGATATCGAACACTCATCAATACCTTTTCAATCGCCTCCATTATGCCTGCCGACACCTTGTCTCTAGCTGGCAAAGTCGCCATTGTCACCGGTTCCGGCCGGGAGAACGGAATCGGAGCTGGAATTGTCGTGGCTCTGGCTCGTAACGGGGCAGCTGTCACCATCAACTACGTGTCTGACTCTGTAACAAAGAGAGCACATGATCTTGCCGATAATATCAAAGCTGATGGTGGACGAGTGACTGTCGTCCAGAGCACTGTTGATACTGAAGAGGGGGCCCAATTTCTCGTTCAGGAGACCTTGAAGGCTTTTGGAACAGACCACATTGATATTTTGGGTGAGTCTCTACACCTCATCTGGAGTATTTAGAGACACGACTGACATCATGTCTAGTTAACAACGCTGGAACTGGGTTCGCAGGCGACACTCTCAAAGTCAAGCCCGAAGAGATTGCAAAAATGCTCGACGTCAACGTGAAGGGGCCAGTCTACGTCGCACAAGCTGCAATCCCTCACATGCCTCATGGAAGCCGAGTGATTAATATCTCCTCAATTGCGGCGAGACTCGGCCTCGACGATCTGCCCATCTACGGCGCATGCAAAGCCGCTCTAGATAGTCTCACCTGGTCGTGGGCTAAAGAGGTATGAAACACCCAATCACATGGTCATTTCCAGGACTAATTAGACGTAGTGGGGACGAAGCAGAGGCATCACTGTCAATTCTGTTGCTCCAGGCCCCGTCGTGACGGACGTCGTCCCTCCAGAATTTGCCGACGTTCTCATGCAGCCCCTGAGAGACTTAACACGAGCTGCAGACAGATTGGGTACTGCTGAGGACATCGCTGACGCCGTGCTTCTTTTGGTGTCGGAGAAGGCGCGTTGGATTACTGGGCAGTATATTTCAGTTAGCGGAGGGATCACTGGTCTCTGATCGCCGTATGCTGGAGAGAGGCCAGTAACGGAATGCACATGTACTTTTTTCTCTTGTTGATAACATCGGAACCTCGAGTACATGGCCTATCACAATGCATGCGAATCTTACCTATCACACCTAATGACGCTGATTATGACGGCTCTTGGCTGCCAGGTTGCCCCGTTTTTGTCAGATTGCTTATAAATCGTCACCTCTCCTACCATTGAGACCAGAGGTTTCTTTCAGTTCATCCAAAAATCCACAAAGAACACTCTCGTATATGAAACTGATATCACTCCTGCCTCAGAAATGGAGTCATCGCCATCTATCCAACAGAAGCCGGCTTCGACCCCACAGCTCGTATTTGTCACCGTCGCTCATCCGAACGAGATGAAAGATCGGGACACGTAGACAAAGATCAGTCGCCATGTTATGAAAGAGATTGGACGGTCTAGGAGGCGAAAGCCCCGGAAAGATCAACTTGTCTTCTCCACGCCAGAGAAACCACCATCCCCCGAAGCCCGCGAAGCCGTAGCCACACAGCTTGACAAGCACATCCAACAAACATCGAATTTCCCGACGCGGCAAAGTCCACAATCAGCCCTACCGCAATCCTCTTCGAGTATATTCAGTCCCCCAGATTCAGACCGTGCCTTCCTTTCTCCTCCTGTCTCAACTCCGGCGCGGAGACTCATCAGCTTTCGTATGACAATTGGCATTAGCACGCGCTCTCTTATTGACTGTGTTTAGTGAATAGAGATGACTCTTCGATGTGCCGAGTGTTTCGAATGACATGTTTTACCCTGGCAATGGCCGATGATGGCGCCATGTACATGGCTCTCGCGGAGTCCGCACTCTACACGGGGCAGAACACTCAGGACTCTCTCATACAAGAAAACTCACACTCTTTGCAGCACTACACAGCCTCGCTTGGGCTATTGAATGGCCGCCTACGGAATCGAACTAGCTCTATTGTCGAATCTCTCATTGGAATGATGATATTCCTTTCTGCCTACGATGTAAGACTTCTTTCTTTCGCGCTCCATTTCTAGGCCTACCTAATACCCCCTAGCTGCGAGTCCGCAATTTTGTGCGGTGGTCTATACATATGGACGGGCTGCAGAGGATTATTGAATCAAGAGGCGGCTTATATACACTCAAGTCATACCATCTTCAGAGGTTCCTCATCTGGTACGTCAAGGCCAAGATCTGACCTGTGGTCCATATTACTAAACTCCGCACAGGTCAGATATGGTTGGCTCTATGTCACTGGACACACCGCCCCGGTTTCCGCTCCATGGCTGTATCGTGAGCACCTTGCATGAATATCCCGTTTCACCAGTCCTTTCTGGGACATTGTATACTCTGCAGGACCGATGCCCAACTCTGTGGGATATCTGCCCACTGCTAGAGTCTCTTTCTGGTCTGGCATAGCTGGCTTCCAAAAGTTTGCCCTTCAATTGGTATAAGAATACCGCTTTGACCCAAAACTTTGGCCTTCTCGTGCATAGCATGCTCAACTTGCCGCGGCGCGAGATTCCAGCAGATCAGAACAACCCTATGACACCCGGACTAGCAATGAGAGAAACAATCCGGCTGGCATCGCTATTGTTCTTGACGGCACCGGTCAACTACCTAGCTGCGAATATGGACTTGTATAGTGATCATGGAGATGGATTCCAAAAGTTACTGGCTTCCAGAGCACTGGACTGGTCGGGTTTGGAAGACCTTGAGCTGTGGGTGCTGGTCATCTGTATGCTAACTGTGAATAATGAAGATCAGACGGGGATTGTGTCTCGCATTCATGCTATCATGAGCATGAATTGGCTAGACTGGCAGGGAGTGCTTCAAAAACTGAGACAAATTGCTTGGATGGACAGTGTTTTCTCCAACGAGGCGAAACGTTTGGAAACACGACTTAACTAGATTCATCTCAGGTCTCTGGCTGTAGAATGCAATGTCAATCTAATTGGAACAATCTATATGTTCATCTACATATTCTTCATCCGCTGGCGGTCTCTATTAGGCCTCAAGCGTCTCTAATAATTCAAGCGTCTAGAAAACAACTCTCTTCGTCGGGAGCGGACCGTGCTCGACGAACTTAACGCGCTCGTCATCCCGCTTGCTTCGTCTCTCCTTCTTAGAGTGGGTTGCGCCGGACTTGTAGTCGTCACCTCCAACAGCAAGGAGAGCACCGGGAACCGCAGGCCACTTCGCCGTAGACCAGACCGCGGGGGTGAATTCTGGCGTCGTGTCGCCGATGGTGTTGTCGTCGTTGACGGTTGAGCCGGGGACACACTTGCCACCGTTCCATGCAACCTCTGCGACGCCCTCCCAAATCTTGGTCACGTCGAAGACCATCTCAGTGGTGTAGAACATCTTGCAGTGGGCTGCCTCGTAGACGAACTGTAGTGGCAGGCTGTTCTTGAAGCCAGGCAGGTATTGGTTCTGCGTGTTGATTGCTGTGTCAGTAATCAACAGAGGCGCTTCTTCGACGCTAGGTAGATCCAACGTGTATGGGACCATCCCTTCGGTCTTATTGAGCGCAAGGTTGATGTCTCCCTGCACCTGGGCAAGCTTGAGAACAACACCACCCTTGGTTCCTCCCATCGCCTGCATTGGTGCGCTCAGAGGGCGACCGCCGATGGCGATGGTGCGCACGCCGCCGAGGCGCGACATCCAGCCAGTGAAGAGGGGGCAGGAAGAGTGACACGAAGCGTCAGTGAGGATGACGATGTTATCAGCCTTCAGGTATCCAGAGGACAGGGTGTTGTTGCTCGGGAAAGTCGCCGAGTCGTCGCTGCCATCGCCGAATGCCATCTCGACAAGACCGTTGGAAATCAAGTGAGTGAAGTCGTCTCCGTTGAAGGTTTGCGGCCCAAAGATTTGTTTCCAGCTCTTGTAGGGCTTGCCATTTTCGTTCTTTTCGGAAGCAATCAGCGCCGAGTCGCGGTCCTCCCACACGTTCTCGCCGATCCAGTCGAGAGCATCCGTAGCCCGCATGCGGTAGCCGTCGTCGAGCTTAACGTCAGGCAATATCTCATGAAGGAGGTCGACAGCTGCAGCGACAAAACCACCTCCATTGCCCTGCAGATCAATGACGAGCTTTTTCTTGCCAGCTTCTTCGAATGCACTGAGGAAGGAAGTGAGAGTCATGTAAAATTCCGTGAGGTCTTCTGTCGAATCCAGATTGAAGCTCGAGGGTGCCTCAAACGCATTGAGAACCAAGACTCCGACATCTTTATACTCGGTCTCGTTAAGGAAGTAGCCAGAAATCCAATTTGCGGAGTGCTTGGAAACTGGGTAGGGGTAGCCAGGTACAGTTGGGCTAGCCTCGTCGCTTGCGGTGGTTGTCGTCTCTGTAGAACCGGGAGTTGTAGTGGGTGTCGAGGGCTCGGTCGTCGTGGGAGCAGCTGTCGTTGCGACCGTCGTCGGAAGTTCAACTTGTTTATGGAGAGCCTCGGGGGAATCGATTTCTGAAAAGTCCACCTGGACTATCGCAAAGTTTTCAAAGGTTGCCCGCGAGCCGTTTGTAAACTCGAAAACAGTCTCCTCTCCAATCGAGGTAAACTGTGTTCCTGAAAACGAGCCTTCTGAGCCCTGTCCTACTTTTGTGATGCCCTCGAATACCTCGTTGTACAAAGCGTCAGGATCCTGGCCTGATCCAAAGGAGGTGAGCGTTTCGATATATTCCAGGATTGGCATGCCATCGACGGTCATGATATCGGATTTGGAATAGCCCTCGAGAAGTGATTTCTTGGCGTCCGCTGTTGTCAATGTTAGAACCTCATCTGTAGAAACTATCATGGGTTACGTTACCAGCCAAGTACACCTTCGGGACGTTGCATCCATCATCGGAGACAGATACCAACCCACCACCGCCGCGAGCGAAGGTGAATGCGTTAGCCAATGGAAGAAAGATGCCGAAGTGACCATCTTTGACACGGCTGGTCTGAAAAAGTGTAAGCGGGGTCCGACAAAAAAGCCCTCACGAAACATACCACTGCTGTAAACTCTCGAATGAAATCGTACTGGCTATCGTACGATCCTTCGAGTAGCTTAGCCTTTATTCCCAGCAGACCCCCGATAAGGTCGACACCGGGAATCAGGTACTCGGCCGGTGGACGAGCCAGATATTCCAGCGTGCTTTGGAACTCCATGAAAGGTAGAAGACTAGACACATCGAAGTCAGGATTAAACACTTGTAGTAGTGGACGGGGATCTTACTAGTCGATGAATTCGATATCCTTCGCAACGTCGACTTTGATCGATCGGAGACATTTCAGAGCCACAGACGGAGGGACGAGGACAGAACCTAGTATGCATTATCAGCCAATTAGGCCAAGAGAACTTTCCAAGTGGATTTCTTACCTTCGGGATCCTCAGCTTGCTTGGCAACATACACTTTGTGAATCGCAGCACAAGCTCCAGTGGGAGGGCCCGGAGTCGGCGTAGAGCTTGGAGTGCCTGAAGGCGTGCCAAACCCTTCCCAGTAAGGAACTCCGGCACTCGCCGTTGCGGAAAGCGCCAGACCGGCAAAAATGGGAGAGGTTCGCATCGTGGATAGATGTGAACTAGAACCAGATGTGATGATTAGGATTGAGCAATGCTCTGAAGTACGACAGTCTTGGGACTCGACCGGAATTATTTAACATGCGAGCCCAACATCTTTATGGCGCTGCGCGGAGACATTTGCACCATTGTCCTAGTTCAATCTGCATCCCATCTGACGACTTGGGGGCTATGCGTACGGTATGTACCGTAGCTGATGACAGGCGCAGAGCACATTTGGCGCGGCTGATAGGTGAGAAATTGGTACTTTTGGGTGAACGTGGCTGTGGGATTATTTTTGGAGCTCCAACGTGCAAAATGGCTCCTCATCCTGCTGATGCTACCGCGGCTGGGCTTACTCCGAGAAGTGCCGGGGGCTGAAGGCTGTGGGACAAGGTATTCATTGGTCGCCTGGTATGCAGGCCATGCTCACTATGTGGAGTTTGGGTACTTTGGTGGTTGTTTTGGTGAAACGTGGATAGAGAACGCGACGAGCCGAGAGAGCCGATGACTAGAGATGGGAAGAACTTTAGTCAGAGGCTTGCGAAGTATCAAGTCAGAATGAGCAAGTATAGTATAGAGGCCTCTCAGAATCAATTGTATCCAGCGTGCACGCTCTATGGGCGCATGAGTGGCATCTAAATGAAATCGTGGATTTGTCAAAGTGGCTGTGCGACACAAAACGGCATTTCATATTGCAAGACAGCACACTACTAGAAAAATAATTGCTCCATAGAAACTATTGAATTATTGCCCTTGCGATTGCCATCTATCCTCTAGCATCTTCTACTCCGTGCTACCTTGTTATTCTTACAACACTTCAAACTCGAATAGAGGTATTAAAGGCCGCCCTCTAGTCATACTCCTCGGTTTTCGGCTTCTCATAGTTATGTATACACTTTTAGGAACTCCAAATGGACTGCCACAGCCCACCCGCAGAGAAAGGTCGTCTGTAATTCACAGCATTCATTCGCACTAGCCACACACCGTGTCAGCCACACTTGACTTCCACGCCCGAACACTGCTGACGTAACACTTGGGCAGACTAAAACTTACCTGACTGTCTGGCGAGTGGCGGGCAACCTTTCCCTCTCGTTCACCACCCCTCTCCAGTCAACCAACACATCACTATGTCAGTTCTGTCAGTTCTAGTATTTATAGCCCATGGTAAATCCTTCGTGTAGCTCTCCACCACAGTAGAATACTGACAAAATGTCGCAGGGACTTCTCTCCGTAGGGGCTACTCCCAAAAACCACCAGACGATGCGACCCTTCTCGAGCTGTTCTCACGCATCCTCGTGGGCCAAGAGAAATCCCCAAGTATGTCCTGTGAATTATTTATCGTTTACACTTTCATTCTAGCAACGGCTAATTCGACTCAAGGCGAACTCTGCGCCGCGTTGGAACAAGGCATCAACTTGAGTTGGGAGGGTGTCTATGATTTTGTTAATCCTTTTGGCGACAGCCGAGGTGGTTTATTCAACAGCGTTTGGACATTCTATTTCAACAAAGATGTGCTTTTCCTCACAAAGCAGGATCGATTCTGCTCAACGCCTCTCGAACTTGCTTGTGAAAGACTGCTCACTCTGGACGATTTCGAGCTGCTAAGCTCACCTACGCCAACACCCCCAGACGAACAGACTCTCCCAGGACCCTACTGGGACCCTGAACTTAACCACTTACCGCAGAAAAGGGCGTTTGTGGGCAAAATTCTCCGTGACTTTGCCTACACATGGCGACATGTTCTTCGAAGACAAATGAACACCACAGCGTTTGTTAAGCTGGCATATGCTACCATCTGGATCTCAACAATGCAATTTACTCTAATAGAACGCACGGGATTCGAACATATCGCTATCGGTGGACCATATGTTCAATTGGTCGACCTGCCAAGCTGGAAGACTCCCGAGGCGACTCTCGTCCAAGTGGGCTCGTCCTGGTTTGCCTTAGCACAGGACATCGAGGAGGGAGTTAAAATGGTACGACGCCATATGAACAGTCACCCATCGCTCAAAGACGCTACGACCAATGTGGTAACGTATGCTATCCTAACTCCTCGGCAAGTCGTTCTTTGCAAGGTTCAGGGGAGTGAGCTCGTGCGGACACGGCCAGAGGCACTATTCGACGACATTTCTCCATCCGATACCGCTATCGACATGATTTTCTGGGCAACCAACACGACTCACACCGAGCCACAACCAATTACAATCAACTTTCTTCCTGTTGAGATTCAGGATAGAATTCTCTATTATGCAACAACTAGCTTAGTTGCGTCAGCCAAATTGGGATGTGAACTTGGTCTAGGGTCGCCGTTCTCCTGGGCTGATAGAGGCGTAAAGATCGGGGTTCAAGAGTTCAAGCGGCACAGGTTTGAAAGTTCGCCCGTAGAATCCCAAGTCGCTTTCAATGGAATGATGAGCGGCTTGTCCTACAAGCGGGAGCGCGGGTACCAGGCAACACCTTTTAGGCTAACCCCAGTTCTACCTCCTAGACCGAAGTAGTTCGTACGGTATGCTGAGCATGTATATATGCTAGCAGCCCATCAAACGGAAGTGGGTCCTGTGGCTTCCGTAGCTGAACGATGAGGTTGTTCCACGATGTTCTTGGCCTGGAGCTTCAATTCAGCCCGAATAGCTTCAGCCCTAGTAACTACAGTCAACAACCTTGCGACTGCGGATCTCTGGGAACCATTCTCTCCAGAACATAGTAGGACTAGTCAAACGCAACACAGGATCCGATGTTGAATCAGTCCCGTTTGAAATGGTTAGTACTTTTTAAGCACTACCATCCACATGCTAAGGCCGCCAGTGGTTACCCTAGACCTATCGGAAGTGGCCAGATTACGCAACAGTGCATAGCTGCAATGGTGGCGAAGTAAGAAGAGATATTATCGATATGGTGAGCTCAAGGTTTATAAAAATTCAAGCAGATACGCACAAGGGGCGAGCAGTATTGGGCATGAGCATCTGCTTAGAACACCGTGCCACTCCACACTAAAAAAACATCACCACTTTAACATGCATTCTTTTTCCTGCCTTTTGCCATCAACACGCAAGAAAGTATTGACGCAAATAGTTTATATCACCAACTATCGCCGGCTAATTTTTATCCCAAACTAATCGTCGTGGCCTCTCTCGGAATATTCCGCTTTCTGTGTCTAAAAATGCGTCACGCCACGGTCTCTATCATCCCACCCCATTCCGATTTCAAGTTCTGCCATTCCCGACCGCCTCACTGCCGCGCGCGGGTTCCGCTGTGCTGACAAACAGCAAGTTGGCTGAGTAACACGCGCGCGCTGACAAACCTGAACGAGCTGAGTTGGACAAGACCAAAAGATTTCCCCTCAAATGACGCAATACGAAGCAAGGCGCTGGTTATAAAACCATAGCGTTATAAGGCTCATCACAGTCTGTTTGGTCTATTTCCCGCCCCATACGACACCTACTGCAAGTGATCGCCAAGTCTATCTAACACGATCCAAGAACAACTTCCAAAGATGGTTTACACCTCTCCCCTCGCTGGCTATGAAAACGCACCGCCGTTGCCCGATGAGAGGGCAGCGGATGGGAAAAGCTACGTGAATCCACCAGCAGAGAAGCTGAGCGAGGCGTATGAACAATTCATTGATCCGCTTGACCGGACAAGACGGGGTGGTTTGTAAGTCGCCCTCGTGGATTCCACAGTCGGGCTCCATGACAAAATATTAATTCCTCTATCTTTAGCGACGTCCACATCTACTACCTCCAGACAAATCCGGAGCAGTCAAAGTATGCTAGCGAGCTCTGGCAACGAATCCGAAGAGAATGTGGGTTATTAACCAACCATCTTCTCAATACCGGTTGACTGATGATTGATAGTTCCCGAGTTGAGAATCTACACGTTCTGGGACAAGCCTATTGGACCCCACCCGGTGGCCATGTTTGAAGTCAATCTTTTCACTCCAGCACAATTCGGCGCCTTTATCTCGTGGCTGGCCATCTGGCGCGGGCCCCTGTCCGCCCTTATCCATCCAAACGTCGTACCAGAAGAGGGTGCAAATCGTATGGAATCTGAGAAGAGGGATCACTCCGAGAGAGCAATTTGGATGGGCGAAAAGTATCCGTTGGACTTGAGCCTCTTCGATCGCCGATAAGTTTAGGTTAAATCGTATTATGCGTTAATAAATAATAAAAGCAACGTTCAGCATCACAATTTCAGAATTCATGTACCTGGTAACCATCGGCTAATATGGTGCTTGCATTCAAGACTTCCTAGACTAATGTACCTGCTGAACTTGACTGTATCGGTTGTATCGTCTGGTACGACGTGTCGTGTTGATTGTGTAAATGCGGGACTCTATTGTTTCCAAATCCTGTACGACTCTGATTTATTCGGTGATATTGAGTAAGGGTGAAAAATGACATGCCATCTTGTGATGCTCATTTCTAATCGACGAATGTTATTGCCAAATATCCCAATCGAACTATGTTGAGAGGATGACCGATATAAACGTCTATGATATTTAGTAGGCAAGATAACAGCCTGTAGATATACACAGAAAGTAATGTGAGGATAGACTCGCTGCATAAGACGCATTGAGTGGGTGGCCATCCAGCTACAGAAACTCTAATCAGTCATGTATCAATTTTCGTCCGCAATTGCCGTCAGATTCACATCCCCAGTCTTGATAAACTCCTTCTCTTTCGGGAGCGAATCGATCAGGTCGTCAGAAAAGCCCAAGTGGTCCTTGACAACTTGCTTCGGGGTAAGGGCAAGCCACTGTGCAACCGAGACGTCAGAGAATTTGGATGCCTGCAATACTTCAAGGAAGATCAAATCCTCTGTGCCAGTATTTTCCACGTAGTGGCTGTTGCCGACCGGAATATACCCAACTCCTCCAGCGGTGAAGTCAAAAGTTCGGGCTGATTCGGGTGCCTTGAAGACTGTCACACGGGCGCTTCCCTGGAGGAAGTAACTCCACTCATCAGATGTGGTGTGCCAATGGATCTCTCGCAAGGCTCCTGGCTGCACAACCACGAGAGCCGCTGAGAATCTCTCGGCGATAGGGAATGTGGTAGGGTCAACGATCTTAACAGATCCTCCAGGAACGGTGTGTGGCTCCTGAAGCGACCAATGATATGTGTAAGAGTCTTTGCCATAGATGGCCCCAGCTGACGATGTGATGTTTTGCTTTTCAATATCCTTCGGTGCAGGCGTTCCGTTGAAGATCTGAGAGTAAATGGTCAGAGTCGTTTGTATGATACCAAAGAAAGAATCGACTCACATAAAGTTGATCAGTGGGTTTCTTGTCAAAGGCCGAGGTATCCGTTTTGAAGTTCTTGGCAAGGACAGAGACCGGGTTGCGGAGGAACAACTCGGAGACCAAGAACGTTTCGTCCTCAGAGAAGTCGCCCTGGTCAAAGACGAGGAGAAATTCCACGCCCTTGTCCATGGCCTGCAGACTATGCGGCACTCCAGCAGGGAAGAACCAAACATCACCAGCGCACACGTCATCGATAAAGCTCTTCCCCTCCTCGTTGATGGCGGCAACGCGGACGCAGCCCTTTGTGATTAGAGCCCACTCACTTGCAGTATGCCAATGGAGCTCACGGTATGCGTTAGGGCCGAGGCGCATGTCAACGCCTGCCATAGCCGTCGCTTGGGGGAGGACAGCCTGGTTCTGTTGCCTGGCCCATCCAGCACCAGCTTGACTCCCGTGCCGATTATGGGAGAGGCCAAGAGGCCACATTGCGTTGGGCACATCGCCGGTATCCGTGCCAGGAGGAGCATACAGGTCTGGATTCAACTTCTCGTACTCGTAAGTTCTAGGACCAGGATCTGTAGCTCCTAAGCCGCCTCGGATAGGCTGGGGCGGGTCTGCATCATCGAAATCGAGGTACAGCCCGAGATCAGCGTCTGCATCCTGGCCGTTGACGTACTTAGGATCATTCACAATCGCAGAATCGGACTCGTCCGGGTCTGGCAGGGGAGCATTTCCTCCAAGCAAACTTGAGTCGCCGTAGAGCGAGCCGCTTGTAGAAGTCACTGTTGGTGTAGGCGGTTTCACGCCTCCAACAGGACCTTTGTTCTCTCCGTAATTTCCCATTCTGTGGCGAGTCAGTCTTCAAATCTAGCAACGAGAAGAAATCCCAGGCCTTTTCAACGTCCATGGACAAGGGGCTTCAAAATGGGAGGCAACTGACTGGGGGGCAGGACGAGCAAGGCCAACTGGCAGAGCTATCAAGCCATTGAGCAAGATGGCGCGGAGAGACATCTTGGTATTCTGGGACTTGGGTGTAAAGGACTGATATTGAGAAGTGTTCGATCCGTCTGCAATCAATGCAAGTCTGGATGAGGCCCAGTGCCGATTGTTTGACTTGCAAAGATGCCTCTTTTATACCTAAACGTTCTTGACGAACCGAACGCGTAAGTCTCATCACGAGGTGCATGATTACAATGGATGGCTATGCAGTCATTTCTGCAAGGATGGCCTTGGACAGTCCGGATAAACCGGCGTCGTTGGCGACCTCATGCATGCGACTCCTCAATTTGTCGGTTTAAGAACTGCACCCAGTGTTAAAAGGTAGCATTTGGCGTTTGTCATGGATTCAAATACACCTCATTATGCACAATTATACACTAAGATCATTAGAAATAGTCAAATGCCTCTTTGCCAAGCGCAGAGTGAGAGTCTGCTTGGAGGATGGATTAAACTCGTAGACTGGCCCCTACTATACATTTTAAGGATAACCCTATGTCTTACGTAGATATGTGAAACTTTAAAGGGTATTGATAACGCGATTCATAACTTAATGCATTGCCACACCCATTCCGTAGTCATGCTTAAAGTGTCCTTATGCTAAGATTTCGCATTTAACTCGGCATCTGCAACATTATCGGCGTTCAAAGGCAGTAAAACACCGCATTCATTGGAACTTTTACTAGTCGTGACAGCTTGCTACCTACCTTGAATCCATGTTTCGAGGTGAATAGTCCCACTATTTGCCAAGGATCGGAACCGATACGCGGGCCGAGAATCCGATCACACAAGCCTCAGCCCCGTAAAGGACCTGTATACCCCACAAGAAGGTCAGAGCGGCGGCATAAGTATAAATCATGATTGGCACTCTAATGCCAAGAAGTTACAACTGCCGTTGAGCTTGTTCCGGTTTACCCGAACTCCGCGTTTTATGGAGTCTATGTTAACCAGCCCACTGCCGGTTACCCGCTCAATAGATGTGATGATTGTGGATCTTGATCACAGGTGTTACTACGCTGGCAATTTAATAGGTCAGTTCCATTTCCTATGCACGACATCTATATGTGATACTTGATAATCATCTCTGCACTGTTTGTCCCTCATCACCACTGCTGTCCTGCCCCCTTTGACCATGACGAATGATTAATGTCGAGGGTATAAGGTTGCATTTGCATCGGTTGTAGCAACGTGACATTCTGTGATCCACTGTAAGTAGAAACGATGCATGGTTGAACATGGATTGGAATCACATCTCATTTTGACGTGTCAGAATCCTGCAACCTGCTTTCAGCGTAGCAACTCTTTCAATATAGGTAGAGGTTCTAGATGACATCAGTAATTTTGTGTATCTGTATCACTAATCTGGTGAGACCCTCACAATATTTGCAGCATCCTCTATGATGGGAATGTGAGCGTTGCTGCCTGAGCGCTAAACGAAATACTAACCACTCATTCTGTAAAAGTAACAGGCGGTACATTCAAGGCGGAAAAAATGTCTCGCCATGCCCGGCGCCCTATCCCGTCTCTAAAGGTTCTGGCGCGTCCTCTGACATCTCATTTCATTTCATTCCGCGCCCCATTCGTACGTGTATCTTAATTTTTCAAGGGTATAGGCAATTTGATCCCGACACTGCCCTTTCCCGGTTTTCTAGAAACTCAATTATCAACAAAATATGCTCAGAATCCCCCAGCCAGAACTCTCTCACTCGGCCATGTCTAAGTTATAATTATGCATGGACGAGTTTCAGGTTACTGGGCTCTGTGATGCACCAGAGATGATTCTTGGATGGGCCAAGATACGCAGTCATCAATCAAATGAGGAAATAATGATTCAGATAGCCCTCGTAGATTAATTGAGTAGTATCTAACACTGATTACCTCGACATTCAAGAGAATCTAAGTAGATTTAGGAAGTCTTTCTCCATGGGAAATAGTAGTAGACAAGGCTCTTTTGTTTTGGTCCTGTGTCAAAGCTGGCTAGTTATAGAAACTCAAGGATGTTGCGCCGATTATGAAAGATTTGGTCCGTAATAGCCCCTGCAGAGGTGTGGCCTGAAAAATAGCTGAAGTGGAGTTGGGATAATCGAAATGGGCGAACCGAAAGCTGGCGAAAACCTTACATAATTTACTTTCCAGGTATCAGTATGTTCTGTTTCATTCGATACATACATATTGAAGCACGCTTCTCATCGGTGACGGATTGGAAGTATAAAATGCTGCAATGGTACTTACCTAATCGCACCAGAGTCCCTTAAATCTCGTGAAGCACCTGGGGCCATAGTCTTCATAACAATCCCGGCTAATATTTCCGTCTTGGTACTCCTGCCGGGCGTTACTGTTCTCGGTCAAATTAGTGCCCGAATAAAGGAGTTAGAATCTTGGCATCGGGTAAATGTATTTAGTTCTTCAATTGGAAGACTTTTCTCTCGGTACAATTGAACCATCTTGGGAATGTACCAGGCTGGGTCAGTGTGCCAGTCAGGAAGATTGCCGGTGGTATTTGTCTCACCTCGGACGGCGTAACGTCGCCTTTCAGGCTCTTGCAAAGTATGTTTCTAGTTTAATATGTCAGTCTACTGTTGGAATGAAACCAATATTCTGTACGCAACTCCATGGATGCGGCGAAATGGACGTGAAGCATGCCGTCAGAGGCTGTGCGTCTACATGAACCACTTAGGGTCAGTTTGTAGCTTAAATCATGTCTAAATGACCTGTCCTACCTATGGTCACAATTCAGCTTCGCCGTCTCCGAGAATGGCTATCAAGAAACACCAGATCTCACCGCTACACGACGAATGCTTACCAACCCTACACCACCGAAATTCAAGATGACAACAATGTCTTGTCACCAACGAACGGAGGCAAGGTTGTTGACTATCCCCAGGCCCGGCTGAAATCCACAAGCGATAGAGACAAATGATTTCAGGATTTCCTAATCCTTGGTAACATGATACGTTCACGACGGAAGTTTCTTTGGCAATAGTGCATTCTGCCACGGATGATTGTTCAAGGGGACATCCATAACTGTTGTAACCATCAGCGGCGGTGACAATATCACCTTCTTGTGATGGCAAAAAATGTATTATTGGCTGCAGGGGCTCCGGGTCGGCAAATTTTGGCCGTTGACCTGATCAGGTTCCTGAATTCCGCAGCTACGCATTCCAAAGCGTGAAACCATAGTTTCCTGTTGTACGAGAGCAGTCCCGACATTGACTGCCATATATTTGCAGAAAAGTCTCATTCGCGCCCTCGCTAGTACCGGCACCGTCAAACGGTTGGAGTCCTGCTATTGTTACATGAAAATGCTGCACTACTGTGGAAAGACATGGAGATCGTTCATTGAAGCTGCAGTGAAAGAAAATGGGGTATATATAGTCGTAGGGAGCAATTCACTAAAGAACGCCGCTTAACCATGCCCATGCGAGAAGCGATGAGGTCTGATACAACCGGGAGAAAGACGCTCATTCGTGTAAGCAAACAAATCGTTGCGATTAAAAAATTGGGCTCGATGTGAGATTCGATGGAGCCGTTTATTATTGTAACACCACCTTGTACACCCTATTTCTTGTTCGTTAATATTCGTGTGTGACTTCTCGATAGCCGACTCGTTCAATTATGAATAGCAGCGTGGCATTCGGTGCCAATATTAGGCGTCGTTAAATCCGCTTTGCGCTGAGGCTTGGGCTTCAAGAAGCAATCCCCCGCAGCGTTCCCATTTCTTGCGACGGTGATGTTGGTCCAAAGAGGGATAAAAGAGACAGCGCGACAGGTGTTGGCGTTTGTCGAGTTGAAATTGTTCCAAGCCGTACACGCCTCCATGCATCCGTCGAAATTGCCGGTGAAGAGCGAGAATAATGGAGCATTGGCAGCATCGCGGTTGCAGTACATGGTGTACGTCGCATTATTGAAGACTACATGTCGCGATCAGTATTCGCTGCCACGTTCCCAAGCTTCTGCACCTACACTGGGATGTATATGTTTGACCAGTCGTTGTCTCGTCCGTGTCAGAGCAGCCATTTGTGATGTCGGAATAGCTCGTAGGGGTGGCGGGAGCACTGGAAGCGGTGACGGTCATGATAGAAGCATATGAGGAGCTCAATGCCTCCAACTTTTGGTTCGCGTTATTGTAATTGCTCGTGGCGATTCCGGTACCCGCTGCCAACCCGATGACGGCAGCAGATAAGACGGCGATGATGATGGACAGGATAAGAACGACCAAGGAGCATCCGCAGGTGAAGCGTTTTCCTCCTTTTCCTCCCGCGCTCGATGGCGCCGGTTGGTACTGGAGGGTGCTGCCATATGTCGAACCGGCAGTCGGATTGTAGTTCGGCAGATGGTATCCATAGTCGTCGGGCTTCAAATGCGACTGGGAGCCGTTTATCGGTGGGTGATAGACCTCGGGCGCATCGGATGGAGGCGCTACTTCAGGTGATTGATCGTACTTGAGAACAAGCTGGGTCAGCATAGACGAGACGTGCAGGTATCCCGCCAAGCAAACTCACTGGGGTAGCCATCTTCTACACGAGGCGAGGCGTGAAGAGGCAGACATTCGCGCAGTCACCGAGAGCAGACGCGAGGGGCATAGGGCTGGAGGTCTTTAAGAAGTGGGCTGGCGGCCACGGTGTCAGTCTATTAGTCTATTTGGCTAGTCTGTACAGCGTAGTAATTGTTACAAAACATGGATACCCAGGCGAGATTCACACGTTGGGGTCAAGGGGACCGTGGTGCCTCACGCTATGCAGGTAAGACGAATCCTTCATGATGGGTCTATGACGCTTGTTAGCCCAATCAAGTGCCCTCAGCTTCATCGACAGCACCAAAGTTCTTTTTGCTCCCCTGGACGTGAGCTTCGCAATTTGCATTCAACCTGGTCATCACCGCAACTAAAGCATGTCTCCCCTAACCAGAAGCCTCATTTCATCTTTGCTCTGGGAACATTGTCTCGGGCCACTTGCCGGAGTAGAATTATTTCTTTACTAAACAAGTGGAAGAGCTGCGCCATGGAGTGGCTGGTCAAGCATTCTAGCGCCCTATCTATAGCTCTTAGCCCGTAGTTGGCTAAGGCTGAACACACCCACACGGATGTTCGATGCCGGCCAGAGCCACAATATTCGGAGCCGACATTCATCTGAGGGACCCGGTAGGTGAAAGACAGGGGTTGGATAGTGCAAGGGTGAGTCTGAAACGCCTTCGATTGGGCTAAGAAGTGTGCGTTTTCCTTTGTGCTGCTATTGGGTGATTGACTACGGGATAATGAAAGGAGCTGTACAAATCAGCCTTCGATTCTTGATCCTCCTCTCTTTAAGTTTTCTTGCTGTTTGTGGAGTGTCTGGCATTCAGCCCGATTGAGCGAAAGGATCAGAATCGGCGCACCATTCGCCAATCTGCAACTCTTGTCGGCTCGCTTCAAAGCTCTGAGACCCGTTTGTTTGCTGATCATGTCGCAGGCAAATCCTGGGAGCGATTGCCGCTCCGCAAACTCCGGGTAAAGACGGAGCCCGCTAGCCACGTAAAGAGGGAGCCTACTACAGGCGTAACACGCGGAGGCAAAAGGATAATGGGAATTATTCACATCCCCTTGCATCGCGTCTTAGTTCATCGTCGCCAGGGTTTGCAAATCTTTTTCCTATTTAACAAGCAGCTAGGATTACCACGGCATTGCTTATCGGCACATCCTTCATGTCGTCGCGAATACCTTCATGGACCTAGGTAGGCTAAGATAGCGACCACCGCGCCATACACTGACCCTCTAATCCCAATCATATCTACTTTCTTCGGGAAACAGCCCGTCTCCAAATACGCATTGGATTCCAGAGGCCACAAATGCCGCCTCGATCGTATCTCTCGTATCCTGCTCTAGACCGTCAAAGCGTACCTTTTCTAGCTTGGGAAACCCCTCGGGCGCTTCCTCTGCCAGCTTCAGTATGTCATTTATAATGTCGATTGGGTAATCAATGGCCAATTCCCGAATGGAAGAGGGGAGAAATTCGGTCAGCAACGTCCCACCAGTAGCCCTGCCACTGTGAACGTCGTACATTATCCAACTCTCCAATTTCAACGTCTCAAGAGCCTGCATCCATTTGAGGCTTGTCGAAACCATCATATCTTCGTCTCCAAAGTTATGGACAAGCCCGTACTCAGATTCAGCAAAGTTGAGAGTCGCATGTCGAAGTGTATCTGATCTTAGAAGCATCGCTCGACACACCTCTGCCGGTGTCGCTTCTGTCTCATTAATGTTCCCCCCGCCAGACTCGTATAGAAATGTCTCGAGTTTCTCAAACCCACCCATGATGGCCTCGAAGGCCTCAGAATCCAGAGTAGTTCTTCTTAGAACCACCTCGGCCAGGCCTTGATGTCTGATGCCACTCGAGGCTGCTTGTATCATATACCCGCGAAATACTTTCAACGCTGGCGCAGCTGCCAGGATGCCCTTGACTCTCTCTACGTCACTTCCAAGCTCCGTGTCTCCGTGCCGAAGGCTCAAGTGGGTGAGGTGTGGGAGTGATGCCGCCTGACAGAAAGGAAATTCCAAATTGTAGTAGGTCTCAATAGCCAGTCGGACGACGTTGGGAATCTGCGTAGCGATCAAAGCCAACACCAGTCCCCAGGGGTCGTAGGCAAATTTGTCTTGCTCGTCCGGTGCTCTAAACGGCCGATCGGTAATTGACCAGTTTGGCGAAATTTTAATCAATTCTCCATCCGCGTCTCGAGGATATTGAGTGATCATTTGCTCGAAAAACATAATATCTGATGGGGAAAGTTCCTGGCCTGCAAGCTCCGAGCCAATGAACATCTCCTGAACATTTTGAGCCAGGTCCTGTCGCTGGGAGAGGGTCTGAGCGAGGTTGACAATTCCGTGTGGAATTGGGCAGTGGTACAAAATTGGTTGTGCATGACGGCGCATAGCCGTGCAGGTTCGGGCCAGGCGAGAGAGGGCACCAATAAGTAGCCTGTTGGAGGGGGAATCTCTTTTTCCCTCTATGAACTCGTCCACAGGGATGCAATGAGGGCATAGTGACTGGCATATTTGAAGAAGGATCTCAGTGGGGAGGCTGAGAAGTATGGCCATGATCGAACTGCGGTCTGATTCGGGTTAGAAAGAAAGATGGAAACATAAACGAGGCAATTGAGGCGAGTTTTATTGATGCTGAATGAAGCGGGGTCCTCTCTTAGTCAGCCTGTGAGTTGTTGGGCTACGTCCCTCAGTTTGACTGTAAGCTCTAAGTGTAGACGTTGGCTCTGGGCACCGTTATCTGGACCATTCGTGTGGCCTTGTAATAGTTGAGAAAATTGATTGGCAATCCCAAAATTAAAAGCATGGTTGCTATCATACTGTGAGGGGAAAACACGTTGATACTCGAGAATGTTCCTGCTAGTATTTGATAATTAGTCAAGTGAATAGCTATAAGACCGTTATCAGAGTCACTTTACGCCAGTGACGCTTCCACCATCGGAATCAAAGACCCCTGGATATAGTCGTTGTTCCTCCAGCCGGACCAGTCATGGGCCAACAAACCCCAAGTTTCCTCGAAATCCTGAGTTCCCGACCTAACGTAGTAGCTTCCCACCAGCACCCAGTACATCCATCCAGCACTGCTTTCGGGGAGGAAATCGGCAAGGCACGATGTATACACCCCCTTCCAAGTGTTGTCAGTTTGGAGGAAACCCCACTCGGTCATCAACACTGGGAAGACATTCTTGACAGCAGAGTTCGATGGGTCCATGGACTGGAATCCCTTCGTACCCAAGTCCGACTTTAACGCCGAGCAGCTGGTGGCCGAGTTGGAGTAGTTGTGCAGCTCAAGAACAAGCTTGTTTCGGAATCCAGGGAAGTCGTCATCGTCAAAGACCGCCGTCCCGGGGGTGAGTGCAGTACCCTGGACGACGGGCTGGAGGGTAGTGTCGTAGTTGAGACCAGAAAGGAAAATGAGAGGGTCCGGGTTGGCTGCGTTAATGGCAGCAGTGGCAAGCTTAATGTGTTTGTACCAAGTCGCCCAATCGTACGACTCAAGTGTACTTGAGGCAGTGCCGGTCGGCTGGCGGAGCTCATTGCGGAGTGAGATGGACACGAAGTTTGACCAGGATTTTCCCTAGACGTGTTAGTTTTGAGGTCATAGATATTTTTGGAGATTGAACTTACGTGTTTTGCCATGAAGGCCAGTCCTCTCATCCAGTTGTCGACGGGGAACTCTGAATCTCCAAACCAGGCGTTTCCGTCGGCTCCACCACAGCACCACTTGGCCTGGGAGATGTGGTTGTCCAGATGAATGTAAATTTCTTGCTTGGCACACTCGGCCGCAATGGCATCAAAAACCTGGCTAGGTTAGTATTTGGTGGTAAAAGGTCGATATGCCCACTTGCCTCAAGTCTTGTGGTAGCAGCTGTGAACTCAGGATTGTTTGCCAGCACCTGGTTCAAAACCTTTGTTCCATTGGTTGATCCAAGTGCCTCGGTAAAGGAAGTGTCCAAACGGATATCCTGACCATCATTGTCGTAGATTTGATCAATCATTTCGATAGCGTATGTCAACCGGATAACGTTCATGCCGAGGCTTTTGATATCCGAGACTATAGTAGCGATTGACTGGTACTGCAGACCCTCTGGGACCATGGCCTCGCCATGTCCCGGCCAATTTGTGCCAGCATACTTGACGGTGTTGTTCGACGCATCAACCATGCGATTTCCGTTGCTGAAGAATGGACCATTTGGCCATTGTGCCTGCCTGGCAAAGTGCCCGGTTGGCGAGGCAGTGCTGCACGACAAATAGCAAGCCGCAATGGCAATGCAAGAGAGAAGGGACACCATCTTGTTCAATTTCAGTGAAGCCGTTGGTGTCAAGCCTTATGCCGAGCAAAAGTATCTGAATCCTAAGGCGTATTACGTGGTAGTTTTATAGATGGCTGATTGCCCATAGGCATGTGAACTATTATTCCTTTCAGTCCGTGGCCACCGGCGCCAAGTCAATCATCGGCTCCGACTTCCCCGAGAGGAGGGGCAAAGAGGGTCTTCGTGACCATTGCGAGTTGCGGAGCAATAGCGTCCGGTTGAGACTGGATTCAATACAACCGAGGCTGGAGAGTTTTGCTATTAACCAGGATCCGGAGTCGAGTTTCATTGGCGCGCATGCCGTCTCGTGTCGATCCATGGTCGTGCCCTTGTCTCCCCGCATTTGTGTATGGCCGAATACTCCACATTCTGCTCGGAGAACTTACGACGCATGACCTATTGTCTTATTTAGGCTTTGCGCCGGCGTCGAGGTCCAGTACTGTTTCTATGTATGATTTACAGGGCAGCTGGGCCAAGCTCAGGCAACGTTGGATCATGAGTAGAGCGCGTCAACGGAATTGGATCAGGCACAGACAACTTCAGCCGAGATAGGTCCACAGCCCCGAGTCGAGCCGGTAAATGCCTCGTGGTCTTGCCAGGATCCAGTTAGACCATGCTTGCGCGTCATAACTGACAAGGTCTCGGTGGCTTCCATCGAGGCCGTATACTCTTATCAAATGAATCAAGCAGCTCCGGTCCACAAATTAAGGCCGAAACAATTTCTGGGTCTTTCATTTTTGCTTGCCGCTGTTTTAGAGCCAAGACGCCGACGCACAAAAATCAATTTTGCAGGACGCGCTTAGATCAGTCTGAATGCAGACATATCTATCAACCGATGATATCACTTCTTGTGAACCCAACAAGACGCCCCGGAAATCCGTCTGCGGGTTTGGTTTTGAAGTCATCAAGTCTGGAAGCACTGGAGAGTCCCCAATTTAAAAGCCAAAGCTCCGTTGGCAGTTCTCGGAACCGAGGAAACACACAATCGAGAGACAAGACCAAGGTTTGTTCCGCTACTATAATGGGCGAGGAAATAGGAGGATTCGACTACTGAGCGTTGGGGTGCTAAGCAGTGGCATCAATCGCTGTGTCTGTGATGTGGGGAACTTGCGGCATTCTTTGCGTAGGCCTTGAAAGAGCGAGCTAATAGTAGTTAGGTGATGGCAAATAGTCACATAATATGTGCTAACCGCTAAGTTGCAATGTCGCAATCACATAATGATACGCTTCCTGCGCTCCCGCCTTTGAATACAACAATGGAACACCTCGAACTGCTTCTCTCATTGCCACATCCTGGCAGCCCCACGGAAATGTAATGTAAATCCACACCACTCCGATGAAAAACTCAGTAACCGTCACTAACTTTTGACTTCGTGCTCTTGAGCATAGTCTTCCAAATACTCCCAATGCAACTGAGGTCCATAGCTCTTGCAGTATATCACCGACTGGCTGCGATAGGAAGAAGAGCAATACCTTCAACGTAGATCTAACGTTCGATGACGCCGAGTATGACGCCGCTGCATGAACAAGAGCCGAAAGACCAAAGCATAAGATCAATTGAAGACTGCCGGTTGCTTTCAGCCCCAGGTGTGTTTGCGGGATAAGGTGTTTAGCGAAGGTGAGAAATCCGCCTTTAAATAAATCATGCCACAATCTCCCCCAAATAGCTGAATCGATGCAACACTTACAGTCAGAAAGTGGAAAGTAGCAGTGATCCGGGTAGACGGTATACTGACCTTTGATTCTCAAACTTTTCAAGCCTATAAATGTACCAAACAGGGGTGGATACATCCACGCTTCCCCAGCAGCTCCAAGGTATAGAGGGCCAAGGAGCCCGACAGCGATAAACGCCATCAATGCGTGCAGGCCATCGATGAACCCATAAATTGCTAAGGCTGTCCCGAGGATCTCAACCGCAGCTGTGGATATGTCAGCGTGGATAGTCACTAAGTACAGCTCCAATGTGCAGTCTGTGTCAGACTTCCACCACCCAAGAAATATACCAACCTACTATGGGAAGTAGAAAGCCCAGACTTACTTGAAGCGATATTCCAGTCAATATCCAGTAACAATCGAGACAGATTCAGCGCAATGCACGCCGTGATAAGCCTCCGTACTTGGTTCGCAACGAATGACGGTGGGCCACCAAACTCACTCTTTTCGGGCTTCACTATGGGAAAATTGTCATCACAGCATGTGACTGGGGTGCGACCACCTTGTACACTGGAATGTTTCCATCCAATCACTCGGAAGTTGGTGGATAAATCCAGTGCCCAAAGTACCCGCCGGTAGCTAAAAGCCGGTGGCAAGCACTCCCAGCAATATGACACCGAGTCCGATGGCAGACCAAGTTTCTGAATGCGTTTCAGGGCCCGAACATCGTGGATGAGCAACACATTAGCCGACCAGATGATGTACCATGAGGATAGGAAGCCACTGAGGTAGTTGTACAAAGAATTTTCATAAGGGGGATTGAAAATGATCTGTATGGCAAAGGCAGAAATTGTGGCAAATGTTGCACAGCGGGCAGCATAGGTAGAGCATAAGTCCTCGATGAAACAAACGGGAAAACAGAGAATTGCAGGTGATATCATAGGACGTATTTGGTCGAACATTTTGGGTAGGATTTAACGCATCTCAGTTGCGATGCATCAACTATCTCGCATCAGTGCAGTAGCTCCGCCTTTAAGCCCAAGCAATAATAGCCCCGACACGCGAACGGAACGGAGCTAGCATAGTGATCGGTCTGGTAGAGCGAGAGGATCAATAGACTCCCTGACCCTGATACAGGGTTCAGTTGTAGTGGAATGGACTCAAGACATTCGGCGAAACGTAACTACATGTGAAAACCATATCGTATTAGCGTAGGTGCATGCTATTGTGGCTTGTATTTAATGACGTGTTCGACTACGTGCTGGCTCTGCTGGGAGCCATTGAAGTGAGCATACACACTCAACTTAACGCTTATGCAGATACCAACCAATGTCGGTTTCGGACTTAGGGATGAGGCTTGGGATGTAGACTTCTGAAGTCTAGATATCGCATCAAGTGCATGGATCTTTACGGATATCTATATTGTAGCATCGTGAAGGTTGAGTAACATACATTAGAGTCTTGTTTGAAGTCGGACGTGTCAACATATGAGCCGCGCTGTACAGACAATGCTGTGTCGGCGCAACATCGTGGCATTCTAAATTACCTGCGTTAGAGTGGCCACAGGCCGTCCTTGAATATATCGATAGGTCTGTGTACATTCATACCATTCTGAGTAGCCTACATCAAACAAATCTTCTAAGTGGCATATCTTACGAGCCGCCCCCTTGAACATATCGAGATCGGCGTAATATCATGCCCTTCCAAATGTCATATATGCTAGTAGTTTTGAAGCTACGGGCCGCCACCGGAAGATTTTTATATATATTTACCACCATGTCGTTTGAGATAACGTACATTACAGTGATATATCACATCATCAGCATTTTTGTGGCTCTATCGCGCTTGGGCTAGGGCTACCGCCCTTGAAATGGCGTTAAAGGATTCTCCGTGTCGCTAAGAAAGGGAGGATGTATACTAATCTCAGACTCAAGTAATGACCCTGGGACTGCAGATTTCGTCCTGCTAACACCGGGAGATGGCGTACATCCCTAAAAGTATCCACAATCTGCATTGTGGACTCCACTTCGTTCCTTATCGTCTGAGACAAAATAGTAGGGCCGATCACTCAAGGCCCATAACATAATATGATGACGATCGGAAACGAGTCTAAAACATAGTTTCAGGGGCAGGCTTTTCCCTGTTGATAAAATACAAATCTCTGATGGAGCTAAACCGCATAATGGGGGAGTTATTATGGTAGCACCTAGCACTGCAATTGCCAGACCTTAGGTGATGAGGTTGCTCATAGGTATTCATCATTAGTCTTCGTGCATTCACTCTCTCACTGAGCCTGCTCAAGCAATTTGAGGTTCGCGGTTTCTCGACCGATGGGTCGTGGCCATGCCACGCTGTACTAATCAAACATTAGCTTAATCACTACTCAGCCAGTCTCACTTCAACAGCGCCATAGATATCAGGCCCGCATTGACACCCGACGCTACCGTGACTGGTCTATCGTTCAGGGCAAGGCGCCAATCCTGTGTACTCCCGATCGAGTTCCCCTATCTACTATCCATGAGACATCTCACCATGTCGGTGTCTTATACCGGATAAGTCAGAGTCCGTAAAGTTCATGTTCCTATTTATGACGCTTCAGTTACTTTCGCTGATAATGAAGTACATTCCCGCCAAACTACCAGCAAGCAAGATAATATTTAAGTAGCTTCATCCTTTTCAAACCCTATTCCGCAACTCTTCTATCAAAGATTTCAAACCTTTTCACAATCATAAAACTTATTGAAACAATGGATAATAGCGACATGTATCACCGTGCCCTGTCCATGCCATGGGATCACTATGTCTTCTCCATGCTGTGGAATACCTACCATAGCATGGGGATATGGAAAGCATTCCCCCTTTTGGTAAGTATCATCACTATTCTCATCTTTTTAATTAATGACTCACGTTTTCGACAACAACTTGTTGCATATTGTGTTTACCAAATATACTTTCACCCATACGCAAAGTATCCAGGTCCTCTACTCGGGAAAATTACCGTTTTAAGAGCGACTTATCACGCCTGGAAAGGGGATATTCACCTGGATATGTGGTATTGTCATCAAAAGTATGGTAAGCACGAAAATGTTCTAATTAAACCATCCATGGTCTTTAAGTGCTGCAAGCACATGTACTGATAGAACGAGCTTAGGTCCTATAGTACGATATGGACCTGACCATGTACTCTTTGACACTGCATCAGGATTAAAAGGTTAGCCATCGTTTATAGAATGTTTACCTCTGTTGGATAACACTAAAATTGGTGAGTAGATATTTATAGCACGGGCCGCAATGTCTGGAAGCATAGGAACACCTCGGTATTGAACCCCAACGCCGCTAACCTCGTTACCATGTACGACAAGAAGGAGCACGCAAAGCGTCGCCGAATCATAGGTCCGCTATTCGCCGATTCCAAAATGAAGAAGTTTGAGGATACATTGTTACATCATATTGAAACCTTTTGTGAGCAGCTTCATCCATCTCAGACTGCACATCACAACGCCAACGATTGGGGCCCGGCCATCAACATGTCGCACTGCTGCAACTACCTCATTTTTGATATATTCACGGAATTTCTGTTTGGGATAAGCTACAACCTTCAACAAACTGACGAATACCGTTACGTTGTCCGTTGCATTGAAGATGCGGCTATCAGGAGTGCAGTTCTCATCTGCTTTCCATGCATTGCCATTTGGAGATTGGATAGGAAGATATTCAAACAATCAGTCGATTGTACCAGGGCCCTTTGGAAGTGGATTCGTGGAGCCACTGATGACAATAAGAAAATCAGGTCTCACGGATAACATCTTTGGATATCTCTCTAATCCGAAGGATGGGCAGACAGAAGTGCCACTTTCTGTACAAAATATTGAGTCTGAAGTGGGAGTTTTGATTGTCGCAGGTAAGTAACGTCCCATACCTAAGTTTCTTGAACCAAGTTTAAAACCAATCGTTGTTCGCTAACACTCGATATTCTTGAAGGACTTGATACGACATCTACGGCAATGGCCTCATTGTTCTTCTATCTCAGTCGAAACTTATATGCTTATGAGAGGGTGGCGTTAGAAGTTAGAACGACTTTCCAAAGCGCTGACGAGATACGACTTGGGCCGCGATTGAAGAGTTGTGTATATCTCCATGCCTGTATTGACGAATCCATGCGCATGTCTCCTCCTATCGGATTATGTCCGTGGCGACAAGCTGGGGAAGGAGGAGAAATCGTTGACGGGCATTTTATTCCGGAAGGATACTGTGTTGGAACTGGTATATACAGCATTCATCATAATGCGGCATATTTCCCGAGTCCGCATGAGTTCATTCCTGAACGATGGCTTCCGGATTCCGAGGGCAAAAAGGAACAACTCGCTACAGCAAAATTCGCCTTCAACCCATTCTCTCTTGGCCCTAGATCTTGCATTGGCAAATTGCTGGCCTATTCAGAGTTGCTATTGACAATGGCTGTGTTAATCTGGAAGCATGATTTTCAGGTGGCTCCAGGACCAGGCGGCAAATTAGGTGCTGGATGCCAGGACGACGGGGGGGAAGCAGCAGGTAGAGGAAATCCTGGGGAGTTCCAAGTTGTGGATCAGATCATCCGCTTGAAAGATGGACCAATGCTCCAGTTCCGCCCGAGACAACTAGCCTAGGACTTGACAAGTCATCTCTGGTGTTCACAGTACATCTGGTGGTTGCGCCAGTTTGAGTGCTCGCAGATCTCAACACGGATTTAGTGACAAGGATCACAATACTCAGAGCACTTATTTTTGCTTAGTTTCCATTCGCGTGAGTTTTCGCATGTCCATGAATTCTGAATAAACTATGCTCATGCACAGTGAATTTTATTTCTTCCGTTGGGCTTCTCATAGCTACCTTGACACCGCCCCGTCAATCGCTGGCTGCCAAACCTCCCGACGCGATGTATAAACCTCTGCAGATGGCGCAGCCATAGTATCAAACAAAGATGCCTTGAGGAAACCCTTTCCTGGGTATTTAGGGCTCCTCGTCAAAACCGGACTAAAAACACGTCAAAACACGTCAACATAGCTTAACAACCAAATCGAGAAAGGGAACAATTACCTGCCACAACTACCACAAAATAGGCGCTGTAAAATCCTCCTTAGACTTGGCAAATATTATATTACTTGGCTGAAACGTACCTGAACTTCATTTCCACTATCCGTGTTCTTGTCGATATACGTCTTCAACGTGCTGCGAGCGTCGTGAATGTCGAGATCGGCATCGTCAACAACGTAATTGACAGAGTAGCCTGCAATATTAGCACACCCCTATAGAGAGAATCAAATTATGATAGTCTTACCGCCTCCTGCTCTAGAACACCCGCGGCTATTGATGATGAGCGATTTTGACTCCACCGAGGAGATGTGTTGGGCATACCAGTAACAGACCAACGAGCTTAATCTCTGCTCCTCCTTTAACTCTATACTGATGCTTCCGCAGTTGCAATGGCCTGCTCGAGACATATTTGCGAAGATTGATCTCTGCACTTTTCTATCTTGGCAGTTGGATGAGGTTTGTGGGAATGCAGGTAGAAACGCGATGTGGGACTGGCTTTAAGACACCGATGTTCCGCTTTCCTCGGACCGGCTCTCGGAATCGGTAAGTAATATCTACGCTAGTTTCTTTAGCACCAACCTGACGCACACTCAACGCACGAGTTGTAGTGCACGATTGAGATGCAGGTGGGTTGATTATCCACAATCGGAAGTAGGACAGACACCAAGATTGATGGAAAATACCAAACGGCAGTTTTGAACTATCGCAGTATGATATGTATTGTCATGAAGAATTAAAATTAACTCTATGCTGTATGATCAGCTTGCGTCTGTCTCCTGTTCCACTGATGCGTCAACTCCTTGTCCTTGGGCACCCGTTTGACCTCGTCATACAATCTCGCAGTCAGATACTTGTAGATGTACACACCAGCCCCGTTATAGTTGATGCTGTGATCACTGTCTGTAAATGCAAACATCTTCATCTGTTTGGGCGACACACCCCCACCCACGAGCAGGTCAATCAGAGCCGCTGCGTGCTGATAATGCACGTTGTCGTCGCCAGTTCCATGGAGAACACTGAAGCCGCCCGCCACGTTCTTGAAGCCGTCGACGTTATGTACTGCGGTTTCGAGATAGCCCTCACGATTTCCCTCGAGCGTCTTCATATACCGCTCCGTGTACATGGAGTCGTAGAAGCGCCAGTCGGACACAGGAGCGGTGATGAGGCCAAATGTGAAAATGCCAGAGTCGACCTCGAGAGTCTTGGCAGTCAGGTATCCGCCATAAGACCATCCCCACATGCCTATCTTGTCGGGGTTGATGAAGTCAAACTTGGAGATGAGCTCCTTGGCAGCCCAGATCTGGTCCAAAGGCTCGAGCTTTCCAAGTTGCGATGTGACTGTGGATCGGTATTCACGGCCGCGGAAGCCAGTACCGCGGTTGTCGACGGTGTAGGTGATGTACTCCAGTTCCGGGTCGGAGCTAATGTATGCCCTCCAACCGTACGTTTGGAACCTCTTGGTGACTTGCTGGGAGTTGGGGCCGCCATAGGGCGTGAAAAGGACAGGGTATTGTCTGGTCGAGTCAAAGTTTGCGGGAAGTTGCTGCATGACGTTCATCTTGTAGCCATCCGGGTGTTCTAGCTCGAAATAGGTGATGTTGGGTAGCTTGTACTCGGAGATGGTTTTGTAAAAGGCACTATTATCTTGGAGGACACGGAGGGGCTTGGAGGTCGAGTTGGTAGAGTAGACCTCCTGGTAGGGGACGTCTGGGCCCTGGTAACTGAGGATGTAATAGCCGCCCTCGGATGAGAATGATGCAGACCAGTAGGCCGCAACGGAGTCGTCAACAAGAGGAGTGATCTTCTTCGTCTTCCAAGACACCTTGTAGAGGTGGCGCTCGGTCGAGTGGCGGGTCGAGGCTTGGTAGTAGATGAGGCTTCGTTCCGTGTCAATGTACAGAATAGCAGACACCTCCCATTTGCCCGAGGTGAGCTGGGTGGCCTTGCCTCCATTCACCGGGTATAAGTAGATGTGGTTCCAGCCGTCCTCATCAGAGAGGTCAACGTAGTATGTCGCGTTGCCCGCAGTCTCGAGAGGCCCGACGTATGCAATAGACAGGGTGTTTTCCAGCCAGCCGTCAGTTCCGTCACGCTCACGGATAACTTCGGATGTTAAGGAGGTCGGGTTAACGACGACATGGGTGTCCAAGTCTTGCACCCGGTTAAAAGCGCGGTAAATAAGCGCCGTGTGCGTGTCAGTGACCCATGACACTTCGCCGATGATCAGGTTCTCGGGCTCAAACACATCGACCGGGATAGTTTCGTAGTCTCCAGTTGAGACAGTCAAGAGGTTCAGCTGAACCGTTGGGTTGGTGGACCCGACCTTGGGGTACCGTAAGTCGAGCTCATTGGGGTACGTAGGCGCAAGCTTCTCGTTGTCCATGTAGTAGGGGATGGTGAAGGTGCCGACGCCAGTCTCATTGAAGCTCAGGAAAGCGACAAACTTGGCATCGGGTGAGAACCAGAGTGTGGAGCGGGAGCCAAAAATCTCCTCCTCATAGACCCAATCGGGTACCGCGTGGAACATGTCCGGGCCCCCGTCATTGGTGATCTGGCTGATCTTTCCACTGCCGTAATCGAGTATGAACAGGTCGTTATCGCGAACAAACGCCACGGCATCGCCTGTAGGAGCAAGCTCTGCATACTGGATGTCGCCGACCTGGTCATCCACCAGGGGTGTCATCTCACCAGAATCGACATCGAGAATGAAGTAATCCGCAAAGTACGAGTGGCGGTACTGCTTGGTTGCGTTGGAGGCGATGAGCATGCGAGTAGCGTCGCTGCTGATCCAGTATTCCTGCATGTCCTCGGGCAGCTGATCGGCTGTCACCCAGGTCGTGGCGCTGCCGCTAATGATGTTGCTGAGAACAAGATCGCCAGCTGAGTTGGAAGAAATGTAGACGCCATCTTGGCCAGCCGACGACCAGGCCACGCTGGTGCTTGAAGGGCGGATCTTCGCACTTGGGCTGGTCTCGTTGAAGATGAGGAGGCGCTCACCATCACCCACCGGCTGGTATTCCCCGCGGGCAGGTTCGATTGCCAAGGCGATAGGAAGGGAGGCTAATAACGCTCCGACTACCTTGATTATTGAAGCCATTATGTCTCCTCGGCTTGTGGTGCTCAATTGAAGCGAGCGAGGGAAGACAGTAAACGAGCGACTGTGACAGTTCCGTTCCACCATCATGAGGCCTCAAGTCTTTTAAGAGTGAATCGCCGATAACCCCTCATGCCATCCTTGGGCAACTCGATCCGTTTTTCATGGATTATCGCGGGCCAATTGCAGATCACTGCCCGCTGCGACCTAGGTTATGAAACTGAATCACCACAACGACCTACTTCTTTGGGACGGCGATAAAAAGTTCCATCCCATGTTCCACAGCCAAGACAACAGCCGAGTCTCTTGGCGGGGAGGGTAGCATCGGAGGCACGACTCAAAGGGAAGGTCCAGCAGATGCTATGACTAGCGACGAGATAGAAAAAAGAAATCGACAGAGGTCGCCAGAGCACGTAAAATTAAGGGCAAGTGCACGCGTGACGGCGGGACTTTTACTGGGTTGATCGGCGCTTGCTCGTAGGCTAGAACAATTAACCTTCACCCCTAACCCTTGCATGCATGGAACTTTTTGCATGTAACCTTGAGAGACTGATAACGCAATCGCCACCTATGTGGTGAGTGGAAGTTAATATTATTCGAGATTCATAAAGTAAGCTTAATTTAGAGTATTGTCTTAACTCCGATTGTAGCACATACCTGCAGGCTTAAAGCTTTAGAATTCTCGAGCCTTAATTCCTCTCTTATTTAAGTAATACCCGCGCCAATTCCACAAATTGGATTAAATATTAATAATTGGCAAGACTTATACGCGAAGCTCATCAACAAAGACGACCGAATAAATCCGCTAAGAGTATTATGACAACATCAGACAGCAGCCTCAACCCACCTATTTTGCTTCAATTGTCAAACACGGCTAACATTTGGTGTAGACACGCATATTGGTAATTTTATTGCTATTATATGAGTCACACAATTTCAATATGGAAACTGCAGATCTCAGATATTGAGACAGACAATTTAAGGGACACAAACGTGATAAAAAGAATGGTGGTGGGACAGTATGTCGGCAGACTACCCTACACCTTGGACACAATAGCTACTGCAAAGTCTCTTAACAATTGCCACGTGGAATCGAGTCACCAAGCATCATAAGATGGCTTGTTCGGTCTGGTGGTCTAGCGGTATGATTCTCGCTTAGGGTAAACCCTACAGCATAGCTTGCGAGAGGTCCCGGGTTCAATCCCCGGCCAGACCCTTTCTTTTTGCATGTTGAAGCACAAGAGATAGCCCGATGTGATGATGTGTGGAGAACTCCAAGAACTACGGAGAATTTGGGCGCGAATTGGGAGCAAATTGGTGCGTGGAGGAGTTATCTCTTTTTAGTTTTGCGTCGTTCTCCCTGGCTGGTACAGATTGGTAGGCTTTGACCCGATAGGGCCTATTGCGACATACGATCGCTGTTGTTTGTTGTGGAAGTATCCGCCAGTGACTTGACTTTGATTTTGGAATGCACTTAAAATACTCTCACGGACCACGAACATGGTGTTGAATTTGAATACATTAGATTAATTGCCGGCATGGTTCATCCGCCCACTCTCGATTCTCCGCAAGAGACGAACGGCCATACCAGAGAAGGATATACACATGTCTATCATACCTCAATTCTATAGCGACATAACATTAACGTGAGGCTGCGCAAGATTCGTAAAGAAGGTTGCACCCTGGATCTTGGTAGGCGCTCCAGCCAGAGTCACATTGCAGTTGTCAATCCAGTCTCCCTGCTTGGCGTACTTGTCGCTGACGTACTTGACATACTTGCTCAACAAGCAAGACTTGCCAGGTCCGTCCTTGCAAGACGGGACGGGGTACACCTGGTCGTTGAGGCGGATTCTCACGTAGGTCGAGTTCTTGGAGTGGCTGGTGGCGCAGTTCAGTCGCTCGAAGGCAATGGTCCCGCGCATCGTCACGTAGCGGGAGCCGATCCACAGTCTGTTGTCGTCCTTCTTCTTGGGCGAAAGATCCTTTTGATTGTCGAAGACGCCGCTGGCGGTGACAAGCTCGGTGAGCTGGCCGTCGTTGAGGAATGAGACGAGCAGACCGGGAACATCAAAGGTTGAGACACCGTCGGCAGCGGTGCCCTCAACTCCAGGTCCGTTGGCCAAGAGCTTGACCAAAGCTTGCAGGAATGGCATCATCATCTTCTTGGGCAGGTCGGTGCCGGGTCCAACACCGTAGTAGTAGCGCAGGTCGTTGGAGTACTCGTACATCTTGAGCTCCTCGTCGGTGAAGACGTCGCAGAAAGGCGAGAGGCGGCCAGTGATTTGGCTCTCGAATCCGCAAAGGTAGGGGAACAAGTTGACGTCGCTCAGCGTCAGGGTCAAGTTGCCCTTGATCAGAGCCTGGAGTCGCTTCTGGACCTTGGGCTGCCAGATGGCGTTCCAGACGGCGGTTTGGTCGCTGCCGCTGTCGTCGGAGAAGAGCGGGCACATGTCCGAGGGAGCGAGGGAGTTGCCAATCGCCGAGGTCAATCCTTTGGATGTGATGGAAACAACTTTGCCGAGGAGGGTTGAGTTGGTACCAACGAAGCCACGGACGAAGTTCTCAGCCGTCTGCAGCACGCGGGTGTAGTTGTTTGCCCACACGTAAAACTCCTCACCTTCCTGATACAACTGAGGGTACCTACAGGCGGTTAGAACATGTAGAGATTATTCGATAATTTCAACTCACCTAGTTCGCAGCTGGTAACCCATGTCCATGGCTTCTTTGTATCCCGTAGGGCTCTGCTGAGCGATTTGGATATCGGGCCTGGTCAAGACCGTGTGCCAGTTTGGCAAGAAAGACAACGCGCCACGAGCCGTGTACTTGTTGACCGCAAACTTGAATTTTGTCAGCGAATGCATTGCACGTGGTCATTTTAAGACTCACTCGTGACTCCATTTCCTTCCACTCGGCATAGGCTCCAGAGTCGGGGTATCGCGAGCCATGTCTGGAAACGTATGCTGCCTGGTCAATCGTGCACTCGGCGGGGACATCCGACGAGATCTTGTTGACGTTGGGACCAGGGAACCAAGGGCTATTGGCACCGAGCCATTCCAGAGGCGCCTTGGAATTCGCGCCTGGCCAACTGACGATGTCTCGCAGAGGCGCAAGGAACTGCTGGCTGGCCACGGCAGAGCCAGAAAGCAGTGAGGCTGCGGCAACAGCAGAGATGAGGACCATAATGACAGCGAGAAGAGACTCGAGCTCTTGGGTACTACTATTGGCGCAAGGTGCTGACCGCCAACGAAAGAATAGGGCGAATATATGTATTTAATAAGGGATTTCCCGGTGATCTGCCGGATCTGGTGATTCGCCGGACTTACACCTACTTGCATTCCAGACATCAATCTATAATAGCTCCACAGCCGCAGTCCCAAATCTTCCAAAATTAAACACATAATGAAAATGCAACTATAAGATATGTCTCAGTCTATTTCGCAGTCATCAAGCCATCGTGGTCGCTTGCTATTCCGCTGCGGCCGCCCGGTACCCCGAAATGCGACTACCATCTCCCGATCACTCTCAACAGCTAGACAGGGTCTTTTCGGACGAGCGGTACGGATTGGAGTGGTCGCTGCCTTCCCTTTTCGGTTGTCTTTTGGTAGATCTAGGGCCTGTGATGCTACCGGCGGCTCTGGTATGAGTGGAAGAGCGACGATTATCTCGTCTCGAACGTCCGGACTCTTCTCGCGGCCTTCAGAAGCCACCCGTCGTTCATGTTGCATTTCATGTGCCATTTCCAGATTGCGACGCTTAAGTTCTTGTCGAATCTGTCGATTGGTCTCCTTCTCTTGCTGCCTGGCCTCCCTTACCTGCCGTTTTCTCTCTATTTCCGCCTCTCGTTGCCTCCTCTTCTCCAGAGCGAGAGCTTTTTGCTCCGCCGCCTTCTGCTGTCGCTGAGCCTTTTGCGATTCCTTCTGCAGAACCTCCTCTTTCTTTTGGGCGTCCATCGCCGCTTTCTTTAGGCGGGCTTGAGCGACTTTTGCTGGGCTAAACACCTGAGCTGAATTTGGATCTGTACGATCAAAGAGCAGATCTTTCAGAGCTTTACCGCGCTGTCTGCGCTTCTTTTCTTGGCTAATTGTCTCGCGGAGTCCTTGATTCTCATATCGAAGCAGTTCAACCTCAGATTGCAGGCTTTCGAGGGTGTTCTTCAGCTTTCGGCTGTTGCGGTCAGCATCGATAGAGGATTTGTCGACTACTTTGTCAATAAGTCGGCGTAAATCTCGGGCCGTAGGTTGCTGAAGGGCTAGTGATTCTGCCGAGTCGCTACCCGTATTCGAATCATCATCTTTTTTCTCAGTGATCTGCGATAGGACCACTTCTGGGTCAAAAGGCAGGAGACCAGTCCGTTTCCACCCACTCGCAATGTTCTCGGAAGAGAAGGAAGTCTCAAATGCGTTCCAAAATAAAGTCCAGAACTCACGTTTCGATAGGCCAATAAGGCCTTGTGTTTTTGCTGTCCACTGGATAAGCTGATTTGAGTATGCGGTCGAAAGGGGGCTGAATAGCGACACGTCCAAGGGTTGCAGCCGATGCGTGGAATGGGGGGGAAACACCGCAACGATAATCCGGTGCTGGTCACACCACTCCAGAAAGTCCATATTAACATGGCTAGAGTGGCCGTCGGTAATGAGAAGGCGATAATCACGACCGTTTCGAGCTTTTGCCTTAGTAAAGCGATCGAAAACACCGACGAGCCACTCTTTTCCAAGCTCGTGATTTGTCCACCCCGTTTCTGAGGTGGTAAAGAAGGCTGATTGATGTTCTGGGTCAAATTCATTGAGCCAAGAGTCCTGGACTTGTCCTGGTTTGCCTTGATAGATGAGGAATGGGGGCAGCGATGTCATGTCCTGGCTGATGCACGCCAGGAACGTAATCCAAGATCGATTACCATCTTGCGACGCACCGAGCAATTTGCCTTGCTTTTTGACGTTAATGGAAAATACTCTCTTCGTTCGATTGATCACACCCAAGAGAAATCCTTTCTCATCCGCGTTATACGTGTTGCAGGGTAGGATGTTGTATTTCTCGATTTTTGTGCGGATCTTCCACTGTCAGTTGTGAAAGGGAAGCTTCGTGCATTGGCTTACAAGCTCAAAATAAGCCCTATACCTAGAGGCATTATCGGCTCTCTTTCGCGCGATGTCCAACCCGTCGAACCATGTACAACCTAACTCATCACGATTGCGTCGAACGAAGCTGTACGGCCAGTCCTTTCCGACCTCGATTTTGGCGATATCCTGGGCGAAGTTCTTTATCATAGGTAAGGTAGGGGGAATGCCACGCGATGAAAGCTTATGAATATAAGCGATAAGATCCCGTTCTTGTTGTTTTGACAGACGTGACTTATACAAACTGTCGGCATCTCGTCTTGACCGCTGTTTGCCTTGATGTCGGCGTCGCAAGGTCGTCTCGTCGCAATTGAAACGCCGTGCAGTCTCAGCATAATTAACTGATTCCGACGATTTCAGGAAATCAAGGGCCTCATCAATCGGCGCCATGGTTGTTGAGTAATTGTCGATTGATGTTGAGTGTGCGAAGTGGCGGTGATCCGGCGGATCACCAGATCCGGCAGATCACCGGGAAATCCCTTACCCCGCAACCTCGTGGCTGGCAATTGATAGGTGTGATAATATGCCTCCACTAAGCCGTTTATCGGGCCTGATTGCGTATGCCCAAAACGACTAGTAAAAGAGGTCCCTATACGCAAGAGGCATTACGCCCGAGTGTCGGCAGAGTGCGCGTCGGGACGATTGCGCTCAGCCCACGTGGGGAAAACCGTCTGGCGACCGAGAGCCGAACGCGGCGATGTAACCGAGCCAGCTGGGGAACTCGTACGAAAGGGGATCGTAGGCCGACTGCCAAATTTCCGGTTGAAATGAGACCCAAGCGATGCGTACCACGGGAGGCAATTGTGAAGATAGCGGACTGAGTCTTGTGGGAGAGGGCTGGGGATACGAGCAAGCTTGTGAAGATACCGTCGCTTTTCCGTTGTTTCCGGATAGTGTCTTTTTACAGCAACCATGTTGCCTGTCTGGCCCACGTGGATCAGGCCGCGGATCACCCCAGTGTGCTGTGTTTAGACGCCCGTGTTTGACGTCAGTAATTGCTTGGTACATGTTTAAATCAATGGGGTAGTGGCGCAATGTGTTTCGTGCGAGAAGATGGGATGTGAGGCGGCGACAAGCCCTATGTAATAGAGACGGGCTTATAGTGTTCGTTACAAAATGAAGTGGCGGTAAGATGCCCTGCAATGGACTTGCAAATCCCGAGGAGGTGCCCTGAGCAATCCCCGTCCGTCATCCGTTACACTTCTGGTAATGATCGGCATCCAGAGACCGACCAGCACGTCCATCCATCTCCGATCGTCAACCTGCAAGGGCGCAATGTATGAGGAATCAATGAGACATTGTTACTCATCAGCCCTACGAGCTCCGGAGCCGAGTGGCGTCTTCTTCCGTGTCCGGAGAAAAGTGGTTAGGCGTCGGCCACGGAGCGGAGCTGGTGGTCTCGCGTCCCGGAGTACCGTGGTCGTCGGCCGGAGTTGGATGGACGCTGACGAGCAAAGGCTTACAAACTCCAATCTTCAATCACTCTCTAGAAAGACATTAAATTATTTATAAAAACCTGGTTCATTCTATTTCTTTAATGCATCTTCACTCATTGCCATTCAATTTTGCCCTCAACTACTCGCTATGAGCTCATCATCCGACATGGATCTGCCTGTGAAGTCCGAGGCCGATGGACCACCGTTCCAGCCACCACCCTCACCATCACAACAAGGTGAGTGGTCGGCAAGAAGATCTGTTTTAATCAAATTTTTACTGACATTTACACTATCAGATATGGAGTTTAACCAACAATTAGCGAACGATATAATCGTCTACCCCGCCGATGCCTTGTCGACACCACGGCAGATTCTCTTCGTTGGCACCCTCTGCACATCCATGGCAACTAACCAGATTGGTCTCGGAAATACCCTGACCACAGTTGGGGTTATCGGAGAATCGTTTGGCATCACCAAACCTGGCCAGCTATCCTGGCTTATCGCTGGGTACAGCTTGACAATTGGCACCTTTATCCTCATCGGCGGACGCTTGGGAGACGAGTTTGGCAACAAGAAGATGTTTGTCCTCGGCATGTCTTGGTATTCTTTGTGGTCTCTAGTAGCCGGTCTCTCCGTCTACTCCTCTCATGTTCTTTTCATCTTTGCGCGTGTCTTCCAAGGCATGGGGCCGGCCCTCACCTTGCCCAACGGCCTCGCCATCTTGGGCCAGTCGTACTCACCGGGGCCACGCAAGAACATGGCGTTCGCTTGGTTTGGCGGATCAGCCCCATTTGGCGCCATTGCTGGTTTCTTATTCGGCGGGCTGTTTGCTCTTGCTTGGTGGCCGTGGATTTATTGGAGCCAAGCTATTGCGCTCGCCGGTGTGGCCGTCTTTTCTGCCTGGGCAATTCCTCCCCTGCCCGTGCAGCCGAAACAAGATCGATCGATTCGCGAAAAGCTGGAAGATCTGGATATACCTGGTGGATTGACTGGCGTTACGTCCCTGGTGCTGTTCAACTTCGCATGGAACCAGGCCTTTGTTGTCGGGTGGCAGGAGCCCTACGTCTATGTTTGCCTGATTCTCGGCGTACTTGTCGGCGTCGTCTTCTTTTACATTGAACTGAATTGGGCCAAATCACCAATTCTGCCTCTGGCTGCTTTCAATTCGGACATTGAATTTGTTTTTGGCTGCACAGCAACAGGCTGGGCGTGCTTTGGTATCTGGGTCAGTATTCCCATGTTCAAGTCAATGTCTAAACTAATCCATAGTGTAGGTCTTCTACATCGGGCAAGTCGCCGTCAACATTGGTGGAAATACTCCTCTCCAAATGGCAGCCTGGTTTATTCCTATCATTCCATCTGGTTTAATCTCGGCTCTGGCCGTTGGCAAGTTACTCGGCAAGATTCACCCGTCGTTGATCATGGTTGTTGGACAGGTAGCCTATCTCGTAGGATCCATCCTAGCAGCCACTCGACCCGCACATTCGATTTACTGGACGTATTACTTCTTCAGCGTCCTTATCATCACTGTTGGCATGGACACCTCCTTTCCCGCAGCGACAATCATTTTTTCCAACGCGGTGTCGCAGGAGTACCAGGGCATGGGCGCAAGCGTTGTGATGACCATCGTCAACTACAGCATTTCGCTTGGACTTGGAATTGCTGGTACCGTCGAGACGCACGTCAACAATGGCGGTAAGACGAAGTCAGACGAGCTTTTGGGTTATCGTGGGGCTTTGTGGTTGGGAGTCGGTCTCGCCGGACTAGGCCTCATCTTGAGCATCATCTTTGTTGCTAAAGACAAGTTGAAAAAGAAGGCGAGTGTTTGACGTCGAGGTATGTAGAGCATTTTAGTCCTCGAAACTTTGGGTTGGGTTGTGGATATGGCGCTGAGGGTGGTAAAGATACGTTATAGTAGCGGTTGACAGAAGAGTGATAACATCACGAGATATGGTGGGAAAGATGTCACATAGAACTGTGCGATTTTGGGTATTTCGCTTCTCATGGGATTCTGCATAATTATTGAGGGTCTCTCCTTTCTATTAAATATAACCTGATAAAGAAAGGGAAGAAAGAGTTGTTTTTGGAAAGATGGACATAAACAAGCATTTCTATTATTACGTTATTCTTTTGTAAAATTATATAGCCAATCTGTTGCATGTGTGGTACAGCACAAAATATGTCTTAAAGAGCCTACAAGGTCGCCTAAAAACAAGAGTATTGCTATTTGCACCAGGTACAGGCCTCTTCAGCTAATCCTTAGGTAAACTGATATACCTAGGTAGTAAATAAACTCACCTCATCTATCTTTATTACGTCGTCGAATATCAATGCTCTAAAATAATAAGCCTAGCTGTATTACTGAGTGTGCCACAATTCGCCACATTAGTGTCAGACCCAGCCACATCTGCGGTACGTTGCATCCAGTTTACTCCAGAGAGAATTTATAATCACGGCTAGATTAGTAATTATCGATACCAGCTGCTCTTGATCTCTCAACGGACATTGCTTGAATTGATCAACTTCATAAACAACACTAAAGATCTTATCTCTCAGTCTCGAATTGTCATATGCCCTAGCCAAGTATGACTACACGGAGTTTGCCCGAGTCCGACGTTGGCAGTAGCAAAGACGACCTGGCGTGCGAATCATGTTTCAAGACTTACCAACGACGTGGGTTCTGCCTTCAATATTTAGTTCCACCTGTCGATCCCTCTAGTCGTTCTCATTACCCCTAAAAGTACAGCCGGTATTAACTCTCGTGTAGGTGACCTACTTATGCGCCATCGCAGGCGCTGCCAAGGTCCTAGGATGCCAACCAGCCGTCGCAAGGCGTGCAACGCATGTGTTCTTGCAAAAACTAAATGTTGCTACACACAGCCCACTTGTACACGTTGTTCCAAGCGAGGTATCCAATGTGTGTATTCTATATCTCCGACAGCCTCGACAGTTGACCATTCGGGGCCACCACGCGAAGCCGCAGAGAACTCCAGCTCAGCGCTTCAACCACCCTCCAGATTAGCGAACCCGGCAAACTTGGGGCAGCCATTCGAATTGGATCTCCCTGCTTGGGATTTTTCGGCCTCCTCATATTCTCTTGAGAACTTCGAGATGACCATGGCAGACTTGGAAAGACCCCTTCCAGCTGCTGTTTCAAGTTTTACTCTTATGCAGCCTCCTATCGCTCATGATAGTCGAGAGATTACACCATCTAGCCAAACACTCCATCTTTCGGCGACGACCAGCGGCATTTCGTCGTTTGCACCACCATCGAGTGACAATGCGAGCTCCTCTGCGGTGCCATCATCTTCAACCTCGGTCGGGCTTATCCGCGTACTAAGCGAGTATCCTTCATTATTAATGAAGGAGTCGTTCTTTTCTCCGTTTTTGCACTTCTCACAATATTCACTCTACAACAATATTGTTCCGGATATGACGTTTTTGCCCCAAACAGCGATGGCGATCTGTTGTAGCAGCGGCATAAACAGATCAGATAATAATCGATTCTTCAGGCGGGCGATCGACGCCGCGCGGGAAAGAGTAATTGGAAGTTTTGTAAGTACTCCATCGTCTGCTGAGTACCGAGTACTGACCTGCCAATCAGCCGACCTTCCAATGTATGCAACAATGGGATGCACTACATGCCATGTTGATCTATGAGAGCTTAGAGCTAAAGGAAGGTATTCGGGATGAATCTGAAGCTTGGAAACACAACCCTCGAGTAAATGGGCTGGGCTCGGCATTTCTTCTCAAAGTATACCTTACTTTCTCTAGCCCATTTCGACTCTCTAGAAGAGTAAAAACTCACATTTATTTCACAGATGATAAAATTCTATCTAAGATCCTACCCAGAGATTCGCAATCCCGATATCACCGTCTTCTCAGACCCGAGATCATGCCCATGCCCGGCAGCCACATCTACATGGGCTCGGTGGAGGATCACCGAGACAGCGAGGAGAACAGTCTTCTTTGCCAACATTGTCAATTTCTACAGCAACCGCGACCATAGTAAACGAGAACAATTCCTGTACTATGAACCGCTCGACGATGACCTGATTCTCAATATGCCATTACCCTGCAACGAGCCCGCCTGGTTGGCACGAAATGAAGAAGAGTGGAGGCTTGCAATGGAGCGACCTACAACTTCAGCCAGTCCTTCGCGCGGATTTAACAAGCCGACATGCGAAGCACTATTTTCGGAGATGTCATTGAGGACCGCTTTTTCGAACCTCTCCAAAGAGTCACTTCGAGCCGAAATCGGGACAAGTGTTGGCTTCGGCGACTCGGACGAATTAAGACGACTCATAGTGCTCGGCGCCAGCGATCAATATTCTTGATTTTTCGACTCAATTTTTTTCCCACAACCATTGACCTCATTCTGTCGCTCTGCTGGTAGATAAAACGTGCTTCTCCCCCTCGGGGGAGTGAGCCGGAGGCAATGTCCATGGTCGCCTCGATGGAGGCTTAGTCGATTGCTGTTGCCAATTGCTGTGCCTGGGACGTTCGGAATTGTTTGTGCCATGCGGCATCCCGTGGCTGTTATTTGCTTCCAGCTGTTCCTTGACCCTTTCATACATCTCTTCGACGATTTGGATCTCTTCGCGCACATCGAGAGGGCAGTCGACGAGACAAAACTCGCGCTCTCGCTGCTCAATGTGCTCTCGAATTTTCCTCCACTCATCTTCGTCATATTTCAGGCGGTTGGGCAGCCCTGATCCCTTGAGATATGCCAGGATACCCGCCATAATGGTGCCGATGGCTCCGAATGCTGTGACGGCCTTGCGCGATCCGTCGGAGGCTCCCAGGGCCGTCAGGATGGCGCCGAAGATGACCTGAACGGCCAGACAGGTGTTGATCAGGAGATGGAAAACCTTGTAATTGAAAGCGGACTTCTTTTCGGCCTTGATAATGCGCGTGTAGATGCCGATATTTGGTCCTGTGCGGGCCGAGTGACCGGATGTGGTCAAAGCCGGGACAGTGTCGATGCCAACAAGCGACCGGAAGATGAGGAGCTTGTCGTGTGAGGGTACAAGAGTCGAGACGTCGGTTGTAGTTAGGGTCCTCCGAAGGCCACCATTATCAGGTAGACTGCCAACGGTAGAACTAGGCGGATAGCCTTGCTCCTCCCGGTCGTGTAGTGACCGGCCCCATTTGAAGAAACCGCGAGATTTTTCAGAGGACATGATACTCGCGCTAGAGGAAGCAAAAAGACACCGGACGACAGTGAAAAGCGTAAAACGTGGGGGGACGGTCAGCATTTCGCCAAGAGACACATAGGATTTATATGTCCTCCAACCGCAATGTCCGAGACAATGGCTTTTCCAATCTCTCAAACGGACCTACCCGCTCTCCGCTGACAGCACGGCTGGCGGGCTGGCCTCGAGTCTTGTGAGGAAATGATCGGCGGAGCTTAGTTATGTCGGTGAAAGACACGTCTTGTCCAAAAAGAAATTCGCTGCGGCGGAACGGGACATGATTGGCAGCGCGGAGGTAGCTGATAGACTAAACAGACTAGAGCACACGGGAGAGAATGAAGGCTTGTTTCCTGCATTATCTTAGGCTTATTTCTTTTGAGTCACCTCAGCCCTCGAAAACAAGCCGCTGCATTTGCCAATGAGAGAGAGTGGCGGCCGGGACGGCAGAGATCGACGTGAGGGAAGGGAGATTATCCAGCCAATAGAAACCTGATCAATGTGTTAGAATGAGGCTAGTCACGCCAGGTCTCAGAGCCAAGCAAGGAGTTCCCACCCAACCACCCAGGCTGTTTCGGAGGCCCCTTGAAAGCCACTCAAGCCGACTCATCTTACGGTAATGAAAGACGCTGATAGGCGTCTTGCCGTCAATACGGGCCTTGCGGGGAGTCACGCAAAGCTTAGCACGACAGCGGATTGACCCATGACCTTTAGCCGTACGCCACCACCATGCAGAGCTCTAGGCACGCACTGGATACACGTCATACCTTCCAATCACCCAAGTTGGATCCTTTTATGTCTCCTTTTGACCCGGTGATTCAGCTGAGAAGCCCTGACCGCTAAGGTGTGGCGTGCTCGAGCTTGATCACTTACGTAGGCGGCTTTGGCATATTCATCCTACTGGGCGTTGGCAGTGGATCAGCCCACCCTTGTGGACTAGAGCTCTAACTTGACTTGTCTTCTGAGCTTTAGGGTAGCTTCAGAAAACTTGCTGTTCAAAAAAGCAGATATTCAAAGCGCATATGGGTAGTGAAATACAGGGAAACCAGAGTTAGTACAGGATTGGGCAATAGAGAAATGTATGTTCTAAAATTCGCCTTTGATAATTTCCACCCCGGGGCTTCTCATGAGCCAGTGCGTTACCTACATTATGGATTTCTTCCCACTGCAGAAATGCGACATTTGTACTCGAAGCCAACGTTCCTTCTTGTGGATTGATGGAGTTTAGGTGCGGGGAGTGAACAGACCGCGGAGCTCTTTGCAGAATCCATGATGCAGGTATGATTTTACGATTGTTAGCAAGATGAGAATTTCACTCGGTATTCTCGCAACATGGCTTTTGAGAAGCCATGTCGACGATGAAACATGCCACAGGACCGAGGGAAAATCACAGTGTCTGACGATCACGACTGCGGCTTCAAATAAAGCGATAAGGAGAATGCCAACTCCACCGTCACACAACAGTCGCCAGTGCTTACACCGCTATGTGTGGATAACGAAGAAACAGTCGGCATTAAAACCGATTGTCAAATACAAGGCTCAATTATTTCTTTCGTCGCCTGCCCTAAGACAGAAGCTTCAACTTCTCCATAACTCCTCGGAAACCAACGACCTCGTTGACGTCCAGGCCAAGTTCCTTGACACCCAAGTGTCCCTCCCTCTCCTCCCAAGGGTCGACCATCTCTCCGTATTTGAACTGCAGGCCAAGCTCGTAGCCGGCAGGGCCCCATACTGCGGCATATTGGTCAATGGTGCAATTGATATAGACGCCCTTCTTGCCCGTCACCTCGCTCCAGATGTCCATCATCTCCTGGAATGTGAGTTTCTCCAAGGCCACGTTGGAGTATTTACCAAAGGTGCTGGCGCCCTTGGCGAGGATTTGTCGGACCCAGATTCCGGGGTTGACGGACATGTCGCCCGAGTTTAGGACCTTGGCATCTGGCCTGCTGGGCATGATCTGAACATAGGTTCCAGAGTTGGGAGGCTGTCTGCCGTTTAGTGATTCGCTCATTTTGAGGACTCTGGGATGAGACTTGCGTATTCAGTCGGCTTAATAAAAGGGAAAAACATCATGTTTTGCGGGTAGTATCCGAAGTAGAGATATGTGGTCTTGGCCGCCAATTCGGGAAGCTCGGACTTGATGCGAGCATCAACGTTGGCCTTGTAGTCCATGTGAGGCGTCAAGTGCTCTCCGTTGAAATCTCGCTTCGCGCTGGGTGTGGTGGACCAGATGTAGTGCTCAAGGGTAGGTGTGCGAGCGGCAGCACGAGCAATGGTCATGCCCTGCTCCTCCTCGAGGACACCAGACTCCTCTTGGGATTTGCCGGAGAAGAGGTGCTCCCACCAGTTTGTCACGGCGTAGACGGCGTGGACGTCCTAGATAGGTCAGTCATAGTGCCACCCACGAGTCGTAGGGCTCGAGGGAAAGATAGTGACGAACCTTGAATGCGGCGGCGAGCGATTCTTCATCCTCGAAACTAGCCTGTACGACCTCGATACCCTCCTCTGCCAGCTTCTTGGCTGCGTCACTTCCGGCGTTCCTCGTAATTGCCCTAACGCTCCACCCAGGCGTCACCTTCAAAATGTTGACAACGCCACCTCCCTGGGAGCCTGTGGCACCGGTAACGGCTATGATCTTAGTCATCTTTGGAATTGGTTCGGGCAAGCTCGCAATGTGGTAGGTAGTCTGTGACACAAGACGTCGTTCGAAGGGCTTTGCCTGGGTAGATATCTTTGGAAGCGGGGATAACAAGCTCCCTGATGAAATTGGTAGTGGTAACCGGCGATGGCGCGCCAACCTTCCTTCACCTGAATGGCGATTAACTACTCGTGAGCTCGGAGAGAATGTCAAAACGAGTCAAGTCCGACTGCAATCATCCTTGTTTACATGCGAACCCTGCCCAGACCCCAGGTACACCGACCTGTGGATACCCTCATGGATCCAAATTCTCACTATCTTGATGTGGGGAGCCAGGATTCGTTCCCTTGTAATGTCTTGGCCCAAACTGGCGGGCATTAGCTACTGGGTTGACCCTACAAGATACGCCTCCACCCTTAGACGGCCGCTCTGAGAGCCGTTGGATATCTCTCAAGTCGCGACATTACCCACTGCTTGGAACGTCAGAGCGTTTCAACAACCCTGTGCGTATGCGGATCGCTTCGGGGAATAACTACAAGGCTAAGTTCCAGTGATGGGCTCTTGATGCCCCGTGCCTTGCGGAACCAGTGGGGCAAGGCAAGGAATATTTCGGACGTCGGTCCAAAGTGGACGATGGGATGGCGCAAGAGAGCGGAGGAGAGGCTATTTCTGTGCCAGGGATACTGAAATGGCCAGTAAATCGGGGAGTTAACCGTCAATTGCACTGAGACCATAACATCCCAGGCTTTGACACCGAGAATACTGCAATTGGAGAACCAGAACCAAGTACATTCGTAGGTCTATAGCAGGTTGAGATCTTACGCGTCGATTCCCAACCACGCTGTGTTGGTTGCTTGGCGAAAGGGCGCATTTACGGCGCAGTTCAGCGCCAGACGCAGGGGTTCAGCTCATGATATGATGGTTGTGAGAGAGCCGCTCCTCATTGCCTCATCAAGAAAACATCAGTCCATTCAGTTCGGACGCACGCAATGCGCTGAACAGGGGCTTCACATGGGTAGGGATTGCAATGATCCGCCTTGTTGGGAATAGGGACGCTGGCCGACATATCAGGCCATTATTCCCGTACCAGGTTACGATCCACCGCACGTTCCCACTATGCCACCGTTCGCATTGAAACGGTTGGGAACTCGGGAATATCAAGGGATTGGTTCAATTGTCACTTGGCGGGGAAAACAAGACCCTCTTGTGTTGGTTGGATTCTGTTGCACTAATAGCTTGGCAGGTAAGGGCCTCGTACCTCAGACCATATACACCCCAGTCACGAGAGAAACTTGATCCGAAATCCTGCCCTATTATGGCCTTCTCCACCGGGGAGCTGGGTCCCTGATGCGCCGCTAAGACATCTGTCCAGGTGGCCCCTGAAGTGCGTTGCCCAACTTGCTCTTTTGCCCATGGATGAAGGCAAACCAAGGCTCGTACGCCAAAGTATTTCTGTACGACACATCGCCACCCTTGTACTCCGGCACCTCGTAGAAGAAGAGCTTGTCGTGCGCAACTTCAACTAGTTCTCCAGTCCGCTTAGAAGATTCGTTATCCAGGTACAGGTCATAGGCTGAGATGAGGACTGACTTGATGGTCAAGCTGCAATGATGTTTAGCGCAGTGCTCCAGCGAAAAGGTCAACAGGGATAAACCACGTACTGCTCTGGAAGGAAAGCCGTGGAAAAATCAGGCATAGCCGAGGTATCAACGGCTCCAGGCATGACTACATTGATCGTCACGTTCTCCTGAATCAGCATTGGCGCAACAGCTCTCGCGTACTGATGGACAGCAGCCTTGGAACCGCAATACTCGGGGAATGTTGGGCACGGGTGCACTCCAATCATGCTCCCCGTAATGATGATCTTCCCACCCGGAGTGGCGTTGTGTCTCATGAAATGAGTGGCAAGCGTTATGCCGTATATGGTACCCTTGTAGTTGATGTCTGTGGCAGTGGTGTTGGGCTCAGCAGGCAAATCGGTGATAGGGGCATCTTTCCGCGTCAAGTTGTGCTTCGAGTCGCGATCAACACAGCCAGCGTTGGCCACCAACACGTCCAGACGACCCCATTTGTCCCAAGTAGCCTGGAAGAGCTCCTTCTGGGATGCATACGAAGATACGTCGCACTTCACAAAGATTGCCGTGGCTCCTGTAGAGTCCAGTGCCGATGCTTCAGCTTGGCCCAGCTCATCTCTGCGGGCTGTAAGAACGACTTTGTAACCGCGGGCATGGAGGTGCCTGGCAACGTCAAGCCCGATACCACTCTGTCAGTATAATGCGTTCGTTAGCGCTGGAGACAACGTGGACGCGTCATTAGCAGGGACTAACCGATGAACCGGTGACGATCGCCACTTTCTGCTCGACTATGGAACCCATGCTTTCTCAAATGGATGAAAAGAATTCGAGTATGACTTTTTAGTATACTTATCGAGGCCTTATGGCACTCCATCCTTCTTTTCTATCCCGACCACTACGGCGGACAGCTTGAAGTACAATTACTGGCCCCTGATTAGCGGGCTGCATCGATTTGCGTCGCGAGGAATGGAACGACAACGGTGAAAACGGCCACAGATCCTCCACGAGTGGACACCAGAGACTTGGACAACCCCCGCGTTTTCAGGATGAAGAACCCAGTTGCATCCCACTCCTGCAGCGGTGTCGGCTGTATGCAGAACGGTGTCCATGCCACTCCTGTCAGTCTCGACAACGATCAAGGCTCACTCACTACAGATTTGCTTTTGCAAGACGGCCGGGGTCTTCCCTGTAACCGGATAACCGGGCCTGAAGCTGAAAGATCCCGGTGGACAGCCTTGAACTATTCCCATGCGTCGTAGTCCACCAACGCAGCCCATGAACCCGGTAGCCTGGTGTTGGAATCCGTCTAACGCAATGAGGCCACATGTCCCCTGACAGGTGCTTGTAACGGACCACATTTTATTTACCAAACTCCACCACTGCTGGTATGTTATGAAGGGATTGACTGAACTGCGGAGGGAATTGGCGCTGGTTTCGTGTGCCGCCTGACAGGGCGTGCATGGAAACCCGGAGAATACTCTCCTTCGTTACGCCAAGGTGCGTATGAGAGCCGTACACGTCCCTGGACCTGGCTGACGGAGACGCAAGCTACGCCGTTATGAGACGTGCATACTCCATAAGTAACGTGCAAGCTCTTTGAGTACTTCAATCGACGATGTTGCGTTTCGGAAAGCAGAAGCACACGAAGACTGCGAACGCCCGCGCCAAACCGCAAAGATGTCGTCGACGGCAGCGTTTGAGTCGCCAATCCCGATAGAGAACTCGAGGCAGGTGTCCGCGCTGGTCACCTCTGCGCTCTGCATCTTTGTGACAGTTCTTTTCGTCGGGTTGCGGTTGTTCGCCAAGTGGAAGATGTCCAAGCCTTTCGATGGCAGCGACCTCTCCATTTTCGCAGCTTTGGTACGTCAACCTTCGTCCCTGGCTTTGGATCAAGGATACTAACCTCATGTCAACGCAGATTTTTAATACTGCTCTACATATAGATATGTATATCATGGTGTTCAATGGTGGCTTTAGCTTCCATGTGCAGGATGTCGCGATGCGGTTTGGACCCGATGTCCTCACGGTTTTCTTCAAAGTTGGTTTACTTCTTCAGACAACCGTTTTCCACTGATTTTAATTCCTTAAAGTGCATTATGGTATTTGCCCTACTCTGGAACGCCACGACATGCTTCACCAAACTCTCGATTCTCCTGATGTACGTCTCGGTATTCCCGGTCCGCCGCATGACCCTCGCTTGTCGCGGCCTCGGCATCTTCATCATCCTATGGAACATTGGAGGCGTCCTTGGCGGATTGCTGGTTTGCCGCCCCATCTCGATGAACTGGGACCAAACCACCCCAGGCGGGAAATGTGGTAACCAACCGATGTACTACATGGCACTGGGAGTTATCAATATTCTCGTCGAGGTTACAATGCTAGGGCTTCCGTTCCCTGTCCTATACAAACTGCAGATGCCACTGCGCAAGAAGCTGGTGGTATTTGGCATGTTTAGTGTTGGGTTTGCGTGAGTGATCCCATCAACACCTGCTTCAAGACCAAACCAGTATAGGTGCTAATGTTGTTGGTGAACAGTACCTGCGGCATCACAATCTACCGGCAAGCAACACTGCCCGGGGTCAAATTCGCCGACATGACAGACAGCGGACTTCTCGCGACCATCTTCTCCGGACTCGAGCCTTCGGTGGCACTCGCACTCTCTTGCGTTCCCTATCTTCGCCCGTACTTCGGCGGCACGTTCCGCACCCCCAAGAATACATACAACTCAGACGGAGTCATCAAGTCCCACGAGGGCAATGCGAGCAACAACAGCCGTCCATTTGAGGAACTCAATGACGATGCGTCGGAAGTTCAGCTACGACCTATGAAGGTACGACAGGACGTCCATGTTTCCGCAGACAGCGACGAAGAAGGACGAAACGCGAATAAATCACCCTTCATCACGGTTAAGAGGCGCTGGGAAGTTCGATCGGATACAGATCATTGAAGCTTCGGAAAGGAGAAATCACAAAAGTTGGGGAATGGTATACAGTGCTACAGTACGGCACAGCTGGAAGACTATAAAGTCTAGTTGGGTGTGTGCAGTCCCCGGAGGGGTGTTCCGGTTTTGGTATTTAATATTACCTTTAAGTTATGTTTTGGGGAAACTCACGAATCACCATGGCGAACGATCAGCAACAGGGAGATTAGCAAAGGGCGGTCGGGGTTGACGCCTTAGCTATGGACTACTCTTCCTTACAGGGGCGGGATATTTGAGTGAAATTACGTATCACCTTCACCTCTCCACTCGTGGCTTGGGGTGGTAACATTTGCCATAGTAGTGTACTGGACCTCGCTCTAAGTGATGTCTAAATAATTGACAATTGACTGACAGGCCCCGGCCGCCTCGCAGAACGTTTGGACTAAAAGCAATTGCCGCGATCGAGGCTGAAGGTCAAAGGCACCCCGTGGGGACAATTGAAGGCGGATGGGAGAGGCCCTCAGAGACCTCAGAGACCGTTACGGAACGATTCCTTCCTGTTCTCTTCCTCGAGCAAGGTCACGCTAAGCATACAAGAGTGTCTCTAGCTGCATTCGTCTCGACAAGAGCCGATCAAGACGCCGCTTCTGCTAGCGAACCGGCTGATCAATTCAATCTAGCTGATGTATTGCCGAGGTGACAATATCTCATCAATACAGTCTCTAAACTGTTAAAAAGAGTACTCTAACGATCTACTCAGTTCGCATCAAGATACTGGCTCCATTATTTGTCTAATTACGATTGACTGGTGAACCATGCTCTCAGAATGCGAGATGGAAGGTTACGCTGCTCCGTAAGGCTACTCTGGGATACTGACTAACATGGATGGAGTTGCCCCGTTCTTCATTGGCGTTGTAGTATTGCTGAGAGGACCGTCAAGAATCCCTATATATGTAAATCATCTCCTATTCAAGGCGTACTCTTTAATGTGATATTGGCCGTCTAAACCGTGGTGATCTAGGTATTGATGCTGATAGGCGGATGTGAATTGATGTCTTTGCAATGGTCGCTAATAAGAACCAAGAGTTCAACCACAATATGCCACGGAATAAGTGAAGCGCGATCTGTTTTAAGCGACCAACCATATACAATAACAACACTCATAGAAGAGACAGAGCTGTTTACTGGGATGTGTCTCTCTCATTTTAGCCTCAAATCCAGTGGACACAGAGCTTACAGCCAGAAGCTAAGCTGCCAAGTATCGTCAATTGGGGTGGCACATGGGCAGTTCAAGAGAATTTGACCATGCAAGCACGCCCGAGGAGACAGCGTTGGGATGTAGAGGTCGGTGCGTGAGACCTTCTCACGTTTCCCCTTAAATATGAGAGTCTGGGTCCATATCGATTCGCGATCGTTGTCGAGGGCGCGGAGAGATACCAAGGCGTTACACGTAGGCCTCCTCACCACAGCCACACCCTTGTACATGCATTGTGACGTGGCAGTCAGCCCCAAAGTGAGACATTCTCAGCCGTGTTCAAATATGTACTAGTAGTTGCAAGGTTGTTTTTCAGCTGCGGGGTTATTCAAGACAGGCTGCGAGAATAACTCCTACCAGGTAAGGCTGCACTGGTCTTGATTTCCACTCACCAACCTCACTCTTGCGAATATTTTGTCGCTCGCAGGCACTTGCGTACACCGAGTGACAGTGGTCACGATGGAAGCGTCTACTCAGTTTCATGGCCCGGTCACAGGCCACTACACCATCGCGGCTCCACACGCATCCCACGGCGGATCGAACAACTTCTACTTCAATAGACGCGACACTTCGTCGGCGGCTCCGAAGCCCTGCCACATCATCCCCTTCCCCCGCAACGAGGATATCGTCCACCGGCCGGACCTCTTCGTCGAGCTCGAGACACTCCTGCCATCCACGACGCCTGAGTATCAGAGTGCCGCGCTCTGGGGTCTCGGTGGATCTGGGTTCGTGATGCCCTCATGTCGTTCTGACTCCTTGCTAACCAGTCTAGCAAAACCCAAATCGCGCTCGAGTACGCATACCGCAGATGCCGCGACCCCACCTGCTTCGTCTTCTGGGTCCACGCCGATAACGCGACGACGTTCGCGCACGATTACAAGACGATCGGGAGGAAGCTTGGCCTGAACAGCAAGCTCGATGGTGAAGATCTGCTGGTGGCCGTACGCGAGCGCATTGAGTCAGAGCCGCAATATTTGCTCGTCCTTGACAACGCCGACGACCTGGCGCTCTTTGGTGTCGGCCAGACGTCAGAGAAGTCTGACAAGCCAACAACCCTGCTGGACTACATCCCACGAGGTCCTACGGGAATGGTCCTCTGGACGAGTCGCGATGAACGTATCGCTGGCACTCTTGTTGGACCCACCCGAGGCATCGGGGTCGCCCGTATGACGGTCGACGAGGGGAGGATGCTGCTCGAGATGGCGAGAAACACAAAGACCACCATCGAAGAGCTCGATGATGCCACGGCTTTGTTGGAGGAGCTTCAGTGGCTCCCCCTGGTCATCTCTCAAGCAGGAGCGTATATGCGGCGGACATCAACATCTGTCAACGAGTACTTATCGAGACTGGTCGAGGGAAAAGAGCGATGGCGCATCTTGAACGAGACAGAACTCGACAGACATCGGCGGCCGGGTGTACCTAACAGCATCCTGGAAACGTGGCATATCTCGATCGATCGTATTCGGCAGGAGAACGAGATGGCATATAAAATCCTGCATACTATCGCGTATCTCGACAACCAGAACATCCCGTTGGAGATCATGGCAGCGGTTGGTACATTCAACGATAACAGGCGGAGGGGACAACCGTCTGAGAATGCGCAGCTGGTGGATAGAGCCATCATTCGGCTGAAGGAGTTCTCATTCGTTGCTGCACGCAGAACGGAAGGGGGCGAGCGGAGCTTTGAGATGCACAAGCTTGTCCAGGAGGCTGTGCGGTATGGCCTAAAGACAAGGAAACTCTTAGAGAGGAAGACAACGAAGCCCAAATCGAGATTACGCGATGTTCTAACGAAACCTATCCGAAAAAACCGCGTTGCCGAGAAAGGCGGCTGGGAGAATGAACCCGAAGTATACTTCTCGAATGCCGCACTGCAGGTCATCACGGACCTCTTCCCTAAAATTAAGCCAGGGACGTGGGCACAATGCGAGATGTTATTGGCATATGCAGTGTACGTGAGCGATTGGGCGGAACTGTGTGGGAAGGAAGTTGAGGCATCCAATCTTCTAAACCGAATTTCCGACTATCTATTTCACTACGGGAGATGGAGAGAGAAGGAGCCGGTAGATATCAAGGCATTAGAGCTACAGCGGGAGGTCCTCGGGGAGAAGCATCCCGATACGATGATCGCTATGGGGCATCTCGCAGCAACATACCATGGCCAGGGCCGGTACGACGAGGCCAAAGAGATTGAAGTCAAAATATTAGAGCTACAGCGGAAGGCTCTTGGGGAGGAACATCCCGATACGATCTGCGCTATGGGGAATCTCGCAGTAACATACCATAGCCAGGGCCGGTACGACAAGGCTAAAGAGATTGAAGTCAAAGTATTAGAGCTACAGCGGAAGGCTCTTGGGGAGGAACATCCCGATACAATCCGCACTATGGGGAATCTCGCAGGAACATACCGCCAGCAGGGCCGGTACGACGAGGCCAAAGAGATTGAAGTCAAAGTATTAGAGCTACGGTGGAAGGCTCTTGGGGAGGAACATCCCGATACGATCCGCGCTATGGGGAATCTCGCAGTAACATACCGCCAGCAGGGCCGGTACGACGAGGCCAAAGAGATTGAAGTCAAAGTATTAGAGCTACGGTGGAAGGCTCTTGGGGAGGAACATCCCGATACGATCCGCGCTATGGGGAATCTCGCAGGAACATACCACCAGCAGGGCCGGTACGACGAGGCCAAAGAGATTGAAGTCAAAGTATTAGAGCTACGGCGGAAGGCTCTTGGGGAGGAAAATCCCGAGACACTTGGAGCTATGTATAACCTCGCCGTAACTTGGAGACACCGAGACCGGGGCGATGACGCCATTGTGTTGATGCAGCAATGCTCGCAATTGAGACATAGAATCTTAGGGCGGGACCACCCCCATACGCAGAATTCGGATGAATATCTTGAAAGGTGGAAGGCTGAGAAAGCTGGGTTGGGACGTATTGGCGATAGCTTGAGCACTGTGATAGCGTTGGGAGGCACATGGGAGTTTAGTGACAGTAGGTCGGTCTAGCCCACTAGACTACATGCTACCTTAAAGGATCAGCTCGGCCTCTATTGGGAAGGGCATGCTTTCTCCCTCTTTCAATGTCTTTATCGTTGTGTTCCCATTTGACCAGCTTTCGCAGCAGCCGTTATCCCTTCTTACTTGTCCCTTTCTATCTTGTTGTCTTCTGAAGCATCTAGTCAAGTGCTTATCTTTCTCTTCTTGCCAAATCCGAAGATCAGTAAGCCTTCGCCCGGCTGCCCCGTCAAATTTCCCTGTTAGAAGAAGGCGCAAGTATTCGACCAGGTCGCTGGCCCTGTGCGGTAGCCATGATTAAGACAATCTCTATATTGATTTAGGGACTGTGTGTAGAGCACTCACCATTGTGTAGCTGGCACCCATTTTCACCCGATACCGCAGCACACACCGTCAATAGTAAGGAAATAAGGTAGTATTAGAATCATACGGATCTAGTCTTTATCATTACATACAGCTACAGTAATACACTCTTTGAATCTACCGTACTCGCCAACCTGCGTAGCTATCTCTTCCATGGCAAGCTCCCATTCAGACCCTAAATCCCAGTCACCAGGGGCGTCAGTCTCAAACCATTGAGACGGCCGGTCATCCCACTGATGGAGCGTCAGAGGCCTTGCAACACCGGCAAATACCGCTGTATTTGAAGCTCCCGATACTTGCTGTGGTATTGAGTTCGGGTCCGCATCATTACTATGACTAGCTTCCTGGCTGTAGGTGTGACTGCGGCTGTGACGGCGCCGGCTGCGTAGCGGGGATGACCTCCTCCACAGTTGATGCTGCCAGGACCCTGATTCTCCTGCCTCGTCCTCCTCTGGTTCCTCGTCCACTACTGCTTATACAACCTGGTAATATTTACGTTAACAGCCGTTAATAAGGTCGGCTTGCGAGAGTGTGCCGCGTACACTTGAGCTCAGGCGGCGGATTGACTGTTGACTCTGAAGGAGTTACCGTTCAGTTAGGGTCGGAGCAAGTTCGGTGGAGCTATCAAGCTGAAGAGTATCATGAGCTACTTAATCTTAGGGAATCGGGGCCGGCTTCGAACGTTGGCGACAGTATCAGGATGGCGGATGCGTAGTAATGGCTCTTCGAGATCATAGAGGCAAAAGTTCGTAGAAATCTCGCATAAATGAATGAAATTACTACCAACGGCTTCTGATGTCACCAGGGAGGGTGAGTCATTTCCTTCTTTGGCGGCTCCGTGGTCTCTAGAGCCTTGAGGATGTGATGACTGTGGGGTGGCCCGTCTTGCTATATGAAGTTGCCTGTACACACACGCAGCGGCTCGGGCTGTGGTCTCGAGGGAATAGCAGCTGCGGCAAAGCGATTCTTCCTAGCTAGAAGATCGGCAGCTGTGCAGTATATTTGTATCGAAGTCATTGGCGATGTTTTCCAACTCCTGAGTGTCAAAATAAACAGTAAAATAACCATAATAAACCATTCTATTTGATGCCCTAAACCCATAAACCTTTGTGAACATAAGAAACTTGATAGCTGTGCTGAATACTTCGCTTGTACATTTTCTGCATTCCGTTTGCCACGACAAAACCGGCCCTGACTGTCCCATCACCCATGTCGAAGGTCCCTCGTTCATTCTCTCGCCGATTGACCAACACCTAGCTTTCGTGTATCTGGCTCCCTGATGGGCTCCAATTCTGTTCGGAGATCTGATATCCTCATCGTCGGACCATGGATCTCGACCAACGCTTAATCCTTCGCCACGATTGACATTTGGGTATTAACTTCGACCATGATAGTGCGAATCCGCTCCACTGTCATACGGGTTGGGAGCATTCTGAGGCCTTCTTGCGTCATTCCGGCCGTCTCTGTCCATCATCGAATATGATTCCAGCTCCACATTGTTGTACTCTTTGATGCGTTCATTATGATTCATAACCCGACTCGGATGGAAGACATTGAAGAGCGTGACAACAATGAACATCAATGTTGCGTCAAAGATGTAAATGTATACCTCAGTGCTCTGGAGTGTTCCGGTCGAGCCACCGATGTACTCGGCGATTCGAAAGACGGATCGAATCATGATGAACATGCTGGCCACGTACATTACCAAGATGAATTTCTTCCATGGTGTGGTGATCGTAAGGCTGGCTGTGGTGGGATTGTTAAGAATTCGACGGTGGAAGACCATAGTCACAACCATAAAAAATCCGAAAAAGACGATCTGAACGCCGAGACCGCCGATGATGACATTCTCACCCAGTTTTTGGCTGCTCTTTGTTTTGGCGTTGGCTAGCATACCACCACCTGTTGCGAGGGTATTAATATGGGACATTTACAAGTGGGAAGTGGGAATTGGAGGGGCCAAGTCATAAGCAGCTTACCTCCAGACTGGGCCAGGAATGATATCACATCTCCCAGGACAAAAACCTTGGTCAACCACGTTGTTCTGATGATGGAGTAATTATCGGCATTGAGAAGGCGAATAAGTCTCCCTAACACCATGTAGATCGAAGCTGCCAGGAGTGTTGGACCGAGGAGTAGGAATAAGGACTGTAAAACATATGGCATGGTCGCCCAGTTCGGGGTCTGTTTCGCTGACCACGCTCGTCCGACATATCCAACGATTTCAACTGTGAAAAAGGTCCATTAATATTTGCGCCAAGGCATTCTCCATAGTCCAGAATACTCACAGCCACATCCGATTAGGAATGGGAACATATAAAATGATCTTGCCCGGAACAACTGAAAAGCGTGGGTCACCGCTGATATGGAGAAGAGCACGACAAATATCGCGGCTGCAGCGAATGAGGGATCATAATGATAGAGGACGAATTCGCCCGAAGCCATGGTTCGTCGTTGTTGTTGGGGTTGTGTTCTATCGTTGGAGATGGAGATATTTGTTGTCAAGGAGGGGCGTGAACTCGATTATAATGTGGTGATGGTTCGTGTGGACTCGATCGGGATGCGCTGAGGTCAGGTTAATCTGCAATATTGGGGTCACTGTCCATACTTATACATGGCGTCCTCTTCGCAGTAACCAAAATATTCAGAGAACACCCTTCGGAAAGTTCCTTCTCAATGGCAAGGGCCACAAGGCACAGCCTGTCGCGGTGGGGCCAGGGGCGCGTCAAAGAATTGGATCACTCTTCGACAGAAACAAGACAGTCGTGGGTATGCTTGTATCGAGTAGCGGAATTCAGAAGCCAGCTCTAATCCGTGAATCCGGGCCATCTAGAATGCTACAGTCGAGTTCAGCATAGCCCGATTGCCCGGCCATTTCAACAGTTGCAAGTCCTGCAAAAGGGAAACGGTTTGACGTATCGCTAAATTTAGCTTCGCCCATCAACAACACGTCAAGGTCTCCGGGAATTCGGCACGGCAGACCCTTGCAAGACAATTTCCTCCCCGTCCCGCGAGGCTGATTCGATAAGCTTCGCTGTCCCCAGGCGGATTTACAAAGCTGGGCCGATAGCCCCTGAAAGATAATGGAGGCGATGGGGCTGAGTCTCCGTAGGGTTGGTTGACAAGCCCACCAGGGCGTCTGTCAATGATCGCTGCCAGAGGTGGTGCGTTCACCAAATGGGTTAGGTTAGTTCTCTGTCATTCTGGATTCAAACTACGAATATTGAAATTGGGCCCCGACTTCGGTTTCGCAATCGGGTTTCCGGATCCCCCGAACTAATACGATCTTCGGACCCGCCCAATCCGCTTGTTATGCAGTTATCGAATTCTTATTTGAGACGAATGCTGCCCTTGTGTCGGATCCGTTACGATCCAATTGGCTAGTCTGCAGCGCAGTGATGATGATGTTGGTGATGGTTGTGCCGTTTATCCGACTGTCCGGAATATACGCGTACCAGACCACTTCTCACCAAGATTTGTCTCCGCGCAAGTGTACTCCTCCACGTATTTGCTGGCACCAGCTGGTGTTGCTAGCGCGAGAGGGTCGTCCCAGTCCCAGATCCTTTTGACTGCGTAGGCCGCGTCATCAGCCCTCGCGTCACCTCTTTGCGGCTACAGCACGCGGTCCTCCAGGATCTAAATCCAGTTGTTCATATGTAGCCATTTCTATCGCACGCTTAAAAACGATATCATCATAGTTCTGGCACAGATATACCGGAGCTAGCCTGATGTACTAGCTATAACTTAAAATAAGCGACCTTCTACGTTATTGAAAGAGTGTGCTTTTCCTTCCTCAATTTTCAATATGATGAGCCTCTGCCATCTTTTCTCATGATTTTAGACTAGTTTTCGCAGCGAATGATCCCGCATTCTTTTTACTATTTTTCTTCTAGTCTCGTTAAGAAGCTTTTGATCAATACTTCAATCATCCAGTCAGCCCATTCCTTTGGCTGGGCTCAGTAAAATTTGTCCTTGCGGTCCCAGACGCTCTCTGTCCCCGGTCCGGTGTACACAAAGTGCGACTCCCATCAACAAACTATCTGAATTTGATGTTCATCCTTCCCTGTACGGCTTGGCGATCTCGATAACGTTTCAATGAGGCTAAGCCACAACGTGGAGAGGGTGTGTCGATGCCGCACATACTGCCAAGGCGCGATCTGCTCTTGGCAGTTGATCTCGGGTTTTGCCTATCCAATTGTTCCTAAGCTCTGCCAGCTTCTGGGGTAGGTGAATGCATTGGAAGAAGCGAGTTCGCGGAGCAGCGTCCTTCCTACAGAATATTTCGCTCTCGCCTGGTCACCGTCACCGCCTTTGGAAATGCTGTCGTAACTAATCGCACTGCTTTTGAGGTGGTACTGATAATCCATTTCATTGTTATGTATTAACCTTTAACCGCTGGGTGATGAAAGCGCACACAAAATCTTGCCGAGGCTGCTTGCGGCGCAGGGAAAGACGTGTCAAAGTAAAAGCTGGGTTATTATTTGTAGGGCCTGATCATTCAGATGAGATCTCTAAAGGCTGGATGATCAGTGCGACGAGACTCTTATATCGTGCGACTGATTTATTCAGCGATATGAACCATGATCCAACCTAGAGGAATATGGATTACAAAAATTATCACCTCCATAACGACAGCCTACGGTACCGGACTCATACACGGCTTTTCAACATCATGCGCCCAGTAGAGAGATTTATAAAACTGTGAATCTCAGGAAGAAAGAATTGAATTTATCCCAATTATTCTGGTCTAAGTGCAAGAAAGTGCAGACTATAGTATACATTGAGAAACCTTTCCACCAACGTTCACATCAAATCAATTCTGAAAAGGTGTAGGGTAGGCTGAAGTGGAGTGGATCTGAGGGAGAGCTTATGATTGGTCAAGACATCGCAGTCCTCGTGCATCGCCACTCCCAATTCAATTGGAAAATCAGGGGAATTATTCATGTTCGAGTAGGGACTCGCTTCTTTGAGGCTATAGCGATGAAGTATCTCGAAAATCGCAAGGTTTATTGAACGCTGGAGAGCTGGTTATTGTATGGTTGAATTCCTTATTTAGAATGTGGGGAGCGGCGGGAACAGCGGCCCGAGCCGGGATGGTTATTGCAGATGATGTCCATGACACCGAGTTTCTCAGTTTGAAAGCTGCGGCCTATCACTTCCTAGCCGAGGTTTTGTTACTGACCTAAGATTCTTACGATAAAATGTTCCAAAGCCTCAAATATTGCCTGGCCTCTACAACGTAGCTGGATTGAGGCGAAGTGGCGCCCGAGAGCCGCACAAACGTTTGCCCGAGACACTTGCAATTTCATTAGCCGAGTTGTTGCACGACGGGGCGGTGCAGCTGAAGCACTCCGACAAACGCTGGCTGCCTGGACCATCTCTGGACCATCATTGTTCAGCGTGGGATAAATGGCATCACCTCAACACGACCCATGCTGTACAGAGAGGGCATCATTCTCATGGCGAAAAGGTACGTGTTGAATCCCCCCCGGAACTAAGCGACGCTGATCGTTTCAGGCGAAAACGTCTGGCAGCAGGGAGCGCAGCTCGCTAAGTGTGCTGCCTTGCCGACGGACCTGGATGCCGACATTGTGATCCTGTCAGTTCTGCACACCCTCGGTACCGACAAATCTAACAGTCATACAGCCTGGCGAATGCAGACAAGGTCCGAGAATGCCCTTCATGTCGACTCGCCTTCGCCCAGACCTTCCGCATGCCTGAGCTGTGGTGGACCACGTATTGCCGGAAATCGAATGGCTACTTTGGCTGCGAGACGGCGAGCGGCGACGATGGCAGCATCGCAGAGATTAGTACGTGCTACATACTGAAGAAAGGCATGGCTAACGCAATGTAGATACTTGGACTCGTTTCCTCGTGAAGCTGTTGGACGGCAAAGGACAGCATAAATGGTACAAGATGAACATCTTCGTCCGATGGCTCTCGACCACCCAACAGACCATCGTTCTCCTCTTTGATGCGCCGCCCGCGTTGAAAGACAAAATGCCCACGCCGCTACTGCAAAATCCCACCATAAATCATCTAGCCGACCCTTTCTGGGTGTACCCTCTTCTCATCGAGGAAGTCATCAGTCTCCAAGACGTGGCCGTTTGGACCACGCGCACCCACGTACGGAATGCGGAAAAATACAGGATGCAGACTGACCCGCCAACGCCGAATTACTCTCACCTGCACGACCTTGCGAGACACATAATCCATGTTTCCGAAACCCTCGACCTCGCCGTCAAAACCATGGGAAGCGTGTTGCAGCAGCACGCGTCGTTTATGAACGATGGCTCGAGTACCCTCCCGAAGAAAGCTGCCTATCGGAACGTGCACGAACGACTGCTGTTTTTCGAGCAAATATTCGAGGGCCTGCGGTGCAGATCGTCTTCCAACAAGGAGCGTCTGCAGAACGAGATCCAGCTCGCTTTCAACGTCGTCGCAGAATACGACGCAGACATATCGCTGCAGATCGGCCGCGCGACGCAGTCAGATAGCGCGGCCATGAAGACGATCGCGTTTCTGACCCTGGCCTTCCTCCCAGCTACGTTCATCTCGGCAATCTTCAGCACGTCGTTCTTTTCATTCGACGCTGGCAGCGGCGGCTGGGGAATGTCGAGCAAGATCTGGGTCTACTGGGCGTTTGCCCTTCCAGTGACCTTTGTCACCTGTGCGCTGTGGTACTTTTGGCAGTGGAGGTTTGATAAGGCATGGTCGAATTCGACTCGCGCGAATAATGGGAGACTGCAGCTGCAAGAGATAGTATCTAATTAGGTGGGTAGATTATAGAGACGCGAGGTGAGATTAAAACGTAATGTCCCCCCAACTGTCGCCTTGGTTAATCTTGACGTGGTTCCCAAATGAATTATTTGCAACGGATCGGATGCTATTTGTTTGTTCCAGACCTGCCATGTGTGAGCGATGGAGATGAGGGGGCTGATTTGTCTCTTACCGTTCCCCTGCGCATCCGGCGCCTTCAAGGCTTGGGCTTGGGGTTCATAATTGACAAAGTATCGCTCCAGAATTGCCCTGGCTACAGACGCCGCAGTTGCCGCCGCAAAGTCCTGCCATTTCTTGTTCTTGTGGCTGTCTGCGTAATCGCAGATGCCCTTGACGACAATGCAGGGGACTTCCTCCCAGACGCCGGCACCTTCCATCTCGAAAGCGATGAGATTGTGCGCGACGGCGATGCGATCTCGGTCTTTTCCAGACTTCATGACGGTGTTGCCTGAGCCGACCCGACCGATGAAGATCTCGGGGGTGTAATCATCGTCTTCGAAAGGGAATGCCCTCACAACCAAGTTGGCTTCATCGCACCCTGTTTCGGCACACGACGCCTTGGAAGACTCGCAGAAGTCCCCGGATCCGCTTACGCATAATTCGCATAATTCGCATAATTCGCATGATGTACGGTGTATGTGAGTGTAGTCTGCCGAGTATAGCTTGTCTTCAGCTGACCCAGGGTATCTGTACTTATCCTCGGCTCGCTTCCGCCTTGAGCCCTGTAGACGCCTTGTTTCAGCTAAATTTTGCAAGCGTTTTAAATGCTGCTTGGCTTTCGTCTGCAGGGTGTCTTTACCGTCCCGCGTCTGGAAATTTACAAGCAGACTCCGAATACCTTTCCTTGCTCTCCCAAGACTGTCTTCGATCAGATTTTTCATCACAAAGTTCCCGGGGTACTGCCTGCCATAGTCGTACTGTATGATGGTCTTGCTCAACACTACGTCGCCCAAGAAGACATCTTCTCCCGCGATTTTGGGCACGCCCCCGCAGATTCCAACGAGCAGGGCAAGCTCAACGTTATTGTAGCTTGACCGCAAGTTGACTGTCGCTGCTGCCGCACTGGATGTGCCCATATTCCCAAGAATGACGAGGACGACATTGTGAAGCCCGATGCGGCCCGTCGTGTAGGTATTTGTGTCTTGGGATGCTTGGCCGTAGGGATTGTTATCGTCGTCCCAATTGTCATCGAAAAGCAGGGTCATGGCATCCGCCTCGAGTGGTAAAGCGCAAATAATTGCAATGTGAAAGTCTTCGCGATGAGCGGGTCGCGTTGGAGTGGCCATGGCAACGATTGTCGAGCGCCAGAATGACTCGCGCAGGAATGTACGCACCGATCTGACTGAGGCTTCAGTGGAGTTGTACGAATAATATCTCGGGATTAAAATGAGGGTTCGCTGAAGGAAGTCTCACGTGCCGTGTGCAGATATATGACCCTGCTTCTTGTGGTCAGCCTCAACCAGCCATTTCGGGCTCATTCTTCTGCAAAATCACAGTTACGATGAAGCAGTTAGTGTTTCAACGAAACCCAATTGGCAACTCAATTGATAGCAAAATCACAGTCAATTAGGGCGGTCAATGTAAAATTGGTGACACGTGAAGATGTGTTTGCGCTACACCGTTTTCATTGTCGAGTAACAATATTCCTTTATCACCGTCGAAAATGGAGAGAGAAAGAGGCAGTGGACATGATGCTCCTATACATTAGCCGAGAGTTTGTCGGAGAGAAGAACCCAAATGTAGCTCGATGCATGCAATGTCTCACGAAGACTTATTACAACCAAGGGCGATACAACGAGGCCGAAAAAATGTAAAACATGGAATTAGAGGTGTTTACAGAGACTCTGGGGACGAGAATCAGGAAACAATCCATGGGCTAGGAGTTCTCGCAACGATACTTTTACAGCAGCGTCGATGTGAGGAAGTTGAGGCGATGACCGCCAGAGTATTAAAGCTGCAAAGAGTGATTCTTGGACACAAGCATGCAGACACGATTTTGAGTATGGGAAATATGGCAGCAAATTGGTAGTTGCTGGCCGATGCGAGGAAGCCGAAAGACTATTCGTCGAGGTATACGAGCTATCAAAGGATGTTTACGGAAAGAGCGACTCGTCTACATTAAAAGCGATTGCGATTATTGTAGACATGTATAGGTTGAGGGGTGAATGCCGGGAGGCCGAGGAGATGCTACTCGAAGCAATGAAGGTTTAAACTGAGGTTTTTGGAGAGAAATACACCGATACGATACATACTATAGAGAACTTGGTGGAAACGTACTGGCAATAGGGGCGAACGCTCAAGGCAGAAGAGATGGCAGCCAAGGCATTGGAGCTTCGAAGGGTAGTTCATGGGAAGATGCATCCGCACACGTTACCTTATATGCACCGCTTCTCTACATTTGGCATCATCTGGGCCGGGTCGACGAGGCTATCTTCCTGGAGGAAGAATGTTTTCGGCAGGAACGGTTGGTCTTAGGAGAGGATCCCCCTTCACACAGCCTTCCGCTCTGACTCTTGGATTGTGGAAACAACTCCTGGATCTTGCGAAGGATCATATTTGAGTAGCGCGACAGGCGTATGTGTTGCACTGCAAGACTTGAGTGGCTGTGTCACTTTTGTTTTTGCTACAGCGGTAAAGCAAACTTGAAGAAACATTTGTAAATGTCTCAGCTTTCTGTTTAATAAGATTTGATGTGAAACTGCTTAGGATCGGATATAATTGGGCCGTCAACTAGATAGAAAGATCCAACAACGTCTTGGCCGTTGTGGACGAGTTGATGTCAAGGATGGGCGCGATCTGGTTGATTCTTCAGCGATTACGAGTACGAAGGAAGACGTTAGTTGGTTGTGTATAGGTAATAGCCCAATGAAACACCGTGCGTTTCGGTAAAGGAAGGTAGTACTACTTAGTAGCGGTAGTAGGGTACAACCCCTGACAGGGAAAGCAGGACACGTAGTGGTGGCCTGATTAAGCGGCAAGGTGGAGTTATAAACCCCGCATGTGAATGTGTGGAAATCTCCGTCTCCTCGAGTCTTCCTTCTTCGCTACTATTCAGAATCTCAAGTCGGTATGGCTGAAGCAAGTACCGTCACCCACGGCGCAATTGAGGCCATCGCACCAGGCGAACAGGTTGAGGAGGAGGACGAGTTCGCTACTTCGGATTACGATGCCAGCTCACTGTCCTCGAGCTCTGCTAGCTTGACCTCGAGCGTCTACCAGCACGCATATGAGAATGGCAGGCGGGTGAGTGGGATCTACTGCGGGGATTGAAGAAATTGCTGGAAGAGGTCCAACTGACCCCAGCGCAGTATCACCAGTACCGTCATGGAACGTAGGTCCTAGAGAAATGACGAGCATACGCGATTGTCCTGATGTCGAGCAGATATCCGATTCCAAATGACGACGCCGAACAGAACCGTGATGACATGAAGCATGCTATGATGCTCGAGCTCACAGAGTGTGTATTCGTTATGGGCACCCGCAGTTGTTGACTTACTGACACTTTAATGCAGTGGCAAGTTGTTCTTTGCTCCAATTGGCGACAATCCTGGGAAGATTATCGACCTAGCTACTGGTACCGGTATCTGGGCCGTGGATAGTAAGCTGCTCACTTCATACTCTGTGCGACGTATTCCGCACTAATCACTCAAAGTCGCCGACAAATATCCCGGTGCTACCATATTGGGCGTGGATCTTAGTCCCATCCAGCCAGTCTGGGTTCCGCCCAACTTGAGATTCCTCGTTGATGATATCGAGGATGAGTGGACGCATGGTGATGACTGGGACCTTGTGCATATGCGTTGCATCAGCCCCTGGCTGAAAGATGAAGTCAAAGTCCTCCGCCAAGCCTACGAGTGAGTCAAGTGATGCCCTTTAATTTGTTACAGCAGGCACCCACGGGGTGGCGCTCAGCTCTGGGTTGATCTATCCACCGAAATTATGCTAAAGACATCTAGACATCTCAAACCTGGTGGCTGGATTGAGATCCAAGAGCTCGACGCTCGCGCCAACTGCGACGACGGGTCATTGTCCCCCGACGCTCCCCTGGCTAAGTTCTTTGACACAGCCGAGAGGGCTGTAAAAGAATTTGGCATGAAGTTTCGTGCTGGCGAGAATCTCCGAGGTCCTCTTGAAGAGGCCGGATTCGTCAATGTGAGCTGTACGGTGTTGAAAGTACCCATTGGGACATGGCCAAAGGCAAGATTCACCACGCAAGTGCGAAATCCGGTTTACTAACGAGTGCAAAAAACAACAGGATAAGAAAAAGCGCCTTATAGGACACTACTGTAGGACGGCTGTGAGCGACATGTTTGGAGCTATGGCTGCCAAGCCTCTGCGAAAGATTTTGGACCCTGTCGAGATAGAGTTATTCCTAGCCGGTGCTAGGAAGGATCTTCAAAACCCTAGCATTCACTCGTATGAGAAGTACTACTTCTGGATGGGCCAAAGGGCGTTGGTTGAGGGGGACGTTCGTGCCAAGGGTGCATGACCTGCGGCGGCAGAACATGAACGAGGAGGGAGGATAGTTATCTAGTTTAGGTCGGGCGAGATGTAACATGTTCCGTGAAGGTTTCTTGTCAATTCGGGTATCCGTGAGTTTGTCCTGATGCTTTGACTTGATGTGCTTCTCGACTTAGTCTGCGTTGGAGAATTTGAGATATTTATTGGAGCTAGGATTGCAGCAGTATGAGACTATTGCATGTTCCATATGCTCGCGGCACTTGTAAAATGGGTTGAAAAGGCGACCGGGTCGACGCACTCCTCGAAAACGGATTTATGTTAACATTTTCAAGGTGTTCAATCGGGTCAATTAGGGTGATATTTCTTTCGATGGCGAGCCCTCACCTGGGGGCGATGAATGCGTTTGACTCCTGCCGTTATTTTCTCCCCACTGTTTACACTCATTCTGACGTGTTGACGATCTCGTGGAGCGTACAGCGATTTTTTTTTTAAATTTGTCTAACGACCTTTGACCGCAGGATATCAGCTCACAGTGCACCGTCCTTTGTCGACAGTCCCGTCCAACCTGGGCCTTAATGGCAGGCGGGAATACCCATCTACCAACCCCCGATGTTGCTGCCGTCCGTTCGCTCGATTGGATCCCAGGAAGGGCATGCCAAGCGCCGACCAGTATCTGTCAACCAGAACTGTACGCCATACATTCGAGAAGCAGGTCAAAAATAGCAGCGACTTTTTTTTCGTCGCGCCGTGGAAACTGTGGATTGAGCGTCTCGCCGACATGGATGCCGACCTTGCTGTGCCGCTCGTGAAAACACACCCTCCCAACGGATTCGATCACGGAGCTACCCATAAATGGTCTCTGCCGAAGGTGTTGGTTGCTTCTTCAGCAGAATGCGCGACACAGCAGGCGCACCAGGCTTTTATTAATAGAGCAACATTCAGGCTGGCCAACTTGCGCCTCCGGATCCGTCTTGTATTGGATGCCTCGTCCGAGACTACATGGGCAATATGGGGTCATTCGGCGGCTAGCTGAAACAATGTATACATCTTGGCGGGGCCTCTTGATAAAAGCGGCAAACCTGTTGTCGATGTGATAGGCTGGCAAGGTACCTAGCCGCCTCACTTTTTGTGACAGCATCTGCCAAGCCTCGCCGACTTGTCCCTGGCGGCAAATCCTCCCAATCAATCCCTGAATTCACAATGTCCATACCTATTCTTGGCAAAATTGCCATCTTTACAAAAATGAAACCTTAGCAGGAGAATTATGGCGTGGATATTCGCGAGGTTGTGTTGGGACTGCTCCGGTAATCACAATTCCATGTGCTAGAACTACTCTTTGCGTGAAATAAAATTTAGATGTACTTGCGTCTCACTTCTGAACATTTCGTCGTTATTCATCACTTATTTGAAGTCATGGCCTGGCGATATATTAGAGAATCGAAGATCCAAGACTGAGTTATATTCCTGATTTCACGCTACCGTAGCTTCAGAAGCGCCAGAGTTCGGCCTCCAGCTGTTGGGCGAGCCATGCGATCTGATGATCTCCACCTGCATCAGACGTTATGTGCCCCCAATTGTTTCATATGGCCTGATCCTACAGTCAAGGGAACCGAGGACAGCTACTCCTCTCTTGGATCCACACCACCGATGAGAATACCGCAAGCAACCGTATTGGACAGCGTTGCACCACACTCCGAGGAGGTTGCATAATACGCCGCAGATAAGTCCTAGCCGCTGAGACTCTGCGTTAAATGACACGCGGTTGCCTAGAACCCGAAATAACCCAGGGCGCTTAGATGAAACTGAAATGCCTGTTCGGGAAGAGTCGGCAAATTTCATACTGGGCTTGATTTTGAGGATAAAAATGGGTGATCTTGCAGGCCTTCTACATGGTGCCCCCTTTTGTAGAGCATCGAGAAAGAGCCCTACATGAATCCTTTATAACCCACACGTCAAGCCCAGTGCTGTCATTCTAAATCACCCACTACAACATTTTCATCATGGCTCATACACCTTCGTTTGGTCTCCAGAATGTCGTAGGCAATGTCTGGCCCCAGAGATTGCTTCGCATCAAGGACATGACCTCGTATGAACTGCACCTCGATGGAAATAACGCCTACTACAGAAAGAAAGACAAGAATCCGAAGTACGCCATCATATCTTACACTTGGGGCCGCTTCCGCGCTGATGGGAGAGGGAAGTCTCCCATAAATTCGAAAGCCGAGGCCATATCTGTCAACAACATCAAATGGAAGATCCCTGCAATTGACCCGGAACAGGGATTTACCAGTCACAATTTTAAACGAACTCTTGAAGTCGTGGCCGGCAGCTACGACTACGTGTGGGTAGATGTTGCTTGTATCAACCAAGTCAACGACACATATAACCAGATTGGCTGTCAAGCCTCCATTTTCAACAGAGCATCGGCGTCGTTCATCTGGCTCCATCAGCAAGGATCGGAAAGTGGGATGACACTGGACGTGCTTGTGAAAGCCCTCGTCAACACGACACAATCCAACAATATCGACTACAATGACATGTCCTACGCCCAAAAGAATGCGTCGTTGAGCCGATGGCACGAGTTGGAGTATCGCTTCTGCAGCCTACTACATGACCCATGGTTCTCTTCAATGTGGACTCTGCAAGAAGCATTCATTCGCAAAGACTCAGTAATCCTCACCGGACCTGGCAACACCACTCGAGTGGAATTCAATGGCAAGCAGGTCACCCTTACACTTCAAGTCTTGCTCGATGTGTGCCATTCCTACCTCAGCCTCGGGGGTTCCAACGCGAACATTGCCCGACCGGTGGAAACAGCTGGGCTCGACCTACTTATTGCGCGCAATCCTCTCGTTCTTCTTCGTGCGGCACGTCATCGACAGGCAAAGATGTCGCAAGATCGACTCGCTGGCGTCCAGCGACTTTTTGGCGTGGACGTTGGGAAGCCAAACGCAACTCCCGCAGAGATGGAAAAGATCTGTTCTCTGGAGATCAACAAGAGGTGCCCGGCACTTGCTCAAGCTTTTATTCATCCGTATGAAGGATCTGATGGCTCTCCAAGTTGGCAAGCCAAACTCGGTATATCTGTGGACCCAAAGGTACATTCTTTGGGTAGAACAGCTCGCATCGACGATACCATGATCGTGCCACCAGACTTTACTTGCGCAGTAGAGGTTGCTGCCGGTTACCGAGGGCGAATGTTTGTCGACCGAAACAACAATTTAAGCTGGGAGGGATCCAGTTTCCCTCTTGAGCGTCTGTGGTCCATGTGGAGACAGCATGAACAACATCGCATCCCTCCTGGCTTAGAGGAAGGGGAATTCGTGGGACCAAACGGCTCCCCCGGCGGGAAGAACAAGCCGTTTGAAAATTCTTTCGACTGCTCAATTTACCTCGACTCTCTGAGGTGGCTTTCAGACAGGCCAGCTATCAACGTGCTGCCGGCAAATTTCATGCAGTACGCCTGGCCACTGTCCACCGTCTACGATCTGTGCAGAAAACGACCAAAGAAAGTCACGGTGCTTGTTCTTGGAAAAATACAGACTCTCATACGCAATAAGATAGCCGAGGCTTGGGTTGGCTTGCTCGTTAAGCAGCATCCGCAGTTCAATGTTCGACAGAGGATTGGATTCTGTACCTGGAAAGGACAAATGAATAACGCTAATCCTGATCGCTGCGGTCTTGCTTGAGGATTCATGGGACATTTGTGTGGTTTAACTGGAGGTTTCGAGTTAGGATACTGAACTTGTTGTATTTTATCAGGAGTAGTTAATGTGAATTGGCTCGGTTATACGTTTTGTTGGATTAATCACCTGAGCCAAAACAATAGTGTACACCCGATATTACTGTAGCTGGGGTCAATTAGGTCCATAATCCAACATGTTTGATGAATGCCGATTCCTAAAGGGCAGGAACTACCCTTGTGTTGACCTCATGGGGCAATTGTTATTCCAGGATGGAAGTTCGGCTAGAGTCCATGTAAGGTTGAGGACATCTGTCTTTATGTTATTCGAGTAACAAATACCATGCATATCCTAGAAATGAACTATAAGACTAGCCAATCCAACTTCTCGGTGTTTGGCATTTTGCACTGCGGGCAGAGATCCTGAAAATATATACCAACCTTGATCATGACTCCCGGGTCAATCTGTTTTAATAATACTCCCATTGAACCCAAAGGCGAGGTGAATAAGCAGACCGCATAGTTTGCAAATTTTGTGTCAAACAATTTCATCCATTCATGCAGATCGACATGCTGCACGCCCACTTGTCTTCCTGTTGCTTCCCCTCCGACCGGGGCCATGATGGTTGAACCCATTGCCTGGTCATACTGTCGCTCACTGGAGGATACGACAAGGGCATCTGAAATGCGAACACATCCCGCAGAACCTGCGATAGTCCAGCTATAAACGGAATCATGGAACTTCCACTCGTGATCCCATATGATCTCTTGATAGTGCTTGGGCAGTCCTAGGTCAAAGGGCAATAAAGAGCCCATTGGTTTGGCCTCTTTTGGGCTTGTTCCGGGATGTTTCAATGCTTCGGCAAAATATGGCTGCACCGAGTCGGAGAAGAAAAACGTGGCAGGTCCGACATTCTTCTGCACCTCTTGAACAAATTTCAAGGGATAAAGACTGAGGACTAGATCTTTCTCACGTTCTTGATCATCCACCGCACTTGTGAACCATTCCGTCGCATCAAGAACGGCCATAATCGCCTCAGCGCGTCGTCCAAGACAGTGGCGATGACTACCCAATCCGAGGATGCTGCAGCGTGTCATGGATGCCAGCTGTGACAACCCCGTGTAGGTTAGAAGAGACTTCAGTTGAATAACAGCGATAGGCGGAGGGGTGTCATTGTTCGCTTTTCTGCTGGCGTATTCGGGAGCCACTATCTCATCGAAAGCAATGGCACAGTGGTTCAGAGCCACAAATTCCCAGTTTTTGTTTGCAATGAGCATATCGGGTGGAAGACATATCTCTTGAAGAGTCCAGAGAGATGTAAACCAGCGGTGAAACGCACCCGTGCTCATTTTAGAATTCGCAGCTTGCGTCGGCTTGATTAGCTCCATAGAATTCATCAGCTTTTGGGTTTGTTCCATTTGTTTCGCCATGACATCCGACATTTCTGTGTAAAGATGATTGTCCTGAATAAATTGGACACAGAGCCACTCCACTGCGAACTGGAGTGTGGTCCATGGCCCGATGTCATTCAACCACATTATCGCAATAGAAGCTTCTCTGAAAATGGTCGCCTGCCGCGATATTTCGATTTTCGCAAGTGCTGATCCGTCTTGCGGGATACAAAGTAAATCAATCCATACGAAGCGATGCGGTAGGGGAATCTGATCAGGATGACGGGCAGCCTCTCTACCTTAAATATTGAATTGGGAGGGATTGGCCATGGAGTTCCGCGTAGATGGATCGGCTCATCTTTTGTCTTCCATCTCCCCCAAGTATGGCTGATTGTGGTGTACTTTGGTCTATCTGCTATTTCAGAAACAGAGATGGTTTGCTTCAACGTTCTGTCCCAAAGATAATACGGCATATCGTTTCCGTTGGGCTTCTCTTGTATCCACGGGCACGGTTGAATAGATGCACCTACAGCATCACTATTCCTCGTCCATGATGGGGTTCCGATTGCCTGGGAGACCGGAAGCTTTTGCGTGTCCATGACAAGATCTGGGACGGATCGACGAGCAAGGCTCGTACATGACATGTATAACGCTGCCCCTCGCCTAGTTCCTTGAAGCATGGGAAGAAACGCGCCAGTCTTGCCGAGATCTATGTGACAATAGAATTCCCAGACAAACAAATTGAACATGGCCTTGTGGAAGTCAGAGCCTGAGCTAAGTCTCGGCAATTCCCCAGGAAACTTGGACTCTCCCTCGTCTTCATCTCCTTGGCTTTCATCTTGAGCCTCTTGGCTAAAGTATTGGGACACGGCTGAAAGTAGTTCGTGGTCGTCAGGGACACCGTTCCACAGCTCTAAGAGGATTCTGTGAGAATTGAATTGAGCAAGAGAAAGGCTTGATGCAAAGTCTTCTGCTCGTGGACTTTGGATAACTTCAAGCCAGCGCTCCCAGCTGAGAGAAGCGCGGGAATTGAGTGTAACCTTGCCCAGTGTGCCAAAGAGGGTCTCAAGCTCCTGACCGAGGGAACCTCGAAAGTGGTTGTGTTCTATAGCGCGGCGAGGAGAAGACGACGCAGTAAGTTAGTCGGCAAGCGTCATAGATTCGAGGAAATGCCGGCGCGTTGATCAGCTTGGCGAAGAGTTACTGCTACCTGCTTTTGAGATTGCGAAGTCTTCCAGACCCGGGTGACGGTCACAATGCGGGGTTGTTCTTTTGTATCGGCCTGTATAGGTACATGACTCTTCATTGGTTATGGGGTTGAAAGCCTCGTTGCGGCTGACTCAGCTCGATAGAATCGCCAATGTGCGAGATTGAGATAAGAGCAAATGCGGCGTGCTATACGTGGCGGTGGCGAAGTGGTTGATGATCGAGGCAACAGAGGCGATACTGGGTGATCATGCACGAAATGCAGCTTATGCTCTGATAAACGGGAACATGGAGGGTGCTAGTATTCTGGTGATCGCCATATCTACGGATACGGACGAGAAGGGTATGAAAACGTCTAGACCGTCGCACCTTTTGGGTTCAATAAAGTCTCCAGTCCAGGGAACTCCCCTTTCTCTATGGCATCAATCCAGCCGTTGATGCTTTTCAAATTAAACCCGGAAGCACAGCGATCAATAGCACCTAAAAAGTCGATGCTTAGCATGGCATCGGCAACATGTGCGTCCCACTCAGGCCATAGAAGACGCATACGATCTGCGTACGTCTTTGTCAGAAGGGTCTGCTCGTATTCCATCAAGTGTATCCAGTAGAGTCCGTTCTTTTCCTCGTTGTCCTGGTCATCATCATCATCTCGTTCTTCAGCCTCCTCCAGGATCTCATCCATGTAGTTATCTCGAACTGGTTCTTCTTGTCGCTCTGGGCCCATTAAAAACTTGGGCATCTGGGTGGCTGCCCATCGCGGCATTGTTGAGACGCACTCCCAATCGACCAGAGCTGTGATTCGGCCTTTGTCATCTACCAAGATGTTTGATAGCGAGAGATCGTCGTGCCATAATACCGTTTGCTGGGGTGGATTGAGAATGGAAGGGAATAATTTGGGTAGTAGAGCAGAAAGCCTCTCAGCTGTTCGTAGTATGCGTTCTGCATACTCTCCATCTTCCTCATCTTCGGTACGTTGTATGGCATCCTTCTGCTCTTGGATGATGATGCGAAGATAAGAATCCAGCCAGTCATGGCTGGAGCGGAAGGGCCCCCGGGGAATGTCATAGTCGAAGTGTTGGCCCCAAAAGAAGGTGTGGGAAACAATGCGACCTGGTACTGGATCTGGGTCGGTCTGGCTGGATTCTTGTTTGTTGGGGATCTCGTTGAGCGTTCCAATGCCGCGGAAACCTGCTGCTCTCCCTCCACAGTCGAGGCGGAAAAGTTGAGCTTGGTATTCTGCCAGCTGCTCCACCAAGGCCTTTTTGGTCGCCATAGACATCTTGCGCCACTTGGAATGAGCCGAAGATCCAGGCATGAGTCGCATCAGGATCCATTCGAACCCAATTTCGTTGTCGCTTGAATCGTCAAAGGCGATGACGTCGGGTACTGGAACTTTGGTGCAGCGGTTGATCCAGCGCAAGGTCGCCACCTCGCCTGATGTCTTGTGCTGGGGATCGACTGGGAGGGAGACTCGCATCACATACTTTTGTTTATGAGAAATCTCGACCAGGTATAGTTTGTTGAAGGCGCCCGCGGCGAGAAAGTATATGGCGCAGTCGTCTGGAGCATGTATGTCCAACTTTTGCAGGCAAACGGTCCGGATGGCTTCAATACTAGGCTCAGTTTCCCAACGGGGCTCAAGATCGAGGCCACTGTCGTCCTAGAGAAGTCCGCGTCGGCATGATTTGGCCATTGTGATGGCGAAAATGGACTGGCGAAAGTTGATGTGAGATGATGGTGAGCAGATGCAGAGGGAAGTTGGGCAGCTGTCAGAGCGTGGGCGGGCTAGCTGATATTTAACCGTACCTGCTGACCTCAGGCAACAACAAAGAGGATGACTGTGATTCAGAGTGTCCCCCAACTTAGTTATACTGTGAATTTGTGTGACGGGAGAAGATGCAGAATGCAGGGCCCAAATGGCCTTGCCGTCAAGTCGCACATGATTGTCTGCTGTCTCTTTGCATTTGCTAACACGGCCCGGGTTTGTCTGAGTAGGGAAACCAGTTTGCATTTATTCCAGTCATTACCCCCATATCCCATCTGCATCTCCCCAGTACTCAGATACACGAAACAGAGTCTTGACCTGGTCTTTCATGTATTTGAAAGTGACCTTGTCCCGTTCCTCATACCATTCTAGTTGAAACACACCCACGCGTGCCCAGGCCAATATGCCCACACCGTCCAAGCCCGAATACCAGCCTCGACGATTTCTGTGGACTTCGAGAGCCGCTTTTCCCGGTCTTAGAATTAGTAACCCGTTTACTTTACATGTTTTACCGACTTCAAGATCTACTCGAGTAGATAAAAGAACGGCCATGAGCTCGATAGGCCCAAAGTGGTCAGTCACAGGTTGAATATCTTGAAGGGAGTACACTCTCTGTCCTTTATCCCCGGCATGTGCTGGCACGCCCGCGCCTGCGTCGAAGTAACATTCCATAGTACTCCACTCAGGCGCGAAAGAAGGCGATTCTAGGCAGTTGGTGATTGTTCTAAGAAGACAAACTCTGCATTCAAACTTGCCCCATGTTGTGGCGTCTAGATGATCCGTTGTGATCTTGAGGTAGAATCGAGAAGTCTCCCTTCGCGAACCAGGTGTACTCAGTTTGTCATTGAATCGGGCGGATTCGTAGGCTAGAGGCCTTGGGACTGAGGCCCTGCCGCATATTCGCCATGCCCTCCCTGCAAGTGGTGTTTCTTCATGGTAAAAAAGTTGACTAATCGTGGGAAATCGGTTCACAACGAGGACCCCCAGCGCGTCTTCCAGTTCCTCAAGGGTGAATGTTTGTTTTGGGCCACCTCCTTCACTCGCCTTTCCAACCCGGAACTCATCTCCGAATATTTGCATTATGCCGTAGACTCGGTCCAGTACGTGTTCCGAGGTGCGGAAAAATGCGCACGCCAACACTTGCATGGGGGAGGCACTCAGTGGTCCCTGTAGACCCGAACGCCGCCACATATCCGCAAACTTAGACAGTTCAACTTCTATTTTCCTGTGGTCGTATCGGGGCGTGTACGATACGTCTCCGGTATAGTGCATAGCGAGACCCCGGATTTGGTAGAGGTTAAGTGGTCGTTTATGTCCTGTCATAAAGCAAAAGTCCGAGCCCGCGATGATGTATGCGTCCCCTTGGATGAAAGACTCTTGGAGTGTCCACATAAACCAAAACCAAGGGTCCTCGAGGAGATGACAGAAGCTCTGCAGATCTGAGATTGGGTCACGCGTCTTGTCATGGAGTTCCTTTGAGAAAAGCATCGCCAGCGTGGCGGGATCCGCTGTGGTCAACCACATATAGCCCTTGATGGCACCGCGAAAGATTCTCGCTTGACGCCCGACTTCTGAATCCGCAATGGTGCTGTGCTTCCACTGTGGGATGCATGCGACATCAAGCCAAACGAAAGGTGCAGCGGCATCAAATTTGTCTTCTCGGTTGACGATGATGTCTAGCACACGTTGAAATTGTTTGATGGTAAAGTGCTTTGGGTCAACCTTTGGAACTTGCCAGGGCACACCTCTGACTGGGAGAGAATCAGTGCAGGAGTTCTCAGCCAATCTCCACCTTCCCCAGGTGTATGAAATAACTGAATACGATGGGTTCGAGATTCCGCCGTACGTGTTATCAGGCTGCCATTTATATGAGGTCATATCGGAGACGTTGAGGAGTCGCCTGGGCTATTTGCTGTCTGGGCTGAACTCCGGATGGTCTGTATCATCCTCGAAATTCGTGATAAGTGGCTGTGATGGTAACATGTTTGAATCTGACTGCCGGTTTCTTTAATCAGTGTCTAAAGCTACCAGACACATCCTGTCTAGAACTGCGCTATTATCAGCCCATCCATATCAGGAATGCTATTCTGCATGCCAAACATGGCGGTCAATCCTGGCAGAATCATGATATATCACATGATCAATCGACAGTTTCTATTAGAAGTATTTACAACCAATATCTAACTCTGAGCCTCGGCCAACTGTGGCTTAGGTTCAGGATTTGTGTGTTCAGATACAAAGTTTCTCACTGCGGTCCTCGCCAATGCTACCGATTCAGCCTCTTCTATTTCAAGAGTCGCCTCGACACATCCATTCTCTCCCCGAAGACAAACCTTTTGGCCTCTGCTCAGCATTTTAGCAATCTTGTCTTCAGTTCTTCCACACCCTTCCCAGCCAAAAAGACGTATGATGTGCAGAGCCAATACGCAGTAGAGCTGCTGGCCCAGCCAAAAGTACTGCATTGGATCGCTCATCCAGGACAGTAAGAGCAAGCCGATTGGGAAATATAGCACGAAGCAGTACGTGAGTATTATACTGATAATTTCTTTGGCCCTGTCATACTGCGATGATCGAATTGGATGCCCGTAGTGCCTGAAGAATTGTCCTACTAGATCTGAAGAAGGAGCGTCGACAGTAATGAGCATAAACCCAGTAGACGGACGCACAACCTCGAAGACCTCGGTATGATTCGGTGGCTCCGGAGATTGTGGAGGTTTTTGAATCGTTGCCTGATCCTTCACCGCGACAGGCTCCAGACCAATTTCGCTCTCCGGAGTTTGAGTGTCACCATCAGGAGTATGACCGACAGGGTGCTTAAACCTAAGCTTCTCACGTCGCACTGTGAAGACCATGGCAACCAGTTTGAGAAACAAGGGGATGCAGAAAAATCCCACAATCCACAAGTTCCATGTTGGAATTATGTGCGTGCTGGGTCGATAAATGATTCCGGCAGTGATAGCAAGAATGATTGACGACAGCTCGCTGCAAAAGATGCCGGCTATAGTCCAAATCGTGATTGCATGCTCCTCAACGACATTCGAATTCTCTGAAGGATCAAGCTGAAATTGCAGGTGGAGGCGATATATGAATTGTATCGCTCGAGCCTTGACTCCTGGTCGCCGTTCACTAGCAACAGGTCGGATACCCCTTAAGACTTCTACCCAGAGCCCGTTGCGCACATAATAAGGATGTTGTTGCTCGTCGATAGATGTTGCAGTGCGATGGAAGTACACAGCCTCGTCCATGTCGTGAAAGAATGCGGTGCCTAACATTTCACCTCCCTGCTTCCCTCTGTACAAGCCGTTGTCTCGGAATTTGTCCAGCACTTCCAGAGCGGCTCGATGCAACGGGCCACTGGTTGGGAAGAGAAATGCCAGTTTGAAGAATACTGTCGCATCCATGTAATTGTAGAACCTCTGAGGCCAAAGGAGCCGCTCGAAGACGGATTTCTCAGCCACTTCAGCGCCGAGGTAGCCTAGCACTGATCCCAGAGCGGAGGGAACGACGGACATTGTACTTGGCGCGTCACGAGGACGAAAGAATAAGAGTAAAGTTTGAGTTTAAGAAATAGGACAAACGCAGGGCGGGAGAATACGGTCGTGAGAGTATAAACGGTGAAGATGGAATTGCCGCTGATGTGAGACTGCCTGGTGAGGCTGAGCGAGCGGTCAAGCATGGCAAAATTGCTAAGCGCCCATGAAGTTGTTAAGCGCCCAAGAAGTTGTTACAGATTGGAGTGGCAGGGTATGTTTATTGGGACAATTTTTTAATTCTCGTTGGATTCTAGACCGGATTAAGACTGACTGTAGTAATATCGGGCGTACCTGTTGGTGGACCTGAGGTCGGACCCTTGTTCCGACTTGTCCCGTTTTACGCCTGAGATGTTAGGCATATGGGACAGAGGTGATCGCCCCTGCGACACACCGTCTGTCTCGTACCCAAGGTAGCTAGCCTACCTAGTCATCATCATCCCACAGTTCATCAGGTCCTAGCATCGTCCCCGTATGTCCACTAGTACCCTATACTTTTGCTCCACTGTTAATCTAACAATGGATCACTACACCTGCCTCCTCCCTACCCATACACTAAGTGAGTGATTAGTATCATACATTTATAGCAATTGCCTAATGCAAATCCAGCTTATCATCCTGCTTCAAAAGGAGCCAAACTAGACTAACGCCGGGCAACAATACCGGCACTGTACCCTATCATAGGTGCTAGCACTCCCCCGCCACAATGAAGGCGCGAAAGTAAGGCAGTCGATGGTCATTTCGCCGGAACAAGCCTGGCGGAGGCCTCGAGAATACCCCGCCCCAGCCCGATATAACCTCCCATTGGATCGATGAGACGTGGCGTATCCGAATCCCTATTAGTTTGGCTGCAGGTTGCTGAGCTGTTGGTGGGTTGTTGGGTGGGCAGCTACGAGTAGGCTGTTAGTTAGGGTAGCATTTTATCTTATAACACCATCATCCCCCAACTTTCTGTCGTATTTCTTTTGGCCTTAGCTACGTCCTTCACTCTTCATCTGGCTCATCACAGCATCGACGATAGATTTCACCATGGAACCAACGGCGTCTGCCCAAAGCACCCAAATCAACAACACGCGCAAGGAATCTTACTCAGCCAAGGCGAAGACAATCCCTCCTAAGGACATCACAGTCGCTATATTTTGCGCTCTTGCAATCGAAGTTGTCGCTGTGAAGTACAGTTTAGACGAGCGATTTGATGGCTACCCAAATGTCACTGGTCAGCACAATTACGTCTACTCCTACGGGCGTATTGGCGACCACAACATCGTCATAGCGCGGCCGCATCAAATGGGGACCGTGAAGGCGGCGCAATGTGCAGCGACTGTCGCGCAGCAATTTCCCAATATTCGGTTTGCATTGATGATCGGCATTGGGGGTGGCATTCCCAGCAGCAAATTTGACATTCGTTTGGGCGACATCGCCGTCAGCATCCCTCGAGACGGTCATCCCGGAGTCATCGAGTATGACTACGGAAAACATGAGCGAGATGGAAAGTTCGTCCTAAAAGGCTCTCTTGACAAGCCGCCTCCGATATTGATCAGTGCCGATGGCTCCTTGGAGGAGGATGAGGAAATGGATGAAAGCCCACTCAGCGCGATACTGGAAGGCATCACCAACAAACGTCGCTATGCGCGGCCAGGGGGTGACGACGTTCTCTTTGAACAAACTTTTCATCACGTCAACGAAGGGGAAGATTGCAGCGGCTGCGAGGCTTCTAGCGAGAAGAAAATCATGGCTCGCAAAGCTCGCGAAGAGGAGATAAAGGTTCATCGCGGCCTTATTCTTTCGGGCAGCGCCGTTGTGAAAAACCTCGATGACCGGACTCGTCTATGCAGAAACAATAATACTGCGATTTGTTTCGAGATGGAAGCAGCCGGTATCATGGACACAATTCCCTGTCTGGTCGTTCGAGGCATATGCGACTACGCAGACACTCACAAAAACGACCAATGGCACCGCTATGCCGCAGCAACAGCAGCGGCCTATGGCAAGGCCATTCTTACCAAGGTCCATATGTCAGAATTGGAACAGACAAGGCGAATGGGAGCGATTTTGGAAAATGGTGAGATGCAGAATGTGTCATGAATTATTCTTGATGGCTGAGCATATATTGATAGTCGAGCAACGGTTAAAGGAAGTGGGAAACGATGTCCACGACCTGAAGCAGGGGGCCGCAGAAACAGAAGAAGGTACGAATTTTCATTTTCTACAATAAAACGTGCCGCATTTGTCTCTTCTCTTTGTTACTTGACGTCGCCGGTTGTCAAACTCGGCCTACCAGAAATATGTTCAATCCTGATCTTGACAAATTACAGCAAAACAACGAAGAGACATCCTTGATTGGCTTACGCCGGTCAACTGGACCAGTCAGCATTATATTCATTCTCAAAAGCGAGAACCCGATAGTGGCCAATGGTTTCTTGATTCACCAATCTTCCAACAGTGGTTGCAGGCAGCTTCAGGAACACTCCTTTGCTATGGGTTTCCTGGTGCAGGAAAAACCATCATGACATCCGTGATCATTGACTATCTAGAGTCGGAAATCTGCAGCACTTCAACCCAAACGCCGAATGAAAACTCAGCCGTAACATTCCTATATTGCGATTTCCAACAAACAGCGCAGTTTACAACAGTTCATATCCTGGAGATTCTGTTGAAGCAGTTGGTCGAGAAACTTCCTTCCGTGCCACGGCGCGTAAAGGAGTTCTATATCAGCAACCGGGAGAGACCGGCACATTCAATTCCGCTCGCACATGTGGCAAAAACTCTTGTCTCTGTTTTGAGCTTCTTTTCCCGAACCTTTGTTGTCATCGATGCACTCGATGAATGTGATGATGTATCGAATGTCTTGTCGGAGATATTCAATCTTCAGCGGCAGACAGGAGCGAATTTTATAGCAACTTCTCGCCCAGAAGCCCGGATCAAAACTCAATTCGAGCAGTTCCCGTCAATCGAGATCCGAGCCGTGGACGAAGACCTGGGCCGGTACCTTGATAAGCGTATTTCGAAGCATAAAGTCCTCAGAGACGAGAGTCGGGACTACAAAGCGGAGGTTAGGTCAAGCCTGAGGAAGAAAATCAAAGAAAGAATCTCAAAGGCTGCGGATGGAATGTAAGTTTATGATGCCCTTAATCAGAGTCGTCGAATTAAATGATTTATAGTTTTCTCTTGGCTCGTTTTCATATGGATTCAGTAATGGAGATGGCATCACCTAACGGGATACTGACAACGATCGAAACACTACCTAAGAGAGAGGCCGCATACCAGGAGATCTACGCGAAAACAATACAGCGAATCAGTGGTCAGTCAGAGGAATATCAGTTCATCGCAGGGAGAATTCTTGCATGGGTTGTCTGCGCGCTGAGACCGCTCACCATTATGGAACTTCGAGAAGCGCTGTCCATCAAGCTCGGCGCTTCTCAACTCGACGAGGGCGATTTTTACAGCACCGAAATCATGGTCGAAGCATGCAGAGGCTTGGTAACAATCGAAGGCGCAATTGTCCAACTGCTTCATCATACAGCCCGCGAATACTTGGATTCCAACTTTTGCCTTCTCTCGCAGCTAAGCAATCAAGCAATTCCAGTCGTACCCGAAATAGCCAACACCATGGAGAATAAAATTGCGAGAGACGCCGCACATCGGGATATCACTCTGGTGTGCATTACCTACCTTTCACTCAGCATCTTCGAGGTCGGGCCATTCCTAAAGAAATCCGAGCTATCTCAACGACAGGAATCAAATAAGTTCCATAATTACGCTTCTTGTTATTGGGGACGCCATCTTAAGTGTTCTGGACCTCATATTTCTGGTATCGTGGCCGGTCAGAACATGGCTGGCTTCGTTCGCAGCATCCCAAAGGTGACGGCGTCAATGCAACCATTACTCGACCACCACCCTCGCCGCTCGGAGATACTCCAGAATGACCTGATTTGGACTACCCCCCTACATCTGGCCGCTTTTTTTGGTATTGAACTCTTCGTAAAATTTCTGCTAGAAAGCGGTCAAGGATACGAACAGGACCGCGATGGTCTGACCACATCATCTCCCCTCTATGAAAAGGGACATATCGGCGTATTGACGGTACGTTCTCAAGAAAACTCACTCACTTCACACACAGAGGATGCCCTATACCAGACGCCACTCTCTCATGCCGCTGAAAATGGGCATGCCGACGTAGTGGTGGCACTTCTCAAATTCAGCCCAGTGCGCCAACGAGGTGCGTACTGGAATGCGCCAATCAGTCTCGCCACTGCGAACGGACATGACGCTGTAGGCGTGCTACTTGTTGATGCTGGTGCCTATCACTCGGAAGACCGGAAGTTGCTACTCCATGTCGTCAGAAGCAGATGCACTGCGACTATGCAGCGACTCCTTGAGAACGGCGCCGACACTGAAGTCACGGGCTACAACCGAGCAACACCGCTTATTATGGCTGCTCAGAGAGGCTACTTGGAAGGAGTTGAGTCCCTGCTCAACTGGAAATCCAAAACGGAGGCAATAGACTGGGACGAATGTACAGCGTTGTTTTATGCTGCTCGGTTTCAGCATATCGACGTGGTGAAGATCTTGCTCAGCAAAAATGCCGACGCCAATGCTTACAGCCCTGATCATGGTACGCCACTCTTACAAGCCGCATGTAATGGGTCTTCAGAGATTACCCGACTTCTGCTTGACCACAAAGCCAGTCCTGGGATCGCGACCTTGTCAGGTCAGACTCCATTAGAGGCTGCTGCAGAGAGGGGTCACGCAGGTGTGGTCCAGCTCCTGATCGAGAGAGGAGAAGATGTTCAAGGGAGGCAAGGACGTACACCGCCATTGTGTAGTGCTGCATCTGGAGGGCACCACTCGGCGGTCAAGCTCTTCCTCGACATGGATGCTGATATTGAGGCCATAGACAACTCCGGTGGAACAGCATTGTCGGTGGCCGCTCAACAGGGACATGTCACAATAGTTCAACTTTTGCTGGAGAGCGGCGCTGGCCGTAGCACAACAGATGACGCACGGAACACGCCGTTACATCGAGCTGCTCTAGAGGGCCATGTCGACGTTTTCAAGATTCTCCTGGACACTAAAGCCAGTCTCGAGCTGAAAAATGACAGGGACGAAACGCCGCTTTTGCTTGCGTCCTTGCGTGGCCACACAGCAATGGTGTCGCTCTTGCTTGACTTGGGCTCTGATCCCAACACAGTGAATTGCCGCCGCGATACGGCAATTCTGCTAGCTTCGAAGGAGGCGCACGGTGATGTTGTGCAGGTTTTACTGAATAATGGCGCCAACCCTACCATTGAGAATAATTCTGGAGAAACGCCATTTTCGGTAGCTAGTCAGGCTAAGCGATGGCCAACGGTGAAGTTGCTGTTGGATAGCGGGTATATGTGAGGATAAGGAGAAGATTTCTGTAGAATCATAAGTACAGCATTGCCTATTTTCACCTTATTTGACTTAACAGGTTTTTATCGTATATTTCTCTTCTCATACTTTGATAATTTATCAAAGTAACCTAATAATATCCAGCACGTCGTGTTATTATACACACTAGTCGTCTAACCCCCAGCACAACATGTTGAACTATTAGAAGTCATCAGGCTATCTTGCAGAGACCTTATCCTGTCCCCGTCAACACTTCCCTGAGCCTGCCCAAATTTTACTTGGATAGAATAGGCAGCTCGGTTATGTCGGTCCACGATCCTGGAGAATCACCTGTAAAAATCAGCGCTGGCTTTTAGTCGATAAGGGAGGTTCTGTTACCAGGTTTCATATGCGAATCGGCCATTGTTGGGAAGAAGTGACCAGGATGAAGGATGGTCTGGGCCGACGTCGCGATAAGCATCATGCTGTATGACTTTATGTCAGCAAAGGCTGGAGTTGAGTGGACAATTTTAACCAAGGGGGACTTACCATCCTTCAAGGATAATGAAAGTAATCTGATCCCTCATGAGAGAGTTTCCCCATCCGCCTCTCATCTCGGCAATTCGGTAGACACAGCGGATGAAAATGGCCGTAAATGCAGTGACGAGCCCAGAGAGAAACCACCGAAACTTGGTACTGTGCCATGTCTCCAATGCAGTACCAGAGAGTGGGTCAGACGTGCGAGCCCTCACACGCCTCACCAGGAACAGAACGGTCAAGATGGCAAAGATGGACAAGGTCACGACTTGAAACGCAATTCCTGCCATCATGACGTTGTTTCCCAGATCGAGTCGATCCTTGTCGTCACCTGCCATTACTGCAAGACCGCCACCAGTAGCCTGCAGCGCTAGAGACACTACATCCGCAGCAATGAAGCCTTTAGTGTACTGCTCGGGCTTGAGGACAGACCATTCTGCACCAAAAAGCTTGACGATGTGTCTGAGCATGAGATAGATGGCTGCACTGTTGAACGCGGGGGCGATGATGAGACAGCAGATCTGGGCTTGAAAGGGAATCGAGTTGAACGGCTGAAAGTGCAAGTAGAGGCGAGCTAGGTAGCCCAAGGTAAGGGCTACACAACCGAGGGTGAGGGCGATGGCGTATCCTTTAGTGCGGAAGCGAATGCCGAGCCAGATCTGAGCACCAAAGCAGATGACGAAGAAAACGGCAAAGAAGCCATTGGCGAATAGGTTCGGACGATATCCGAGGATGGTGTAACTAATGGGGCATTCGGCGGTGACTTCTATGCAAATGGGAGGTTTGGGTGTCATTTTGAGGGGAGTTTCGAGATGGTGGCCGAAGATGGCTATGGGCTAAAGAGAGCGAGAGTCTAACGAACGATGATGGTTCAAAGAAATGCGATGGAAATGAATTGGAAATACAAGGAACGAGCGACTTGTTGAAGTTGGAGGAACAAGTCAAGTGCTGGAGGTTTTTGCACGAATATAAATATCTGAACGGCTGGAACTTCCTTGGCACATGTTTGCATCCTCCGTTATTCCGGCAGGCCTCTCTTCCCCAAAATAGCACATACCAGTCTTGATTTAGTTCCGTATTAAAAGACCGAAGATAAGTTAGACTGTGGAGTGCACGCTTGAAGAGCGGACCCCTGCGTAAACATCCTTGTAGCCCTCGGTCTTTAGATTAGATGGATCTCTCTATTGGCTGCTTTGCTACTCGCCCCGTTGTTTCTCGGTCTTTGAGTTTGCTCCACCGATGAAACTTGATGAATCAGATCCCGCCTTCTACATACACCATGCTCCTGCAGTAATCTCACGAGTGACGACTTGTTCGGTCTTCACCCCTCGGTCTTCACCTCTCGGTCTTTGCATCTCGTTTTTCTTCCTCGGTCTTGAATATGTCATCTCCAATTGATGCAGCCAAGAACAAGCGCACCAGGACCAATGTCAGGCAATCTAAATACGGCTGTTTCACTTGCAAGTACGCCTCTTCCATGCCACCCAACGTTCGCCACAGACTGACAGCATGTATCTAGAGCCCGGCGAATCAAATGCGATGAACTGAAGCCGACTTGCCGACGTTGCTTGACTGCCAACAAGTCCTGTGACTATCCACCTGGAGCACCTCCTGGGCCGTGGTTCGGAACGCAACCTCCATCTTCATCGTCATCACGCGCGTCTTGCCCTCAAAGCAGCCTCACAGTGCCGCAAAACCGCTTCGTCAACCTCGTATGCAACGTCCTAGTACAAGGTCCCCGTAGGGCCAAGAACGACATCGAACTTGCCTTCTGGTCGCACATGGTCCCTCAGCTCACTCATTCCGTCCCCTCGGTGCAAGCAGCCGCTGCTGCGTTTGGTGCCTCGTACGACGCGCATGTTCTCAGGGGCAACCGCACGTCAGAGCCAATCGAGTGCTACACGCGGGCCTTGCGTTTGGTGCAGCTTGATCTCTCCTCCCTCCAGCACGGCGCCGTCCCGTGTATTGTTGCGTGTCTGTTTCTCTCGTGCGCAGAGGTTCTGCAACAGCGGCTCGACAAAGGGCTTTTGCACCTCCAAGGCGCTTTTGCTTTGATGACGTCCCGCGGTGGCAGAAATGCAGGCACCATCATGGACATCGAGGGAGTTTCGTTGCTTTTACAAAAACTTGATCTACATTCTGCAACGTATGCAGTTGGTCGTGCACCAGATCTCCCCCCTTTCCCTTCCCCCACGCAAGATGCTTTGCTATCAGAATCGCCCGACCAGTCCCTTTTTCACATATTGCACTCGTGTTACTATTTCACATCAACAGCGTCCCGATATAAATACGTTAGCGGTCGACTGCTTCCTCCGGAGCTACTCATCGGGCAAGGTCGCCAGCTCGCTCTTCTGAAACGATGGCTATCACACTACAAAACCCCAGCCGTTGTAGCCAATAACGAACAACTGCTTGTCCTTCGACTTCAATGTCTTGCCGCATTGGTCTACGCTGCCAACATTCTCGAACCCCGCGAAACCGCCTTCGATAGCTATAACCCGGAATTTGAGGAAATCATCTCATCGGCAGAGACACTTGCACGGTATTCAATCAGTGACGGCGCTTCTTCGAGTACTCGCCTGCCGTCTTTTACTCCAGAAATGGGCATAATACACCCCTTGTACTTTGCGGCACTGAAATACAGGCATCCTACGTGGCGTCGCAGGGCTATTGATCTTCTGCGGAAAAGTGGAAGGGAAGGTCCATGGCGTGGCGATGTCGAAGCTGCCGTGGTCACAGCTGTTGTAAAAGTGGAGGAGCAGCGAGCAGCATCAACCATGGGAAGACCGGGAGAGGATGTCGCCCACGACTTGCGAGATTATACAGAAGCGGATAGAATCAACGCCTGTTGGGTAGTCGATTATGTGGATAAGGAGGTGGGCGATGATGTTATTGAAACATGCAGTCAAAGTCACGGGACGAGGAGTATCGAGCTGGTACTGATGAGGTGTTACGACGTGGATAATATGTTGCGAGGGACGGTCCTCGGTCCTTGTCAAGACCCATGGCAGGATCGGACGCACTGGCACGGATGGAAACAAATAGTTCAAGTTCCTTAAGAGACGACGCACCTTCTTTACTAATGAGTCCCTTCTTCATTGATAATTTCTCATCTCCCATGTGCTTATCAGGAGAGGGCCAGGTGGAACAAAATTATCAAATGCTATATACCGCGTGAATTTACCACCTCCCCGCTTCGGTCTATTCGAGACCTCGCGGTGAGTTCATTGCCCACTGTGTAATTAACGATGTACTTGGAGGCATGTTCCTCTCAGTGATAGATTATTCCCGTACTTATATCTAGGAAGCCGTCGCTTGACTTGTGTCCTCGCTCGCCTCAGCCTTGTATTCTTCAATAGCCTTCTCCGTGACTCTCATAGCTTCCATCCCTGCCGGAGCACCACAATAAATGATTGACTGCAAGATGGCCTCCCGAATCTCAATCTGTGTCAACCCATTCCGCAGAGCACCTTTTGTGTGAAGTCCTAACTCGGTCCAACTCTTGAGTGCCGTTAGAAAGGCCAAGTCTGCCATAGTGTTAGTGCCAACCACACCGATCAAAGGCCCATCTGCTTACTGAGCAAACTCCGCTGCTTGCGATCGAGCCCGGGTCGTGTCCACACTGTTCCCCAGGCATATTCCGTAATCAGTTCCTGAGCTGGCCTCCAATATTCATCCTGGCACTTTTCCAGTGCTTTATTGACGTATTTCTCCCCGAGGACCTCGCCGCGCACTGCAAGACCCTTCTTGAAGGCTTCGCTGTGCTCTTGATCTTGAGACATGGTTAAGAGAGATGAAATGAAAGCGGCGACGTGAGACTGGGAAAGAAGAGAGGATTCTTGCAATAAGTCAAGATTATATGTCGAATTTTATACTTCACGGGTTCTCATCCACGGGCCGCGATTGTCCGACCTTCGGACCGGTTGCGGAGCTCTCGGCATCCTTTCGGCCGGCTTCATCTGCGGAACTCTCCGTACACTTCCGAGTGCGTCTAAATCCGCATGCGGGCGATTAATACGTACTCTAACCCTACCCTATAGTTGATAAGATAAACATTAATCAGATCCTAACTCCATGCTAAGAAAAGCTACTAATCTAGAGTTTTGGGAAAACGTGGTCCGGAAGGATCCGGCTGCACCTGGAAGGTTATCTGTCTCATAGTGTGATACCACGAAATTCTTGTTAACCGTGGTGTTTATGTCGGCGGCTCTCTCTATCGGAAAGAATCTAGCTTAATATACCCTCACGTCAAACTATTGAAAATGACTGCAATTGAATAGTCCCTTGTGCCCAAAAGTTTGCTGCGATTCCTTTCCCTACCCTTTCAAACTCCATATTCCCCCTATTCCTAGCAGCACAGAGCAGCAAACAATCACTCACTGCCCACCCAGCAGCCACCTTCTGCCGTTGCATGACAGGACAGATCCAGAGCTTCAAATTCACCGGCGGCTCATCATCAACATCCCATATCGCTGACCCAACAACGTCGCCACCGTCGATCACCAGCTCATACTCTCTCCTTTTGACCTGCCTTCCAAGAAGAATAGGACAAAGGACGCCCTTGGCCTTCAGCGACGCCGACCGCACAGGCCCGAAACCAGACGAACCCTCCACTTCGACCGAAACTGCTTCGACATCAAGAACGACGTGAGACAGCAAGCCATCTTTCCCAAGCTGCTGCGTCATTTCGCTCCCCGCAGAAGAAAACTCAAAGTAGATCTGGATTGCCGGATTCTCCACGGGTCCGTGAATCGAAGCCCACGACCACGTTGGCGCGCGGTACTGATCAGGTCTCCGATGCGGAAGCCCCTGACTCCCGTCTTCAGGCCGGCTGCTAAACCAGAGCAAATGCCGCAGAAAGTCATCTTCCCAAAGCCCACAGCAATACTTCCCGAGTATGTCTTTCTCTGCAAAAACCACAGCTACTCCCTCCAGCGCTGCAAACAGATCCCCTGCATTCGTTAGTTGGCGATGAGTGTATTTTTCCACGACCCAAGCCCACTTGTCGTGCATGCGGACTTTCGTAAGTGCTCGTTCTCTGTCTGGAGGAAGCAATAGGTCCTTGAGATGAAAGAAGCCATCCTGCACGTTGTACTTTCCAATTTCCTCATCCTCTCCGATACAGGCGTCCTTGCACTCCCAATAGCACATCTCGGGCGTGAAGTGGACGATTCTGGCGCTCAACGCACGCTCCTGAAATGTCCATCCTCTTTTTGACAGCGGTGTACTCCCCATCTCGTCCTTGAAACTCCGGAAGTGCGGTGTGATGTGTAACTTGATTGGCCCCGCCCCGTCGTCTGGTTCCTCCAGCGGCCACGGTAGCTCTACAGAGGTTCCATGACGTTCCGATCTCTCTCGAAATAGTCCCGCGTATGTGTCCGCGGCTCCATCGGCGGCGATTGTGAGGAGGGCCTGTGAGTAAACAGAACTCATTTGTGCAGCCTCGCGGATCCAGTCATCACGATCTTGTTGAACAATGCACAAGGCGTCGATCCATAAGTACTTGACATTTAGGAGTCGAGTCAAGTGCACGGCATCTCGTAGCGTTTCGGGAAGATCGGAGACATTGATGCCTGTGTTGATATGTCTAGATAGACTATCTCGCGTAGTCATGATTGGATTTTTGCGGGGACCCCAGCAGTAACTGAGTGCGATATAATCAGACGTGTCACTGTCCAAAGACAGATGAAGCCGAATGGACTCGTCTCCCACCCTTCCAACATCTAAGACCCGAGTAGGGAGATGGCGACGACCGATTCGTCGAGACGAGGCCCAGTTTGGACAGTTAGTATGAGATGAAGTGCACACCGAAAGCCAATGTCTAATGATTGCTACATTTCGGCCATCTCCCGCATGGCTACTCACGATGCGTGAGTCGAACAGACCTTTTGCGTGCGCTGGTATCCGATGGATATCGTCTAGAAGGCAGTTCCACTTAGTCTCCGATTCCATCAAGCCCACTCGGTACCTTTCTTTATATTTTTCTTCTTTAAAACCTCGCACATACCTCCATCGAGAGCAACGTTGAGCTGCGCATATTTCCCAGCCTCAGCACACCAAACTTCCAGGCGCGAGCTGCTGGACGCCTGGAAGAGGACACCGGGCTGGCTCGGCTTCGGATACGGTCGTCTTGAAGTGCTCTGCGCCTCGTGAACAATAAGAGCGCATAGAGCACAGGTAGAAGCGGATGTTTGCAATTCCGCCCACGTGGAATACGTGGGATAATGATAAGGTTCCTTGTGCTCTGGGTACTTGCTATCACGGAGGTCGTAAAACCGGGGAACGAGCCAAGCGGCTGGAAGGGTATTGCATTGGATACAGAGGGTTTGAGCCGAAGGAGCGGCCTGGGTGGACTGAGATGGCTCCATCGAAGGTGCAAGTGAAGTATTTTGACAGAGTATAATTGCTTGTACCATTGGATACGGCGAGGAGGAGCATCACAGCTGCGGGGTTTCCTACCGGCTCAACCTCGGCCCAGGCCCCTCTCTGGACTGACCTATTAAACCGAGATGAATCCTCCATTGTGCTGACGTGTCAAAGGTAGAGGGAGGGGGAGAAGATGGAGGGGAGGACGATGGAAGGGAGAAGGGGATCCGGTTTCCTATCAGCCTCTCTTGCAGAGAATACAACCATCGGCAAGTTAACTAGTACAAGGACTCACTGTTGTAATATGAGCAATCACGGCAGTTTGTAGGAAAACAGTTGATTACTGGAGAGATCGGAGAGGTACATGGCGGGGAACGGATCGCAAGAACTCAGAAGTTCAAGCAAGGTGTGTCAGTCTTTACAGAGCGTAAACAGCATCACGGCCACAGATTTAACCGGGCTAAGCGATCGACTGCTGCACACCATTTATGAACAAGTTCTACGGGTGGAATGGAAAAAGAAACGAGCAAAAGCGAGTCAGATTTCAAGAATAGAGTAAGGGCGAATGGCTGACTGCTGCGTCCAAGGCCAACCCACCATGACGGATAAAGGTCAGGACTAATGTTGGGGCAATAGGTGATGATATGAGTGAATGAGTCTAGTGCAGTAGTTTGGACAAGAGTTCCCCGTACATGCCTAGACACGAATCATGGCGGCTAGAGCAATCGAAAGCATTCCTCGGTCTCTGAAAGGCTTTGCAAGCTGACAAATGAGAAACACACCATCATGAACTACTACGGGGGCCTCGGTCTTAGTACTGGTAAGCGGTAAAGCGAGAGCGTGGCAAAGCACGGGCGGGCGGCCGCTCCCTGAAGCCAGGGATGCAAAAGATCGACAGTCAGAGTCCAATCGGGACTTGGCATTCTCCTCATTCAGCCTGTTTCATCTCGGCCCGTTGCCGTCGGGACTCGGCAGGGACCGTCTAACCCTACTTGGCAGAACAGTGGTAGCATCAAAAGTACCACTGCTTCACTCAATCACGCGCAAACACATCGATTCCCGCTCATGCCGCAGCGATGGACACAACTCACGTCATTCTTTCCCATTAACCCGACACAATTAGCGCTAGTCTAAACTTCGGCTTCCTTTCTTGGTCATCCGCTCCGCTGTCCTGCTTCAGCTCCTCTATCTGAAACCAGCACACACATCCTGAAAGACATTCTTCTCCAACGCGGCGGCATCTGTCGGGATGTACTTGAGGAACGTAGCATAAGAGTATGTCCACCTGGGGTCGTTCAGCTCTGTCTTCCAGGTCCAGTAGACCCATCCATTCATCCCGGGCTTCTCGTATAGTTGTTGCTGGGCGGTAAAGAATTTCGTGAAGAAAGCCGCGTTGTTCCAGTCAACATTCGAAGTCATGCTCCATTCGCCCGTAATGGCAAAAGACTGGCCTGATACAACACGAGAGTCAGAGCATGCGCTGTGCATGAGGCTGAACTGGTCGCCGGCATTGTTTCCCAACGCGAAGCCAATGTAGTTGTGGTCGTCAAAGCCAGTCATGGGGTCGTTGGCCACCGCAGAAGCCGTGCGAGCATCGCCGGAGTCCCATTTGCTCGACATGAACTGGACATGAAGCTTCCGGTCACTGGAAACGCCGAGGGAGGACTCGGCATCGCGGATAGCTTTGAGTGCTCCTGGGTAATACTTCTGCACCAAGCCCGGATCCTGGCCAGGAGCTGGGTAGCGCCCACCCCCGTCGTGCCGAGAAACAGGCTCATTGAGGACCTCAAGCATGCCGACCGTCCTGTATGCGTTGTTGGTGTGGATGCGGTTCGTCATCCATGCGAGCCACTTCTCGGCACGGCCAAAGTTGTAGTCGTTGTAGAAGCCAGCGGGCTTGTTGTTCTGGCCGGTGAAGACGTCCTGTTGCTGACCACCAGGAGCACCGTGGAGATCAATGATGACATACAACCCCAAGTCGGCAGCCTTCCCAACCACGGCGTCGAGATACTTGAGCATCCGATCACCATCAGCGAATGGCTCACTAGCCTTGTCGACGATTGCCGTGTAGGACCAGTAGCCGATGGGGATGCGGATCGTGTTCAGGCCGACATCGTGGACAGATTGAACAGTATCGGTGTTGATCCATTCTCTCCAATGCTTCTCAAACCTTTGGTTCCCGAGTTCGCGGTTGTTTCCCATGTAATGGTCGAGCATGCAGTCAAACTCAGAAGCCGAGTCGCCACAGCCCATCACGTTGCTCCATTCATTCTGCATCATCCATTTCTCGCCAATAAGCCAGCCTAAAGTCACAAACACATCAGCTCAACGTTCCTCTTCCACAAGAGCCATGTTTAGACGTACCGCCAAAGTTGACACCTCGGATCTTGGTTACTCCTTGACCTAGAGATGGCTTGAAGCGTTTGCCAAGTTTTTCGAAGCGAGCCGTCTGGTTGAAAGCTTCCAGGTCATGGTCCTGGGGAAGCCAAGCCAAGGCGGCTGTGGAAAAAAGGCTTGAAACGAGGACAGAATATTTCATCTTGATTGTCGCAATGAAGGCTGCTTGGAATGTTCCTAGAGAGGATGCTCAGGCTTGAGCTTGGCAGACGGGCGTCCTAGGTAATTATAGTAGAAATATTCATCATGCTCAACTTACCTACCTATGAGACACACTATACGAAGTACCTAGCCAGTCATACGGTCCAATGCACTAGCTGAACTAAGGCGTGTCAGATCAGGTGGTGGATCTTCGGCTCTCTCGGCCCTTTTCATTTAGCAACTAGGAAGTGCACAAGGGTCACTCCCACTTTAATTAACACCTAAATGAAATGTTGTCAGCAAATAGTAGTAAGACCAAATGAGTGTTGTCAATGCTGTCAGCATAGAGTCGCAGTGGTAATCCTTGATCCACCATTCACAGGCCTCTACCGCCAAGATGGAGTCTTTTACAACTTCCTCAATAGGCTTCAGCGCAAAACACTCGCGCGAGGGGGCTGACTTGTTCGCCTCATGACCGCCATCCCTGATCAAAAGGACTGCAAGCATCATCCTCTGACAGTCTTCTTAGTGAATTATATGCGCATGATTGGGCGCAAGTTGGAGGGCTTGAGGGTGGCTAGCCTAATACCTCGTCGCGCGACGCTCCGAATTCATCTCGATTGGTAACGAGGATCCCATGCGATACGAGCCTTCACCGACTGCCGTGCCACAGCCTAAATGGCATTCCGAATTGCCGGGCTACGATGACCTCACACAAGCTCGTCTTCGAGAGCTTCCCCCTTCCTTTATTAGAAATCTTCAACCCTATACACTCTAGGGTATATCCAATATCTTTTTCTGTCCGCTTCGCCTGTCCAACGTCGTACGGAGATACAAGGTTCTGACAATAGTGATGGCTGCGAATCTCATTACTCAAATCTACAATACGCAAGATTTCATGCTTTAGACTAGGTCACTATATTTTTGTCGTACATAGCCGTTGCGAAGAATTTACTCGATAAGGCTCGACTGCAGGCAAGATAGGTGAAAAGATTATGCATCGGGAATAATCCTTACTTATCTCAAATTACGCAGAACAATCGCACCGCCTCTTTATACTCATGAAGCAGTTTTTCGATTATCTCTCACACCTTTGTGTTCGTGCTGACTGATATTGGAAGAGCCGCTGCCTCCGGAACTGGGTCATCCTTCTACACCCGCGTCGTGCCCGGCGACACACCGACTATCGTTCACCCGCTTGGTAAAGTACCATCCTTGGCACGGGAATTCGGTCGAGCCGACTTCGGCAAGGTCATGTTGCCAGTGCACCCAGTCATCTCTTTCCCTCCATCTGCGCTTTGTTCCTCATTGGGTCCTGTACAATCTTGGCTGTGATCTAGTACTTGTTCGTCACTCACGTCATCGGCTTTCTTTTTTGTTCCCTTGTAGGCAAATCCAATGGAGTGAGTTGTTCGAAGTGCCTTCCAATCTAGGAATCCTATTAGTGGGCCAATTAGATATGGAATTCGAGAAGACAAATGGGTCATGCTTCCTTCGTTCTTAGTAGATTGCAGCCATTTCAGATCTCCAGGGCATCGAGGCTGTCTGAAGGGGCTAGTTTGAGCGGGCAGTTGGCCAAGTATCCTATGCGATCGATAATTTATTAATCTTAGACTTGGACTCACCAAAACCTAAGAAATGCTCGCCGACTTGACAAAAAGTTCCGTTTGTCTACCCATGATATGACAGAGGCATGATATTGTAATAAATTATAAGGCTTTCAACTATTTACCAAAGAAGAATGTACAAAAATATTTTAGAATAAACTATTTTTCTTAATACAGATAATACAAGAGGCAATACTAGACGAATAGTAACCTCTCCGATAGGTTTAGATATATAACTAACTAGCAATTAATAATATTAGTATTAAATAATTTTCTCCTATTAAACCTCAAATTTATTCTATCACTTTTCTGAAGTTAAGAACTCTATACCTAAGCCTATCTTCTAAAACCGGACACTCTACCTGATTTTCCAATTAATAAACGATCTTCGTACATCCATGACTTCATATTTCCGACATAAAGAAATATTTCCACATCAACTAATAAAATGTGCAAGTGCATTTGCCCAATACAAAGCTGTTTCTCTTGAGCCTAGCCTTGTGATCTAATAAGATAACCTAGATGCGTGCGCAAGTGATTGGATGCTGAGACGCCGTGCCATCTGCAGGTTGGTGCAGTGGTGGCGTAGTTGAGAGGAATGGGACTGCGAAACATTTGCCAATCCAGGGCGTCCCCGACTTTTTGGTTAGACCGTTCTCCTCATCTTTCCATGCTCCTACTCTTTGATGGCGATGGGTCGTTCCCGTCCTCTTGTTCCTGACCAAAGAAAATATCAAGAAAATACAATATTCTACGACGTCGAATTTACAGTCCTTCAGAACATCAGCGCAGGATGACACCCAGCTTCCCGAAAACTCCCCAGCAGACAGTCACTTGCAAATTGCAATTGAGGGCCATGACGAACAGACCTCCACCCTTTCCGATCCCCCTTCGCACCCTTTGCCCTTCCCTGGCGACGTCAAAGTGTTACACGACTGCCCTGGTTGTTGTCGATATATGCTTCATTCACGCATTGGCCAAAAATCGCGAGACCACTCCAGCAGCCCGCGGACAGTCCACTCCTTGGCTAGTAGAGCTCCTAATACCACCAAAGCTCTAGAAGTGTCGCATCTCCATGTTCGGCCACGATGCGTACATGGCAAAGAAGTCGGTCTCCTCGACAAATCGGCTCATCAATCATGACAAGAGCGTTTTGATTGACCTTCATACCGACTGAGGAATTTACGACGCATTAAACTGTCCCCTCATCTTCGTCGCTCACAGTGTTGGTGGCTTAATTTGCAAAAAGACCATGCAATCAAGTTGGCTGAGAGGCTCCAATTATTGTTTGAAAGCTCCCGCCACTTCTGCTTCCCCCTATATATCAGCTTCCCCAGCCATTATTACCTGATCCTGAAACTTCACGATGCCTTTGAAGTGTGTCGCGAGCTTGAGACTTCCGATGCCATTTCAACTTTCTTGCAAACCCGTCTTGTTGAATCTCCGAGTATTACAAGCCTCATCATAGACCGTACTGAGGGCATCCGTATATGTGTTGCAATGTGTGAGAATCTCTTGATATCCCCCCTATCTAATGAGGGCCTTTAGGTCAGTTTCATAGACGAAGAAACGGATGATGACCTCGGACAGTCGAGAGGCTCCAGATGCTTCGGAGTCTTTGGCTCCAACTAGCTATTGACGAAATCACAAAAAGCTAGGCCTAGGACTAGGTTGGCAGCGAGGCCGATGACGAGCTAGGTAGCGATGAACGTCTATGATGCTGAAGGAAAAGATTGAGTGGTGTGATACTGTGGAGATCCCATATCCCGATACACGTGACAATGTGCAGATGAATGACACTATGTTCCAAGCTGTAAAAAGGTCTTAGGTACAAGTGGTAGGCTCTGTTCTACGACTCGACCATGAGTGTCTAGGAATCAAATCCCGGCCTTCTGTCTACCTGGCTGAAACTGGCTGTCCCTTGCAGCCTTCTCAACGCCCCTTCGCCATGTCACTACCCCTTTCAAGATTCCTTCTCAGCTACCGACTTCAGTTCCTCCATCCACCTCATAAACCCCGCCTCCAGCTGCTTTCCCATGAGCCATCGTACTGCATATGAAAGAAGTCCGCCGAAAGTCTCCCAACAATAATACTCCGTAACGACCTTTCCCTCTATCTCCGTCTCCACGAACTCTTGCACCCGCTCCATATGAAACAGGAAAAAAGGAATCCCAACCCCCTTCCAGGCAACTCGGTACCCGGTACGCCCAGCCTTCTCGAATTTCTCCATCACACTCACCTCCAGCTTTGCCATCGTCGGCGACCCGTTACCAGGGGTCTTGTGGACTTCTGAAGTCATCTTGATGCCAGCGTAAAGGTAGCCCGGGAGGCCAACAACCCGCTGCAACTCGGCCGCCTCGAGATTTACCCCCTCAGGGGATGGTAAGTGGGTGATTGTGACGCGGGGCCAGGAGGTATTCCAGGATGGGTACTCGGCTGTGTTGAGGACTGCCTCGAGGCATTTTAGAGGTGTAGCGCTCATGATGGTAGAGCACGAAATGGAGAATCCAGGAAAGGTGCCAAAGCCTTGTGTAAGAACGGGGATTGGACTGCCGCACCGGGCTAGTTGGTTGAGAGAAATCGACGCCATCATGGGAACATTCGAGGCCCTTATCAGCGATGATTCAAATATGAGCGGCAAACGACCCCAATTATAACTTGAATTCTTGATGTACTCGGGACAACCGGATATGAGGTGGCTAGACTCCCCTCCGTCAGTTCCGCTACGCAAACATTATTCTCAGTAGGATGACTCTAAATGAAACTAGTTCGTATCAGTGAATCAGGGCTCGGGCTCGGTTTCGGTTTGCTCACCATAAACCTAGCAGGCTTGCTCGGGTAAATGACGAGCAGTATCGTCCGGTGGGTGACAACGCGGTCGACTGCTACCGGTAGATCAGACCACAACATAATACCTACCTAAACTCAGCTGCGGAGTTTGCGGAGATTCAAAAATGCAATGGTGGTAATGTTAATTTCTTCCTCGTGTCAAGCAACCGGCAGTTAGGTCAACTAGTGTAGTAGCATGAGTCTAGCTAGTTCTGGAATCCGAATCCGAGAATCGTCGACAGTCTAGAACTAGCGTCTCACCCCTATAACCGTAGTCGAGTAGCCCGACCTCTGTTCATGTTGGATCCGTTACGGTCGAATTGGTAGTGTTCAATTGATGATGATGATGATGAATCTTGCTTGTGTCGGTCATCCGGAACGCGCAAGGGGGGTTATCAGACCCCCCCTGAGATGGCTGGGGAATATGGACACAATGGGAATGTTCGCTCTTTATCGGTGGTGTTGACTAACATCAGCCATGATCTTAGTACCAGGGTACCAGGGAGCACCTCGATGTGGAGCTCACCCTGGACTTCCTCCAGTTCCTGTCGATCCGCACTGGTAAGTGTCATCTGTTCGCCATCTAGGAAGATTTAGCCGGGGAACCAACCACTTCACCATGTAACGTCGCCATTTTCTGATAGCTCAAGAGACATGTGGTAAGATATCATCTGCCTCAATGTAGATTATCTTGTAGGCACTCAACAGTTCCAACCTGGTAAGCAAGGAAGGGCTGTTAAATAGTTCTGAGCTGCAGGAGTCCATGCTTAAGCCACTTCTGTACCCGGGCAAAGCGAAGGTTGATGTGAAAGTTAATCAGGGAAAGACACTGCTTCATATTGATATGTAAACGGGGCACCGCAATGTTGTCGATTTCCTTAAAGCAAAGGTCTAGGCACCACGGATAGGAAACGACACTTGACGCTCGGATTATTTAGCTTCGGGCCACGGCTCTGTGAACCCAGCCCATGTATTCGATATGAAAGTAATTGCCCGCATGATGTGATCTATATTGCCTGGCGTTCGTCTTCTGCCCAGCATCCAGCATGGATCAAAGCTATCGAAAACCACACCCTTCCCTCTCCACATCAGACATTATGTCACTCAACAGTCGCGCAGCTTATGCATTTCTTCTGAGCATATAAGGATCTCCGGGAAGTCCTTCAGTCCACTTTCTATCCTCATACTCTTCCTCGGCTGGCTTTTCTCCAGATTTCTGAATTTCCCAGGCACGCTTCTCGACAGCCCCCCAGACCCGAAGAATATTGTCTCCGACTAGCAGGCGGACCTGCTCATCTGTCGCGCCATGCTGCATCAGAAGCTCAATCAGGCTCGGATACTTGGAAACATCCTCCAGTCCAATGGGCGCAAGAGCCGCTCCGAAGAAATCGCTTCCGATTCCAACGCACTCCCAGCCGCAGACGTCAGCAATATATAGAATGTGATCGACAACGTCGTATATACTGGCTTGCTCCGGGTTTTTGACGTCGAGGAACTCCTTCAAGAATACCACCATGACAATGCCCCCGTTTTGTTTCAATAACCGAAGCACATCATCTGGGACATTACGGAGGTGGGCTGAGATGCCGTATGCGCCTGAGTGTGAGAATATGACAGGCGCGCGAGCGACACTCAGCACATCGCGCATGGTCTGGTGTGAGACGTGAGAGAGATCTACCATCATCCCCAACCGGTTCATCTCTCCTACAGCCTTTCTTCCAAGTGTAGTCAATCCCCCGTCGTGTCCTTTGGCGTCTGCGGCGACTGTAGATGCAGCAGTTGCAAACGCGTTCGCGCAGTTATGCGTGAGAGTCAGGTACCGAGCCCCGAGATCATACATCTGTCGGATGGTGGCGATGCTGCTGCCGACTTGATGACCGCCCTCGATTCCAATCATGCTTGCGATGCGCCCGGATTTGAATGCCTTCCGGACGCATGCTGCTGTATCACAATATTCGAGGTCCTTTGGATGCTCATTGATGAAGCGGCGGGTGATGTCGATTTGCTCTAACGTATCTCTAACAGTCCACTATAAGGGCAATGTGAGTTTTGTATACCTACATCTAGGAGGATGGAGTCAATAACTAACCGAGGGAGTGTCAAAATGTGTCTGCTTCGCGTCGCAGTCTACGTAAACACTCCAAAATTGGCCGCCAACCATACCTTGCCTCATCCGCTGCAAATCTGTATGGCCCAACAACTTTTTGGAAAAGTCAAAGCGACCATCGTAAATGCGGTTATGCAGCTCAATCCGCAGCATCAACGGAAAGTCATTGTGGCCATCGATCAAGCTTTTCTCTGCTTAGCTTATCGGGCAAATCAGAGGAAGAATCCAAAACGTATCAGCAGTTACTTACGGCGTTGTTTTGAGTACTCGCCTCGTGCGCTCCGCGTAATCGGTAGGGTCGACTGGTCCTTGCCCGGGCCATAAGAAGCCTAGCAGACTGAACAAAACAGCGGCGCCAGCCATCTTGAACGGGCTGGGGAGAAACCGGTACCATCCGGAAGTTTGAGACCCGGAGTGGAGAATTAGGGTTCGACTGTTTCTGTTGGTGGTGAGGCTATCGTTATCATCCCTAGCGGAAAGATCGATATCCGTTCTTGACAGAACATCCTGATCAGGTTGCGCCATGTCGTGCCTTGTTCAATGTCGCGACCTTCGCTGACTTAATCTATGTCATGTAGCATGGAGGCACACACACTCCCAATAACGTCGATGTTCTCGCAAAACTTCAACTCTTATACGATCGGGACCCGGCGAGTCCATATTTTTTATAGAAGCATTCGGTCCACTTTTTCATCCTCTCCACGTCATAGTGAGGATACGAACTCACATTGCACCTTCTGGTTTAGGTCAGACTAACTTTTAGTAGTTAGTGCGGTAACAAGATTTTGCAAATTGCGCTTATATCAGCATCTGAATCAGCATTTAGAAACCGTTTCCACCACACCGTTGATGTGCTCAATCGTCCAATGGGTTGGAACTGCGTGCAATTTCACAAAGTGCCACTCTAGTAACTAGATCCACTACAAAGAGCTTTGTGTTGAATACTCGGGTTAGTGTTCGTATTGTCACCATTACGTGTGGAGGGGGGGTCCGCTTTAGTCAACCAGTACGACACAAGGAGCCGACAAGTCAAGGACGATTCTACTGCACGCGCACTATGGCTATTCGAATCTCTATCTATAATTTCCAGCTTAAGCAATACCGATCAAGTTTCTTTTCCACCAATGCAGTTCTTCCTCCTTCTCTAATACATGCGACTCGGGTTTAATAAATCCATGTCCCTCTCCTTCCAACAGAACCCCTTTGTTATCCCCTCTGACGATGTTCATCGCATCAGCCATTTCAAGAGCTTGACTTAGTGGTACAACTCTATGCTCAGTACCCTAAAGCAAAAGCGACGCCGCAGTAATCTAAGATGCGGGATACAGACTAGGCCAAAGCTGCTCGTCGCCGATGATTCAGTGTGGTTACATATTGCAGTAGCAAAGTTACCCGAGGCGTATCTTCAATCGATCATCCAGGACCAGCTAGTCCGGATCTAGATTACCAACTTATCTTTGCTGATCCCCTCTTTCAGATCATATGACAAGACCCATCGTTATCAGAAACGCGGAAACAGAACAAAACCGCTCATTGCCGAAAGTTGAACTTGATTGGATTGTGCGGTTGGTACTTAACTTAATCAGTCGATTACATTGACATGATAAGGATCGCCCAGTAAGGTTAAATCCAACTCCCAAAGCATCTTGGCTCCATTCCAAGCCTCACGATCTTTTCAGCTCGGATTAATCCCTCTATTACCTGTGTTTACGAACCACGAGATTCACCAGACCTGAATACCGACAACCGCGCATTTACAATGGCACCCGGTCATTTTCATGTCAACACCACCGACGCCCAACTGAAATGGTCCCGCGATGTTCCGCCCGTTGCAATCGTGGAGCAGAACCAAAACGTGACATTCGACCTTTTGGATTCGGCCGGTGGACAGATCACCCGCGACTGAACCGCCTCAGACGTTGCCAAGATTGACATCAACACATGCGACCCTATATTTGGACCCGTGTTTATCAAGGGCGCTGAGCCTGGAGATGTCCTCGAGTGCGAGTTCGTCAAATTAGAAACCGCCGACTGGGGGTTCACCGCCGTCACACCTGGCTTTGGACTATTGGCCGACGAGTTTCCGGATCCTGCGTTGAAAATATTCTCTTGGACGCAAGCAGACAGTCACATCCAGTTTTGCGATGGCATTCGAATCCCAAAGCGGCCATTTCTCGGCATTTCTGGCGTTTCTCCAGGAGACGTTGGCGAATTCTCTACCATCCCTCCCCTAGAGACTGGCGGCAACATGGATTGTCGGTATTTGACGGAGGGTACAAAGCTATTCCTGCCCGTCAAAGTCGCTGGGGCGCTCTTCAGTTGCGGTGATGGCCACGCTGCTCAAGGAGACGGGGAGGTGTGTGGAACCGCTATCGAAACACACATGAAGGCGACTATCCGCTTTACGGTTCATAAAGGAATGAGCTACGTCACCAGTCCTCAATTCGACACACGCGGTTCCGTTCATTCTGACTTACAAAGTCGAGGGCCAGTCTATGGCACCTTAGGTATCGACGGCGATCTCCACGAGGCGTGCAAAAAGGCAGTTCGTGCGATGATCGAATACCTCGTCGCAACTCGCGGCCTTGACAGAGTCGATGCATACATGCTGACGAGCTTGGTCGCGGATCTCCAGGTAACCGAGGTTGTGGATATGCCACACTACGCCGTGGCGGCAAGTCTCCCGTACAACATTTTTACTGACTGAGAGTTGGCGCGGTGGTGCGCAATTTAGTCATGAGCAACTGGACAGGATGCGTGATGATGTTTTAGGTGCGTCTTAGTTATGTAACAATGTATCTGCCTCGTCGGTCAGCATAAAATAACCGCTGTGTTCAACTTGTAGTTTCGTCCTTCCAGACAATATTGCAGGTACCAGTTCGATTGTTCGGCCTCCATACTTTCAGGTGGCCAACGCAGTTGGTGATGCGGTGAGTAGCGATATCCTCTCGGCACTGGGGTAAAAGCGGACAGCTGATATCGTACGTATCCGATAGGAAATATCAGTAGACAGGTGGACAAGATTGTTGTCGGTCGTAGCATCGGGGACATTATCGACGAAGGCAAACAGGATGCCATTACTCGTTGCGTCGAAGCGGACGGCTGCGCTACTTCTGCCGAGATCGTTGAGGTAGATGCCATCCTCGAGCCATACTCTATAAATGGGGCCTTCCAGCCGCTCGTTCGTGCTATTTCAGACATCTCGGACGCAACAGCTCCGGCTGCAGATCGATCTACTGAACTGGAGGCATAAGAGCCGGATGCAACCATATCAGCCCATTCTCTCAAATTACGCAACGGCAAGTCCCAGGTGAGAGATTAGAGGCCTGGCCAGACGGTTAACCACTCCGCTACGGGGTCAGCCAAGGCATCTTCAACTAACCTCAAACTCGAGGGCCTACCGGCAATCTTCCTCGAGCGGCTTCCAGGCGGAGTATGTCACGGAGTTTTATGTCGAAAACACCACTGGTTAGGCTTCCGGATGCGATCTATGCGAATCTCTTGGAAATAGTTGATCTCTCTCGAGTTTATTCCTTCAGGAAGCCTTATAAAATTTGCCACCTCATTTATCCCAGTATTTATCTGTCGGATTATCCGAATTGACTAAAAGAGGACCCTCGGTTATTTCATTACATCTTTATTAGGGTATATATCTAACATCTTCTCTACTCACATGCGGGATCCGTCTCTCCACCATCGGCTGATGTGGGGTGAATGTGGGTGCACGATATTACTTATATCGGCACTTCCCCCACATTCAGCCGAAACAGGATTCAATCTAAATAAGCTAGATCGTGATCTGTTCGACTCCAAATTGGGATCTTCAGTTACTTCTCCCCTGCTGTATCCCAACATCGTCTACCCTAGACCGGAACGGACAATGAGCCCCACAAGACCCCACATGACGACGTTTTGGCTCTGCCCCACAAAGTCGCCAGTCTCCAATTCCCCAAAGTCTCCTTTTTTGGGGTCATCTTAGGGACGGGGCAGTGAATCAACGAGAAACTTGAATCTATCTTGTCATAAATTTCATCATTGGTAAATTTTGAAATCTCTCTCAGAAATTGCAAATTGATCCCGCTGCTTCTTGATTAGCCTGGAATACCAACGAACCGAACATGACGCCTGCTCCAATCGAAACACAAAATGGCGACACCTACGCCCCCGTGAAGAAGATTAGAAGAAAGTCTCCCAAGGCTTGCCTGTACTGCCGAGGACGCAAAATACGATGTGATGTCTCCCACTGCAATGGGCCATGCACGAATTGCCATCTTGACAATGAAAAATGCATTGTGGCCGCCAAAGCCTCGAGAAAGTAGGTAATTGTCCCTCGGCATACGGTCCCATACTGACCCAGAGCAGAGACCGCAAAAATCCTCAAGAGAGACGACAATTGTCATCTCGCACATCTGTGTCATCTAGCCAGATGAGCGAAAGCACGAACCAGAACATCTCCACGTCCCCAGATACACAGCATCCTATCCTTGAGCTTTTGGGCCAGTCACAGTCGACGACGCCACCCTTCAGCGGCTCTTTGATAGAAGCCACCGACAAGATCGAGACCGAACCATTCATGAAGCCGAACGACACCACAAAACAAGGGCACGTTGCAGGGCCTGAGAACCCAGACACCACGGGAACGCTGGGAGATGGTTCCAGTGCAGCCCCAACATCAAGTGCTCAAACATTGCGGTATAGCATTCCTTTCGGGGAGCCGCAGACCGCAGGTTTCAGTGGCACCATGCCGAATGGGATCCGAACAGCACTCTGCAGTTCTGTAATTGGAGAAGTGCCCAGACGGAACCCGTTGGGGTTTGGTACGGACATTATTTACACGCATTTTCCATTCCTAAAAGTCTTCAACCTGCGCAGCATCGCGCCAGAAGACGTCAACTACCTCGAAGTCAAGGGGTGTTTCAAAGTCCCTACGCAACCATTTCTCGATGAATTCATGCAGCAGTATTTTCTATATGCCCACCCGTTGTTGCCCGTTGTTCACGAAACCCAATTCTGGGACATATATCGCCAAATTCCGAATGAAGAGGGCTCCGATGGCGATAGTCAGGCGTTTCCGCTCCTCGTCTTTCAAGCAATGTTGTTCGTGGCCTGCAGCTTTGTTTCAAAGGATACCATCAAAGCATTGGGCTTCGCCAGCATCCAGCATGCTCGGAGTGTCTTCTATCATCGCACCAAGGCCCTGTACGATTTCGACTCTGAACGGTCGCCCCTTTATGTTGCCCAAGCGGCCCTACTGCTTTCCTACCAGTCCCCATCCTTTGACCAGGCTGCGAGCAAGCCAGATACATTCTGGTTAAGCATCGCCATTGGAAGTGCGTTGCGAGCACAGGCTCACCAGTACCTATCAACAACACGGAAAATTGGATGGTCGCAAGAGGCAAAGCGACACAACGCATTAAAGCGCTTATGGTGGTGTTGCGTTGTCCACGATCGAATCTTGGCAATTTCTTCAAGGCGGAGCATCCAAATTACTCGAGCCCATTTGGATATGCACCCCGACTTGGGATTCGACGATGACGACCTTGCGGATGAAATATACGGCTCGAAGGTGTACGATCCACCCACAAAACAACGATTTATTGGCATGTTTACGAAATTGGTTGAGATGTGTCTACTGTTGACTGATGTGTGTCCACTGCTATTCCCACTAGATGAGGGATTGGAGCTGGACACAGCTATCATCGACACGGAGGCCACGACGGTGCAGGACTGCACTGTTGCATTAAGCCAATGGTATGAGTCTGCAACACTTCAATTTCCCGACGCTGGAGGAAAAGACGCGACCAAAAAAAGAATCCTACCAGACCCGGTGATGGTGAATGCTACCTTGATGTACATTTATTATCAGTATGTGTTCCTTGTCCTCCTCTGCCATCCGCTTATTAACTTGACGCTTTGAAGTTCAATAAGAGCCTCGTTATCACACCATCAAATGCTAGAGGCCGCAACCGCCATGCCAACGTCTCCCGATCATAGTGAATCAGCATCGAACGAATACTATAACCTCCAGGCCGCCGTTTCTGGGATCACTGGCTGTAAGAGAGAGTTAATACGGCTAGGGTTAAGCCGATACCTTCCAGCCAGCGCGTGAGTTTCACCAGATGTGGAAGTTCCAGATCTTCGGAATTACTAAACTTTTGTATAGCATCTATTGCACTGCACTGCCACTCTTACTTCATATCATTGACTTCAGACTCTCCAAGGGAACGTCAAAAGTGCAATTGAACCTCTTGATTGAAGCGATGAGAGTGTACGAATCACAATACGAAGGAGTTCAGTGGGTTGGCGAGACAATTCAATTCATCATGGAACTACCACAGCTTTCGTCCTTAGTGGACAACATATCGCAACCGAACAAAAAATGGAGTCTCTGTCCACCATTGGCTACCTGGACAGATATTCTAGCTTGCCAACCAAATTGCTACCTACAGCTTGCGCTGACAATGGATTTCAGCTTTAGCCAGGGCAGGTTACCGGGCAATGGAGACTTTCCTCCCAGGCTGCAGGAGTTATTCTCTAGCCCAATGTCCAAATGGCTAGAAAACACAGAATTGGGCGTCGCGGAGGTCGAAGGGCTCGAAGTACAGCAAAATGATCTACCCTTTGGCGAAATACCCGTGGAGACGACACAGGGAGTGGAGGATCATGATTACTTCTTTGATGAGTGGGTTGTACATGATCTGAATGGCTATGAAAATAACGAAGACTTGGGAATTTACTAGTGCCGTTGGATATCGGAGATAGTACTTGAATCAAGCATAATCTTGAACCCAACAAGACCTAAAAGGCGGTGATTTGCCCCTCAGATCAAGATGTCACCATCCGCCGTGATTTGTGAAGTGTTCCGGGAAGGTAGTTCTCTAACGTTACCTTTCTTCAATTCACTTCGTTAAGCAACACAATGACAAAGACTTGTTTATCTCAGTCCTCTGCCAACGCCGGACCTTTAAGGGGGGAAGCATCGAAGCCATTGTGAGCATGTCAACGCCGCAATGTTTGACAATTATAGCCGGGAAGAAAGAGTTTACTAATGGAATACACCCGTATTGGTGGAGTGGATTTAGAATGCCATGCCCTTCGAAATGCTAGTGCATTGGTAATATCAACGCCCTGAAAGATTGCCATGTTCCGCATGTGGGGATGCGGGGCGTGGGGCCATTGAACTATCGAAAAGGAGGTCATTATCATCCCCATCTCCACGTGCAGTGCGACAATAAGATGTTGTGCGTTAGCACCTAGGGCTCTAGTAATTTCTTCCATCTTTTCAAGGCTACCAATCATGGCTATTCCCACAGACTTTTTCACGTTCCACAATGTTATTGCTGGCAAATGCCGGTCGAGTGAGCGGACCGACAGAACCATCAACCCATCAGACCGAAAACCCCTTTGGGAGGTACCTGTCGCTTCAACGCAGGATCTTGATGATGCAGTAGCTTCCGCCCAGAACGCGTTTGTCAAATGGTCGAAAACGAAGTGGTCGGACCGACAAAGTTATCTGGCGCGAGCTCGAGATGTTCTCTTCCAGAATAGGGACCAGGTGGCGCAGCTGATTGTACAAGAGGGTGGGAAGCCGGTAAGAAGCTTAAATTTGTTACTAAATATTTCTACTGACAGAATACAGCCTCAATTTGCGGCGCTTGAAGTTGAGCATGCCTTGAACTTCTTGGATTTTTACAGTGAGTACTGCAAGTCCGCTTGTGAATCAGGTGTTGACTATCCTACAGTAAATCACAGTCCCATCAAGACAGAGATAATGCAAGATGACAAGGACCTGAGAATCTCCGTGTCTTATGCGCCATTAGGGGTCGTGGCCGCTATCTGTCCTTGGAACTACCCATTGGTACTTGCAATGGGGAAAATCTCGGCCGCACTGGTTACAGGAAACTGTGTTATCACAAAACCATCGCCCTTTACTCCATACAGTATCCTCAAGTTCACTGAACTTGTTCGTGACATCTTCCCACCCGGAGTAATCCAGGCACTTCACGGAGACGCAAGTCTGGGACCAAGGATTTGCCAACATCCGGATATCCAGAAGATCAGCTTCACTGGGTCTACCGCCACGGGTAAAAAGATCATGGAATCGGCGAGCAAAACCCTGAAGCGAGTTACTTTGGAGCTCGGCGGTAATAATGCGAGCATCGTGTGCTCTGACATTGATGTGGACATCGTTGCTCCACAGATCGCCTTGGGGTCTTTCTTCAATTCTGGCCAACTCTGCGTGGCAAGCAAGAGGATTTATGTTCACCAAGACATATACGAAAAGTTTCTGACAAAGATGGTCGAGGTTGTTAAATCTTGGAAGGTGGGGCCTGCCACAACGCCTGGCATAATGTTGGGGCCGCTGCAAAATGAAGCCCAGTACAAAATTGTCAAGGAATTCTTTCTTGACACGATGAAGAATGGGTACATGTTTGCGCTTGGGGGTCAGGATTTCAACACCACTGACAACTTTGTGATTGAACCGGCAATCGTCGCCAATCCACCAGATGACTCTCTGGTTGTAACTGGTGAAGCCTTCGGTAAGCCTGGATCCTCGTCTCTGTGAGGCCGACATTGATACTGAAACATACCAAAGGTCCTATCGTGCCGGTTATGTCATGGTCTGACGAAGAGGATCTCATCAAAAGGGTCAACGCAACGACCACGGGATTGGGAGGGGCTGTTTGGTCGAGCAACACAGAGGAGGCTCATCGCTTAGCTGCCTTGACTGATGCCGGTACTATTTGGATCAATAGTTTTGAAAAGCCTCTCCCGCAAGCTTTCTTTGCTGGCCGGAAGGAAAGTGGACTTGGTGGAGAATGGGGCAGTCAAGGCTTGCTGTCTTATTGTAGTTCCCAGACTATTCACCACTACAAGGCCCCAGTCACCCCTAACTTGTAATTTACTAGATCCAATACATCATTATAGAAAAGAAATACAGATTTATTTGACTAAGGCTTCGAAACATGCTGCTCATCTGTTGATACAATCCCTTTTAATAGTTCGCATAATCTCAAGCAATTTTTACCACCCAGCTTCAGTACACCTTTTCCTCTTTCCAAACGATACCTAAGGTCATATTAAACCTCGTTCACTGCAATTATTTCGTGATCGGGGCCAATAACAGAGACAGATCTAGGGATGGCTTGCGCTACGTCCGCGGGATTGACATTGCAATGTGCCTGCTCGCAAGCAAGAGCGGCCTCATCATCAACACACCGCCGGATATATTCGGTGTCTGAGAAGACCTGGGCATGATGTGAGTAAAAATATGCGAATGATGTCGAATTCGAGTGGCATTGGAGTGGAGCTAAAGAGCGACTGTTTGCTTGGACCACTGTTTTACAGCCAATGCCACCTTAGGCGCAGCAGTCACCCGTTCATCGACTACAATGCACACCAAGTACGCACCTCTCGCATATCATTGGCACCAAATAAATCTTGGAATACGATTGAGTCGATCGAACCGACCGAGGCCATCGCCCGGCGGGCCTGGACTGGGACAACCATTGCAATACGCGAAAACGCATGACGCAGCTGGGGGCGACGACATGCCGTAATCATCAACCGACGGATAGACATTGTGAATAACACAACTTGACGAGAAAGTAATTCAGAACAACCCACTGAGCGATTTGTCCTGTTTACCAAGGCTTCCACCAAGTGCCGAAGTGATGTGGAAGCCATCTCAAGTCGACGCCCCACGGTGGGGCCCATGATATTCTCCCACATGAGACGAGGCCACCGATCTGCCGGTCGAGGGGCCGAGGAATGGGTCGACAGGCTAAATTCTCCGGGAAACTGTTACATCGTCTTGGGAATTACGTACAGTGTACATCTCAATCAGGATATGTCAGGGCCCTCCGCATTACCTCCAATGTGGTTGTGGAGAGGGGCATCCGGCTATAAACACTCCCGCCACGACACTTGGCTGAGAGCTTAGCACCGCAGCCATCATATCCGCCCATCTTAGTCTATTTATCCCGTAGCTTACATACACTTACTTCTTGCTACTTCCCTTCGTCCATTCTCACAATGCCTTCCCTCGGCCGAACGCCAGCAACCGACCCGCAAAAGGTCTTCCACTACACAGACCTGCAGCGGAGCAAACCCACCCGCGAGAATGACCCCTACGACTACACGTGTGGCTGGGGGAACCGCCACCAGTCTGAAGTGCTTCCAGGGGCATTGCCTATAGCCCAGAACAACCCTCAAGACCGTGGGTATGGGCTGTATACTGAGGGTATCACCTCGTCGGCGTTTGCGGCCCCGCGTCATGTCAACATGAGCACGTACATGTATCGTGCTCGACCATCTGCTGCACACAGTATGTCCATTCATTCGCTGGTCGGCATGTTAAGGCCTGCCTACAAGTCCCTATGTACTCAAGCAGATTCCTAACCCAACACAGACGGCTACTATCCAATTGAAAGCAAGTCGAACATCCAGAACTGCTTCCTCTCTCTCAACAAGGCCGTCGAAGCACTCCCAGAGCAAGCCGAATGGGCGCCGTTCCCCCTCCCACCGAACGACATCAGAACCGACTTCACCGACGGCCTACACACGCTGGCCGGCAGCGGCGACCCGAATCTACGAGAGGGCATCGCGCTATACGTCTACATGTTCAACGCCGACATGGTCCAGCGGGCATACTGCAACACCGACGGCGACTTTCTCATCGCGCCACAACTGGGCAGTCTCCACGTCCAGACAGAGATGGGCCTGTTATACCTACAACCAGGCGAGATCTGCGTTATCCAACGTGGCGTGCGCTTCCGTCTGTCTCTCGGGGCTGGTAGCACCGCTGCGAGAGGCTACATCACCGAGGTTTGGGGGTCGATCTGGGAACTTCCTGATCTTGGTCCTCTTGGCGGGCATGGTCTGGCCAACCCTCGCGATTTCTTGTTTCCGCAGGCGTATATCGATGACGAGTTGCATTTGCCGTTCGAGATTGTTGTCAAGAATAATGGTAAGCACGTGGCCATCAAGCAGGACCACAGCCCTTTCGATGTTGTGGCGTGGCATGGAAACGTCGTGCCGTACAAGGTAAGTCATCCAGACGCTGTCGCTCAAGCTTTATCTCACAATCATGCAGTATGACCTGACCAAGTTTGCGTCGCAAAATGCCACGACGATCGATCATACAGACCCCTCGGTCAACACCGTGTTGACAGCAAAGTCGCGCGACCCCAACTCGCCGTTGGCCGACTTCCTTTGGTTCGGTCCGCGCTGGGACGTTGCGAGCAACTCGTTCCGCCTCCCATACTTCCACCGCAACTCAGCCTCCGAGTTCCTCGCCTGTCTGTATGGCAACGGACTCGGTCGCTCCGACGACTTCCAGCCGGGTGGAGGTAGCTACGAGGGTGGCCATACACCGCATGGTGGGTTTGATGACGCGTATGTTGAAGAGGTCAAGTTGCAAGTCAATGAGCCGAGGAGAATTCTTGAAAGTATGTCAGCTTTGCATCTTCTTCCCTAACACGTCCTTGCGGTGGTGGCCCGGCATTGTGGATTTCCTCTAATGCGCACCAGACCAAATGACCATCATGGTCGAGACAAGTCGAACGTTCCTTTGGACCGAGTACGCCCGCGTGGGCTGCGGCACATTGCATCCCCAGGGCACCGACCCTGGAGTCTGGGACAAACTTCCTGTAAGTAACGTCTTTCGCGGGATGGGCACAAATCTACTCTAAGAATGCGAGTCTGACCGTACTCATAGGATCGTTTCTCGGCACATCCCGAGATCAAGAAGCTGCTGCAGCGCCGTAAAGACGACAAGGCCCGTGAGCGGCAATCTTTGGACTACTACCATGATTTTGATCTCGCCGGGACGCGCCTTAAGTCTGCAGCTACTAATGGGACCTCGTGAGGCCGCTGTAAAACCTGACGAGGCTTTATTAACAAGAGACATTCGTTGCTATCTTTCAGACTTGCCATGTCTTTTAGCTTGTTATCGATACCTTCCTTATCTTGTTCAGAATACTGAAATTGCCTGCCTAGTGTACAATCATTACTTATTCTATTCCCCTAACCGGGAGAGTTCCGTCTCCCCCGTTATGCTGTCACTCATAATGCGTAGTATCCGACAGAGATTCGTCACGTTCCACTTCCCAACCTCTTCTAACAAGTCCAAATATTCCAGTAAAATTCGCCGCGCGGAACTATAACCACCGGGGTAGATGATCCCACCAAAAGATATCGTTCCACCATCCTTGATGAATCGCCTTGCCGGGCAGTCAAGAATGCCCGCCGTTGAATGACCGTAGTTGATTCCTGCGTACCCTACTTGGTTCCAGTCGACGTTGTCCAGCAGTTCAAAGGGCTCGGGGGCAAGTTGCATCTCAGAGGCATCCAACTGTGGTAACATGTAAAGATAGAGCGCGAGCACGAGAGCAGAGTTAAAAATGGCCATCTCAGAAACGAACATGGTCCCGTCTGATATCTTCCGGCGGGACATGCAAGAGAAAGTTTGCGCGGCATGCAAACAGGCCCTGCGTGCTGCAGAAGTTTGAGTCCATTGACTGATATCTGCAAGGGCAGCCCGTCCAGATTCCGGTCCACCCCTACCAGCTGCGAGTTCAAAGGTGCTCAGGTTTGCCGTCAAATCCAGACACATCCTGTGCCAAAATACCAGGCAGTTGGGGTTTACCGTGTTTAGTTCCTTGTGGTACGCAGCATAGATGTCCATAAGGAGCGGTGTCAGGACTTTTGCCGAGCCATCTCTCGCGTACAGCTCCGCTGGGATCATGTACCGCTTGTTTTCTTCCAGTCCCGAACCGGTATTCAGTCGGTGACGGGCATCAGCGATGCGTAGCCAGGCGGCCGCGAGCACTCCATGCAGGCCGTGGACGCTGGCACCCGCGGCTGCAGGCAGGGTTACTGGATATTGGCGGAAGTCAAGGATGGGTGAGATGACTTGACAGCCAGCGTTGACGAGGGACGTCCATCGGAGCGAGTCGGGTGCTTTGAACAGTTCCGCCGTGCAGGGTGCGTAGAACTGCATGGCTTCGATTTTGATGATGGGGCAGGTTCCGAGGTTATTAGCGAAGAAGGAATCGATCATGATCAGGCCCACGATGAGACTTTACAAGTTAGCTGCAAATACTGGAATGTTTAAGATCATGGACAAACCGTTTGACGGATTCAATCCGCGCCCAGGCCTTCCAGACTTCCTCTCCGCTCCAGCCTCGCTCAAAAAGTGTTGATGAAAGACGGGTAGATTCGTGTGCCGCAAAGATGTTGTGTTTCAAGGCCATCTAGACAGTACGGTTATATTGATGTCGTTATTACGTGGAATAGCTTGGGTACGAACCATGAGGGTATCATTGTAGAGCATTTGGGTCTGCTCATCGTGAACTCGTTCCTGAAATCACAGCCATGTCAGCTTTTCCAGGCCAAATTAAGCCCATTTTGCGGTCCTACCGGATCGGTGGTAGACAGGCTCAGAAGCAGGACACTACAACCGAGTGCTGACAAGAGCTCAGCTGCCTCGTGGGATTTCCATGGCCGGGCCAGTTCCACTCGACAGCGTTCGATTGCTCCCTTTCATTGCCATTAGCCCCCTGAAAATGGTAAGAGCTCAATGGACTTACCGGCAGCTGCATCGTGACGAAGCTTTTCTTGTTCTGGGGATCCAAGAGGGCGAGTCCGATCAGACACATGGCATTCACTACTGAGATGTTTGCTGATTTTGCCGTAAATGTTTGTTGATGGATGAAGGGTAATAATTGGTGAAAACGGCGGAAGAAAAGGTCGAGGCTCATGTCAAGAACTTCTGCTGATGGGAAGTCGTCACCGGACTGGCTTTGGTGGCCTCCAGCTCCGTGGTGAGAATTAAACAAGGAGTTGGATGAGTTTCTGATGGAAGAACACTCCTCGATCAATTGGCCACGCCGTTCCTCATCCAAGTCCCACTTGAATGCCACCGGGCTTCCCGGCGAAGCTCTCGCATGAGGCCCGTCATCGGGGGCAGCCGAGAATATATTGTCGCCCTTGTGCGAGGCAGCGTCGTGCCATAGCGTGCCGATCAGACGCCAGGGTAGTTTCTTCTTGTTGGGCCACAGCTTGGCGATCCTGGCGAATCGCTCATCGGGAATTTCGTGGGTTGGTTGAGACGGTCGACGGAGTGCCCTTATGAAGACATCCATGTCCATAAAGTCGACGTTTTCAGAAGTGTCGATCGGGCATCCGGTGACGAAGCTTGTTGGAATGGTGTCGTCGTCGAATAGATTCATCCAGTCTGTCGAATCGTTGTTCTGTTGGGCTGCAGCTAACGTCGCTTGTAGAGACGCGTCTTGCGCTGCGCTGTCGTCCACATGTACGCCCTGGGGTAGTGAAGCAGAGGCAATGAGGTCTCCCGGGAAGTCCAATTGAGGAAAGTATTGCACTTGAACCGGCCGTGGCACCCTCGGTGTAGCGGTCATGTTCGGCACGGCATTTATATCCACATCTATGCCGGCAAGATCAGTCTCCCACCTGGTATCCTCAATCGGCGTCGTGCTGGAGTCCATCGTCTCTTGGGGGCCGACCGCGGTGGTCGGACTTGGTAACGCTGCGACTATCTCGTCAAGAGTCTCCGTGTGTTGGGGTTGCTGGCCGTTCATCGCTTCATGTCCTTCGCGTCTCGGGGGAGAGCAGGTTTCAACCGGCGAGTCGGTGGTCTCTGAGGGGCTGTCGAGATTCTCTGGACCTGAACCGGAAGCTGTGGTTCGGGCAGTATTTCGTCGAGGCGATCGAGCGGCTGGCCTGTTTTCTGACCCTTCCCAGACTTCCCCCGCGGCCTCCATGTGGCCCTTGACGTGTCGATTCAGCACATCGCTACGGAGAGTCAGCAATTGTGATGGACGTTGAGGGTCTACCTCGACTTGCCCGCGCGCAAATCTCTTCCGGCAGCGACCGCACTCAAACGGCTTCTCGCCCGTGTCTTCAGCGTACTGTCAGCGTCGCTCGTCAGGGCAATGCAGGCTCAAAGCCAACTTACGCGATCTCTCGTGACGCTTTAGATGCTCGACCTTGGAGAACTTGCGAGAGCAGTACGAGCAATTCTTGGTGAGGCGAGCTGCCCGAGTCGCCGGCGTCGCCGTAGCCGTCAGCGTCATCCCTTTGGCGGTGCGGAGGCTCGTTCGTTCGTTCGTTCACATGGACATTGGATACGGGGCAGCACAATCTAAGTGAGACGACGATATGACGTCTGGGAGGCGGGCGAGATGCAACAGCTGGCTGCTTCCACTCAGGATTCGTATATTGGCAATGTCAACGCCGTGTCGAGAAGCAGTGATCTGGGCCGCTCATGCGAAGATGCGGGGTAAATCCGGGGTTTACGCCTGGGGAAGAAGCCGGGGCTCATATCATCCGGCACTTGTGGGTTTATTCATCCCGAGTTCGTTCTTGGTCGTGGTACATGTTTATGCAAAGAGTGACTTGTTGATTGGAGAATGAGGCCAGTACCGCACCTGTTTTACTCGCATTTACTAGCATTTACGGGACTCGACAAGTACCCCCATGTTCCTATACCGCGCCTGTAATGCCTTTTCTTGGTATAATCGGCGTCCCTGAGTTACATAATGAAGGCGGTGTCGTGGCACAATGGCTGCCTCCCTGGCCCACAGCACTATCCCTAACGGAGGAGTCTTAAAATCTTCGACCCCTGTGACGGTTGCAGGTGATCGATTCACTATCCCGTAAAGACTTAATAAAGTGAGAAAGTCTAGCGCCGCATCCATACGGTCTTGGCAACTTCAGGTAGCCTGGCGTCGCGCTAGACTTTCTCAATTTATTCACTGTTTACGGTACTCCAGGGTAAGTCAGGAAGGACAGATGCTCCAGACTTGACCAGAGTAAACACAGTATTCTAGCTATTTTTTAGCCAGTTCATCGATGTCATAGATACTCGAGTAGTGATGGTATCGCGAGTTTGGCCCGATGCCAATCTCGTTTGGCCGTCAACTGGACATATTGGTGTCGACAAAGCGTCCGATGGGGATCCAGCCACGCGTTGGCCCACGAACGGCGAGCGACGAGATTGCGGACACGCCGTCGGAGCTCTGGGATCTTGAGATTATTAGCTGAAGAATCGGCAAGATGATTAAACAAAAATGCATCGCTTATGAGTCACCTGCTGTGCTCCGCCATTGTCAATACACGCCGGCTTAAGCTTCTCTATCGTCACATCAGCAATCTCGCTTGTAAACTTGCCCGCTGCTTGGCTTCGCTCGGCTCGATGGTGGCTCAGCAAAGCCCATTCATCCTGGTCGGCGCGAGAAATATCGTACCGACTCGCGACGTTCTCCAACGTGATGCCCTGGGGAGTAGACAGTATGCCGCTTCCTCGTTAATTGTCTGTTTTCGAGATGGCGATACATCTGTCGGCAAGCTACACGGCGCGTCGTTCCTCGTCAGCTTTCCACACAGTCCGCAAGGTCAACATGGATCTAGCCTACCATGATGGAATGCGTTATATGCATCAGAGCCTGGAGACTGCTCGAGCTCGGTCGATTGATCGTGTGGAAAGATGTCGTGACAGGGAAGCCGGTATGGTTCGGCCAGAATCCAACCGGTCTTCGCGAATCCAAGCTCGGAGAGGCCATTGCCAATCATGACATCTTGGCTTCAGTTTTGGCACGACGGCACGCTTCTCGCCTAACCTTTTCTTCTGTCAATAGTGCGGACGCAGTGGAAATGGAGGCCATACCGGCACGAGCATATCTTCTGGCCATGCGTTTCAGAAACCGCCCTTGAAAGCCTTGATCATTGGGCTCGGACGGCAGAGAGTAGGACCAAATCGTTGGGTGTTTTGGTCAGGATGCTGGCTGCTCTGCGGGGGAGAAAGGCCATAGGCGAGGAGTAGGTGCCAGAGCGAGAAAGGCATGCGAAGGAACTGACCAAGGTGTGAAGGGTATGTATTTCGATGATTGTAGCCCGTAGTCATGCTACAGGAGTAGAGGATGCCGTCTCTTGGCTACCTTTCCACTTGATCTACAGTAGAGTATTCTCTCATTCCCACCCACAGCCAACATCAATGTGGGTTCCCCTGCCGTCCAAGTCCACATTTGGTGACATCTATGTGGGGGAGGATAGACATGTTGATATGGTGATGTTGTGCCTGTGCCCCACATTCGGCCAAAGCAACGTGTGGGAGGGATCGGATGAGGCGGAGGCAGGTTGAGTCGCCAGATTCACGAAGTGGATGGCTTCTATTTCGTGTTATTGTTGAGCGTGAGAAGTGGAGGAAATTACTATTCACAATGACTACCACAGGGCAACATTTATTCCTTCCAAGGCATGGAAGTCCAGCGCCCAGCATTCCATAGTGAGCCTAACCCTCGATAACTCACGGCCTCCGCTTCCCCGAAGCCTGCAGCCGTAACCATGGCGGCAACCCGGCCAGCTGGCGCTTTCGTCATAGCCTCGAGGAGTCTGACATGACAGATAAATGGTCTACAACGCCTCAAGAATGCCCCCGGAGATCGCGTGGCGGGTGTTTGCATCGGCATCAGCCCTCGTGCCCATGGCTGAAATCATCAAGACCACTGACGCTGTAAACTGGATCTCGCCTGACTGTATCGTTACCCTCGGCACTGGAAGTATCACCGATGCACCAAAGCTGGCGCGCTTTGCCGTCGCCAGCAACATTGACACTGCGGGGCACTACCTTTCTCAGCGGCAAACTACGTCTAGACTTCGTAGGACTGACTATCCCGCTCATCTGAATCCCGACCTCAGTGCCTGCGTCTGCAAGTACAAAGCACGCAAGAGGCGAGCTTGGAAAGGCAGTGTGAGACTGCCCGGCTGCGACTTGAGAACAGAGATTGTGTCAATTTACCAGTCAAAGTAGACCTGAACCTGGCACGGTTGAACCGGGTGACATTTTGAGGATTGTAATTCGAGAATTCGGGGTCCCAACGTCGTCCGAGGACGTGGGTGTGCGAAGCGACAGGTCAGAGACGTTAGTACCAAACACTCTGGGTGACAGTGATATATGGAGCCAAACAAATGCTGTGCCGTTAACTGAAGCAAGTCAGGTGTTGGAGATTTCCAATAGTGTTCTTAGAAATAAAACAACCAGAATAGTATAGCGTGCCCTGATGAAGCCGTCACAAAACCACCACGGAGTCACAGGTGCCCAACTGCGGAGAAAATATTAAGAACTAAACTACGCGGAATGACTTATCACACTAGTCAATGATGTGCCTAGTAATTGAACATGCGTCAGAGGCATTGCAAAGTAGAGAACGGTACGATGGGAAGCATGCGTAAAAGTCAAGCACCCCAAGCACCCCTACATAACACTAGCCATGGTAATCTTTGTCTCACCATCAAATACACTCAATTCCTCAAGTGCAGTATCAGCCTCGCTGCGCAAAATCTCGGCAATATCCGGAGTTCTGGGTATGAACTGAGCCTTGAATGGCTGGGGTCTCATGTTCTCGCTCTTCGTATAGGCGAAGATGTCTAACTTCACCTCGTTACCCTAGCCACATGAGCACGATTAGCCAATATTAAAGAGCTAGACTGAAAATCAAAAGGCAGTGAGGAAATGACTTACCTGTTCGTCCAGCCCAGGCTTGATGGAAAATGCCCAGAGAAGTCGTGCAATAGTAATAAACAACCCTTGCTCAGCGAGTGGCTGACCACTACATTGTCGACGACCCCAGCCAAAAGCATTGTGTCCTTTCTTATTAGGATACGGCCTCTCAAGTCCGCCCAAGAAGCGCTCGGGGCGGAAAGCATCCGGATCTGGAAAGTCTCTTGGGTTTCGGTGGATGGCCCACAAGTTACCAGTGATGGCGGTGCCCTTTGGAATAAAGTAGCCGTTGTACTCATCATCCTGGGTTGGCGCGTGCGGAATGCCCCCGAGAATGGTGACAGTTCGCCATCGCAGTGTTTCGCTCACGACGGCCTTGACGAATGGCAGGTGGTCCTCGTCGTCCCAGGTAGGTGTTCGTTGTGAACCCACAACGGCCTCGATTTCTTCTTGCGCCTTGCGTTGGGCTTCAGGGAAGACACACATGGCCAGGATGAATGACAGTATCGAGCTGCTCGTTGTGTCGACGCCGCCACCGATTAGATTGGCGGTCAAGCTGGCCACATCGTCATCCGTCAGTCCATCCATCTCCTGGGCGGCCATCAGCTGCTTAGAGAAATTGTCCTCCCCGGCCTGTGAAGCCTCCCGAGACAAGGCTGCAAAGTAGCGCTGGAATATTTTGGCACCAGTGAGGATCTGCGATGGCAGAGGATAGATCCAAGCAGGGAGCTTGGATAGGAACGGCACGGCTTCCATGATGTAGAGCCCTGGAATGACGTAGTCGACGGCTTCCATGAAGGACAGAGCTACTTGGCCCACAGGGTCGTTGATCTTTGCGATTCGCCGTCCCCAACCGATAATGGAGACGACGGAGCATGAGTATCGCTCAATTGAGGGCTCAAAAGTCTCGGGAGACTCCATGAGGTCTCGCGTTAATACCTTGGACTCGTTTAGTTGTAAATGGCGGTGCGCCCGTACGGCTTGACTTCCGACTATGCCATGCTACAGAGGCAATCGATATTAACGCGGTTCAGTGTATATCAGAACAATATGGCTTACTGTCAAACGCCGATGGAGTCGCCACCGATCTCCGTAAAGTTGGTTCACCTGGTTTGTTTCCGTCATATTCATCATGTCACCCATGACGACGAAGCGCGGCCGTGAGGAGTAGATGCTTGCTCGCTTATCGAGGAGATCCGAGATGGTCCATATATCATTACACACAATAATGGGCCGGCGTCCGTTCCAGAGCGTCAGCATCGGATTATCGTACTCTTTGGCCATCTGCTCCCATTTAATCCAAGGCTTCTCATTCGGAATGTCGAAGAAGTTGCCGAATAATGGCAGAGGGAAAGGTCCGGGCGGCATTCGCTGCCTTAGACGAAGAATGCGAACATAGTCTGCGATAAGCCAGACGAGAGGCACAGAAACTCCAGATATGAATATCAGTAAACCTAGTGGAGTTGAAAAATTGGAACCGATCTTTTCGGCCGCGATGGTGAATAATCCCATGATGTGATGCGTTTTCTTGGTGTTTTATTTCTTGGTGTTTTGCTTTGACAGGCTTTGCACATTTCCAGCCGATGAGAATATTATAGCGGATATTCATTGTGAACCTTATGCTATGCTTATATAAATCCAGATGCTATTCAACACTGTCCACCACATGACCTGAATTGACGACGATCTTTCACTTCTCTAGCTACAATATCCAAGTCGCTTTGACATCCCCATGGTGTGTCTGCTCCTGTACGTGGGACCGTCGATTTGTTGTGGGGCCTGTGTGCTCTGCTTTCCGCTTGCTTGGAGAGGTGACAAAGGTGATTTCGGAGTACCAAAGCTGATTACGGAGTACCAAAGTTCATTACGGAGTACCGTCAGAAAGACTGCTTGATTGCCGAGGTACACTAATTCGTCCAAATTGTATCTAGCTTGACAACCGGAATGCCGGCCCCACGAGCGCACCACTTGGGGCCTCTGTACAATATCCCGAGGATCCGGATGCCAGAAATATCTCCACAAAGAGACCCCACAGCTCGGTCGAAGTGCCGTAAGTTCGGCAGTTAGTGCAATATGCTCGATGCTACAGTACAGTGGCTTTTCTTCATTGTTCGTGTACCTTCACATGAACCGCTCACCACACATCCAATCCCAAACAAGTCCAATCCACCATCTACGAAATGTCAGCCTCAATTCAGAGAGTCCGCCAGCTGTCTGACCAGATAGCTGGCCCAAAGAAGCCATCCGCTCGAGATGCTCTACTGGGCGCCCGCAGCCCAGCAGACGTGGTGAGCAACTGTCCCTCCGGATTGCATCTCGTATTTCCTACTAACAAATGTCCAGGTCATATGTCTCGCCTTGCGCACGCCATTGACCAAAGCCTACAAAGGCGCCTTGAAAGACACCGCGCTGGATGGATTACTCGTCCCGCTTCTGAACGCAGTGCGCGAAAAATCCACGCTCGATCCCCAGCTTATTGAGGAGATTGTCGTGGGCAATGTGCTGCACAAGGATGCGACCTTCGTCACGCGAGCATCTTGCGTGGCGGCTGGATATCCGGCGTCTACGGCCATCTCCACAGTGAGTCGTTGGTGCTCTTCTGGCCTGTTGGCAGTGGAGAGCGTCGCCAACAAGATTGCTACCGGCGGCATCGACATCGGGATAGCTGTTGGTGCGGAGAGTATGAGTACCAACCCGGACAACGGCGCTCCAGAGTTCTCAGCGAGCTTCATGGCGAATCCTGTCATCAAGGACATCACGCAGTCCATGGGATGGACATCTGAGAACGTGGCAGGCGACTTTAACATCTCGCGCGAGCTGCAGGATGAGTTTGCAGCCGAGTCGTTCCAAAAGGCCGAGGCTTCACAGAAACAAGGCTGGCCGGATGACGAAATACTTCCCATGACAACGGTTTGGAAGAACCCCAAGACGGGCGAACTGGAAACGGTGCAAGTCACGCGCGATGACGGCGTCCGATATGGGACGACCAAAGAATCACTCTCCAAGATCCGCGCTGCGTTCCCCCAGTGGCCGCCTGCTACGACCACTGGCGGTAATGCGTCGCAGTTGACTGACGGTGCAGCAGCCGTGTTGCTGATGCGCCGTGATGTTGCCGAGAGACTGGGCCAACCGATTCTGGCGCGATTTGTCCTGTCTACTGCCGCCGGTGTAGATCCGCGTGTTATGGGTATCGGGCCAACAGTGGCGATACCAAAGTTGCTGAAGAAGGTGGGACTGTCAAAGGATGACATCGACGTGTTTGAGATCAACGAGGCTTTTGCCTCCATGGTATGTGCTACCTACTCTATCGCACGCGGATACGGGCTAATGCGTATAGCTTGTGTATTGCACACAGAAACTAGGCCTCGATAAATCACGCGTCAACCCTCGCGGAGGAGCCATGTAAGTGTCTTGAACCCTTTGATCATTCAAGCAATCTAACCACTACATAGCGCTTTCGGACATCCGTTGGGATGTACTGGAGCCCGCCAAATTGTCACCGCCCTGTCTGAACTCAAAAGAACTGGACAAAAAATCGCCGTCACATCCATGTGTATCGGTACAGTAAGTGTTCCTAAGATTCTTATGCAGCGTCACATCTAATACTCAATGCAGGGTATGGGAATGGCCAGCTTGATAGTTTCAGAGGTGTAATGCAATGTAGTTTAGAAATGCTCCAATTGTCACTAATAGACAAAGTCTTTATAGATCTATGTTTAGATAGAGAAAATAGCTCATTTGTCCTGTATCCAACCCATCACAATGTCCCACGCACATTGTACTTAATAACGTACTTTCCGTTTGCCTATGCAAAATGAAATCAGTAAACCGCAGAGGCGAGATTGAAATGATGAAAAACTCACCTTTCCGAATTCCTTTGCAATCTTCGGCAAGTCCAGCAGCGTAGCTCGGACGATATTTGACTTGACGAGACCACGCTCCACAAACTCAATCGCGTCCAGAATATCCTCTCGAGTCCCCACGGCAGACCCAACAATTTTGATGCCCTTGTCGATGAAGAGCAAGGGATGGAAACTGACCAGCTCGTGGGGCGGTGGGATCCCCACGCACACGAGAGTGCCAAATGGACCGAGGATCTCCAGTGCCGCTTGGTATCCCTTGGCCGAGCCGGCGATGGCGAGGGCTGCGCTGATTCCTCGTCCCCCGGTGATTTTGGCAGCTTGATCAGCCAGGTCGGTAGTGTCCACGACATCGATATACTTCTCCGCTCCAAGATCCAGGCAATACTTGCCCTTGGCCTCTCCAGCGTCAATGGCAAGGACACGCAGGCCCATAGCTCGCGCATACTGGATGGCAAACGCACCTACACCACCTGCTGCGCCAAGGACAGCAACCCACTGGCCGCCGCTCGCACCGCAGACACGCAGGGCCTTGTAAGCCGTCACGCCTCCGCATAGAATGGGAGCGAGCATCTCATCACTCGTCTTGACATGATCCGGTATCCGCACCAAGTACCGGGCCGGAACGACAGCGTATTCGGCAAATGTCCCGTCAATCTTGCGGCCAGAGTTGAGCTGCTCGGCACAGCGCGTTTCACCCCCGGGATGTAGACAGTAGGCGCATTTGCCGCAGATGTCGCGCAACCAGGCGATTCCGACACGGTCGTTTACTTGGACGTCACTGGCCGGGACGCCTTGTCCTACTTGGACCACCCGTCCGATGCCTTCGTGGCCGAGAATTTGACACGTAGGGCCGACTTCGCCGGATGCCAGGGCCATATCAGTCCCACAGACGCCTGTTGCAGAGAGCTGTACTAGGATTTCCAGGGGTCCGATGGGGGGGATGGCGATGGAGGAGATTCTAAATTTGAAGCCGGTAGAAGAGCGCTGTATGCGTTAGTTGGGGAGAAATATGGCTCTGACACTCACTTACGACTACCAGGGCGGCCTTCATGGTGGATGATTTCAATACCATGGCGTGAGCGTCGTCTTTTCTCATCAGTCAAGTTCAGCTGTGCTTTACGGGTTTCTTCGAGTAGGCGAAGAGAGCGACTGATCTGGGGCTAGCCATCATTTTATACCTACTCCAGTGGGTTTTAGTCGTAGCCCCACATAGATCCTTGAAGTTGGAGAAGCCCAAAGTTTATCTATCATTCAAGAGAAATCTGGGGATAATGTTCTCGAGGCAAAGAGGGGAATGCAAATCACAAACGTGTCACGCCAATCACCAACGCTGTCAAAGGAGTCCAAGGCCGTTCCAGAATTGCACTAACACAACTACACGAAGAACGGAAAATCTCGCACCACCAACTACAATTTCGGTGCTCCCCCCTTGGATCTAGACGACCCAATAATCCCCTTGTACTCGGTGCTTCTCTTGATCTCAAATCCGCGTCCTCGCAGTCGCGCAGGCCACACGCCGCTCTTTCCTGGGGCGAGAATGCCGTTTGGATCTAACGCGTCCTTCAGCTGCTCGTTGAACTTCAGCGAAGAGCCGCCGCCCCAGTTGTAAACGCTGGCGATTTGATCCATGTAGCACAGGTGGGTGCGGTACTCGCCATAACCCTGCAATGATAGATTAGTCGTTGAGGTTTCTTTACAGGAATTTTGCGTCAAGAGTTACCTCTTTGGCGGCGTCGTCGATGAGTAGTTCGATGCATCGATGTGCCCGCTTCCGTTCATCTGGGTTGGTTTTGTCAAATGCTAGACACACTTTTATGCAAATATTAGTTCAATCGTCTTGTATGCCAAATCTGAACGGGGAAGTGGGAAGGGGAACACACCAATGTGATGGAGCTCGCGCCATCCGACAACAAAAGTACCAATGTAGTCAAAGCCAAACTCGACAAACCGCTTCCGGACCATCTGGTATTGCTTATTTGCATCCACACCCGTGGCTGGAGAAATGGGCGAAAATCCTAGCAAAGAGCCGCGGGGACATGTCCAGTCCAGCCAGCCCAGTTCGTATGTGTTGGGGATGCCCTTGAGGGTTTCTTCTCGCATATGGAGCACTGTCTGCTTCGAGCCTTCAACGCGCGGCTGCGGGAATTCATACGATGCCTAATAAGCAGTTAGAGCTTGCCACTTGGTACGATGGGTGGTTTACTCACACCTGGAATCTGCATAAATGTGGCTTTCAGAGCAGCCCATTGTAGATCACGCATGGGCTTGGGTCCATACATGGCCCCGTAAATATTCCACCGTCCTACACCAATCTTCTTGGCGATTGAGTCAATCTCTGCATCTGTCAGGACATCCTTGGAGCTGGTATACTCCGATTTAGGTGCGTAGACAGCAGCGTCAATCAGAGTGTTGCGAATCGTAGGGGCATTTTGGATGACCATTCCAACACGGAGTTGTCGTACGTATTCGACAATAGCAGGCAGGTCGCTGTCGTTTTGGAACGAGAAGAGATATGCTTGGTAGCCCTGTATCAAAACTTAGAGGGAACCGGGTGACAGGATGTGCTTTATGACTTACGCCGGGATCAGGCATGAGCCAGAATCCCATCTTTGTGACAATGCCAAAGTTTGATTGGGTAAATAATCCGTCAGGATATGGCCCAAACCCTGTTTGAATCAGTATTTATTGGTTTGGCACAAAAGACATGTTACTGACCATATTGGAAGGTCTGCCAGGTGTTGCTCTCTGGCAACGCGCCCATACCGGTCCGAATCACCTCTCCATTGGGAAGAACCACCTCCATTCCGCAATGCATGGAGAAATGCTCGCCGTATGGTGTATATCCGGCCCCGCGGTCTAGCGCATTGCCGACAGCGGAGCCACCGCCTTTCTTGGTTAGCGATTGATGGAAAGCTACGCCGTTGGTGTGGCTTACCCAAGTCAGGACTGTCAATCCACAGGTTTTTGTGTCCATTGTTCTGCAGGTAATCATACAGTGCAAAGTAACTAACGCCGGGCTCGAGTAGACAGGTACAGTCCCGCTCGTTAACGTCGAGCACCTTGTTCATTCGTGCGCCCATGTCGATGACAACACTACCTCGTAATCGAGGCGCAGCTCCCCCATAGCCTAGAGTCCGTGATTAACTTTGCATTTCCAGACAAGGGTCTTCCTTACCGAGGTTGCGACCCATGGAACAGGGCCAGAGGGGTACGAGATATCGGTTGGCAAGCTTGACGATCGCAGACACTTCCTCGACACTGCCGGGCGAAACAACAGCGCTGGCGAGGAATTCATCCTTCTCGAGCACATAGAAGAGATCGTGTTCCTTGGGGAGGTTGAAGTATTCTCCTTCTTTGTCAGGCTTCATCGTAGCTCTGGTATGCACTTCCAAGTTGTTGCTCCCGACAACCTTAGCCATCTCGGCTAAAGCCATGCGCAAGCCTTCGGCAGTTACATCGGGTGGAAGGATGAGGTCTTGGTCCAAGATGGAGGAGAGGTTGCTAGGGGATGTCATTTTGGTGTTGGAAGATTTGGATATCGATGTGGTTATTGTTTTGACGATAGACTGTTGTCAATAGAATGATTCAGTTGTGTTGGGGTTCAAGATAGAGGCCGTATATCAATCTTATTCATGAATATCTAGATAGTATTAACAACTCCCCATATTACAGCGGGACCCACGTCTCGAAATAGCCTGTCATCTATCTTACATCTCCACACTCTCTGACACTTTCTGGGGATAATCTGGCCCAGCTCTCCAGCTCTCCCGTGAAAAGGTACCGACGTGAGGAGGTAGAGGGGGGGATGAGCCTCGGGCCGTGGGTATCTAGCCAATTAGGACCCATGAACTGGGGAAAACAGGGCTGAACTTGTGAGAGAGTTTGTGAACTGAGTTACTTCGTCTCTTTTCCCCACAGTCTGCGCAGTCTGGGGCCATGGATGAGGCCCCACCTCCTCTCGATGACCCCACATAATAGCGAATTAAATACATCTAATTACTACAATATATAGTCTTGTCTCTGCGGACATTGAACTGGAGTTTATCTCATTCGTTCGAACCTTTATTTATTCACACCCGTTTTCCCCATCAGTCTCGGAGCAACTGATCAACGCCAATCTCAAAATGTCTTCACAGGCCGAGTCCCGCCTTCGCGTTGTGATCGTTGGGTAAGTGCTCCTAATCGATAACAAGGAACCAGTCGCTAACTGTATTCAAGCGCGGGTGAGTTATTATTCACTCGTATCGGGCGGTAGACATACTAACAAACTGGAACAGGAATTGGAGGTGTTGCAGCTGCAGTGGCATTGGGGCGATGCGGACACCAAGTAGTGATACTGGAGAATGCCCCAGAGGTAACGTATCCGAATTAACTTAAACGATTTTTTTGATTTTTTTGACAATTGTGAAGTTGCTTGAAATTGGGGCAGGCATTCAGGTCGCTCCCAACATGCTGCGGCTACTGGACAGTAAATAACTCACAGATCAAGTAGCGCAAACTGAGCTGACCTATTTAGGATGGGGAATTGGTGACGAAATACGCGCGAAAGGCGTCAAAACACAACGCGTCAAGGTCTTGAGGTGGCAAAATGGCAAGGTTCTATCTGACAAGGTCATAGACGGCAGCCACGGGGAGCAATGGGTAATCCATCGTGCGGACCTGCACAATGCGCTCATCGCAAAGGCACAATCTTTCGAGGGCGTGACCATGCGACTGAACAGCACCGTCGTGGATGTCAACTTCCGTGACGCATCCGTTCAACTAAGTACTGGAGAGTGGGTATATGGAGATGTGGTGTTGGCAGCAGATGGAATCAAGTCTGCAATTCGCAAACTCCTCCTCGATGATGATTCTGACATTGCGATTCCAACCGGCGATGCTGTTTTCAGACTCATTCTTCCTCGGGACCTGATGGCTCACGATCCAGAGCTTCTGAAATGCGTCACAGACGCCACTGTTCGACGCTGGGTAGGCCCAGGTGGGCATATTGTGGCATACCCCGTGCGGAATCATCAGCTCTACAACATCGCCATGGCACATCCGGACAGAGGAGGTCTCGAAGAATCGTGGACTACCCGGGGGTCCAAGGAGATGCTTCTAAAGGAATACGAAGGCTGGGATCCACTGTTGGTCAAAATGCTGACTCTCGTCCCCGATGAAGAGGTTATGGAGTGGAAGCTCTGCTCCCACCCGCCGTTGAAGACTTGGACAAGAGGCTCATGCGCTCTTCTTGGTGATGCTTGCCATCCCATGCTGTTCGTTCCACCTCCCTATCCTCGAGATTGCCATATGCTAACTAAGTGGCAGGCCATACGTAGCACAAGGTGCTGCGCAAGCCGTCGAGGATGCCGCAGCACTTGGTGTGATACTTTCTAGCGTCAAGTCCAAACTGGAAATCCCCACCGCGTTGGAGTTTTATCAGCGGACTCGAAAGCTGAGGGCAGAGACAGTGCAGAATTTCGGGACGGAGACGAGGGCATCTCTTCATCTGGCAGATGGGCCAGAGCAGATTGCCCGGGACACGCTGTTTGCTACACGCTCCAATCCGGACCGCTGGAATGATGCTGCGAGCCAGCAGTATTTATGGAGCTTTGACGCTGAGCGAGAAGCGCAAGGCTCTGCATACGGTACGAGATCATCTGTGTTCAAACGACCGTTGCTTTTGGCTAACTGATATAGCAGTCCGGGAAGACAGGGGTGGCATTGTAGGTCCTCGGCTTTAGTTGGAGTGCCTAGTATCTACGCTTAGCTCTCATAGTAAAGCGGCATCTCAAAAGTTATACTTTGTTCAATCCATAGGCATATTCTACAATCTCTGAGAAATTCTTGTACGGATAGTTTACCGTTGCGGAGCCAATGTTAGTACTGGTGCAAAGAAAATCCAGCGTGCCGAGTCGGATCATTCATGCCTCGGCCCATCGGCAAATGTGTCGGTAGTTTTCCTCGGCTCTTTGGCATAAGCCTGTTTTATCGCTGTAGGTTATCTGGTTTATCTTCAATCCTTTAATGACTGAGAGTCTAGGGTAGCTGGGACTAGACGCAGTCGACGATGACACAAGAGGATCCGAATTATGGATCTGATGTACAAAAAGAATAGCTCGGTAGTTAAGATCCCGAAATGTGGAACGTACATGCATGTTCATGGATAATACCTTCATCCTACTTAGGGGCTGCAACCAAGGTGTGTCTACCACATCCACACTCACTATGCAGCCTCGACTTCCTTGTGCTCACAATCACCTTCTTTTTCCAGCTCTCGACTAGAACTATCATTTACTCGCACTTCATCACCAAACAAAGTCATGATATCCTCCAACGCCATGTTCCGGGTGTCTGGAAATGTCATGGGCACCACCACTACCGATATCGCTGTAAGGATGATGAAGGGGAGATAATACTTCCAGCCGATATTTTCCAAGGCCGCTTGGCCGGGAACTTGCCATATAATATTCAACAGGTTCAAAAGAGCCATTGCGTACGTCATCCCCAATGCTCGAAGATGATTTGGAAAAATCTCTCCGATGTAAACTATGGAATATGGCTTAGCAAAGGAACGAAAGTATGTTGAGGAGTACTCACAGAATGTCGACCCGTCCAAAAAGAACCCATAAAAGAACACAAAGACATAGAGCATCGCAACGCCGGCCTGCAGGGCGTTTTGGTTGTCGCTATTGAGAGACGTCGCTTGGATTGTTGCTTCCGCTATGAGGCAACCCAGACAACCAGCGAATCCGATGGTGATAAGCCATGGACGGGGCATTCTGTCAACTACAAGGACTGCGCCCCAATTCACAACTGCTGCGACTGCAACCCAGCCTGCTTGAAGATCCAACTGTTTTTCAGCGTTGAAACCAAGGGCTGCGTACAGGTACACGCCGTAGTCTAATCACCAATCAGCAAGATCATGGATCACATTTTGGGTGTACTTACTATTGATGACGAGCGCGCCGGAACCCTGCAAGAAGAACACCAAAGCACCCCCAACCAGGAACCTCTTCCTATACGAAGGCTTCTTGATTACATCCTTGTAACTGAACTCCATTGCTCGGTCGACCTCAATTTGGCGTTTCATGTCAGCAAATTCTCGAGTAGCATGTTCAGTGTCGCTGGGATCCCAATGCAGACTTTGTACAATCTTCCATGCTTCTGCTTCTCTTCCGTGCATGAGCAGCCACCTGGGGCTTTCAGGGAGAAACGGAACCGTGAGGACGGCGAGGATGGAAGGTACGCATCCAATTGCTAGCGGACCTCTCCATTGTTGGTTGTTTCCCTGGACATAGTAAAATCCAACGCCGACGTAAGATGCAAGACAATAACCAAAATTTATTAATATTGGGTGTGCATCAACAAGGATTCCACGCCCTTCTGGAGGCACCATCTCCGTAAGCCACACCGGAATGACTGTGAACAGCATGGTTGATCTGTGCAGCGTTAGTCTGACAATCAGCCGAGCACGGCTCTGGATAATCACTTACGACAGTCCCACGAAGAAGCGGAAGGCAATAAACATATCCGGATTGACAGAGCCAGCTAAAATTCCACTGAAGATCATGGTGAGAAATGCACCGATGAAAGTCGTCCATTTCCGCCCAATTCTGTCAGAGAGTGGAGCAGAGAAGCAAGCTCCAAAGAAGCCTCCAGCATAGTACATTCCAACAACTAACCCCAATTTGTTACCTTGAACAAGCTCCGGGCCCATGTACTCTATAAAAGACGGTTGTCCAATAGTCGTCCCAATTATACTGGCCATATATCCGTGGGCCAAGGAGCCGAAAGACATGGCGACGACATAGGCGACAGTGCGCCAAGTATAATGGCGGGCCTTGGAGCGAGTGTCGTTTACGAGTATTCCGGAGATTGTGGAGATGAGTGGGAATATTCAATGCCAGAAATAGAGTGAAAAACAATCCAATTGAGACACTCGAGACTATAGCCCTTGGATGGAGATATAGATAACCATAGGTACTTGAAAGCACACCGCAGTCATCAGGTCTTTGTCCTTTGGTGCAGTGGCTTATCCGCGCAGGTTTCTGATGGACTTTGCCAGGCGGAAAACGGTGCCGAGCAATGGTCAAGGATTTAGTTGCTATGGGCAATGCAAATCTTAAAATTATGAGAAATTCCAGACAATCGTTCTACTTGGTTATCCACTTCAACTGAGCTCAAGACTACGATGCCCTCTCTCAAGGAAACTGAAAAGCACTCGACCAGGTCATCGTGCTGGATCATTATTTCCGGAAATGCATATGACGTAACTGATTTTCTTGATCACCACCCAGGGGGTGCCAATGTTATCCTCAGACTCGCAGGCAAAGTGAGTGAGATTAATCCGAGGACTACAAGTGCTGAACCAGAACTGTAGGATGCGACCGAGGACTACGAGGCAATCCACGCTCCCGAGACAATCAACGGCAATCCAAGCCAAGGTGAGCGTTACTTGTCCCATTGGAAGCCATATGACTAACAGCAATAGTGAAGAAGATCGGGCCTGTGACGGGAATGACGCCCGGATTCGGTGCATCGACTTCGCAATCGGCCGCCTCGCCCTTGCTGCCCCCCGGCGCCATACTACCTCTTTCAGCATGCAAATCACTGGGTGATCTCGAAGAAGTGAGTCGCGCTCTTCTTTCTCCCAAAGCCGCTGTATACTTCGACAGCGGTGCGGAGACATTATCCGCCCGCAACCGGAATAGATCCGACTGGACGCGCATCGGCTTCCGGCCCCGCGTCCTCCGGAATGTCGCGACTGCCTCCATGAAGTGCTGGATAATGGGCTCAGACAGCAGTATGCCCATTTTCATTGCTCCGGCTGCAGCTGCGCGCCTGGGACACAAGGATGGCGAGCTCTGTCTCGCCAGTGGAGCTGCGCAGATGGATATTCCGCAATGTGTTTGCACCTACTCGTCCGTGTCGCCCGGAGATGTGATGGAGTTCTTCCAAAGCGCTCCAGGGCGTCGCGGTGGAGCCTTGTTCTTCCAGCTCTACATGCCCAAGGTCAAGCAAGATGCCGCGAAGCTGATTGATATGGCCAAAAAGGCTGGCTTCAGCGCTCTAGTGGTTACTGTCGACTCTCCAGTGATTGGGAAACGGGATGACGACGATCGCTTCAAGGCTTTGTTAGATCTAGAAGCTGGCCTTGATGTGGAGCGCACAGGCGGCCAGGTATCACTTCCGGGCAACGAGGCAGAGACACTACGGGGCGTGCATTGCTCCACTCTGGAATGGGATGATTTGCCATGGATCCGGAAATGCTGGGGAGAGAGACCGATCATTTTGAAAGGTATTCAAACCGTTGAAGATGCACTTGAAGCAACACGGCACGGTGTGGATGGAATATACCTGAGCAACCATGGCGGGAGACAGCTTGACTACGCACCAAGTCCCGTCCAGGTGCTCCTAGAAATCAGGAAGAAATGCCCCGAGATCTTCCACAAAACGGAGGTGTACGTCGATGGCGGGATTATGAGAGGGACGGATGTTGTGAAGGCGCTCTGTCTTGGGGCACGCGCTGTTGGTATCGGTCGCGGATTCTTGTACGCTTTGAGTGCGTATGGGGCCGAAGGGGTTTTGAAGGCTATCCAAAGTAAGTGCAGCGCCACTCTTTCTGAGATGACTTGCTAACACAATCTCTCTAGTTCTGAGTGATGAGATACAGACCACCATGAGGTTGCTTGGTGTGACGACAATATCTCAGCTGAACAGCGAGTACATCAACCTGGACGAGTTTGAGCACCACTGCAGCACAAGAGCGGGCTTGTCGAAGATATAACCCACTGTGGCGTGTATTATAGAGAAGGACTACTAGATGTTGTGGCTAATTGCTTTGCTCTCTTCAAGTCATTCCCAAGGCCAGCAGTCACCACTCCTGCATCAACTGAGACCACCAAAAAGTCCATCCCTTCCAGTGTTCGTCTGCTCGTGGCCTCGTCGCCAATCGCAACTGTGCCGACTAATTTCTTCCATTTCTTCGCAACTCCACATATCTTCTCTAATGCTGTCTTAAAAGCAGGCTCAGTCCCGTCGGCTCCATTCAATCCCAGTGAGAGGCGCAAGTCTATGGGGCCAACGAAGACGCCAGAGACCCCCTCAACGGTGAGAATATCCTCCACATTAGACACGCCTTCCGCCGACTCAATCATGGGAAATATGCCCACTTGGCCTTTCAATGCTCTCTGGAAGTACACACCCACACCACCTTGTGGACCGTCTGGTAGACCCCAAGGCGCCCTGGATGGACCGAAACTCCTGGATCCTCGTGGTGCAAACAGGGCACGGTCGATAATTTGCTCCATTTCACTCTTATTGTTCACCATTGGAATGACTATTCCTGCCGCTCCGCTGTCGAGAGCCCACTTTATCCACTCGACGGCTTGCGATGGGATGCGGACAATAGGAAAACACGCTCCTCTCGAGGAAGCAACAATCGCGTGAACCATTTGAGTCATCAACTCTGCGGAGATTGGTGAATGTTCCATGTCAATGAAAACAAAATCGCATCCCAATTGGCCGATGAGCTGAGCTATGACTGTGGAAGGTATGGTGAGAGCGACGCCGAGAGTAGGATTTTGTGTACCCGAAATGAGGGCAAGGACGTTTTGGGGTCGTGGTCCTCTTCCATCAGGGCCTGTTGATGGGGTCATGCTGGAGGTTCCACTGAGGTAAGACATGTCTGCAGCTTATGTTTGGTGTAATTGAATGATCTATGCTGAAATCGACCTTCGAAGTGAATAGTAGTAGGTTTGTACGGCAGCAGCTTGTGTGTATGAATACTAACTAATAGCAACTTGAGCGAAGGGAAATGAATTGGTTGAATGAACGAGTGGACACTCGGAAAACAAATCCGGTCTTAAAGTACAATTTCCCGACTCGATTTCCTCCCAAGGCCTAATCAAGCGTGTAACTAAATGAGAAATGATACACTCATCTCAGGCTCATTTCGTGAGCCCAGCTTGCCAGCAACACCCGACGCCATTCTCACCCCACCCAAACTTGCCCCCATCCTTGACTGTAGTCCTCCTCATATCTCGCCTGTACTTGCCGTCATATGTCCCCGTTTCCGTTGCGCGATGCAGTACGGCTCGATTATCCCACATGACCAGGTCACCGTCGTTCTCGTACTTCACAGTGAGCTTGTATTTTGGCTGTGACACCCAGGCCAGCAACTCCTCTAGGAGCGGCTTGCTCTCCTCCATCGTCGAGTCATCGAAATGGTGCGCGTACGTAGTGACGTAGATGTTGTTGCGCCCAGAGCCCTCGTGTATCTGCACAAGTCGGTGACGGGACATGGGGTAGTCGAGAGGCTCGATACTCTCAAAGACATCGGGTGCAGCGAGTTTGCGGTTGTGAAAGAGCGAGTTGTTCGTGATTAAATTATTGACTCGTTCCTTCATGTCCTGAGGCATATCGTCGTACGCCGTGCGCGAATCAAGGTATTCAGTCTCTCCTCCCGTTCCTCGAGGAGGCAGCTCAACAGCCCGAAGCAGAGAATATGCGCATCTCTGAGGGTTGTAGGCCATATCAGCGTGCCAAAGGGTGTTGCCTTTGTTGTTGCCCTTCCTCACTGGATCTGCATCTGTAACGATTCGGTCATGTTCATCAAGGTTGGAGACATCAAAGATCTCGGGCTGATCCGGAAACCGCATGGCTCGACCGGCTTTCATATGGGCCTTGACATCGTCCAGTTCGCCGAGTTGCTCGGAGAAGGCGATGTGTTGGCTGTTGTTGAGATTGGCCTTTCTAAAGACTAACACTCCATACTTGTGAACGCCGCTCATGACCTCCTCGAGAATTTCTGGCGGGGTTGGAAGGCTCCATGTCATTCCCTCCACGGACGCTCCAAACGTGTTGTGGAGAGGAATAAATTCCAGATTCGACCTGGCTGTTGAACCCATATTTGTGCCAATTGCTGGAAAGCTTTTGGGTCGGAAATAAATTATTTCTTGACTGGGCTTTTACTTGATGGAAACCTTCATCTCAATGACCCAATATAGATTATCTGTCTTATTTGTATAGCCCAAAGCATGGCACACCAGCAACGTGAGGTCGCAGCAGCATTCTCCCGATTAGCCGACTGGTATCTCACATCTCAGAAGATCTCTTCCTGAGCTTCGTAGAGGCAAACACCGCCGGAAAAAGGTGTTTTGTGGCTGCAGGATTACGGATAAGGTACATTCCGGCTCTCTTTTCCGAACCAGCCCAGTAATATGTTCACGCCCAAATACATATAAATGTGACTTTACCCACACTAGACTGAATTCAGCCAGGCGTAAACTTCTACGCGTCCTACTTACAGTCTTTATTGTCTCTTCCCCTCAATATTCAGATCAACCTCCACCTCACTCAACTCGTCCATACCTACACACCCACTCAAGCCCCTACCCGAAAAATGGGTGTCTGCTCAGCCTCCTCCCAGACATTGCTCCCGTATACTCGCGAGCAAGTCTATGATTTTGTTACGAACCCCCACAACTGGCCGCTCACGTACAAGGGCAGTGGCGGAATCCAACAAAACCTCGAAATTCCTCTGAAACTTGGTGATCAGTGGACGGAAAAGGTAGTCCTTGCGGAAAATACCTATTATTCCGCTTGGACCCTCATTACTGCTGTGCAGCCATGGAAATGGGCGTTTCTACAAGTGAATGGTATTGGTGCGACAGATGAATCGATTCTGGATGGCGTGGAGGGGTCTACGAAGATTGAGTATGTTTTTGAGGAGGCAAAAATCACAGTGGATGGGAGGGAAACAAGGGCTTGTTTATTCAAGAGGACTCTGACTATTGATCAGCCACGAGGTGGACAGATACCAGAAGATCTCCTCGTCGTATGCATGAGAACTGCCGGTATTGAGGGATATCATGATGCGGTAGCAAGGGAGCTGGCTAAGATCCACGGATAATTGTTATTAGTACAGCTGCATAATAATACAAATCACCAGGATAACTTTACTCGATTGAGCAATAAACTTATGTTTATTACCGATTTACTTTCACATGATGCAAGGCTTCGAACTAGTCCTTCGCAAAGGCTGTGCATGCCACAGAACTGTAGGTACTATTTGACAGAAGTAATGGCACCCAAGTAGTTACAAGCGCTATTTGAGAGTATCAATGAGACACGCCAGGACAGACATTAGAGTGTAGCGTGTTCATTGAAGGAAATTATCGAAAGTGAATGTTTGTCAACTAAATGCAAGCCTGCTTCCTGTCCCCCCCCCCCTCCCCAAGCTATCAACCATAGGCTTGATGGTCATTTTTTATCGCTTGACCAAACTCATAATAGCGATAGATGCATGAGGGTAGTCGCTCGCAGTGTTAATTGCAACTCTTGCCAACAAGGTAGTGATAACAATAGCCACCAACAACGTAAAGCCGAAGCTGACAAGCCCAATAAGCTCAAGAGGTTGGACACCGAGTGTTGGCTTTGCGCCGTCGACCTTCTCAACTCCTGTTTGGGAACCAAGTTGAGGAACGTATTTGAAGTCATAGACATACCCACCCTTGAGCCCGTCCTTGTGTTCAACAACGTAGCTCCAAAAGAGCTTCCGGTACGTCTGGGTTCGCTAGTTAGTAACTGCGAGTACGATTTCTGAGGGAACATACCGCGATCTGCCATCTATCCAACGCAGGGATCGAACGGGAGACGTAGGTCACCAGCATGAGAGCCCATGCCTGTCCTCGAACAACTGCATGCCAGTAGATTCCGGGCTTTCCGAGTCCAATCTCATCGCACATCTTGTTGCCGTTGATAAAGCGAGTTCCGGCCTCAAAAAACTCCTTTGGCTCATAGATTGGAGCCACACCATCGAGGGCATTGACCAGATTCTGAGCCAGCACCTTTGAGTTTTTGCTTGGGTTGAGGCAATCATGCAACAAGGATTCCATCGAAGCTAAAGCCTTCTCGGGGGTTTCGAGGACCCAGTGTGGTGTACCCAAGACGTAGCCAACCCATCTCCAGAGCGCGAGGTAGTCGAGAGCCTCCTGGTGGCGAACGTAAATACCCTGGCGCGGCAGAGCAAGCCAGACTAGATTTGTCGAGAAAGCACAAACTGACTGCATCGAGTCAAGCTCATTGATGGGCACACCAAACTTTTCAACATCAAAATACCCGGGACGCTGATCGTTAAGTTTGAGAATTCGGGCCCGGACAGAGGCATGGAGCAGGCGAACGCGCACAGCGGATGCAAACCCATCACCCCCAGGCTTGACATCATCGAGGGACTTGGTGACCTGGAGGATCAACTGGAAGGTCTCGAAGAGTCGGTTCTTGGCCACTCGGGTTGAGTGGCCTCCTGTTCGTACGAGCGTCTCAGCAGGGCGGTAGGAAGCTCCCTAGGTCAATATTAGAACATGCTCAGCTTCCGAGAAACGTAGTTGACTCACTGTAGTAGCAAGGAGGCCCTGAAAAGCAAAGCCGGCGATGGCAGCAGGTGCGTAGCGATAGAAAACATCCTGGCCTCGCTTGATTTGATCCCAGTCAACCCACTCGGGAATGGTATTGACCTCATCCCAGAGATCCTGAAGTTTGGGATCCTTGTAGTGATTGTCTCGCAACAAGGCGTATGTGTCTCGATCGGGCTGGGGGGCTTCTGTCTTCGTTTTGGCATTCCAACCAGCTCGTGGAGGTGACGGAGGAAACATGGAATCTATAACCGCGAGGGCATCAGATCCAACTTCATCAAATTTGTGTTTCAGTGGATCTAGCTGCTCAGATGTCATGTGCAACTTCGTCAGGCGAAACTTGTAACCGTACGAATCGCAGACATCGGCATTTCCGTTGAAGAAAGACGGCATTGTTGTAATGGCTTGCAAGGGCCGCTGAAGATTTGTCTGAAGATGGAAAAGCTGCAAATATTGCAGGTTCGTAGATTGACGATGAAGATTTGGATGGATGGAGATGTGTGTTCATTGAACCTATAGTGCTGTTGCAATCTATGTATAAGTCCATCAAGTCGATAGAATACTCATCTTGCGTATCTTCACACATCTTGTCCCTAGTTTGAGACACCCTTGGTCATCTGTTCACATGAGCAAGTACATGCGGGGAGTGACAAGGAAATATCTGACGACTGCCCAACTCAGGTTAGGCACTAACAAAAACTGGCCTATTGTGGGAATCCAAGATTCCCCCGCAATGATTCGGACATCCGGAACAGGTTCGTCAGCGCAGTACCACGAGACATTGCATTATCTCCGCCATGGAACAACGCGGAAAGGGTACAAAGTAGACTAATATGAAGGGTAAGGGGGGTGTGCCGGGTGACAATGATTGGATATTGTATTTGCATCGTAGGAGGATTCCACATTTGTGCCACTACCGTGATCTTCGTAGCAAAACATTCCGGAGACAGTAGCCGTAATGGCACCGCCACAAAAGTAATCGGAAGTGTCCTCGTACCCGTTTCCCAACCCTTGGAGAGACGAGTCGGTCAGGTGCGGCATCCTTCTGTTGGTGTTATTTCTCACGCTTACATCCAGATTAGTCGAATAGATCACTGCTCGTCGTCACTTCTATTCGAGTCCAAAACCCTTGGCTCAACAAAATGGGTTTGCATTTCCCTGGTGTCGCCCTTGTCACTGGTGCTGGATCAGGTATGCTAAATATTACTTCTATTGAAGGAAATCTCTGACATATCGCCCCTCCAACGTAGGCATTGGTCGCGCAACTGCGTTACTCTTTGCTAAAGAAGGCTGCAGTAGAATTGCTATTGCTGATCTGAATAAATCATCTGTTGATGAGCTGAGAGATGAAATCAATGGTCAGCGCAAGGGAGTGGAGGTCCTCTCTCTCCATGTTGGTTCGTGAACCTCTCAAAACACAACTTGTTTGAATCAACTGACATATCACTCAGATATCACATCCGAGGAGTCCGTAGACAGCATGGTAGCGGAAACTACACGCGTATTAGGAAGAGTAGACTACGCATGTAATGTCGCCGGAGTCCTGTTGCCTGGGCCCACCGACGAAGTGGCTGTAGCATCGTTTGATCTCCAACAACGGGTGAATCTTCGGGGCACCTGGTTATGCCAGAGAGCACAAATCAAGCAGATGCTAAAGCAGGAGCCTCTCCACGCCGAAGACTCCAGAGTCCCCGCACGAGGCGCCATTGCAAATGTCGCGTCTATGTGCGCCTTAATGGCCTACGATCACCTCCCGGCGTACTGCGCGAGCAAGCATGGCATTCTAGGCTTCACCAGATCAGACGGTTTGAGATATGCCAAGAACGGGATTCGGATCAATGCAATCTGTCCCGGTGTTATTCGGACTGCTATGCTTGGTGATGTTCCAGACAGCGATGTCGGCATGGATGTTCAAGCAATGGTTCAAGACATGGCTGCGGGGAGGCTCGGCTTACCAGAGGAGGTTGCGGAATGTATTGTCTGGATCACCAGTGGAAGAGCAAGTCTGGTTACTGCATCTACCCTGTCTCCCAATGGAGGTATGTGTCTCGTATACCCCTCTTCTCCAGTTGATACTTACATGCATTTAGGAATGATTGGAGCCTAGCAACGGAAGCCATAGTATGAGCTATCCTATGTAGGATGCGTAGTTCCACACCATAGCGTATATAAATGCAATGTGAACTTTATGAATGGATTATATAAAAACTGGCCTTGTTAAGCGCACCAATAATACGGGCATAGACTATGAATAGGACGTTGAGACGAATGGCGAATATCACCACGCCCCTACGAAAATCACACCAATTAGACCAAGAAATTGAGTAGCAGCACTTTCGAATATTCAATATCTAATCACAAACTACCAGAGGTATCCAGTCAATAATCCATGAATCCCTCCTCTGGACCGTCAAAGTACCAAGTGGTGTCCTTGCCTGGGTCCTCTTTCGTCGAAAACCCATTTCCAAGATACTGAAACCGATTCTCTGAGTAGTATGTGTACTCCCAGTCCTCAAAGCGCACGTTTTGCATCAGATGAAACCAGTGGATTCTGCTTCCAGGATGAAGAGCAACGACAGGCCCATCAATTGTGCCCCTCTTGAACCAGCTACGGCAAGGGGTGGCCCAAGCAGTCCGCTTCATGAATTCGTTCGTGTGGGTGCTGAAATCGGCCACGGCACTCTCCTGTGGTACGACAGCTTTGATGTTCTGTAACTGCATCTTCTTCATCATGTTGATGATGTACTTTGTCGCGTGTTCAATGATGGGAAGCACTGAACCGTGACCAACTGGGGCATTCGGCCCAAGAAACACTACAGGTATTAGAATCTTCTCCCAATATGCTGGGAGGTTACCTACTGAAGTAGTTTGGGAAGTCTGGCACTGCCAGAGACAGGTATGCTTCAGGCAAGTCCTTCCACTTCTCGTGAATATCTTCACCATTCCGTCCAATAAGTTCGAATCGAGGACAAAATGACAGATCAAATCCGGTAGCGCAAATTAAGGCATCGACTTTGATAATCTCGGTTGACTTCAATTGGATTCCGTCACATGCAACCCGGTCGATTTCTTCGGTCACCACTCGAACATTGTCCTTGGTCAAAGCCTCGAGATAACCATTGCCTGGGGTGGGACGCCGACAGCCGATTGCAAAGTCTTCCGGCATCAGATGCTTGAGTAGCTTTTCGTCATTTAGCTTGGAAGTCATCTCTTTTCTGGAATATTCCTTGGCTTCCTGTTGTTCGTCACTGTCGGCAATAATCTGTGACAGGTTAGATATATCCATCAATGTATGCGAGTATCGATACCCACAAATTTGAATCTGGAATTGAGTTCCCCTTCAATTTCCTTTCTGTACTTCCTGTATGTCTCAGGGTCTTCTCGGAATTTTGCTTTTTGTTCTTCTGTGACTGCAGCCTCTAATTAGTTCCTGGATAAATCGAGCCTTTCTTTGGCACTCATACTCACAGGTGAAATTGGATCCACCGGGGCCGGCATGACTCTGAGCAAAGCCCGCTGTAATCCACGTCGGTGACCGGACAAAGGTGACCAGAGATTTCACATCTGCCTTCTTGTCAGTATTGTAAAAATGTGTCGAAGGTTGGCTTCAGAAGATGATACCTGGCTGGATAGCTGAGACAACCTGGATGCCAGAAGATCCGGTTCCGAGAACAGCCACGTTCTTTCCCGCGAGGTCATAATCGGGATCCCATGTGGCACTATGGAAACGATTGCCCTTGAAAGAATGTATCCCGGGGATGTCTGGCCACTTCCAGTTGCTAATGAAGTCAATAACATGCACTGAGTATCAAGTCAGAGCACCCACTTCAGAATTCCTGTGCCATTGATCAAGACGTGGCCCCAATCATAGAAAGTCTCTCCAGTCTCCACATTGTGGACTTGGACATTCCAGACACCCGCATCTTCATCCCATCTCGCTGCATCTAATTTGTGACCTAGTGTGACGTATTTGTAAAGGTCATACTTCCTGGCGATCCCTTTGAAGTACTCTAGAATTTCGTGCCAGGGAGAATAGCTACCAGACTAATTAATCTTCCAAGCGTCGAATAAGTTTAAGAGGACTTACTAATTTGACCATTCTGGGTTTGGCTCCCATGTGAATTGATAATTGTGTGACGGAATATCGCAGGCACATCCAGGATACCTCAATATTAATTAGCCTAATGACAAGAAATGGTATCAAGGACCTCACCGATTCTCAAACCATGTTCCCCCAACGTCTGCATTCTTTTCATAAATGGCCAGCTCGAAATTCTCCATATGTAGATCCATATGCCTGGCCAAGTTCAGACCACTAGCTCCAGCCCCCGCCATAAGAACACGAAGTCGTCGAGGGGTCCCTAGTGGTGCTTCCGTAACAACATACTGACCTGCTGCAGTAGCCTTTTCCGTGAAATCATCCGTATTATCAGTCATTTTGGAAGAACTTGGGTTGATTGTAGATATAATTCTGAAATGCGATGAAAGCTTGAGTAGTTTATTCCTCATAGATTGATCTTTTGCGACGATCATCAATAGCATATTACGGGAATACGCAAGGTATGAAGTTAATGCAGACGAAAGGGATGCCGTTATAGTGGAGGGATAGACAGCCAGGTGTACCGACAGAGAGCCTCTGTGCGACGCGAATTCGCAAGGCGTGGAGACCACTTGCGAAGGTACAATACACGCAGTGGATAGTTTCGATGAAACATAGGCGCGGAATTCGTTTGCCGAGCTTTGATATCCTCAATCTCTTCCACCGACTCTCCGGAGGATCATATTCCAGAAACGAAAGGGTGGATTCGGCGTCCGCGGCACGAACGGAAACTAAATCCGGCCCATTCTCCGGATTCTCAACACCCTATACGGATACTCAGACTGATTGAACCAGGTTTTAGATAACTACATCGAAAGGGCAACAACAGGCCACTTGTACAACCTTGCGATCCAGCACTAATCAACCCATTATCATATCACGAACGCAATCTCGCAGGTACCGAACAGCAATTCCAACCATGTCGCGTGCCGGAAGACTTGAAGGAAAGGTAGCCATTGTCACAGGAGGCGGAGCTGGATTTGGAGTTGGGATTGTGGAGAAGTTTGTCATCGAGGGGGCAAAGGTTGTTGTCCTCGACATCAATGAGAAAGACGCAAAGAAAGTGGCCAGCGCACAACCGAATGGTTCAACTGTTGGGATCAAGGGAGATGTTTCCTCTGAAGCGGATTGGAAAATTGCCCTGGATATTGCTGTCAAGACTTTTGGAAGACTGGACGTGGTAGTCAACAACGCTGGCGTTGTTTATAAGGCTTGTCCCAGTATTGAGACAAGTGAGGAAGACTACGACAGGGTTATGAGGGTGAATCTGAAATCCATCTACTGGAGTTCAAAGGTCATCATCCCCTACTTCTTAGCTGAGCATATTGGTGGTCTGTTCATCAACATCTCCAGTATGGCATCCCCTAGACCACGACCTTCTCTGGTTTGGTACGGTGCCAGCAAGGGTGGTGTTACCAACGCTACAAAGGGACTTGCCATTGAGTGGGCGAAGCATAACATTCGGTTCAATGTCATCCACCCCGTGGCTGGCGAAACGAACATGTGAGACCTTCATTCCCCTTCTCGCTTGGAGTTGTTTACTAACATCGGTAGGGTTCCCTTTTTCCTCGGGGGTCCGGATTCTCCTGAGGCTCGCGTAGGAATGATGAACACAATCCCTCTCGGTCGATTTGCATTACCAGCAGATATTGGCAATGCAGCGGCATTTTTGGCAAGCGATGAGGCCAGTATGATCACAGGGGCTGCCCTTGATGTGGATGGCGGACGGGGCATCTGATATTACTTGGTTGTATATCGGATGGCATAAAAATAAACTCATAAACACACTTTGTCTCTACGATGCCTTCTATCCCAATTACAAATACCAGCCACTATTCTGTCATCATCGATATTTTTTTACCGTGCATATGGAGAGGAATGTCGTGAAAGTCAAGGCCGAGCCTGTCAGCGAAGCCTAGCCAACGTCCGAGACATCGCCAGAGTCAAAAGTGTATGGTCACGAGCCATTGAAATGACGCGTTACCTCTTTACATACTCGACTATAACATGATCATCTGCCGGGGAGCGCTCAACTGCCACAAGTGTTGTCCGAAACTTGTCCGGAAACCATAGTTCCGGGCGCCGGAATGACACTCCTCTTCCGCGTTCCACGGCCACACGTCTAACCCCAGAAGTACCAAACTGAAAGAAGAAAGGACCTGCATAATTTTGCGCAACTAGTCGTGTCACGGCGGAAAATAATCAATACCGGATATTGGCGGCTGCGTGGTCACATCTCCTGCAACGAAAGGTCCTTCGGCATCCGGGTAGAGGAAGAATCGTGCACAAGTTCGAAACCCGTGAGTTCTGGAGGGTAGGAAAATAGGCTATTCACTTAAGGCACATCTCGTATTTACCCCGTGACGAATAACGAGTCTCTACTTTTGATAACCATGGACCAGATTATTAATTGAAAGCAAAGAATTTTATCACAACATCAAATCAAACACATCACCTAGAGATTTCCACGACTTCAGAAGCCTATTTTCACTATGAGTAGCAACGTAGCAAAGATCTCACCGAACGCTCATCTTAGCATTCCGGATCCTGAATGGACCGAAGTACGCGCGCCACTGACCTCAACGCTGCCCAGACTAACTGAATGCAGTTCTATGCAGAAAATGCAAACAAGGTACCACAGCTCGTTGGTTCCCCCCAACATCTCCGCGACATGATGGAGAGGTTGAAAGTCGAGGCCACGGGCATGATCCCTCAAATTACCGGGCTCAGCTCGGAAGACATCAGGATCAAGACATCAGATGGAGCTTCAATACTTTTGCGGGTTTACACCCCGGCAGCTAAGAAGGGTCTCAGTCCTGGATTGGTATAGTAGGTATACCCTGTTTCTCCGGACCATTAAACTGTATTAATACATATTTCGCAGTATCCATGGAGGCGGGTGGACGTTAGGAGACCTTGAAGGAGAGGATATTGCCTGTAGGGCTATGTGTGTAAACGGTGGTGTTGTAGTAGTCAGTGTTGACTATCGTTTGTGAGTACCACAGGAAGCTACCGCGTAATAGTTGGACATTCATAACATGAGCAGGGCTCCAGAGAATCCATTTCCAACGGGCCTTGATGATTGCTGGGACGCATTACTTTGGGTAAGTGTGAGTCCTGTTTAGGCAATTTAACACTAACTGGGGATTCTAGACGCGAAGTCAGAGTCGTTCTCTTGGAATCGACCAGGACTGCATTTTGATCGGTGGGTCTAGCTCGGGGGGCAACGTCGTAAGTTCAATTCACCTCTTTCGTGACCCTGACTAATTCCGTAGACCGCCGTCTTGGCTCATAGAGCTCGAAATCTCGGCATACCTCTCAAGGGCCAAATCCTGAGAATCCCTGCGACATGCCACATTGATTGTTACCCCCCTGAGCTCAACTTGCGAAGCCTAGAGGACTTGAAGGATGCACCGCTGTTGTCAAAGCGGTCAATGGAGCTATTCTACAGCTACTATAACCCCTCTGACCCGTCCAATCCTGACGTATCTCCATTACTAAACACCAATTTCCACGGTCTCGCTCCAGCGTATTTTCAAGTTGCGGGATTGGATCCCTTGAGAGATGAAGGTCTAGCGTATGCCAACAAACTAAAAGAAGCCGGGTAAGTGCTAGCAGTCACTTCGTAATGGGCTTTTCACTGCTAACAACACCCAGGGTTCCAACGAAGGTCGATGTTTACCCGGGCGTTCCCCATGCTTTCTACTATTTCCCGAGCCTAACAGCAGCAGCCAAAAGTTCGACTGATTTACTAGAGGCGATTGGTCTACTTACGAAGGGTGAATTGAAATAGTATTATTGTTGCTATCACGAAATTAGCATATACCTTTCAGTATCTAAAATATCTCCTCTACCTCTCGTGTCCATATACGGCCAATTCATATGCTTAGCGTAGTATCTTCTACTAACTCTCTCGAAAAAGGCGTTGCTCACGGGAAATTACATGCTGCAGGGTGTCATTCAACCAAAAGTATAACATGTCAACCATATGTCCACGTATATTTCAAGCTACGCCGTGGATCGATGAAAGATTAAGAGCGCTTAAGTGATTGAGGAAAAACTAGTTGATTGCTAAGTACCGATTGCGCAATACATTTAGAAAATAGCTAGAGCGTTTGGTGGACTAGCCACGCCACCGGCAACATTCAGAGGGCAGCTTGTCACAAAGAAGCTCCAACGATCATGTTCCTTGCACTGTCTCGCCAATTCCTCAAGATCCCACAATTCTCCCAGTGGAGTTCCCCAGAGTGCAAGCGCGTTGTCATGAATGCCTATCCCGTGTTAGCTGCTGTCAAACTTCGAGAGGCAAGGGCTCCTTACGGTAAGGACCATCGGCGGGCCAGGCTTCAAAAGCCATGTTGTCGCCAACTAGAGCGGAGAAATGATGATTCCAAAGCCACTCAATAGACTCCTTGGTTCCTTCCACTCCGACGTAATCGTGATTGACCTTGCACCCCTGAACTCTGTCTTCCGGAGTCGCCTCATTATACCACTTGATCCAGCCGGTTCGAACCATGAGAATATCCCCGACTCGAAACTCCACCTTTTGTTCCTTGGCGATTTCTTCTAAGTCTTTGTAGCTTATGCAGTGCTTGCTAGCCGCTGAATATGTAATTCCTTTTTTCTGTGCCCAGGAATGATAGTCGAGAAGGACACCTCTCCCAACAACACCGCCACGACGGAGCCATTCTGTTGTCTGATCAATATCCGCGATTGGTTGTATGCAGATAAATACTCACCTTGAATGCCATTGCGGAGGTTACGGTTCGGTCCGCTAATCTCTTCGTGCGTCAAGTTGTTATAGTACTTCTCTGTTGGCTGATGCGCCCAGTGCCCTAGGAGCAGTTGTTAATTCATGGGCATTTACTTGAAGGTCTCGCTTACGCAGGCCATCCCACTGGCTACTTGTTTGGGTATTGATGTAGATTTCATCATCATGCCCAACCAAATCCGGCTTTAAATCAAGAAAGTTGTGTACAATCGGCGCTCGATTATGTCCAGGTTCTATAATTCGTTCAAGGGCCCAACTATCACCGAGTCACTTATTAGCTAGAGTTAAGCCATTTTTGGCGTCCTTACTTCAATGACACCGACACACCGGTTTGGATTTCCTTCCTTGCCTCAAGGACGTTTTCCGGCGTCAGGAGGTTCAAACTCCCGACCTGATCAGTTACGCCATCTTTGTCCCAGATACCCCATGCGCAACCATGTGGCATCCCTTTGACGGGAGGGATTTCCAAGTAGGTTGGGAGTTCATTCTGTGCCATGGTGAAGATATATCAATAAGGAAGGACTTATGTTGCGGTTGAAGAACTGCAATGTGTGAGAGGCTGAGTTCATTCTGCGACATGGAAGTCATATAACGTGATCCCGCCATGGAACCAGGTTGAGTCGGGCCGGGTTTGTTTTCCGGACAAACGAGTGTTGCGTTGACTCGCTTGTCAATCCAGGAAAAGATCCGTGCAAGTTCCACTCCTTGCAAAAAGCATTGGACCAACCTAAGTTTAATGCAACCGGAATCTAGGAACTGGTAGAATCGCTCCTCGTCTGATTCTTTTCCGGAGTCATTCACACGCGGCAGTTGAAAAGGATCGCTCATTGACTTCAACCGTGGACATCAGAAGTTTATTTTACGGTAGATTGAGACATTCATCCAAATAAAGGTGATCCGATATTATGGGAAGCTTCTGTAAAAATACCGAAGGAGCCTTTGTGAAAGAATTTAGGATCGGTGTTAAAATCTTCTTAATCTATATGCTGTACGAACTCAATCTCTTTTGAGCTTCATGCGCACAACTCTAGATGCATTGCCTAAACTGCGCCGACCAAACCGTACCCCAAGCTGCACAACATCGGGGCATCGCCCACGTAGAATCCGCACGTACAACGGAGAAAGTCCTACAAGACCGAGGATAGCAGGTGCAATGAACCAAACCTTCCGTGTTCGTAGCCAACGTTTTATCATCTTGAGTGGCCAGTATAGCGTTCCGGGTATTGTACTGAAGTCGTTGTACTTTGGGAAGAAGGTTTCCCTGTAAAAGGTCACAGCATAACCGGGCCACGATGTGACATTTTTACCAAGGTCATTAACGAACCAGTTCGAGCAACCAGCCTCATAGACTGAATCATTCAGCTTTGACTGAACACGGACCACGAACCGCTCCTCGGCTGAATGCTTCACGTCAAGCACGCGGATCTTTTGGTCAACGATCGGAGCCAACATTGTCCTCGAAATGAATTCGATGGCCGTCTCGATAGCGAATAGCGCCGAGTTGTGGGCTGGAAAAGTATTGGGACCGAAGAGCATAGCGAAGTTGGGGAAGTCATGGACGAAGCAGCCATAGTATGCTTGAGGGCCGCGGGTGTCGTTCCACTGCTCGCTTAATGATCTTCCTCCAGCTCCAATGATGGTCATTGGCACAAGGAAATTGGTCACCTCAAATCCAGTCGCTGTGACGATAATGTCAAATTCGTCTTTTACACCGCTGCTGCTGATAATTCCAGTCTTGTCGAATTCTTGAATCCCCTCGGGAACGAGGTGCATATTCTTCTCCCAGAGCGAATCAAGATATCCGGGATCCCAGATTCTTCGCTTGCATCCTAGAATTTGTTAGCTAGCATTCATCGACATTGGAGCTCAGGAACCTTTGTAGGCATACCGAGTGGAAAGTCTGGGGCTATAAAGCTGTGGTACTTGGGAGGTGTGTGGTCGTAGATATATTCCTTGGCTTGAATCTCCACAGCACTTCGATGCTTCACAGATTCTGGCCCAGCGGCATAGAGACCTGCCAAACTATCGTTGACAGCGAAAAGCCAAAATCGGAATAATCTATTATACAGTGGAATGTGTTTGAACGCCCACATCTGAGTAGCAGAAAAGTTGCGGTTAGGGCGTTCATGATACCTATTCGAGTCAGTAAAGGTCAGTCGATGAGAAATTTATTGCAAAGAAATCACTTAACGCACCATTGAGATCCTCTGGCATATTGCTTGAGATAGCTGACGTCTTTAACAACGTTTGGGACGAGTTGAGCGGCACTGCAGCCGTTTCCAATGACGGCCATTCTCTTTCCATGGTAATTGTATTCGGTATCCCACTCCGCAGTATGCACGATCTTCCCCTGAAACTTTTCCATACCAGGGAATTTGACCTTTTTCGGATAAGAGATAGCACCGACCGCACTGATCACGACTGTGCCAGATATATCGAAACCCCGACCAGTTCGGACATCTCGTAGGTGAACCAACCATTTCTCGTTGGTCATGTTCCATGTAGCACCGGTACATTCGACTTCAAATCTCATGTGTTCACGGAGTTCGAATTTGTCAATCGTGTCGTTCATGTCTGTATTTCTAGCGTTAGCAATTATAAAGCCTCGAGTGCCAGAATAACTAACACTGGAGAATTTCCTCTTGGCCAACAAGATCCTGAGACCAATTGGGATTCAGATTGAAGCTGAATGTGTACAGATGGGAAGGGATGTCGCAACCACATCCAGGGTATCGGTTCGTCATCCAAGTCCCACCAGGACCCGGAAGCTTTTCGTAAATCTACGAAAGATCGATTGTTAGCCTTGAACCATTATCCTTTCTCTTATTGATTATTCTACACATGCCAAGAAGTCATTGAATCCCAATTCAGTCTTCAGCTTGTGGGCTGTTGCGATTCCAGAAGGCCCAGCCCCAATGATGATGACTGTCGGAGTTTTGGAGTACGCCATGATGTCTTGGATCTTTGGCAGGCCGAGGCCTCAGATTATTCACTGATCAGGCATGTAAAGAAAAGTTAGTCGTCTGTCTTCAATCAAGGACTTAACATTGTAATAGTAAAATATGATTCCAGTAGACTCTAAGGGTCGAAGATGACGAAATGGCGAAGAGTATGATATCCGAGACCTCTCGTAGCACATTCCTGTCGAGCCCAGCGTGGCAATATTTCGTATTCGCTTCCGCCAATTTCTTCCATAAACAATTTCGGGATCCGGAAATCATTTGGCTGGAGTCGGCTCCGGGATGCCGGAGGATAACGACTCCGCACCGGAAGTACCTGATGTGATTTTCAGCAGCGGAAATGTACATGCAAGATCTTGGTGACTACCTTGGGCCTCATGCATTGTAATTGGTCCGGAAAACCTACGAGACAAAGAAGACAGGGTCAATCGTGTGCCGCACCCGATGGGAATTGCCTGCAGATTGCAAGATCATGTTAAGATTTTGACGGCCAGAGCACTATTGGTCATTTTCAACAGTAAAGGTTGTTACAGGTACCTATACTTCATACGCCAGTTCAATAGACACCAGTTTAAGGAATTGCGTGAAGACACATGATTGTTTCATCTACATTAAGCATGTAGATACAAATTAACGGCGTCACGGTTACGATTGAATAGAAGCGTGCGTCGGAAATCCACACATTGAACAGAACCTCTTGACATCTGGATATCTAATCGTCACACCATCACGTTGTAGTTTTATATGCCGGCCGAATAAATATTCTCCTTCATTGCAAGCCAGCATCTTTGAATTTGGAACATGATATTGAATCGCTTGAAATGATGAAGCATTATTGATTGCAAATCCAAGTAGACGTAGTATTTTATACAACTCTGCCTACTTCCATTGTCTTGATAATCAAAACATGGCTATAGCATTTGAATAACTCCCAACCGCACCTATAGTCTATTAGATAGAGATTAAAAGGGAGAGGTTAAAGAACTGACCTTGAACGTTCATCGGTATGCTCACGAAGAAGAATGCGTATTGTTGACGATCTTTGCAGACCTCTGCTAACTTCTCCATGTCCCAAAGCTCACCAATCGGGACGCCCCATAACGGTAAAAGGTTGATATGGTGATTCCACTCCTTGATCTGCGGCCAGACTTCGAAAGCCGGCGAGTCAGAAGCAACCACACTAAAATAATTGTCGTGAAGGAAATCGGCCATATCATGAGTTTGGTCAACGCCGACAAAGTCGTGCTGGTATGCTGGAACTTCCGTCAACTTGATCCGGTCTTCTTTGCTCAGTCCTTCGTAAGTCTCGATCCAACCCGTTCTAATAAGAAGAATGTCTCCATATTGAAACTCTACACCCTGTGCCTTCGCACAGGCCATTAAGTCTTTGGCTGAGATAGGATGTCTAGTATTGACGTCATAAGATTTTCCACAATAACTCCAGTAGTCAAGAAGAACACCTCTTCCGACTGTCGTCGTTAGAATTGGACTCAAACTTGTTAGCACCATGGCTTCAGTCGATTGACATACCTACTCCCTCTGTCGACCAAGCCTGGACACCGCATTTACTAGTTTTCTTGACTTCTTCCGGTGTTGTCTTGTACTCTTAATCTTTATTCAAGCGAGCCATCCAATGAGAATTTTGGGACTCACATTGTTGTAAAATACCCAGCCACCCTCATGAGGGACGCTAACCTGAGACTTTTAGCATGAGTCTAACAAGGACGGGTTGCCAAATTACATGTCTAAACCCGTCCCACTATAATAATTAGCAACTTCCTTCGTAGGCTTAACCATAGCCACCCTACCTGTGATCCGCTCTGGGAGTTCATCGACAACACTTCATCATTTCCCGCAGGCCCAAGTGATTTTATAGAGTGCTTGAACGGCTCTCGACCAAACATGGGCGGATCAGGAAGTTCTGCTGACCAGCTAAGATTTGTAAGCTAATTATGTATCAACACAGCATCGAGAAAGCATGGGTTGATACTTTAGGCTTACTACTTCCCCAGTCCTAATCAACTTTGAGGCTGCCGCCCGACGTTGGGGAGTAAGGAGATTTAGTCGACCAAGCTGGTTACTTCAGTTCAGTTGACTGCTTGAATGCGCTCAAATATTTACCTACTTCGTCATTTTTGCCCCAAAACCACGCTGACCCTTTAGGAGTTCCGGGAACGTCTGGAAGCTCTGATCTCTTGGGCAGGCTATTAGAATTCGGATCGAAAATCATTTTCGCAGCAATGTGAGTACAGTTAGTGCGAAGTAATAAGGTCAGGGGCAAAGTAATTGCATGGGCAAATAAACATTGTACATCGGTCTCCGGCCTGAAATATGCGAATTAGTGGCGATAAATCTTCCGGAAGACTTTTCCGGTTTTCCGGTGCTCACTAAGGCCCTGATCCGCAGTCTCCTTAGACCTTAGACCTTAGAAAAACCTTTTCGCTTGAGAACTTTCTTGCGTGTAAATAGCCGGGCCTACAAGATTCTTTTCACTTACTCTATAATGAAATATTTGGTCATCGTACCGCATCTATTAATTGCAGCCCTATTGCATACAGAGCCTCCTGGAAGGGCTAGAGTAAAACACTGTACTACATAGTCCATGGCAGCCATATCCTCAAGAAATCAGGCCAAGTCCCATATCGCTGATCCAGGGAGCATCCGTTTCTCCCACATTCGGATGAGGGTCATCTCCAAAAAGATTGTTCTGACTTAAAATGAAATCATCATGCACAAGAGCCTCCATTGACCCCCATGAGCCCCCAATTGGCGGTAGAAAGGAACCAAGAATCGGCTTATCCATTGCCTGCGACGTGAAATTCATGCCCGTACAAGATCCAAAATACGACGCCAGTGCGGTGTTCTCGGTTATTCGTGAGAGCGTGCGACTCATCTTCTCCGCAACCGGATAGTGATTGTGTAAGGCGGCCACAGTTTCTGCAATGATGCTTAAAAGTTGTGGTGCATCTGAAAACGACACTTCAACGTTTCGACTAGCTGGAGGTTGAAGTATTTGGGATATAAGTGTGCTGGCGGCAATGTACATGTTATCCAACATGACAGTGATGAAGTTCTCGAGCCCAAATATTTCACGATATGCCAGAGTGAGACGGCAAATGCAAGCGGCGCTGTCATACATAATGGCGCGTGATTGTTCGATGCAGACGGAATTAGCAGTAGAGTCGCCGTTGTCGTCTTGGGATAGAATTTTGACCACTGCGCGATGGAGGACAATCTGGATGCCGCAAAATTGCATGTTGAGTCCATAAGCATTGACGTCCAAATCAGAGATGTGTTTTGACGACAAGCGACGAGGGAGAAGGTCGTGAGCGGTAGAAATTCTCGCACCCAGCTCTAATAGTCGACTTCCAGCAGTCCTGTCGAGAGCTGCTCCGAAGCCGTTGAGAATCTCTGTTACCTCCGAGATGTATTTGCAGAGACTGGCCCAATAAGGAAGAGTGCTTTGATCATCTGATAGCACCTGGAACGCATCTTGACGTTGTTGGACAAGGGCAAGGGGAACACAGCTGGGGCGGCCGAGATAGAGTGCCCATAGCCGGTCATACACAAACGCCGCGAGGAATAACGTGTCGCGTAGATTTCCGTCCGACTGAACCAGGATTCCATGCTTGACGAGTTGGGAACAGTCCTCATGGAGCCCGAGGTCAAATATTAGTCGACAGGCGATCCCTAGAGACACATTAGCGAGAAGTCATCAAATCCACGTGTGGAAAATGTACCACTATAAGTCCATCCAACTCTGTCCCGAGCGGAAGTAGCTTCAAAGTCACTGAGCAACAGAAACCCTTGAAGAGTTGCAATCGTCGGTTGTTCAAGTTCATGCACAACATCCTGTTTCGCTCGATCGGCGTAGGCCCTCCCCAGCTTCCGGACAGCCTGAGAGGTGCTTATTCTCGTAGCGCAAGCTAGCAGAGCCTCCTCGAGGAATCGCGAATAATACTGGGACCGCTTTCCCGTGGCCCGGTGCGTCATGAATAATTGGGGGTCGACGACTCTCACCGATCGAGAATAGTAGCTCCAACAGGAGTTCATGAGGATTTCTCGGAGTTGAGGCCCATCCATGTCCACGATGAAGTCGGAGGTGGAAAGAATATCATTTCCTGTTGAGATGCTGGTGCTGCGGTCTGAATGCGACTGGATATGAAGCTGCGTCGTCGGTCCGTAATATCTGACTTGTCCCGGGCTGCAATCTGTGTCTAAACTTGGCGCCTGTCCTTCCGGGTCGGCGAGTCGTCGTTCTGATGGTGATGCGTCTTGCGGCGGCGAAATATGGAAGTCGTGCTGCAGCTCTGAATGAGCTTGGCTGTCATTGCTATCCGCAGGTATCCCCAGATTATTGCAATTGATGTCTTCCGACGCTCCGTCCCCGATATTTATGCCTTGATATGTCATGTCAATAGCATCTCTACCACAATGTCAGCTCCGACTCCGCCATAATCACGGCGCAGATAACGTACTCGGTCGGATTGACAGCGCCATCTTTTTCCATTTCGACGTATTCTGCTCCGTTTGCTGGTTGTACACAATCGACGGGGGTAGCTGAAGGCGATCGCAGGGTGATGACTTCGGACGTGTCCTTGGGAGGCTCTGGGACTTTGGCCCCGTACTGACTGGATAAAATGAATAAGCCATACAAGCAAGGAGCCAGCTAGTTGTAATGGAAGTAGCCTACCTCATCAATGCCTCGATGGAGTCCATTCGTCCTTGCAGTGCGGTGAGATGCTCACGGGAGCCATGTCTACAAAGCAACAGCATCAGCATAGCGTTCCGAAGCATCAACGTCCAGCGAGTTGAGGAAGGCCATCATACTTTCGTCTATCGCTGTTTCGAATAACCACGCACTCTGTATCAGAGTTCCGACACATCGAACAACTCTTCCCCGGTTCTAGATTCAGCACATCGCACTGGGCCCGCTGTTCGTAAGCTACATCCTTGCCAAGCTGTGCAGACGGGTGAGCCCACTTTGGTTTTCTTCTGCCGGCAGCTAACACACGCCAGCGAAGCTCGAGGCCGGCCACGCGCGTTCGTGAACTTGGACGCGCGACGACCGGAGACGGTCGGAGACGGATCCCGGTGTGAAGTTCGAGCTGAGGGAGGCATGTTGTTATCGGCACATCGAACGATCCAGGTCAGAAGAGAAAGAATAATGGAGCAAGATTTCCGCGGGCGGGAAGAGCAGAAGAGCTCCGGCCGGCCAAGCTAAGCCGCACCAAGATGCCATGTAATTAATTACTTATCTTCTCCCCTGTGCGTGCTACGTGGATGGCAATAAAACGCCACCTCAGGCCCAAGACCAAATCAAGAATCTGGGGTACTCCACATGCCAGCTCATCTGGGATTTGTGCATAATGTTCCCTGTCTCCTTACATCTTAGCCTGTTCCCCGCTCTCTCGGTCGGGTGGAGAGGATCTTGATTGTGCCGCGGTCAAATCTAATGATGCAACGCCGATGAGATTTGAACTCCCAATCCCGGGATTAGGACTGTCTTTAAATACAAACGTGAATAGAATTTTGGCACTTTGAAAACTGTTTGCTCCGGCTTGTGCACTTTGTATCCAGCAAAGCACTCAGTTCTCCTTGTCGCAGAGGAATATCATCATGGTCGTTCCGGCTACGGGCACGTATTTTCCGGACACACCCATCCCGCTATAGTGTCGATATTGCGGGGAGATCCTGACGTTTTCGGTCACATTTCCATATGAGGATCCAAACAACGCGGGGTCATTAGTAAAATGACATTATTGAACCGATGGCCGAGGCCATCCCATGCGATTCTCGATTCTTCCCCGGCTTTCGGTTATATGTGTGGTGCTCCTCTGCTTCTGCATGACGCACCTTACGCCTAGGTAATCTAGTCCAAACAGTCCGGGGCCATCTTCCTTGCGACTTATGAGTCCCCGCTTCTTGCTCATCGACACGTGCTTCTTACCGACTAACATTAATAAGTCGGCGCCGAATTTGGCGAAAGAATTCATATCTTTCATTGTCATGGCCATGACCACAGCTTTATCAGATATGATGGACTCGGAATCTCCAGTTGAATCCACCTACCCAGCGGAATCTCGAGGTAGGAAACGGAAAGCCTCGACTCGAACAGGAGATCAAGCAACAGACAGGAAGCGCACCCAAAATCGCATCTCTCAACAATGCGCCAGAGAAAGACAGACCGCCTACATCCGGCAGATGGAATCATTCATCGACCTGCTGAGATCAAGTACGGAAGGAGATACAGATGACACAGAGTACACGAAATTGCTCAAAGCTCATCTAAAGCTGCTCGATGACAAACGCAACGCCGAGGAGTCGCTGTTTCGCTTCCGCCAGAAGCTCCTGAGCGTCGGAAATATGGCTACATCCGCTGCTGGTAAACCAATTTCCCTTTTCCGTCTAAAAGTCGAATCTATGCTAATTTTGCGGTTCCAGAGGATCCGATATTCCAGAGCCTCAGCGAGTCCCCCTCGGCGCAGAGTAACCCGGCGCCGCCGGAATCTAACAAGAAGGCTTCACCCGCAGCATCACCATCTACTTTGGAAGCAATGCCTACTCTTGGGATTGGAGGTTCAGCCTCGGTAATTGGGCAACCTCCAGAATACTCACTTGGCGATGGTGGTATTAGAAATATTTCGGACCGTCCCTCTCAGGAAGAAACCAACCCTGGAGATATCCCACAGTGGCAGCAAGATATGGATCTTCTTTTTCGGCAATACACGGCGGCGACACAATTATCTCACTCCACTATCCCTAGCCCATTCGCATTCCCTGCCTTGGGCCCAGGCTGGCCTTTACCACAAATGCCCTTTCCTAATATGCCTCTCGGTATCGACGCGATGGGATCCTCGGGAGGTCTCGGACAGCCGCAAGTCCCTGCATTTGTACAAATCACACAATCAAACAGTGAAGGTCTAATGGTCATCAACAACTCGACCATATTTGCAGACCAGGTTCGATCAGCAGCGAAACATGTCATGTTTACGTCCATGCGAAGCCCTTGGAACTACGATGGGTCCAATTCTCCACCTGCGGATAGCCCGGAGATGGTTGAAAGACTGGCGTCCGTAGCAGTGGAGGTTATCGGTGCATTAGCTGGTCTGCAGACATACATCTACGGAGTTGTACGTCATTGTGTCGTCCCAATGGTATAATGTGCTAATGTGAATTGTACAGCATTTTTCGAAGTACATGGAGTATGTGATGCGATGGCGCATCTCAAATCGATTAGAAGATCGACTTGCCATTCCCGTACCGTTCCGACCAACTCCTCTCCAAGCAGCAACGCCAGATCATCCCATGGTCATTGACTTCATCAACTGGCCTTCAATCAGAGATCACATGATTCTCTACTCGACAAGTCTAGATCTCGATGCCATGAGCCGTGACATTGTTTTAAATACCGTCATTGAACTACCTCGAAAACAAGTCGCAGTCAACATATACGAGCTCTTCTTCACCCATATCCTCCCGACAATCAGGGGCGGGCAGGGAGAGGTCAAAGACTCTATGCTTCACAACCCTGAATGGATTTACCTTACTGTTTCGCCCAATTCGACTCCCGCCTCCGTCCCAACCCCTTCGCCAACACAAGAAGTTCTTGCAGCAGAAATAGCAGAAAGGATGGGCCTACACCTCGACAATTTACCAAGTTCCGACTCATCAACACCTCCCTCTGTTAACATAAATACGCCATTGCGGACGGCGAACCAAGGTACAGCTCCTTGCGGACCGCAAATGATTATGGCTCGCGCATTAAAATCGTTCGGGATCGATGAGCCTTCTAATTGGAAATTGAGCAAGGAATTTGAAAGGAAATACCCAAACATAGACTGTTCCCAAGGTTGTTGGACCCAAATATCATGCATTTGGTCAGTCACTAACACGACACAGATGTTTCGCAGTATCAAATGGTTTCGTGCAAGGCCGTCATTTTTGAAAACGTACATTTGTAAGACTAGTGGAATGCACATCTTATAACGACGTTGATACTTTGAGTAAAATCTCAGGCGGATATTCCATGTGCGCTGTGGTCTCGGTTGTAGTGTTAATTGTGTGCAATTACTATCTTATTCAGTTACTTTCGCCTGTCTGAGGGTAAGCAGAAACCTACATCTGCCAATGTCGAAGAAAGGCAGAAAAAATAATCACAACTGGCCTTCCCCAGTAACCTTCGAATCTAGCTAGATACAGTTCTCTTTGTCACTTTGCTCCTGGGACCTCTGAAGCCTATTATTCAAATAGATCCCGCGAGAGGACAACTGGAGATTTTGAGTGAGACCAGTCAAGAATTAGGCTTTACACACATCATGCCATAATACCAAGCAATACAGATACTGCGATACAAGATATTGAAACTATACGAGGCTAATTAGAATTGCTAAACATCTAAGTTAATGCTTTTGAACGTCATGTGCCATGCGACCCAACTGCTTAACTCTTTCGTCTTCCGCCTTCTTATCAGGTGAATAATTGACAAACTCCATATCAACCTCATCCAGCGAAAGATACGGACTCAAATCTCCGCCCTCAACCGACATGTCTTTCGTAAACCCAAGACCAAGGAATCCCCACATGTTGTGTTTGTTTTGGTACTGAATCTCAAAATCCTCATACCGCGGCTCCCCAACCAATTCGCAGAATTGCAGACTTCCACCAGGCCAGATGGCATTCACACGTCCGGTCTTATTGTCCCTGTACCAAGACCGGCACTTGGGATCTGACCACGCCGTGCCGCCAATCCAGGCCTGCACGTGCTCGTTGAAATCGTCTGTGACGGACTGTTTGGGCGAGAGAGATCTAATGTGGTCGCGCTGCATTTTCTGGATGATCTTGAAGATGTACTTTCCCACAGCCTGTAGGGGCCCCATGACGCTGCCGTTGGCAATGGGAAACGACGGGCCCATTACTGTAAAGTAGTTTGGAATGTCAGGGACAGCAACACTGAGATATCCCTCGGGGACATTTCTCCACTTGGCTTGGAGCGTGACACCATTTCGGCCAATAACTATATGCCGCGGGCGGAAGCTGACATCGAAACCCGTGGCGCAGATAATCGTGTCGACCGAAACCTCATCTCCACTCGAGCCAACAAGACCTGTTGGAGTGACCTTGGTGACAGCGCAGCGATGTAGCTCGACATTCCCCTCCTGCACTGCTTTCATATACGGGTTCCCCGGTGTGAGCCGTCGACATCCAACCGCAAAATCGGGCAGGAGTTGCTCAAAGATTGTGTCGTTGGGGATGTACTTGCGCATCCGGGCCGTGAAATGGTCGCGGATCAATCTTGCTTCGGCGCTAGAGGTCATGAATGCCTTAAGGCCTGCTGCTGTATTCAACTTGTCTTCGATGTACTTGGCCTTGTTGACTAAAGCCTCTGGGTTGTGTTTCAGAGCCTCGCGGTCTTCTACGGTATCTTTCATCGGTTAGTTCCAGTCGTTGACGCATGTAGCAAGGACTCACAGTCAAAATTCTCGCCATTATGATCGGCAAACTCAGCAAACCAGACGGGCGTTCTGACAAAAACATCCATCTTCTTAACATGCGGTTGCATCGTCGGCACAACCTGCATACTCGTAGCCCCAGAGCCGACCACGGCGACGCGGTCACCCTTCCACTGTTCCTCATTGTAGTCCGACGGCCAGCGCGCCGTGTGAATCAGCCGCCCTTTGAAGGAATGCAAGCCCTCCACGTCTTCGGGGAACTTCCATGAGTTGAGAATGCCGCTCGCGTTAATGACGACGTCTGCGACATCTTCTCTGGTTTCTCCGCTGAGCGAATCTTGGATCTGGATATGCCACTTCGCCTCTGCTTCGTTCCATTCGCAGGCCGTCACGGTAGAGTTGAATTGCATAAACTTTCGCAACCCAAAGCAAGCGACAACTCGATCTAGATAACGGAAGATGTCCTCTGATGGGCTAAGGTACTTGGGCCAATCGGAGTTGAGCGCAAAGGAAAATGCATAAGCGTGCGAGGGAACGTCACAAGCGCAGCCTGGGTATCTGTTCTATCCAGAGATGAGAATAGCGCCATTCCGCATATGTGATTCGCGCTCACCTCAAGCCATGTCCCTCCAATGTCACCATTCTTCTCGTATACGACATGGTCGATGTTCTCTCCGAACTTTTGGATCAGATAGGACATGAGAATGCCGCTGATGCCACTTCCGATGCTAACGACTTTGATCTGGCGAGCGTATGAGTTTAAAATCACGTCTGGAATCTCGTAGTCGCCTCGTGAGTGCCCAAGGCGGTATCCATATTTCCCCCCTGGAGCGTCGTCTGGGATGACCTCTCCATTGGGGGTAATATTAGCTGCGCTGGGATCAAAGACCATCGTCGAATTTAGGAGATTGTCTTAGAGCTTTGACGATTTTAGGAATGGTTACTTCGTAAACTTCAAATTATGCTACATAATCGCGAGCTTAAGAACTCAGGCGTGCCTTGATACCTATCGTTGATTGGTCAACCTCCTGACGCAAATGCTTCACGACAAATCGGTGGAGCCGCATTCCGGAAGAGATTGGGCCGGAGACCGGCTGAGCAGTAAATGACGACGCAAAATGTTTAGAAGTGTTGCATTTAGCCTGAGAAGGACGCCGGAAAAGTCAAGTCGCTTCTAAAAGCAAGATCCCGGTTAAGAGTGTGACGATGAAAATTCCCTGTCATTCTCTGTTATGCCCCGGGGTGTGGATTGCACTCCCCACGAAGACACAGTGGCACGCGACCAAAACAAATCGCACTCATGATTTAACCTGGATATGGAAGGCGGTGAGATCCTCCTTTCCACCCTGGTCTCAGGCTACCGAAATCATGCATGGCGTCACAGTGCTAAGGTGCCAGCTAAGGTGCCAAGTGCCAAGTGCCAAGATGCCAAGGTGTAGGGTAGGATATTGGCGTGGGAGACTGAGGATTATTCTCGCCATCACAACTTGATGCCTTTTCTGCCGTAAATAGTGCAATGAAATAAAACTGCTGCCTTGATAATCATAACCTGAGAAGGTATGGGCCGGAAGCACGCCATAAAGAAACACTGGTGCCTTGCGAATATTTGTCATCAAAACCTGCAAGAGAATTCAGGTGCCTAGTCTCTAGAGCAGATAAATTATCTTTAAACGCCTCAGCAAATCAACCAACTACTCTTACACAAACGCTTTAATCTTGCAAACAATACAATGGCTTCCCCTTATCATATCCAGCCGGTCGAAAGCGCAGACCTAGCCACTCTGGCCGAGTTTGTCTATCAGTCAAAGCTAAACCTGACCATCAACCGCCTTCTCTACAAAGACTGGCCCAACGAAGTCGCTCAGAGACACCAATATACCCTAGCCGTTGAAGGCGGATTCAAAAACCCAGAAACAGAAAGCTTGAAAGTCGTTGACGCGTCAGGAGAAATCGTTGGCTATCTCGCGTTGACTCGCATCCGTCCGACAAGCACAGAGCAGCATGCCGATGAAGACAAATGGAGCCAGCAACAGAGCGCGACGGATGTATTTAACCAAGACGTCTTGAACGCCGTAATCCAGGGCGTCGCTGAGGTCGCCGAGGTGACACAGACAACGGATCGCTATGGTAAGGTGGCTTCTGTTTCATTGATGCACGCTGCTAATGACGAGTAGAAGTGACCTACATCTACGTCAAACCTTCATACCGGAGACAAAAGATCGGGGCGCAGCTCATACAGGAGGGCTTCAATAGGGCCAAAGCTGCTGGAGTCCCCCTCGTCGTCGCTACTGAGCCGGCTGCATATGACTTCTTTGCCAAGCTCGGTTTCAAGGACACCAAACATGTTGATTTTGATCTTAGAAAGTGGGCTTCTCCCTATAGTGGGTTTGGCATATTTAGATTGGCTGGGATGATTTGGTCACACTAGGCTGCACTTTGAGACGACGATGAGAAAGATATGTTTCTAAATGAGTATTCTATATGAGCAATGATTAAACTAGTCGAGTATTGTGTAGTACGGAATTGCTTTTAGGCATCCGGGGATATCAAGTGAGGCCAATGGGGAGTAAACCACTAGTTGAAGTGAGGAGTGTTCAGGGCAAGACCCATGAGGAGACCACCAATCAGACCAGCGATGGGGATAGTCATGATCCAGGAGAAGACGAGAAGGCCAACTCGCTTCCAGTTGACAGCCTTGAGACTGCCGTTGCACAGACCGACTCCGACAGTAGCTCCGGTGATGCACATGGAGGTGGAAACGGGCAGCTTGTACTGGGAGAAGATGAGGATAGTGATGGCAGCGCCCATCTCCATGGAAGAGCCACGGCTGGGAGAGTGGTAGGTCAACTTGTTGCCCATAACTAGAGAGGGTTAGTATTTATTGTCAAGAAGAGGATACCGAAATTCTTACCCTTCATGATGTTGTAACCGTAGGTGATGAAACCGAAGCAAATGGTCAGAGCGACAACGGCAATCTGCCAGGTAGCAACATCGGCCTTGGAAGCAGCGGGCTCGCCAGTGGACCAGGCACCGTACATACCAGCCCAGACACCAACAGCGTTACCGACATCGTTGGCACCGTGAGCGAAAGAGGCAGTGCAGGCAGTGATAACTTGGACGAAGGAGTAGAGATGCTCGACCTCGTTGGGGTACTTCTTGGCGTAGCTGTACACGCGCTCCATGCGGCGACCCTCGGGAGTTCCGGAAATACCGACCTGGGCAGTGTGGATGTCGTAGTTGGCACCATAGAGAGCGGCGACGACAATCATGGGGGGGATGCGCTGGAAGAAGGTGATCAGGTTGTGAGTCTCGTGGATGGAACCGGCGCCCATGGGGTGCTCGTGGAGGAAGCGCATGGCCCAGCCGAGAAGACCGCTCTTCTTGCGGAGCTTGGCGTGGTGACGCTCCTCGGCCTCCTTGACGAGCTTCTGGTATTCGACCTGGGTGGTGGGAGGGGGGAGGCCCTTTTCGTTGTCGGAGGGAGAGTTGACGGGCTCGACACCATCCTCGAGGCTGGGGGACTTGCCATCGACACGGACGGCCTTCTCCTCGGTGGCGGATTCATCGTCGTCGGAGTCCTTCTGCACAACGGCGTAGTTGGGAACGTGGGCCTCCTCGGCGTCGGAGGGAGCCTCACGCTGGAACAGAAGAGGGCCGCGGACGACATCCCACCACTTGAGGGTGTAGTCCTTCTTGATGACCTTGGCGTGGACGTAGGGGACGAAGAAGATGGCGGACAGGAAGAAGAGACCGAAGCCAACGCCGAGCGTCACGGCAACGATGTACCAGGCGGGCTTCTCGGCGAGACCAAGCTTGGGGGAGCCCTTGTACACGATGGAGAGCGTGCAGACGGTGCCGGCAATCAGGAAGAAGAAGGGAGAGGTCCACACAGCCCAGGGAACGGGGTTCTTGCGCATGTGGACGACGACCTTGATCAGCATGAAGATGACGGCGCCGAAGCCAGCAGCAATAGCAGGGGCCATGGCCAGACCGGCGAAGATGGCACCGAGTCCAGAGCCGCCGTTCCAGCCCCATTGAACACCGCCAACACCAGCCGTGGCAACACCGACACCGGCAATGGACGAGATGAGCGAGTATGTCGACGAGACGTGGGCCGAGTTGCGCGTGCACCACATGACCCAGATGGAGGCGCCGGCCGACGAGCAGGCAAAGGCGAGCAGCTGCACGCCGGCGTTGTCCTTGAAGGACTCCATGGGGATGATGCCGTTCTTGATGGTCGAGGCGGTGCGCGCGCCGACGGTGAGGGCGCCGAGGAGTTCGAAGATCAGGCAGAAGACCATGGCCATGCGGTACGAGATGGACCGCGAGGACACCGAGGTAGCCCAGGCGTTGGCGACATCGTCTAGAGAGAGCCAGGTGTTAGCTAGAGCAGAGCAGATGCTGGGGAATCGGGCTGTGGAGTCGTACTGGCGCCATTGTTGAAGGCCTCGAGCAGGGCGAAGCAGGTGCCGAGGGCAAAGACGTAGGTGTATTCGGTGAGCACCATCTTGACTGCAGTTCAGTTGAGAGAAGAGACAAGGCCGTGGTGGTGGTGGTGGTGAGAACAAGCCAAAACCCAAGAATGGCTCCCGACTCAGGTATTTAAGCTTACCTGCAAGCTTGCGGGCAAGGTTACAACCTCTTTTTCATGCTTCAAAGTCTAACGCACGACTTCCTCTTGGGGCCACCGACGCCGCATCTCGGTGACACGAACGGGGTCTGTCTCGACGCCGGGCATTGAGAGGCTGTGTGAAGGAAGCGGGTCGGGGGCCCGGTTGATAGAGTTGCTGGCCCTATCGAGATGCGCTGCTCGCCCACGTGGGGGAGTCTTCAGGCAGATAGTGGAACACGGGGAGCATCTCTACTCGCATAGTGGAACACGGGGAGGTAGCTCGCATGTACAGGGGCCATTCCCTTCGGAGAGGACGAGCAGAGGGCACGCGACAGTTGCAGCAACACGTTCGTCGTGTTCCGGGGGCGGATTGGCTCGCAGCACGCCAGGGAACAACCCCGACCGACCTGCAACCCTCCAGCCAATACATCCTGAGTACTCGTATTCCCCTAAACCGCTTCAGACGACCGAGATCCACCGCTCGGTCGCCCAGTGCGGCCAAGACCTGTCGAGCTAGACCCAGGCCAGCCAAGACGCCGGGACTTTGTTCTGTAAGCTTAATCGGCGCGCCCAGCGTCGTGCGGAATCTGCGAATCAGCTTGGCTGTCCTTGGCATGTGTTGTGAGCACGCACGCAAATTCCTCTTTCGTCTAGTAGCTGGGCGGGAGGCTGGCTTCTGCCGCTCTGGCTATATGACACTATCTACGCTCGGTTTTGCCGCCTCAGCTATGATGGAGCTCGCGCTTGGAAATCTCTTCATAGACTGCCTTGTGGCGACGGCGTGGTTTCTTACTTGCTGTATTTTTTATCGAATTCTTCACTCGGGTTCCACCTTGCTCAATCGCCACTGCTTGGCAACACCCTCACTTGGCATCCATCTCCCAACCTCCGTCATCATCATCCCATCATCTCTCCATTCGTCCAATATCCCAATCGCTGCCGTCGTTGGTGCACTTCCCCACGTGCCCCGATACCCAATGGTACACCGAGGAGCCCTTGTGCCAGAGCTCTCGGGCGCACCATGCGATGATCTTGTTGCGACCTGCTAATCTCAGTATCGCCCGGTCTCGACCATCCAGATTTCGGGACCCCTGCAACATACGCCCCTCTTGACGCGAATCCAACCGAGGTGTAGTACGTACCACTGCTTCACCAGGTTCCCCGCCTACTCCCGAACCATGCTGCGTATCTGTTGATTAGAGGGCAGCAAAAGGTGGGTATCTCCACCATGATGAGTATCGCCTTGAGATCTACGGGTACACAGAAGCCGACTCAATACAATGCACTGCTCAAGCTGCTGTAAATGCGATAAAGTCCACATCGCATTACAATGATTCCAATAATTCCATATCAAATTTATCATAGAGTATCCTCATAATGTCCATTCAATGTATCTATTTCTGTGCTTCGGGACTTTTCTCCTCGGCTAGAGCCGCCAAAGTCTCCAACGCCTCCTCCTCTCTCCCAATCGGAACAAATAGATGGTCATGATAGAACCCGCTGACAGGATTCACGCCCATGCCTTTCTCAGCCAACTTTGTCGCGATAACAGCCATGAAGCCAACAGCCTCCAAGCTCGAATGCACGTTGAGCGTGATCATTCTCGACGGAAAAGAATATTCCATCCCTTGCTTAACAGCATTCTCCAGCGTAGTGATGATAGTAATGCCTTCGGATTCCCGAAACATCAGCTGAATGTCAGACAGTGGTGGTAACGGCGCGGATTCGGACTGAGTGACGAAAACAAATGTCACCGGGTGTAGGGTAGTTGTAAGGGTGGAGAGGAGTGTGGAAAGAGACGTTTCGCCTCCGTCGCTAGTAGGGTTTGCCATTTTGAACGGTACAAGCTAACAATTGATCTTTGATATAGAATTGATTCAGGACGCTCCCGATAAACTCCGCTGATAAATATTCCAGCGCTGGCTTAGTGACTAAGCCATGTCATCAACAGGGCGCGCTAAAGACATAAAAACTGGACCGCGGGAGAGGAACTAGAAAATAGATGGCTGAGAAAACTCTTAAAACTTAGTTCAATTCTTCTTTGAGCTTTCACATCTCCACCTTCTAAACCGATTGTCGGTCACAGGATGGAAATGTTTGAGAGCCGTCGACGCAACTCTTTTGGACAGGATCTAAGATATGCCCCGGGCAGGAATTCTTTAAGCGGCTCTTGAATCCAATGCTGTAGCATGGCAACCGCTAACCTCGTGTTTAATTTGGTGTCGCTTTCCTGTAACCCCTGTGCTCGGATGGAGACTATGGATCCGTAGACCTTGCCTTGGATGCGAGCAAGCACACAAGGAAGCTGTGGCTCATCATGACTTGCAGTCGCAATGTCTTGACAATTGGTAATTGGCTTGTTTTTTTTGAAACTCGTTAGCAAGGGCTATTTGCCGCGTTGGGGGCTACCGAGGGTGGAGGAAGCGTGCTACTTTGTCACTGGCAAATTGACTGACAATGTGAAGCCATGAAACAACTGCAACGCGCTATCGGGCGCCAGTTTCTGGCAAAGAATGGTCACTTGTTCTTCACAATAAGCCAAGCAATCTCCTTCTGAAACATAAAATACTTCGCAGCGAAAACACACTTATGGCTAAGTTATCACGACTGCTACATAATAAACCAACGATTTGCCGCACACCTTCGCTTCGGGTCTCATATACATTCATCATTCCCAAGTTTTTCCGTCACTGATGTTCATTTTGATGAATCCGAGGGCCGTGTATTTTCTGGATGTTCTCGCTGCGAGATGAAAACGTCATCGGGCGGGCAGGTCGTCGACTCTACCCTTTCCTCGTGGGTCGTTCTTCTTATGATTCCCTTGGTCTCGACGCACTAGTCCAAGTCGATGAACTGTGTGGAGCGTGTCAGGATGCTCTGCGCCTAATATCTTTGTTTGCAGTGCCAGTGTCTGTTGGTACAACTCCTCGGCCTTTGTGAAGCTCTCTTGCTTGTACAATGCTTCTGCCAGGCAACTCATTGTGATGAGTGCATTAGGATTTTCTGCATCCAAAGCCTTCACTTGCAGCGCTAGTATCTGCCGGTATCCCTGCTGAGCTTCATCATAACTGCCTTGAAGGAGAAGTATATTCGAAATGCCTCGCATTGTATCGAGTGTATGGGGATGTTCCGCGCCCAATACTTTTGTTCGTAGTGCGAGTGTCTGTCGATATAACCGCTCTGCTTCCCCATAGCTGCCTTGTGTGAAACGTGAATTTGCAAGATTCTGCATTGCATTGAGTGTCTCTGGATGGTCTGCGCCCAATGCCTTCGTCTGTAGTACCAGTGTCTGCTGAGATAACTGCTCCGCCTCCTCGTAGCTGCCTTGTTTTTGAAGTACAGATGCGAGGCCTATCATTGTATCGATTGTGCGATGATGCTCTATACCCAACACTTTCATGCTTAGTGCCAGTGTCTGTCGATATAACCGCTCTGATTCCCCATAGCTACCTTGGTTGAGACGTGTATTTGCAATATTGTGCATTGCAATGAGTGTTTCTGGATGTTCTGTACCCAATGCCTTCGTCCGTAGTACCAATATCTCCTGGTACAACTTCCCAGCCTCCTGATAGCTGCCTCGATGGTCAAGTACATCTGCAATGCCTTCCATGATATTCAGCGTCACAGGATCATCCTTGCCAAACACCGTCGCCTGTAGTGCTAATGCCTGCTGGTATAGCTGCTCGGCCCCTCCATAATCGCCTTGTCTGCAAAGCACATGTGCAAGACTCGCCATGGTGCTGAGTGTGAAATTATTTACCTCTAATGGTTCACCCAGTAGTAGCATGAATGTCAGTCGGAATAGCTGCTCAGCCGTTTTGTAGTTTCCGAGCAAATAATTGCTGCAGGCCACATTGTGACGAAGTCTTCTCTTTCCGTCATCATTTGGTGAAACACTTCCCGACTCTAAAACTCTCAATGCATGGGGAAGATATCGCATCCATTCGTCTTTGTTGTCATGCTTGGGGTAGGGAAAGACATTCTCAAGCCGGCGCATCACCTTCGTAGCCCATTCTGTATGCTCTCCTTTTTGCTTCAGCCAATTCAACATCGACAGTCGAACCAACCGGTGAATATCGTAGGCATCCTGCCCCTCCCGCTGAGTGACAAATGCGTATGCCTTCAGAGTGCCGATCGCTTCCACTGTCTCTGTTCTACGTGCTGATAGCGGTAATAAAGACAGTGGAATGTCCTTCTCGACCAGGAAGCACATGAATCTCAGGTAATCTCCCGCCAGAGGGTGGTGGCGTACAATGTGCTGGAACGAAATCAACCAAGTGGTGGCAACTGGGTTTTGTCTGTCCTCATGGGGACGTAGATCCTCAAAACACCTGCTAAGCAGATCGATCGTATCCTCGTCACTGGCCTGACAAAGGCTTAAATACTCCGTAGTTGATATCCGATTTCTCGCCATGTATGCAGATGCCTGCCTTATCGCGAGTGGCAGATGCGTAAGAAATTCAAGCAGCTTTGTTGTGCTCTCGGTGTCGCCCAGCTGATCTTCTTTGAGGTGAGTCTTCAAAAGTGCCAGAGATTCGTCTTGGTTCATTTCTCCGACGGCAATGACATCCATATGTGAGACACCAAGCTTCATTACAACATCATGATTCCGAGTCGTGAATAGAATAGAGCCATGAGGGCCAGATGGAAGATAGTCAGCTAGATTTGTATGGCCAAAGAGAAGATCTGAATCATCGGCGTTGTCGACAACCAAGAGCCAGCTGCCTACGTCTTCGTGGTTCAGTGCGGCCTTGACAAGTGTCTTGACATCTGCTTCGTCGTTGTCGATCCCGGAAACCAGGAGTTTTCGGCCGATGTTGCGATAGGCATTCTCAAAGGTGGCAAGATCCATAGTTGGTACCCAAAAGACAGAGCAGTCCTGGTACTTTTGCCTGAACTGGAACGCGGCCTCTAGAGCCATCTGCGTCTTGCCGATGCCCCCCAAGCCCTCGAGCACAGCTTTCTGACAGTTGCTTGTATTACGCCCTGGGGATATTTTGGCAAGCAGTTGTGAAATTTCTTTGCCGCGTCCGACAAAGTAGTCGTTGTGACTAAGTGGAACAACCCAGTGGTTTTTGCGTACAGACACCACGACTTGTGGGAGTTAGCGAGAGTAGTAAACTCAAGTCAAATTCATTGGACACTACATACTATGAGATGCGAGCTGTTCCGTAGTGCTGAGAAAGCTAGGGAGAGAAGTCCCCTTAGCCATTCGCCATTGTAGCGTCCGAGGCTCCTGGGAACTTCCGATGTTGCCCGAAGTAGGCTGAGGAAGTCGAATCAGTGCGGTTGAGGCTTCTGTGTTGTCAATCTTAGACGCCAGCAAAGCCTTAACCACCTTGTTGAGTTGCTCTGAAACTACTTGCTGGTTGATGTATTCGGTTGTAAACGTACGGACCTTGGACAATTCCTTCCACTCTTCGAGTCCAATGCCTTGGAGGCCACGATCAACGCTGAAGCGGAAATACGTGTCCTGAACGTCTCGAAACCGTCCGTGGATCTTCTCTGCTGTTGTGTCTGACTCAGTTACCATTTTCTTGAGTGCTTTGATCAGCTTGAGCGGGCTCGACTTTGGCGACTCGGGAAATGTGATGACATTGGCGACGCCGGTTCCGATGCTAACGACGCAGGCGACCTTCCGTCCGGGAAAGACACGTCTCGCCTCCTCGAGCAGCTGCTCAACAGGATTATTATATCCGAGGCCGCCGTCCACGAATGTCTCTTGTTCGCCCTCGTCGCCGATGTTGATAGGTTCGAAATACGAAGGTGCCGCGGAAGTCGCGCGACAGGCTTCCCAGATCTTGCAGTTGAACGAGGCATTCTCGCGCACTCTATATGTCCTGAACAGTCTGGGTCCTGCTCGGGCTCTGACATCATGTTGCGGCACGGCGCAGACGAATCTAGGGTTGGAGATGTTAGTTGGTCGCTCAAGCATTCCGCTACGAGAACATACACTTTGCAGGTGCCGTCTTTCTCTAGCATTTTCTCCTCGGCCCGACCGTCCCCCAGAAGTCGCTTGACCACTTCTTCAAGCTTCTGGCCATCAAAGGTATCTTTCTTTAGGTATCTCGGAAGGGAGAACACCTCCTCCGCAAGACGGACGTATTCTTTCCTAGCCTGCGGTACCGATCGACGCAAACGTCCTAGCAATAGCGCAATCAAACTGTGGAGGCCCTAGGTTAGCTTCCTCCTAGGTAGATGAGCGATCGTGATGGCGATCGTACCCTCCTGTAGATGTGCCGCCGATAAGATCAAAAAAGTCCGCCGGCAGAAGATCATCGTCTTCATCGAGATCATATTTGATCCGATTCATAATCTCCTCAAGGACCAAGAGTTCCGAGAGCCCGCGGATCCCCCCGCCGTCTATATTATTATGAGTGACACGGTCGCGTCTAGCTAGCGATGTGTACTGACCAAGGGCGAGCAAACAGAGCGGTCTGTCGTCCGCCATGCTAGCATGTATTGTGCAATTGCAGTATGAAGGACGTTGTCGCTCTTGTGGGCCACTGCTACGCGCTCCGTATCAAAGGGTTGATTCGATTTTTCTGAGAGAGAGGCCTGAATTGTTGACGGGGAAAAATGGCGCAGGCCGCCTTGATACCAGCTCAGCCTGAGCAAGCGTCAGCACAACCCTTACATCGCACAGCCTACCGCCAGCCAAGCCATGCATAAGACAATAGGCCAAGATTTGTCGGTACGGCTTGAGCGCTCAACAGTTGGGGGCCAGGCACACACCGCGTAGTCACAAGAGCCGACCATCTGCAAGCCTCAAAGTTGTGATTTCAGGCGTCCAGTAAGACGTCTTAGTTCGGTGGCTGTGCTTATGGGCGCTGGATTGGGCGCTACTTATTCTCTCACAGCCTCGTCTTCTCAGCCCCGGGTGGCGGGCTGCATGGATTGAGTATTTGGTCAACATTGTACTATGCTGATCGAAGGAAGGTCTCGCTACTGTAGTCAGCTCTTTGAATTAATATGTAAACTACAAGAACCTTCGTTTGTTGAAAGGGGATGTGCAGTGACACGTTGAGAACGGCTGAAGTGAGGGGGACCGAGACAAGCGGCAAGCCATCCTGCATCTCCCCCCTGCGAATCACACCGTGACGCTGCTGAACCAACAAGTGGGCCAAGTAACGCCCACAGTCGAATAAGAATTAGTGCGGATTCCATGTCCATGTAAGGTCTGAGCATTCAGCAAGCAAGCTTGAGTCTCTAGATGAATTGACTGCTCCATTTTGTGTCACCAAGCTACTCCACCTCTGTGTAACCCCAGCAAAGGCCCTTTGGGTTCAATGACGTTCGCCAGTGAGGCTAATGAGCTTAGTTGCCTTCGATGACCGATGGAGGCTGGCTGGGCGAGTGTTAAAAATGCACACCATTCGCCTTTCGGCCAAAACGAGCGCCTCCAAGCACAAGCATTGCCACACAGATAAGCGAACGCACTTTCAATTTTCATATTACTCTGTCTCGACTGCGATTTGAATCTAAAAGAATGCACATAAGCTCATTTGCCGGGTTCATTTTCGTGGTCCTTGGGCAGGTTTGTTGGCTGCCATCTCTGTTGACATCCAGATGCACTACCAAATGCTACCTCCAGAGCCAACACACTTGTGATTGTCGGAGCACCGCAGGAAATGAACCAGCCCAATGAGATATGCGACTCTGGTCTTGACGAGACCGAGTCGGAGGAGATTCAGGTATGGTTCCAGAGCCAATGCCCACCGAACGGAGCATGTGTTCCTGATGCCAAAAGCACTGGGCTGATGAAGAGATACCACAGTGGTCTCGACTGAATCTAGCATCCAAAATCTTGGGCCGACCTAAACTTTAGAGTCGATCTCTTGGTTGCCTCATTGGTTGGGGCTGGAATGTTTCAGACGGAGTTGGTCTGATTTAAATCCACAAAAGCCACATTGGGCCTCGAACGTATTGCAAGCTGCCTATTTAGCCACGCATCCCCTCTACCTTGAATTTTGATTCCGTAATTTCATTTCGTCGATTTTGCGGTGACTTTATCCGACCCCGGAGACGAGCCATCTCCGGCAATCTTCGACGGCAGCGTCGCATCATCGAATCGCCCAGATAAGAAGCTCTTGAGCAGCATGAGCTTCCATGGCACCGGGCCGCTGCCAATATTGGTACGATCATGTCCAGTACCTATTTCTTTCCCAGCTAATTTGAGGCGGCTGGTTATAGATTGGTGGATGGACTCTGACAGGGATCGCTGCAGGCGTCATCATCGCTCGTCTGTATCTACGCATCAAGATCCAGAGTCGACGCCTACTGCTCAGTGATATCTTCATGGTTGCGGCTTGGTTCTGTGGGTGTGCATGCAATAGTATCTCTATCGTTTTGATGAGGCTTGGTGCGCTTGATCCCAGCGTGGGAACGGATCTGAAGGGGTTCACTGGTAACCCTGACAACATTTCCAAGATTTTGAAGGTAAGTGCATATTGCAAGCAATTCATCCTGATGGGCAATTTTTGTGGCAAATAGCTGATGCGATCTTGTCAAGGTGTTTTGGCTAGGACTCATCCCTGTTCATTTGACCTATTACCTTTGCAAGGGAGCTCTGCTTTTGTTGTACTTGCAAATATTTCCGCACTTTATGCGGAAGCGAAGGATACTCTTGTGGGCTACGATTGTCTACAACTTTCTTGCCTTTGTGGCAAGTAACCTCGTTGTGTATTGCATCTGCCATCCGATCCAAACATTTTGGTAAGTGCTAATAAACCCAGTTTACTTCAGGTTAAAGGCTCACATGACCGGATAGGGATGGAATTCCTAGTACATCATGCTCATCCAAGGGTGTCATCATTTTCATGGTCACTTGGTCCCTCAATACGACTGGGGAAATTTCAGGTACGTGAATGCTATTTTTCACATGTAAATTAGTTAACATCCACCATAGTGTTTCTTTTACCCTGGCTCATTTTACCTGGGCTGAATATTCGGAGATCCCTCAAGATTGGGGTGTACGGCACTTTCTTTCTCGGTGTCGTTACCATCGTATTCGGAATTCTGCGATTTGTCTCGATCCTAAACGCTCACCAAGGAACTAGCGTTCCATTGAGCACGCCAGGTATGTGACCTCGGTCGTTAGACTTTAAACTCCAATGTTACAATGAGCTGACGAACAATGTAGTTCTATGGAATACTCTGGAATGCAACCTTGGATTAGTTATTGCGTGTATGCCATCACTTAGGCCATACTTCAATTCTAATGATAGTTCCAAGGGGAAACCAATTACCCCAGAGAAACCGTTGGCCTTACTCACAACAGATAACCGCTGGACGGCTGACTCTATGGCCATGACCAGCGTATCGAGCAACCGTCCTGATCAAAATATTTGGGATGAGGACAGGACAGACAACAACAGTAAGGTGGATCTAATGCAGGTGAGGCCAATCGAAGATGTTGTATGAAATGTGTATACAGTTTAGAGACAGGCTAAGACAGGCATCATGCAAGTAATTAATTAATAGAGATATTTTGATAAATATTTTAGACGCATGTAAATTATTTATCTCAAACTTTCAAGTTCTTTTCTAATACTCTAATATGGGGAGATCCGCACACCCACTAATCTCAAACCGCCTCATTCCGCCATTTCTTAAACTGTCGCGCAGGCAACCTAAGATGGAACATCTGATCAATCTCCATGAGAGTCCTCCCTTTCATCTCCGGAAGGAAAACCCAGCAAATTCCAACTGCCATTGAACACAAGCCAAGGTATACAAAACCGGTCTTGGCCCCAAGGTTTCCAGCATCCGGGTTAAAGACGTATGGAAGAACGAAGCTCATGAGCACAGAGGAGGCTTGCTGGGCCACGCCTCCAATTGCTTGCGTCTTTGCTCGCAGCCTTAACGAGCTTGTCTCGCCCATGATGGCATAGCCGGCGGGCCAGCATCCCATTCCGCAGATCACGATGATGGCGATCAGGCAGCCAGCCGTAAAGTAGGCGACGTCCGACCCCTTCCAGAATCCAGAGACGCCCATTGCTCCCCAAAGGACAGTTGCAGCTATTAAAGAGGTAATGGTTGTTACCCTTCGACCAGCCCGCGACATGATCCAAATACCAATCCCGTTAGCAATCATACCGGCCACGATACCACCGATGAGAATCATGAGACTGGTGCTTGACTCCATGCCGATTGTTTGCAAAAAGTAACTGGACTTTCCAAGAAGGTCCAAACCAAACATCGCTGGAAAGAGGTTCGCCATGATGACAATCCATGTTCTCCTCCGATGCGTGCCCTTGAAGCAGGCAATAAAACTGGCTTCTGCGACCAGAGCCTTTTCCTCTGCGATGCTCTCTCGAATCTTCTCCAACGCCCGAAAAGGATCAGCCTTAGGTGCGTAAAGTCTCTGAGCCGCCTTGATAGCCTTGTCCGTCTTGCCTTGTTCTTCCAGATACGCTGGGCTCTCGGGCATGAAGATGGACAAGGCAAATGGGGCCACGGCAAAGATGAATTGAGATCCAAAGGCGCCCAAGTAGCCGGAGCTTCCTTTTATGTCATTTACTAAGTAAATGACAATAGATCCAATGAGCTGCCCCGTCAGATTTCCGGTCGGGATTAGCGCCATGGTAGATCCACGCAGGGCGACTGGTGCCGTCTCTGATATGTATGTCATGGCTGTGACTTTGAGGATGCCGACTGAAAATCCTTGAACCACCTTGCCAACAAAAAACAAGACTCGTTTTGTTTCCATGTTGGGCGGTAAGTACGAGACGAAGATGACAACGGCACCGATTGCTGAGATGATGCTTCCAAGCAGGAGGCTCATCTTGCGGCCGACGCGATCTTGAAACCACCCGGCGAAAAGAGATCCTATCGCCATTCCCAGCGGCGTGGCGGCAAGCCACAGAGATAGCCACGGGCTCGGAATAATCAAGTCGCCTTTGTACCGCTCGCCATAATCCTCTTGGAAGGAGTCGACGGCGGTGATAGAGCCGACGACGACCAGGTCGTAACCCCATCCCACAACAACGATGGTGAGAGCGAGGCAATATCCTACAATCTTGGGGTATTGTCGGATAGCTTTGCCCAGGGGAATTTTCTCTCCCTCGTCGCCTAATATCGGTTCGTTGGTAGTCTCGCGGCGTAGAGGGTCGGAATCTACTATCCCTGCCATTGCGGAATAGGAAGTATTGATCGTTTCCAATTCAATGTAGTCGACGTTGGTCGTTGTACTGTGCTTTTTGAAGAGGCCCATGCTTGAATTGGTCTGAGTATATTGATCGGTAGTCGGATGAGGTCTGTTGAAACAGAAATAGCGAAATTTCTATAACTTGTGACTGTTGAGGCTTGGATCTGGTAGGTCAAGACCAATGGAGTGCGGACAGTGACGCTTGTATATAGTCCTCAACATCAATGCAAACGTTTTAATGGAGCTTCTGCCTGGCCTTACGGTATAAATGACTTGTGCGTCTATAGAGATGGAGATGGAAGAACAAACAATTTTTGCCGTAAATAGATCCTGTTGGAAGGGGAACCAATCATCGTGGAAGGCGATGTCCGGCTTGAGGTGCGTTAGTCGCCCCTGTCACTCATACGTCCGTACTGTGGCTGGTTCACGAAATACGGTTACAGATCTGCATCAAGGTGCCATTATTTTGAAACAGTCAGCAATGGAGAATTAAGCATATGCAGCCTAAGCCCCAAATCTCTCAGAACGGAAGGAGAATACTCAGCATCGAACTCCCGCCAGTGGCCAAACTGGCCAATGATGATGTAAAGCGTATTTCGGCTCAGGAAGCGAAACTCGCTCTTGGCGTCTGGCCGGCTGACGGGATGCCCAAGCCTCAATGCCTACGCAAAGCTCCACCAGTATTTCGTCAATAAACCAATGAACATGTGAAGCGAAGTTCGGCTTATGGAGCGAAATTCGCCTCTCACCCCATTTTGCCTGGTATGCTTGTGTCCAAGCCTCGAATACTTACGCAGAGGATGTAAACCATACGGCAGTTTACCAATATCTGGAGTAAGACTTTTCGTATTCCTTCATGACAAACATGTCTGTGCTTCTGCGAGCAAATAGATGATCCTTGATGACGGGAGCGGTTCGCTAAACAGGACCCGACCTTAATCTTGAATTCTCCATCGTCCGATGATGAATGTAGTAAAAGTCTCCTCCGAGCAAAAACGGCATCCTAAAAGATTTGTTAAGATCTGGGGTGGTTGGCGTTTGCTTTCTTCTACCTCTTTGGCTCGGAGTCTCCGCAAAAGTCCGGTCCAAACAGCCAAGGCCGCGTTTCGGCTGGAACGGCGAAATTCGGCCTTTAAACTGTAAATGGGGCGTCATTTCGCAACATGATGCCCTCCTCCTCATCCTCCCACAATAACTAGTGAATACTACATTGCGGCATTCGGTCAGTGTTTTCAGCGATCCCCGACGGGTTTGAGGTGTGCCAATGTCCATCTCCAACGTGTAGAGACGTTATAAACTCAGAGCGCACAAGTTAACAGAGAACAATCACCCAGTCACATTCAATATCCTCTTTTTCTCACATTTCACCATACTTGATTCACTAAGACTCTTTAAGCCATCAAGCGCGGATCACTTTGCACTATCATGTCCAATACTGCGGCAAACCAACAGATTATGACTTCAGAGTCAATCTGCCACATCGTGTCTCCTGTCGGCATGCTTGGCTACGGGTTCGACGAAGTCCTGACTGCACATGAGCTAGCAAGACTTGTGCCCACAGGCATCCCAACCGCCATCATCTTAGACTCGGGCTCGACCGACAGCGGCCCCGAAAAGCTGGCGCTTGGAACCACAACTTGTCCCAGGGCAGCATACGCTAAGGATCTGGCAAAGATGATGAAACTTATTCATACCTTTCGAGTCCCTTTAATATTCAGCTCGGCGGGTGGAGATGGCACGGATGAACATGTGAAGCTCATGGGTGAGATTATCGAAGAGATTGCAGCCGAGGAGGAGAACAAGTAAGACAGGAAACATACAACTGATTTTCAACTAACGGTGCGGCAGGGACTATTTTATCAAAGCAATATCCATATTCTCCAACATTAAGAAAGCGACCATTCTGAAAAGGCTTCATTCTGGCAGAGTCAGCGGCTGTGGGCCTTCTGTCCCTCCCTTGACGGAAGCTGATGTGGAGGCTTCCCCTCAAGTCGTTGCTCAAGTAGGCCCCGAACCGTTTATCGATGCTATGGACGCCCATCCCGACTTTAATATCATCATTGGCGGTCGAGCATATGACCCTGCCCCCTATGCAGCCTATGCTACATTCCAACTGAAGCGCCAGTATGAGAACATTAGCTCATCAGATATTCAAGAACGGTACGGAGGGTTCTTACACATGGGAAAGATCATGGAATGCGGCGGGCAATGCTCAACCCCCAAGTCTCCCGGAGCGGTTGCCACGGTCTACTTCAGTGGAGTATTTGATATCAGGCCCATGTCGCCGAGTTCTCGTTGTACGCCTTTCTCTGTGGCTGCTCATGCGCTGTATGAGAATGCGAGACCCGACATCCTACGCGGACCTGGTGGTGCCCTGCACCTAGAGAATACCAACTACGAGCAGTTGAAAGATGGGCGAACAGTCAGAGTTAGTGGATCTCGGTATCGGTCTTCTAAATCTGAAGGGCTGCCCTATCAATTCAAACTCGAAGCTGCTCGTGTGATAGGATATCGTTCCATGTTCATGGGGGGCGTCAAAGATCGTGAGACTACCGTTTGCGCATCGTCAAGTTCACTCACTGACATGTCAATACAGACATCTTGATCAGCCAGATGCACGACTTACTTCCACGAATAAAAGCCTATGTGAAAGAGCAGCATCCAAATTCCGGGGAATGGGAGATTGATTTCCACCAGTATGGAAAAGGTCAGAGCACGCCTGCAGGACCTGGAGAGATGTTCATCATTTGTGAGGTTCTCGCCGAGTCTCAAAGCCTGGCAACAAGCCTAGCTGCCAAAGCTAGAGTTGCCATGATTGTGAGGCTCTCCTAAAATATCAGTGTTCTCATGAGTCGTTGGCTGATATATCCTGTCTTTCTTAGCATGGGCCCTATCCGGGGATGAAAGCAACGGCAGGGAACTTCGGATTCGGCATCGGTGGCAAGATGGAGATTGAATTAGGGCCTTGCGCCAAATTCTCTGTGTACCATCTTATGGATCTTGAGCCTGGTGAGGAACGACTCAAACTCGGACAAAAAAGTCCTGGAACCGAGAAAAACGGACAGTTGCTCCATGCCAGTGTTTCCATCATCGGAAGAGGACAGCCTCGTGCTTATTCTAAAGAATTTGGAGCTAGAATTGCCCGCCTCCAGGATACACTCCAAAAGCCCATCGCTCGAGGGGCCACATATGTTGATGAGAGTGTAGTCAAAGTTGGCTCTGTCTCTTCACCAAAGACACTTTCAGATCTCGCACAAGTTCTCCGGTCTAAGAACGCCGGCCCATTCGACATCACCATCGACGTCATCTTCACCTCGGAAGCGGCCTACTCCTCTATGATCAAGTCGAATCTCCTCTCCCCCGAAAACGTGGCTCGAGCACTCGGAATTTCGGAGGATGATATTGTGTGGATGGGATTCTTTGAACCTGCTCTTGCGTTCAAGGTCACGATTCCAAGATTCCGCGCTGGCAAGAGAACATCAGCAGGCGGCTTCATGGAGAATGATGTCCATGGATCGCAGCAGCATGTTGGCCTCGCAACTCTCAAGTTGCCGGTGCCGGTGGTTCATTCACCGGCCATCCTCACTCTGAGCTAGTCATGGCAGAAAATTGTCTATGCAGTTGCGATATGTGGGATAGGTTCGATGGCGATCGCCAAGTACATGTTGTTCGGTCATAATTCCGTCTAAACTTAGCAAGGGTACAATCTCAATCAGTTTGGTTTTGGGCTGGAAATTATTTGCAAATATTTTGGATGCTGGAAGCATTAATGGAATTTGATCGAGAAGTTGATAGGTTTAACAAGATTTCAGACATCACATCATATCCGAGGACTACAGTCCACCTCATATATGACTGTTTCCCAGTCCACGTCCTCGTTGCTTTGCATCCAACTCGGTACAGTCATCATTAACACCATACAACCAGACCGATCACATCACACATCCAATCTCTACTCCTGAGGCGGATACATAGCGTCTAAGTTCAGAATATTCATAATCGGGTCATCCCAAAACTCCCTCAGGAACTCAGCGTCGGAGTTGGCTTGATCCATTGGGTAGATCAGGTCTGATTGCAACTGTTGCTCTTGCAGTTGGCTCTGGTAAGTCACTATGGGTTCTTCCGGGGTCCGGTTCTCTGGAAGCTCTGGGATCTGCGTCGACCGACCGCGAGCTTCATCAGCCATTCTTGTCGCGTGCAGAAGTAAAGAAACGCCCATCCGATGTGTAAACCGTAGCTTGGTAGGGTCGGAGCTCCCAGGTGGAAGACGTGCAAGAATCTCAAACATTCTTGATGTCCGGGCGTATTCGTCCATTGGGTCGATCGAACACAGCTTGAATACACCCTGTGCTAGGGAGATGTGAGACGCCGCTGATTCCTGCTCTTCGCGGGACGCATTGACGTCGAGGTGGAAGAATGTAATGAGAAAGATTGTCGCGAACGCAAGACCACGGTAGTAGGTCTTGGGTAACGATCTTTCTCTCTGTATTTTGGGTAAGCTGCGATCACCAAATCTTGTAGAACTGGGTGGGATAGTAGAGATGCGGATGATCCTCAACGCCGCGGCTAGTCCTGTTTGCAACATAATCTCGCGGGACGGGCTGTTCGGAGGCGATTTTATTATCAGAAGGGCATAGAAGTGAAGCTTCGTCACCAGAATGCTGAATTCAATTTTGAGGATTCCGGGTTCATTTTCTGGAAAGCCTGATTTGAGGACGTCGAGCTCGCTGTTGATGAGTCGTATCAGGGAGGAGCCTACAGTTTCGTTGTTTTGCAACAAGAGCCCAATGAACTTGGCCACGACTAGATGAATTCTAACCTGGGTGGTGATTTCGAATGGAAGCGTCTTTTGGGTCAAGAAATTATGGATTGCGGTGAAGTCGATGTCAGAGTCGATCGGCGGCTGAAGGCCCAAGTGAAGGCTGAGTCTGGAATAAGTTAGTACAGTGAACCTACACCTCGAATTTGGAATGGAACATACGATGTGCCCACGTAAAAACACCCAAGCCATGTGTTGATTCTTGCTCTGCTACTCCCCGGCAACACACCCACACTGCGAGGAGTTGGCAGAGGTTGCTCCCTGTCTAGGCCCATATACCGAGCAGCCTGGATTGCAATTCCGCAATATAGCCAACTCGGGTCTGCTACCTGGTGTCTAATAGGAAGAGGCCATGCGCAGAGGAAGAGCAGGGCTTGGATCTTGTGCAGAGGCAGCGGTGCTCCAAGAGCCCCTTCTCGTAGCAGTTTTAGGTAAGGCTGGTGGAGGCGGGAGAATAACTCTTGATGAGAACTGTCTGGTAGATGTGAGGAAACTATCACGACGATAGTCCAGAATAAAAAGGGTTGTGAATGATACATGTGACGGAGGGATATGGGCTCAAGAAGCGGCAGCTGGGGCCGGAACAGTTCCGCAAAGCTACCAAGAGTGAGCACGCGATGCACAATTTTATTGTGCCACAAACATACACTTTGAGAGCATCGATGGCCAAGTGGGATTCCACTAGCAAACCATTCAACACGACGGTTGTTTCGTCCAACTCGAAATTGTCTTCAGTTGATAAGCCTGAACTTGGTTCAGACGCGAGGCTCGTGCTACCGCCAGTCTCCGGGCTCAAGGTTGCATTTTCGCCTTCTCTTTGGCTACGCAACTCTTGGATCTCTCGACTCATGGCCTCTATCCGTCTAGAATCACAAGTCAGCGTGTGCTCTGTAAATCGAATGGGTGTCTTACTTCCGGGCAGGCGTTCTCTGGAAGGTCGCGTCCACATTGCAGAATAGTTGTCTTGACTGGCATCTTGAGCAAGGATTTGGAAAGTTGACTTTGGAATCGCAGCGGAGCTAATACAATGATAGTTAGTGATGTACTCGGTGGACGAAGTAGCCTTCGGGTGTACCTTTGCCTGTTTGCATTCGGTGCATGTTCGTACAGACCGCGTATGTGAGCTGGAGGTTCTGTTTTCCCCCGAGGCCATCCTCTGTAAATGTCTTGACTTTGACTGAGACCTAGTGGTGGGTTCGTCGACGTTGATTGGTGTTCTGATCGAGGCGGAGTGGCATCGGTTTGTTGACAATGACTTCATGAGTCCCGCATTCCTTTGCCTAATTTGACTCACTTGCTACCAAGCGGATCCGGAAATACTTTCTTACGGCGATGCCACCTGAGCGTGGCTGAGCTGACGGCGTCGTGCCAGCACCGCAGACACGTTACTATCGCTACCCTAGACTGGAAGGTGAGCAAACTAGGGTTTTTCTGCCTTGTCATGTTAGTAGTTAATTGGAAATGACCTTTTATGCTAGACAGCTCATCTAGAAGTTCCATATTTTGTAAATCAAGCCAATAATCCAATCTCATTCAAACCAACCAGACGCAAAATACTGTCGCACAGTCTCGATTATTGTTGGGATTCCGAGTCCACTATGGCTTTTAGACAAATGCAAGTCAATTTCCCTTTTTTGCCATAGTGCGGATCTAGTGACTTGTCATCGTGAGTTATGGCCGAATCATGTTTGTCGTAACGCCATGAATTGCGCGCTTGACATAATCACGGCGCACCTACCTGCAGGATTGCGCATTTAGGACTGACAAATGTCTCGCTATTGACAACAATTGTAGTCTCGTGTGCTCTGAATGTGGTTAGCCTCCCCTGGTGGGTAACGCACTATGTCCCGTGTCTCAGTTGTGACGCACTTCGGCGGTGTGGATGGCTTCCGTGACCTTTGAAAGGCCGTTTAATTATGGGGTTGCGGTGGCAGAAGCAAGTATTCGGATGGTGGGAGGTCCTATAAGAAAGCGGAGGTTGAGAAGATGGATCTTGCTGATTGAGTCTGCGGTATTTCGTCGTCCTGCAACACTCTCATCATCAACTGCGATACCTCGGCAGACGGTCGGTCAGCCATGTCCAAAACCACCAAAGGCGCGATGGCTTCCCCGAGCTTGGAGGAGGCTGCCCCTTTACTGCTTGAAGCGGGAGACGAGTCCTGTGGAATTCTCAACGGGGATTCACAAGACACCATCAACTTCAATCCCAATGGCGACCCAGATAATCCGCTTGAGTGGCCAGCGCCATTTAAAAGGGGAATAGTGGCCCTGTTAGCCTTTACAGGTTTTACAGTGTACGTGCAATGATCCCAAGCCTACTCAGGCAAAGACAAGAATTCTCGTTGGAACTGACCTCATGATGAAGCACATTTAATTGCATATCTGTAGTCCCAGTGGCGAGCCACATCGTCAATGAACTCGATGGTGGCAACGGGACCAAGTCCGCCGCCGTCCTCCTTGTAACGATCTGGGAGCTGGGCGAGGCGGCAGGTCCTCTCCTCATCGCGCCGCTGTCCGAGATATTCGGCCGCTACCCCCTGATCAACGCCTGCAACGTTCTCTTCATCGCAACGACCGTGATGGCAGCTCTTTCACAGAGCACGACGATGCTGATCACCACGCGCGCGGTGACGGGCATGGCGGTGGCATCGAACGTGTTGAACCCAGCTATTATTGGGGATATCTTTGTATCCGACCAGAGAGGTGCAGTCATGAGCCTAGTCATGTTCGCATCCCTCGTCGGCGGTACAATAGGACCTGCTGTCAGCGGTATGGTCGCGCAGAGTCTGGGCTGGCGCGCCGTCATCTGGATGGGCGTTGGCCTGGCCGGCATTTGTCAGTTGGTTTTCTTCACCTGTTTCCGGGAGACATACAAAGTTGCCATTCTCCGAAAGAGAGTGGCAAGGCTGCAAAAGGAAACTGGAAAAAGCTCCATCACCAGCGACTTTGGGAAAGAGAACCGTCTCGACAAAGACTTCGACGGTCTGCGGACCTCCATCATGCGGCCTGTGGTGGTGCTCTTTGACTCTGGCGTGCTAGCTGCCTTATCGTTGTTCGGCGCTGTCATATATTCCTATCTATATATCGTGTCTGTAACGCTCCCAGATATCTTGGAGGATATATATGGTTTTACCCCGGCTGAAACAGGCTGGACATTCCTCGCAAATGGTACGTTGGGATAATCCCATTCTCTGCAATTGTCAACAAGCTGGTTAACATGGTGTCTCCAAGGTCTTGGCTCTTCGATTAGCGGCGTGATTTGCAACCTATATTTGGACAAGATCTATATCAAGCTCCGCGCCGCCAACAACGGGATCGGCCTGCCAGAACATCGCTTGCCCATAGCCATTATTGGAGCTTTAATGCTTCCCCCGGCTTTGGCGCTGTACGGTTGGTCTGCTGAGTACAAACTGCCTCTAATGTTTGTTCTTCTGTCTGTCGTCTGGATCCGTCTGTCCTTGATGCTAGCCTACGTGCCCCTGATAGCGTATGTGGTAGACGCTTGTGGGCTCTACTCGGCATCCGCTCTGACCGGTATCATTGTCATCCGGTGCTTGGCCAGCTCGTTTTTACCTCTTACCACGACACTGCTTGCTGAACATCTCGGTTACGGCTGGGGGCTTACGATACTTGGCGCTATCAGTCTAGGCTTTGCATTGATCCCGGTACTAATGTTGAAGCATGGTTCTCAGTGGAGGCAATCTTCTCAGTACACCAAAACAATATAGTGCGACAATAGAGCTAATGCAAATAATTGCCTTGAACTTGCCATCGTTCCTATATCCCTTCTAGACTACTGCAAGTTCGGTATTTGACCAAATGTCACTTTTATTTATTTGTCAAGATCCTTCGGCTCATACTCACCTCACTGTCCCAGAGATCTGGCAGCTATTGACTATAGGTACCTACAACATGGGTAGCCTAAAGATGTGATGGTTGGTCAATGTTCCAAGCTAGGTGTCAGAGGTTCACAATATCAACAAAATACATGCTCGTCTCAATTTTGTAATAGAAAAAGATATTTACAACATCAATCACAACGACCCCTGAGCCCAAAAGACACCACGGCCATTCGTACCCACGTAGACCTGTCCTGCATGGTTTCCGCTTCCCTCCAGCCTGTTGGAATCGATGGCACCGAACCCGATGTCACCTTGGATGTCAACCCAAGTCTTGCCAAGATCACCACTTCCATACAGCTTGCGTCCGGCAGAACCATCGCCAAAAGCATACAAGTTCCAAGTGGTCCCCTCGCCACGACCGAGGGCGATCTGATAAGTGTCAGTCAGCGCAGCCGAAACCTTCGTGAAGGAGCCGCCAAAGTCGACGCTGTGGAAGATGCCAACGTCAGTTGACACCCAGACGTCTCCCGCCTTGGTTGGATGGACTGCGATGTCGCGAATCTTTGTTGCTGAGCCGATGGCCTCCCCCTTGCTGAAGCTAGATGCTGCATTGCTGGAAACGTAGAAAGTTGAGCCTGATGCGGCGTAGAAGTACGCGCCATCTTGTTTATCGCTGGCGATGACTGATCCTGAAGGGAGGCTCGACACGGCAGAAAAGGTGCTCTGATTCAGGGATCGCGAGACGCCTTCGTTGGCCGAAGACCAGAGAATAGTGACTGCATCTGCTGATATGGCCACGGAACCACCAGACTGCGAGTTGGAAGCACCGCTATGAACCTTCCAGGATGAACCTCCGTCGCTAGAGATGGCAACCTGTGGCACTCCTTGAGTGTTGCCCACTCTCACAATCCTGTCGACTTCGTTGCCCGCGTAATCGACGCTTACCGACCCGGTAAACATGGGACTATCCCATGCCGAGGGAGGGGATTTGCTGAGAGAGCTCTTTGTCGAAAAGGTGAAGCCGCTGTCGTCGTGAACGCCTGCGAGGAGCTCGCTGCCTCCGGGAGCCGATTTGATTTCCAGCACTGCAAACTCCTCGATACCCTCGGCAAGCGATTCAATCGTAACGTTATGAGCCGTGTCCCATTGCGTGAGGTCGTGCCCTCCATACACGGTCAAGCCGGTGCCGTAAAGCCAATGGTCACTGTCGAAAGGATCGATCTCTAAAGCCTCAATCATCCAGCCCAAGCGCTTGGTGTCGATGGAGATGAAGTTCTTGTAAATCCACGGCGCCTTGGGCGTGGAGATGCCGTAGTAGTACTCCAGCTGAGAGTCCGCGTTGTAGCCCCAGAGAGTCGACCATGTTTCGCCCGAGTCGGTGGACCGGAAGATCTGGGCATCTGGATACCACGAGTTTAGTGATGCAACAACGAGCGTGCCTGGCACTTGGAGGTCAACTGCCAGTCCGCCGAAGCCAAAGTAGCGATCGCCAGGTGGTGTGATGTTCTTCCACGTCGCGGCCGCAATGTCGTAGCGGTAGATGGCACCGGCGCTGCCATCGTAAGGGCCTGTGCCGTCGCTGTAGGAAATGTAGAGAGCTTTCTCGTCGGGCTGCAGCTTGGCCTTGTGGGGGAAGAACTGCCCAGGCTGGCCAGGAATAGGGTCCCAAGTCTTGCCTGCGTCACTGGACATGTAGACCGACGCGGTTTCATTATCAGCAGTGCCGACAAATATCCTGGACGTCGCTCCGTCAAGGGCAGGCGAGGTTTTGTCCATGGTCACAAAGGTCAGGCCCTGGAGATCGCTTGAGTATCCAGAAGTGTCGCTAGGATTCACAGCAAAGCTGCCGACGTTGGTAAAGGATGTGACCTTGGTGAAGCTGGTGCCGCCGTTGGTGCTCCTCCAAAGCCCGTTGCCACTGCGGGCGCCGAAGTAGACAATGTCTGAGTTTTGGGGATCAACAGCAAGGCGCTCTCCCATTCCTCTACCTGGCATGTTGCCGCCGACCTTGAAAGGAAGTTCTGTAAAGGTCCATGTAGCGCCCTTGTCGCTGCTTATGCCAATTGAGCCGTTGTTAGGGTCCCTGTTCTTGCATTAGTGAATCTCTGGACTGTGACATCGCCGCCGATAATCTACTTGCCAGTCATTGGTGTACATGCCCACGGCCGTGTAGACCTTGTCGGGGTCTGAGGGATCCAAAGCCAAGGCATCAATTCCCCAGCGGTTCCTAAGCAGCAGCTCAGGAGTTAGCTTCCTTCATTTCTCATCAGAGAGCACAATAGTTCAATCAGGACATACCAGCCAGAGTCAGTCGCCGTGACGTCTGTCACAGCTGTCCATGAGTCGTCATCCCCATTCAAACGGTAAAGCCCTCCAATGTCAGTCCGGGCGTACGCGACACCTTTGGCCTTTGGGTGGAATTCGATGCCAGCAACGAAACCGCCGCCGCCACCGATGCGAGCATTTTGCCACTCGAATGCGGCCTGCGCGAGGCCTGCCGAAGCAAGAATGAGAGACAACAACTTCATGCTTACGGCTCAGCGAAAAAGATGGTAAATGACTGAAATGAATGATGGCCAGACTTTGCTTTCCTTGTAAGGGCGATGACAGCATATAACTACATGTCTTTGATCTGCCGAAATACTACGCCAGAATAATTCTCCAGCCGTCGGACATTGAAATTCTGCGCCAATCACGGCAGGGTATCAGGTAAAGATCGACGTTTCCTTCTCTTGCCGAGAGTGAGAACAGGCTAAGAAGCTGCTATGCCATATTTAGTCAGGGGCGTGAATGCGGAGAGCCAATGCTTTGCTCGCTTATCCCAAGAACGTTTTACTTTTTAGGCTAAAGTCTTGTATAAAGTATATGAACGTTGGACAATTCACCCAGTGAAAGGGAGACCGGTACCTAATTTAACCTTATTTAAATAGGGCACATGGAGACCGAGGTTTTCCACCCCCCGGGAGTCTTCTCGGCATTCCTGCGAACGTACGTATCTCATCATGAGTAGCCTCGGAAAATGAAAAGGTTTCTGAATGGCTTGCCGCGACTAGCATGGTACAGACCGAGGCATATAGTACACAGAGGATACTAACAACGCGTGATTCAATGCACGAGGCGATTTTGTAATAAAAAAAAGACAAGGAACGGAGGAGTAAAATAATTTTGAAAAGGAAACGTGTTTAACCCCCGGGGTTGCACATCTAGGCAACCATGAAGAGTATCGAGAGCTTCAGGCCCTAGCTGTCTTGCTGAAAATATAGTCGGTTACATTCTTCGTCTGAGTGACAATGAGGGCAAAACGCTCCGCTGCAACTGAAACATGGAGCTGGTTTTCGTTGCTATGGGAACAATTTACTACAAGCTCGCTTCTATGGTGCCTGATTTATATTTATATCACATGTTGAAGAATAGAAAAATATACTAGATAAATTTAGTTCAAACTGCTTTAGTCAAGAAATGCAAAACACCACCAATCTAGCTAATGGATGACTGACTTTCTCTAACAAGTTCATTTAGTAAACTTAGAAATCACATAGTCTATCTTGCTAACATGTCTGTATAGTATCTGCGAGCGAATAGATCGTACAGTAATCATATGGATACATTCTTCGAACAATATAGCTCGTCATTTGTCCTTTGCCGATAACCTTGCACAGTCCTTATCCTGTCAAAATCTACACAAGATGTGACATATGACGTCAACTGTAGCCTGTTTCGTGCAGATGCTGACAGAAAATGCTACAGTGGATAAGATCACCTCACGTGCCTTGATTAAGCCGCAGGGTTCTTGATAAAGTCCCTCACTGATAGTAAAATCTAAGACGTCAATTGCTTCTTTTTTCATTTTTAAGGTGCGTCGTGGTTGATTATAGAACCAGGACGTATCTCATCAGTAGCGCCAGGCTCCCATTATTCCTTCCCACGTTCCTACTATAGCCTCTGAAGACAGCACGTCATGTCAGGCTATAAAGATCTCGAATCCCTTATAACGCCCTCCCTCCTGACTCTCATCGCCGAAGCTCAGGTCCCATGGTCTAAGACTGAGCGACTTGATTTTGCCGAGGTCGCTGCAAATATGCCTAACAAGCGCTTTCGAGAGGCTTGCAAGGCCAGTACTGCCCGCGACGCTCTCCTTGCCCTTAGCAAGCTGAGCCCCGACGCAACTATCCCGCCCAGTCTCGACCTCATGTCTTTCCTTCCACCCCCTGGATCACCAGACTTCCCGCAGCAATGCTACGGACTGCAGTGCATGCTGGACCAGGCATCACGTGTGCTATTTGACGGCATCGGTGGGCGATGGCAATCTGCATATTTTGGCCCGTTGGCACGTCAACTTGCGGGACAATGGTATGCCCTGCCAGAAGCCCTGCGGCCCGATAAGTGGGAGCGATGGCGCGACGAAGCGGGTGTCAGCTTTGATTATTGGATCGTGATGCAGACTTTATGGTCGGCGCCCTTTCTGCATGCAGAGGATCTGGATAGCCAGAGGATCGGAGTCATCCTAGCAGAAGAGACGCGAAAAACTATACAGACTTACTCGGGAGAACGTGATCCGTATCACAAGGAACGAGAGGCAATATTAGGAAACGACAAGATTTTCCTGCAAGAGGTGTTCAAAGGCCCAATCGACCAGTTCGGGCCTCGTATAACATTGAGCGAATGGGCATATTGGTGGTGCATGATCAAGGACGCTCACTGGCCTATCATCCGCCGATTTGGGCGGTATCCATACCGTAACGCGATTCTAGGCAGGGATAGTACCGAGGAAGAGAAGGAGTGGCTCGAAGCTACGGGACACGTTGCTGAGGCACCACCAGACATAGCGGCCAGGATACGAGAAGACATTGAGAAGGGGAGTTGGACGTTACTTGGGGAGGAGTAATGGATCAAGCATATGTTTCTGTACCTTTCTATTGGGGAATTCTAAAGAAAACACTGTCCTTTTCACGCTGCACCTCAAAGTTGGCGGCTTTGAAAACCAGCTTTGAGAAGTACGCCCATGTGTGATACTTTCTATTAGCAACTAAAGCCGTTTTTGAGTTTACCACCAGAGCAATCCGAATTATTTGCAAATCCACTGAGTGCCTCTGAAACAAGTGGACTACTCTAATCATCTCCGAGGAGAAAGAAATCAGGGCAAGGCACTCTATGATGTAGAAAAAACGATTGGAGAATAGGGTCGAAGACATTGTTCTCTGGCCTCGGCTCGCTGGTCTTGGATTAATCAGTCTTCTTGCATATGCGACGCTGATTCTTCCTCTTCTTCCCCAATCTCAACGACATCCACATCTCGATCCGCTTCGCCATCTTGAGAGCTATCTGCTTGGCTACTCTTTTTCTCGCATCCCTTGACGAGTCTATGCCTCTGCAACAGGAGTTAGTATGCAGCCTAGAACGAAACGATGATTATATAGAATCGAATTTCTTCCTTTGGCTTGGTCCAAGTAAGGAATAGATTAAATGGGCTCCTACCTTCAAGGCGTCCTTTCGTGAGAAACCCTTGCCGCAGAAGGAGCAAGGGAATGACTTGGTAGCCCAGTGAATTCGCTTATGTCGTTTCAAGTCGTGATTTCGGACAAAGGACAGCACGCACTGATCGCACTTGAAAGGTCGCTCTTCCTGAGCGGCAAAGATTACCACGCCGGGAATCCTCGCTATCGGAACTCCGGGCTGGCGAATATTTGACACGGCGGACTCGTCCATGGTCGGCAGGGACTGGTAAGGAAGATTTGGTCTATATGGAGCTGGGGGGGCCATGGCCAGTCCTCTCAGAATGGGGCCAGCGTTTAAAGGCGAGCGCTGGGTTGGCGAGTACTGAGGTTCATAAGAAGGAAACCTGGAATGCTGAGGCTTGGAGGGGGGTGTATAGTTGCTGGAGTTGCTGCGAGCTCGCGTGTGGGTATACGAGCCAACGTAAGGTGAGTACTGTTTTCGCAAGGGCTGAGGAGGGAAGGAGGGTAATTTTAATTGCTCCTCACGCTCCTCGCCCTGCTCAGACCCAAACGGACGAGAGCTAGCTGGAATATCAGCAGACTGAAACTCGCTGTCCTTTTCTTGCCGTGCCTCTGACACGCTCTTGTCTGAGTCTCGTATTCTAGGCAGAGAAACCAGAGCTATAGATTCAAGATGGCCTGAAATGTGATCTCTGATCCTGCTGTAAGCTTCCTCATAGGGGGGAGCCATACAGGGGGCATCGGAAGCAGGGAATAAACAAAACGGGCATTCGGATATGGACTTGAACTCGGAATCTGCCGCAAGGTACGCAAAGACGTTTGGCGCGGGTTTGGCACCCTTCTCGACCATTAACCGTAGCTGGTTGGCGGAAAGGGGCCCGGTGTGGTCGTGTAGTAGATGAGCTTTGAGTGCACCAGCGCTGAGAAATTGTAACCTCTCGTGCCCCCTTATCTGGCATGTCCATACTTTGGCATGCGTCCATGCCATGTGATAAACCCACTCGTCTTGCGTACAGTATTGGCTCAGCGGCGAATCGCAATCTCGAAATAAGCAAACGTAGGGCTGTAAATCTAGCAGCACATGGCGGCTATATCGAATGAGACGCCGAAATCCTGATCTGCGGTGTGTTGCTGACTTACTTCCAGTTTGTCTTGTCTGCGCTAAACATTTCTTCACCTAGCGGCTGGGTACAGTACGGACATGCGAATTCCGTAACTCCTGGTTCACATCTGCTTGTTAGTGCTACATCCAGACATTGCGGGCTGCTTGAGTCGACAGCTTTTCCCTTACCTTTCGATGCTAACGAAGGAGGATGTTCGGGCACACTTCTCGTGTGAATACCTCGTTGAGTCTCTAATGGAGATGTCGAGGCTAGAACCCTTGAATCGAATGCGTCCTTCACTCCATGTTGACATTTTTGGTGACGGCTGCCGTGATAAAGTAGCCTCTTCCTCCGGTTGAGTACTGCCAGAATTAACCGGTCCTTGAGAAATGGTGAAAATCGTAACCGAGCAAATTTCTTTTCCAATAACCTCTGGATATGTAAACGCAAGTCAGACAGCTCGTCATCCACTTCGGTGGAATTCCTTTCGAGCCATTTAGCCATGCTTTGATCTTCTGTGTGGATATTTGATCTTTCAGCCAGGGTTGTGATTTTGTAGAGATTTGTAATTGTCTCTTCGATAATTCTGATCCAGAGAGGTTGTGGTGGGGTATTACGGTCCTTCTCTTCTCCTCGTGAGCTCTCATCCTCACTCTCAGATGATGAGTCTGATGAAATAGTGTCGGCATCGTCCTTCCCTGGTACACTCCGCATGGAGGGGGAGCTGTCCCCAGTCGGAACTGACTCTAGCTTTTCTGAAAGTCGTTTCAAAAGCTTCAGAAGAACGTCTCCGATGACAGAATCACCATCAAGGCGATAATTCACGGATGAAAAACCCGCGCTCAAGGCCTCGACTTTTGCGGCCCAAGTCTTGAACCGAGAAAATTGGTTCATAAAGACGATCCGGTTTGCTTTTGAAAATTTGATTGTTTCATTGTCTGTTGCTTGTTGCTCTTTTGGGGCTGAAATGAGGCTCGAAAATGCCCTCATACAGTAGCGGGCTGCGTCATTCACGTCGGAGCCAGTTGCTATTCCTGAAAATAATTCGCGTTGCGCAGATTGACTACTCAACTGTGGAGCGGCTGGAGTGAAGTCGGGAAGTTCATTGACGGAGGAATTTGCAGATCCAGAACTCGTTTCGGCCTGTGCAGTCGATGGTAAGCTGATCGGTTCTGGACGGGATATGCGGAAGTCCGGATATCGCTCAAAGGAGTCACTTGCTGCGTCGCCCACTCTGCGGGATATATCCCATTCAGTGGCCATTTCGACTTCGGTAGGATGGCATTTAGGTGTGGAAAGGCCTAACCCGATATGAATACAGCGTGATTTGGACTGGGGAATACACAGTACATGTAAAGAGGATGAAACGTGAATCCTGATCGATAACCTCATGGAGAGGTGCGGGGTAATATGCAGAGTCTCAGGAGATGCATGATAGTGATCAACAATGTGATAGGAAGCCTGGAACTGGCGGTCAGCAACAATTGACGCGCACATGATCTCTCGCTTGGCTCTCCATTGGCCGCTTACTTCGCCTGCATGAGGCTGAAGCCAGAGTGGCGTTCTGCCCCTCTCGGAGCTGCGAAGATTGAGTTGTTTAAATCTACCCATCAATATTGTTTTGCTTGGCTTCATTCTTACACATTCAATTCTCCGTTTAAACATCGACTGGCACGAACCGAACTGTGTGACACTCAGAACACCCCTGTGCAGTCAACGGCGCTTATAGAGTGACGAAAGAAAACCTCCAAACTGCCGATTGTTTGCAGAATGGCATAACGACTCAGGGTTTAAAAGCGAGCTTAAAAGGATACTTTGGCTCTGATAGGCCAGCTTTCAAATGTCTACATATACTCATTAGTTATGGCTCACCTCACTTCCACCGTAGGGTAACCAGGGCATGTTTGTTGAAATAGGGCTTGGTCAAGCGAGCCCCACAGCTAGAACAACGAGGGCAGCAGGGAACGCACGCACTGTATTTAATAGGGATACCCTCTACTTAGCCCTCTGTAAATAAAACACCGATCCTTAGAGAGAGATTTTGACAATGTTGAATGCACTAAAGGAGTTGCGATAGAAATAGAATTGGACACAACGAAAAGCTCCTTTTTCGAAAGGTTCGCGTATTTAGGCATGAGAAAAGGCGGCAGAAATGCATCACGAAGCTCAAGAGATATACCAACATCATAAACAACCTTACAGAGTAGTCCGGATTGGATCTGGACTCCAGTGCAAATCACTCCGTCCAATATATTAGCCAAAAACACCATCTCTGCGTCTGCACAGAATACCATCAAGTCAAACTTTGTCTGAAAGCGGGATATAAAAGTGATGATTTAAGCCCGACACTCAGTATAGACTTCGTACTCTCCAAGAATCTTGGTCCACAACACGTCCGATGGCAAGAGCGAAATGCGTTTGTTATTTCACAATGGTAAGATTCCTCCGATCTTTGGCACAGACAATTCCTCAACTGTTTCAGCTTGAACAATATCGACGGCTGCACATCCCTTGGGAGACTTTGTCAAACGTTCAAAGTCGAGCGTGATGCTTACAAATGATAAGGACCGCGTTAAGCCATCACCTTTCACATCGGCCAAGGGAGCCATTGGAATCTATTCAATCTGAATTTCTTTTTTTTGCGCAGTCACACTGCCATATCTGATTCTTTTGCTTGATCCAGCCTACTCAATGCAACGGCTTAGACATCCCGGAGGTAAGAATCAGTTCTCAATAGAACTCCGCGATGTAATCTTCTCGAAGCTGGGCTCAAAAATAGTACATAGGTTCTGACTTTTAAAATGTAGGAAATCACTGGAGTATTTTATGGCCCGATTATGAATCAAATATTGGTAGAAGAAACACTCAGTTAATGAGCTATATATACTAGGAAGAAAAGAGTTGCTGGTAGCTTCCAGTAGATAGCACCAGAAAGATCGATCTACCTACTTCTACTTTGACATCAACTACCAGCTCAGTCATGCATTGAAACCCGCCAATTATGCAAGGAACTCCGAAACAACAGAGAGGTAGTTGTCATACGCAACGCCAGTAGAGGGCTCCATGCTGAACAGGTAGTCGGCCCACCAAGGTCCAGCAGCCCACCACAACCAACCAACCCAAACATCCGAGTTATCCTTGAGATACTGCAACTCTCCCTTGATGGCAGACTTGCAAATGTCGTTGTTCGCGCCCGCAGTCTCGCCGAGAACACCGAGCTTGCCGTTCTCCTTGAGCCAGGCGGTCGCAGCAGCAAGGCGGGTCGCGCCGATGGTGCTGTCAACACAGGTTTCGGACGTACCGGAGCCGTCCGAGTCGAGGTACTGGTGCATCTCGTAGATCAGCTTGTCCTCGGGATCGGTCAAGTCCTTGAGGGCGTCGCCGTTTCCGCTCGACACCCAAGTCCAAGCGCCGGTGTACGCGTTGCCCTCGACAAAGATGTATTGCGAAGTGGCGCCGGCGCCACGGATCGCAGTAATGGCGGCCTGGTTCAGCTCGGCCACCAGCGAGTTCTCCATATCGTGGTACTCGTTGTTGGTGTCGAAGACGACCAGCTTGTTGTCGGCAAACTTGGCGGCCACTGTGGCCCACCATGAACCAAAGGCAGCCGTGTCAGTAATGATGTTGGAGTAGTAACGACCATAGTTGTGGGGATCGAGAATGGCATAAGCTCCTTTGCCGGTGATGTGAGTAACCACAGCCTCGATTCCACTAAAGTAGTCGCTGTCCAGGGAACCGGTCATTTTGGTGGGAATCATACGCTCCATAAGGAACGGGACACGGAAGGAGTTCATGCCAGCGGCGAACAGAATCTACTTGGTCAGTATATCTTGGTATGCTGATGAGATGATGGAATACTCACATCGATGGCAGTGGTGTTGGGGAAAGTGTAGTCGGTGCCCTCAGTACCCGGAATGTTACCAGTTCCGAATTCAGCACCGGACTCACTGACACCAGTGAACAAAAAGCCGCTCGAAGCTGCATCAGTGGCTGCCGACGATGCCGCGGAGGAGGCGGCTGAAGAGGCGGCCGAAGATGCGACTGAGGAGACCACCGAGGGTGCCGCTGAGGTTTCAACCACAGCAGCCGCCGAAGAAGTCGCCGACGTCGCAACTGGTGCGACGGAGGATACGACAGAAGGGACAATTGAAGATTCCACCACAGCAGCTGTCGAAGACGCTGCCGAAGACGCGGCTGAAGAAACAACCGGTGCAATTGCAGATGCGGCAGCTGTCGTCGAGGGTGCAGCCGAAGTCACAACCGCAGTGTCAACCACAGACTTGCTTGGAGTTTCCACCGAAGTTTCGACTGCAGAGGCAATAACGGCCGAAGTAGTAGAATGACGGTGCTTGCAAACACCAGCGGCCGCGAGCGATGCGCCGGCGACGAGAAGGAATGTAGGCCGCATGATGACGAATAAATGAGTGTGAATGAACGAAAGAAGTGAAGGACTGAAACTCGACAAAGAACGGACTCGATCAACGAATCGAAAGGAATGGTTGCATCTCCAAACTGAACTGTTGGGCAGCTCGTCCACGATATATATGCTCCGGGCGAAACTTGCACCACCACTCCACGTGGATCCGCCCACACGGCGATCAACTGGGTCGATCAGCGTCAATCTGAAACTCGCGGGTAGACGGCATCGAGTCGAGACAAGGCCACAAGCAACTGACAGCGCAAGCGCCTCCTTAATTACCGGGGCAGCGGTGCACTAGAAAACGGCTGATTAAAGGTCGAAGCGAGCGGCACCAGACTTCCGCGTCAAACAATCATCCCACTGTTGGCAAAGAAATAGCGAATGTCTGCTGATTGGTGGAGTGGTTTCGCCGCGGAGTTGCGGCATTCGTTCGGCCATTTGGCTGAAGAGCTCCTGGATGTTTCTGTCTAGTCCGCCACTACGGAAATGAAAGGCCAATTAAGTCACCGTCGCGGAGAGTAACGTGCATTATTAGCTGGTGAAGCTCAGTTTATAATAAATGAACTCCCGCTACTGCTGCTTCCACCTAGTATACTTGCGGTAGATATCACGGCGGAACGTCTGCTTCAGCATTTCCACGCCCTCTACATCCACCGGCAGCGCCGCCTGAACAGCGCCAACTCCACACAAGTCATTCTTACGATCGATAAACCACGTAAACGTCAGGCCGCCGCCCCAAGTCAGCGTGCGCTCGCCGTACCAGCCGTCGACGTCCTGCAGCATCACCAGCCCGCCCAAGCCGTAGCCCGCCCTTGTGCCGGGGTCGATGCCCACGCGGAAGAAGGCGCCCATGGGGCTGAGCAGCGCGGCCTTGTGTCCGGCGGTGGCTTCGGCGGTGAGATGGTCCTGGAACATGTCGTCGACGGTGGACGGCTTGAGGAGCTTGCCGTCGTTGGCGAGCAGCGAGCGTAGAACTTTGGTGTAGTCGGCGCCGGTCATGAACAGGCCGTGGCCGCCAAAGTCGCCGAGTGTGCGTCTATTCATATCGCCGTTGCCGCCGAGTACAGCGCGGCCGACGCCGTCCGGGTCCTCGGGGTTGAGGTCGACGAGACGGGCGCGTAGATCTTCACGCGTAACCGGGTAGAACTGCGCGTCCGTGATGCCCAACGGCTCGCAGATGCGCTTCCGAATGTGCTCGCCCAGCGCACCACCCGTAACCCGCTCCACCATACGGCCGGCCCAGTCAAGCCCCGGGCCGTACATCCAGCTCGCGCCGGGCTGGAAGCCGAGCGGATAGCGGAAGGCCTCCTCAACGGGTCGACGCTTGCCCTCGGGCACCTGGTCGAACTTCTGGCGCCACTGGCCGATGAGCGGGTTGGCGAAGTCGTAGCTGACGCCGGAGCTGTGCGTGAGCAGCATCTCCAGCGTGATGGGGCGCGTCGCCCGGTTGAGCAGCGGCGTTTCCCCGTCTTCGGAGAAGCCCGTGATGACTTCCTTGGCTGCGAGCTCCGGCGCAATCGCGGACAGGTCGCCGGTGAGGCTCAACAGGCCGTCGTCGACGCATTGCAGGGCTGCGATGGTGGCGATCAGCTTGGTGGCCGATGCCAGGAATAGCACGTCATCAATCCGCTGCGGCTTCTTCTCGCCTGAGAGCAGCGTGCGTTCCCCGATGGCGTTGTTGTAGACGAAATTACCCTGGGCGTCGGTCGCGCAGATGACAGCGCCATTGATCCGGCCGGCGTCGATGGCTGCTTGGAAGCCAGTCTCGATGTCGTCAGTCATGGTAATGAGTAAGTGAATTATTCGAATACAGAGGAAAGCATTCCACAAGTATCAACAAAGACACACTCGCTCCCTAAGACTTCAGCTGTAGGGTTACACGCAGGGCAAGCGGGGTATCTGTAGATCGTCACCGCCAAACCGTTGCGGAAACAACGAATAATATTCAGGAGTTTACAGTCAAGAAACGGGCTTAGAATACGAACACGAGATGTACAAGAAACTATTCCATATCCACCCTCATGGTATTGCGTGGGTTTATCTCTCGCCTTTCCATTTTTAGGAGCGAGACTGCTATGTAATTGGACATATTACGCATGGAGTACAACCCACTGTGGACTCTCTGTGGGTGGTCATCCAACACTTCTGGCTAAGTGTGGCTGATGAAAGCTGCAGCCCGTATGTTAACCAGTTAAGAGGCCAAGTTGCTTATTGCAACGTGTCTGTAAACAACCTGACCATGTGCGCTAAAACACATCCCAGACACTGTCGGGTATTTTCGTTTCAACGGTGGGTAGATAAAATTGTTGAACTAGGAAAAACCGGCATACGTGAGCTCTCTAGTGGAGCGTTCCACTGTTGCCAATTTACAAAAATAGAGGCTTACCCTAGAGGTTTATATACAGCCACAGCCGTATGCTCTGCGTATGTCAGATACTGGATCTTCTAATACTAGCGAATCCCGAGCTTCAAACTTTTGTTAACAGAGAATCTATTTTTGCTGAAACAATTTGAAGGAAAACACTTAGAAACAGAGTCCATTCCTCACGTGACCTCCAAGGATATGGTTAGGCAGCCAACTGATGCGTTTCTGCAACCATGAACACAACATATCTTCTTTAAACAAAGCAGCGCTCAATCAAACTCCCAAAATATATCGGCCGCAGATATAACGATGCCAGCAAACGAGGACATAAGTGTCAGGCCGTCAACACCCGAGAAACGGCGTCGAGATGGAGACCCTCTGTTCAGCACGCCCACAAGCGGTACCGATATACAGCTGAAATTGATGCTCTTGCAACAGCGCCACAACAAAGAAGACGCCGCCGCGTCACAGGCCGGCACACCTGAGTGTAGTGCTGATATCGAAGGTGCCATTGAAGCCCTTAAAAAACAACACGATGAGCGCTTTGAAGATGTTTGTTTCATCTTGAGGAAGGTTGGCAAGAGGATGCACGCATACAAGGTGCAAAATGAGGAGTTAAAGCAAAAGAATGCCCGTCTTGAGGCTGAGAAGGTTGAAATCTATGAGGCTGAGCTGGCTGAGTTTCTTGAGGCTGCTGGGGAGGTGCCAGGGACTTCCTGTAGGCTAGACTAACGGCAAATAGGTTGTAAGGTAGCTAGATGATAACAGAGGTATAGAAAGTGTTTACTATATAGAGGCTGTCTGGACTTCGTCGCGCATACCAGAGACCACCAGCACCCCGAATAAGCCGGAGAAGCCCGCGGTGCAGAACAGTCAGGGCCGAAAGCGGAAAACGAGATCAACATCTCAACAGGAGGGACATGAGCCGAAAGCTTAGAAGAAGAGAGTTGATTGGTCTGATTGATTTCGGTGCCAGAAAGGAACAGGTGACTTTGAAGGATTGTGTAAATTTGCTACGGGGTCATGTATGAGGCTATTGACTGCAAAGGTGGATATGAGGACTATTGGCAGGCTGTAACAGGAACGGGCATGGGAAATTCGGGAGTGGGCGAGCTACAGTGAACCCCAGTGGTTTTAAACTGCAGTTTGTTCACTTAGACAGAGATGATACACGAGTCATTGATCGGTAAGCACGTGTCTTTGGTTACTTTGATCAGAGCAATAGTGTTTAAAGCGATGATGGTGATGTTGATCACTGCTTGGGTCTAGATGGATCGGGCAGGTCTGAGAGGACTTTTCTGACACCTGCTCTAACTAAGGTCATGATATCAACCTATCGGAGGTTACTTTGATTGAGCCTCGGCTGGATCCGCGGTCGATTGGAGCTACTCGCGTTTCCGCCTAACGTGGCTGATTGAAGCTGCAGCCCGTATGTGAGAGGCCAAGTGCTTACTTGTAGCGTATCTGTCGAGCCTCTGTACCATGGACGATAAAATATGTTCTGGACAGTGTCGGATGTTTTTGTTTCCACTGATGGTAGCGATAGAGTAGAGACTGCCGCAATAGGCAAGTATGGGAAACTGGAAGAGAGCACACTGGCTTCTGGGCCGCTTCAGCTGAATGAGAGCAGGGAACTGATATTGAAACTCCTCGAGCTGTACAAGGACGCCACAGTAACGATTATTATTGACGCCTTGGATGAATTTAGGAATCAGAAAGATCTTTTAGGTATCCTAGAGAACCTTCTGGAGGTATTTCCATGCCTGATAAAGATCTTTATCTCAAGCCGGGAAGACCAGGGCATTGTCTATAGATTCGGCACAGATCCAAATCTGCATCTTTCCTCGAAACTCAACTCAAGAGACATGAAACTTTTTATTCAATCAGAAACAGATCGGCTTATCAAGATTGGGTCTTTGTTATGATTCAGCACTGGGGAAGGGAAAGCAAAGCTCCGCGACTAAATATTACAGAGACTCACATCTGACGACCAGGGCATGCAAGTGATTTCCTACCACAAAACGATCATAGCTACAAAAGCTGACAGAGATAGGTTCCGCTGGGCTGACTTGCAACTCAAGGCACTTCAGGAGCTTCGCACAGAACAGGCAGTGATTGAGAGACTTGGACGACTTCCAAAGACCTTAAAACGGCTGTATCAAGAGATTCTAAACAGAATTGAGGATTGACCAGCCGATGCAAACAAGCAAATTGCTCGAAAAGCTCTTCTTTTTGGCTTCTTTGTGGCCAGGTGCAATTCGAATCAAGTGTGTTTTTGGTCGCCGGGACTGGAAAGACAGGATCAGCCAGTCTTTCGAAATACCAACTCTTGGACCTATGCGGCAACCTGGTCATCTATGACCAGGTTTTTGATACCTTTCGATTCTCGCACCTATCCGTTCAAGAGTTTCTTGAAGGTCAAGAGATGTTTAAACCCGAGACTGTACACGCCACTCTAACGGAAGACTGTTTATTTAATATCGACAAGATAGGACGAGAGACGATAACCGAAGCAGAAACACGACTTCTCGACTACTCATGCTGCCTTTGGGCAGTACATTCCCGGGAACCTCTTCATCACAGACAACTGCGGCTGAAGAAACTTTGCAAATTATTTCCCCGAGAGCAGGATTGGTTGTCGAGCTTCGGCCGTTGGCACAGACGTATCGAGGACTTATTGTCGGACTGGGCGAATGAATTGCATCCCAAGGCGCATGATTGCTTGAAAACTGCCATATCTTTCACCCCTTCTGCTCTTTCAATCATTTGTGCCTTTGATCTGACCGGCATCCTTGACCGTGAGCAATGGATACAACAGGTCAAAAGATGCCCTACGACGAAGTCGGACCTAACATATTCTGAGGTTCTAGCTGCTTGCAACAGCACTGATCTTGTCCAGTGGCAATTGGATGACAAGATTCCGTTTGATAAGCTGGAATATGTCATCAGTATTGCAGCTGAGAGCCGGCGCAACGGCGACAAGGCGGTGAAGTCCTTTCTTGACAACGTCGGGGCTGAGGTCTAAATCACCGAAGAAGTTTCTATTACTGCAATTGAGAATGTTTACCAAGGCAAGAAGATACTGGAATTTCTTTTAGACGAGTGTGAGGTTGAAATCCAGATCACTGAAAAGGTCATCAAAGCTGCAATGCAATTCAGGAACTTCTGCGCAACAAGGAGAAAATGTTGCTTCTTTTTGACAAGCGCGGGGCCGAGATCCAATTACTGAAGAGATGAAGAAGGCTGCAATTAAAGATACTCGGGCGGCAAGGCCAAAGTAGCCATTCTCGTCAACGATCGTGTGGCTAAGGTCCAGATAACCGAAGAGGTCTTGAAGGGTGCGATTGAAAATACTCATCAAGGCAAGGAGATATTAGCGATTCTTTTCAACAAGTGCGGAGGTGAAATCCAGATTACCGAGGAGCTTATAAGGGCTGCAGTTAAAAACAATTATCAAGGCAGGCAGATGATAGTGTTTCTTCTCGACAGGTGCGAGTCCAGGATGCTTATTACCGAACAGATCATAAAGGACGCAGCTGCGAAGGTTCTGTCAAGAAAAGCAGAGTTCGATAAGTATGGTAGTCATATTGGTTTTGCTGGTGCATTTCAAGCTCAACTTGAGGATAGCAAGGAGCTGCTGGAGCTTCTTCTCGATCGGCGTGCAGCCGAGATGCGAACGACGGAAGGCGTCATCAGGACTGCGGCTTGTGATATTCAACAAGGGTTGTCTCTGAGGAGAGACAGAACCAGATTGTGGCATGACGTCTGAATTTCCCGCAGATCATAATCAAAACAACGTCGGGAGCCTGCTCTAGCTAGACGCGATGTTTAGGGGAGAGGCCTGTCACTATCTCTTATCGCGGCGTTTTTGGGACTCATATATGATATTCTTCTTGCTCAGCATTGAGACACTACGAACCAAGATATTGACGATTTGGAGACAATAAAGCCTGGTAAAATGATTCAGCTTATTCAGGTGTGCTAAACTCTGGTTGAGGCTTCGTGGGGTGGGCTTCAGTCGTTAGGTATCGTCTGTTAGCTCTATACTATGTTTCATTACTCTATACCGTGGGTTAGGAGTGAAAATATTGCCGTAACGGAGATCGTAAACCGAAATAAGACGTGTCGTAATTGTCATCCAGATTACGTCCTTTTGAACGGAGATGCACCTGCTAACTCCAGGAGTGCACAAGCCATCACTGGATGCTGGCGTCTCAGGACTTTGATTCTTACCTTCGTGAGCCACCAAATGAAATCGACTCATGTAAGGAATAGGCGAAGCTGACGGGAAGGAGATATGTGGCGGGAAATAATAGTTTGCATAATTCACTTCGTGTTCAAGCTCCCCTTCTTCGTAATTGAGGTCCAGACGTGGTTTATGCAAGATAAAGATAGAGAGTGACATCACTGCAACGTAGAATAGACTGTCTACGAGAGATTTATATGATATAGAGGCGTGCAATATTTGTAGACCGTCGAGAACGCGATGAAATAGGGCTGCGTCAAATTTTGGCTTGTGGAGAATGTGCCGCGTGACCCCCTGGGACGACGTATTTATCCTCCAATCTTCTTCTAACGTCAATTTGCATGGGGAAATGTGGAATCTGGGGCACGACCAGTCAGGAACAAATGCCAGGCCTACGTCAAGACACTAGCAGACGTCTTGCGATACGGTGACACATTCAATTCGATCAATCTGGAAAAGGCATCGAATTCCGCGGGATACAAGGATCAAGCTCGTCTCGAGGGCAGAGAGCGGTAAGCTGCTTCGGGGAAGTAACTCGGAATGACCGGTCTTCCGTTGACGCCTTGTCAACTTCAAACTCGCTAACTAGCGGGGGCGATGGGGAGAAAACTCTATTGCGAAGCTCGTCCTTAATTGGTATTGCCCCTGTCTCCTGAAACTTGGACGCGTAATTGCTCCAAGCCCCTTAGTCTGTGGCTATTCAAGCATCGCTCAATGAAGCGGCTGTATGTGTTCAGTAATTGACTTGTGCCGGAAGACCAGGAATTGCCTACTCGCTAGCCCTAGACCGACAAGCACTCGAATTGATCTATCGTTTACAGACATTTTGTACTGGTCAAGACCCTGGAAGTCATCCACCCTCTCCTAATGAATGTAGATACCCTGTCAAAAACACGAGGCCATCTGCCAGCCCTACTAGCCTCTAAACCCTGCAAGGTTACATCAGTGTAGGCGTTTCCGAGATCATAAAAGTAATTAGTGCGTCTTCTTTCGAACTCTGTCCCTTAGGGAGAACTGGCCATTGTCACCCACAGTATTGACATGACAATGGTCACGCGATGAGAGTAGATGTCGACCAAGCGGTTGCGTCCGTGACGTTGGCGGGGAGTCTTCTTTCCTGCCTGGCGACGACTTGTGTTCTCATCTCATTTTCGATATATCGTCGCCAATTGCGCAGCTTCCGCCATATCCTCGTCCTGAACCTCACAGTGGCTGGTACGTAAGCTCTTCGTTTGTTCTCAGTTGTCGCTTGCTGATGATGCATCAGAATTCATCAATGCGCTCAATAACTCCGTCTCGGGTGCTATTTTCATCAGGGTCGGCGAGCTGCAGCCAGGCGCCGCATGTGTAGTCAATGGGCTGGTCGGGCAGCTTTCCGTGCAGGCCGCCGACTTTTCGATTCTCGCCATTGCTGTTGTTACCCTTCTCACGGTGACGCGAATGATGTACGTACCGGATCTGTCAACTAGCAGAAAATTTATGATCTGCCTGGCCATCTGGATTGTTCCCGTCATAACGAGCATCGTGGCTACTGCTATGGGGCAGATGGTGCCAGTGGGTGGAAATTGGTGCTGGATCTCTGCTGATCGCTCGGATCTTCGCTATGCCCTGACTCATGGTTGGCGCTTCTTGGTCATCTTCTCGACAATCGCCATCTATATCTACATATGGATTTACTTACGGCGTCATTTATGGTCGAAGCGTGGCCATCACCATTCCTCAAGCTACGGTTTGCCCACGACAAAATCCACCTACTGTGCTGTGGAGGGTGATGAATCCGAACTCAGGGAGTTGGAGCCGACATTTCCGAAAGATGGACCATCCCAGCTGTCAGGGAGCACATTTACAGCAAGTAATCGTTCAGATGATATGGATCGGGATGTGCCAGCCGCCTATGACAAGGACGAGGGTGACAGCTCCAACGTGGAAACAAGAGTACAAAGCCACGTACTACGCGACAGGGCCGGTTCAAAGTCACAGCATCACTCTCCGTTTGCTTCTAAAGACTTCCAACACACGACAAAAACTGCTCATGGTGTCCCCACCAATGGGCCAACATCATATAACCACGAGAGAAACATGCTGCAAACCAACGCCAGCGAGTTTCCGATGCGTCGAGAAGCGAGCGAAGTGGGCCGCGAGATAAAACGAATGATGCTTCTCAATGCATACCCTCTCATGTACGTCTTGTTGTGGATCCCGGGGCTTGTCAACAGGCTCATGGAAGCATCCGGCCACCGGCCGTCACACACGACCAATTCTGCTCTACAAGTGTCAACTCAGTTTGTAGGAGTCGCAAACGCCTTGACGTATGGGTTCAACAACCACTTGAGGGATAGACTGAAAGGGATGTACTTGACTCCCGCGGTTTCCAAGATAAGGAGGACATTTACGAGGTGACGGAAGATAATAGCATGTTAATACGAGTTTAGTAGAAGACATCAGCCGACTGATGTTTAATGAGATCCAAATTTAGAGTCATATTGCCTATTCTATCCATTTATTCTGTCGAAGCCACTTTTCACACATCAATGGCCAGTCTGAAACAGGTTGGTCTGGCGTGTCGAGGGCAAAGCCATGCGGGGCATCTGCGAAGACGTGAAGCTCAACAGGACCTCCAGCCTTGGTTATTCCCTCGGCAAGACGGTAAGCGTTGACAACAGGGACGACCGGATCGTTGTTGGAATACACGATGAATGTCGGAGGCGCTGGAGAGTTGAGTTGGACATCGGGTTGTACCGCGTCGTACAGAGCCTGCTTCTCCACAGGCGGGAGGGGTGGTTTATTCTGAATGATAGTACGGCCCACAGCGTTTGTCGAGATTGGGCCGTATCCCAAAATGGCGAACTGTGTTGTAGGCAACTCTGCATCAGGAGAAGTCCATGACTGGGGATATTTGGCAAGAAGCGCAGCGCCGAGATGGCCACCAGATGAAAGGCCACAAATACCCAATCCCTTCGGAGCAAGGTCGCTTTCTGCCATCAGCTTGAATGCGCGTCTAGCGTCATCCACAGGCGCTGAGGGACTGCTCTGGGCATTTGGAAAGCGGTGGACAAGAACAAAGGCGTAGAATCCAAGGCTGGTCAGCCACTTTGCAACGGCGATGCCTTCACGGCCAACACAGAGCTCCACGTAGCCTCCACCAGCGAGAATGAGCATGCCTCGTCCGTTGGGTTGAGCTGGACGAAAGCCAAACAGAAACGGGCGCTCAACTTTCGTAACGATGGCATTGTCCAGTTTGCCACCCGGCGTGCTCAATTCAAAGGCTCCATCGAGTGGACCTTCTTCCCACAGGGGCCAATGCTGGTCGGCTCCAAGCATGATGAGTATAAAATGAAAAGAATAATTTTTAAATATTAAATGTCACCAAGTTCAACGTGTCAAGAGCAAGTGTACATCAAAGAGCGGAGGTGCGGGTTTTAGCGGTGGATCTCGCGACAACATCACCCCGAAAACCCGACTATTGGTGGTTGACTAAGCGGGGCAGAAACATCGTGAGAGGCGATAGTAATTCCAGATCATATCTGCTTTTAATGCTCCTCTTATATAATTACCTCACTGTGCATTTTTCTTGAGTAAATCCAAGTTTCTTGTTACCAACGATACCAACTGCGCGGCTGCCTGCGGCATTGAGAGGAAACTCACGCCATTGCCCGAGAAACCTTTTAGCTTGCGCTGGTCAAATGCATGAGCTCCCTGTGGGATAGCGTTCATCTTTTGGCACTAAAATTACTCCAATAGAGTCATGATAGATTGGGGGATGTGAGAGCATAGCTTGCATATCGAGTTTGTTACCATGATGGCTCCTGGTTGGAAGCTCAGCAAGCGGCGTGAGTATCTGGCCAGAATCTGGCTATAATGAGGTAGGTTCTTGACACCCCAGTCCAGGCGTTCTTGAGACGGTGCCCAGACCTCTGAGACGGGCTGTTGAAGGAATCCAAGTCTTGAAGACAAAAAAGCAGGGTATCATTCTGTTGTAATTTAGGTTCATCAATGACCTCATTCTCGATGCCCCGGGTATCCATATCCCTGCTTTGCCCCTGATGAAGCTTGAGCCCTCCGGAGCCCCCGGGACTCTGGAGCGTACTGGGTCTCCGAAACCCCGTCCGTTTCATTTTTTGAAGAGAAATATTTAGAACACGATTAGCTTGAAATCAAGCCCTTTTATTCGAATGGCTTTCATCTGCTCATCTGCTAAGGCTGCACCACGATCCCGTCACCGAGGACGCTGGACGACATGAATGATGAGGTATTCGAATTTTATCAGGAATGACAGAAAAGGTCAAATACAGCGGGTGCGGCCCGGATATTATAGTTACCACACGCGACAACTGAGGTAATTATCATTACCAAGCTCGCTTCCTCCCACACAAATGTTACTTAAAAAGGCATAAAAAGCCGCGTTCTCCGGATTCCTGCCGTCCCGGCGATCAACATCTTGGCAGTGCTTATCTCTTAAGCTTAAGCGTCAGAATTTGATCCACGGAGAAAGGAGATTGTGCGTGGGATCTCGGCATCAAACCTGTGATCGAGGGCTATCCCGACCTGCACCGAAACAAAAGGCAAGGAGCGACATCGGTGATCCATTCCAAGACCGCTTCCAAGGCAGTGGATCTACCTCTAAGCTTGAGCCGCATAAGCATACTTGTCTGTCTAAAGAGTGGACATGGAATTTTGGGCCATCGCACACACGATTCGCTGATAGCATCACAAGTGCCGCACTAAGTCGAAAGATATGCAAGCGCGGCTCACACTCGGCATTGATAGTCGATAAGAATTGTTATCATGATCGTGTAGTGCATCCCCGCGGGTGAGAGCTCCAGTTTGGCTGTGAAAAACTAGATCTACTAGTCATGTGGACCCCTTGCGGAGTTTTCTCGACATCTTCGGCATGTTGGAAACAATTCGGAGTCTACTCCGTATGAGGCGGCAAGACTCTCCGTGATCACCGAGAGTTCGGCACTACACTTGCTCGTGAAATGAATAAAGATGCCTTGTCAGGTCTTTATATACAATGCCACGACACAATGAGCAGCCAGCTATCAAGTCCCCACTCATCACACATCATGGCCAACCCTACCATCGATGTTGCGAATTTCGCGGCCTACACACCGGCAGAAACCGCCGAGCTTATCTGCCGCGATGGCGTCAAAAAAGGACACTTGCGTCCCGATAAGGTGTTTTTGTCTGCTGTGTCTGCTGGCTGCATCCTCAGCTTCGGGTGCGCCGTGTCATTGACAGCTTTGACGGCACCCTGGTATCAGGAGAATGCACCTGGTCTTATCAAGCTTGTTGGCGCTTGGGTCTTCCCTCTGGGTTTGGTGATAATTGTATTGACGGGGGCGGACTTGTTTACGTCAACAAATATGGTGGGTTCTTTGCATTAGATCTGCCCCTGTTAGAACGGTTTCTAATATATCTTCAGTTCACCATGGTGGCTGTTCTCAATGGAAAGCTATCCGTGTGGAGAATGCTACTGCACTGGTTTCTTTGCTTCTTTGGGAATCTCCTGGGATGTCTTTTTATTATGGCTATAATTATAGGATGTAAGTTTCAGGATTTACAAAGATTATATTGCGAGCCGCGCTAATAGATTGACCGCAGATGGAGGCACCTTTGACTCTGATCCATATAGAGAGGAGGTCATCGCGTTCGCTACAAAAAAGCAGCTGGTGCCTGCGATGCATCAAATTTTCATCCGCGCTATTGGATGCAACTGGCTCGTTTGCCTGGCGTGTTTTCTGGGCACACAAGCCAGAGATCTGGGCTCCAAAGTGATCGGCATGTGGCTGCCCATCTTTGCCTTTGTGGCATTAGGATTCGACCACGTTGTGGCCAACATGTTTTTTATACCTTTAGGAATCTGGTTAGGTACTCCCGACTTGACCTTTGGGCTATATATCTGGAAAGGTTGGTTGTTCCATAACCCTTCTTAGAGGATGCCACTAACAATCTACAAGGTATGATTCCTGCACTATTCGGAAACATTCTCGGAGGCAGCCTGTTCTGTGGTGTATACTACTGGTGGATGTACCTGGCCACGGAGCCCCACGTGGATGTTGATGAAGGTGAATACAAGGGGCGTGCTGCAGGACTAGGGTTAGGCATTTTCGGTAGTCGAGATAAGGCTACCGCCTCGGATGAAGAGAGTAAGATAGAATCATCATAAACCGAGATGGGTAAAAATACAATAAGGGCATGATAAGGATAGACGAAGATAGAATAGAGACAGAACAACGATAGATGTCGCATAGTCAGCGGGACTGATTCAATAAAATCCTCCATAATGAGACACCTTAATTTACCATCTCAATATACAATGATTTCCTTGTGCTAGCTGGAACCTGTCTTCCTTGTTTCACATTGAGAGGTAGCCATTTGGGGAGCCTGCAGTCCATCCTTGGACCCGGTTGTGGCCCTTGGCCCTGATGCTGCAAGTCCGTGAGTAAAGAGTAATGTGGGGAAAACTGAAGGTATGTGCTATAATGAGCTTGAAGTTGTCCCCGAACGGAAAAATGCATCCTATGTACGCGACTGGGCTGGGTTTGTCTCTTGTATGTGGTAGGCGCAGCTATTGAATGCCCAACTAATTCATAACCACCGATGTTAAGTTCACACCAACCATACCTCGTTTATACGGTAAATCGTACATCGTTGGATCTGGCAATTGCCTTTATCGTGTTACATCCTTGAGGTTATATCTAAACTTACACCCAAGAATCTACTCAACATTAGGCGACATGGACAAAGGTACATCTTGATCGCCTTGCCCGGCAGAGTCAACTGTGCACACAATTGTTCTGAGCTCCGGCAGAAAGTCACAACACCATTCATGGACTGACGGCATTAGATGATTGTTATGTGTTCAAAAAGGGAATGTATTCAGTGGCGAGGCTTCGACGAGGAGCCACCAGCGATCGGATTACCCTAGACGACGAGGGAAAGAAGGGGAGACAAATAAATAAATAGATGGGATCCCATTCGAGCTTAGGCTAGTATTAATTCCCAAATGAAAGAAGGGGAGAAATACAACATGGACTTTACTTGAATTTGCCAATCTGAACTACCGGTCCGAAACCCAAGCCCTTTTCATGATTCTCCGAGGCTGGCCATTTTCGCACACGTACCCGCAACACCCACTGCCCCGGACGAGTACATGCACTCACGATTGTAGTTCATTTACGGAACATTGTCTGAATTATTATTTTATTCTATTATGAATATAAACGTTTTCTCACGCTTTGTATTTAACATCAACTCTCATCCAACGTCGTGTTGACTTGCCCTTCATGCGTCCACACCAAGGGCGTATCTGCATCGAACTTCCACGCATGGAGCTCCCCGTTCACGATGCTGTAAATTCCGCGGTCGGCGTGCCCTGCGATGGCAGTGAAGTTTCGGGTGGTTGACATCCTCTTTGGCAGATTCTTCAGCGTTGGTTGAGAGGCAGAGGACCACGTTGAGTCATCCCACCACCGAGCACTTAAGCCGCCGTCCTCTTCAACATCCACCACGAGCACGTTTATGAGATTGAAGCAAACAGCGGCGAAATTGGTGGTAGCTGCCGAGGGGATTTCGTCACGCTTCTTGCCTATTCCCCGTTAGTATAATATCCGTAATGGGAAGGAATGAATCACATACCGAATTCGAAGTCTTGAATACCAGGCTCTTTTATGGCCTCTGTTAAGATATTGGAGTTGTCGTAGTAAAACCTCCACTGAATATCGGAAATGTTGCCCCCCTTCGAGACGCTGGTGATGGCAAGACCACTCGAGTCTGTGGCCGTTGTCAAATTCAATTTGTTCCTCCATGCGGTGCTGGTTGAGTAGACGAGCGTTTGATCTTCGTCTTGCCACATCAGCATGGTTGGGGGCCAGCTCGAATTGCCGCCGTTCGGACGCCAGGCGGCAAGATTTGATCCTTCGGCCGTGTTGATGGTTATTCGCGACCCGAGATCGTTCATGTGCCACAGAGAGTCGGGAGCAGGGAAATTCGTGTACAGCTCGGCGATTTTGTTGCCGGTCAGCAGGACGTACACGCGGATGTTCCAATGGTTGTTTTCATCTTCCCAAGAGTTTGCGGTAATAGGCGTTCCTTCAATGATGTCGAGGTCAATACCAGTCGATTTCAGACTTGCAGAAATGCTTCTCGAAGCCCAGGTTCTATTCTGACTGTCCCAGAAGGAAGCAATGAGATGGTTGGAGCTGTTTTGGTGGAAAACGTAGTAGTGCTGGCGGCCGCCGTAGTCAGTCCAGTTGGCGCTTGCGACCTTGGAGTCTTGCAAGATTGAACCCGAGGAGGAATCCCCCGTAGCTGACGGTACGCTACCGGTGGTCGTCGCCGTCGAATCCGAGGTCGTGGTAGAGGAGGAGGACTTTTTCGAAAGCGTGCCGCCAACAGCGCCTCCGACGATGGCACCGATGACGAGGACGGCGGCGATTGCAGCGAGGATGAAGAAGAGCGTCCGCTTCAGGCCGCATATCCTTCGGTCGCCTTTGGACGTTTCTACGTAAGAATCGTCGGGTTTCGGCGCATACGACGCGTTGATGGCCTCTGGAGCGTGCTTGTGAGACGCCTCGACGGGGGCGACTTGCGGAAGAGTCGAATGCGTCTCGGCATAGACGGACTGCGTGTTGGACTCTGTGTAGACCTCGGGCAGATCGGTGTATCAGCTCGTATCTGGCGTGTCTACCCTCGGTGTGTCTGCTCTCGACGAGCCCGCGGGAGTTTGCGAGCGAGCGGGATCCATCGTAGCTCAATCACACAGCAGACGGACGTTTGCATCGGACGAACAAAAGTGCGTGGAACGCGGAACGACGCCTGGGGACGATCGAGCAAGCCATGGCTTAAAACAAGATCGGCGCTTAAGGCTGAGGGGGCGCAGGACGCACAGTCATACGACGTAGCAGCGCCGTACAGGGTTCATCTTGGAAGGATTCCGTCGTCAGGCAGAATCACACGCTACAAGGGCCAAGCTGAGCGTGCCTTGCCCCATTCTTAGGAGCCGGAGCGTTTCGTATTTACGCGGACCAACAACTCGGCCACAGGAGCAGGGGTTGGGTCTAATCGTAGGCCGAAGGATTGCATATTGTGTTGGTTGACGTCGACTTTTGGAAAACAGGCGAGATTAGGAGGCGTCCACATGTTGTTTCTCCATTCGCACAGGTAGCCGGAAAAGAAGACGAAAAGTCTCCGCACAAATCAGCGCGTGATTTCCAGGGAGATCGTCACTGAGTCTGGCGTCTAGGATCCTGCGATAAGAACAATATGCCCTCATTTAATGTGGTGGAAGGGATGGCCGCCCTGTATTCAATTGGCGGCGAATGAAGAGCAAAGTTGCTGTACTGGAATCAAACACCAAGGCAACGGCAATCATGAAACGAAATCTTTTTAAAACGCACTACTTCCCGACTATCCTATGCTAGCTCATCTTTGCCTTGCAGACCCCGCTACTCGACTTGCTTCTCATGTCTTCGTTGGTCAGCACTGATCAAATAGACGCCCTCACGCGTCTGGATGAGAGGATCCTTGGATGACTTGATGCCCTTGACGCCGCCCTTCTCCGGAATCGGACTGAACGCAATCTGTTGCTGTTCGGCGGCGTTGTTAGCTGCGACCTTGTTGATCACCAACTTTCCAACTGGAACGAATGTCGTGCTCTTGTACGGGACGGTGGCATCCTCGAGGTTGTCATCGGGGCCCGCAATGTGCGCTTTGATGGTGAAGACAATCGGCTTGCCCGGGAACCGCTTCTGGAGGTCATCCTCCAGGTAGCTCGACCCAAGGTTCTTGAACGCCTCGTCGTCTTTGGAATAGAGGTGGACGCCGTCTGCCGGCTCGAGACGGTACCGAACATTGGTGACTTTGCCATCTTTGTTGGTCAGGATGTGAGTGTTGGGCTCGTAGTACGTGATGGTGCCATAGTTGTAGGGGTTCGGCTTCTCGGAGGCCACGAACCGTTTGGCGGGTTCGTGCGCATTGAGAAAGACCTGAAATGCAGCACTGACTTGCTGCAAGATAGCCAGTTCCTTGGAGGCGTCGCCACCTCCGGCCTTGGCCTTTTCGTACAGGGCCTTGGCAACTTCGACGGCTCGAAACACCTTGAGGAAGCCCAAGAAGTCTGCTCCGTTCTGAGCCGCAAACCCGTTGAAGGTGTGGCTGACGAGATCTGTGTGCGTGTGCTTGTCGATCTGGAAGCGAATGGCGAGGCCCTTGGGAGTGGCGCCATCTGCAGTGTCAGCGACGTGCGGGATGCCGCCGCCAACGGAGAAGCGGGCTGTCACTGGAGTCGAGCAGTTGTTGAAGTGAGCGGCTGTGGAAAGGGTCTTGGCTTGCTCCGTTGGCGTGAATGTTCCCTGGACCAGAAGGCCTTTGGCGTGGGCTATGCCAATAATGAGCTCAGCATTTAAATCGAAGGGTTTGACACTTACTGGTGCGATAGCCGGGATGCTTGCCAAACAGCCGCTGCATCTCATCCACCAACTCCTTTGGAAGTGAGCCATCAGGCTGCGCTCCTCCATTTGCAGCACCAGCGGGGGTAGGGGTTCCAGTAGCCATTGCGATAAGGGTGGTGAAGATCTGGCTTTGGCGAAAATTGTGCCGAAATCTTCGTGCTTGAGCTTGAATAAGTATGCGCAGGATAAGCGGCGACTTTTTCAAGTCGAGCTCACCTCTAGTAAGCGGAGCTGAGGCAACAGCATGCGAGCACAAGATTCCGTTTGCTTCCATCCAGCCAGCCTCGTCTCGACTACGTATGAGCCGAAGTGGCACAGGAATGACGCCTGTCAGCATCAGCCACCACATCCCAATCACAAGATTAAGCAGGGCGCGTGATAGCACGGCATGAGACAGAAGTTAGCTGTCAGGTATGTACCCCTGGTTGAAAAACAGAAGTAACAGATTGTATGCCGAGAATCTCATTGGCTCTGTACGAGTGATACGAGTACCTCAGCTGACCACCATTCTATGTGGCTGTTTGTCTTGGCGATAGGAATGGCTATGATGTTCTCGGTCAATCGGTCGTGCTGACGGTTGTTTGGAAAGCTGAACAGATCCAAGTCTCACATACCCTGGTGCAAGCTTCACCGGTCCATTTGTGATAGCTGATAACGATGTGCTTTGGCTTCGTATCAGGCTCATGACAGGTACAGAGTACCACTAATTGACGTGCATGGGTTGCACACGAGCCTGTGCCTGCAGCGAACAAGGGGGACGGAATACAAAACCGGTGAGAATAGTTACAGCATGTGGAAACAACGTACAAGCATTGCAGACCATACAGGCTGTCGTGATTGGAGAGGGCTAGACAGCCTGCAGCTAGAAACACTTGTGGAGCAATAGCTGTAGCTTGCGAGTCTGAGTTCGCGCGGAGAGCTCAAGTGGGACCGAAACATCTCCATAGCGCAAGGTGGAACATCAATGGAGATACTCCCGGCGGTGTGATGACGATATGGTGGCTGGTGTGAAAAGAAGATGGAGAGAAGGCGATGAAGAAGAGGATGGACAGATTTGGAATCTGATCCAAGCGCGACTGCGTCTGGAATGTTCAAGTGAAGATGAGACTGTTAAGATCAGCTTTCATGAGGTACGCCCTGGTCTGGCCACGTCCATGTGGGTTTTCCCGTAATACCTTTCACCAAGGATGACTAAATGTGATCTCTGATTCGCTCACCAGTATTTGTCTCATTTATTCTCCGCACGTTGGCATGTTGCGGACGCCCGTCTGCATGTCTCAGACACAAGTTTAGTAGCACTCAACTGAAACTTGCGCTACATTCTCGGCAAATAGTTCAGCCCTTTTGTGGCACGCTGTGACCATACTGTGACCATCACTCTTGATATCTATTCCGCAAAAAGCCTGAGTTCAGATGATACAAGAGCAACAAATTCGTCCCCGCCAGGCCACTAGCGCTCTACACTGCGTTGCGCCAAGACCTCAAGGCGTTACAGACATACACAGAGAAGGAGTCCACCGTGGCACTTCCAATCGGCACCCACTGTGCGAAGTGGAATGATTGGTTGCTTGCTGTACAGTTACCTGAACTGCTCATCTACAAGGTTGAGTCACGATGCGGCTTTGTCCGTACGTCAAGTAGCTGCACAACGTCAGTAGGGATCGGATGGGCGAGTAAAGTGTGAATCTCACTCCGAAGCCATAGCAAAGGCTGCCGCCCTCTTTTTTAGGCGCTCGAGGGATTTCAAGCTGGCCTTTGAATATGTCTCGGTGACTAAGACTGAGGGAGCAATCGAGCACAGCACAAGGTTCTGCAACCGGAGTTGAAGGGTATCTCAACTTTGATCTAAGAGGCTGGTAGCCGCATTTGGATGGGCATTTGGTGCATTACGGCTCCTGGTGTGGATTTGCGCTGAGGATATGTTGAGTTATCTGATGGGACAGGGTTTTGAAGTGTGAGGCATCATATCTAGGATAGTGGAGGTGAATGAGAGGGCTCAACATAATGTGCATCTTTGGAATTGAACGTCACTCATTAATAAAGATTTGTCAGTACGTTGGTGCTCTCATAATGCAGACTGGGAAATGAGTGAGATATTCGCCGTACGGGGACAGGAGAGTGATGTTCACCAAGGTAAATCCAATGAACGCCGGAAGACTCCAACTTCGCATTACAATATCCAATGATATTGTACCTAACCAGAACTATATCCTACGAGTGACAGGTTCGCAGAGCCTGCCCCGTAGTATTTGGGAGTCACCAACACTGAGCTTGGATTGCAGTTACCCATTTGTCGAGAATTGCCTGCACTTCTTCTTTTCCGTAACGCTCGTTGTTGAAGGTGATGCAAAGAGTGAGCTCATCATTCCAAGAATGCGAGCGACAAGACCTATTGTAGCAGTTTCAGTCAGCCAAATTGAACAAGTCCACGCCCTATCCCCGCCAAGTTTTCACACTGAACTCCAAGGTCTTACAATTTGGGTGTTCTCTCTTCGGTGACAAGTTGGTAGCGATCAAGCACGAGTTTCGTTTGTCCATCGCCCTCCATATCATAGACGCCATCGAACTGCTTGCTTCCAGGCGGGTCGGAAACGTAGTTCACATACAGTCTCATGTTGGATGATGTCCTGTTTATATCGGCTCTAGTGAGAATAATAGCGTAAGTAATAGTCACCAGGCTGAGCCGGACACTTACAATACATGCTGAATGATGATCCCCGTAGCTGGCCTTCGCAGTTTATTGGCAGCTGCAGCATCCTGACGCTGCGCGACGCTAGTCCATGCTCCCTGAATGTGTCGAGCAACGGCCCAGAAGCGATCGTTAGCAGATGCTTCGGTTCCCTCTTGGGAGAGAAAGGTAGTTGGTAACTTATGTCCATCAACTCGGTACCCACAGCCGCGCCCACAAATTTGTTGCGCTGTCCCCACGGCTCTTTCATATTACGTGTTCGGAGGTCAAACGCGGAGAGAATTTTACACGTCTCTTCTTCGGTAGGTTTTGCCTCATCGTAGAATGTAAGGGCTATCGCGGCTTGGACAACGGCTGTCAACTTAACGTCGTTTGCTCTAGCGGATTTGAGTAGACGATCGAGAAAGCCTGCATCCTTGATTGTATGAGTGACCATGGCCGTCACTGGTCTTGGGCTTTGGGCCACGGGCTTCGCGAAAAGAGGTAGAGGAAACTGACGGTATTAGCCCATACTTCAGTTCTTGAAATTTCACCACCGGAATCAGTATACTACCTACCTCATTTTGCATCGCTATCAATGAATTGGTGGCCTCATCCGAGATGACAGCCACATCTAGGGCTGTTGGGCCGAGCCTCTCAACTTCTTCGCCCCAGGAATGAGATGTCGTAGGACTCAGTTTCGTCAATCCAACCAACACTTCATTCATTATCGACCTTATCCCAGCACCGTCTACCAGACCGTGGTGCACGTGCAGAAGCAGATCGAATTGGTTGATCCGGGACTTGCTAGACTGCAGTGGCCTTACAAGCAGGTAAAGGAACGCGCAATCCCCGTCCTTAGAGGGTAGGACGACCTCGCGACTTAATTTTGCGAGCAGTTCCCTCCAGCCGCTAGAAGACTCAACAGTTTGGACAGTACGAGCGGCCCATTTCTTGACATTGGCAGCTTCTTCAACTTTGTAAACCATATGCTTGGCATCCTTGATCTGACAAGCCACCGTAGGATGAAGCCATCGTGTATAGATGAACGCCCGCGCAATCCGTGACTGAAGATCTTCCGCGCTGAAACTAGCGGACGATTTTTCCGAATCCTGAAGCGAGACGGTGACTCCGAGATATGGGCAGCTATGGACGAATGCATAGTCATTGAGGATTGACAACATGAACTCTTGAGTGGCCAATGTGCGATAGTATGACCTAGGCGATGCTGTGGACTCGGTCCATGGGTGGAATGCAAGACGAGCTGTCATTTTAACGTGGTTAAAGGGATTTATAATTTACGTCTGTGTATTTTGTGTATGCGGTGTGATATGTGTGCAGCGCTGTGGATGAGGCTATATACGAGGTGTTAGATGGGTCATGATGTAAGCCTACGGACTACGGAACTTATCAGAGCCGTTGGTGGAGTCATGAGAAACAAGTGAGATGAATCATTCGGCACGTTACCGTCACCGTTGAAGAGTAATCGGGTAAGCGGCATTGAAACTCACCGATCACAGGGATTCATGCGTTGAGGCACCGGAATTCGGCAAATTATTCCCGGGGGGTCTTGTTTTCGCATTTCTACATCAATGCCAGTTTCATTGTAGCCTCTCTACACACTATAAAACAAGTTTGAGACTGAGCAAGGTCATATTATACATAGACCCTCGCAGAGTCTACTTATCGTCAATCTGAAGCCTTGAATGTACGGAGCTGGAGAGCCTGTTATGGAACGCAGATAGCAACTTCACTATTTTTAGAAGAGAAGTCAATCAGCCGTGCAATAGGAATCTATTCACTACCCACCCAAAGAGATACGCGTAACTCTCGTTCGCTCCAATTTCACTCCAGTTCCAATGTAATTATGAACCCCCCCCGGGATACAGTTGGAACTACCTCTACAGGTGTGGCTCCTCAACCCTTCCAGGACTTTCTGTCTTCATGAGAGCTATTCCCGCCTCTAAGCCATGCTGACTAGCTTCGTACGCCCGGCCGGTTAGATGCTCAAGCTGGTCAGTCTGGATCTGCGACATCGGCCCGGCAAGATCTTGTGTCTCTAGTGAAAGTATCTCCTTCGAGACTTGATAGACCCGCGCTTCTTCGCCTGCAAGCTCAAGCGCCGTCTTGAGATTCCGCAGGACGTCAAGCTTCCTCGCCAATCGGCTGGACTTCCCAGGGCCATCCAACTGCTCAAATCTCAACAAAGCCTCGTCACTCGCAACCTTGGCCTGCTCATGATCCCCAAGGCGTAGAAAGTCACTGGCCAAAAGAGAAAAATATGTGAAATACAAACCATGTCCCGTCGTTGATGGATCGTTTTGCGTCTGCAGAAGCTTCATCGCTGCCTTCCCTGCTAACCTCGCACCGTTAGAGCTGCCACACGACAAACGGGCGGTCATGAGGTCAAGTCTCGCTCGGGCACTCCTTGGATCCCGTCGCACAGCTTCGAGCGCGCAAGACGCTGCCTCTCCATGCTTTCCCCGTTTCTGGAGGATGAATGTGAGGTTTGCAAAAGCGCGAGGGACAGTTTCTTCGAGCCCCGGCTCTCCTCCCTCCAGGCAAACCTGCAGCACCTCTCGGCTCAGTCTTTCAGCTTGGTCTCCGTCGCCATGCACTGCCAAAGTCGTAGCAAAGGACAGAGATATCTGGACCCAATCCGAGCTTCCGTGTAGAGGTGCTCCGCCTGGGGTTTGAAGAGTTTGCTTGGTCATCCGCTCCGACTCGCGAAACTTCATCTGGTCGAAGCACAACCTGGCGATGGACTGAACTAACGTGCGCCTGCGGTCATGAAAATCTACCGGTACTTTGGACTCGCGCGCGATCTGATCGTAAGTGTCCAAGATCTCTCGTTGAAGGCGCTCTGCGTCGGAGTATTTACGCATCGCTTGGAGCAGCTTAGAGGCTTGAAATTTGGTTGCGATTGTGTCCGCATGGCTTGCGCCCAAGTTCCGCACCCTCCAAGCCAAGCTTTGCTGTACAAGATGAAGAGCGTCATGCACCCGCCCTGCCCTGTCGTACAACTTGGCCAACTCTGTCATTGTGTCCCTAATGGCGTTGGCGGAATAATGATCTGCGTATGCGTTCATTGTTTGTAGCAGACTCTCCTGATCCGATATTTGTTCCGCTAGGTCCCGTCTATCGAGGCCAAAACGCCACATGGTTTGTTGCGTATTGACGACGAGCTGAATCGCTTCTTTTTCTGTCTGGTCGCGAGTCTCGCGGACGATTGTTGTAAACAAAGCCCTTGCCTGGTCGTCTCGGCCAAGTAATGCATGTGCGGTGGCCAAATGAAAAAGGCAAGTATAGACGCTGTGGCTTTTGCCCCCAAAATGTTGCCTGGCTAGGTCAACAGCTGTGTTCAGGGCAGTTACCGCGTCTTCAAAGATTAGACCGACTTCTGAGGGATCGCAGTTGGCTTGATGCAGTTCGAAGCGACCTCGCTCTATCTTGCATTCTCCAATTAGAAGATATGCCTCGACAGTATCTGCCCCTTCCGCCTCTCCACTGTTCCTGAGTAGGTCGAGGCATTGCTGTGAAATTCTTTCAGCCTCTGCAACCTGCTTAGCATCTCGCAGGTATAAGCAAAGAAGGTTCGTATTCGCCCGTGTTTGGACATGATTGGCGCCAGCTGTCTGTTGAAGTGAACTGATGACTCTCTTCTGCATTGCAATGGCCTTATCGTTCTGGTGCGAATTGTACAAAGCGCGGCTTATTACAATATCGCAGGTCACATTCAGCCTGTGTTCTGGCCCGAGTACGCAACTGCACCGTGTTGCTAGGTCCTCGGCGTATTGCAAGGCCCCGTGTGCGTCAGGCTGTTGCATCCAAGACAGATGATCAGCTAACCGAACTTTGGCGAGGAAATGATCCTCTGTGTTCTCCCCAAATTCTTCAATCGTAGCTTGGACGTGCTGTATCATAAGAATGCACCGCTGCACGCCACTCTTCGACGGATTAATGTCATAGATAGGGTAAGAGCCGTATCTGGAGATCGGCCCATCGCCACCCTTTTTCCTTCCAGCAAATAGAATGAGTGGCCGACCCGGGAGCATTACAACTTCTGATGCCATCCCGAGAACTTTGCTCTCCCTCAACACGACGGCCCTTCTTTTCGCAGCTGAGCCCTCAGGCAGCTTGACAGATGGTGCCGGCTTGACATCTCCCGACCCCTGCGCAAGGCTTTTGTCCAAGAATTCTTTGACTCTCTTGATGTGTGGTAGATAGGGGCTTTCAGATATGGATTTCATTTCAAGCGCGTCTGCATCTTCAAGCACATGCACTGGCAGCCTTCCGTGATCGTCACAGATAGATACCAAGGAGCTGTCTTCGTTGACAATTTCGATGATGCGTTCAAAGTTGAGAGTTTCTACCGCAAAGTGCAATGCGGTTCTTCCATGGATCAGCTGACGCTCCGCTCGCAGTACGCGCAACAGCTTGGCTATCTGGCAACGCCATCTGTAGACTAACTTGCGGTTGGTCAAGTCGTTTTCGCCACGTCCCGGTGGCAGCTCCGTAGGATCTCTCGCGACGCTTGCAGCTATTTCACACAAGAACTCAACATTGTTGTCGTCTCCGCAATCGGCGCCTGCGTCCAAGAGTGCAAAAGCAGCGTCGACGTTGCCTGCATGACAGGCCACCAGTAGCGGGGAGCCGTATCCAGGAAATTCGACGTCTTTCAGGTTTCGGATTTCCTCGTATCTAAGGAGGTACCTCATGACGGGCTCTCCATCAACCCAGCAGTTCGCTTGCAACGCGGCCCAGCCGAGGACGGTGATGCCATGAGAGGACGGCTCGGCGCCTGCATTGAAGAGTGCGTCGATGATGTCTGCGTCGCAGCTGAACAGCTCAGTTGCTCTCTCGAGCGGTGATGTTGGCCACTTTCCCCCATCAACGAATCCACCGGGTCTTGAGTTGACGTCAGCCCCCAAGCTCAGGAGCAGCTTCACCATTTGCGCATTGTTCGTTTTTGCGTGGATGGCTTTCTCCAGCGCGGAGGCTCTCAAGTCTTCGGGTAATTCGGCGAGCGCGAGATTTGCACGTAGCCGGTGGCTGTTGCTGTCCAACCCAAATAGCATACGTACTGCATCCAAGTTTCCCCATTGAATAACGATAGCGAGCAAGTTGCCCTCGTTTGCCAGAACTTCCACCTCGACTAGTGCTCGAATGAGTTCTGCTGAGGTCCTATGGCTGCGCGTTTTGGCAATGACCTTTAAAATCTTGGAAACATCTTGCCTCTCCGATTGAGCAATTCTGGCTCCGCGAGAAATCAGGTGTTGTACGATGTTCGTCGTGAAGTCGCAGTGTCCAAATTGCAGGAAATTGGAGAGCGGTGTATCCCCTCTTTCGTTCAAGTCGTTGATATCGCATAACCCCTCACTTAGAACGATGTCCAGCGTCTTCTCCATAGCCTCTGCGTATTCTGCGCCGTGAATAAGAAACGGAAGCATGGGGTCGTAGGGCATGCCGAAACCAGATAACCCGAAAGGCAACAGTGGCTCTCGGCCTTCGGATTCGCGATATCTTGCTTCGGTTTCTTTGGCTGGTGTGGTCCTTTGGAATGTCTTCTCAACAGCAGCCAAAACCGGGACGAGATTCCAGAGATTGAGTGAAACGGCAATGTCGAATGTCTTCTCCGTCCAACCAACAGCTCTTAACGGGTCCTTGCTGCCGATCATCGATATCAGGCTTAAAAAGAGTCCCACTAACGGTTTGTTGTTCGTTTCAATAGCGAACTCAAGGGCCGTACCTTGAAGCTGTGCTCCTGCCAGCTCTATGGATTTGTGGGATGCAAGCAGGTCATCGGTAGGCCCCGGGAAAATTCTTTGTCTCGTCCCGGGTCCCCCGTTCTTGTCAAAGGACACATACTCGAGCTTCTTTGTTGTGCCTTGAAGGACAAGAATGATGTCCATTGCGGCGGCGATATCCTCAGAGGGAAACTTCGTCAGCCAGTGAAACAAAACTGAGTTGCCTGTAAATGTAAAGAGAAAGTCTTGTTGAGTTAACCAGCGCAGCATAGTCAAATGGCCGCCCTCACACGCCGCTGAAAGAACTTCCCCAGAGAGTAGTCGACGATCTGTACTGCCATCACCCAACGAAAAATAGGAACCGCCGCCGTTGGGTCTCGGGCTGACCAAGTACTCGACCAATGACTGCAAGTTCAGTCTAGCGGCCCAATGTAAGAGATTACCCTTGGGTGGCGATGAATCGATGATGTTGGTTTTTGACTGGCAGTAGAGATCTTCAGGACCAAACCTGATGTCTGAATGGGCCAATTTTTCAAGTACATCCGGAAGACAACAAGAAAACAAGTACGCATCCTCATGGAAGGTGTCAAATATACATTGCACCGCCTTTCGCTGGTACAATTCTTCGACTTCTAAAATTCGCTGCGACATGTATGAATCAGGCTTCTTGTTGGCCAGGCGTTCGCGTTGAAGCACGGCAAGTGGATGTGGATTGACCAGCAGGCGCTCTGGAACGGTTCGGTATAGTGCTTCGTGCAGCCTGAACGCCAAAAGCAGGGACTCCTGGCTCCCATGCTCCGCTGCGTCCACGAGAAGTTGCATCCCCTTCTCGAGAGAGGCGTTGGAGGCCTGCACGCCGCCGAAGATGCACATTGCTAGATCGTGTAGGGCATTGGCCTTTTCTTGAATTGTTGAGTCTTCGCTGTGCGCCCTGTCTCGTAATAGGGAAATGAGATCATCCTGAACTACTGAAGGCAGTGTCCGCAGATCCCCAAAGCTGGAACTCGCCCTGGTTTTGGAAGCTAGGGGCCGGGCAAGGTCTGCAGGCAAGGGGGCTGGTCTGTCAAGTCTTGGTCGCGAATTCCTAAGTGAGACGTCAATATTTGCGGATATTAAGCATAGGCCATGATTGGGAAACTTACATTTCAGATTGCTTCGGCGAGTAGCCTCGTGCCTCAAATGCTCCGACCAACTCTTCACTCAGACACCTCGCCCTTGCATCTTCCCAGAGAGTCAAATTGAGAATATCCTCGACGATTCTATGCAATAAAGGATCTTCTGCCTGGTATGCGTCCGCACAGATGAGGGCATGCAGCAAAAGATCGTCTTTTGGCAAGGCATTGAGTGCTTCCACCATGTCAATGCCAAGCTCTTCGCACTGCAAGTTCAGTCCCAAGATTGTGGTGAAGCGGTTTCCGTCGAGCAAAATCTCCCAAACCATAAGTCCATAAGAGAATATGTCGCATTTGTATATCAAAGAGGGCGCAAGGAGCGCAGGGCCAGGCGCTGGAGTGCGCACTTCCGGGGCAGACATGAGGGGGGTGCCGAGATACCTTCGGCTCTCTTGTCCTAAGTCGACAAGAGAGTTTCCAAAATCGGATAGTTTGGCAACATAACCCCCCTTATTATCTGGGAAGACTAAAGTATTTTCCAGCTTCATGTCTCCGTGTGCTATGCGGCAGTCATGCAGTGTTTTCAGGCCTTGGGCGAGATCGTGCATAATGCTGACTTTGGCGCTCAGGCCCAGACTGGTTTGTTCTTGGAGAAAATCTTGCAAAGTTCCATGCGGGGAGTATTCCATGACAAGTGCGATGTCTGATGAATGTGTTTGCGTTTCGCTGTTGAACGTTTGGCCTTGGGTAGACCCGGAATAATAGCCCAGTAGAGTGGCAATATTCTCGTGTTTGTTCAGCGGTGGGTGCGTGAGAACGCGAAGTTCCTTGAGTACAGCGGCCACGGAGATTCGCAGTTTGCGAGACGCATCCTCAGATGCTCGTGACCGATATTTGAAAAAGTTGAGAGTTTTGACCGCCACATGAACTTCCGACCCGCTTGTTGTTCGATTGAGCGTCAGTCGCTTGTCAACCGTGTACGAAACCCCCGAGCCAAGATTCGACGGAGCCTCGATCCATGTATTGGCAAAATCTTCATCCTTGTATAGTTTGAGCATCCTTGACTTGCGAGTGTCGTCATGATCTTCCTCGGCTCGAGTCAAGAGAAGCAAGTTTCTCCAGATGTCGACTGCGCCATACGCCCGAGGCGCCTTCTCGTCGGGACTTCGTGCTGAAACGCTCGCTGAACTCGGATCAGAGAGTAGAACAGTCCGATAGTCGGATCGAGGGTCGGACAGTAAGGAATCCATGTCAGAATTTGGCACGACGGCCCGCAACGGTGCCAGAGACGAGTTGTTGAAATTACGTTCGGAGAACGTAAGTTCTGGTTGCCCAGTCACGCTGAAACAGCACCATGAAGCTTGCGCGGAGTACAGAGACCCTATTCGGGCGGTTGAGATAGAGGTATGGAAGTGGTTGCAGGGCCGAAATGGCGGTGCGGAGACTCAACGTGGCGCAACGAGCTGTGTTGGTCGTGGGCCAAGCAATGCCAAAGAACGCCAAACAACTCATTCGATCAATAACTGTCGTCGTTTAATTGACTCTGGAGAGAAATACTCGCATCCAAGAGAGCGATTAATGGCGAGGCCATGGAAAGACATTAAAAGCGACAAAATCGTGACAGGAGGCCCGGTTCGCCCCATGACGACGTCCTATGCAACTTGAGAGCATCATCTCGGCGAATGAGAGACCAGGCACACGACATGGCACGACACGGCACGGCACAGCCACCGCCGTCGATCCATTCCGTTTTTGGAGTCTTCCAATGAGTGCCTAACACATTTTCAGAGGCGAAGTACAAGGTGAAGTACAAGGCGAAGTACGAGGTGGTACAAGGCGAAGTACGAGGCGAAGTACGAGGCGAAGTACGAGGTGGTACAAGGCGAAGTACGAGGCGAAGTACGAGGCTTTCTTCGAGGCCGATGAAAAGTTTGATTTTCAGCATCAGAATCATCTCTACCACAGGTAATCACATTCAGCTAGCTCTCCAATCCATATTTTTACCACCAACTACTTACTAGACAACCATATGTGTATTTTCCTCCAAAGTTTGGGCTAGGCACATCCTACTCTCGCGCAGCGATGGACCCCGCATCTCTGGTTCTGGCCACTCTTGTGCTGATCAAGCCCATCTGCACCACGATTCATACAGCTCTCACCAACTATAGCCTTTACGCGAGAGACGCAAACTCACTTAGTCTACGGTTTTCATTACAACAGACGCGTCTTGAATCCCTCCAGGTGGTGCTCACCGAAGACAAGTTGATCCCAGGTGTTCGCGGCCGACTGGTTGACAATTTGAGCCCCAACACACTCCATATCTTGAATGATCTGGTTCAAGAACTGCACTATATCCTTAACGAATATGTCGCATTGAAAATGCACCGGGAGGTGCTCAGCACTAGCTCAGGAGACCAAGTTTCCAGGGCCCTGGAAGAGGCCGGTCACAGCCCAGGACCCGCATCCCAATACCAGCTACAGAGCTATGCATCCGGCATTCCGAACTCCTTGGCCACCACGAAGATGAAGTTGATCAGCACGACTAGGAGACTACAGTGGAGTATCAGCAGACGTGACACGGTGGAGGGCGTCGTAACGAGCTTTGAGGAATGGACTGAGAGAACGAAAGCTCTCGTTGAGACCTTGCTTTGGTCAATCCCCGTGAACTCCCCCATGGAGCAGATTCGGGTGCTTCAGAGGGATGAGGATGCAAGCAATATAGGCTTGCTCGATGGGATCAAGATTAGAGAGCTTCTCGCAGCATCTCCGGCCTTTGCCGAATCCCATGTCAACGGCCTCTATAGTAGAGCGTTTGAAGAGCGTTACACCGTTGGCGGCTTCAATGTTGGAACTATCCACCAAAAGGAGGGTCTTTTCTTGATTGAATACAAACATGGCGGTACACCTGGCGAAGAGGGCATCAACCATGGAACACGCCAGCAAGTCATCAGACTTGCCGCTCTTCTCCACGAAGCGCCGTCTGCTGATGAAGGTCTCGGGGTTCTGAATTGCACAAATTACATCGAGGACCTCACCAGCAATGTTCTGGGCATTGTTTACGCCTTGCCTAGCGCATACACAACCAGCTCACTCCCACCAAAAACTTTGAGCAGCTTGCTTCTACAGACGACCGTGCCGAAGACAAGTTTGGACGTTAGAATTCGGATAGCTTGCAACATAGCTTATACTGTGCACCGGCTTCACATTTATGGCTGGGTGCATAAGTCTCTGCGTTCCGATAATATTCTTTTCTTTCCGCTAGACCCCTCAAATAACGACAGAGGCTATGATTTGTCGAAACCAAAGATACTCGGTTTCGACTGGGCACGGAAGGAAGACGAGATCTCCCCAGAGGACCCAGGACTGGAGATCAAGCACAATATCTACCGTCATCCCCAACGGTGGGGACAGCCGACGAGTCGATTCGACAAGACGCACGACATATACGGTTAGTTTTGGCTCGGGACGTAAAGTTTTTCAATGACACAGGCTCCGCTAACACTCTGAATGCAGCACTGGGCGTCATATTGCTAGAGCTAGGGCTTGGCGAGAGCGTGGCTAGACTCGACGGCGGGGCGCTGATGAGGAATCAGGCGTATCATGACCCTACTGTTATGAATCGCAAGCTCCTCCAGCATGCCAGTCTTCGCATAGGGTTTTATGGCGGGACCAGACTGCGTGATATTGTCACTGGTTGTTTAACCGGCGAGTGGAGGGGCAGTTCGATTGTTCACCAGCTACCGGATGTGGTCATGTGTCTTATGAGCATAGCGATGGTATTGAGTGAGGAAGAAGCCCAGCCGTGATGTGCTAACCCAGGCATCCAAATTTTCTCTCTGATATGGATCGGTGTTTTTCTAGGGAGGAGGCCAGGGAGTTACTTTGGCGGCTATAGTGAAACTTGGTCCCAGGAACAGGAAGATGAAGAATTGAGATGTTTCAGAATGATGCCATTAGAACAAAATCCTACTTGAGTTGGACTTGAATTCCGGGACGTCTTCAGGGTTATCCTAGGCGAAGGCTTTTCCGAAGAAAGGATTGGAGTCGCTCCTGGGGACGACTTCAGGATGGCACTGGGAGAAGACTTCGCAAAGACAGAGTAAGAGGATTCTTGAGCTCGATGCTATGTTCATAACAAACATAGGCTTTAAAGACGTTCTCGTTGGTGAGGGCTTCTCCTCGATCTTTGCAACTAGGGACATGATAAAACGCGGCAACCCCTTTTCTCAATTTAAGGTGCGCCTCGACATGCTTCCACATAGTTCCTATCCTCGTCATGATAGTTCCCGGGCCGCCGAGATGTGTGACACTCAAGTGCGTGTGCATGGGCCATCCACATTTCTCTTCATCTCCGCGATTAGCTGGGTGTGCGCAATCACACACTTGCTATGCAAAGCTTTCTCTCAGGGAGTTGGAATTATGTGTCTTCCCCCGGTTTATGTACGCCTTACATTTCCCGCGCTTGTTGGTGTTGCGACCAAGCAGCCTGACAAGAATTATCAACACAGGGCGCCAGCATACAGATACAGCAATGCTTGAAGTCGAGATTGGCAAACCTATACGATAGTACAGCGAGCTCCAGCCTGCAAGGTGTGACCAATTGTGGTTCCAATACGAGAGCGAGAAATCATATCGAGTTTCAATTCTCTAGTGACCATGGATGTCATTTGGCAGCAGGGGTGATTTTCACATCTGAATATGAATCTTCTAATATAAGCAACCCACGAGAAGCCAGCGCTTTAACCACTGAGCCACCAGGGCCATTGATGGTCTGAAACGGCTGACGTGGTGGCTATTATGGCAGTGGCCCGGGGCGGCAGGAGCAGGTCAGTCACTCCTTCCCTTCATGTTGGGTCTTGGCATTTTACCTTGAGTGACATAAATGATTGAGCGTGTGTCCAGTTTAACAGTTTGGATCGTACGAGCGGCCCATTTCTTGACATCGGCAGCTTCTTTAACTTTATAAACTATTTACTGGGTATTCTGAACCTAATAAGCTACTATAAAATAATCCTATTGTATATAGATAAATATCTATATAATCCGTAATTAAAGATTCTTTATACTAAAATTAGCAGATAATCTTTTTTTAAAAATAAATATAATAAATTATTTAAAATATTAGAATTTGATAAATTAATTTCAGGAGATTTTATCCTTATATTTTCTCTTAATACTATCTTTATTATATCCTTTTTTTACACTATAAAGCTAGTTTAAGACTTAATAAGGTTAAATTATATATAGGCCCTTGCAGAGTCTACTCCACGTCAATCTGAAGCCTTGGATCTACAGAGCTGAAGAACTTGTTCCAATCTTCCCCCCAAACTCGGGGTGATTCTTGATTGCCTGTGGTAAAGCGAATGCGGCACTGAGGTCAAGATCATTGAAAAATACCTCACGGCGATACGAGACGTGGCTACGAAGTTGAAGGGCTGACTGTGCTTTATGTGCGAAGCGGCCCGGCTCGGTCTCGCGAAAGACACGGACGGTGGTGGCGTAGCGAATAAGACGCTTCGTGAGGTCCAAGTTTAAGCCAGTCTTCTTGGAGACCTCCTCGAAGCTTGCAGCACCTTCCAGCGGGACTGCTGCGTAACATTGTAGTCAGCGAGGAGTTAAGTGACGATGACATCCCATTTCGTTGCCGTAGCGCGCATGAGCACCATTTCCATCGGGCCAAGTGCCAGCTCATACATATCATTGCTAGTCTGCGCCAGTGCAATTCTAGCGGTTTCTATGTTGCCGTCCGCCAATTCCCAAGACTCGGGAGCATCTGGTGAGAAGGATGGCGGTTTCAGCTTATTGGACTCGACATAGTTGTCTAGAATGATGGCATTCCAAAGAACACGGACCGCAAGCTCCACAATGAACCACGAATCATTGAGAAAGGGTGAGAGCCAAGATAATATATTGAGGCTTGTAAAAAGTCAATCGAAGCTCTGCTAATTAGTCGCAGGCAAACGGATTGGTGACTGGAAATACGTCTCACGCTTGAGTGGCACTTACGCATTTGTATGTGATAGTTGCAACTAACATAGGAGCAGGAAATCCCAGAAATACAATTTTCCCTCCCACAGCAAGCAGGCCGACCGTTCAGGTCTAAGGGTTTAAGGGGGCGAGTTATTATATATAGAGTTAGCTTTCTTTGATTCACTTCATTGAGCAACACAATAATGCCCCTCACCAGGTTTGCAACAGGAATAGATTGCTACCAGTGTACGTCGCCTATTCGTTCTAAGCATTCACTGCTTTATAACACCTCACACTTGCGTACTATTAGCAGAAAATTCCCTACCCCAGGCACAAGATCTCAATTGCTGCCTTAGTTGCTGCAGTGTAGCTATTTCACCGTGGCCGCTGGAGAGTAACGAAGTCAGTGGGTAAGATCTGGGATTTTCGTTGAGATAAATGCCATCAGACTTACCTTAGGTGAGTTTGCACCAAAGTGTCTTGTAGCGGCCGACCAACCAGCATGAGCCACCATAATCCTCGCAGCAGGACACCCCAGGAGATAGGGCCCGAGGGTAGGCGGCGCTCTGGGGGTCACAAAGCGCACCCCAGTCATCCCACTTGGTCCATGTGAACGCGGTGTAATCGCCAGCCGCGTTCTTTCCAAGTTGTCTGGGCTGGGTAGCGTCGGATCTGCAAGATGTCCAGTGGCAGGTTCGTTCGTGCCCATCAACGAACTTCCCGCATTCCGAAACGACGCCTGGTACAAGCTGAGGCAAGAGCAAGGAGGTCGATAAAATGCATTTTTATCAAGGGTAGCGTTGATGAATGTGGAGTAAGTATGGGGTTTCCAAAGTCTACAGAGTTGATAAGGAGAAAGATGGAAGAATATGATTTTAGGGGAGGATACTGTCTAAACTTATACTTCTCGAGAACTGGATACTTGGCACTATCACTATCACAAGAACGATAGATGAGAAGAAGGTACCTCCGATACTAGGCGATGTAGCGGTGAAACCAGGGGACAGAAAAAAGGTAGCGTAACTAAGACTTGAATAGTACGACACACCACCGCTTGAGAACAAGGAGGGGGAAGAAGATAGCCAGCTGAGTTGAGACACAAACACCATGGACTAGGAATAGACAGCATTGGGTAACAAATGCTTGAATTGTGGATAAAACTGTTTTTTTTTGACCTTGTGCCGGCAACTTGCTCACCTTGAGGGAGCAGACAGAAGTTAGATTACATCGCTGTGCCGACACAATGATATCGTAGAGATCGCCCCTCTTGGGGAGTGTTGTAGACCATTTTTGATAGGGTTTCAGTTGTACGGTCTCGAAAGTATCAGTGACTCTGGGAAGGTAATATGTAGGCCATGAGAGGACTGTAATTGGTCCTAGGTAGAATGGGAGAAACGGCCAGAGTAATAAAAGCACACCCAAGCCAGTCTATCAATAAAGGTAGGGCCAAAAAGAACAACCCTCGAGAAGCTACAAATCACGGCAAGGAGACACAAGCAAGAACACAGAGTAATATAGCTTATCTTTCATAGAGCAACGGAGACGGAGACGACTAAGGTTACAAGGAGCCTGTAAGGGTCATACAGGCCGCGCGTCGATGACGCACAGCCGAATAGGCCTTCTGAGGGTCTCGGACTACAATAGTTACTGCTGATTCAGAACAATAATGTTGACCCGACTAAAAGTAGCCGGTCAGTCGGTTCGCGGCACCTTCCCCGGACTGTGCCGACTGTTATTTTCCGTACTTTTGCAAAGAAACAATTGGTAGGTACACTGGAGAAAGTAGTGTTCACTTGCCATGTCCCATGATCCATAGGCTCGAAGTTGCGAAAACGGACATTTCCTGATGTTGTGCATATAACTACCTTACATCTCACCGTCAGCACAACAGCGTTGGGTGATTTATCGAAAGGTTGGCCTCGATAGGACATAGCATCGAAAGTTTGGAGTGAGAATGTATATGTCAAGCTCAGTTAGCTAGAAGAAGTACTGCAATCACCCAAAAAAATATCGCAGCCATATTTTGAGTGGATGAAGAACAGTTTGCAAAATCTCAAGCCTAACAATACTAAGAGGGTCTCAGAAGCAGCCCCTCTTGTATGAGGAACGATTCCAAGGGGGGGTTAATGTTTAGGAAAAAGGCCGCTGATTGGGAAAATAATCCAGGGTTGGTGAGCCTGTACGTCAATTAGTATGCATTCCACTATATCTGTTATTTCACTAGGTCAATAGGCCCATGTAGATAAATAATACACACTGCTACGCGGGGTACTCGTATAAAAGAGCGATTTTAGCAGCAGAAAGGGATGGTAATAACACCCAACTCATTAACTTACCCGATGGGAAATGCACAGAAAATCGTCGCTCAGGCGTCTTGACTGGTCAGCCCGAAGCTATACCAGATTACGCATATAGGGTCGGATAGATCTGAGTTTATAGCTCCTAAAGAGAGAAGCATCTCACAAGACAGAATATCGGGTCCGTCGCAGAAAGGTCCGTTGGCAAGGCGTTAATAGTACCCGCAGCAGCCCGATATCCCTAGAGGGTAGAAGACTGAAGTTAAATAAGAGCTGTAGTAACAGTAAAAATAGACTCAAATAAATCTCTTAAAACAAAGACAGCAAAAAATAGATTTTCTAGTTATCTCGAGACTTTTCGGTATCTTCTGCTAACAGGAAGAATCTCTGAAGAATTGAAAACCAATGTCTCCAACTATACGGCTCCGGCCGTCCCTTTTAACCTTGTCCGGACCACCCTAGAGACGAGCCCTATACAATTTAATGAGCGATTAATATATCTTTATTTTCTCAATCAATGAACTTTGTCCAAATCAATAACCCCTGAACGAGGAACGTCACACGGGGGGGCCGCTTAGCATATCCTTGTCGGTATCGTCAAGAGCCACTCTTGTCCTGAATACCTTAACATAGCAACACGTATCTTCAACTTGCCGGAAACTCCAGTCTAAGCCATCTTACCGTTACATCTGCACGAACTTTGTGCTCCTTCTTAACTTTATTCCTCCTCTATTCATTGTGATTAATAATTCACCAGGAAGAAAAACTCCGCTGAAGCCTTATCGATGGAGCCAGGTAAGCACTAAGAGGGACTTGTAAGCACTAAGGCGATGTGGGTTAGGCAACTGATGCAGGATTCCTTTAATCCCAGCCAGCACGGACACGAGGTAGAATTATCATTAATTCGAGATGTCGGTGCTTTCTTTAGACTCGTTGAAGAATTGTCTTGGCTAGAGACGAATTTCGATACTCACAGAGCACACTGAGTAGACATTCCAACCTGTTTTCTGGCGCCAGCAATTACTTTGCTCATGAATCAAGTCATTGGGACAACAGAGGCACATTTACAAGGATCTTAATGCAGGGGTATCAGCCTCGCTAAATTTAGGCGATGCTAGCCAATGTTACCTCGCCATTCAGCCGATCCCCCTCCTCTTGCTGCATCTCTGGTTTTGTATCTGTGGCTGTGCCACACAGTTTTCAGCGGGTGGTTGCATATAATGGCTGCCCTGCGCCATTTTAGCCGCCGTCTCTTGAGTACTGAGTCTTTCATTTCACGAAGTTGCCTCCAAATTGTCGTCACATTTACATCTAGTAGAGATGCATACTTCGTGGTTTTCATACTCAATCACAAAACCGTACCCATTCCGATGGTTCACTCCAGTGACGATAGTGGTTGGCGTCATTCTGACTGTCATCTTTACACTGGTGAATCTGGCATCTAGTGGTTTCTACATGAAAACCATTTACACTGATGATCCCAATGGTACCATGGCATCAGAGACTTTGTACGCAGATAGTGTTACCTACTGAGACGAAATCAGCTGACAGATTTTTGCAGCTGGTACATGAAAGAGCCGTTCAACTGGGAGGCCGATGTGGCTGTGAAATGTCAACCAAAAATCCTATCAGTCGGAGATCGCTTCTTTACCTCTAATCTGGGCCTCCAATATGAGATCAAATCCATCACACGCTCAACAGATGGCTCCACAAGACCGACTTCCCTCCCTTCTGTCCCTTACTTGAATAACACACTCGAGGGTTGCTACCTGACCCAATCGGTACTCAACTTGCAAAAAGCGGACAGCGCTATAAGGGCTACGTGGTGGCTTTCATGGATAACTTCAACTGCAGTTGCCACCGCATTCTGTACCATCATGTCCGAACAGGGAGCCGTCAATCTGACTCTTGGCGTGCAATATGCCGGAGAAACTGATCATATCTATGATTATGTTATCGAAGACAACTACACCACACATGCCAGCACATGGTGGGGAACGAGGTTGACCAATGCCTATCTGGCAGGAGTTTTGGCCACCATGTCCCAGATTGTCTACTCCGAGGACAGTTATCTAGCGCATGGAGCCATCACATACACTAGGAATGAAACCCAAAATAAGTAAGTGCTGTCTTCGGCCATGCCCTCTTTACGAGCGCATCATTAATACTAACACTATGAAGCATTCGTTCCTCCGAATTTTTCGAAGTAACCAAGTGGTTTATTACATCAGATGGCTTTATCGATCAGTCAGAGGTGCGTTCTCATCAGTCCTGATTCTAGGGAGTGTCGAGGACTTCATGGAACAATCCCATTAATATCCTTCTCCTAGGGCGCGGTTGATTCTGCTATGACCGAAGGGCTTCATCACGCTAGACTCTTGCACTCTCTTGTGTCGATGGATTTGGGTAGTTGCGAAGCACCGAACATCCTACTAGACAACAAGAGCCTCCGCTATGCCATCTCAGCGCCAGACGATGACAATCGACAGAAGGGAGGCGTTTTATACGGCGAAGCATCAGACATGGGTGCGCCTCAGCGCTTCACCAGCATTCCCGCTCCTACCCGTGACGCCAACTTGACACTTCTCAACGAGACATTCAGCGAATTCACGCCACTTATGGGAGACCTCGGATGCAACAATGTCACCATTGTCTCTCAGTACCTTTGCCAAGTCCCGCAAAAGAAGAGCACCGGAACTATGCTGCTGGCAATTGTGCTGGCAGACTTGGTTTTTCTACAGGCGGCGTGGAAGCTCCTGAATCTTATTGCTGAAGGCATGCTGCCTAAGAAAGACCCTCTTGTCAACATTTGCGAAGGTTGTTCCGGTACACTCTATCAGGAACTCCGGTCAGGGAACGTCAATAGAGATGTGGTGGATAAGAGAGTCAGTGGCACGGATGAAAGTATGGTAACACTCATAAGCAGGTAGCTATAAATACACAATAGAAATTAAGGATTTAAGGTCAAAAATAGGTGATTAAAAGCCAGTACTCTGAAGTTTTCATTCCCTATACTGGGTTCGGGCTGGTCACCTAGTGAAATCGTGTAGTGGCAATAATATGACTGTGCGCCTGGAACTTGCAGGACCAATAGCTCGCCTAGGAAGTCTTGAATGCAATCACCGTGTCTGTGAGATGGTGTTCTCTCTTGCGGCTACTAGCGCCACTCATGTATTCGACTCAAACTAAACAAGTGTAACAACGTCTTCCATATATTCATACTTTATAGTAATGCCAGATATGCTCTTGGCCATTGCAGTAGCTGTAAAAATCTATCCTGTCCATCAAGGCTTGCCTCGATCTTTTCGTATAGCTGGTCCCCCCACCCCCGTGCATACCAAAAGTTCCTCTGGATACCAGCAAGAAAAACACAAAAATAGGCCAGAAGAATCAGAGCGTGCGGTTTGTAGGCTGCCATGTCCGCCAGGATGCACTCGTTTACGTCGTGTAACCAGGCGGTGATCGCGCCGCTCTCGGCGTACGATCCTGCAAGGGAAATAAGTCGGGCAGAATACTCGAGCTTGTCTACTGCGTCCCGGTAGTGGATGAGGCTCTCGGAGGGTACTTCTGACTCTTGGAAGCATCGCAGTTGGTTTGTTGCGTCCCATAGGTCGTTTGGGAGGAAGGTATTGTCAATAGGCGGGTAACTGTGAGAAAATATGCCCATTAGCTACCAGCGTGGCTTGGTGCAAACTTCGGTACAAAAACACTCACCCCGTCAAGCGACCATCGGTCTCCGACGGCCAAACCCCATAGATGAGAGGGGCTAAATCCGAGTTGTATGTTCGGCTAACAAGTTGCGATAGAGTAGTCTGGAGTCTCCGAATAAGAGCGGCCAGCTCGAGAAGACTAGCAACAGGGTCGTCGAGTTTCTGTGTGGCAGATCTGGCAGGGAGTGTAAACCTGTAGAGTATAAGTACCGTGGCGAAGCCAAATAGGGCCATCGAGTTATCCTCGGTGGGATTCTGCACTTCATAGTCGAAGCCCGTACTGCCTAGCATCGAGTGGTAGTCACATAGCTTCAAGTAGACCTCGCCACTGTTTGGAATAAGATAGGCTTTATGGGCGGCAGCGAGAGCCAGTATGCAGTTTGAGACGAAAGAGTGCTTGTATCCCTCCCGAGGAATGGCTTCTCGCCATACGTATTCTACGTCTTGTCGAAGTGATAGCGTACTAGCTGTTATAGTGGAGTAGTGATGCATTAATTCGAGGTTTCGTTGCCAGAGCTCTTCGGGAGGTAGAGGATCTAGATAGGTGGGCGGCGCCGGTTGATAGAACGGTGTTGGAGGTGTTGGTATTTGTTCATTGCCTGAATGGCAACCCTTTGATGGAAGGTTGAGGTCTGCTACGAGCTTCGTAATGTAGGGAATGTCGGCGCGGGTTGCGGGAGGTGCTTCGGCTTGCGACCAGCTACAAGCGAGGTCGTGTCTCTGGCAGTTGGAGCAGACAGGGTGTATCTCGTCACACTACAGCGCGTCAAACCAAAGCCCAGAGATGGCTGGAGAAGCCGGAAGATCCGGCCACTGGAAAGATTGCCAGTCCATAATTACCTTGACCCTGCGGCGCTTGCAGTTCGCGCAGCCGTGCCGTGATTTTGAATGGCCACGCCTGGGCCTCCGTTTTGCGCCGGGAATTTGCTGCATGGCCTCGGATTCGGCAGTTTGAGCGAGCCGTCAAGACACCGACGACAGAGGTGGAGGCAGTGCGCAGAGCTCCATATTATACAACTTCTTGTCGTTGAGCGAGACTTGACGCTACGTATTCAGAGCCCCGACTGGTTGGAGTCATCGAGATTGATGCGCTTGTCAAGACAGGGGGCCGTTGCGGCCGTGATTGGCCCGTCATGGACTGGATCCGCGGGTTCGCTCTCGTTCTCGATATAGCGGATCAAAACTGGGGCTGGATCTGACGCCCAGGCCGATCCATGATTGCCTATACGAAGCAATCCGAAATGCGGGAGCTTGGAGAGTTGAATCCGATGTAGTCCAACATGTCATGAATGCGAAGCAACCCGAGAGGGCCCGGAGAGAGGGTGTTTGATTACGCATTCCACCATGGGGCATTCTAACATGGAATAGAAAAACATGATGGGTCATCATGGAGCATATAAGGGCCCAATCTGCATGCCGTCTTCCAAGTGCATCCTACTCTCTCCATCAGCCCCATTCTCTTTGCACGGCAGATTACCCCAGAGTCCAGCTCTTCGACCGACAGCTTTCCATCCTTCATCACATCCCACAACCTTCTCGCAGTCCATTTTCGCCCTTGTCCACACTCGATCAGCTCGCCACACGGACGCAACCATGTCAGGCGACTCCTGTGTTGCCGACTACAAAACCGCCGAATGGTCCTACTATCGCTACGAGCCTTCGGTCGGAGTGAACACTCTCTTCGTCATCCTCTTCACACTCACGACAGTGCTCCATGTGGTCCAGCTCTGGAAAACACGGACCTGGTACCTTGTTTCTCTCGCCATCGGTGGTTTATGTAGGTGCAGAACATGCATGACACGGTGTAATGCGGCGTGGGCTAACCCGAACCCTTTTCACAGGCGAGATCATCGGTTACATCGGTAGAGTCGTCGGCGCGAAGCAAGATGTCGGTTGTTGGACCATGGGCCCGTTCGTCATCCAGAGCCTGCTGATTCTTATCGCCCCGGCTCTGATGGCAGCTTCCATCTACATGATACTGGGTCGCGTCATCCTCCTCACCGACGGCGAGAAATACGCCCTTATCAAACGACGATGGCTCACAAAGCTCTTTGTGACTGGTGACGTCATCTCACTGTTCGCGCAGGCTTCTGGTAAGTCTAAGCTGGCGAAATTATATCTATCCTCGTACTTACGGTGTTAGGTGGCGGCCTGATGGCTTCCGATGGTCAGCACAAACTTGGCGAGAACGTCACTATTGCCGGCCTCTTTGTGCAGTTGACCTTTTTCGGCCTTTTTATTGTTGTCGCCGCCCTCTATCACCGCCGACTTCTACGAGCTCCGACCCCGGAGGCTTCAAACCCAAAGGTCCGCTGGCAAGCCTACCTCATAACGCTATATGTGACGGGCGCCCTGATCTGGGTGCGAAGTCTCTTCAGGGTCATTGAGTTCATCCAAGGCAACGACGGATCCATTATGAAGAGCGAGGCCTACGTCTTCATTTTCGATGGCTTGCTGATGTTTGTTGTGCTGGCCTGGATGAACTGGTTCCATCCCAGTGAGATTGGCCTGCTGCTCCGCGGGAATCAGCCCATCACTAATGGTCTCCAACTCCTCAAGCTTCGCGGACCGGAGGGGAAGGATGCCGAGAGACTGTCGTCGTCTGCCAACAATACCATTGTTGGTGATCAGCATTGATAAATGCTCATGGGCGGCCTTTCTGTTTTCCTTTTCCTTGATCCGTTTGCTTTGCTTTCTTAATGTGTGTAACTATAGTTAGAAGAGGGTGAAGGCCGAAAAATATATAGACAGAGAATCACTGAAATTGTGAGGCTTCTCGCCTTGTACAACTTGCTTCGTCAACCCTTCGGGTGCGGATGAACCGGTAGGGGATGTCTGTCGTACAAAAGTTTCGGAGAATTCAGCGGATCCTAGCGGTCTTTCCGCACCCTACTACGGAGTAAGAAATGGAGAAATCCCACCCTGTTCACTTATCAAGCCTACTGTTGGATGATGGCCCTGTATGACGAAACCTCGGGTAGATCGATATCCTGACCTTAGTCAGAAGGGGGGGTATAATAACCCCTCCTCCGGCCGATCCGGATGACCGGCACAAGTAATCATCAACATCATCATCACTGTATTGATCCCTATCTATCAAATTGAATTGACCGTAACGGATCCATCACCTACCTAAGTTACTCCCTACGTTATCCAATATAGAGCCGACTGCCCACTTTTATCGTTAGTGCGAGGTAATAAAAAGCCTGCCTTGTAAGATGCTTACTGATTTCAGACCAGAAGGCTGTGCGTGCCAAGATTAGGATGCGCAGCAACACTGCGCCACGTTTTAACTTGCACCATCGCCGGGGTATCCGAGATAATTAGGGTTCGTATTTGCAATTTTCGTTTCATGTCCGACCCTCCTGATAAGCTAAATAGTCTACTGTATCTGCCTCCTCCAGCATACGTTCCCAGTTTTGACAGCCTTTGCCGAGATAGAACATAGAACCGCCCAGGTGTCATACCCCCAACTCCTCTTTTGGGTTCCTGCACCACGCGGCGCTCTGGCCAAAGGTCTATCAAGCAGCCATGCGCCGTGGACATACCAAGTCTCGCGCTGGATGCATCCAGTGTAAGCTCAGAAAAGTCAAGGTACGGGAAGGCGCTCGGAAGAATGACATGTTGTATAATGACTTCTGCAGTGCGACGAAGTACGCCCGTCTTGTTTCAACTGCTCCCGCCGCGGATCTTCGTGCAGCTTGGCGACATCCCGGAGCTCGTCTACTTTCTCGACCCCGGCTGGGCCCAGAAGCCCCAGATCCGAATCCAGCAGCTACCATGGCATCCCGTCACCGTCCTCGCGGCCGACGGCTGAGGCCTGGGACGGCAGCTTGGAGCTGATGCACCACTACGCGACCATCACGGCCGACACGCTCGCCATGCGGCCCGACATGCAGCACGTCTGGCGCGCCGTCGTGCCCCAGACGGGTTACGGCCATCCCTTCGTCACCCACGGCATCCTCGCCATCGCCGCCTTGCACAAGGCCCATCTACTCCCCGCCAGCAGTGACAAATATCTCGACGCGGCCGCCTACCACCAGATGCTCGGGCTGAAGGGCTTCCGCGCCGCGCTGGCCAGCGTCGACAAGGACAACTGGGGGCCGTCCTTCTGCTTCTCGTCCACCATTGTCCTGTGCGGCTTCTGCATGCCAGCCTTGGGCAGTGGCGACGAGATGTCTGATCTCAACAAGATATTCGTCATGGTCCGTGGACTCCGCACCACGCTGTGGCCCAGCCAAGGCCAGATTAGCCATACGCAGTATGGCCCGTGGTCGTATGGCGTATGGATAATCGACGAAGATATCGCTGCTGATGGGTATGTCCCGATTCTTTCCTGATAGACTCCAAAGTGCTAAAGTCCGAGGCAGAGATGACCCGCCGCTGGATAATTGTTTGCTTCCGAGGGACATATTCGGTGCCCTGAGTCGCCTGTCAACCTCCTTCGGTGCGAACCTGCCCCAAGCCAGCCGCAGCGACTACGAGATTGCCATAACGCATCTGAGGAAGGCTACAAGGCTCATGGTGCTCGCCGGCGCGCATGTTGAGGTTGGGATGCTCATGCTCTTCCCATATGTTATACCCGACAGCATCATGGCCGACATCCAGGCTGCCAGCCCGTATGCCATGGTCTTGCTGTCTTACTTTGCGCTTCTGTTGAATTCCTTGGAGCCCAAATTCTGGTTCCTGCGGGGCTGGTCGGAAAGGCTATTCGCAATTACTGACAGATCGCTGGTGGATTACCCAAAGCTGCAGAGTATTGTAACGTGGCCCAGGGAACATCTGCGTAACCTGAACTGAAATAGAAAGAGACGATTCGCATTACCCCATTATCTGAGAACACTTCGAAAGCTTGCCATGTAGGTACGGCCTTGATCTGCTTGGCCTTGATCTGCTTGGCCTTTATGTTTGCAGTTGTCCAGTTCTATTCTATAGCCTCCTGCTCATTTCTCCTGGGAGAACTTCTCCAAAACCCACTGAACTTCAGCAGCTATAGCCTCAGGCTCCTCCAGAATGACCAGGTGGCCAGGCTTCTCCAACTGCACAAACCGAGAAACTGAAGACAAATTCAGTTGCTCTCGCTGCAATGTCTCCTCCTTCTCTTCCATTCCGTCAATCATCTTTGAGACTATGGCTCGCTGCTCCTCAGTCCCGTTGCCAGCCGCTACCCCAGCGTCGTACACCTGCTGATATTCCCGAGCGGCGTTGCCCTTGATAACACTGATCGGCTTACTGCCGAGAATCTGCCTTTCAAATTGCATCTTTTCTCCCAGTGTCTTTTCAGTCAACGGCCAAGCGAAAGTTTCGACGGCTGTCTGCGGGCCATTCTCTGCGATTTCTTGAAGCTGGGTCTGTGTTGGAGAAAGGTTAGTTGGATGTACTCTTCATGTAGAATGAATCAGCATACCCGCCACTCCACTGGCGTCAATCGGTGTCGGTCCTTGACTCCTACGACCTCAAAAAAGTCCAGCCCTCTCAAGAACGCCATTGTGTTCGGCGCATCAATCGGACGTAGCTCGGTTGTCCTCTCCTGTACACATTCAATCATAACCATGCCAACCACATCATCCTTCCTCCGCTCGAGAAACTCCCGAGCGACGATTCCGCCCCACGACATGGGCACCAAGATAAATGGCCCATCTACACCTGCCTTTTGCAAGAGTTTGTCGAGATCTTCGGCGGCCTTCTCAGCGTAGACACGAGGCTCGTATTGGTTGGCAGAGGGGTTGATTTCGGATTTGCCAAGACCAGCTCGATCATGAGTATATACACGGACGAATGGGGTCAGGTACCGAGTGACGAGCGGCCATGAGACTGATGAGCCACCTAGGCCAGATTCAAGAATCACTACCGGCTGACCCGGGATCCGATCGGGACCGTCAGCGCGCAGAAAGAGATCATGTCCGTCAATGGAAACACGGCCCTGCTGGTTACCCTTAAGCCAGTCTTGAGAAGTCATATTGGAGGCGTCAGAGTAGGACTTGAGTAGAGTACGATGAGACGTGAGAGGGAACGATGCTGCACGGAGGGGGGAAGAGGGGAAAGGTTAAATTGCTTGGGAGGAGTGAAAGAAATTAGCTCAGGGGTTATCCTAGTGCCTGGTGGTGTGGTGCAGGGGTTTCCAAAGAGTGGTCGTATCCCAGCGTATTGACACATCGCAAGGTGCTGCAAGGGTCGATAATGCTAGGATGATGACATGATGCAGTCGCTTCTGTTGAGAACCAAGAATGCAGCTTTCAAGTAGATGGAGCCACGATAACACTGAGAACCAACAGCTACAAGAAGGCACGGAGAAGCCTCGAGTCATACGTGATACGTAAATGGAATACAGGGAGTGTTTCCAAGGGCCTGAGAAGTTATCCTGCGTGTTTGCCTGGTCTGAGCCGGGAATAAGCAGCGGGCAGGAGGTCACCGTGACTATTCCATCTTAGCGGTTCGGATAACACTTGGTAATGATGTACTATAGAAGCCATGTATTTTGTAGGGCCGCCGCAGATGCACCCCTAGCTGGAGATGTTGAGTTTGTGGCGTTGCTGAGTCTCTGGGCTTGGGCGAGTTGGCGCGTCGTCCTTTGGACAAGTGTGTGCCACAACTAAGTACATGCACCATTGAGTTTGCGTGTTTCGCCAAAATACACCACACAAGCCTCAGTGAACCGTTGTAAATCTCTTAAAGTGTCGAGCTGATGATACTCAGCCTACTGTACGCTATATATATGCTCATAAACGAGCCCAATTAAAGCTCAGATATTGCCCGATCTACTTATCCACTAATACCGGTAATGAGTTCGATCGCAAGATAAGGTCAGAAACAGGAACGGAGGCCAAAACCATGGAGCCAGTCGCAACGATTTACGTAGTACGCTAGACCCGAGAGACACAAGCTTGGTGATTGTTGGCTAGACCGCAATGCTGCTTTACTGAGCTACGACAATGGAATTAACCGGTATGTGACAGTGGTGAGGATCCTAAGCGAGACACAAAGCGCAGGTGGTCCACATATTAATACGCTGAGGACACATCTCAGCCTATCCTTTATATCACATCACATTAGCAGCGTTCCCGCATAACCCAAAACGGATCTTTCAGCGTGCCACGTCACAAATAGCTTGAACATCCCCTCACCTGACCTCCTCCGTCGTCAGCAGCCGTGTTGGTGTTGTTTATAACCCCGCACAGATCGAGATGCAAGGTGCCTTTCCTCACCTTTCTGGGACACGCGTTCGCAAACATGGTCGCACCTATTGAGCCTGTAGGTAGCATCACCGTGCCAGTTCCGTCCAGAGCCCAAATAATAACAAAGATTCTCTGGTGATGATGTGCTTATCTGACAATTGTCTAGGACCCTCAGGTCGCCGACAGCGACAATGACAACTTTGATGCAGAAAGGCAATTTTCCCTACACCAAAATTGCGTAACCAGCGATGTGCTAATTACCAGGCCAGCATTCCTGACTCAACCGCTTCCATCACGTCCAGCATTTTCGAACAACGCTTTTTTGAAGGCCGGGCGTATGCCAATCCAAAATATGGAAAACACTGGTATGCTGGTCGTGTCAAAAAGCTCAGTGTTACTTACTCACGGATCCAAAGGGCCCCCAACGATGAAGAACAGCTCGAGGCTCTTGACATCATGTAAGGCTCTATTTACAAGGGCGATTTGACCACCAATCCTAACTAGTTCTTTCAATAGTCATCATTGGTTGACATTGATGCTTGACAATAAGCTGTATCTTGCACCTATTGGAGAAAATCCACAGGTCAGTTTACCACTGGCAGACTGGAATTGATTCATACTGATCTTGCACAGAACATTCTGGACATTGGGACTGGAACAGGCATTTGGGCCATGTGAGTACCATATTGTGATGACTTAGCCTTTCCTCAGATTGTTTCTAATGACCCCCAGCAACATGGCAGACCAGTTCCCCTCGGCCAAGGTTATTGGCACTGATCTTGCACCCACACAGCCATCCTGGGTGCCACCAAACTTGGAATTTCAGATCGATGATTGCCAACTGGATTGGACATTTGAGCCGGAATCATTCGACTTTATCCACATCCGATATCTCCAGGGTTCTATTGAGGATTGGAACAAGTTATACGGTCAGCTGTACAAGTTCTTGAAGCCGGGAGGCTGGTTCCAGCATATAGAACCAGATCTGCAAATGTTGTCCGACAACCCTGAGATCGTCGTGGGCGACGACCAGTATGTACCAAGGGTCTTTTTAGGGCCACGCAGCCCCCTTGAATGCGACGGAGAGACGAACTAACAATTTGCCTAGTATCTTCTCCAGGTGGGCTCAATCCTTCCGCGAGGTGGGTGAGAAGATTGGCCGAACATTCGACTTCAGCAATCAGAAGATGGAAACGCTTGCAAAGGACGCTGGTTTCACTTCCGTCACCTTCCAGAACCACAAGATTCCTGTTGGCCGCTGGCCCAGGGATAGAAAGATCAAAGAGCTGGGGACTTTCGTCAGTCTCTCTTTCAGCCAGGCATTGGACGGCTTTGTCAAGTTGCCTTTGATGGAGATTCTAGGCTGGGACTCTGCGAGGACCCAAGTTTTTGGTGCTGAGATGCGCTCTGCCCTGCTTAACCCCAAGACCCGAGCGACTGGTCGCGTGTACGTCCTTCTTATGCTTGAACTGAGACTCCATTGCTAACCTGAGTGTCACGGATTTTCTGTGTATGGCCAGAAGCCAGAGAGACCAGGAGCGTCAACACCGGCCGGGGAGGGAGAGTAAGATGCAAATACATGTTTATTCCACATAATATTAATCTGAACTTCAATTCTACCCGTGCACGCGATACACTCACCGCTTAATGATTCTCCGGAATTGTTTCATTTATCAATAGGAATGGAGCGAAACCAAGGCCACCAGCGTTCGATTGTGTGAAGGGTATAAAACTAAGGAAAATTTTGATTCGGGGTATCTTGACAATGCCGCCGCTCATTGTGTCCTTGTTGGTGGCCTTGAGTTAGACCGAGGCCCTATTAATATGGGATCCAGGTCCGGTATGACATCTTAATGCTCTCGTTTGGAACTATTGTGAGGGTAGCGACAGCGAAACACCAAGTTGAGATAGATCCCGGGGAGGCTCGTGATTTCGTCTCCGCGATCAGAATTTTAATGAACGCAGATTAGGAAATTGCACAGTCCGTATTGGGTGAGGGAGGCTACTCCTAACTTGTATCTCCCATGATCAAGTGTTGGCCTTCTCCAAGTTGAAACTCGGAGTTCCTCCTTCTGCCAACTGGGGGTCTCCTTTCTGGTCTGTTCCACTTGATGAATCATCTACAAGAAGACCAACATCGCGCTTGAACTCGCGAAGCCACTCAACATTGTCGGCAGGAGTCTGGTTCCATGAATCATCACTAGTAAAACTATCAGCGTATTGCGACATGGCGTAAATGCACTGGCTGTGCAAGTTTGGTTAGGGACTGCAAAGGAAGAACTCACTCATCGTACAGAATCCAACGCGCCTGGTATCTGAGTTCGTCGTCGACAGGTACGTGGCTGTTGGGGTTCTTGGGTGACATGGTGCTCGCCACGAACCGGGACAGCTCTCTCGCTAGTCGACGGAAGCAGTTCTTGTCGTTGAGAAAGAATGGGTGTGTTTTTCCGCCACTGAATGAGGACACGGAGGCAGCGGCTGTAGACATTTTTTCAGGCTTCCATGCGGTAGAATAGTCGCCATTGTCCGTAGAGTCCAAGGACGTGCTCAAGCTCCATTCGTAATTAGCGATGGGCAGATCATTGATATCCGTAGACAGAGGAGTCCTGAGGGCGAGACTGGGAGTGTGCCCGAGACCACCCAATGCCATCCCTCCCTGATTTGGAGTGTGCGTGAGGTTAGCATTATCCTGAATCGATTTTAATAATGCCACTGGTGTGTCAGTAGGGTAAGGTAGCGGAGCCAAAGGCTCAATATTGTTAACGCCGAAAAGGATGTCCTCATCTGCAATGCTCCCGACTGATTGAACCTGCGTCCGCTCTCGCAAAGCCGTAACCCAGTGATTTGAGCCCCAAATAAGCCTGATCAAGAATTCTAAGAATGTATAGGAGGGGTTCGGCGAAGAGGCCTCGATACGGCGCAGAACGTTGCATGCCTCTTGCTGTATCTCGACTTCTGACAGAGCAAGGCCCAGGGCATCATGCATTGCAATTTGACAGGCTAGTTGGTGTTCTAAATCACACTGGTCGAAAATGTTCAGTTTGCCGTTGATCTTGAGCTGGCTCATCCGAGACTCTGCGGCGTTCTTCATAGGGCGTAGACGTGCCTGCTCGGCAATCTCAACGGATGACATGATGATATCTCGCAGCCAAGAGGGCGCCATCGGGGCCGAAGATTGCACGAGAAATTCAGCGCCGAAAACGATGGAGCAGCTCTCGTATTGAAGCTCGTGGTCTGAAGGGAGCAAGCCGTGCGTGTCGAAATAATTCTGCATGTAGTACTCCAACTCTAGCTTGATGAGTTCATAGGCACTAGTCGGTGTATGGGCTGGCCCTTGGGTTGCGGAAAGGGGAAGAGGCGAGTTCCGTTCTTGGTGAATGAGATCTTCGGAGTGTGAACTCAAGGCCAATGATGGTAGAATAATGGTAGAAAGAAAATAACTCACAAGGCGGTATTGCATTGTCCACCATTTCCATGACCTGCGCATCAAATCCCCAGTTCCCTTCCCAAAATTCCATTGTACTTCCACTCTTGAAGTGTTCGCCTAGGTGGTCGACTCGGCCTGACCAAGTGTCCAGGACGACGCCACAGAATCCGCAGCGAGACCGGATCTCCTTGATTGCCACCTTCCACTGTTCCATGGGCCATGGCGAGTACCCAGCCGAGTGGACCAGCTTAAGATGTTGCCGAAGGTGATCTTTGCGGTAGAATGTCCTCTCTTCAAGGGGCCGGTCCAGACAGGTGCCGTAGTTGTGGGCATTCAAATGTGCTTGGTCTGGACTGATCTCGCCGCAGTAGACGCATACGACGCCTTTTTCTTGGTGCAGCGCCGTAGATCCGCTTGATGAACACACCCATTCCTCGAGGGATAGGTGCAGCGACTTCTCATGGCGTTGCCAGTCATACTTGGTCTTGAATGTCTCGATGCAAAATGTGCACTGGTAGGTATGACAGGTTTGGCGCAACGTCAGGTGCTTGCTCTTCTGGCGCCCGGCCGTCACGCGGCGTCTCCTCCGGGTAGAACCTCGTTTTCCAGAATCGAAAGATGTCGAGGTTTTCCACGAGCGGCGAGAATTGGCAGAGGTTTCGGACCAAACGCCTTTGCTCGATTGCGATGTAGCCGCGCTACCAACAGATGAGGCATTGCCAGAAGACATTCCAGAAGCTCGCGAAGCATTCTGCAACGAGGTCGTACTCGATGAAGCAACCACGGCACGGGAAATATCGGACGCCGTAGCAGCTTCGTGTTCAGGGGGCGAGTTCTGCCATCGCTGGAGAGGATTCATGTCCTGGAACGGCACAGGCGTCGCGCGTCGTCGAGGGATTTCCATCCGTTCAGTCTGGGCACACGGCGGAGGTTCAGTCCAGCCTCGAGTGAGCGGTGATAACGGTCGCGAGAGCTGGAACTTGGAGCGTCGCCTGGCGTTAGCGAACCAGCTGGTCACCTGCTGTCTGCTGAGACCGGTTTGGTGTTTGAGAAGCTCTACAGCTTCGGAATTGGGGTAAGGATGTCTCTCATGGCTTGAAAACCAATGTCTTAGGATCCGTAGAGAACTGGAAGAGAACCGTGTCCCGATTTTGGGGGGTGTGCTCGTCTGGTTTTGAGCTTGGCAATTCGTTGTGTTCTCTTGGGGTTGGTCGGGAATGTGGTCGATGAGCGTTTCTAAGCCTGATTCTTCCGAGTTTGCTGACTGCATGATGTCTGGCGTCAGGCTTTGAACGGAGGCCTCACTTTGACCTTCCATGCAAACAAGCACGTCCCTATCACCGTAGCTCTCATTTTCATCGTGTGAGTCATGAGTAGAACCGCAGGCTGACATATTGTGCCAAACCTGACCACAGGTTGATGAAAGTTGATCCGGGAATAAGGGTTCGGCTAAGGACAGAGCTACTGTCAATTCTCACCGGATGACTTTGTGTACGGTGTAAGATGTATGGTGTGATGTGTGTGGGCCATCAGGTTGGTAACAAGGCGCACTTGGGAGCGTCTGATATTTAAACCAGCTGATTCCAACTGGCAGGGATCCTCTTCTACGGGTCCCTTGTCGACGAAAGGCGCGGACCGATCTCATGTTGGCTTGGTTAGTCCTGAACTTCATTGGTGCGTTCTGCGGACTTCCCCACCCTCCAGACGCTTGAGCGATCTAACTTGGAACTGTTCCCAGACTAGATCCACTTTCAATATGTTTCCCATGTTCTTGAGATGGTTGATGTACGAGCAGATATCTGTAAGAGTCGTATCCTCCCTGGCAAAGTGCAGCTGAGAGACTGATAAGCACTAGATTCAAGGTGAGAAGTGCAACTGCCAACCACTTTACCAGGCCCTATCATGATCAGCCGAGATCCAGGTGACCCAGTTAGCCCAGTTTTACGTTGCCCAACTCTTTAAGTTCATCTAAATTGCCTTCCAAGGTAATAGCGGCTCATGTTCCAGTTTCTTGCTACCTCCCTTCTTCATCCGACGAGGAGAATAAATCGTCTTCCTCCCTTTGCCACTCGTCTAACTGTATATCCTCCGCCTGCACCTTTCTATAACCCCTTGACCTGTACCTCTTGAGGAAAATCTTAATCCCCAGTACAATCACCAACACAATACTCACGACAACTCCGAGAGAAATCCAGGCTCTCCATCCTTTTACACAGCAAGGATATAGTCGCATGTAAAGGGTCACAGCCCACTCCAACCAACCAATTTTCCGCCTTTGATCCGGCATGAGTCCCTTTCGTACGAGGTGCTTATGCCGCGGGCCTGTCGGTCCAGACTGGAAGCGCCTGAGACCAAAGTACGGGATGACTTCCTGGCGTGGATCGGAGTCTGGGTACTGTCTATCACCCCAGAGCCCGGTAAAGTAGAAGAACGAGGTTAGGTTAAATGAGGGCGGTGAAGAAGAGGATTGGTACGGAGGCAGCAGGGTGGTCAACTTGGAAGTGGCAGGGTCGAAGCGATAAAAGTATGCTGAAAGCACAGGATCCCACTTTTGACCTTCGTCGCAGTAGTCGATCAGAGCCAAGTTGTGGAGTTGGTCACTAAGAGGCTGAGTTAGTGTGGAGTTGAGCAGTGTCTGGGAAGATGGCATACCCTGCTGTTGGGTAGTTCGCATGAGAGCCGCGAGCGCTGTAAACAATAGGCTACAGAGGAATTAGCAAAGGAGTGTAGAGTGGAAAGCGTAGTGACGTACACGTCCATCGGTCTTGTTGACGGTCGGATCGTCCCAGTCGTAGGCCATTCCGTCTACGTGTTGACTGTAGTAAATACCAACAGGCGTCCCATTGTGGAAACGAACCATGTTATGCTCCCTTTATGAGCGTCAGCCACGTGGAGTATTTGTGTGAGCAGCACTACTAACCAGTCTCCAACATGATCGCCAAAATTCATTCCTGCCTCTATCTTTTCATTGTCCACCAGATGGTTCAGCGGCTCCAGGACTTGGGTGACGTTGGGGCCTTCATTGTACGAGTAGAAGTAGAAATAGAACGCGTCGAGATCGAGCGGCCCCCTCTCAACCACAATCACACACGAAGGCGTCGAGTTGTGGATCTTGCCCGCGGCGTCAGGCGCCTCGCCAAAGAGCCATGCTGGGTACGTGGTAGGGTCGTCGTTGGAGGTGAGGGGAATGTGCGGCCCAAACTGGTTGACGATTTCCAAGTTGTCCAGGTCCAGCTCAGGGAGGTCCTTGATTGGCTTCCCATCCCGCATTGGCGTCGTATGGCGGATGTGAGTTAGCAGGTCGCTAGGCTTGTACGGGTCTTGCGAATGCAGCCAGAGCATGGGCGCTAGAAGAGTTGGTCAGAAGAGTTGGTCAGATGTCTGTGGCGCCTCGCACGTCAGGTCATGATGTCGTCAACACGCGACATACCATGTCTTGCCACATAATCCGGACAGCTGAGATCCGCCTCGGCCCGGGCGCAGCATACGAGCAGGCCGAGCAGGACCAGGAGCCGCGGTATCAATGGTATAAGCGCCGGAGCAGGCCTGTCCCTATCCATCTTCAAACCGGCCCAATTCCGTCGTGATCGGGAGCTATCCTGCGAGGAATCAAGTTGCGCAGGCGATCTGCCACATGAATTTTATCGCCGCGCTGACGCTTAATCAGCACGGCTCCTCGGCATCCAGCCGGACCCGAGCTTCGATTGTGAATACCCGGTTTTGCTCCACAAACCGGATGTGGCTCTTCGTCGGCGCAGCGTCTCTTTTTGTAAGTCGACCCACAAGGCTGCTGGATACCATCGACAGCAAGGGCATTGATCCCGGTGATGAACGGGCCAAGAATTATTGCAGGCAAGATACGAGCACGCTGACTTTTCATCCTTCGAACAAAGAGATTGGCGGATTAACATTTATTGCGGTCTCGAGATCTTATCTTATCTCGGGATACGAGGTGAGGCTGGTGTGGAGTTCTGGACCATTTCTGACGTAAATTTGTTTTTCTCCCTTCATATCAAGAGACAGGTCTATTCTAAACATGGATTATTCCTAGCTATAGCAACAAGATAAGCTAGTCGACATTAGGGTCGAAGGCGATATCCTAGGCCATACCTGGAGGAGTCTCGGTCGTTCGCGGACAATCCGGCTACCCTATACCCCCCTAATCTAGGGTCAGGAATTCAGAATGAAGGGGAAATCATTGCTCGGATTGGCGCTAAAGATTTAAAGAAATAATTCCAAATAAGATATCTGAGTATTTCCTATTTTTCTCAAAGTGATGTCCTCAGTAACGCTGCTAGCTCGCGAGCAGGATAAAAGGGTCCATTATTGACACTACAAGTCTACTAACTGAAAGCAATGCTAATCTAAATACTCAATGAAAATTGTCTAAAACACGCCACGTCTAGAAACCCCTCTTGTTTAAAACCACACGTGCCCATATTTGTATCAACGCTCCAGCTCTCAAGTTAATACCACTACCTATTTATCTCTCAAAAATTCAGGGAACCATTACGCATGACCCGGGTGATGCGCATCATCCATACGAATCGTATCCATGCTGGAAATAGAATGTACGTGCCTGGAACTTTTGCCCTTGTGCACACCGAAAACCATGCCGGGGTGGCCGCAATTAAGGCAAAATACGGCGATGCACATAATCCTATTAGAACGGTCAGTATAATACCCGAGTACAAGACGTGGGAATGATTTACACAGATTCAAGTGCAATGAAAAGCGGCTCATCCCGAAAGAAGTGACTGAAATAACCGTCGTGCAACTCGACGATTCGATAGACGCAACGGATGAGAATGAATAGGGTTGATAGGAATGTGAATGCCAAAAACTGTGTCATCTTTTTGGTGACGTGATTCCAAGGCGGAGTCCTTTTGCATGTAATCAAGTAGTCTGCAAAGGACACACAAAAAACGACAAGCGTTACGACTTGGAAGACGAGGCCTGATAATGAGATATTAACCCCCACTTGTATATGGGCTTCGGTGCCACCCGTGGACGATAAGGCCCCGCCGGCCGCTTGTAGAACCAGGGAGATTATATCGCATGGGATGAAGATCCAGTAGAAGAACCGTGGATCAAATCTCGAAATCGATCGGTGGATGTGATTGATGCTGAAAGATTGCATTAATAATAATACATCGCAATCAAGATATGTCTCTTACACTTGTGATAACAGGACGTAAATGGCGGAACAGAAGAAAACCGGGGCAATGGTGACGCAAACTTGATGCGAGAGTTAGCCAGTCCGGCACGGGAAGAGAGGGACTGCAAACGAACTGATTTGCATAAGAAACCCACTGAAATCAAATGGATTCCCGTGAATAATCAATCGTCCGATGTAGCCAACAACCTCCAGGATGCACCCGCTGATCATGCATGCCAGGAAGCCCCATGTGTGCGCGCGGATCCCTTGAATGGCGTGGAGGACCATGGCGAGTGCGAAAACAGCGATGAAGGTGCCGTTGGCAGGAATCGAGGGCTGATATCGAAGAATGCTGGCCTCGAGAGGGCAGATGTCCAACGTACAATTGGCGGACGGGCCAAAGGCGATGGCGCCGTTGGGAAGTTGGGACATTCTGCTTAACACTTCGGGTCGAAGGTGATGTTAAGTGACGGTAGTAATACGAGCTGGAATATCAAATATATCTCGTAGGCGTAGGTCCAGGCTGCTTTTATTTTCTTCGGCTGGTGGCTTACAGATCCTTCGGGGTGCTCTGTGATTGCCTGCGGCTACGAGACTGCTTCGCTCTGATCGCATTCTCGGGTGGCTCGGGTTTCTTAACTCCCCGTCTCGATTCGACCCAGAGAACTGTGACAGATCCGGCAAGCCTTACAATATGACCCACTGCAATAATCTCCGAACATGGGTCGTGAGTCGTTGCTATTGGCCAAGTTATCAGCACCGCCACTCTATATTACGCGCCATCTCTCCCGAGGCCGGATTCTTCGGATTCTCGTTCCCACTGTCTGATCTTGATCCCGTTAACGCTGAACAAGGAGAACACCATAGGCAATTCCAGCTGTCGCCATGTCTGCCGCCACGGGTAGCCATCGGAAGTGGCACACCAAGTCTCGGAAGGGATGCCACTCCTGCAAGACAAGAAAAATCAAGGTAAGCCATATTGAGTCTAAGCCCGACATCATCTGGCTGTGTCGTCTCTTCCACCCCTGTATCTATTTTGAATGGCATATCAAACAAAAATTTGACAACCTTTTACTAAAATTCCACCTCAAGTGCGACGAGCAACATCCCTCATGCCGGAACTGTATCAAACGTGGCATTCAATGCGACTTCCTCCAGTCCGAGGACACGGCGACCCCGGTTTCAGTCCCAGCAAACCTCGACCTCGAACTCCTCCATCACTTCACTATCTCGACCGCCTCGACCTTGTCCACAGAGACCCAAGTGCGTGATCTTTGGCGCGTGGTTATACCGCAGATTGGTTTCTCTGTCCCGTACATCCTCAACGGCGTGCTTGCCCTTTCAGCCCTTCACATGGCTCGTTACAACCCGGCGCGAAGAGAAGTACTTCTTTCTCAAGCGGGTCGATATCATGCTGCCTCATTGGAAGAGGCTTTGCCTCTCATTCCTAGCGTGACATCGGAGAACTGCACCCACCTCTTTTTGTTCGGTGTGTTGACGCTTTTTTTCAACCTCGCCAGTCCAAGGAAAGCAGACGACATTCTTCTTGTTGGCAATAGAGCCGTGCCAGAATGGCTTTATCTGCTCCGGGGAATCGGAACATTGGTCGCTGCAGACAGCGCAATCTTTTCATCACCTGTGTCGCTCATTTTCAAGGCAATAAACCCGGGGCAGTTTTGGCCTCCACATCCGCCCGAAAAGCAAGAATTTCTCGACGAACTAGAAACAAGAATTCGCGTCAAGACATCAGACTCTGCAGAAAAGCAAGCCTCCCTGCTACAAGCAGTTCAAGCCTTGAGATGGAGCTATGATTTAATGTCTAGCAAAGACTCCAATGAGCACACTCGGCTAAGGAAATTTTATGCGTGGTTATTTGCCATTGAAGAGAGCTATCTGAAGCTGCTGAAGCATGCAGACAGTGAAGCGTTGTGCGTGCTTGCATTCTTCTGCGTTTTGATGCGGGAATTTGAGAGGTATTGGTGGATCGAAGGATGGGCTGTCCATATTCTTCGGCAGATTTATATTCTGCTGGACGATGAGTATAGACTTTGGATACGATGGCCTATCGAAGAGATGGGCTGGGTACCTGAGACCGCGCCTAGGTAGTATACTTGACACAATCCGAGAAAGGTCCTGGTCGGAACTCGCGGCCCCAAGTATGTGACTGTAGCTATTGTTTTTCTCTCACGATACTAGGCCAATTGGTTAGATCCTGGGTGTATCTTTTGCCGGGTATACACATTATGTTTTCCTGAAGTCGCCCTTGTCTACTACGAAGCTGAGGCCAGGTTCCTCTGATATTTACATTTCAATATGTCGTTATTCCTGGGGCTAATTTCGCAGCTCCCGTGTGCATTTTAAAAGGGACCGAATCAAAAGGAGCAGGGCTATCGTTTTTCATAATTCCCATTAGCCGTGCGAGATCTCTGTTCGTAACCTTCAAGTGGTGAGGGGCCAGGTGGCCCACGTCATCGATCTTAGGCTCGCATCGTCCTGTCATGTGTCCTCTGGTACCGAGACGAACAAACGAACTTGAAGGGAGGATTTCTTCATGGTAACCTGGAAATGCCGCCGGTGTGGCTGTTGCCATGATGCTAGGGGCTGATTGTGACGAGCCTTCTATTATGTGGCTAGGTTGGCGGCCCAGAACGTCGTTAGTAGCGGCAAGAAGCTGGACATCAACGCTCCCCACATAAAAGGTCGGAGTATCGGTGGTATGCTTGACGGGACTTTTACTTGAGGCTATGATGATTAATAAGCTTATTTGGCTTGTGCTCACTTAATGATGTCAGACGGAGATATGGACTACAATAACGCTACCGGCAAGAGGAGTGATCACTCCCCTTTGCCGTAACGGTATTGCGACAAATGAGAGTCAGACCGTCGGTCCCAGCGGTCATACCGCCCTCCGAGCTGTGGCGCGTGCCGGCATGGAGATTAACCCAATAGCACTCGTGATTTCTAGTCCCCTAGAATATACCAACATAACGGACGTCTCCGGAGCTGACGTCACTGAACGGTTGGTACTGTTGGTTTGTACTGTGCATGTGATTTTCAGCCATCTGCTTAGCCGTGGCATTGCGGAGGTACAACACTACTTTGTACTTGTACCTGTTCAACGCTGGAGTGCCCTCAAGTCTAGAGAATGAATTGGAGGGCTACATGGAATTCCTGAAACATAGTGGCGAGATCCAGGATCATTAAAGTTATAGCCCATGTAATGATGAAATTATACTAGTGAATCCATTTGAAAGAGCTTTTGCTGCTGTAGTCGATAAACATGGGGACGCTGCGCCACTGACATTAAGCTTATGGCTTAAACAACATCCAAAGTTCTTTCAAATGTAACGCTAAGCACAAGATGTGGCAAGACTGAGGTGATCCTCTTGGCATTGTCCACGGCCCGGCCTCCAAATCCACCTATTGCGCAGACACCTTGCTCTCAATACCGTAGCACTCAATAAATCTCGGGAATTTAGCTTCAATGGAGGGATATTGATTCATAGCCGCTGAAGTAAATTCCATGCCGTTTCGGCTCACTTTGACGCTGGCTAAGCCTCTCGAATTCCCCAAGTTTGTTGGATACACATCGGCTGAAGTACACCTTCTGCAGCTGACCCGGGGGCTGACGTGGCGCAATCTGCAACAACAAAAAACGCTCCTATCGGATTCCAATACCAGTCGATCACCGGGGACATAAAACTGCTAAGCCACTTGCTATTTGTATGCTGGCGGACCAGGGCGACTAATCTCATCGGGCCATTCGCGCCACTGGATCCCAGCCTCAACACGATGACGGCTAGTAGTTACACAAGTGAGCGAATCTTACCCCACAAATTCTGACTGCAAGGGCGTTATATGCTATTTCCAGAAGTAATTAGGTCTGTAATAGAATATAAGAGCGGCTGCCTATTCCCTCGGTGTGTTGGAAGAAGCATCTCAGCAGCAGCAAGCAACACCACTTTTGGCATCAACATCTCATTCCTATCGTACGACATCCTCATGATCCTCTTGGATTCGTCGTTATGGCGCCGTATTCCACCTATGGTGCGAGGTCCACCGACCTTTGCATGACTCCAACCTGTATCCGCCTTGCTGCGGAAGTCCTCTCGAACCTGGATCCGAACTACACCAAAATTGATCCTTGCACAGATTTCGATCAACGCAAGTCCACCTCTAGACATTTGTAACTCTCTTGGCAATTCTAACTCCAACGTAGTGGTCTGTGGCAATTGGGCCGCTCACAACGAGATTCCGCCGGGCGATAATTCCTTCGATTCCCTCACCGCTGTCGCTGAACAGAACTACATCGCCTTGAAACACATTCTGAAGGGTCCATATCCGTCTGGTTCGGCAGCTGGCTGGATCACGGTCGCCCTGACTGAGGATCAAGCCAAGGCCGACAAGGAAAACTTTGCCAAAATGCAGAACGCTTACGCTGCCTGCATGAACTACGAAGCCCTGGAGGAAGAAGGGCTCGAATACTTGGCTGCATTTGTGAAGCTGGTTGTGGATGCTTTTCCCGCCACCGCTGAGTCAAACAAGACATCTGGAGTGAACTACGATCACGCTGCTGCAATGGGCAAGACCTTGACGATCTTCGAGAAACTGGGGTTTGAGACTACGCAAAAAATCACTCCAACCCAGGGTTTTGTCGACCCAGAAGATTTTATCCTCCAGATTGATGCACCATCGGATTTCTATTTCCCCCCCATGGATGATACCCGAGAATACCTGGAACTCGCTGCTACCCTTATATCCGCTGTACACCCTGCAAAGATCACAGTCAAGCACGCTGCCAACCTCATGATCTCCGTGCTAGAGTGGCAGCAAAATCTGCAAAAGCTCGTGGCTGCCGCGCAGGAAGCAGACGATTCTGACTCGGAGGCCCCACCAGCGACGAAATCCCTTGCTGAAATCCAGAAGCTGGCTCCGCAGCTGAACTACGCATATGTAGTCGAGCAGCTGGCCCCTAAGGGTTATTTGGCGGAGGAGGTGACTTTTCAGTTCAGCAACTACTACAAGACCCTCTCCGAGCTCATCTCCCAGACTCCATCCGAGGTCCTCCAAGCCTTTTTCGTTTGGAGGTCAATCTCTTCGCTCTCTCCATACATCGAGTCCAAGCCGACGAATGCATATAACGACTTCATTCTGAGACAGGGAGGCGGTGATCTAAAAAACCGTGCACCTCGATGGAAAACCTGCGTGCAGTCCGTTGCGGCGAAGGATGCCGGCATGACATGGATCCTGTCCCGATTCTTCTTGGACAAGAACTATTCTCCCCAAGCGAGAGAACTTACGTTGGATGTCGTTGACACGCTGAAAGATGCCTTTATTGAGCGTGTGAAGACAAGAGACTGGGCGACCGATGAAGTCAAGAAAGCCGCCATCAAGAAGGTCGAGGCCATACTCAGCAAGGTTGTGTTGCCGAGTGACCCGGACCTGATCGACCCCACGAATCTATATGAGTACTATGCTGATACTGAGATAACCTCCTCATATGTCGGCAATGTGCAGGCTCTCACCGCGGCAAATGTGGGCAAGAAGTGGGCGGCTCTCGGAGAGCCCTTTGATAGGGGACAGTTCCGGTACAGCACACTCATCGTCAACGCCGCCTATTTGCCTCAATCGAACGCAATAGAATTGGAGACCGGTGTCCAGCAGTTCCCCATTTATGACGTCGCCTTTCCGTCGTACATGATCTACGGAGGCATGGGCAGCATTGTGGGCCATGAGATAACGCACGGGTTCGACGACACCGGACGGCTGTTCGACTTGAACGGAAACATGACCAAATGGTGGGACCAAAGCAGTATCGATGGATTCCTCGAGAACGCTGAGTGCTTTGTTGAGCAATACGGAAAGTTCACCATCACAGCGCCAAACGGAACGCAGGTCCCCGTGGACGGGGTCAAGACGCTGGGCGAGAACATTGCGGATGCGGGAGGTGTGACGTCCAGCTTCGCAGCGTGGAAGAAGTGGGAGAACAAGAAGGGAAAAGCGAAAAGCTTGCCGGGGCTTGAAATGTTTACTCACGAGCAGTTGTTTTTCCTCAAATGGGGGCAGACGTGGTGCGAAAACATTACACCTGCCGCAGCGCTTGCGCAAGTGCTGGGTTCCGATGTACACAGCCCAAAGAACGCGAGGATCAAGCTGACTTTGAGTAACTCGGCTGAGTTTAACAAGGCGTTCAACTGTCCCAAGAAGGAGCCAGTTTGTGAGTTGTGGTAAGAGATATTTGGCTACTCTGAGGTTTTCGGTGTTATAAGGATTTCATCGTGCCTTTAATGGCACTTATGGACAAGGCACACAGTCATTACAATCTGCTGGATATTCTTGTAGTTCAGATGAAGCATGCTTTCCGCAAACTGAAACGTACAATAGAATAGCTAGAAAATACAATAAGACGATGTGGACCATTTAAATTCCATCTTTGATCTTTGTTTCTTTAGAACTGCTCTGGTGTAATCTCACTCTTAATATTATACTGTCAAAGTTATTTCTCGGCTCTAGTCGCCTATTGAAGAATAAGTTGTTTAATTTGCTCAGAGCGAGGTACAAATTCCACCTTGGACGGACAGGGCGTGATGTGGAGGCGTCATTCAAATCAAAGACATCAAGTAACCTGTCATTGCCCTGATATGTGTGATTAATTGAAGAGACCCTTGTGTTCATTGTCGGGAACGTTTAGACATACGTGATCATCCACCGAGCGCATGCTAGACGACCACAGCAACTCAACAATCGTACACCCTTATGCACTGTTCAGCAAGTGGCTGCCCACTGCACTGTCGGAGTCCCCTGCCAAAAGTGTAGTTGCCTTGGCACACTGGTAGATGTCGGTATAAAATCAGTACCTCTTGTACAGCGAGTACCTAGAATGAATAATCCCAGGAGGAGATAAGATCGTATGAAGAAGTTACGGATAGGTCGGCCGATACTACGGATCTTCTCGGTAATGGCTATGATGAAATCCGACCGCGTCCGTCGGCCGAATATTTTTCAGAACCCCCCTACGATTTGACCACCTGACACATATACTCTTTTGGATCTAGGAATAACAACCACATGTTCGCCAATCTTTCTCGCAGGTTGCACCCAGAGATATTTGATTAAGTCTCTATAAAGTTAATTCCGGCTTCATCCTCCTCTGGCCACGACCTGAGTCAATATTTCCTTGATTTGCTTGTTGGATTTTATACACTCTCTGCCCCCATACACTCTGCAGTCAGTCCATCTGCCGCTAACAAAATATGTTTCTGTTGGTGGACCCGAGGTCGGGCCCTTGTTCCGACTTGTCCCGTTTTACGCCTGAGATGCTAGGCATACAGGACAGAGGTGATCGTCCCTGAGACACACCGTTTGTCACACATAGTTAGCCTAGTCATCATCATACAGCTCATCAGGCCCTAGCATCGTCCCCGTATTTCCACTAGTTTCGTATTTAAGTTAGAAGGTACTCTCTTATTTTGTTAGCGTCAATTTATATCTGAACCATTCCCGCAGCATCGCATGAAGTTCATTTCCAGCCCCTTGAAGTGGCCTGATTCTGGGTAACACAGTCTCCTATCGAGACACTTGTCGAGTAAGGGGAGTCCGACTGGTGCCTAAATATTGTATCACATCAGAGCGGGGTAGTTAGGCTACACAGGGCTGGACTGACTGGAGGAATGTTGGCTCTACATTGCAACGGAGGAAGTGACGAAGAGTTTTCTCCTTCTTTTCCATCATTCCAAGCAGTCATCTGCCTTTTTATTGCTAAAATGAGCTCTGTAGAGGGGTCTTTCAAGCTATCGCCAGATATATTATATATCGTCTGTTCCTTCACTTCTAGAGGGACCCTCTTCCAGCTCAGACTCACTTCTCGAGCGCTCAACCAAGCGGCAACATTCTGGGCATTTAGGCATGTTCGCCTTGACGCGCGCACCAAGGTACCTCGACGATTCGTTGAACTTGCGCAATGTCAGAAACTGCGTCCCCTCGTACAAGAAATCACCTGCGACACCTGGATCGGCCCGCACCATCAGTATGAGGGTGTGTACACCTACAAAATTCCCGCAGACTTCATGAACGCTTTGCCCTACCTGCGCTATTTCCACGGCCTCAAGGCACTGCATCTGCGATTCAATGAATGCTGTGGAGACGAGAACCGAGCTTGGTCCATCCCGGTGGAAGAGACATGGGACTTCAGGTTTCGAGTTCTTGATACCGTTTTCCAATGTTTAGCAGGGACCTGGAGTCCAGAAAAACAGGAGGAAACGGATAAGGGATTGGCATTGGGCTTTGAAGCTGTATACACGACACCAGAACTGGAGGTTGACAACCGAACAATGTCGCCAATCCGCCTGAATTCGTTGACCATTTCCAACTTGGCCGATTATCATGATGAGCGCCTTGCAAATTCTGATGCATTCAAGCGAGTCTTGTCTTCACATACTCTCGTCGACCTCAAACTGTTGATTTCTACTCACGCTAAAGAAGTCGTCTCCTCTCTCTACTTCCCCGAAAAGCACGACTTTTTCGAGGGTCTCCCTAACACTTGGCTCTCACCGCCCTTGGCCTAGAATTTGAGGGTTCTGTCATTGTATTTTCAAAACTACTGGGGCTGGTGCCCAAAGATGGATTTTCGGGCTGTCAATCCTGGGAGAGGGCCAAGTTCAGGCTTTCCTCAATTGAAAGTACTCGCACTTGGGAACTTCACCTTCAGCCATGAATGGCAGATCGGATGGATTGCATCATTAGGCCAGAACAACGGATCTGGAGGATTGGAAGAACTCTATCTCGACGACTGTCCAATTCTATACAAAGCTCATCAGTTGTCACCTATGGACGAGAGCGAGACGATGCTAGGTCATGATGAAGATGGGAACATGATCTCCGTGTCTAATCACGGCTATCCCATTAAAGAAGTCGTGGCACACCGAGCGGCAGGAGGTCCTAGTAACCTCAGGCTCCGCGGCCTCCCTACTCAGACACAAGAACATGCCATTAGGTGGTTTCATGTCTTCCGACAGTGGCAAGAACGAATGAAAGGCCTCAGAGTCTTTCGAATGGGTCATGGAGTATGGCACACCACACCAGCAGATACTTTCAACGCTTGCCGATCGGATGAATCATTTGCTCATGTAAACAGCAGAATACTAGCGCGGAGGGTTCAAGACAACGGATTTCGGTCTTTTGACTGTCCTGCCCCAATGACGCCACAACCCGAGTTTGATGACTGGTTGTGGAACGAAAGACTAGTTGATTCAAGCAATCCCAAATACCTGAATGGCACGGGTCTTTGACAAGATCGTGTGGATGTAATGCAATACATCCGAAATGACTGCAACTGGTGGATCCCACGGGGTTGGGCAAATTCTTACGGCAATCGAAAGAAGGTGGTTTGGGCGCCAGAGGAATCGACCATCGACCAGGACGACGCGGCTTTCGAAATGTTCCTTTCTGTAGTGCAATCAAGGCATAATACTGTGGACGGATGAGTAGGGTGTCATTATTAAGACGCGATTGTTTATTAATTGAATCATCGTACGTGGGATCAGACATCGAAACAGTGGCCGCACATTTCAACTAGCTAAATTTGGTAGACGCCGGACAAGCCAACTTCGTTGCGCGCACTTTTGTGGGATCCTGATGATAGATTTGGGCTTAAGTGCTGTCCTGATTTGCGCTTGGAATGTGTAGTAAAGCTTGTATTGATGAATGTCTGCTGGACGCGCCCTTCGCCGACATCAAGTGGAGTTGAAAGGCGAGGCATATTTCCACAACCGGAGCAGTCTTAGTATGGGTATCTCCACATTTATCGGTGTGGATTGTGGTTTGACAGTCAGTAAGTTAGCTACGCAGTCAGACGGATGAATGCAAATCATACGCTAGATTACGACATTCGATCCACCTACAGATGACAAATCGACAAATCTCTTTTAACCTTCCTATTAGATAAAAAAAAACAGGGACGATATACTAAAAATATTAGGTGAAAGATAACGAAGGAACATGATGCATGCACACATGGTAGGCGGGTCATTTTTGGTAGGGAACTAAACTAAGCCTGGAAGCACTTATAAGAAGAGCCTCTCGCCCACTTAATTTCTTCACTTGTGAAATTCTCCTCTCCATATTCTCATTTCCCATAAGGCCAGCTCCAAAACAACAATACCATGTCGAACACTTTGATCGTGCTACCTCGTCCCGGGGCTGCGAAGCCCGACAACACGCTGCCACCAATCCCAGCTCCATCTGAAGACGCCTTCATCGAAACTTTTGGTAGCTTGCTGCCCCGAGCATCCTATTTGCAGACACAGAACGGAAAGGCCGCATACTACGAGTTGCTTCCCTCGTCTCCTCCGCCTACAGACAGTACGACGACGCCTTCTCGTGTGCTTTTCGTCCACGGCGTCCAGACCTGCGCAATCGGTCTGCAGCCATTGGCAAGCGCGCTTTCTTCGCGATTCCCACATGCACACTGTGTCCTCTTTGATCAATGGGGCCATGGACTTACCGAAACCCCGCTTGTTGCGCACGACGCGCCTCTTTTCCATGCCTTGCTAGAGGCCGTGATGGCGAAGCTTGGGTGGGAAGATGCTCATCTTGTTGGCTATTCGTTTGGTGCATCGACGACAGCAAGTTTTGCGGCTGCAAAGCCAGAACGTGTCGCCTCCATGGTACTGGTTGCACCCGCTGGTTTTATCCGCGAGGCGCAATTTAACGAGGTGCAGAGGAGCTACTTGCGAGGCGGGGACGGGTTGGAGGAGAAGGCGAAAGAATGGGTTATTGAGTTTTTGGAGGGAGGACAATTGGCCGTCCCTTCTGACTGGAAGGAGAGAGTGAGCCGAGGCGAAATGGTTCCTGAAGCTGTTCGAGACTGGCAAATGAAGAACCATAAAGGGCATGCTGCTAGTGTCGTCGCCATCTTGAGAGATGGTGGCGTCATAGATAAGGATGCTGAATTTGCTAAAGCGGCAAAGACTGGCCGCGAATATCTATGCATCCTGGGAGAGCTGGACGACCTAAGTACCGTTCAGGATTTCCACAACGTCGGAATGCAGAATGTTGCTGTTGTTGCGCAGGTTGGGCATGGAGTTGTTAGGGAAAAGGTTCCGGAGGTTGCTCGACTAATAGAGGATTTCTGGAAGAAGCTCTCATAGATGAGATACCCGGTAGATACGGCCAGTGTCTTATAAAAATTAAACAAGTCTAATTCAAGGGGATATATACACACATGTCTTTACATGTAAAGGATTTTAGACATACGATAGCTTACGACGATCTGTTAATCTATCTGTGATGGATTTGTAGTAGTCGAATATACATACATCTCCTCATCACGTACTTTTCTCTAGTTAAAAAAATGCATTCTTACCCGTCAGTATAGCATTAGTTCGGTGCCTAAAAAGGATATCAGTAAGGATGTTAAAAAACTATCACTTCAATCACGGTTCCAGCCAATACAGATGCAAGATTCAATGTTGATATAATGTCATTAAGCCGTAGACTAATGAGAAAAATAGAAGAGATAGCACTCGGTCCTTTCACCATTTCATTACCATCAAAACTAGAGCATATATTCTCCCCCGTTACTACTAGTGGCTTCGCGTTTGCCAAAAAAAGTGATGCAATCTTCCAAGAACTCTGTTCTGGTGATTAATCCAAAAATGAGATTCCTTATTCTCTGATAGACGCTTTAAGCCCTCATATACTTCTTCCTTGATCCGATTGACCCATGGATCACCAATATCTCGTGTTATAAGTTTGCAGGCCTGGCCAACGCTGCTCCGACTAATATCTGCACCGTGGTCAACCAACAGCCTCATGCAGTCCGAGACATTTAGTCTTTGTTTCTCATCAAGCCTCGAGGTTGAAGAAAATAAAAAAATGGCTTGTGCAAGAATCATTTGCCAAGGAGTTTGGTAATGGACGTTAGATCCAAGGTGCTGGCGACTGTTTATATCTGCCCCTTTCAACAACAGTACCCGAATCATAGAGGCGCCGAGAGGATATTCTATCCGGAGGATTGAAAGCAGAGAAACGTTTGGGCTTTTGAGATACCCCTGAACCCTTCTTTTCCAGGACTGTAAGATCCCGCGACGCGATGACAAACCCGTGGGGAAGGTGATGCAGCAGCCCCAGTCGGCTTTGGCCTTGATATATTCCACAACATGTAGGCTAGTGGCAACGCAGAGGAAGTAATCGTCGAATTTGTCCCTTTTGAGCCTCGCGAGGGAAATGAAGTCGGTTTGTTCAGGAGGTTCAAAGAGTAGCTGAAAGCCAGAAGATTGGGTAAAGTCACGAAGCCCATCCAGAAGTCGGATTACATTCTCGCTCTGGTGTGGGTGACATTTAGATGCGTAGGCCATGTAAATGTTGATATGGGGCGGGGAATATGAGAGGCGAGTCGGATCGACTCGTTCGGGACCGTAGCGTTCATACCACATAGCTACCTTGCCCAACGCCACATTTGCTGCGAGAAGCCTGACTGTAGCGTCATAAGGTTTCGTTAAATAACCCTCAAGCTTCAATTGAACTTTGGGGCTCCGGACATACTCCATTACAGTTTTATGTAAATACTGAACGGTGTGGTTTGAAACGTAGCTCTCAAAGGAGTCCGGCTCTTCCTCGCTGTGGTTGACTTCAAGTAGTCCTTTACATCGACTTTTCAGCCGTCTCCGCATATCATCTAGACGGTTCGATATTCCTCTTTCCGATAGGTCGTCGGGCTGAAGGTGTAGTGCGTAGTCGGTGAACGATGATTCATCTGCAAATGAGAACAGGAGAAGCGAAGGCTGCTCGATGCACGATGCCATAAGTTGAAAATATTGCGAGGCGTGCTCTTGATAGAAACCATCAATCTGGTCCAGCATTAATCCGTAGAGTTCTTCTAGCTCTGGAGGGAGAGCCGCCAGGCGCTTTTCGAGGTCTTCAATGCGATCACCGTGGCCAAGACCAGCAAGCAGTGAGGCAACAACGAGTCTAACCCACAAAAACACACCACAGGCCTTCTTGACGATGGATTCGATGAAGTGATCGGCGGTACTCAGGTTTCTCTGCTGAAGCTGTCTGAAGTTTTCATTCTCCTGGAACTCGGCTGTGACGTAGTTTCGAATATCCGATCGAGTGAGGTTTTCAAGCTTCAAGTTTGGCTTACTTTTGAATTCGTCCTCGAACTCGGTCCAAGGGCGACTGGCCAGGCAAACCTTAATGGGATAGCTGGAAGTGAGTCTGCGAAGAAGAACGATCAAAATCTCAGGCTTCCCGTCGAATTCGTCCAGTCCGTCCACGAACAGCGCGACCTTGCTGGTTGCCGTTATGAGCCCAACAGCCCGGTACAACATCTCGCGGAGTTCCTCTTCCGAGATATTCCTCATGTCCTCGTTGAACAAAGACACTGATTCCCACCTTGTTGGAGAGACTGAGGCAATGAACTGGGGGCATGCCTGTAGAAGTTGATATAGGAGGCTTCGGAATAAGCCAGACTGTGATGTCTGAATCTCCGATGCTCCTGCAGCCCAAAAGTAGAATGACGCCATTATGAGAGGCGTTTCACCGCCAGTCCACTTCTGCAAATGCTGCCAACATCGATTCTTAGATGTCTCAGATGCCGTTGTCGCTTGAGTAGGCTGAGAGAGGAACCTCATCAATGTGGACTTTCCAGATCCGGCTTTTCCGGTGATCCAGTATATCTGTTCATCTGACTCAAGCCATTGTCTCAAGTTGGACCAGTCGGCGGACTCATCCTCGCTGTCATTGAAAACCCACTTGAAAGTATCCTCATGAGCCTCGGGAATGCCATACTCTCTGTCCTTCATCCCCTGGTAGTGGATTTGGCTTAGAAACTGAATCTCTAGATATTTCTTCCGTTCCGGAGAAATATGTATGCTTGGTGGCACTGTGTTGTCGGATGATTCCGCCTTGTTATATGAACCGCGAATGAGGTTTTTGACGAGGTCGTGCTTTTCCTTTCCAGATTCCTCAAGCTTCTGAGTAATAAAATCGGCCACTTCTGAACCAAGCCCCCTCGAAATCTGTTGTAACGGGTCGCCTGCCCCATGTGCAGCCATGATGCGCAGCTCTGTCAAAATTTCATCTTGTTTCTCCAGGCTTAGCCTTGCGGTGGTCCTTGAACGAGCAGTGAGTATTATGTATGCGCCCATTAAGACAGTTCAAGACTTACCGGAGCGATACAACGAGATGGAGGGTGAGCTCGTCTCGAAATTGGTCAAGGCGTTTCTGGAGAGATTCGATATCGCCTTTCTTCCACACGAGCTTGAATGCCACCTTCGCTGCATCACGCTTTCGACCCTTCTCGAGCGAACCAGGGCTTGCAATAGACTCTAGCATCTGCTTCAGAACGCCTGAGCACTTGCTGGCCAGCACTAGAATACCATCGTCGCCATTTGTCACGTTAGAAGTGGGAGCCCGAGCGGCTCCTTTTTGAAGCTCCGTAAGGACGGAGCGAAAGCGACTCGAGGAGCTCTGGAGGTCGGAGAGCACTTCGACGCTCCTAGGTCTAGCTTGATAAATTGCACAGCCCGCGATCGCGAACTGTTCGCCGAAGTCGAGTACTTGCGGGATGTTCGCTGCTAGACTAAGCGCAGCAACGACTTCAGCCATATTGGTGGTTGAAGAACAATGCTCTGTTGGGCGTGGGATGGATGAATTTGGGTTGAGATGATGATGAAGAGTACAGATTTCATTCCCAAGGAGATGAGCGGTTTGTTGTCTGTTAGGATGGAAAGTTGGGCTGCAGGGAATGAGGCTGGCGAAACGCCACACAAGTCGCAGTCGCGGCCTATTGGGCCACGTCTTCACTCTACGTAATCACTCACCGCATCAGATGTTAGATTTTTGGAGCGAAAATGCCTAGGCGCATGCGGTGTGTGCAGGCGGTACCAAATCTGGTTAGTGTTGAGGCAGTGAAAACGTATTGTTTTTACAATTACGGGCTTGTTGTTATAGCTCTATGTCGAGAGTATCCCTAACGGTAGACATGATTGGTTTAGTGTCGTCAACAATGATTCTCGCTCCTCACAGGTTCTAATCCAGTGAGTGACAACTTCTACCAACTGACTTCTTTCTGGTGAACTCCAATATTTAGACTACTTCTAGAGCTATATTCAGAGGTCTATAGTGTTGCTTTACGGTCGGCAGAGTAAGTAAAGCAGAGGCGAATACAAAGGACGAGACGTGGACAAATGGTGAAAGGAAAACACTAACAGTAAGATGTAACGCAATATAAACGGCAGAACTAAGTCAGCTAAGGATGATAGACAAACAGTTGGTGTGGAACGTCGCTTGTGGAGATATGTCGAACGAATTTAGCATGAAGTATGAGACAATGCGTAGAAAGGCGCAGGTAGTCGGCGGCCCAGGGCACGAGGCACCATGTAGGGGCTTCATCTCGGATCGTAGACCTACCATCTCCGTCGAGCTGCCAGCTGCTGCGACATATGTGGTGTTGGAGAAGGAAACCTCAATATCTATGCCAAATGGATTCGCAAGGGCAGAGTACAACCGGCATTAAAACCACAGAATGATATCACCTTCGTTTCAGGGCACCCGAGCCTACTTCCCCGACTCTGGGTAGACCGAATTCCGAGCAGCCATCGCAGCATTCGTTAACCCTCATATTCAACCTCGATTAATGTAGTCGAACTCTTTGTTGGACTGGCCTGCTTCCGCCCCCATTCACAAGCTCTCCCTGCATAATCCCTTGTACGTAGCACACCCCCACAAAGTCGAAAGAAGGCGAATCGCCAGGACGATGTGCTCTAGGTCTCAGAACGAACGGCGTTCTTCCCTGGTTGAATACCCAAACCTCATCTCCAGGTTTGGTGTCCAATCGTCCTAATCCCATCAACCCGCTTCGGGTGAAGAAAAACCTTTGATTTCGAGCCATGCCATCCGTAGCGTGTGGTCGACGATCCTCTTCTCCCGATTCTAGGAATTCCGAGACCAAATCCACGTCTTCGTCAGTGGCTAACCGCTCAATGTCCCAATCACTAGTGCTCACCACGTCCCCAATCAATAACCGATGGAAGAGTCTCAGCGCCGTCGAGTGATCAGGCTCAGTTGTGGAGCTTAGCTTATTTATGTATTCGGATACATAAAGGTCCCACCAGCTTCTTATAGTTGGTAATAATGGGACGGTGGGTTCGTCAACCCACTCCTCGACATAATGGCCATCGCCAATGGCTTTGATGGTATCGATGAAATTACCGTCAAGATCCAATGTGCCCTCAGCGTTGTACGAGAAGTCAGCCTCAGGCAGACCCTTATTCGCTTGGTAAATGTCATAGCCACTGTATCGATTCCATTCGTTGGTGCGATATTTAGGCCAGGATTTCATGTCGAGTGCCCATCGTGGAAGTCCTGCGGTGGCTATGTCATCCTCCAAATAGGTATCGAAGGTGGGAGGCAATAAGCCGTAGATGGTCATCAAATCAAGCGTAAAATCGGTAAAGACCCGAGCGGGACTAAGGCTGTAGTCGCAATTGCTGACTCTTGGCATTTCGCCAGGGGAAAACAAGCCATTCAATGCGTACACGTTGTCCAAAGGGTCTGTCGCCTTTCTGAATCGCCAGTGCATTGTTATACCAATTGGCGGATCTCCATCGTCCTTGGAACCGTTGAGCCATATAAGCTGCGCAGACAGGTGTCCCATGTCACCCGTCTCGCCGACGTCACGGACATCGCCATAAAAGTTTATGAATCCCCAGGCAGCCTCAATCATCGTTTGCCACGGTAAGGTGAATGGGCCCCAAAGGAAAAGCAGATCTCGCGGAATTATCGCCTCTTGTACCGTCCACACTCTCCTCCACCAGGGTCCTTCCTGAACTGAAATGGTTCGCAATGCCTTCAACGCGGCTAGAAACTCATGTTCTGACGTAACAAATGCCGGAACCGGGACGCTGGACTGGTCGTCTGCGTTGTTCAAAGCAGCCAGGTACTCGAGGAAGCTGACGGCCTTGGCGGCATCAGATAATGGGCAGGAAACGTCAGCCTGGCCCATCCAGATCAAACATCGCGTGCATTTGGAGTAGATGGCCCGCATAAGCTGGACTTGAGATGCCTTCTCCTTGATGTCGTTCTGATTAATGCACATTTGATCCACCCATAGCAGCCTGGTTTCGTCCTCAAGTCGTAGGCGGTGGAGGGCTGCATACAGGCTCTTGGTGATCTTTATCGAGCTTCCGGGCACCTCAACCACATCCAAAGGGCTGCCCCAGACGTACGACAGAGCTTCGAATTCCGGGCTGCTTGCGAGTGAGACAACGCGTGTTTCCCATCTGAGTGCGGAGCCTTGGTTTGCAGGGTGAAGTTCAACGATCCTGATCTCGTCATCTCCAATGTGGCCGAGATTCATAGTTTGTTCGAGTTGGCGCTTTATAGCCACAAGAAATGCAAAAGTTTTGATCGATATCAGAGGAAAGACAAGAAAGAAAAGTGCTGTTGCCTGATTTACATAGGTAGAATTGGTGGCGCAGCATCTCTACATGCTTACCACCAGGCCGACAACGGAACGGACCAATATCGCTCCGCAACAGCTAATAAACCACATGGGGACCAGAAGCCCAAGGATTCAAATCTTACCCTAGACTTACGACTCACACCTCAGGCAGGGTCTCAACACCATGGAGACACCTATCCATCATCCATCATACCGACTTGTCTTTCCACTAGTAGTTTCAGTGAGAGACTGTCGCAGTTCACGCAGCATTTGACACTCGAATTGGGAAAGCGCACGTGACATGATTATATTATTACGGGCACACTTCAGCTCCAGCCTGTAGCCAGTCAGTTACACGGGGAGCCGAAAGATTGCAAGGGGAGCTGAAGCGTTCCCTATTATCAGAGCGACCTGTCAGACATTAGAGCATAAGACACCTGTGTTCGGTCCGGCATCGGATCGTGGACATGACCGGGTGTTTGGTCTAAAGTTGGGAAATATAAGAAACGCTCATTCTCCTCGCTCAAAGGGGAATATGCAAATCCAACAACCTCATCTTTCAATTATCTGAACAATCTACAAACCCTCAATCTTGATCTTTTAAAATAGTCATCATTATGAAGTCTGCAACTATTCTGATTGCTGCCCTGGCGGGACTTACGGCAGCCAGCCCGACTTATAGAGCCGAATCTGCCAGGTCTGAACCGGAGGGCTCAACCAACTACTGCTTCGAATGTGCGGGACAGTGTGGGGATCCGACCCTCGAATCTACTTACCGCTCTGTGTGTTACATTCTGAAATGCGGACCTCTGGTACGTGATCTCTTGCACTTCATACTAAATACCGAAGGCTAGCAGCATACCGGTATTGACTATCGATAGTCTCTTTTACCTTAGGCTGAAGGATATATACCTACTGTCACACTCCTCAATATTAGCCTGGATAAATATATCGATCATGTGCAATTTTACTTGTAGCCTGAAGGCATTTTGACAGATACGGGTCAAAACCTTGCCTTAAAAACCTGATGATTTATGTCGGAAGCAACGGTGTGGCTGGGTTGGAAATCGGGCAGATATGACAATTGTCTGCGATGAGATAGATGCATAAGGATGGATAGGGGAATTGAACAGTGTCTGTCGAAAAGATGGAAACTAGATTGTGCCTAGCCTATTACTGTCCTCTCAAATACATATTTGGTCATTGTGGTAGCATTGGGTAACAAATGCTTGAATTGTGGATAAAACTGTGTTTTTTTGACCTTCTGCGGCAACTTGCTCACCTTGAAGGAGCAGACAGAAGTTAGATTAGTCCTCTCAAATACAACGAGTCCACCCTCCATCTACCACAATATTTTGACCAGTGATCTAAGCACAAGTGAAGACTTCAGTCAGTGGGGTTTCCAGTGATAACCACGGCACATTTTACTTACATAACTGGCCCGGTCAGAGGCCAGAAAGACGACCTGAGCCGCCACCTCGTCTGGTCTCCCCGGGCGTTTTATTGAGATTGCGGGTTGCGGCTCTGGTTGAATCCGTGCGAGCTTATCACCCTGAATAGCAATCTTCTCGCTCACCTCGGTGTCAATAAGACCGATTGCAATAGTGTTGAAGGTGATATTGAAGGACGAGAACTCATTTGAGAGGGATCGCATGAGGCCGACAGCAGCCCTGGACTGCGATGTCAGCTTATCCTGACCCAACAGATTTAACACATTGAATCGGATAGAATGACTCACAGCCGGAACGTATTTCCTAAGATAATGTGATGCCATCTGTGCGGCTCCAAGGTGCAAACACTGCCCAAGTTAATAAACCTCCCCCATCTCTTCTCCTTCCAAGTAGGCAGGACAGCCTTGGCTAGATGAACGACGCTCAGGACACATTGATCCGAGCTTGTCTTGAAATCCTCCACACTGGCATCGTCGAAACTAAACCTGATCAATGACCTCACATTACAAACGACGACATCTGGTACCGTCCCAAAGACCCCCTCCGTCTTGGCCACGGCTGCGTTAACGTCGGCCTCCAGGGTCATGTCTGCCGAGACGTAGCTGACTCTTCCACTATTCAGAGATTGGAGTTCATGGACGGTATCTTGGAGGGGACCAACGCGACGGGCCGTAATCATTACGGAGGCGCCTTCCTTCATGAAGTCAATGGCGATGGCCTTTCCAATTCCACTAGAGCCGCCAGAGACGAGAACGATTTTATTTTCGAGTCCGAATTTCATGACGGCTTTTTATGGGCGTATAAAGTTATTGGTGGCTTGAAGAAGGTTGTACGGTCTGGGAGAGGATGTGACAGAGATGTGCTTGATGAAACTACGAGGGTCTGGCGGGTAGAGATATAGTGACCACATTTCGGCGGTGCCTTTAAACTCAACCGAGGTACGCTGATATCAATATATTATTAAGTCACAAAAAAGATTCCTCTGGTGCAGGAACGATTAATACGATCAGCATTGTATTGTGCCTATACCAGAGCCTATGTTGCTCATGTACAATTTGTTCTGCTTTGGAAAGTAAAATAAGAATCCAAAATCTTCCTCTCAATTGTAGCTACTCTGTAGGCCGAGACCCGCCTAGACCTTCGGTCTCCATTTAGCACCTCATCCATTACCCCGAATACCCACGTACCGGCTATTCTGTAGTCAAGCCAGAAGAATAACCCAGGTCCGAGATACCGAGGTACCGAGGTATCCGACACTTGGTAGCTATCTGAGCAGATTTCATGTCAGCTAAGGTTCTGAAATCTTGAATATGATGTTTATTTCTAATTGGAGAAGGATTTATTTGATCATCATCCGTATATTCTTACTTCACAGCCTACCCGTAGCCCGCAACACAGCATTACTGCTACATTCACCATGTCTTCATCGTTGCCGGTCAGAGAGTGGCTCATACAAGTACCAATCGAGCCTGGAACCCTTGAGAAACGTCTTGCCCTTCGACAACAACATATCGAAGAGGCAATGCCCAATATAAAAGAGGGCATCATCACCTTTGCCGGCGGTATCCTATCTAAGCCAACCGTTGATGGCGACAACAAGGACATGACTGTGACGATGTTCACGGTGATTACAGAAACGGAGGATGAGGCGCGAAAGATTCTGGAAGAGGATATTTACACCAGAGCAGGAATATGGGACAGCAAGAAAGCACAGATCTTTCCTTGGAAGACGGGTATCAGAATTCCTAAATAGGGGCCGAGGCATAAGTCCTACATCACATATGTGCACCCCTTCCACTAGATAGGTCGCTGGATAGACTAGGTGTGTCTCAATTCTACGCTTCACTTTAACACAAATCCAGAGCAGTATCTAACTCGTGAGTGGACTCCTCAAACAATTTCTACACCCCTATTATTTGCCTCAGCGAGGTGTACTGAACTGCGCATGACCAAGTAGAATGTGGATTGCTATATTTGGCGATACCGGAAGTCCTTCTTTGCAGGGATGTTCGGGCCTCGGGGTCCAGCCTCGGAGGCCTGGCACTACGGAAAGGGAATAAAATGCGGCGCACACTCCTAGGTTCTCCGCGTTGCATGGTTTCAGGTTGTGTGGAGTGACGGGCTTGGAGCTGGGGAATGTTACATCCACCACTTGTGATGGACATCTCACTTCCGTGTGTGGGGAAAATCTTTTTCGTCATCGTTTTTCTAAGGTATCACAAGCTCCTATTTCAGGCAATTCAGTAGCCTCCCTGGTATTGGGCTTACTACCGATGAGCTTCTTTGTTGTTCAAAGCATGCACCGAAATACGATTTCATGACAATACAAACTAAAGGCTGAAAATCGATCTGCTTCACAACTGCTCCGTATTGACAAAGAAACTTGGGTGGGTTACTCCACAGCCATAAAATCCACACCCTGGAAACCTCCAGTTGTTTTCCACTCCGTAATCACCCTCTCGAAATCAAAAATTCCTTTCCCCCACATGGCTCCCCTTGCTCGCCTTTTGAGCTCTTCTACTGGCACAGACCGGTCCATCTCTCCCTCCGCGTTGATATAACTAGGCGTACAGCCTGCAGTGGCCGCAAAAACGCCAGCCTGGGAGACTACCCTGGCGGACCACTCCTCCTCGGCTTCAATAGTTGGCTCCACGACCACGTTATACTTGTAACCTGAGGAAGGCTGTGGTCCTGGCTTCACTCTCTTCCTGGCTTCGGCCAGGATGTCGACTGCATGCTTTACTGACATATCAATACAGTATACAAAGTTGGGCGAGCCAGAAGCCTGAGAAAATCCGGGCCAGAACAGGTTGGGGAAATCGTGGCTCATAATCCCGTGTAGAGTTGCGAGTTTGTCTTTCCACTTTGCATCCAGCGAGCAGTCACCACGGCCCCGAACGTCAATATCGACGCGGCCGCCTGGACTAAAGAGGAATGGGCTCCGATAGCCAGTACCAAGAATCAAGACATCCAAGGGATACTCTTTATCGTTGAAGATGATTCCCCTTTCATTGATAAGCTCGACCCCACGGCCGTTTGTGTCCACGAGCGTCACATTTTCCTTATTAAAGGCCTGGAGATACTCATCGTGAAAGCAGGCCCTCTTGCACCAGCTTGGGTACCAGGCCTTGAGATTCTGGGCAGTCTCTTTGTCGGTGATAAGCTGGTCAACTCTCGCACGAATCTTCTCTTGACGTGGCAAGTCGAGCGTATGGAGGGACCGGGCATATTTCTCCATGTCCTCGGGCCGAATCTCGTCCTCCGTCCCGACTAAAGCGCTGTAAGCCGGCATGCCTGTCCAGCCATCGGAGACCATATCTCTTTCCGGCTTGTTTGCCAAGTTGGTGATGAATGCATTGAAGTTTTCCCTTCTTTCTTGCTGCCAGCCACTCCTCCCCCGGATCTCGCGATCCCACCACTCCTTATCAGTGTCGCAGTTGCCTCGAACGTCAACGCTCGATGGCGTTCGTTGGAAGACGTATAGCTCCTTGGCCCAAGAAGAGACAGCTGGTACAACTTGAATTGCCGTGGCTCCCGTGCCAATAATACCAACTCTCTTGCCTCGCAGCTTCGTGAGGGCAGGATCAGCAGAAGAGCCGCCTGTGCAATTATAGTCCCAGCGAGCCGTGTGAAATGTTTCCCCGGTGAATTTTTCTAGTCCCTTAATTTTCGCAATTTGCGGAATGACCATGATTCCGACCGCCATCATAACAAAGCGGGCGCGCATAGTGAAGCGAGAAATATCTTTCCCGCGCCTTTGCCGTGTCATATTTACCATCCATTCTTTCTTCTTGTCATCCCAAACAAGTTTCTGAACTTTGCAATGAAACGATGCTTTATCGGCGATGTTCCATTTTTCAGCAACTTGCTTAGAATAAGCTCGAAGCTCGTTCCCAGAGACATACTTTTGTGTCGGCATATAACCCATCTCTTCCAGGAGTGGCATATAGATGTAGCTTTCAATATCGCACATGAGGCCGGGATATCGGTTCCAGTACCATGTGCCGCCAAATCCGCCAGCATTGTCCACCAAATGGATATCTTCTGGGGCGAACCCGGAGTCTATCAAGCGGGCCGCGTAAAGTAAGCCGCCAAATCCTGCGCCGATGATCAAGACCTCGGTCCTCTCGGGGGTAGGGGCAGATTTGTACTGGGTAGCTGACTCTTCCTCCCATGGATCCGCGATGAATTTGGTGTATTTATCGATTGAAAAGAGATCGGTGAACTGGGACATGCCCTCAGAGCGTAGGCGTTTCGCCCGTTCGGCTTGATATTTGGCCTCAATCTCGCTGGCCATCTTGGGTGAGTTGGGTGTTGGCTGAGTGGAGTTCTGCATTATTGCGCATTAGATGGGTAGTTGTTTGTCGAACACAAAATTAAGAAGGGAAGTCATTATGAAGGCATATATAACTCTCTGACATATGTCGAGTCTGAGCTACCAAGGTCTTCATCTGCATAAAATAAAGTGACTTGTCCTATAACGATTTTCTTCGTAATACCAGTCGGTTCCATATCCGAGGGCACTGGCCCGACTCCCTCGGTGACAGTAATAATCGTATCATGCGTTTCGGGTTCAGGCGTTTGTCCATCTTGCCTACTAGCAGCTGGACACACCGAGTAATAAGATGACTCCGAGACTTTGCTATCCTATGCGATATTATGGGAAGTGCTGAATTTCCAATACCATTATCAAAAATGAGCTCGTAGTCAATGATAATAGTCAGAGATCCAATTTTTAAGAATCTCCGAGACCCGGCCCGATGGATCACCTCGGGCCATAGAAATCAAGCGACGCCGATTTTCAGAATGCATCTCTGTGCTAAGGAATCTGGGCGGCGGGCTAAATACCGAGGCTCCCTCGGTCAGCCCGGCGAGCGGCATCACAAGATTTCCATCGCACTTATTTTGCCTTACTTAGTGCAGCAAAACTGCTACGCAAAGCCTTCCCGGGCTTTTAATGAACTATTTTGCATGCATACACCACTTATTTAGTAGTCACGTTGCTTTGAAATTCTGTCCATTCAGTCGAACATGTCGGAGCTACGCTTTGATGGCCAGGTTGCCGTTATTACAGGCGGAGGAACCGGCCTCGGAATCGGGTACGCCAAGCTTCTTGCCTCTAGGGGTGCAAGCATCGTCGTCAACGACGCGGCCACAGTGAGTTGCCGTCAGGGTCTGCCAAATACAGTGACTATGCTGACAGAAAATTAGGCTGCGAATACAGTAGTGAAACAAATCATTGAGACCGGCGGCAAAGCAGTAGCCAACTACGACAGTCTAGAGGATGGAGCCAACATCATCCAATCCGCCATCTCTGCCTTTGGCCGCATTGATATCCTCATCAATCATGCAGACCTGGCTCTAGATGCTGCGTTTGAGAATCTTTCGGACCTAGACTGGGACCTCGTCAATAATGCAGTCGTCAGAGGAGCATACAAGACCACACAGGCTGCCTGGCTGCATTTCCGTTCTCAGAAGTCTGGTCGAATTATCCTGACCAGTTCTGCGTCTGGGCTCTATGGCAGCCTGGGTGAAACCAATACCTCCGCAGCTAAGGCCGCCATGGTCGGCTTTGGAAAGACCTTGGCCAAAGAGGGTGCGAAGTACAATATCTTGACAAACATTATCGCTCCAATTATAGCCACGGATCAGCTGCCTGATGCAACAATACCTCTCGTGTCTTTGTTGGTGCACCAGAAAAACAATGTTGAAAATGGCTCCGTCTTTGAAGTTGATGCTGGCCATATCTCAAAGGTGCGGTGGGAGAGAGCACATGGAGCTGTTCTCAAGTGTGACGACTCCATGACTCCGGGAGCGATTCTGGAGAGGTGGACTGATATCAACGACTTTTCGCAATCCGAGTATCCCAATATGACGGCAGACATGATGAAACACCTGAAAGTATCGCAACAGATGAAAAGTAATCGCGCTGGACCGGACATTCGATTCGTCGGCAAAGTGGCTGTAGTCACCGGCGGAGGTGCTGGGTAAGTCTTCCGGAGTCCGGTTCATGTCTCCCCAATATTCTCAACTGCTAAATGAATGTCTCATAGTCTGGGTCGAGCCTATTGCATCCAGTTAGCCAAGCGTGGCGCAGCCGTCGTCGTCAACGACCTTTCGGACCCACATGCAGTTGTCGAAGAGATCCAGGCCTTTGGTGGAACTGCGGTAGCAAATACGTCTTCAGTTGAAGATGGAGATGCTGTGATTAAGACGGCCATCGACAACTTTGGCAGAGTCGACATCTTGATCAATAACGCGGGGATTCTCCGAGACAAGTCGTTTCAGAACATGAACGATAAGTTATGGAATGACATTATGCGTGTTCATCTCCGTGGAACCTACAAGTGCACTCGAGCTGCATATCCGTATATGATCAAGCAGAAGTACGGCCGCATCGTGAATACCTCTAGTACTAGTGGTATTTACGGCAACTATGGTCAGACGAATTATGCTGCAGCGGTAAGCCCTTGTCAATGGAAATTAATGGGCTTGAGGCTGATATTTGATGCAGAAAACAGCCATGCTCGGGCTGGCTGCATCCCTAGCAATCGAAGGCCAGGAGCACAATATTACTATCAACAGCATCGGACCATCCGCAGGTACGCAGCTTACACGGACTGTTCTGAGCGAAGAACTGGTTAAGGCACGGAAGCCGGATTTCGTAGCGCCTCTAGTTCTGCTGCTCTGCTCAGACAAGATCCCCAACGGAGTTACCGGCCAAATCTTTGAGGTTGGATGCGGATGGCAGGGTCAGACGAGATGGCAACGATCGGGTGGCTACAGGTTCAAACCCGAAGCTGTACCTACTCCAGAACAGATTCTCAGTTCTTGGAATGCCGTGACCGACTTCACCGACGGAAGCGCACACCACCCTGGACTTGGAAACACCAGTCAGCCTCAGCCACTGGCAGCGGATTATTACAGGGGCGTTATCGAGAAAGCCAAGAAGGCCAAGGCGGATGGGACGATATTTTCGTATACAGACCGAGACGCCATCCTGTACAACATTTCGCTTGGTGCCGACAGAAATCATCTTCCGTTGGTGTACGAAAACGCAACAGACTTCCATGTCTTGCCTAGCTTCGGTGTTATTCCAGGGACTACTGCTGCTCGGCCATTTAACCTGGAGCAGCTCGTTCCGAATTTCAACTTCAAGATGCTTTTACATGGCGAGCACTTTCTTGAGATTCGCAAGCATCCAATTCCAACATCCGCAACATTGGTTTCGTATCCCCGGCTGATCGAGATTCTGGATAAGGGCAAAGCAAGTGTTGCGATAATTGGTACCACGACTAAGGATGCTGTAACTGGAGAGGAAGTTTTTTACAACGAGCTGTCTCTTTTCTTGCGAGGATCTGGCGGATTCGGCGGCCCAACCAAGAGAACTGACATCGTTTCCGCCACCATATCTACTGCTCCTAGCGGTAGGCCGGATCTGACTGTTGATCAAACGACTTCGCCAGATCAAGCCATTCTTTACCGATTGAATGGTGACAGAAACCCCCTACATATCGACCCGGCTGCAAGCACCGCTGGCGGGTTCAAAAGCCCGATTCTGCATGGTCTCTGTAGTTTCGGAATTGCTACGAAACATGTCGTGGGCGAGCTCGGTCCCATTAAGAACATCAAAGCTCGCTTTGTGGGCACGGTCACACCTGGCGAAACATTAGTGACGGAGATGTGGAAGGCTGGCAATACTGTCTCTTTCCAGACACGGGCCAAGGAGAGTGGGAAGCTGTGCATCTCTCATGGCGGCGCTGAGTTATTGGGAACTCCCGCATCTCATCTTTAAACCTAAGAACCATATTAGATAGAAAAGAATAAAACCAACAGAAGGTGAGGCACCGTGCTTACTTCGCCTATCCGATGGATCATATCCTACATATAAAGATTCCTCAGAAGCAGTCTAATTTGTCCCAGTCACAGAAGTTCATGAATATTGGATGAAGGTGAAAGTGCTTTGAGTCCAGGTGGCAGATCACGATGTACCTTGATCCGAAAGCTAGTGAAGCGATACACTTCCATGCCGTGCTACCATTGTTTTGGCTTGCTTTTGTCGACAGCAAAGTTGAGTGGGGTAAGTGAGATTGGTGAGAAAGTCGCCCGATCAATAAGTGTTGCCCGGGGCGCGCAACTGTAGGCCTCGGAACCGATGTGATTGCAGAGTGCTCCCAAGGAGTACCGAGTAAGTACTTGAAGTTGGAAGGCTAAGAGGCTGATGGCTAATGAAGGTTCCATTTCTCAAGTAAGTTATAGGTAAAGATGAAGCCGGCGGCGCCTTTCTACTCTTGCCCGTGCTGCATCGCCTCATCCAACTCTTCCAATGAGGATCCGAAGGAGGTACGTTGGGCCTCGACTCTCCGGCTCGTTTTGCATGCTTGTTCTAGTCATGAGACCTCTGTTACAGAAATCTCTTCCCCCTCAGTGGTTTCCCCTTCTATGCTTTCTATCTCAGTGCTTTGCTTGCCAAAACTCGGGCTTGTATGTTTTCCCGCTCAGGGACATTGTCTCCGTCTCAAGATGAGTATTCAAAAAGGTGACCGTACTCATTTACATGGAAGTCACTGACCTATGACGTGTTATTCTGATTTCATTTGGCTAGTTTTTCGCAATTCGCAAAAGCTTTTGGAGGCGACGAAAAGGAAAAGGCTCCTATAGGGTAGGGCTATCGGCAAGGTCAGCTACCATCCCTTAAACGAGGTTCCCAATGTCTACTATTTACTTGGGACTTGAACAACAAAAAGCCCAGGTAAAAAGTATCACATAAATAACGAACGTGGGAAGATATTGCTTGGCTGCATAATTACTACTGTTCTCAAACGGCGAAATATGCATCATCTTCAGCCGATAGAGATGAGGGGATTGCCCCACAGTTGCCGAGGCATGAGCATGCACGGAAAAGGAAAACCACGACCATCAACTGATCATTTGAGAACATCTCGGTGTATTTCAGAAAGCTGACCAGACTTAATTGGCCTCTCCCTCCAGTTATCGAGTTATATGAATTATAAAATGGCAGGCTCATCGGTGTCGCATTTGGAGGAGATGTTGCATTTGAAAAAGATTGAGCCGGTGAGGCCAACAACAGCCGAAACAATACACGCACTGTCTTGGCTAAACACATTCTGTAGGACCTATTCACCAGCGGCGAACAACTTTGGCATCCTCCAGGAGGCAGAGGGATCTATGGTGGGTAAGTAGACTCCTTCCTCGCCAGTGGATTGTCGGATTTATTGAGTCTAGGGTCATTGCTGGGCTCTGTATTCGTGCTGCCCAACACACGATCAGCGATGGCTTTTCCATTCATGCCACGCATTGCTACTTCTTGGAAGTGGGAGACAGCAAGGAGCCCGTCGAATTCTCCATGCAGCGCGTGCGTGACGGCAAGTCTTTCATCACCCGAAATGTCATAGCCAGCCAGGGCGGAAATCCCATCTGCTCTAGCACGGTATCATTCGCTCGCGACGGCACCCAGGACAGTCGACGACCCGTACAACATGGACCCCCGATGTCTGAAGGGCTGCATCCTCCACCAGAAGATCGTTCTTTCTCCAATTCACAAATAATGGTAGCTCCGCAGATGTTCCCGGTCGATATTGAGCAGGCCCACGGTCCGCCACACGGCCAAGTGATGCGGATTTGGATTAGATCCCCCGAGAATATTGCAGAGGCCAGCAACCACGCCCTTCATCAGGTGATCCTGGCTTTCCTCTCCGATTGGGTCCTTATGCCTGCCGTCCCAATCGTGAATAACTTGTGGAAGTTCCCTGATGCAATTATTCCAGGGGACAACGTGTCAGCGTTTGAAGGATCCGAGCTTGGCATGCTCTTTACGCTCAACCACACCATGTTCTTCCATGAACCACTTGAAGTCAAGGCCGATGAGTGGATGCTTCTCGAAACAAACTCCCCGTGGGCAGGCAAGGAAAGAGGACTCGTGACGAGCAAGGTTTTCTCTAAGGGCGGTATTTTGTTGGCCACGTGCATACAAGAGGTTGGTACTGGTGCAAAGCGGGACCTAACGAGTCACTGACGTCAATCTAGGGTGGTGTTCGACTGAAAAAGACTACTAAGGTTATGGAGGCGAAAATATAGGCCACTCATTACCCGGAGGGAAGTCAGTGAACCTGGGTCTTGATAGAAGAGTTGACGAGAACGAGCGTGAGTTGGAATGATAGACATGTAGAGAAGCCGCAGGTTTATATACTCATTGTACTATGGCTTTCGCAAATAAAGGAGAAAGCTGAAACAAAGGTTAAGATTGACAAAAAAGAAACGAGAACAATTGAAAAGAGGCTGTATACTACGTTGGCCGAGCATCAAGCATAAATTGAGGCCAACGTACAATACTGATATATCTGGTCTGGCTTTCATCAACTAGAAACCGAACCTCTCGTCAAACATCGCATTTCTGTCATCCCCGGTGCCTCCAAGAAGGGCAGGGTCAATATCGAAATCTAAGAGGGCTGGAATATTATCAACATCTTCCCATGAGGAAACTAGGTCCTCGCGTGGCTGATCGATGCTCAACGTGCCCTGGTCAAGGGGCCAGAGATCAAACGTGCTGAGTAGCGGGCTGAAAGTATGTCTCAAATCAGGCTCTGCCGAAGTCTGGCCCTCTTCCGGAGCATCCAAATGCTGCTGACTCAAGCTCAAAGGGCTCGGGTATGCTTCTGCGATCTGTTTGTGTCCCATTGCTACAGACAACTCATGGGTGACTTGGCCAGCTTTTGAAAGTGAAAAGTTGGAGCTGAACGTGGGGATATCGACACCAGAACTCGTTATGACTGAGTCGACAAAGTGGATGGCAGAGAATGCAGAAGGATATATGTCTTCTAGTTCATGCAACGCCTGCATACACTGAAAAAAGCGGCCGATGCTCATATTGCGGACTTCCTCGTTGGGAGAGCGGACATCCAGTAGGTGTATCAACGCCGCGGAGAGAAACGCCGGGATACTGTTGGTGGCTAGATATTGCAACTGGCTGCTAGACTGGAGATGAAAGGCCAACTTCGTTACCGAGATGGCAGATTCGGCCACCTTGGCTCTCGATACTTTGCTGCTGGTAGTGACTGACCCAGAAAGGCCAAAGGCATGCGGTCGATGCAATACAGCAACTGCATTCAAGTAGCTTATCCTTAGAAGCGCTTGGTACAGCAAGGTCATCTGAGGGGCCCTTTCGCCCTGAGGGACTGAGACGTATATGGACCGCGGATCTTGATTCTGGCACCATGTGTTGAGCTCAGCCTCGCATTGGGCAAGCTCCAAAATTTGATTGCCCGACTTTTTGGGTAGCATGATGGGTTGCGGGAGGTATTCGAAGGATGAATTTGCGTGACTACCCAGTGTCGTATATTGTGAGTAGATGATGTGACCGACGCAAATGCACAGCTTTGTTAGCTCGATGCACATGGTGCACATTGCAATACGACGCTCTGCGTTAGCTCCGGTGATGCGAGGGTCGCGCACCAAATCGACCAGAGGTTGCGAAGGAGCGTATATCTCAAAGTCGTTCAAGGTGAGCATGGCCACGTCGTACTCCCCATCGTGGATTCGGATAGGGCGACGAATACCCAGGGCGAGAAGCCGGTCCTGTATCAAGCAAGCCCACCAGACGCGACGTCTTACGTGCTTGTCTCGCGCCGGGATATCTAAGGCTTCAGGGTCCCGGTGAAGGTTCATGGCCTGAGCGAGGGTCAAAACGATTCCCATCCAGTACCACGCGTCCCTTTCGTCATCGGGGGGACAGTCGTGCCAGTAAGTCATCAAGAGCAAAGACTCAATCAGCGTGAGGTGGTCGGGCTCACAGTCCAGCCCGTAAAGCAGGCGAACCCGGTCAAAGAAGGTCTCGCGGGCTTTCTTCCTACTCGAAAAGCCCCCAGCTTTCAGGAACTTGAAGTCTACAAGATTCACGCTCGCAAACATGACGGCTTGGAATAGTAGGAGACTGACTGGGTTGTCACCATCGCCAAGAAGAATAGACTCGAGAAACGCCATAAAGTCCATGGCAGGTAGGAAAGGAAAGATGATGGTAATGTACGTCCGTAGTAACTCGTTTCGCAGTTCATCGTCGGGTATAGTAAGAGCACCCTTGTTGGCGAGGTATTCCATGTCCTGAGATGTGATGTGTGCTGGGAGTCGCCTGATATACGGCGGAAGGCAAGATTGAGGTTTCTTGGCGACATTGTGAGGTGAGTGCCGGATAGTCTCTGCTGTCCTCTTGGATGGGTGCAACTGAGTCCTATCAGATGGCTGCGCCTGAGCTTCAACATAGATGCAGTCACTTGCAGCAGCCGGAGGGTTGTGTCGGCGCTGACCTGCGAGCTCATTCAGTAAGGCTTCAGACTTGTCAAACTTCACGCTGTACCGCTTCGCACCCTTACCCTTGGTCAACTGCCTAAGCAGGGATTCGTCCGCGGTTATCTCTCGTATATGGTGTGTGGGAGAAGCCTCCTTCCTCGCTCTATTTGACTCGGTAACAATACAGTCGACGCCGTTAAGACGGCAATTGGTGCAGGGGACGCCATCGCAACTCACATCGCAGCGAACCTTGCGATTGCGACAGCAGTTACAGGCTCTGGTGGACCGATGTCTGGTCGTGATACGCCCACGACCGTCATCACACGCTCGCCGCTTCTGAGAAGTGCCGCTGAAGACGGAGGGGTCCGAAGAGTGAGACGCCATGTCACGATATAGAGCAGGGGGGGATTCGTCAAGACCAGACACTCGGGATGGAAGCAGACCTTGCGATACCGTCACAATCGAAGGAAGAGGAGCGGCGGGGAACCGGGCTTACTGACTGTCCGCGCGGTGAATGTATATAACCCGAGGATTTATCATCGCCACATGAAAGCGGGGAACCACCCTTACACCGACCGGAATACAGTAGCAGATCCCTGTTTTGAAGCTGTCGGTGAAGCCCCGCTTCCCCACGGGGTAGAGGCCAGGGCCTATGTCAGGTATCAAGTAGTATGAACAAGAGGTACAAGAGAAGTCACGAGAATCTTCATCCGAGTATTGTTTCTACTTTATTTCCTCTCAAGTATGCAAATGGGCAATATTTTGCACCCGTCAGCCCGGTTTCGATAATTAGATCCACACCTCCAGCTCAAATCAACACAAGTTGAAAATAGAACTATCATCAGACAGTAACCACGTTTTACGTATAGAATGAAGGCACGAGCGGCATTAATGAGTTACGGAATTTGGGGCCAATTTATCAACTTGTGGGCATCATCTCGTGGGCGTCATCTCGGCTGCTAGCTCGCTCGGCTACTAAACAGACAGAATGATCACCAGCGCTTATAACCTCGGGTACGTCTCCGGCACAAAACGACCCGACTTCCGGAGTTGGGATACGCCATCTTGAAATCAACGTAGTTCACTCAAATCAATTGTCCACCGTGACTCCCACTGTAAACCCCGCATCGACGTTGACAACCACGCCGGACATGTATGATGAGTCGTCCGATAGCAGAAATGCCACGACCCTTCCAACCTCCTCTGGCTCTGCCACTCGCTTGAGGCATGACCGATTCGCACTAAGCGCAATACCCGTGCCCTCAAGGAAGCCATTTGCAAGTGGTGTGCTGATGACACCTCTGTTTGACGTGTTAGACCTGTTCCAATGTTTTTGGTAGGATAGGACTGGATTTGGGCAGAGTCCGACTCACGGTGCGACAGTATTTACGCGAATCCCTTTGGGTCCATATTCTACAGCCGCGGTACGCGTAAGACCTATGACTGCGTGTTTGCTAGCGCCATAAGCAGCCATGTTGGGAGTGGCTGCGATGCCTGCCATGGAGGAAATGTTCACCACAGAACCGCCACTGGATAGCTTAGGTAACTGAGCCCGGAGAGCTTTGAACCTAGGCAGTAAGTCTGTTAGCAGTCTATAGAGTGACGAATAGCGAATAAGGAGAATGAGCTCGACTTGGCGATAAGTCGGTTGCTTTGACTTACATTCCAGTTGAGTTGATCCTCATCACACGTTCCCACTCCTCGTCTGGCGTGTCCCCAATAAGCCCTCCGGGGATGATTGTGCCCGCAATATTGGCAGCTCCGTCTAGCCGGCTGAAGTCTTTGACAGCCTGGTCGATCCAGTTGTTAACGTCATCAGTGTTCGACACGTCGACTTTCATCATTGTCATCTTCTGGTCCTTCGCGACGCCCTTTTGCGAAATTTCGGCTGCAACCTTTTCAAGAGCATCTTTTCGGATGTCGCAGAGGGCCAGCGATGCACCGCGTTCATATAGGATCTTGGCTGTAGCAAGTCCAATTCCGGATGCCGCTCCTACTTGATGTGTGAGTTACTTGAAATACAACCGGATATGGGTAAGTGGAACAAGGATCTGAAGATGCAAAGTGAACGGAAGTTGGTAAAACAAAACAAACATACCAGAGAGGGCGATGACCTTGCCTGATAGTGACGCCATTTTAAATGTTTGAATACGCTAGATTCTGGTTCGAGGCGGGGGAGATGGGAGAAAAGACCAATGATGAGTTGGTGGCTATCCAGGGTGTGCTTTCTAAGCTTCTAACATGGACATGACTATATATGCCAGACTCACATTATCGAGGCCAAGATCAAGCCGTCGTACTCGCACTTGTTCGGACCTCGGGACGGATCTTGGACTTCCCAGAGCTATCGGGCGCTGACAATACCCGCCCGAGGGTGATGCATAGCGACACGTTCCTCGGATCTTGTTGATTTATGTATTAAAACCTACACAAACGACTGAAAATGAAGCATACAACCTCTACATATTTATGGGATGGGGTAATGTCACACATACACCAAAGATCAAGAGAATTTGCCTCCGTAGAAAGAATCCTAAAATGTATTCATCACTCTTGTTGAAACGACATCCTGGATTCTATGTCTCTGCCTTGTACAAATAGCCACTGATAGGACTCAGCACATGCGCCTTGACATTGGTAAGCATGTCTTGAGTGGCGGACTGAAATTCTAAAGCTTGCGGGCTCTTAGAGTGGATGTTTGCCCAGTAATCCTGGCTCTCATAGACCCCCACGAGCCTCAGCGTATCTGCATCCTTCGGGTCAGCGTAGAGAGATACGCCGAGAGTCCCGGACTCTTCTTTGCTTACACCTGCCGCCCTCAGGTGACGCAAGGCTTCAGAACCCTTGCCGGGCTTATAGTAGAGCTCGGTCACAGCGACGAATGGATCAGAGACACTAGCCAATTCAGGCCGAATAAACCCGAAGTCCTCGTCAACCTCAAGGCTAAGTGTCAGCGGCTCCTTCGCCAAAGTTCCATCACGCATTAGCCGCGTAATTTCGACAAACGCTTCTTGTTTCACGTGGGCGACGAACCCAGAATCATCAGTGTATCTTAAATTTTGGTCAGCCAGCTGGAAGTATATTGTTTGTTCTCTTGGTGCTCACTCTTCAATGACGTAGATGCTGAGTTGATCAGTGGTATTGGTGTCTAACGGTAGCGCGATTGAGTATCGGGGCGTTTTGGCTTCGTCATTGTACGCAACATCTGCTGCCTGTCGCAGATGTTTCAGGTACTACTATTTATCAAAATCAAGGCTCACAGATATCCTCGGAGTGTTGCACAAACCGTGTCTCGCAGCTCCGGGGTCTTTGGAGTAAGGCAGGCAATATACGCTTTACGAGCCATTTTAGTAGAAAGATGCTGTTGGTCGTGTCTAATTGGGGAGTTCACGTGCTATCGCAATTAAAAGTTGATCAACGTATATCCGCTGGCTGCAAATCTGGGAATCAACCTTTTCATATCATCTAGTTCACGTTATCCGCTGACATGGGATTTGCGGGTAGGCCACAGGACCCGAGGATACGGTCAGAATAACCCGGGCAAGAGACTAGGCGCGGAAATACCATGTAGAAGGGGCGATTCATAGATCCGATTTCTGCAAGAAAACAACGTAACCTCGGGTATATGAGATGTGTGGGTTGATCTGAGCCTCGGAGACAACCTCGGGGACAACAACCGTGCAATGATGCTTGCGCTTTAGGTGGGCGACTGAAAGTGCCTTGAAGTTCTTCGCAAAGAGATTTACAACGATCAATCACTTATTCGTATGGAACTGTAGCGAATAGTGCCATGTTGCTATGCGAATCAACGCAATTACATATCGAACGCAATCGCATTGTCGATCGGCAGGATATAACACCCATATTCAGTGAATGATTTAGTGCAACAATCGCTTGTGTAGTATTCGTAGAGTTGCTTCTGCGTATACAGTAATCCAGCTGCAAATAATACATCAAGAATAATATTGGAGCAAGATTTGTGTGAAATAGATCTTGAATCCTAGGTTCACGTATCGGAGGGAGATTGTCTATAACCAGCTACGATGGAGACTCGAGAAACTGCTTCAATCCTCTCGGTAGATTCTGAGTATGTCTTAGCCTAGTAAATCCATCCGTCACATCCGAAGACTGGGGACATGGTCAGAGTGAGTTTAGCTTACAACGGAGCCCATACTCAAGTCTTTCCATTTCGTCTATTTCTCCCCTTTTGAACCAACTTCGATGTGTCCTAGAAGCTTGAGCTCTTACGTACTGATCAACCATCAGAATGATCCCCACCGCATCGAGACTTGTGGCTGAGACCGATAATTATCCCACCATGCCGCACGCAATCATCCGCCACTCCACCGCATGTTCACTTTGATGACAGTAGCCCATGTCGCTTGGTTCACTGTGTTGAAGATTTAGAATTGACTTTTATTTGAAGTGAGCTGCTCCTTCCTGGTCAGGGCGATGATGGTCTAGGGCAAGCTCGCACCTTAATGAATCGATGACTGATTAGGACTGCGATCACATCTCGACCCCACGACCCACAGCCCTTCACGGAGTAGCTGGATAAGAGGAGCTTTTTTTTAGAGTAACGATTCGCTGCAGCTGCAGGTACTCCACAGCCACTGTCTTGGCTGAAACTAAACTGCAGGCCGGCTGAGAGACGGCCAAGGCCTCTATCTTTCGTGGTGGTGGTCTCGGCGCTTAGACAGCCTCGCTCAACTTCTCGCTTAAGAGCGACTTTCACTGGCTAATCAATTGTTAACTTGATCAGGATGCCACGCGAGGTTACTCAACTAGTCACCGCCTTGCAACAATCCGTGCCGATCCCTCGCCTATCGTCCCCTTGAAATCTGCCCGCGCAGTACGGATACCCCCTATCAGTGACACCTGACAGCAAGTTCAACCTCGCCAGACTCTCCCAGAGGCCCATGGATCGCCCTGAACATTCCTTGTCTTGATACCATTCAACACGCGGTGGCGCAGCAGAAAAAGACCTAGGGGGTGTTCAGCTCGGATTTGGCGGCATTTTAGATGCTCGAATTGGCCAATGAAACCCATGTCAACATGGGCTGCGGCCTGTTGGACCTTATCATCAACTGTCATACGATCAGGTCTGGTGCAGCAAATTGTGACAACCTTGCATAACTCCACTCCTCCCACATGGGGTATTCAACGATGGCATTTCGACATTCTACAGGGGCAGGGTGCACTCCGCCAATAGAGCGTGACAACTGACGCCACAGCAAGGGCTACTCCGAGCCAGCAAGCACGCATCTGCACGACTCAATATATCGTAGCCGCCCTAACTCGTTAGGTTGACTAGCTGCCGCATGTACTCCAGGAGCCATTGAGCCAAGGCACATTGAGCTGAGGTTTGTCAAAGTGTATTTCCCGGCACTCCCTGAGCCGGTTATTAAATCAAGGTTGCCTCCTGTCTTCCCCCCTCGATCCCGCTTCTTTCGTGACTTCTCAAAGCGTTGACGTTGAAACCTAAGCCCAACTAAGAATCCCAGTCTTCCTATCATCGAAAAGATGAGCCAAAGATTCCCGCTTCCCCGAGCTCCCATCTGTCCGACTTGCCATCAAGCTTCAACTCGACGTATCACCAATCCTGCCAACCGCAATGGAAATGCCAACCGTCCATTTTACTTCTGTGACCGCTCCCACAAACACAGTTTCATAACTTGGGACGACGCTCTTGGTATAATGCCGGGAAACCCACAGTGCTGGTGCGGTCAAGTCAGTCGCGTAGATCGCGCGAGTGGCCCTCAGTCGGACGAATGGTACGCATGTGCGTCTAGGGACTGTGGATTTAAAAGGGAACTGGACAAGAGCGATCCTGTTGAGCTTGCATACACTCCGCCGCCCGCGACGGCTCGGACTTATAGTCCCTCTCCAGCCTATGACTTCCAAGCAGCTGTTGGGTGTGTAATATTCTCTTGTTCCATTGCGCAATGCCATGACTAACAAACCCAGTCAATATTCCACCAGGTCTGATTTCAGATCTGTATCACAACCGACGCCCAGTATCGAGAGAGCTGTTCCAGACATTCACTCGCTTGATCAGCGCATGAGAACCATGAGCGTCACTCCAATGGCTCCTGCAGGGTTCCAGGCAACGCCTCCTCCTTCATATTATGTGCCATATGGGGTGCCCGGCCAGGTGCAGAGACCTCCTAATCCTGACTGCCCACTGCATGGCGGTCGTCGGAAGTGGTTTTTTGGTCGCGTTCGTTGTCGCTGCTACTAGCCAGAGGCTGCGAGATGGAATCGACTGATGTAGTTGTCCGAGGGCGAAAGGTTGCGTTACTGAATCTGTACAATTCACGAGCTTGTCAGTAGCAGCGCAGCCATGTGTATTATGAATATTTTTTAGTTACGGTAAAGTCTCACCGGGACTTCAGTGTAGAATGATCTCCGGATACCTCGTATTGGGCTTGGTTTTATGACGTGTTGAAAAAGAGGGTCGGACGTCAAAACTTTTAACAGGATATTCTAGCTTGGAAGATCGATATGACGAATTCCCTTTTACATCCCCGAGTCAACGAGTTCGTATACTAGAATTTACTCCCGTGATCCGCTTTAATGCCGTGCTACCATCATTTGTCGGTCGCTTACTCTTGGACAGAAAGTTTCGCGAAAGATTTAGCGCATTAAGGCTCCAGCAGAGCAACCAGGCGTATCTATTCAAAGGGTCTTCCATATTCAACGGCACCGGGGCTGATAGAATGTAATTGTTTCTCCTCCAATCTCAAACTATTGTGAAGGTAAAACGGATCACAGTGAATACCATTCATCACTCGCAATACCCACGTCACAGCTTGCCACGTGGTTCAGCCTCTTGTTCCTTGAGCCTCTCCACCCGCTTCCAAGCCGCGTCTAGGGATTGCTTGGTCTTTCCAAAGTAAATATGACCAAATTCACTGCTAGCTCTACCGCTGATTGTCCGCGCTTGAATCCCGTGGCTGATTGTAGCTCCTCTAATGTATTGGAAAATGGTTGCCATTTCCCAATCCTTCCCTCGCCCATCCTTGCGAACGTCGAATCCAACTATTTCGGCATAGCGATCGAGCAGCTCCTGCGGCTCAGGCATGCCACTCAACTTCCTATTCTTTGGCTTGTATGGTGACTCTGCTGGTGTTGATGATATCTTTCCAACTTTCATGTAATCGTCAAAGAAGGGGCTGACGTGAAAGACAAGATCCATCAACGGATGGCCTATGGTTGACAATTCCCAGTCGAGGATTGCGATAACTCGTGGCTCGGTAGGATGAAGTATCTTATCATGGAGAGTCCTTCAATCAGCATACATCATTGATAAAATAACTAAACCTGACATACCAAATTATCAAACTTGAAGTCTCCGTGCACGATAGCGTACCGTTCACCTGGCAAATTGTTTCTGACGTAGTCCATGATTTCGTCATATTTTTCGTGAGCTCTCCCCAGAAGTTGGCCGGTCTTGATGTCTTTGACTGCGCCTTGTTGAGCTTCGACTCTGCTCCACGTATTGCAGTGCCGAGCATAGAAGCCCGTCTTTTTGCCATAATCCCCAAGTCCAATTGCGTCGGGGTCGAGTGAATGAAGCCATGCCAGAGTTTCGATGGCGGAGAACCAACTATACTACAATGTTATTCGTAGATCCATATGGCTGACAGAATGTCCAACTCACGCCTTTCGTCTATCAGATGGTGAAAGCTCTTCTAAGTCAGTGTCTGTAATGATTCTGCCTTGAACGAACTCCATGACCTAGGTTGACAAGTCAGCATCAGCAAGATCACCCCGATCATCGACCTACATAAAAGGGAGTTCCAATGACCGAGAGGTCGTTGCAAAACGTATAGACTCGAGGCACAGGGAAGCCTTCAACAGATCCAAGTGCCTTGAGAACTCTGTATTCACGGTCCACTTGATGCGCCACTGGACTGATGGACTTTCCTGGCGGCTTTTTTCTGAGAATAAATCTAGCGCCGCTGTAGTCATAAGGTCAACGTTTAGTCCACTGGGATAACGACTTTGCACTCACGCTGCATCATCAACAAAGTAGGTTGGATTGCTCTGCCCATAGCCGATCTTTGTAGTGACGACTGGCAACTGTAGAAGGGCAATGTCTCCTGAATGAGCAAGATAATCACCTAGAGCGTCATCATCAAGGTCATGCCGCGAGCCGGCCGCAAGGGAAGTGTCAGGGGTCATCCTTGAGGTGGTAAATTCAGTCGAGGTCTCCCACGATGCTGCCTCGCCTCCTTGGATGGATCAACAGCAAGGATTTTTATTCGACACGGGCTTTGGCTTTTGGCTGTATCTCTGTAATTCGCGACCGGAAATAGATATCGAGGGACGGAAAACTCGCGGCTTGGCCAAGCATGGATGTTGACAGGTCAAGCAATCATGGTGCACGTCATGGACACATTGATGGCCAATAAGCACGGTCACAGAGAAATCAAGTTCCTCGCGCACGCAAAAAGGACTAATAGAAGATACTTGCTTCTTCTTGTGTTGAAGGCCGAAATGGTGAATCGCAGCGAAGCGTTGCCGAGGGTGACAAGGTATCTCGGGATGCATTAGCCGAGGGCCTTTATTTCCCCAATCGGCATGATCGGGAGGGGGAAAGCATCCAAAGACAGCATATTTTAATTTGAACAACAGGCATACATGATCGTTTTCCTACTGCACAAAGCTGTTAGTTCGTAGTTCAAGAAATATCCTCGGTCAGACCACTTGCAACGCCCGCCATGAATTTTGAGCTCCCTTCTGAGGTGCAGGACTATCTGTCGCGTCTCGATGCCTTCATCAACGAGAAAATACTTCCCCTCCAACGCAAAGACGACAACGAGCGTTTCTTTGACCATCGCCGTGAAGCTTCACGGACGCAATGGAACAACCAAGGCTTGCCGGAAGAGGATTGGGAAGCGCTCCTACACCAAACTAAGCGGCTCGCGGACGAAGCAGGCTTTTACCGCTTCCCATGCCCCAAGGAATACGGAGGATCAGGCCATACATCATTGAATCTGTACATGTGCGCCATTCGTTATCACCTGGCCTCCCATCCTGTCTACGGAGGCGGCGTGAGCCTCGCCAACGATCTGCAGAGCGAGCACAGCGTTGTGGGTAACAACCCGTTTGTCATTATGCTGCATCACTATGGTACTCCGGAGCAGCAGAAGCAGCTTATTCCTGCGAGTATCAGCGGCGAGATGAAAGCTACCTTTGGCTTGACCGAGATTGACCATGGCTCTGATGCCACGCACATGGAGACAACTGCTAGGCCGATTACCCTTGTGTCGGGTGAGGCTGGATACGAAATCAACGGCAACAAGAAGTGGCAGACGGGCATGCACCATGCCAGCTGCTGCGTCATCTTTGCTCGGACTTCTGGAAAAGCTGGTGATGCCAAGGGTATCACGGCTTTCCTTGTGCCCGGAGACACGCTCGGTTTGACTATCACTTCATATGAATGGACGCTCAACATGCCTACCGACCATGCAACCATTATGCTTCAAAACGTCTGCGTTCCGGCATCTGCTATTCTTGGTCCACTGGACAATGGCCTCGCGATCGCTCAAACATTTACACACGAAAACAGAATCCGCCAAGCTGCGTCAAGTTGTGGTGCTGCCCGATACTGCATTGATCGCAGTGTCGAGCATGCCAACAAGCGCAAGGTGTTTGGAAAGCCCTTATCCTCCAACCAGGCAATCCAGTGGCCGCTTGTGGAACTCTCTACTCAGGTAGAGATGCTAAGACTCCTGATCCTCCGTACGGCGGTGGAAATGGACCAGCTTACCGCCCAGGTAAAGGAAATTGGGAGTGCATCGCCCTGGGTATCGATTGAGAGACAGCTGGGCCACAAGATCAGCATGTGTAACTTCTACGCGAACCGGCTCGTTGGAGAAGCAGCCGATCGCGCCATTCAGGTCCATGGTGGCGACGGTTACTCTAGACATCTTCCTTTTGAGCATATTTGGAGACATTTCCGCCGCTATCGGATCACCGAAGGGAGCGAGGAAGTGCAGATTCGGAAAGTCGCCGCTTATTTGTTTGGGTACAAGACCACGGGTGTGGAAGGTGATAAGGGAGAAGCCAAGTTGTAGAAGTGTAGTTTACAATATCAACGCAATCCCAGTAGGCGACACATTGAAGTTTAAAAGATGACCTGGTTCAGGGTAGGTGCCCTTTAGTTTCTTGTCTTCTTTGTGGCATATCTTGTATCTAGTCTTGACCTAAAACTAGACGGCAGTTATTATAAGGTTCTCCTAAATCTATATTGTATAATTGACTACTTTATTTTATAAGTTACTAGTACCTCTACACAGTTGTATTCATTTCTTTATGAGCAAGAACAGACAGAGGTCTGCAATTATACCTTGCACTTAACACCTTTAATTCCACTATTTGCTCGTATAAAGGCTTTTTGCGCACTATAATTAGTAGATTCCGGATGCCAGACAGGCTGGCTTTGGTAGCGAAGGACTCGGCCTGTCACAAAGCAGTTCCGCCTTGTTACAACCAACATAAATTAAACATTAAAGAGTCTAAATCCCGCAAGTCGATAAGAAAACCAAGACGATTGCTGCCAAACTGGCAGTGGGGACAGGAAATTTACAACCGCCTGCTATGTTTGCGATTCGGCCCGTCATTAGAGTCGTGGCATATCCGCTTCCGCCCTCTCTCAGCATTAGCGCCCTCCTCTTCCCTGTCTCGACGATTATGGGACTCTCCCGAGTTCTGGGCGCTCTGGAGTGTCTTCAACAGCGGGCGAGCCATATGCGGCGGGAACGTAAATGTAACAGCCTCGCTCAGCTGTGATACAACAGCATCATCCATCGCTCGTCTTGCCAAGATGGTCTTCGCCACCCCAAAGAGAAGAGTCCCATTGGGCATCACCACCCTTCCGGAGTAACTATGATGCTGCCATCTCAGATTCTTGCATAACACCCAACCCACGCTCTCGGGCGCTTCTAGATCCGGAAAATCCAGCTCCCAGATCGGTATGTTCTCCAGCCCAAATTCTCTCAAGGGATTATGCTCTCGGCTAGGCGGTATCCCTCGATAGGAGAAGCAGATGCTGAAGTCCGCCCCGGCGTCCAGGAAGCTCTCTAGAGTGTCCAGATACTGTGTTTGATCTAGTGCCTCAAGGCCGGCATGGTGGCGGCGGAAACCGTTGACAAGACATTGTGGGGAGAAGGCGAGGCTGAGGTAGGCTGAAAATGCAGTCTGGCAGGCGCCGCGGTGGGTGAGCCTTGCATTAGGGTCGGCGCCGGCACTGAGGAGAAGCTTGAATATGCCGTCGTTTAGAGCGCGGTAGAATAGATTCTGAGAGAAATCCATGGATTCGGAGAAATCTTCTCGCAGCTCCATGTCCTTGAGAGCCCGTTTTAGGAACTCAACCCACGTGGAATCATCTTCGCAGAGGTTGTCGTCCTGGGTCTGTAGGTCGACAAGATTAGGGTCCACGCCGCTTTCAAGTAGAGTGGCGAGCATATCATAGAACGGACCCCCACGGAGAGGATCGTCGGCCCAACAGCCAGCGCCGTGTCGGTCACGCGCGAGGTCCTCGGGAGGAAACGGGTCGTGAAGAGCTGAAGTCAGAGACGCGTCTATGTCCGTAGTTGGCTTTTGTAACAACTTCGCTGCATATTCTGTCAAGTTGAACTGGAAAACATGGTTCCGGAACAATTGGACAATATCCTGTCCTAGTAAATCCCAACCAGTGGCATGTTCTACAAGCGTCCCTTCAAATTCATCCAGCAGCACGAGAACAGTCTTGCAGTGTTGAGGCTGGACCTGTGACGCGTATTGAAGAACGGCCTTGATGGTATCAACAGGGGACGAGCTGTAGGCACCATCGATAGCCTGACTGTTCAAGGTCCAATGGTATCCGCCCGTCATCTGGACCGAAGCGATAGCTGCTTTGGTGAGAGCGAGGAAGACATCGAACTCGGGCCTAACCTTTCGCGCTAGGTACCGACGGCCCTCGAGCGTGGCGAAAAAGTCCCCGACGGTCCGATGAAGAAAGTCGACGAACTCTCTCCCAAGCTTGCTCTCCTCGACTAGTCCGTCATTGTTTACTGTCATGTAAGTGTGTCCCCCACGAACCTCCAGAAGGCCGCTTGTCAGGGCGTTGATCCGCCGGACTGACCTAGCATTGAATTCGTCCGTGTTCTCGCCCGTGTGGCCACCAGCCATTCGCCGGGCCAACACGTATTCTTCGTCATCATGATCCATTTCATGATAGCCATATATCTGTGGCGAGAGCTTTCCGCGAGCATTGATGGCTACTTCAATAATCTCAGCCGACTTTTGGTGATATACGGGGTCCAGATGATCCAAGATGTGCTGGAAGAGCTTCTCAAGATCAGTAGGTAACGCCTCAATCCGCTTTTGAAGGTCATCGATTTCATCTTCGTTGGTGAATCCTGCCCGCAACGATCCCGTCACCAGGTAAACCCACAGGAACACGCCTTCGGCTCGCTCGCATACTTGTTCAATCAAATAATCCTTCCTGATTTCATCCATAACTGGGTTATTCCACTTGGGGTGTGTCTGAAGTTGACCACGCGCATACGTGGCAATGTCACTCCTGGTGAGCTCATGAACGGAGAGCAGCCTGGTCTGATCTCCGCCAAACGCAGTGTCGAACACGTTCCACGGCCGACTTGACACGCACATCTTGATATTTTGCGACTCGGCAAGCGACTTCAAAATGTTGCAAAGATCAACATGGTCTCCGTTGTATTCGTCCAGCCCATCCACGAAGAGACAGATCTTTGTCCCGAGGCTGGCGTGCTTGGCGATGGCATGCATTGCACTCGATAGCTCAGAGACCGTCCAGGGCCCTGGTGGCTTTGAAGTCGGGTTATCTGCATGGCCTTTCATCATTTTCCATCGCTCCGGGCATATGGAAGGGATGGCGTCGCGAGCAGCAGTCAGAATCTCAAAAAGAAGAGACCGAAGTAAACCCACATACGACTTCTGTAACTGGGAGCCCGAAATCCAGAAATAATGCGCCGCAGTCATCAGGGTCTCGGGGTGAGCCCACTGCGTAAGGTACTCGGACGTAGCAGGGTTGTCGGCGAGGAACTTCATCAGCGTCGACTTTCCGGAGCCGGGCTTTCCTGAGATCCAAAAGATGCCATCGCCCCCCAGAAGCCATCTCTTGAACGGGCCCCACTCACAAGCCCAGTTGAAGGTGTTCTGGTAGGCAATGTGGATTTCCTCGTGCCGAACTGGCCGAGCATCGTAGTGGAGGCTGGCAATGAAGTCTTGTTGCAGTGAGAGGACGCGTTCTGCGGACTGGATTTCCGGGAGCCTGCGGTGGCAGTGGTGTATTTGGCTACAAAGCCCGCCTAACGTGCGTGTATCTGTGATTTCGAGCGAATCAAGACCCCGTGTCAGTTGGTCGATATGCTCATCTGATCCGAGCCTCAGTCTCTCGTTCTGCTCAACAAGACCATTGACTGCCTCTCTTAATGCCAACACTTGCTTGCTAGGAAAGAAGAGTTAGAAACCAATCAGTCGTGATACTAGCGTAAGAATGAGTACCTGACCATGATAGATAAGGTGCACTGTATCGCTTCCCGGGTGTTGTCCAACCTCTCATGAATCGCCTCAAGTTTCGGCTTGTTGGCAATCGACTTAAACGCCATGGCCACACTCTTCCACCGCCTCCTCCCACCCTGCTTGACTTTCAATGTCGCCAACATCTTCAACATCTGCTCACAATCCTTTTTGGAAGAGGCGACCAGGTGGCTAAGATTCTCTGCATCGACATGTGCCTGGTCGTCGCCTTGCACGGCAGTTTTAGGGACAGTCAATGTCGCCAGGGACTCGAGAATGCTTTTCATGCGCCCGTGCACTCGCTCCAGTTCCAGGTTTTCCACCGTCGCTCCGTGGATGTCATCGTGAGCCTCCTTGGCTGTGACAATGAGCTTCCACGCGAAGTCGACGAATGTGATCACCCCGCTTGCAACGCCAAGAGCGGACAGCGGCTCCATGGCGCTGGAATCGATATATCGATTTTTTTGTGCAGATACCAAGGGGAGATCAAACCAAAGAATAGTGACAAGAACGTAGCAACGAGGTCGACTTCTGTGCTTTTGTTCTTAGTTTGAGGTTAGATGTTTAGGTTGGACCTGGTGAGTGCTGTTAGTTGCCTGTTGGTTCCGTAAGTAGCTAAACAGGTTGTGATGGAGCGGGGTAAGTTGTTGCCTAAGGCAAGTGGTCTAAAATTAGATGAGGCTGACTTATTTATAACAGAGCAAGAGGTACGAGGGTATATTGATATATACTCTATAAGCTTAAAGTAAAATAAAGAGTTAACAGTTTACGGGTTAATATTCTCTAAGTTTATATTATCTATTATTTTCTTCTATTAATCTTTTCATTCTAATTTTATTTTCATTTAATATATTCTTTAACTTTTATTTTCTTTATTAATTATAAATATATTGAAATATCCTAGTATATATATACCTAAGAAGAAAATAAAAAGTTTAATAGAAAAACACAAATTACTATAACAGGATTAGCAATACAGACTATACGCCCAGTCTATTCAAAGGTCAACTGTTGACTCAGACAGACTAAGGTTTTTAGTCCAACCGGTTTTCCTTTTGCAATATCTTAATCAGCACCCACCAGTTTATATTATTTTCACAACACTAAAATCTCGTTGCAATAGCCATCATTGACTCCATCGAATAGGTTGAGGAAAAAGGCGACATGCCCGGGGACGAGCTTTTCTCGTATTGCTACAGGGCTAGGCTGAGAATGATACAAAGTTCCTCCAACTAGACTTACGACGACTTGTACGCGGAAATACCCACATATGTCAATCAAAGTAAGCATTCGCCCACCTAAACCGGTGGTTGAACCTGGCAGGTTGAGGACGAAGTTGACATTCTGAAATGGACTGCAATATCGACAGCCCAGTTGAGGTCCTCCCCAACACCATCAATATCAACTACACGCTTCCTGACCGCGGCAAGGCAGAGATGAAGTACACAGTTCAGGACAGGGATACGTGCGGCAGCATCCTAGAGAGCTACTCGGTGTCCAGGGCCACGCTGTGCTACCTCAACCCGGAGCTGGCGAACTGCCAGTTGCCGGCAACGGGCATCGAGCTCTGCCTCCCGGACCAGTGCGAGTGGACATACACAGTACAGCCCAAGGACGACAGCTGCGACGACGCGGCTGTGATCTACGGCACCTCGTGGAAGAACATTGTTGACTGGGACGCGGGCATCGACTCGCGGTGCTGGAATATCTGGAGCACCATCCCGTTCTGGGACCGCGTCCTCTCTGTGAGCAGCCCTGGGGGTGAGTTCGTTCCCCCGCCGTAGTCTAACGATACTACTCCTGGTAATGGCAACGCCGGTGGGCCAGGAGGATCTGGAGATTGTACTCGAACGATGTTGTTCCGCCTCCCGAGGGCCGCACTGTGGCTGAGGGGACTACAGACCGCTGTGGGGAGTATGTCCAAGCCCAGGACGCCAAGGGCTGCAATACCATACTTTCTAGGAGCGCGGTGTCCATGAGCCTCTTTCTTGAGGTCAACCCGTCCCTGGGTACGGTGGCGACCAAGTGTTCCGAGAATATGGTCGTGGGTACCTGGTATTGCCTGCACCCTCATCGTAGGTGGAATGATACTATTGTCGACGAGTAGAGGACCACAGAATACAGGGTTGCGAGGTATAGTTGGGCATTGTTGCGGAAAGCGGCATTGGAATGAAGGAGGTTGGATAGTTGTTAGCTCGTTACTATTGTTTAAAGTGTGCTGGATAGCGTATTACACATCCAATCCAAGGGATAATGTTCAATAGGGCGATTGTCCAAATCTCGGATGCCTCCCCCCCCCCTTTCTCGAGAAGGTTTTTATGCCATCTCACGCCCCCTCTGACCAAGGTCATGATATACATCTATCAGAGGATTGATAAAACATGGTCAATCTAACATGTCGTTATAATCTATCAGCGCATAAAGCGTGGGGCCTTAATTCCGCTCGGAATATGTACCAAGTAGATAGACAGATCATAAATCCGCTTGAGTTTAAATACCGCCACCCCCCGGCTCCCGTGTCTTGCGCCTAACCAGCCAAGAAGCTATACCAATGACGGCGGGGCCGAGGACAGCTCGGGCCGAGGACGAGTCTTCCCCCATTGATCTGATACTAAGGCAAGACCGCTGATAAATGAGAACAGTGTGGCTTGCCAGGTGTTAAAAATTATTTCCACGTCCGAACATAGGATCTCAACAGCCTAATACCCATCAAGCCGTTTCCCGGGTTCCAGCAGAATGCCCTTACGATACGATCCAGAATGGATCGCTTTAGCTGGTCCCAAGCTCGACGCGCAGCGAGAAGTCCTACCAGTGCATGATGTGGCAACAAGAAGAACCAGATTCGAGCAATTATTTGTTGGATCCCGCTATACGGTTCCGGATGACATCGGATTGAAGGTGTACAAAGCGCCAGCATCCGACGGCCACCAAGTTGAAATATATCACCTCTTTAAGAAAGGCGCTCATTCACCTCTTGAGCGCACACCGGCTGTTCTACACATCCACGCAGGAGGGTTTATTTCTGTGCGCGCAAAACACGTCTTGCCATCTCTCGTGCCTTTTGTCTCCCATTCCGGTATACCCATATTCTCAGTCGACTACCGATGGGCGCCCGAACATCCTTTTCCAACGCCTGTGGAGGATTGTTGGACTGGACTTCTTTACCTCCAATCTCACGCAGAAAAACTCGGCATCGACTTGAAACGTATCGCAGTCATGGGCGAAAGTGCAGGAGGAGGCTTAGCAGGATCCCTAGCTATCATGGCAAGAGACCGGAACTTGTCCCCCCCGTTGGCGAAGCAGATCTTGATATATCCTATGCTGGATGATCGAACAGTGACAGACCATTCCGAAGGTTTGGCTGTTTTCAGTATGAACGATGTCGTCACCGGCTGGTCTGCCTACCTCGGCGAGGCCTATGGGACTGATGATGTATCGCCATTTGCGTCGCCGTCTAGAGTAACAGACGTCACAGGTCTGCCACCGTTGTATTTGGACGTGGGACAACTGGATGTATTCCTACACGAGGGCGTTGCTTATGCTAATAAATACCTGGTGGCCGGCATTGACACGGAACTTCATGTCTATCCGGGTGTGATTCATGCGTTTCAGCGGTGGGGTGCTGGCTCAGAAATTGTCAAGCATGCCTGGGCAAATAGGATGAGGGCAATTACCACTCTTTGAAGAGAGTTGAGGCCAGCTAGTATATGACTCTACACACGCGAATGTAAGGAATCCGCTCATATTCGCATGAGGGAAGCAATGCTTGGTCCATCTTCAAACATGAGAACAGTCGGACCGCGACTGCAGTTCTGGATGAACCCGAGTACTCGAGAGGGTTAAAGAGATTATTTAGTCAAAGATACAACGAATCTCAAAGCGTTTCAATTATTTATGAAAGGAAACTGTGAGACCAGGAGGTATCGCGCTTTTTCACGATGTCTGTTGCATCTAGCAGATGGATAGGATCATATGTGTGAGAAGCTCTTGCTATTCTTCCTATCTAATAGAGGTCTGCTAGGTCAGTCTTATAGATGAAGATGACCTCGGATGACCTCGGACGGCCGAGAGGCTCCGGATGGTCCGGAGTCTTTGGCTTCAGCTAGCTATTGATAAAATCAAGGAAAAGCTAGGACTATCATGAGATCGGTGACGAGGCCGATGACGAGGCAGGTGGCGATGGACGCCTATGATGAAGGAAGAAAGCTTCAATAGCATGATACATCCGGAATCCGATATCCCGATATATGTAACAATGTCATCCCGGCCTAATAATCCCCGATTCCATTTTACTCATGGATACGTCATCAACATCTGCTTGTTCACCTACTGTTACCGCCTGACTCACGAGCGTCCGTTAAACTACCTACTCCATTGAACCACTTTATGAACCACGCCTACATAATCAAGATCCCCTGTCGGCACCTCGGGCCAAGGGTCGTCGGGCCAGCGCCACCACTTAGTAAACTCGGGAACTCGCAGCGTACATCGTGGGCCTCGAAACAAACGGGGATGAAATAAATAACCCTTAGACCTGTTTTCCTTACCCGCTGCCAAAATTTCAAATCTTTCTATCCTTGACTACCTCAAAATGTCCTCAACTGAGACCGAAACTGTACAGCTGATCCGCCGATGTTTTGCAGAGGAGGAGGAAAATCCGCCGGTTCCCCAAACGGCGCATGATGTCCCAGTCTCTTACCAAGCAATGACATCGGAATGGCTAACCTTAGTCTTGGGACCATATTCTGGCGGTGCGAGAGTCAAGAGCTTCTCCCTTGGACCAAAAGACAACGGTACATCGAATCGTCGACGAGTATACCTCGAGTGGGAGGGAAATTCGATCAAGACACCCCCGGAGTCGGTATTTTGCAAAGCGGCTCACGCTCTTAACAACAGAATCACCTTGTTCAATGGTGGCACAAAGAGTGAAGTCCAGTTTTACAAGCAAATTCGGCCTCTGCTTGATATTGAAGCGCCATCTGCGTATTTCTCAGCTTACGACCCGAAGTCTTGGGCTTCCATTATCATGCTCCGTGACATGGACCGGCGCACGAAATTCTGCACACATAGAACGATTTTGTCAAAGGAACAGCTACGCCAACAGTTGTTAATTTTGGCGAAGCTTCATGGCAATTTCTACCAATCCACCAAGGACGTCTTTGGCCAGGTGACTACCCTGAAGGAAAGATTCAACAGACTTATTGTCACCGTGGACTTCAAAGGGGCGGCTGAAAACGGATTTGAGGCAGCTAGGAGTGTCATCCCACTCCATGTATTTGCCCGTGAGGACGCGGTCTGGGAACGAACTCTCCAATCGTTGGAACGTTGTGCGTCTCTACCACCGACATTAATTCATGGGGATGTGCATTTAGGTGAGCAGCGCACAATTATTCGGCATGATAATCCGGCTTAATGCGGACTTTAGGAAACTGGTACATGACTCCTGATGGAAATATGGGCCTGACGGACTGGGCAGTTCTCTCGCGTGGACATTGGAGTCGCGACGTTGCCTACGTACTGGCAACAGCCGTTTCACTCGAGAAGCGACGGGAATGGGAGCATGAGATGGTGCAGTTCTACCTCGAGGAGCTTGCCAAGGCTGGTGGTCCATCTGTATCAGCTGCAGAGGCGTGGCTAGAGCTCCGTCGAGCCTCTTTTCTGGCTCTGGCGTACTGGACAGTTACACTGACGCCATCTTCCAGCATGCCCGACATGCAACCCGAAGACACCACCCTGGAGTTTATTCGCCGTATCACAACGTTTATGGGAGATCACCAGGTTTTCGATTCGTTTGCGAACATGTAGATCTGTTGGGCGAGGGTCATTGGGGTTGACAGATTGCTTACGACAACAAACAATCAGTTAGATTCTAAACAAACGAGCTAGCGACCGTGAGAACGTCTGTTATGATAAACTGGCGCATTATAGCAATGCACAAGTCCCTAGGAAAATAGTCAGTCTACGGAGTACGGTGTTGGGTTATTTACTCCGCAGAGGAGCTGTTCGACGATCTTCCTCTATCAAGAGCTAGACGAAACCGGTTAATGTTTGCGCCTTGCGTTTGACCTTGATGCATGTTAGTGTAGATTAACCCCTCCTCGGCACTCAGTTGATTATTTTGTAGTATTTGTGCAGATGATAGCCTCGGCAACTACGGAAGTGGTAAAGATCCACCAAGATTCTGTGATCCGTCACCACTCTAGGAGGATTATTGTTGTGGTATCTATCAGTTTGCGAACAAGCCCCGATGGGAAGGGATGTCTTCTTGGTTGTATCTAATAATCCAATTATCTACCAATGGGAGGGTCTATTCCAATATTTATCAGGGCAATAATTTGCCAGTTATGTCGACGGGGTTGTTGGGAATAATCCGCCCGCCCACAAGTCTGCTTTATTAGTAGCCGAGGTTTCGCTATAACGTCACCTTGAAACCGGAGACGGACAAGCCAACAATCCCGAGCGTGCGACTAGAATTGCAGAAAGACGTCGAATTTGGATATTCTCTTTGTTTGGTGCATTTTATGTCTCTCCACTGCGACATTCCACGATGCCTTCCCCTAGCGACGACGACGACTTCGAGCCCCACCGACCAGCTTCCTCTTCCGCGTCCGGAGCGAACAAGAGAAGAGCAGATGGCTTACAGCCCCAGATAATTGTCAAGAGGCGGGCTTCCCGAGCCTGTCTGATATGTCGTAGGCGAAAGGTCCGCTGCGACGTGACGAGTCGAGGAGCGCCCTGCACAAACTGCCGCCTCGACGATGTTACGTGTCGTCTCATAGACCATAATCGGGGCGCCAGAGCTCGTTTATCAGCCGATGTAAATGAAGGCAGGCAACAAATAATTGTAGTTCCTGCTGTTGGTTCCATTTCTCACACGGTTGAAGGTAAGCTGGTTCCAACTTCTAATTGCAGTGTCCGAGCAATAGAAGCATTCCACAAAATGCAATGCGTCAGAATTAATATTGATTCAAGACACAGAAAACTTACCTACACGAAAGGAAGTCACCAATCCAAGAGACGCCGTAAATTGCGCACAAACCCCTGCACAGGCGCAAGACGGAATCATTTCCCCCAGGAGCTTGATCAACAGTCCAATAGCCACAACCAGGTGTCCTTCTCCCGCGTCGGCCGATTCACAAGGGCAGCCTCTGCCTTCTTATATCCGTTGTTTGCCAGCGCACTTGAAGCCTATAGACTTGGAGTATCTGGCCAAAAAAGGAGCCTTGACCATGCCAGATGACGAGCTTCAACGGGAGCTGTTTCGGAAGTACATCCAGTACGTCCATCCATTCATGCCTGTCCTCGACTTGGCTGCATTTCTATCACCAATTGTCCGACGTGATGGAACTTCACAGATTAGCCTACTCGTTCTTCAGGCCGTCATGTTCACTGGTGTCGCTTTGGTCGACCTTGACTATCTCACCGCAAGGGGGTATTCGAATCGCAGGTCTGCACGGAGAGAATTCTTCGAGAGAGTGCGCTTACTGTACGATCTTGAATGCGAGCCGAATCGAATTTCTCGCCTTCAGGCCCTCTTGCTGATGACATACTGGTATGAGAGGCCAGAGGACGAAAAGGAGACCTGGTATTGGACCGGCATCACGCAGTCCCTAGCAAATGTGATGGGAATGCACCGAAACCCCGACCATATGGACATCAGTCCGGCAATGAAGCGTCTGAGAAAGAGAATCTGGTGGTCATGTTTTGTGCGAGACCGTCTGCTGGCACTTGGAATACGACGGCCAGCCCGCATCCGCTCAGAAGACTTTGACGTTCCAATGCTGACACTGGACGACTGTGAAATGGCGCCGTTTGAAGACGATATCTTGCGGTATTTTGGACCTCTTCCAGTGGCCGACGATGCTGCCATTAAACGAAGCATATCCCTTTGTTTCGTCGAGCTAGCCCAGCTGTGTGTTCACATTGGAGACACCCTGTTCACGCAATACTCGATTCTGGGAAGTTCAACCGGCTGGACGGAAGACACCATCACCATGATGGTGCGACCGAAAAGATCAACGGATCAGATGCAGGACATGGCAAAATGTGACAGCGAGCTCAGCGGCTGGCTTCAAAACCTCAGCCCAGCCTGCCGGTATCAACTAAGCCCGCATCAAGTCGAAGAGCAACAGCATCGACAGCCAGAAAGCAAGAGGATTCTACGATTTCACCAGGCCTTACTTTACATAATTTACCTGGCCACCATGACGATTCTGCACCGGCCGCATGCGCTGCAGGTCAGTTCGAACACCTCGACCGACATCTTGGTCAATTCGCGGCTATCGACTGAAAAGGTCACGGAGGCCGCGGCGGAAATGACAGAAGTTGTCTATAATCTACAACAAGACAACCAGCTGCGCTTCGCCTCTACTTCGGCAGTCCCGGCCCTGCTCTCTGCATCTCTCATTCACCTGGTGGATGCCCGTTCAACTAAAAGAGACGTTCGCAATGTCTCTATAGGGCGATTCTACCAGTGCTGGCAAGCCCTCCAGTACCTCCAGGATATGTACGCCTGTGCCGAGCACGCCGTATGGCTCCTAGAGGCTGTCATTCAGAAGACCAAGGTCCAAATTCCCATGCTGAACCTGGCTCCGTGGCCTACAGGAACTAGACCGCCATTCAAGCCCAAGAGACAGCGTTGCGCTGTGAGGCCGACAATTTCTTCCAGAGAACCACAACCCCTTGAGTCTACGGATCAACGAGTCTCGGTAGCAAACTCAGTTACAACTCCACTGGCCTCTGGAAATGGACAGTTAGATTCTGCCCGCCAGCCCGCTGACGAAAACAATAGCCGGACTGTGAACAGTCCTTGTTTGACCAGTACCCAAGGGCCTTTCCCGGCCACAGAGATGCAAGATTCTATAAACTTCGACCTCTTCAGTGATACATGGCCCGGAGTCAATGTTGAGGACAACCTACTTCAAGCCTTAGTCAACTTCGACATGCCAAACTTGTTTCCCAATATGGGTGTGAGACACAGAGGTGTTACGTCCTCGCCCAGCTCCGGAAACGTCCGTTGGGTTGGAGAGGATCCGGGACATGATGACCACTGGAGATGATGTATTTTAAATGCGTTCTAAATTGTCGGAGAGATACTTCATGCTAGTGGAATATATGGCATTACTAGGTCCCCCTGGTTCAGTTTTCTGGGTCATGATAAATAGTGTTTGAGAAACATCATTGATGCACAGCTTATAAGCACCATGTTGGAAGATGGTCCTGCATTACGAAATCTCTGATAGATTGATATCATGGCCTTAGTCAGAGAGCGCGTCAGAAAACCCCTCTCTGACCGGCCGGTCTATCCGGGCCCAATCAATCATCAACGCCATCGTCACTGCTTTGAGCACTATTGCCCTGACAAAATTGACCGTAACGAATCCATTACCCCATTTATTGTGTTTAATTTTGATTGCTCCGTGGCTCACCCTTCTGATCAATAGGCCTTTCATTTCAATATCTGATGCGTTTATTCATGGAAAGTGAATCCATCGGAGGCATGTGATGTCTCCTCCATTCGTCCCGGTTAATCAAGTTTAACCTCATAGCCACTAGACAGCACCCCGCATTTGCAGGAATTGCCAGTTGCCGATGCCTCGATGCCTCGGCAAGACTAAGCGTAGCTTCTTAGCCTCTTGGGTTGCCATAGCCGACCTTCCGAACCCGTTAAAGGATGTACATAAGACTAGCAAACATCACGAGGGGGTGTTCAAACCATCGTCTCATCCATCAATAAGCCAAATGTCTGCCCAATTCGACCCCGACTATTTCGCAGTCCTTGAACCGCTATTGCCGGTCCTAGCGAAGCGGTCCACACTTTCTATCGAGGATATTCAAACTACTCGAGATGACAGAGAGACAGGTATGGCCGCGTTTCTAGCGCGTCTACCGGAGTGTCCCGACGTGGAAGAGACGGTCCATCATGCCGAAGCTTCCGACGGCTACCAAATCTCGGTTCGCAGCTTCACAAAGAAAGGTGCTCGCTCAGTGCCAGGACCGGTCTTGCTACATTTTCATGGTGGAGGTATGGTACTGGGATCAGCCGAACTCTTTGCCAAACCTCTGTCGGGTCTCGTGAGCCGGACGTCGGTCCCCATCTTCAGCGTCAACTATCGTCTGGCTCCCGAGTTTCAAGGCACAACTCCGGTTGAGGACTGTTATGCCGCTTTAGTCTGGTTACACAAAAATGCGCAGATATTGAACATTGACCCAGCGAGGATTGGGGTCTTCGGAGAAAGTGCAGGTGGTGGACTGGCTGTTGGCGTGGCATTGATGGCGCGGGATAGACACCTCCAGCCTCCTCTTGCCAAGCAGATCCTCATTTACCCTATGCTTGATGACCAAAATATGACGGCCAATGAGGTTATTGAGCCCTTAGCATTCTGGAAAACAGCAGACAATATCGCAGCCTGGACAGCTCTTCTCGGTGACAAAGCTGGCCAGCCCAATGCGGATGTCTCTCCTTACGCAGCCCCTGCGCGAGCCAAGAGCGTAGCAGGCTTGCCACCGGCTTATATTGACGTCGGGGAGTTTGATATTTTCCGCGATGAGAACATGGTCTACGTCAGCAGGCTGTTGAAGGAAAATATCAAGACAGAACTGCATCTATATCCTGGGTTGCCGCATGCATTTGAGCTGGTGGCGCCGGATATCGCACCGACCCAGAGGGCGGTCGAGAATAGAGTCAATGCCATGCTCAGCTTTTAGCCTTCTTACTCATGTTTTTTGGAGAAAGCGGTGATTGTATCGTGCGGCACAGTTGACTTCAGATAAATTAGTGGGATTTCATCATTATCTGCAATAGCTGTACAATTTCACTGTTTGAGATAGTTTGCATGCCAACCTCCCATCCTGGGTTATCTAAGGGATCAAACTTGTAGGCAAATTCATTTAAATACTCAAATTTGAATGCGTAACTAAATACCTGCAGAAGACCGTCCATTATGAAAAGCGCCATCTGTCATATCTAATAATGGTAATGAGAATTGGAATAATGAAAAAGGCATATTTCCTTCCGTATAATGATAGTCTAAGGGTCAGTCTTATGTTGATAAATACAGTCATGAACGAAAGCTGAGCCAGTTCAAGGCGAATTTGCAGCTCTAGCTCGCTATAGGCGGAGGGACATCAACACAAATCTAAATCTGATCCTCTGCCATACACACGACCAACTTAACTCTCGAGATGCGTTTGAAGTCCTTCAGATAAGATCAGCATGTAGCTCAGTACACCCTCGCCATCAGCGCACGCTGAGTCAATAGAGTCCTATCACTCCAAGACGGTGCCTCTCAAGAACGTGAACACTTTTGAGGCAAGACAGCTTGACTACCTGACTTCAAAGTCGTCAAAATTAGGCTTTGTCACCATGTCATGGTAGTCAGCTGTATGCCAGGGCACATTGACGCTCTGGCGGCCATGCTCGTTGACGTAGTAGCCGTAGCCCTCTTGTTCCCAGACGAGAGTCTTAGCCTCCTCGTCCAACTTGACGTTGTACTGGTCAAAGACGTCCCTGCGACACTCGATGGAAGTTTTGCCGTTCTCTATCAAATGTATGAGGCATGTGGCCGTATATCGCGACCATATCTCAGCCCAGGAATAGAATCCTCCTGAGCGCGGCTGGTGATTTGGCCCATAGAAGGCAAACAGATTTGGGAATCCTGGCATCACGAGCCCGAGATACGACCGCGGGCCGTCCTTCTTCCACAGCTCGTCCAAGGTTGCTCCGTCTCGGCCGACGTATTTACACGGCCAGAAATACTGCGATACCTTGAAACCAGTGCCAAGGACGACCATATCGAATTCTCGTTCTACGCCGTCGGCCGTCTTGATGCCTCTTTCAGTGAATGTGTCGATCTCGTCCGCCACCAAGTCGACGTTGTCGCGTCGCAGCGCATCGTAGAAGCCGTTGTCCACAACCAGTCGGCGAACCAGCGGCGCATGCTTGGGCAGGATCTTTTCGAGCAGCCCGGGAATGCCTTCAGCCTTGGACTGGATGTAATCGGTAAGATTCCTGCGCACCAGGTCGTTGCGCTCGTTAATCAGGCCGCCCTTGGCCTGCCACTCCAAATCGTTCGTCTGCATGTACTGCAGCTGTTGCGACGTGACATGGGCCGAGTAGCAGTGCCAGTTCCAGTAGTATGGCATGCGGTCGAATAAGAAGCGTACGTGGTCATCGATGCGGTCTTTGTAGCCGTCCATGTTCATGATCCAGTTTGGCGTGCGCTGGAAGATGGTTAGCGTCTTGGCTTCGGATGCCACCGCTGGCGTCAACTGCGTGCCCGTAGATCCTGTGCCGAGCAAGGCGACACGTTTATCTTTATAATCAACTGTATGATCCCATTTAGCTGTGTGGAAAATGGGACCCTTGAAGTCCTTGATGCCCTTGATGTCTGGCTCGTTGGGCGTGGCAAACAGGCCGCTTCCGCTAACGACGGCGTTGCATCTCAGCGTTTCCGTGTTGCCATCGGCGTGATTCTTTACTGTGAGCTCCCACTCACTCTCATCCTCGTGCCAGACAGCGCCCACAACCTCGCGGTGGAAGCAAAAGTGATCTTTAACGTCATATCGTTCAGCCACATCCTCGAGGTACTTTAGTGTCTCGCCTGCCGAGGCAAAGTACTCTGACCAAGGGTAGTTTTTGACGAACTTGAACTGGAAGAGATAGCTGGACGTGTCTACACGAGCACTTGGGTACGAGTTGAGAAGCCAAGTTCCGCCGACGCCTCCCTGTCGCTCGAGGACCTGGAAATTGAGCCCCAGTCGCTTGAACTGCACCGCAGCCGCGAGGCCACTAATGCCACCGCCAATAACGATAATCTTGAAAGCGTTAATCTTGTCGGTAGACGGCTTATTTTCTGTCCATTTTGCTGGACGAGGAAACTCTTCGTATGCCAACTCCTCGTAGTTGTAATTGAACTCGCGCTCGCTAATGGGTTCGTCGCCAAAGACATCCATCAGCTTTCTGGCCTCGGCTTTGGACGGCGGCAGAGGCAAAACATCGTCGGCCTTCCGCTTCGAGAGATAAGCCACAGCCTTTTCCTTGAGTGCTGGAACGTCTTCAGGGTCCATGACATGCGCAAACATGGCGCCGCCTCGGATGGCATGTCGCTTCGTGCGCATCTTGGCCAGGTCAGGATCGCCCGTAACTTGGAGCAACGCGAGGCGCAGAGCGTTGAGGTTGGACTTGTCTATGGCCGCGCGGATAAAGGCCTCGTCAACTAGCTTGACGCCATTTACTGACGATGCAGGCGCACCTAAAGCCATTTTCGACGATTCGCGAATACAGATGTAAGACAGTGGAGAAGACTCTCAGAACAGACTCTTAGAATAGAGCAGTGACAGTTTGCTGATACATAGAAATTCCCAGTATAGGAGCCAGTACTCGAGAACTTGGATTGAGTTAGGATTTCTTTCTTCTTGGATAAAGTCTTATTATATGACTACGAATACTTTAAACTCCCATGCACAGCAAGCTCGACAGCACATGGCATGAATACCCAGTTGCGATCCGAGGGCCGAGGCACGCTTTGGAAATATGCAGAAAATGAAATAAAATTACAAGGGAAACAACATGAATCTGAAATGTTCATCATGTTAGAGATGTGAGGGCAAGTAATTGCGCAGCGTAGAGGCATCCGGGCCGAGGCCGATTGCCTCGGATACTACACAGCAACTTGGAGTCGCCAAAGCGCCCCATCTCCAGGCCCCCACGCAGCCTCCATTGGGATGAGACATTCCTGGAACCAACACACTTAAGGAAAATCACAAGTGCGGGGGTCTCCTGGGATCTTTCTTGCCACAAGCTACTACGCTGCAATTTGATGCCATCCAATATGCTATTTCGATCCAGGTATCCAGCCATTGAATGCAAGTCTATGCTGTTGTTCCACGCGCTGCATTTGCTAATCACTGTTTACAGATCCAACCAACTTGACGGTATGGGAGTGGGCTTTTGAAGATGACAAGTACTCGCCGTTATACAACTACCCGCCCGGGGAGATAGCTGGCTTTACCAACGCCGTCACTCAGGAGCGGCTGGACTTTTTCCAAGTCAAGGAGTATTCGACTCACCTATGCACTGCCTTGGTCAAGGTATATGGCTTGCAAGAGACGGACACTGTGTCTTTGTTTAGCCAGAATACCATATGGTACCCAGTAGCAATGTTCGCCGTCCTCAGAGCAGGTATGTTCACACAAGTTGGTCCCTCCAATTATCCTCATAGTTGGGTCTTCAGGTCACCCAGGGTTTATCAAGCACATGCCAGAAAGCACGCTGATTGTGCCTCATAGGCGGAAGAGTCAATGGTGCATCTCCTGCGTACAATGTCAACGAGATGGCAAGTGCTCTCAAGACAGCGCAATCCAAATACATCATGACAGTACCCAGTTCTATCGAGGTTGCCTGTGACGCTGCCAATGAAGCCGGAATACCCCAGGAGCATATCTTCTTGTTAGAAGGAGAGCTTGAGGGGTATACGACCATGAAACAGCTGTTAGAGATCGGCAAGAGCTATGGCAAAGACGGACAAAATCCCGCCTATCGCATCCCAAATGGATCAACGAATAATGTTTGTGGTTTTCTGAATTTTAGCAGCGGAACCACTGGTCTACCGAAAGCTGTAAGTATTTGCAAGTTTATTTGTCAGATCAGATGAGTTGCCTGCTAATATCAACGGCAGGTGATGCTATCTCACAAGAATGTCATCGCCCAGTGTCATCAGTTGAAGGGTGTATCAGGACCTGGCAAGAAGAGGTACTTGGCCAGCCTGCCTTTGTTTCACAGTAAGAGACATATCCACGCCACCAAGCTATTTCATCTTTTGATGCTAACCACGAACGATCGCAGTCAGCGGACTAGTCCGATTTCTCAACTGGCCCTTAGCTAGCAACAGCGAATGCATCATGCTTCCACAATTCACCATCAAAACTTTCCTCGATGCCATCGTCAAGTACCAGATTACGGACCTCACACTTGTGCCAACAATTGTAATACGACTTGTACGCGACCCTATCGTTGAGAAGTACGATCTGTCCTGCGTACAGCTCATTGCGTGTGGTGCAGCTCCCCTGGCATCAGAAGTCACCAAGTTGCTTGAGAAGATGCTCCCCAAAGTAGGATTTAGACAGAGCTACGGTATGACGGAGTCATGTTGTTGTCTCACAACTCACCCGCCCGAGTTCTACAGCTACAAATATGCCAATAGTGGGGGGATGCTTCTGGGCTCGACGGTGGTAAAGATCATTGATGTCGATACTGGTAAGGAGCTAGGGCCGGGTGGAACAGGAGAGATCCTAGCCAAGGGCCCCCAGATTGCCATGGGATATCTCGCGAACCCAAAAGAAACAACCGAGGCATTTGGCACGGACGGATTTCTGCGCACCGGGGATGTTGGCATGATCGACGACCAGGGCTTCATCCACATCGTGGATCGAATCAAGGAGATGATCAAGGTCAAAGGGCAGCAGGTAGCCCCGGCTGATCTGGAAAATCTTCTACTGGGTCATCCTCTTGTGAACGATTGCGCGGTGCTGGGCATACCCGACGATTACAGTGCCGAGCGGCCCAAAGCATATGTCGTGCTGAGGCCCAAGGCGGGCAAACCCAGTGACGTCCTTGGGAGGGAATTGATGCAATACGTGAAGGAAAACCGAGTGCGGTATAAATGGATCAAGGAGATTGAGTTTGTCACCGAGATCCCCAAGAATCCAAGTGGCAAAATCCTCAGACGAGTGTTGCGCGATGGAGGGAAGGCGAGGAAGGGAGGGCTTGTTGTCAAGGATGTTACAGAGCGGACGAAGTTGTAAATATTGAGATTATATGTCCACATAGCAATGCAAAACCGGCCCATGTGTTGTTGAGAAGCATGCTCGACTACAGATACAAGGGAATTGGTTGGAATAATCCACGCTTTGTGGTACGGCGAGTGCAGCTTGCCAATGGGCCTCCAGCGCGCCAGATTCAATTTCGTGTATCATCTCTACAAACTTTGACTCTCCTGCTCATCACATACACTTTTCAAGTGTATTGAGAGATCTATTGGCTTTGTTAAGTACGTATGCCTGTCTTTGAAATGGAGTCACGGTTCTAGGTTGACAAGACCTTTCACGCGGCGCAGTGACATGCGGGAATATTCATCGACTCGGTAACAGGCCGGGTGGTATTCTGCTGTCTAAACTTCTACAGCCACTCGTCATCATTCAGCGTTTTCGTATTCGGCCGGCGTAGAGAGTCGGGGCGAGGTGATGCAAGTCTCCACTCCCGAGGTCCTCCCTTGGTATGCGTACTCCACGGTCGGCTTTCAACCCTCGGCAATGTCCAACTCGTGCGTGTTATCCAGGATGTCCCGGGCTATTTTATATACATGTATTCTAGGCACTGCAGTCCATGGCATCACGAACTTGACCCCGTTTACAATATTGTGTCAAATTCTTTTCTCTGTTAACATAACTACACCATGTCATACACCGGAGAAACCGCCTATATCACAGGTACGACACCCTCCAAGCTCATCAAAAATCGGTGCATCATATTGACGGTACTATAGGAGGAGCCAGTGGCATCGGCCGATCCTTGGCTGCCAGGCTCGTTAGCAAGGGGCAAGTCCCCCCAGCCGTGAGCGCGGGGAATGCTACTAATTATCCACTATTCACAGGATGAAAGTCTTCATTGCAGATCGCAATATCCAAGGCGCTCAAGAAGTTGCCAAACAGCTAAATAAAAACGGCCAAGTCGCCTGGGCAGTCCAGGTTGATGTAGCGGACTGGGAGTCCCAGAAGAAAGGGTTTGAAGCTGCCGTCAAGGAATTTAGCCGCATAGATTACGTCTTCCCCGTCGCTGGAATTCCAGAGTCATCCTGGCTTCCCAATCGACCAAATGCAACTACTTTTGAGAAGCCCAACCTCGCTGTTTTTGACGTCAACGGGACGGGAGCTCTCTACTCCTGCGCATTGGCGATCCAGCAATTTCGCCGCCAGACGCCAAACAAGTATGGTTATCGTGGAAAGGGTAATATTCATGTTTAACTGAACTCAATTTTCGGTGTTCCTCCAAACTAACACGGGGATCTACAGTCGTGCCAGTTGCCTCTGGGTGCGGCTTCTACTATATTACAACCCTCCCGATTTACACCGCCTCGAAGCAGTAAGTTGTTCAATTTCCCTGGGAAAACGTTTCCATTCTAATGGAATTCAGTGCCATCGTCGGTTTCGTTCGTTCCTTCGGCAAGCACTTGCCGGAGGAGAAGATTACGCTGAATGCCATCTGCCCCAATATCGTCAAGACCAGCATCTCGACAGGGGATTTCTATGATCGAGCCGGCGAAAAAGGCCTTCTCATTACTGAGGACTCTCTATTAGCGGCCTTTGAGTCTCTATTGGGTGCAAGCGATATCTCTGGTGAAGCCATCGAGGTTCTCCCAGGCGATGGCGGGTGGAGGATTAAGGAGATTCCCGAGTACACCAACGAAAAGTGCAGGATGAGTGTTGAAATGACGCGGGACCGGTCGCACAGATCGCATAAATTCCACGAGCCTGTCGCGGAGTGAATTCGTCAACGACTCAATTTTAAATGAATTTGTCTTTGCTAGAATCCTTCCCCCGCATCACTAAAATGTCACTCCGTGGGACTATTGAACTTGTTTGCTCATCAGCATTTTAAATGTTGTCATACTCAACTTGTATCGCCTGGTGTTTGTAAAAGTCCAGTTTTCCCTATTGTCGTACGTCCAGCCTTTTAGATCGGAGGAGTCGGATCTAGTAGCCCTTTCTCGTCTGCCGTCGCTTCAGCCGCAACATCCCTAGGCATTGAATCTTTCTTAGAGGACTTTGAAGAATCCGGGTGTGGCGACATGCGGCCCCGTGAACAGATGGATGGTGGGGTGGAAGTCTAGGGTAGGTCTCTTTTAAGAAGGACCCACAATTTGGCCTATACTGACTGTCTCGCCGGACAATTTCCTCCTGTTACGGTTGACGAATCTGTCATAAGAGTGATATCACAACATTGTTATAGCCACTCCGTTTTTTCTTTAGATCTTTCAGAAGGGGCAGTTTTATATAGATCTCGGACTACCGGCAGTATACATAGCTTGGCCACCTGCATGCATAAGGACATTCAAAACGTGAAACCTAAGATAACAAAATCCACCACTAGCCCGATGCCAAATAAATCATCACACCGTCCCGTTTGGTTGAGGCTGACGCCCAGCCGCTGTGCTCGGAGGCCCAAGAGGTTTGCTTCCATACGGAGTCACGTCAATCCCCAGCTCCTCGGCCTTGATGCGAAGAGCAAGGCGGGCTGACTGGAACCGCGTGAATGAGAACTGATGGAACATGGAATACAAACCTTTCTGAGGGAGCGGACAGTAGTTGATGATGGATTCGCCCTCAGGCCCGAGGAAGAAGGCGTTTCCCTTCTCCCATCGCTCATGGCATTTCTTGGCCATCTCATCGCCCATAAGAGCCTGGATGGCACCCTTGGAGTTCATGTAGCCTGTTGCAAAGATGACCACATCGGCTTCTTGGCTTGTGCTGTCTTTGTAAACAACACCATCCTTGGTGAACCGGTCAATCTCTGAGTGCACCAGACGAACTGTTTTGTCTGCAATCAGTTGACAACAACCAGTGTCCCAATAAAACCCTCCCTGGTCGAATAGGAACATGGAATACGCGCCACCGCCGTGATATCCATCATGGAGACGATACCCGACCTTCTTTAGAGACTCGAGTAGATCGCGATCCAGTTCTCGAGCCTTGGTTTGTCCACGAGGCAATAGCTCGTACTCAACCGGGAATGGATGTCGCAGAAAGTTCGTCTGGTCCAAGAGTTCTACGGGCAAGCCGCCCCTTCGATTCGTGAGCTCACGGCTTCGGAAGAAGTGTCGGACGCTCTTCTCCACGGACATGACGTGCGTTGCGCTTCGCTGGATCATGGTCACTTCGCAGCCCTTCTCGCTCAGCTCGTACGAAATGTCGTGTGCAGAGGTTGCGGCGCCTACGACGATGCATTTCTTGCCTTTCCAGTCTGGTCCTGTGCGATGACGTGAAGAATGGACAACGAGACCGCCGTTCTTCTCGAACTCAGCCATGCCTGGAACCTTGGGAATGCTCGGTAAGGTTCCAGATATGCCTGTGGCAATCATCAAATGACGAGGGTGAAGCACACGTTTCGTGCCATCTTCCCGTGTAACAGAGACAGTCCACCTTCCCTGCTCCTCGTCATAAACGGCGTTTCTACCATCGATCTCAGATTTGGTCCAGATATTCAGGTCCATGATGTCGGCATAGCTCTGTAGGAATCTTGCCAGCTGGGGCGCAGGCATAAAGACAGGAAACCAGTGCGGAAAAGGAAGGCAGGGCAGATGGTTGGTAAAGGTCGGGCCATGGAGAGACAGAGTGGCATAGCGACTTGCCCAGCTGTATCCGGCGCGATCCTCCTTTTCGATGATGAGATGTGGAATGCCGAGAACCTTGCATCGCGCAGCCATGGCCAGCCCGGTGTGTCCAGCTCCAACTATGACGACTGTGGGATCGAATCCTTCGTTGCCTTGAAGCTCATCCTGTCTGATTTCCTCATAGGCGCGACCTTGGCCCAGAGGATCGTGGACCTTGGCATGTTGGTAGCGCATCTTATCGCCACTCTCAGCGTCCCAGCCTTGAACTGTTTCCAAGGCAGTGCCGATGGTGTATATCTTCCAAGAATCGACGTCTGCCAGCTCAGCAGCTGAGCCCGTCTTGGCCATGAACGGGCTAAGGCGCATAACCCCGACCCCAGTGCCATGTAAAAAGTCGAACTCTAGGTGGATAATTATGAAGGAGAGATCGTCGCCCAGAGTCTCCAAGGACGGAGGAATCTGGTCATTGAGTTTGATGTTCTTGATTTCAGTCTTCGGGAGTCGCACTTTGAGCATGGGCCGAATGAGATCGTGTCCGTGGAGGGACCGAATGTCCCATGTTAACAACTCGACATCCTTCCAGTATCCGTCTCTGTAGATAAAGTCGACGATGGCGTCCACATCCTGCGATTCAATGACTTTTGCAAAGGAATTTACAAAAGACTCTGCAATCGCGGCGACATTCACAGAGGCATAGTCTGGAGTGAAGCCAAGTCGGCTATTTGTTGGAAGCGTGGCCCGTTTGATATGACCATAGTAACCCAGAGTCTGGGATAAGGGCACCCCAGCCCAGCCAACGGTGGAATTGGCATTGGGTGGGCGAATTGCATCGTCGGTCCAGCCTTGAATGGTCTCTTGAGTCATGGTTAATCAGATTGCAATAAAACAACTATAACTAACAAGCACAAAAATGAACTGGTTCTCATGAAATTTTATTCCCAAGACCAATAATATCATAGTTTGTCAAATGGGTCAAGGGAAGTCCAAAAGCGTGGTAATTCGATTTGCTTGCCTCGGGCCGAGTTCCGACTGCGAGTTGAGAGATGCTCATCAAGATATCCAAGGCTCCCTCGGCCCCTCGCCACCACCTGACTGGGAGATGTGAGAATATGGCTTAACGGAAAATCACGGGCAGCTGGTTTGCTGTCGGAAAAACCACACGACCTCGGGAAGCGGCCCTCTTAGATCCTTGGCCATTAGAGTCTGGCTTTACATCTGCAACTCTTCATCGGGGACCAACCGTCTCATACAATGAACCACTCCTTGCACGGTAAAGAGCACAACATCTTTTCGAATACAACTTTACATATCTGCCTGTAATATTTGCTACGTTGGTGATGGCTAGTGACAGTGGCGAGGAGTATCGATGAAGGAGTGCAGATGCAAACTTGATATGTCATATTTTCAAGCGCGCACTCCAGAAGGGTTTCGCTGTTACTAAGTCCAATGCTAGACTCCCCGACTGTCAAGCGAATGATTGAAATAATAAAGGACTCAGCGTCGCCTGGTACGGCCACCCGTTCGGAGATGCTCACGGTGTATTTCTTGGGAAATAGCAGTATCACGTCCCATTTCTTCAATATGGATAGCTTGATACTGGTAATTTCGGGATTTCTTGAGCAATTTACCGAGCGGGTTCGGTGCAGAAGGGTGAATCGACTGCAATGGATGCATTACCGCGATTGTTCAGCATCCTTTGTCTAAAATTACGTCTTCTGGCTGGCAGAGGGTTTTCCACACTCAACTCCCCTCGAAGCGCTACAATAGCAGTGCAAGCATTTTCAATCCATAACCTGGGGGAGTGGAAGCCTTTTAACTCCGCTCAAGGTGCTAAAATAGCAGTGCAGGGCGGGATGGGGTGCATTTCAACTGGTACGGAAGGGCTAAAATAGCAGTGCAAGGAAGACTTTCTTTTTCTATTAGCCATGGGGTACGGTGGCACTTAGACCAACTACGCAAAAGTGAGGGAGCAAGGGTATTTTTACTCCCATGCAAGTGCTAAAATTGCAGATAACAGCATTGAATGCTTCGTCCTCTTACAGAGTATCTATTCTAGAGATGACTAGGTATTTACTCGGGGGTGGATTTCGAAATGATGCTTGTGTGAATCCAGCATCTCTCTCACTCCTCTTTTCTTACAGTGGCATTTTTGTGCTAATTTCATCAAGCTCAGAACATGAGTATATCAGAGGTTCAGCACATCCAGTATTAATCGATCATGAGACTAGAGATCGGCATGGATGGATATGGACCTCATTGATATTGCGAATCAGCTTGTCTTGGTATTGATGAACAGCCACAACCGTTGTCGACTCGGGATGAAGGATGATGCCAGTGTTCGCACCCAACGCAACGATCCAGTTTCATAATTGTAGATAAATTGCGTAGCCATAATTAATTCAGTCTTTGACTATTTCTGATTTGGCGACAATCGCTGAGCTCTGAGAATGCCAAGGCTGGAGATGTATTCCATCTCGTCAATCCGCGATTCACCACGCTATGGCGTCAAATCAAGCCTGCGACGACGAGTTAAACATTAATTGATAACGGAAGTCCGAGCTACAACCCCCAGCCATCTCAATCTAATACAACTGGGGCAGTTGTTCCTTCAGACAGAACTGCATTACCAACCCGCTATAACACAATCACAAAACTGAAGTCACAGAAGAGTTTAGAAAAAGATTTATATAATCTCAACTACCTATAAATTGGCTTGAGCAACAAGCCTTTCTCTAGTATCTCCTACAGCAAAATCGTTCCGGTTCTTCTTGCTTCTCACCCTATCAGCGTCACTGTCCGTAATGCCGCGGGCCTCTACAGCATGATTGTACCCCAGCCAACTCGTCGACGCAATTTCGTTGTTGCTGACCGCTAGGTTGGTCTGGCCATCAGCCCGTTTGTAGACGTTGACGACCACGGCGCCTCCGAGACCCAAGTTATGCTGTAGTGCAACTCTCGTCTTGTCCACGAGCCTGTTGTTGGCCCAGCCTCGCAGCTGCCATGTCAACTCAGCACATTGGGCCAAACCTGTGGCGCCGATGGGATGGCCCTTGGATATGAGGCCTCCAGAAGGATTCACCACCATCTTGCCACCAAACGTAATGTCTCCTCGGCGAACCATCTCGTGCGCCTTTCCGGGTTCAGAAAACCCCAATGCATCCAAGAGTACCATTTCATTCGTGGAGAAGCAGTCGTGCAACTCGCAGGCTCTGACGTCGCTGGATTGTATTCCGGCCTCCCTCATCGCGGCTTGGGCTGCTCGCTGTGTCATGGTGTAGCCGACAAGCTCGATTGCACTTGTCCCGAAAGCCGCGGGAGAGTCGGTCAAGAAAGACTGTCCCGCCATTAAAATAGCCTGGCCCTTGAGATGTGGACGGGCATCCAAGAAACGTTGCGAGACGATGACTACTGCTGCTGCGCCATCGCTTGTGGGACTACACTGCAGCTTGGTCAAGGGAGCGAAGATGGCTGGCGAGTCCTTGACCTCTTGGAGAGAGTAGCTTCGCTGGAACTGAGCATACGGATTGCGCTGAGAGTGTTCGTGCGAGATGCGTGCAATCTCGGCAAAGTCTTCTGCTTTTGCTCCGTACCTGAGAGCTTGGTTAGCAAATATTCGTCCGTATACACTGTCAACATTGCGCATCAAGGAATGACTTACTTTTCCATATACTCTCGACCTGCCTGTCCGAAGTACTGAGCTGTCAAGGGAGCTGCCTTCTCAACCCCAACCAACTCGCGCAGCTTCGCAGCAAAACGTCCGCTGGAGCTGGGTCTATCGTCCCAGGCACTCTTGAGACTGCCAGGCTTCATCTGTTCAGCTCCTACTACCAGGACACAGTCCACGGTGCCGCTCCTCACGAGTGTACGAGCCAGATAGAGCCCCACGGACCCAGTAGCACAGGCATTGCTCGTGTTAATGATGGGGATGGTAGACATGCCAAATTGGTAAAAAATGCGTTGACCTGATGTAGAGTCTCCGTACGCGAAACAGGCCACGCCGTGCTCAACGTCGTCGTAGTTGATCTGGGCATCTAGCATGGCCTTGACACCGGCCTCGTAGCCCATTTCTGGGTACTTACACACTCCACGAGGCTTCGTGAATTTCGTCATACCCACACCAAGCACGTAGGCTTGGTTTCCAGGCGGTGTTATATTTTCCATGTTGCGGGCTTTAAAGACTGAAATTTGCTTTGGATTGGCGTGTGGATTGTCGGGATTGGAATATGGCGATTGACTTCGAAGGTGGTTTCTATGAATGCATATAGAGAAGACGGAATTGACCCGCTATAGCAATCTTGGATAAGAGGATTTCATTTGCCTCCCTAAGCCTTTACAACTGCGGTTCGCCGACCGAGGCAAGCGTCCCGAGGCAAAAGTGACGGATAAATGCCCTCGGAGTTACGTCGTCCTTCCACCATGCCTGGACCGAGTTCAGGCGAATCGACAACGCCTTCCGGCAACTCAATATCCCCATAGATGATAATTATAGATCAAGTAGACAAGATGCGAGGTGCATGGCCATAAAGCGTACATTCTTGGTCCTGGCGGTCCCGGGACTTTGACGCGCCGCAGACGGCTGTTATCACAAGGGGCTGGTAACTTGAGAATGATTTGCCTCTATTTCATTGATTGTGAGACCGTGGAGATGAGTAAAACTATTTAACAAAAAATTAACTTCTTCATGCACACTATGGCAAAACCTATGGAGTCGCATATCATAATACCCAAGCCAAAGAAGCTTACAGTAGCCGAGGGTGCGAAGTCGACTAGAGGATATAATGGCACCCAGCTCCGTTTTCTTGCTATTAAGGACCACAAGGCTAACAAGACACATTTTACCCAACCAGAACGACAAATTGAAGTTGACTTCGATCGAAGTAGTCACTGAGATGCCTTCCAAAGAGTCCCAGGCGATGGAGAATCTGTGGAACAAAGTGAACCGGTTCCTCACAGCATATGGGCTGGAACCCGACTTGTATCAAATGTTGATGGAAGAAGCGGCCGGTGAGGCTTCAGAGCCCTCGGGAGTCCTCTACGAAGAGGTCAACTGCCCCGGAACCGTCCGGCCAGCCATCTGGTGTAAGCCTCTATCGGCTTCGCCTTCGCGGGTGATATTGTACATGCATGGAGGAGGTTTCAGCGCAGGCTCTCCAGCAAGCCATCGCAAGACAGTGGCACATCTCGCCGAGAAGGCTGCATGCCACGCTCTCATAATCGACTACCGACAAGCACCAGAACACCAGTTTCCCAAGCAAATCGAAGACGTCGTTGCCGCATACAAGTGGCTGATGGACGAGAGAGGAGTTTCCAGCAAGAATATCGCCTTTGCCGGCGATTCTGCGGGAGGCAACCTGACGGTGTCAGCCTCGCTTGCTGCTAGGAGCCTCGGACTGGATGTCCCAGCCGCGATCGCAGCTTTCTCTCCGTGGATCGACATGACCCTGGCTGGAAAGAGTTTCCAGACAAACAAAGATACAGACGCCCTTGTAGTTCTAGAGGGTATGCAGGGCGTCGTCGGCACCTACCTGGGCAATGCATCCCTGGACGACCCGCTTGTTGACTTGCTTCACGCAGACTTCAAGGGTCTTCCACCAATGTACTTAGCTTCAGGCACGGCAGAAGTCTTACAGGATGATGCGGTTCGTCTGGCAGAGAAAGCAAAGGCCTCTGGAGTTGAAGTCCAATTGGAATTGGCCGAGGGAATGCAACACGTTTGGGTCTTCATGGCAGGTCGAGCGCCGGAGGCAGACCATGCCCTTTCCCAGGCTGCGGATTTCATCAGGAGGCACATGGTGGCTAGCTAAGCGTTTCGGTTGCTCTGGAATATTCTTGCTGTGCACGAACTATGGCAAAGCGAAGTTGAAATCGATGTCGTCGAGATGTTTACCATCAGGACTGATTCAATGAGAAGGGTGGGGAAGATGATGCTGGCAAGATTCGTATTCTGGCGCTTCCTGCTATTCTTGATTCAATATGCGAACATAAATAAGTTTCCTTGATTGATGGAGAGAATAAACAAATTATACGGCTCACTATTTAAACCCGTTTCACGTCGATTGTTTTTGACGGGAGGCTCGTGACAAGAGCTGGTCTGGTGAAGCCTTGACACTAGACTTCTTTGTGGGCAATGTCAACGACCTCCGCGCAAGACTGCATGTCAGAACCAGCAATCGATGCCTCTTCGGGAATTACGAGTTCTATCCATAACTAGTTCATAAGTTCGTCAACTTGTAAACACCTCGGGCAGCATTGTCGAGACTCGACTCGGAACTTGGGGGGAAAGCATTGACTTGGAGTGCTCGATATCAAGGTCATCACTCTATCTCTCAACAGCAATGCGGGGCATATCAGACGTCCAAATGACGCCTCCCGAGGACTTTCCCGGCGTCCAATAACTTTCTCGGTGGCCAAAATAAATTTGGTCCGCTTGCAGGTAGCCGAGGGCACGAGTGAAGTCACAGCCGAGGCAGGGCGTGTTTATAAAGCTTCACAGCCTAAATCGGTCAGCTCTGGAGGATGAGAATGTGTAGCTAATAGCTTTCTATCATATCTTTGCAACAGAGCTCTGCTTCCATCACACTCGTCTCAAAACGCCTTCCTCTTTTCTTTCACCCAATTCTAGTATGGCACAGGAAGTTAATGGTCAGCGGGAGCAGACACTCCGCGATGTTCAAGAAAAGTACCAACAGGAAAGGACCAGACGTCTCCGAGACGATGGCATGGCTCAATTCACCGACCTCTTTGAGCTCGATAAGTTCAAAAAGTTCCTCGCCGATCCTTGGACTCCAGACACCCCCGTGAACGGCACCGCTCCCCCCACTCCACCAGCCGATCAGCATTGCGAGATCTTGATAGTTGGAGCAGGCCACAGTGGTCTTCTTTTCGCAGCCCGTCTGATAGATGCCGGCTTTAGTCCCGAGGACATCCTCATGGTAGACAATGCTGGCGGATTTGGCGGGACTTGGTACTGGAATCGGTATCCAGGCCTGATGTGTGATGTAGAAAGCTACATCTACATGCCGCTTATCGAGGAAACTGGTTATATGCCGAAAACGAAATATTCGTCGGGAGAGGAACTGCGACTCAATGCCGAGCGAATAGCCACCAAGTGGAAACTGCAGGACAGAGCAATGTTTCACTGTAGGGCGAACCGTCTTGCATGGGACGATGCTCGCAAGGAGTGGGTTTCAACCATCTTTCAACAGAATAAGGGGAGGGACGTGGGAACAGCTATGACGGTGAAGTCCCGATTTGTGATGCTCACTAGTGGTATATCCGTTATTCCTCAAATCCCCGTCATCAAGGGCCTAGAGACTTTCAAGAATGACATATTCCACACGGCTCGCTGGGATTATAACATCACAGGCGGTACTCCAACAGATCCCAGCACGGCTAAACTGAAGGGGAAGCGGGTGGGAATTATCGGTACCGGAGCAACTGCTATACAAGTAGTTCCTGAACTTGTCAAATGGGCGGATCAACTCTATGTGTTCCAGCGAACACCTTCGGCAGTCGACCGGCGAGACAACAGGCCCACGGATGAAAGTTGGTGGAACCGCGAGACTCTGAAGCCTGGTTGGCAACATGCTCGACAACAAAACTTCAACGAGTTCATGACGCATGCAGACCCGAAACCAGACGTCAACCTCGTTTCTGACGGTTGGACTTCAATGCCGTCGTACAGCGCCATCATCGGGAATAAGAAGACTAGGCCCCCTGAGAAGCTAGAAGACTACAGGCAAATGCTCCACGCTCTCGACCTCACTCGCCAGGGGCAAATTCGTCGACGAGCAGGAGATATTGTCCAGGATAAAAACACAGCGGAGATGCTCAAGGCCTGGTATCCCGGTTGGTGCAAACGACCGTGTTTCCACGATGAGTATCTTCAGGCTTTCAACAACGACAACATCACACTTGTTGATACCAACGCACGGGGTGTTGAGCTCGTCACGGAGACGGGTGTAGTTGTTGGAGGCCAAGAATATCCGCTCGACGTTCTCGTGCTGAGCACAGGCTATCGCAGCGCGTTTCTCTACAGTCCTCCACGTCGAGTCGATATTGATGTGTTTGGTCGAAATAATCGATCCCTAGACAAGAAATGGACAGCTGGGGTTACTACTCTCTTTGGCATGATGAGTCACGATTTCCCGAATATGTTTTGGCCAGGTTTCGTTCACGCAGGGGGTACGCCCAACTTTACTTTCAGTATCGACCTTGCTGCAAAGAAGGTTGCTGCTATGATGGCTCAGTCTCAGTTGCGACTAAGGTCAAATAAATCATCCCCTTCCCCATATCGCTATAATTTTACAGTCGAGGCGACCTCGGACGCAGAAGAGGAGTGGTCCAACAAGATCGCGGCCGGTGCAGGCATGTTCCTGGCTGCCGCTGGTTGCACGCCAAGCTACATTAATGCCGAGGGAGAGCTTGACCGAGAGGTCTCGGTGGAAGTGCAGAAGCGGCGAGCTCGAGGAAGTATGTGGAGCAAGGGGGTGGTTGACTTTGAGCAAGTGGTCGGAGAGTGGGAGAAGGGTGGGTTTGAAGGAGTTGTTATGGAGGGCACAGAATAGCCAGTTATGATTTAGTCTCAGTCTACTTTGTAAATCCAGGAGATCTCGATTGATGAAGGATGTTAGGTCTTGAATAATTGCGTCTGTTGCTACAGGATCGTTACGAGCGATGAAGATCAGAGCCATTTTACGTACAATGCTACTCCCTCTTCTTAGGCATTTCGTCCACGGGTTCATACAATGTCCAGAATTAACAGAAGAAATAACAGTAACTTCCCCATATATTCAATTCGATAGAGAGAATGACAATCTTGAGGAACACAAATCCAAGTGGGAGATTTCGAGACAAAGTCCCCGGCTGATAGCCCAGCCCTCGGAGGCATTATAGGCATTGATCAACCCCTAGCCGAGGCTATGGTATAGCAAAGTCAGACTGATGCTACCCGGTGAGCTGACTGGTCTGTTAGGCCCCCACTCTCCTGGTGGAGTTCTACAACGTTGCCATCGGCTTCCACAAGAGGCCATAGGCTTAGTCAACCCGCCAAGCGGTTGCTCGTGTGTATTTATAAGCACCGCTTCCATTCTACGAAGGAGCATCTTCGATCAACACATTACGAAAGCGCTCAAGAAAAGATGAAGGTCGCAATTGTTGGTGCCACGGGAGAGACTGGACGATCTATTGTGGATGGACTCGTCAACTCAGATGTCCATTTCGTATGTATATCTTAACTTGACGACTGGTCGAGTTGCCCATTGACGTGGTATCTAGGAAATCACCGCTTTGGTCCGCCCATCATCATTGGAGAAGCCAAGAGTCCAGGATTTGAAGGCGCGATCCATCCATATTGTCTCAGCCGAGCTTCAAGGTCCGCAGGATGAGCTCATCAACATCCTGAAAGGGATCGATGTGGTTATTTCTGCCATTCACTACCAGTCGCTTTCGGACGAGATTCCTTTGGCCACTGCTGCTAAAGTAGCTGGAGTAAAACGATACGTGCCATGCTTCTTTGCCACGGTTGCACCTCGAGGAGTCATGTACCTGCATGACTTGGTGAGTACACAAGGTCTTGTTTGGGGGCGAACCGAAGTTTGCTGACCCTTTCAACAGAAGGAAGATATCCTCGATCATATCAACCGTTTGTACCTTCCTTACACAGTGATTGATGTGGGCTGGTGGTACCAGATCACCCTTCCCAGGGTACCATCTGGTCGCTTCGATTATGCTCTGCTGGCACCGAACAACACTGTATTCGCTGGCGGAAACGTTCCTATTGCATTCACAGATGTGCGTGATATTGGGAAATATGTGGCTAGAATTATCAGCGATCCACAGACACTCAACAAGAAAGTATTCGCCTTCACCGAGACCAAGACCCAGAAACAAGTGTTTGAGCTGGTTGAAAAAGTGAGCGGCGAGAGGCTGGAGAGGACTGAGGTAAGGCCACACATAGGCACACAAAATCATGACAAGGCACTGACTTCCCATGCGCCTCCCAGGTTTCAGCAGCTGATCTTGAGCTGAAGCTCAACGAAGTCAGAAAATCCAACACTCTCGACCAGATGCGAGCAAGTTATGAGTACTGTAACTCGTGGGGTGTACGTGGCGATAACAGCCCAGATCATGCCAGGTATTTGGGATATCTTATCGCCGAGGATCTGTACCCTGGTATCAAGGGCCGAAGTCTTGAGAGCTTCATTCGGGATATTGTGGATGGAAAAGGTAAGAAAGTGTATGTCTGATTTGTGAATAACAGAGCCTCGGGTATCTCAAGGAGTGAAACTGAGATGAGTCTTATCTCGAAACAATCAAATTGAAAGCCAAATGCCCATCCTAGTTAATATTCAAGCCCGCGTCAGTTCAGGTTGCTTCATCCATCCACAAACTCGTTTCTAACATGCCTTCTAAAACTTCGCTCAACTCACAGGTCCAGCCACCATCAACACACTGAATAGATCCAGTAATAAAGCTGGCCTCATCGGAAAGCAAAAAGGCAATCAACTGGGCGACCTCCATTGGATCAGCTTGTCGATCCATACACTGTAGACTTGTTGGCCTATTAATTTTCCGTGCCTTCTCTACAGCCATAATCATCGGTGTTCTGACGGTACCTGGAGCGATGGCGTTGACTCTAATGTTTGGATTCTCCCTCGCAGCAGACTTAGTCAAGCCAGCAACAGCATGCTTACTTGCGGCATAACATCCTCCGAAGGGGACTCCAATCAGAGACGCGATGCATCCAGTATTGACCTGCAGAGTTTCAGACCGATTAGTTTCTGTACTCCTCAACTCGACCAGTAACTCTCTTGTGGCGGCCGGGAGAACTCACAATGCTACCTCCTGAATCCACCATGTTGTTTAATTGAGCCCTTAGGCAGTTGAAAACTCCCCCTACGTTAATATCCATTACATTTTGGAATCTTTCGTCTGTCCCGTCTTTCAAGAGGCTATCGCTGTTTATCATTCCCGCCAGGTTTACCGCCCCGTTCAGTGGACCATGGCGGCGAACTATCATTTCGATCCACGACGTTACTTGTTTACTGTCTCGTACGTCGACAACAGTGCTAGTGTGGGAGTCTGGAGGGAGGGTTTTAACAGCTTCTTTCAATGCACATTCACTTATATCTGCAAGAGACAAGATCGCGCCTCTAGATGACAAGAGCTGCGCGGTTGCAAAGCCAATGCCAGAGGCTGCGCCTGTAATTGCAATCTATTACTCGGCTACTTAGTCAGTGAGCGAGTACAATTCGTGTGATAGTACTCACCACACCTTGTGCCGGCAACTTGCTCACCTTGAGGGAGCAGACAGAAGTTAGATTAGTACTCACCACCTTTCCCTCAAGGGACTCCATACTGTGATGGAACCTTTGGTTGAATGACACAGAAGCTACTTGAAGAAACTAGGCCAGAAGATGGAGAAGAGAGAGGCGAATATTCAGGTATCCTCAGCAGGCTACGGGTATATATATACACATATTTTGAGACGCCTCTGCCCTTTAAATAGTTTACGACTGGTATTAAACCCGATATGACCCAAGGTTTACTCTGTCCTGCTTCGGGCCGAGGCTCTCCAACATCAAGGCCACTCACCATGATGCACGACCTCTGTCGACTATCAGATAGGTTAATATCCATTCTGGCACCAGTTCAGGTCGTCTTCAGATAGCCTTTGACTTACCGTTTGGCCCCTATTGCAAGATAATCAATGGTGATAGGTTATGGACTGAATCTTTCAAAGCTCGAGTGCAACCATCTTCCTTTTGCATTCATCAGTGTAATATGCTCAGATGTCAAAAACATACATCAATACCGTCCAGAGACCTCAGCATCCCTTCAACTCTCCGATCGATCAGACGACGGGTGGCTAACTAAGAGTAGTTCGGTCGTTGACTGCCAGTGAACCTCTGCCTTTGTAGGGTTTTCTGTCACTCTCGTTATCTCTATATTGAGTTTCGCTCCTGAAAACTCGTAAATGTTCAATGGCAATGTTGACGTTCCTTACTCAGGACGGGTGATGCGCTTGGTTCCTTTTTCGAATTAGTAAAATTTCATACGATGGCAAATTACATGTATCAATGGCCAATGCTTCATGAAACAATCTTATGAATCGCTTGAATCCTTCTACGCGAAGCAGGGACACTTTGATCGCTTCAAGCGAGAGCTTTGTGCAAGATTGTTGTTATTTATGGGTCGTAATGATCAGGATGGGATTTCAGCTGAATTCCTCCAGGATTTGAGATTGACATTCACCTTGACAGCGAGGAGCCAGCTGTCAAACTTTTAGTCGGCAACGGTTCGTTCCATCAGACTGCGAATCCAGTGCGGCTTACCCTGGACTATAAGCAAGTTGGTACTGGGATCATGACGACAACTCAAGTGTAGGTATCACGGAGTCGATTCCTTTAAAGTTTAACGAATGACGGAAACCTATTTTTGGTTACTTTATCTGATAGCTCAGCTTGACGCTATTGGCAGATTTTAGTTGGGATAGTATTCTAACGAATATTGATTGGCATTTCTCCACTCCATTACAAGACTGCCTCAAGTCCCACAATAGGTATACGCTCATGAATACCGCTACTTTCTTTCGATTACAAAGACACAAGTTTCACCGGCTACAACTTACCCTCTCTCCAATTGTGCATCGGTTATCCAAGGAACGTTCGGCCCTCGGCTACCATATCTAACCTCTCTTTCCTTCATTAGCGTGCGGGGTGCACAACATGACTAGAGTGTAAAATCAATGGTCCAAGAATGTTTAAGATTGCCAAGTTACTATAAAAAAGGCTCCATTGTTGGTTTACATGTGAGTGCGGGAGGTGGACATGTCTTGGCAACTGGTATGGGGTGACAGTAGTCGAGAGCAATGAGATTGAGTCGTGGATGTACAATTAAAGAGTATGAACTTTGTAGCACACCATCAGAATCATATTCAGAGACTTGGGTACTTACACAATAGATATCTGGATATAGTACCTTTCCAGATGACGGTAGCTCAAAGAGTGTATACAAAATCCCTTTGACCTTCCAAAACACGATTCATCTCCCTGTGGAGCCGATTCTGCTGATGAAAATACCAGACAAGCAAGGCGGTAAGGCCAATGATGCCACCAGTGCAACAGAGTATCACAATCACACCCGGAGTATAGGTTGGGGCATCCTGAGACCGGAACATAGTGGAGGCAATGATACCACCCACTGCCCCAAGAGTCAGTTGCAGCCCTGAGCTCACGCTGCGTTTTGTTCGCGTCGGTGCATTGTTCTGAGCAAAGACAATAGTCATAGGGCCATTGACCAACGAGCCGCCGATAGTGAAGAACAAGCCCAGATACTGAGAGCCAGTATTTGGTCCCCACCGTGTCAATACAATTCCCATTATCATATTGAGCGCAAAGAACATGATAAATGGTGACCTCATGCGGATCCGATCAGAAAAACCTGAACAGACCACAGCCAAGATAAAAGAGTAGAAGTATGGGGGAGTTGTTAGGACCTGGCTGAGTGCACCCGTGAAGCCCATTTGCTCATTGAGGATCAGAGGCATGAAATAAGCCAGTCCGTACGTGATGGTGACGTTGAGCATGTAAATAGCTGCAAAGATCCAGATCTTCCAGTCGCGGAGGGTCAGTAACACCAGCTTGACCGTCAATTCTTCTTCTTCGTGTTCCTCCCGATCCTTAGCTATCATCTGGACAGCAATGTGGCGCTGTCGCTGGGAGAGAAACTTTGACTTCTCAGGGTACTCGTCGAGCACAAAGAAGGCCCCTCCTGCTACGAGTACGGTTATGGCGCCTTCGAGTAGGAAGATCCAGCGCCATCCAGCGTAGTCGGCAGCATTGATGCGTGAAAAGGCATACGCGAGGACGCCCGATAGGGACGAGATCAGCGATGCGCCGCAAGCGACGAATGTCATTCTCCGGCCAAAGTAATAGCGGGGATACCACGAGCTAACCACTACTATGATAGTTGGATACACCCTTTCAGAGTTAGCAGAGCATTGTTTATGTTGAATAATTAAACGTACCCAGATTCGCAGATTCCCAAGAAGACGCGCATGACGACGAGGCTGGCGTAGTTACGAACAAGCCCCATGCCCAGCGTGAACAGGCCAAAAGCGACAGAGAGGAATGTGAGCCAGTACCGAACCGAAGTCTTGGAAAGGAAGTAGTTGCCCGGAATTACAAACAGAGCGTAGCCGGGAAAGAAGACTAGCAGCGAGATGGAATATTGATATGCCTTGAATTCCAGTTCGGCCGACATGCCAGCGACAGCAGCGAGACCCATATTGGTGCGGTCAATATAGCAAAAGGCAAGCAAAATGGTCATGACGGGTAAGATTATGACGTCCACCTTTCTGACGGTCTTGGTAAGCTCTTTCGAAACGGCCGTCGGATCACCACTCTCGACATTCTGGTCGCCATCTTCCTCGTGGTAGAAGACTGGCGTAATATCTCCCTTTTGCGACATATTTGAGGCTAAGATGCCCTTTTCTCCATCATGGTTACCTCCAGGTGGGGTTGTAACTCCTTGCATTGTCGAAGTATGTCAGGGTAAGTTGAGAGAATTCGAACTCTGGGTCTTTGCGGATCAATCAATCGATGTTCTGACTGGCTCAATAAAGGCATTGATATATGGTAGAACTCTGAGACCCGAGGAGAGACTGTAATCCGACCCGAGGAAAGGATAGATCCCGAATGGACGATAACTTCCGAATCGGTGGATTATCCCGAGGGGAGGCTGAATCCCGAGGTGAAGTTGACAACAAACTGAAGTTGAACCTGACGAGCCGCACATTGCCGAGAACGGATATGTTTACCGATCCAAGGGAAGGAATGGATTGATGATAGAATAAACTGCAGTATAATAAGCAATATGTCCTTGCTATGATGGCAGACAGGCATGCCTCGATGAAGCGTTGTTCATTCCCCAGCCAAAAGTCCTGAAAATTGGGCGAAAGCTGTACAAAATGGATTTTGCTTACACCCAACTCCCTTGGGCCTCTGGACGCCTCGCAATCCGTATTTCATACGCACTTCTAGGGGTAAGCATTCTCACTCTTTATTAGTTACGCGACACTGACTTATACCCCAGGGCTCGATCTTACTTACCGTGGGCTTTGCCCTAGTCGTCATATACAACCTCTTTGTCAGCCCGCTACGAAGATTCCCTGGCCCAAAATCAGCAGCCGCTACTCCATTGCCATACTTGAAGGCAGTTCTTACCGGTCGAACGAGCCAATACGTCTATGGATTGCATCAAAAGTACGGGGATATAGTGCGCATTGGGCCGAGAGAGCTGTCCTATACCAAAGCCGAGGCTTGGAAAGACATATACGGGCATCGGTCAGGCCATGAATTATTTCTCAAAGAGCCCGCCTTCTACATGGACCCGCCCAATGGAATTCCGTCTCTATTCTCGTCCGATCATAAATACCATCCGCGCTTGCGTCGCCCCATGGCACACGCCTTCTCCGAAAAAGCCCTGCGAAGTCAGGAGCCTCTTATGAGAGTCTACATCGATCTTCTCATCCAGGGATTAAGAGGCAAGGCGGACACGGGCGAAGATCTTGATATAGTTTCATGGTTCAACTGGACCACATTTGACATCATCGGTGATCTTTCGTTTGGCGAACCGTTCGATTGCTTGAAGACAAGATCAATCCACCCCTGGGTAAAGATTATCTTCGACACTGTCCGCGCTACAGCAGTAATGGGTGCGATCAGGAGAGCACCCGGTGCCCAGAGACTCATTGAATTCTTTATTCCAAAGGGTGAAAAGGAACTGCCGAAACGGCACCAGGAATTGACAGACGACAAGGTGGCTCGACGCCTGAATTCAACAACTGATCGACCAGATTTTATACATTACCTTCTCAAGAACAAGGACAAACAAGACGCATTGACAGATCCCGAGCTGAGTAGTGCACTCTTCGCGGTCATTGTTGGTGGCTCGGAAACGACAGCTACTTTACTTTCAGGCTGCATTTACCTCTTGCTAAGGAATCCCGACAAGCTGCAGAAGCTAGTTGATGAAGTGCGTCAAACATTCAAGTCGGACGATGAAATCAACTCGGTGAGCGCCAATCAGCTAAAGTATACTCTTGCCGTACTGGATGAGTCGATGCGCGTGTACCCTCCTGTTCCGATTGGCATGCCCAGAGAAGTGCCGAAGGGGGGAGACACTATTCTCGGGGAGCATATTCCAGGAGGAGTAAGATATTTCTCGACACTCAGTAGTCGGCTATAAGCTAACCGTTTGTTAGACTATTGTGTCGGTTCACCAATATGCCAGTCACCACTCGCCCGACCATTTCCGAGACCCCGAGACCTTCGCTCCGGAGCGGTTCATGGGAGATCCTTACTATGCCGATGATGATCGCAAAGTTTTTCAACCATTTTCCATCGGAGCGAGAAATTGTATTGGTCGAAAGTAAGTTGCCCAAAGTTGCTGAACCACAAGCATTTGATAGACTTGGCGGCTAATGAAGTACAGCTTGGCGTACGCTGAGATGCGACCTATCTTGGCTAGGATTGTTTACAATTTTGATCTCGAACTTTCGGATGAAGAGTACGACTGGACGGGAGACCAGAGGACCTTTATTATCTGGGAGAAGGGCCCCCTTAAGATCAAGGTTCACAACGCTCAGAAGGTAGTCTAGGGTTCAAGAACTACGCCCACGATGAAGACAATAGGGAATTTTTCGTCTCATTTATGTTGGTCTCGTTTCCGCTGCATTACATCGGTCACATCTTGCGGTGATCGATCAGATAGGTTAAATGTCGATTTACATCTTGCGGCTTCATGCCTCGGCTGCCAAGATACGATATGATTCAACATCTTTTCTCGTGTGTACCCCGCGCGAAATGTACCACAGCTTCAATTATGTAAGGGGAGTCGGCTCCCTTTGTGCGACACGAAGGAATACAGGGGGGCAAGGGATTTGTAATTTCGAGTTTCAAGCTGGGGTATCGGGTTTTGTGGCTGATCTTGGCACCAGAATGATTGACGCAGAAGAATATGAGTCAAGAGCAGTCAAAGGCTAAACATACAAATAAACAATACGATTTAACACTGAATTGTATTAGGAATCAATGAATCTTCTGCTACCACCCGTTTTACGTTGGTGCCGGTGTGCCGCTCAGCTTGACAGCACTAGAGGCCAAAGCGATACCCATGTTACAAATAGCGCCTCGGGGAAGGCTTCAGTAGCCCGGGCCCTGCCACGTTTAGTCAAGGATTGAATGAACTTCAGTAACCAGTTAGCTCATCGTTTCTCGTCATGGCTCTCAGAGCGGGATGACAGCAAGCGCAGGTACCGCGTTGCAGTGGTTACGGAGTCAATAATGGTGGTTCATCCAGGATTCGGATCGCATTCCGGCTTCCGCCCCTGGCAGGCTTAGACTTTTCGCTTGGGCCCTTGTTGCATCGAACTGGGCATAGATCGACAGGTGCCGAGATCAATGTTCCGGCATGTCCGAGGAATCTTTTGCCATTATTCGTGCACAATTGGGCTCTACATGTCTGTCATTGCAATTCGTCTCACGATTGGCCTCCACAATAATGCTCTTCATGGTCATGCTGTATTTACAGAGTGCTGCTATGCATAATTCGTACGTCGTGAGTCAGTTTCCGCATACCAACCACCCGTTTTCTCAACGACAAGGTCCCCCAGTCATAGTACATAACATCCCTGACCTGCATTGTCGTCTAGATCACGACCCCATCATGTGGTCGATTTGCCCCTGGACATGTTTCTCCGCCTAAGCAATTGGTCCAAAGAAGCTAAATTTGCCCTTCGGATCGTACTTCCCCTTCAGGGCCTTCAGGCGGTCCTGGCGCCATTGCTCGCTCCCGTACCATGCCTTCGGGGTCTCGTCACCGAAGGCATAGTTCACGTAAGAGCCCATCTCTTTCTTGCCCGTGGCCTTGTGCAAGATCTGGCGAAGCTCCACGCCCAGGTCGGCAGCCCGCTTGTCAAGGGCAGGGCCATCGGGCGAATATGTGATGAGCGGGGCGAGGAGAAGGTGCGCGTCCCGGAAGGCGAAGGCGCTTGACTTGGCGTTGATCGAGCTCACGCCCTGCGTCGAGTATCCCTCGAGCATGAACAGGGAGTTGCTAAAGGGAGAGTCCCCATTTGTTTCGGATGAAAAGAGATCATAGGCCTGCTTTGTCGCCGCAACGTCATATGACTCGAGATAGATCGGGAAGCGGGGGTTGACGAGCCCGTTCTTCTGGCATGGCGCAGAAGCGAGGGCGATGCCGGTCCAATTGGCAAGATCTCGATAGTCTCCTGCAACGGGCTGGATGACGAGAGGTCCGATGTCGTGGAAGGGCTTCGTGATGGTCGAGTTGACGGCTGTCACTCCTTCTTGGATGATGTAGAAGAGGATGATGGGCTGGAGGATGGTCAACAGCAGCATTCATGCTGGATTATGAGGGTACTCACGTTGTTTGGATCCATATCAGGGCTGTTGACCCAGTATGACCAGTTAATGACTCCCTCGGGCTGCTTTCCAAGGAGGTTGTCATTGGCGGCTTGGTACACCTCCTCGACCTTGTCGGCACTGTAGATGAGCGTTTCAATCGCCCAGTCGGTGTGCTCAATGTCGTAAATCTTGGAGGTGATGGAAGTCACAATGCCGAAGTTGTGGCCGGCGCCCTTCATCGCCCACCAAAGGTCAGACTTGCTATCAATTGTCTTCAAGGTGCCGTCGGCCAGCACGATGTTCATGGAGACGAACTGATCTGCAATGAGCCCGTGATGTCCTTGGAGCCAGCCGTGGCCACCCCCAAGCGCGGGTCCCATGTAACTGACACACTCACAGGTTCCAGTCACTTTCTCTCAAGGTCAGCGCTAGCATCTAATATGCTCGGAATAAAAGACTTGCCTGTCTGTTTTCCTGCTGCCCAGAGCGTATCTGTGACAGCCTTGGATTGGGTTCCACCGCCGATCTTGACCGTTTTCCCATCTTTAGCGACTTTCACGCTGCTCAGGAGGTTCATATAGATCTCGATGCCATGGTCCATCCTCCCCAGCGTGGTGATGGCCGCGTGGGCGGTATTGAATGCGAGAAACGGCAAATCCTGCGCGTTGGCGAATTTGACCTAAGACACCATGAGCTTTGGCGTGCTCTCACCAGACAAATCCGAGTCAATTGGACAAAACATACCGTCTCAACAACGTCATTCTCCGTAGCAGGAACCACGACAATGTTCACCGTGGGGGCATCCAGGACAGACCATCGCTTTGATGCTAGCTCGAATTCGGTCGACCCTGGGTAGTAGACCATGGCTGCCTTTGAAAGCTTCTTACCAAGCTTACCCAGGTCGGTGATGGGAGTTTCACCACGTAGCGAGTTTCGTGGCACAGGCGCATACGCACAGACTGGCACAATCGCCGAGCTGGCAAGGGCCAAGATGGCCTCGATCTTGATCCAATGCATCGTTATCGGAATAAACGGGCTACAAAGTATATCGAGATACCGAACAAAGGATTCGTCCAGTTGCCCAATGAGTGTGGGCTGGCCCGGTAGCCTTTGACGAGGGCGCAATGGCTATTTAACGTGCGTGAGGGAATTCTACCGCCCGGCTTCACGGGCCATGATATCCCTGTTTGCATAGGCGCGTTATGTCTTGATAGCGTCGTTCACCGTCGGAAGCAATTGGTAATAATTACAATCCCCTGCTGGTGGCATTCACGGCCGTACATATATGCATGCAGCAGCTCTTAGCTGCAGGCTGGACCAACCGTCCACCGGGATATTTCGATTGCAGTACCGAATCGCCGACAGGGGGCGGTTGGTATGCCCGAATGTGCGAAGCAGCCATCCTGCGATCAGGGCAATTGCATCGTGGTTCTTGACCGTTAGCACGACGGGTATCTCATCGAATTTCGCTCTCAATACCACATACAATAGTACAATATGGATCTCTAAGTTTGACGGGGTCTGTATCGCCCCTCTTCCATTGTTCCCACGAGGCTTGACTCGACCACTCTGTTGGTCACCCCCTTGTTACAGAATGCGTTAGTGTGACGGCTGGCATAACCAGCCATCCCGCAGCCCCTGGTTCGTATCTTCAAACAGGGAAGGTGTTATTCCGGTTGTCAACGCAGGGGTCCGGCTCGCATGTGAAGGGAGGCGGTTTTCTGACAGTTCGTGGCTGGCGCCGGGGGTCTCTACAAATAGAATGCCAATTCTATGCAAGCAGACGAAAGGAATTGTCGTTCCCGGTGGCCTGTTTCTGTGCAATGGCCATCTGATTCACCCCAGCTCGAACATGCCTGGACAATGTCATCTAGTGATCCAACCGATTCAGCGGCAAAAGCTATTGCAGACGCCATCCACCGATCTGCCGTCGAGTCATGGACGCTGTACTCAATTGGAGTCGCGTCGACGGCGCTCCGGACCTACGCTCGCATGAGAGGTAGCGGAATTCGGGGTCTTCGCACTGAGGATTATCTCGTATGGATCGGCATTGTTCGTCCCCCCGTTGCTCCAACGAGTATTCCACGTCTCGCTAACCTCAACCACTGCAGATGTTCTATACCATTCAATCAAGTCTGGCGTATAGCGTGGGAAGTGTTGCCCATGGCCTTGCAAATAATGGTATGACCGACGCTGAGCGAGCCGCGCTGTCGCCCGAGGATCACGAGTATAGCGCCAGGTGGGTTTTATCCTAGTCGGCTTGGACGCGATTGCCAACCGTTATGCGTAGGGTGCTTGGGTCGAAAATACAGGTCGCCGGCTGGACCATTTATTCTGCCTTGATATGGTCGCTCAAATTGTCCCTGCTGTACTTCTACACTCGACTCACGGTACGAATTGCACAGCCAGTGACATATCAGGCTTTCCAACTAACCCTTCGATAGGACGGCGTCGGCGAGCGTTACCGCATCAGAATTCAGATCGGATTTGGTCTGGTCATTGCAACGTTTGTCGCTTGCATCTTGACAGTATTTCTGGCATGCCGGCCGTTTCACAAATACTGGCAGATCAATCCTGATCCCGGTAGTAAGAAATTCACATCCGTTCGAGGAAGCAATTCCTAAAGCATTATTTCTAGATTCCTGCCAGGCCGCCATATCCAAACCCATCATCTGGGTCTCGTTCGCCGCAAATGTATCCACCGATATATACCTGATAGGAATACCTATCCCCATGTTATGGCAGTCCGGCTTGAAAACAATAAAGAAAATTGCGTATACTGTTGTGCTCAGCACGGGTATATTTGTGCTCGTTTGCGCTACGCTCAAGAGTATTTTTGTCCTGGTGGTAGGTCTTGACCCATACCTAGTCGGAACAGTTTTCCTAATCTTCTTCTTGATGTAGGACCCTGTCAATGGAGCTGCGCTCGCAGGCGCCTGGGGAACTCGTGAGGCCTTCGTGGCTGTGATAACGACTAACCTTCCGCTTCTGTTCCCCCTTCTCAGAGCGTGGTTCACCCCGCTACTCGGAAGTATGTTACGCTCGTCGCAAAAGACATACCAAACGCCGTCAGGCTTCCGCACCATTGGTGGTGGCGGTGGTGATGGCCAAGGCCGAAGGAATCGAAAACCTCCTACCGCGAATCCCATCACTGCGAATATTACACTCAATGATAGCGAGGAACGTATTGTGGCCGACGTGAAGATGCAGCCTTTGAAGGTTTCCTCAACACCTGTATCTGCTGACTACCCGTCAAATGGCATCGTGGTATCCAGCGAGGTTGAGGTCGCGCATGAGGATAGAAGTAGTCATCACAGCGAGCACGCGCAACGTGTCCGTGAAATATGGTAACAGGGGGCTCTAGATTTGGTGTTTAGAAGCCAATACGACATGAATGCACTTTGAATTAAATAATAGCGTCCACTTATCATAAATAATCGCATTAATTATTAAAATCGCGGCAGCGTTGATCGATATGGCACCTATCGCGAAACTTCTTGAACAAAGAGCTCCGCATGCTACTAAGCTTCATTTCACAGCCCTTCTTCTTGAAACCCCACGCCGGCAACTCAATTCCGGGTCTATTTAAGCGCATTATCTACACGCATCTTTATTTCTAGCCCTTGGCAAGGTTCATTAGACTACAACATCTTTTGACAGCCATACGTTAGCAAGAGTTGGATCCCGTCCTACCCTACACCTCCGAACCTGACTCAGCGAACCCTACGGGCACATATCGTCAATGTATTTGGCTCCGAAGGCGAATAGAGCCAGAAAACAGGAGTATGACACTCCTACAAGGCTGAACAGCTTCGAACCCAGTTGAAGGTCATATTGTTTGAAACAAGACAATCCACTTCCTGATGTCTGGCAATGCCTCTCCACATAGCATACCGTCGACATTCTGCACCATTCGCTAGCGGAGGAAGTATCTGCTCCAGCACCCGACAGAGCGAATTTGCTGGCTTACTATCCTATGAGCATATTATCCTCAGCCGCATTACAAAGCCAAACTGACACATTAAGCTTATGCCCTGCCGATTAACTTAGCTGGCTGAAGCGTGCGGCCGTCACAAGCTAGACAATCGGAATATCGGAAGTTGGAATGCGGGGATGACTCCACACCAAGGGGACGGTAATGTAGACCGGCAATCATCACCGACAAAGACGAAGAAGAGCAGTAATACGTGACTTGTTATCCCCGCACTTTGGGGAACATAGCGTGGGCAGTGGGAAATCTAGACAGCCTTTCTAACCTGAAACGAGCATCCGTCTGCTCCGTAGAGGGATAGCTCTCTTGCTCGCGTCCCCCTCCTCCATGTTCGCGTAAAAGCACCTCTATCTTTCTACCGCCATCATCGTCGCAATCACCGTCGTCGTGATGGCTCCTGACGATCCAATGGCCCGTCGCATGAGTCGCCCGCGATCGATGCAGGCCTGTCTCTCTTGCAGGTCTCGCAAGGTCCGCTGCGATGTCTCGACGCGCGACCAACCCTGTACCAACTGCCATCTGGATGGAAAAAACTGTCTTGTTGTCGGGAGGGCATCGCGAATGTACCACAATGCCAAGCTCATGACGCGCTTTGAAGCTACCCTTTGTTTGTGATTGCTGCTAACCTTGTGATGCAGAAGCCAACAAGCCCGTAGGAGACAACCGGGTCGTCTCATCGCGGACACCTCATTAGAACCGTCACAGCGCGGAGATCCACGCCAAGAGGATGTGGGCGACAGCATTCATGTATCGCTGTCCACCGCAGAAACATTAACAATGAGCGCCCCCGATGATGATGCGCCGTCGATAAATCTTGAATTTCCATCCCAATTCGACATGGACATGCCCTGGTGCGAAGGGCAGCTCGAGTCTCTTCCCGCTGGGTCTACTGAAGACGGCATCAACGGTGGTGATATTGGGCACGAGTCGCACCAAACTACTGCCACACACACGGAACGCGATTTCAGCCAATCCCAATACGGCGAGCGAATAGATGCAATGCCTCTATCAGGAACCGCATCTTCAGAACCAACTTCGATTGAGAGTCACAGACAGGCTGCGAGCGACGCCGGATCAATCCACCACAGAAAGCGCCGTACCGATGGGAATCAGGGGCCGTCCACGGTACTCTATTCTCACTACCGATACCTATCCGTCGGCAACCTGCACAGCATTCCCCATCAGGATGTCAGCTATCTGGAGGCCCAGGGATGCTTACACGTGCCTACTCGCCCGACGTTGGACAACTTCGTAGAACAATACTTTGCCCAAATGCATGTCCTGCTCCCCTTGATTCATGAAGGCGAATTCTGGGACATGTATTCCGACAAAGGCGACGTGGTGCCTCTGCGAACGATATCTCTGCTGGTATTCCAGGCCATGCTGTTTGCCAGCTGTACTGTGCGTTAGACTGCGAGGCTGCATACACTCCATGGCGAACCAGATACTGACATGACCACAGTTTGTACCCCAAGAAACTATTCAGAAATTGGGCTTCTCAAGCCTTCGGACAGCGAGGACTGAATTCTATCGAAGGACAAAGGTATTTCTTTCCCTGGCAATATTGTGAGAGTGCTCATGCTAAGCCAAATGGCCTCACAGCTTCTCTACGATTTAGAAACGGAATCCGAACCACTTCCACTGGCACAAGCCGCGCTCTTAATGATGGGCTGGGTTCCACCGTCCAACACAACTCTCAATCCGTACCAAAAATGGCTGGCAATCGGCATCCAGCACGCGAGAAGCATCAACGCAGACCGTTATGCGGAAAGCTTGGAATCGGCCACCCCCCTCTCGCCGGACCAAAGCATGCACCACAATGCACTTCGTCGTCTCTGGTGGTGTTGCATTATCCTCGATCGACTCTCTCCCCTCTGTACACGTTTCCGGCTCCACATTACACACGATCGGTTCGACTTCAAGAACAGTATACCCCTGGGGATGTCGGATCTAGAAGGGGAGATGTATCGGTCAAGTATCTTCACGCCGGCAACTAAGCGACAGCACATTGCCCTGTTCTCCAAATTCCTGGAATTCATTGTGATACTTACAGACGTACTCACCTTGGTATTTCCATTTGAAGACTCTGTTATGAGCAAGTGGGAATCACAAAAGTCGGACCATGTCGTGGTTGAAAGATCCGACGCCTTATTAAAGGATTGGTATGCGCGCACCAGTGCGCAATTTCCTCCCCATGAAGATACCCAGACACAGCGCCCCGGCAAGAGAGAGAGAGACAAGTCTTTTATATTGCACACTCAGCTCATGTACATATACTATCAGTGAGTCGCCGGTCACTTCGTCTCTTACCCGTCAGAGCTAACACAGGTGTAGCACCGCCGCCATTGCCCTCTGTCATTATAAAATACTGCGTGAATCTGTCAATTTACAGCCCATCAATGAAGCAACCAACGATGCTGAACAAACCATACAGCTGGACAAACGGTGTAAAGAGTTGCAGGACAGCACCTGCAAGATGACACAATGTTTTGGCAACTTAACCCAACGTCGCCTAACTCGCTGGCTTCCAATAACCGCGTAAGTTAGCTATTGTATTCACGACAAGAAAAATTAAAGCTCACAATTTCTTTTTGGACAGAGTTGCGTGCCTTGCAACCCCTCTAGCATTGCATGTTATGACTGCAAGACTATCATGTCTGAGCAAGGAATTGACCTTTGATCCTCTCAGTGGGTCGAATTCGATTTCGGTGACGAACCAAAGTCGCTTGGACGTCTTAGTTGAGGCGATGAAGACGTTTGTGCCACAATACGATGGCGTGGAGTGGGTAAAAGAAGTAGCAAGACATGTTGCAAACCTGGCTCAAATTAATAGCCAATCGCTGTGCCAGGCCGACCGGGCATCTATCACAGACTGGAGCCAGATGTTAACGAGTCAGCCAAACACGTACTTGCGGATGACCTGGACGGTAGATGTCTGCATGAGCAAAGGGAGGCTACCGGAAGAACGTGACTTTCCAGCGTGGCTCCGCGACCAGCTGAGCCTAGCCAAGGGACCCAAACCTCAGTCGCAACGCGAACAGCCTCGGGTCTTATCCCTGGCCGAGCCGAGGACGTTTGAGCCGGTTTTGAACTACGACCCGCAGCAATCCATCGACGACCTCATCCCGTCCCTGGCAGAGTTTCTCCCCACTGCACAGGTGCCTGGAGGTGAAAATGACAGCTCAGAGTTTCTTACAGGGTCAATCAATGCTATAACACAGGGGTATTCTGGTAGCCAGATACGGGATCGCGACATGTTTGCTGACGGGGCATCGCAGCCGATAGATGTGGACGGAATGGAATGGGCCTTGTTCGGAGTCATGGAGGACTTGGTCGAAAAGTAGCCCGGCATCTACATACTAGTTAATTTACCATTACCTTGCCCCCATCTGAACTCGTAGATGGCCGTGTGAACGTGGGTGTGGCGCTGATTGCTCAAACACAATGTGCGACAAGATTCCGAGTATTCCGAGCTGCACACACCAGTTGATTCCTCCACGAGAGAAGATTGTTAGCTTCAATGCGGGGTAGTCTGATTACGGTCTGTCTGGGGTAAGTAATGGGGTAATGCGTGTCGTGCCGTCGTGCCAATGTCCCTCGGCAAGGGAGACACTTCGAGCCGTACCCTAAATGCGGAGAGGGAGATGCTCTAACCCTACAATGCCTAGCGGCCCTGCGAATGGTAGCATCTCGGCTCCTAGATTTGTGAACGGGATGACCTCTGAACGCTGGACTCCGTTATTGCAACAGCTGCCATTGGTGTTCGGAATTCCATAGCTGATACTTTATCATGGCTGTCTATGGACTGGTGAGGGGGATGCCGGCTTGTAACTAGCTTAGTCTTTGCTAGGTTATGCCGCACATTTGGGTGTTCGTTGACACTTGACGGTCTAGACTGTCGGCTTGGGGTGCGATAAATACATAAGCCATTGTCTACTCCATCTCTACGGTATCAATGAGATCCTTTTGCAGCTCATTGATTTCTAATTAACCATTATTTACTGTATTGCATAACGCCCACCACTTCTGAGATACAATGGTCGACCACGGAGAGATGGAAGCCCATACGGCCCGCCATGAGTTAGTGAAGCCGCAAGACCATGTTTCGCATGCGCTGGTATGGAACTGACGGTGGAATTCCGGTAGTACGGTCACCCAGAAGATCTCTGGGACCATCGACATGACAATCACCGGTATGTTTGTTTCGTCAATTGAAACTTCAGCGTTAGCTGTCGCTAACGTGGCCACTGTGATAGATACGACAGGAACAGCCTATGGCCTCGCATTGTACCCGGTTCCCAGCGACGACCCGAACGACCCTCTTAAAGTACTTCTTTTCCGGTCCCTGCGGCTTCGCGTACGCTGACCCGATTTCCTTCCTTAGTGGCCGAGGTGGAAGAAAAATACTGTCCTGTTTTTAGTGTGCAGCTATTCGTTCCTGTCGAACGGAGCTTTGTTCGGGACAAGTGTATACGTCAATTATCTGGCCGAACTATTCCGAAAAACACCCAGCGAAACCTCTCGCCTCGTCTCGTATCCAAACTTGCTCTTCGGTTTTGGTGAGATCCATCCAACCCAACCGGGACGACGCAACTCACAAGCTTCTCCAGGCTCTCTTATATTCGTACCGATGTACCACAAGATAGGACGGCGACCTGTCATGCTCATCTCAATTATACTGGCAAGCTTCCCCTTGACGTGAAGTTGCGCTTCCGATCACGGGCTGACAGGGCTGATTTAGTACTGTGGTGGCCTTCTTGGCTGTGCTCTGTCCAATTCATACGATGTCCTTCTCGGATTCCGGATGCTGCATGCGTTTGCTTCCTCCGTTTGTGAAGCTCTCCCTGCTCAGGTTGTGGCAGATGTTTTCTTCCTGCATGAACGTGGTAGTGCGCTGGGATGGTATACATGTAAGCGTTCTCATCGGGGCAGATTCCCTTAGACCCTCAAACGAGTTGTGGTGTTGACTTCTTGACTGCGCAGTTGCCCTCGCCACAGGTAGTCTGAGCGCCGTTGCTGCAAGTTACATGCTCGCTGGAGGCCTTTCTTACACCCTCTTCTTCTGGGTTGAGTTTGCTTTCGGATGCGTCTTATTCATAGCGACCTTTTTCTTCTTGGAGGAGTCTATGTACCTCAACAGGATGAAGGATGATATCGCCGAAAGTACAGTTGAAGGTGTGATCAATTCGGAAAAGGATACTCAGCAGGCTTCGGAACAAATCGAAGACACGACGAATCTCCCTCGACGACGCAAGACATACGCGCAGCAACTCAAGGTCATCGACCAAATCGACCATCAGTCTCCGGTTTTCATGATGATGGTAATGTCCTGTCCAACACCAGCCAGGAAGGAGATCTTGAAGCAACTGCTAATACATGCAATTCTCAAGATCCGCTCGTTCACATACTTCGCTGTTCCACCAGTATTCTGGGTTTGCACCACATATGGTATACACACATTGGCCACTGTTGAAGCTTGGTTGTTAATTCAATGATTTAGGCATGGTCATCGGCCTTGGAGCTCTCGCCTTCACATCGACGTTTCCAGCCATCGTCGCCGCCCCACCGTATTCATGGTCGATTGTAAGAGCGTCTTGATAGACACCAACACTTATGCCATTCAACCACAGAGCCCAACCTAACCACTTCATATAGGAAAATACGGGACTGGTGTCGATCGCTGCGTTTGTGGGCTATTTTGCAGCCGCTATACCTTTCAGTACACTTCCAGACCGATTTGCCGCTAGGCTATCAAGAAGGAACGGAAATATCCACGAGGCCGAACATCGCCTTTGGTGTCTTGCTGTGGTTCTCCTAGTAGCTCCGGCATCTCTCATCCTATACGGGTACTCGGCTGAGAAACAACTCCACTGGATCGGTCTCATTTTTGCTGTGGGACTCTTTCAATTTGGTATGTCCTTGCGGATGTGTTTTTACGTGGATCGTTGATGGATCATACTGACCAACCTTCTTTCCACCGCAGGAAACTTCTTTTACCTGACCTACACCCTTGCATACGCCATGGATTCGTACGAAGCCAATGTGCCGGAGATGTTGATCGCTATGAACATTGGAAAGCAGGCCATCTCCTTTGGGTTTGGGTTCGCAGTCCTTGACTGGATCTCAGAGCACGGGTACATCACCATGTTTGCGGGCGTCTTTTGTGGTGCGACATTGGCGAACAACATGGCCGTGTTCGTCTTTCTCTACTTTGGCAAGTCCATGAGAAGATGGTTCGGGCAAACGGGCCTTGCAAAGATGCACAAGAAGAGTCTCCATTGAGCTAATAATGCACGATGTCCTTGTTTGTGTTGGCAGACATGACCACCACCACAATACAATTATTTTAATTGACAGATAGAGGTTGACAATGTCTCGTAATTTTTGATCAGACGTAATACAGTCCAATTGAAAAGATCATCTCGTCCTACACCGGCAATTCCCATACAGCGAAGTCGTGAAGTGAACGGGAACAGTTGGATATTAAGAATTTCTCAGCCCTGAGTGACTCCAATATTCGTATTTCACCCTTCCCCAAGCTAATTAAGGAGAGCCGACGAGGTGCCATCTTTTCTACGGGGTCTAGTAACATGTAAACATCAGAGCATGGTAGTAATTTAATTTAGGTGGGATAATAGACTCGGGATTCGCCCTCAACACATGACCAAGAGAAATGGAGAGATTTACAATCCAATTTCGACTAATTTTCTTGAAGTTTGACCATTGACAACCTGCTTCAATCATTCACTATGACTTGTATAATTGTAATTGTACCCGAGTCACCCGCTCTTGGAATTTTCCAACGCCATAACAAGCATGGTTGACACTTTATCTCGGAGTCCCTCCTGCAACCATCCCGGCATACCACGAATCAGGGAAGTCCAATTCAACGACTCTGGAACACACATCTGGGATCCATATCCAGAATACAGGGCATCAACAACTCTAGTTGCGACATCCTCAGCAGACACTGTAGGGTCATTGAATGTACGCTGTTCAATCAATCTGGTGATCATGGGTGTTCTAACCCAGGTTGGGTGCACGACGCTGCTCACCGTCAATCATGGGCATATAACACTTGGTGGGAAGGCTACTTACCTCGTTCGGACCTTGGAAGACTTGTAAATATGTCTCAGTTCTTGCGTCAAGCCTTCGTGGAATGAGAGAACCGCGGACTTGCTGCAGGCGTAGTCGACGTTGCAGGCTTGAGTGGCAAAGGAGGCCATACTCGCGATATTTACTATGTGGCCATGATTGTTGCGCACCATACTGGGCAAGAATTCCTGTACCAGCAAAAATGGTGCCACGAGGTTGACGTCAAACAACTTGCGAAGCTTTTCCTCCGTTACGTCAAGTATCGTGGCGGCATTTCCGATTCCTGCGTTGTTGATAAGAACCGTGGGGTCGCCGTGTTCGGTTCGGATAGCTTTTGCGACTGATGCAATGGCGGAGGAATCGGTAATGTCAACCTTGTAGAAGACGATGTTTGATTCTGGAAAAGTGCACCCATTCAATTGTTGCTCAGAAGATTCATTGTTTTGTGTGACGTACTCAAATTTCTCTTTGGCTCGTTCACGTCCAGGATGATGACTTTGGTCTGCTTCTGAGCAAGCTTCTCGACCATACATTCGCCAATTCCACTGCTTCCGCCAGTGATGATGACAACTTCTTTTGTCCAGTCCCACGTCGTATCTGTGACATAGTTGTTCACCTTTCGTCGCGAAAACCACCTGTTCAAGCGAGGGAGGATACCCAGCGCAAGGAGTGCGACAATGGTAGCCCGGACTTTGGGGAGCTTGGCCACAGCCGCTAAATTCGTCAACGAGTGCTCGTCAAACTTCATGAGAGAAGCCATGTTATATGATGGCTGAAAGAATTTGAGAGGTGGAATTGGAAAGGATTGAAGACCACCGATGAGGTATGCGAAATGCGAGATTGTCATTTTCGTGAGAGTCAGCTAGAAATAGGATCAGAGAATGATTATCAATTAATAAAAATAAAGCCGGAATTCATTTGTTGGTTCTGTCCCCAAACCTCCACGCACCGTCCCCGCACTTGTTGTAGACAGACAGGGGGCTCATTAGCGTTGGCCTCCTGACCCGAGGCCTCGTTGACACCGAGGAGTGAGTGAATTGTTCCAGTGAGTCGCGTATTATGCAAAGCTGGAATGGCCCTCGGAAACCAGACTGCCAGGGGAAATACCGTAGTGGAAAAGAAATCGGTTTGTGGCGGTGAGAGGATCAAGCGGCTTCATTCGCCCCTCGGAGCATCCGGATGATGCTAGTGTCATGATCTGTATCTGAGGATGCCTCGTGCCGGTAACTTGCTCACCTTAAGGGAGCAGACAGAAGTCAGATTAGTATCTGAGGATGTTCTAAATGTTTCATGATATATATAGCCTCCCCGGTTCGAGACGGGGATGTTGAATCAACCAGTCATTCCTTCTTGTTCTTGATTCCCTACTCCTCCCTTACTGAGCACCAACTTCCCAAAAATGACTTCCACCCGGGACTTTGACATTCCTACCTACGATGGAATCAAACTACGAGGGACCCTGTACTGCGTAGGGCAACAGATGCCTTGCATTATAATGTCTAGTGGCGTGAGTCGGCCCAACGGAGACGAGCTTACTTCGTGGCCGTTCGTATGCTAACAAACCCATTCCGTCGCTAGTGGTCGGGTCTTCGCACCCATTTCATTCCCGATTTTGCAGCCCGATTCAACGCTGCTGGATATGGCGTCCTGGCATATGACAACAGAGGTTGGGGCGAGAGCGAGGGCACGCCTCGTGAGGAAGTCGATCCATGGCTGCAGACTCGCGACTATTTCGACGCCTTCAACTTTGCCACAGTTCAGCCCGAAATTGATGCCACCAAGATAGTTTACTGGGGGTCTAGCATGTCTGGTGGAAACGCCGTTTGCGCCGCCGCCATCAACAAGAAGATTGCGGCTGTCATCCTCCAGGTCCCGTTCGTCTCCGGCGAGGCAATCAGCCGCGGCCCTGGCATGGATACCAGCATGTTCGTGCTGGAACGCGGCAAGGCCGTAGCCGAGGGCGCTGCGTCAAAGATCGACAACTTCCCCAGCTCAATGGAGGAGCTCATGGCTGGTACATCCAAAGCCGTGCTCAGGGATCCCGAGGCCATAGCCTTCATGGACGAAATGAAGAGGCGCGGTATGGACTGGTCCAAAACTTGCACTGTGCAGAGCCTGACGAACGCTGTGCTCCACGAGCCGATAGCGTACATCCACCGGATTTCGCCCACGCCCATGTTGATGATTGCCTCGAATAGCGACGTCACCACACAAACTCATTTGCAACTCCAGATGTACGAAAAGGCATTAGAGCCAAAGACACTAAAGATTCTCAAGGGCGTGGGGCATTTCAGCCCGTACTACGGCGAGACATTCGAGATCAATATTAAAGCCCAGCTTGACTTTCTCAAGGAGACTGTGGGATGATATGAGACGTCGGGAAATCTCTAGCTGAAATGGGTAGAAAAATAGAGCCGCCTTTGCCATGAACCTTCATGTCATCCAAGTAAAATTATATAACGATGATAACTTGAAGCCGATGTGGCTAGCTAAAAAAGTACTAAACAATGTTTTGCATTCCTAATTTTATTTGACAAGCTTCGTTATGCGATGCAAGTTCCTTGTCGGTGTTTGAAGTCAGTTTAGAATGGGAAATAGAAGTTCCGAATAACGTATGCAATCGGTCTATTGTACTTCTAATAGCACCAGACGCCGCTGACTACTCTCTCAATTCGCCCAAACACTTTGGCGTGACGGCTCCTAATTACAGAAGAGCCTGTAACTTCTTCTGCCTTTCTTGGCCTTTCAAGACACGTCTCAAAATCTTCCCACAGGGGCTCTTCGGGATCTGCGCGACGAATTCAATGCTACTCTGCAACTACTTGTACCTCGCCTTGTGCCCTGTGAATGGGCTACGAGATTGCACCAAGGGTTCCGAGCAGTTCCGCACATCACATTCGCAGCGGTCGGAAAACTCCCGTAGCCAAAGCCGGAGTTAGACGGCAATTTTGGTCTACTGGACCGCGGCTTGCCCCCTTGAGCTAAGCGGCCTCGGGGGAGTGGCCTGATATGCCCACGTCGATGAAACCCCGCGTTGAGGATCAGCCTCGATGAAGCTACTGCATAGATGTTGCGGGGTAGATGCAGGCTCGCTAATCAATGAGTAATGATGTGGGATCCGTCGAGCTAAACCAACGCGGAGACGGGTTGATGGGTAGACTGCAACATACGATTTCTAATTGGTGAACCGTTTCGAGCATGCGTCTGCGTTGGCAGCGTGCCGTTATCGCTCCTCTTCCTCGGCATCCCACTCGGAATTATTACTCCGTAGTCGACTCCCAGAATGTGTCTTAAGAGGGGCAAAGCTGCAGAATTGAACTCAGTGCTGTCACTCTCTATCTTTCAAACAAAGGGATTCATTCAACACTGATCGTACTACGACATACATACTAGAGCACCGCGTTAGAAGTCCAAGACGAAGCCATGGGTGACGCAATCAACGAAACGAGCGAGAACGTTCACGAGTTCACCCTCAAAGACAGCCCAGCCGAAAATCAGCGGCGCCTACGGGTCGTTGTCATTGGTGCTGGGTTCTCGGGTATCTGCACTGCGATTCGGTGAGCAAAGAGTCCAGGCCGGATTTTGCTGCTGCAGAGTGTGAATATTGACACGACAATCACAGAATCAGTCAGAGGCTGAGAAATATCGACCTTGCCGTCTACGAGGCGAACCCAGAACCAGCAGGAGTTTGGTAAGTCGTGACAACATTGTTAATATTAATAATCTAATCATGAGAAGGTGGTTGAACCGCTACCCCGGCCTTGCCTGTGATATTCCCTGTGAGTATCCCAATATAGTGACGATGAGATGTGAAGAAGGCATCAGGACCTAATACATCTTCCGCGCCTTCAGCATACAGCTATCAGTTTAGTTTCGCGCCAAACCCGTACTGGTCTTCGCTATACGCACCGGGTCCAGAGATCCGGGCCTACATGCAAGATGTTGCGGAGCGGTTCGGGGCTACGCGACACATCAAGACGTCTCACAAGGTGACATCCGGTACCTGGGATGGTGAGAAAAAATTATGGTAAGCGGTGACATCCTCACTCAACAGCTGAGAGAGAGGTCGACTAACCAGCCAAGGAAACTCGTGGTACTCAATTTGGAAACCGGCAAGACATTCGAGGACACTGCAAACATCCTTATATCTGCCAAAGGTGGCCTGAACCAGATCTCCTGGCCCAAGATCAAGGGTTTGAAGAGTTTTAGCGGAAAGCTCATGCATTCCGGTGCATGGGATGAGGAGTTAGTATCGCCATATCGCTGCAAGAGTAACAGGTCTAACCACGGAGCAGCTTTGATCTACGTAACAAACGCGTTGGTATTATCGGTAATGGATCTAGTGCGATCCAGATCGTTCCAGCCATCCAGCCACTCGAAGGACTGAAACTATCGTGCTTTGCGCGCTCTCCTACTTGGATTGCCTCGTCTTTCGGTGACAGGGTGATGGTAAAATTGGGAATGGACCCCAAAAACTCCAAATGTTTGTGAATTGTCACCTTTCCCAACACCAAATAAAGTAAGCTAAGCATGAAACATAGTCACACGGCGCCATCAGGAGTACATGGCTAGGTTTCCGGAAAGATACCAAGAAATCAGAAAGATGATTGAAGACGACGGCGCCACAATTTACCCCATCACTCTTCAAGGTACGGAGGAGCAAATCGGTGCCAAGGCCGCCTTCGAAGCCGGGATGCGCCAACGTCTCGAAGGCCGAGAGGATCTCATAGAGCCTATGATCCCTAAATTCGCAGCTGGATGCCGCCGTCTCACACCCGGACCGGGATATCTGGAGGCCTTGAAACAGGAAAATGTGGCTTTCATCACCACGCCGATTCAAGAAGTCACACCCGAAGGCATCAAACTCACTGCTGGAGATGAAGTCAAACTAGACGTTCTGATATGCGCAACGGGCTACGATCTCGAGGCACCTCCAACATTCGAACTTGTGGGCCGCAACGGCACGACACTGGCAAACAAGTGGAAACCACATTTTGAGTCGTATATTTCCATGGCTGTTGATGAATTCCCGAATTTCTTTATTATCGGGGGACCCAACAGCAGCCTTGGGTCTGGTAGCCTGACCAGCGTGTTCGAAGCGCAGGCCAACTACGCCGTCAAGGTGATCCGCAAGATGCAGAAAGAAGACTACAGCACCATTGAACCCAAGAAGGAGAGGGTGAATGACTTCAGCCAGTATATCGATGAGTATTTCAAGGGTACGGTGTATACTGATGAGTGCTCGTCATGGTACCGGGCGGGTAAATTGGGAACGCGCATCGTCGCACTTTGGCCCGGCTCATCAGCACATTGCCTCGAGATTTTGAGGTCGCCGCGTTGGGAAGACTTCAACTACGAGAGTGCTGACAAGACGGGTAACCACCTCCGCTGGATGGGCAATGGGTGGAGCATGACCCTTACTGAGGGAGACCCTTCGTGGTTTCTGGATGAGGATGTTGTGGACGTGCCTGATGAGGGGGAGCCGGAGAACAGCAAGTTCTATAAGAACCGACCATTCTCACATTAATGGCATAAAAATTTCAGTGGTCCTTTGCTACTTATATAGAAAGCTAGTTGATGCGATTATGTTAAATCCATGTAGCTGGGTCTCTATCGCGATATTATGTTCGCCCGATAACCGTTTGAGTTTTCCGGCTTTACCGAATAGAACCTCGAACAAAGATTGCTTCACATATTGGCTACTGACGATGATCTCAACTGGTTGTTGATCGTGATTTTCACGACCGTGCATCTCCCTTGATGAAGTATATTCAATCTAGCTAAGTGGGTGCTCGGGATCTCTTCGAGTAGTAATACCGACCATACATCAAAAACTATCAATGGAATCAAGGTAGAAGTCAATAAAACTGTAATACGTCTCAGCCGTAGGGAAGTCAAGTGGCTTCGGAGGGGTCAGAGTAAGTTGCAGGTCAGGCTTCAAAGGAATTCCGGCCGCCATAATATCGACGTTGTGGTCATATAGTTCCGGGTATTTGCCAAACAACGATGGTTCAACCTTGTAAAAAGATGGACCTCGATCCATGTTGAGATACCGGAAAGCAGCGCGAGCATATTTTCCCACAGTAAACAGGGATGCAGCATCTGGTGCCGGAAGGGTCTTGTCCAGGTCGTTTTCAATCTCATCCAGCGAGGACATTCCTGAAACTAAATCGGTGACGCGGACGTAGACGTCCAAGGCTGGAGCTCCCTGTATTAGGTCGGACATCTTGGCCTCGACCACATAGCTGTTGACAACGTCGCAAAATATTTGGTCAATTTGCGGATTGGCGGCATGAAGTTGAATAAGGCGATCTCGTACAGAGGGGAATGCGATCCAATCGATTGCTCGGGGGTGTTGGTTAGTTGCCTGGATGTCTGTTGGTCGAAATCTCTCGTGGAGCCTTCCAAAGGTACTCAATGACGGGTAGATTTGCCAAGCTGTGAGATCAATAGTGTGGAAGTATCGTGTTTTAGCATACCAATCCATCATGTGGGGTCGTGCCATGCTATTGAACATTGACAGGGCCATCAGGATTGGCTGATACAGGCTAAACAGGGGTTAGAAACACTCACTGAGAGTTTTAGATCCTTGAGTTACCTTCGCGCTAGGCTTTGAGGACTTGTTATCAATCCTGTTCTGTTGAGTTTGTCCTTTAGAAATAGCTGAAGGACATTGATGTGATCGGAAAACGGGGAATTTGAAGGTGCCCATCGTTTCCCAAGAATAGCCATAGACTTTTCCGATGAACTGATGGCATTCATATAAGATTGGGGACCCATTTGGTACCCGAAATCCCATATCTTCGGAATCTGCTCGTATAAAGGACCAGCTTCGACAATGCCCAAATTCGGCCCATTGTGGAGCTCAATGTCTTCTATTACAGACATCAGAGTCAACTCGAGTACAGGTTCAAGACGGCGTTTACTCACGAAGTGATACGGTCAGAGGCGCAGGAGATTTGTTTACACCGGCGCCATTATCCAACGGTTCCGGTGCGAATGTTTCATCGGCAGTCAGCCAGCAGCTGGGACTTGAAAAGCTGACCGGCGTCTCAAAGGAAGATTCTTGTGGCTCAGGGGCGTCCTTCTCACTCTCCTTGCTCATGGAGGCAGCTTCATCCAGAGTCTTCGATACAGACTCCGACATGGTCTGAACGGTAGCTAACAGTCTCGACATTTTATTCTGTACGTCGACGAGCTGCGCACGCAGAACGCTGTTCTCGCGTTGGAGAGCTTCAATTCGCTCATTGTCTGGCTTTTGATTAGCATCGACGAGACTCCGTAGCTCCCTGATGGACTCTGCTTGTCGACGCCGGAACGCTTGTTGAGATAAGCGATTGCGTAGTTTCCTGGAGTCCTGGTGAGATTGTCTGCATCGGAAGAGAAGTGAACCGATAGGGACGTACTTTCTTTCTTGTGAGTCGTTAGGGTAGGCGCATTGGTCCATATTGTGGGGAGTCGAAGTGTCGAGGTTCATTTTGTAAGATCGCCACCTCGTGCTTCGGATTGATGAAGCCGACTCTCGTCAAAGAATTTACGCACTAGACGTACGGAGGAAACTTCGGATAATCTGATTTTCCGGTCGAAAGGAAAATACCGGTACGGAAGGTGTCACGCTTATCAAGCGCAGAATGAGAAATATGGAGTTCAACCACCACGAACTCAAATCCGCGCATATGATTCGTCCAAAGCGAGAGTTACTTGGACAATTCGGACCTGTCTAGCGGGAACGCTGAAGGGAGATCGTAGTATGAATCATACAGGTAGAGGTAATTCACACCGAACCGCTATTCGGCCAGACTACAGCATATCGGTAGTGGCTTGTCATGTGTTCGTTTAATCGTTTGATACCCCAGCACAGTAGTACTGCTCCTGGGCGGGTTAGCGTCAAGCCCGCCTACAATTGGTCATCTGTTCCTCGGTTCAGGCGTCATCCCGATATTCCGCGACGAGTGATGTAATTATTTTACCAGGGGGCCTCAAAAGCGGTCCCAGTAGTATTGGGAATTGCGACAGTAGACCAACAGTCGCCCGACATTGTACGGCCAGTATGACATGATTGAATTGACTGATGCAGGCAAATACACTACAGCAGACAGTAGCCGACATTTCGCGGCCAGCTTCTTGACTTCGCCCAGTAGAACGAATGCGACGGCTCCAATTGTGAGAAAATAGAAGAATGAGAAAAGTACCGTCAAAGCAGATTAAGCCCATGTCGCTCCATCTGCCGAATAACGTCCAATATTCCCATAAGCAGAATAATGGCTGTACACCCAATCCTGGCAATGAGGAAAATAGGTCCTCAACCAAACCAGTTGACAAAAAACCAGGAGCAAATGTTGACTGCTACGAGCTTGGTTTCTTCCGCTATCGCACGCTCGATGCCAATCAACTTCTCCGCTGCCTCAGCTTCAGACCCGTACAGGGACTTGAGAACTTGCCTTGCTTCTGTGAATTTTCTCAAGCGTACGAGAAACCATCGTGACTCCGGAGACAGAAAGCCCCCAACTAAAGTTAAGGTAATTATCCCAGCACAACACCGGAATCTCGCAAACCTCCACCAGCCTATAAGAGTAAACTGTTGCAATGCACCCCGTATTGTTGATGTTAAGTCCACAACCCAATTAATACTTGGAGGTAACTTTTTCTCATCTAAGATACCTAGGCAGTTTGGTACATTTAAAGTAAGTCACCTTAAGGGTATCTCGTTTTCGCCTTCTATAAGGCAGCTTAGAGTAAGGAGTGTGGCAGGCTTATTAAAACTGCTACTGCCGCAGGAATGTGGGTACGGCGCCTCAGATGACACATTCCTGTACGCATTCCTGACGGCTCTGCCTCCTACAAATAGAGCACAGAGCAGTACATAAGGCTATCTACTTCCGGGGTCTCACAGATCTCGGTAACACACAATACACACTCTCTTTGTTGCATCTTAAATTGTATCCCTGCAAGCCTGCCGTAACAGCTACCTTCACGAGGCAAAAATCTGGAAAAATCTAGGCCCTGATTTAAGTGTCTCAGTTGACCAATTTCCCCCTAGTGGGTGAATATTGGTGGCGCAGCGCCTGTAGCTACAAGCGGCAAGGCTGGCTTAGCAGGCAGAAACGTGCAAATTCAAGCCCTGATTCGTTCGATGCTCCTAGCTACAGCCCGCTCTTCAATAATGTGTCTTAGTTGACCAATTACCTTGTAATGTGTGAATATTGGGAGGCGCAGCGCCCGTGGCGATGAGGTGGCAGCGCAAGCTGAGCTGTACAATTAATTAGCTTCTCTCAACAATTATCTACCTATATGGTCTAGAACTATTTGGCATAGTCGACTCGTCATCACAGCGCGGTCTCCTCAATATTAAACCCCCCTCCTCGCCAAGTATCGCACTTGTTACCCATGTCGCTCTAGGGCGCAACTCCCAACCTTCAGTTGAATCCACAGTCCAGCATCTTCATAATGGCCGAAGGCGAATCACAGCACCACATGAAGGAGGAGGCCAAGTGGAAACCATGGTGGTTCTTCAGAAGAGCACGACGCGATCCTTCAGCACCGCTCTCTTACCTGCCTAATCCGCAGGCCTCGTATGGTCAAATAAGCCACCATCCGCCAGGCTTTTCCCAGCGAGATCCTTCTTCTTGGGTGGAGCCGCCTCTGGTCTCTGCGTTCGAATTCACCGGATCGCCGTTCCCAGTGAGCGGTCAGTATAATGGCAATGATGATCCTACATACAATCAACATCCTGCCCAATCACAATTGGGTCCCCCGCCAATACGCAATCCTGTCGAGCTTGGTTCACTGCCACTCGAGGACATACCCGAGATACAAAAGGTCAGCACACAAGGGACATCCTCCAAAGCAGCAAGTACTGCCCCATCGCGTCGAAATAAGCCGTCCGCTTCAGTCCCCAAATCAGGCTCCTCAAACTTCTCCACGGTTGGCTCATCCACTGGCGCGACTATCGTGCCTGTTCAAACTCCGAAGCAGGCGACCGAATCAACTGACAAGAAGAAAATTACACCTACCATTTCCAAGGGAGAGCCATCACCCAGACTTGCCTTGGACCCTGCCATATTCGAACGAATAGAGCAGATTACCCCGACCACGAAGCCAGGAACAAACGAGAGTTCCAATCATAGTACTGGGGCGCTTCCGTCCGGAAACTCCGGGAGCCTAGTGCCTCCAGTGTCAAACATCCCTATGAACTCGCCTAACGCGTTAAAGTACCTGCATGATCAATGGACCGAGCATCCTAGATTAGAGCCTAAGGACGACTTGGAAGGTGACGAATCCCCATCTATTACTGCCAATGACGCCGGCTTCTACGACATAAGCAAGCCGACCTGCTCGTTGAACCTCGTATGCTACAGATCTGGGGCAAACGGTTGCGACTTGCAGCAGGTTCAGTGTATTCTGCGGTCAAAGTTTCCCAGCGATGACGAGTTCCAGAGCGCGATAGCGGCCAATCCACACCTGATCCATACCGATGCTCAGTTCTTCGACGAGATTCAGAGGCTCTTTGCAACGGAAATGAGTGGCTTCTTTCGTAGCTACTTCTCGCTCAAGTCCTTGCAAGCGTTTCGCGTTCTTGCCGTGAGTCACCACCCCTTGCGAGTTCTTTTCAAAGTCACCAACTAAACTTGAATATCCGTAGTACACGCCCACGACGAGGCCCGTAGTGGTGCCACTTGATGACTTTGTCCTCCAAGAGATGATGTACGCATATCGAAACCCGAGCAAGCTTAAAAGCAAAGATGAGTGGGTGAAATGGGTCTTTAGACTGCGCCGTAAGGACAAGCGGCACGCCATCGAGTTTGTCGAAGGCTGGAATACAACCCGAATCGCCGTTGCGGGGACAGTTCCTTGGCTCAGCTCATGTCTAGTCGGTGTCATATGGGCAGTCATTGGAGGAGACATCCAGACGGCGTTTACTGTTGCCAGTTTCATTCTAACTTCTTCGTCCAGTAAGTCATCTCTCGACTCACTCCTCTTAAGCCTGACACCAAAGGCTAATTTCTTAACAGTCATCTTGGCGCTTTTGGCTATTATCAGTAGTATTGAGTCGGCGGGGAGAACAGTCACGTAGGTTGTCAGAACCATGATGTACCTGCACAAATTTATACACAAAAAAATATTTTTTGACCTTTCGTATGTCTATGAGACCTACAACCTCCCATATTTAAGTAGGCCGCTATAACATGAAATCCAGTACAGGGGATCATCTCAAAGTTTTCTGCCAATCTCGAACCACGAGAAACGCGTGATTCATGCCATAATCCGTCCATTATTTTCGGAGGGATGTCCTTCACGGCATGGTCGATGGCATATCTAGATACGTGAGTCCCAACCTCATAATGACCGCTATCTCCTGGTCGCTGAAGTAATTGTGGTGCTGGAATGTTTCCCGCATTTGGGTATTGGTGAGGTGAAACTCGATAATAAAGGGATGTCGACGCCCAAGAGTCCATCACAGATGCCAATGCTTATGTGTGTGCATGCCGCAGGGTTTGTCGTAATTATATCGAACTTGCCGCTAGCAGTCTAAATGCGATCAATAATTGCACCTTCAAAATTTGACTAAAATATTTCCAGCTTCATTCCAAGCGACTGCGCGTATTTGATCTAGCTGCTGTCTACTCCGCTTCACGTCATGTTGCCGTACAGGTGAAGCTCTCTCTAGGAAATGACCCGTTCAAGTGATGTTTTTCCCCTCCACAATTGTCTCATTTGTTACTATTATTTGTCCACTTCCCCCAGCTTGGAATGACGGGATATCCCCGCTACTATCTGATAATCTCGATGCCTGCATTGTTACATGCTGGTGGTGCTTACCCTTCATGCTGCGCATCTCCCATGCCAGGTGCTCCTCACTCTCTGACATCTTATTAAACCCTGCGGTGCGAGCATGCGAACCACTGACACCCACCCTGCCTGTTGCAGTGGTTGTGCGAGCGCTGGGGCCCTTGCCACTGGTGTCTTTCTGAGAGCTTCGCACGCTGATTCCAAGCCAGCGGAGGGCTGTGCGGTCAAAGACAGGGCGTAGCATAGGGCTCGATGCGACCATGACAGCGATTCCTGCTTGCAAGACACTGCTGATGGAAGCCTCGGCGTAACTCTTGGTGATGTTTGTAAAATCAATGTTGTATACGTAGTACAAGCGGACGCACGAGAAGACAATGGTACTAGAGAGGGAGGTTAGTTGAGTGGTTCCACAGTTAAAGTCATAACGTTATCGCGTCTAGTTATAGCGACAGCAAGGGAGAGACGGAAGTACTGACACCATACCAGCTCCAAAGACACCAAACAGTGCAACTTTATGAGCCCGATTCATTTGCAAATCGTACACCAGCTTCATGGGCAGAGCAACCATCGAGACCTCAGTGATGATATCCAGGATAGCTACCATCGCATACGCTGTGATTTGATCACCACACCGCGTTGCTACAGCAGCACCCCAAGCACTTTCCACTGGTAGACAGATGAAAAAGGCGATCAGAATAGTATATAGTGACCAACAAACGCAGAGTCCCAATACAACCCAGCCAGCTAGGAGGAACAATCGGCCGGCGGAGTGGAAGATTCGTCTGATCATGCAAACAATGGCAATCTTGATGAAGGCTAGACAGACGGCATACAAGACTTGAGTTGCCAGACCGATGCGCGTGTAATGGCTGAGATGTCTGTCGCTGAGACGGTCCATGTCGTTTCCTGCGCCACCCACCGTGGCCGCTGCATGTTGTTAGCAATGGCATCACGAAAGCAAAGGAGTTTGCTGGAATTACCGAGAATGAAAGTGATAGCAAGCCCATAGTAAAAGAGCTGATATTGGCGGTCAGTTCGTCCACCTGCATGCCACATGGAGACGTAGGTCGTCTAAGGAAGCCAGAACACACCTGGCCAACGAAGTAGAGGTAATCCTCGACTTGATACTGAGTCTTTCTGAGGTTGCGAGAAACGATGCGCATCACAGTCCACGTCGTCGTTAGGACTATCATCACCGACGCAGCGGCGACAAGACCACGTCCAGAACGTGTCAGAGGGGGAAATTGCTCTGTAATCGGCGTGACAACCGACGCAGCAGCACGCGGGTCGAGTTGTTCAACATCGAGTCCAGAAGAAGAGGTGCTCATGGTTACCCAGTGTTGGAAATCGCCTCTCGGTTCGGATTCAGTTCGATTTGAGATTCAATATTTGAAAAGTCAGGACGTAAAGAAACTGCGATGTGAGTGCGGACATGTTGGTGCATTTGCGAGCTTGGCTCCTTCGGGTGACGCCATAAGAAACACGGAGGAAGTCCAGAGTGGCGAGTCAATCCCACATGAGCGGAGAGGAGAACTGTTTTCACCAAAGTCACCGGAAGTTTTTCTTTTGCCACGTCTACGTGGACCTTCGCAGTCTCTTCGAATGTAGTCATCCGACCGAGATGTTAAGAACCAGGAAACCTATTAACGCTTCAGTCATGCAGCTTTTCTATTAGGGATGCAGGGGCTATTCAGACTCGGTTAGCCCAGATACAAGGAAGATATACCAGATGGGTTCATGCAAATGCTCCATTGCCACCTTGGCTTACTTGCCCCATAGCTTTAGTATCACCTCATTGCCAATGGGGTCTCATCCAAGGAGGCACAGTCAGGATTTCCTTCCGCCCCATGGAGATGCCCACAATTCTACCGGGGATCACCGTGGAGTGATATGTGGGAAGTGGCAAGACCTCGGCCCGGACGAGCAACTCGATTCATTTCGAAAGCTCATGTTTGAATGGCAACGTTTGGTGATATGGATCAATACCGTGAAAGGGATTAGTCTCGGTAAGATTATTGTCTTGTCATTTGTGTTCTTTATTCCTACGAAGTATCATGCAACCGGAACGACAGTGTTATGAACTCCCTGCTTAAACGCCACCTCTGGGGATGGAGCAGGTGGCTGAGTACACCACGCAAAACAAAGTTTACGCATGAGCCATGTAAATAAGCATGTCTTATCATTGCCAGGATATAAAGCGGACGATGTAGTACTCTTCGAGGAAGTGCAGAAAGCCCCTGGAAAGCGACCAACAAGGATGGCATTGCCAAGACCCCGAAGACCCGAGGCAATTCTCAGCAGTAGATCGTACCATCAAGATCTTTGGACCGTGCAGCATCGGTTCCAGAGACTAAAAGGGTCAACATAATGATTTCAGCTTTCTTTATCTGGATTACGTTGTCTCGTATTTCTCCAATTTGAACGTTTATTCCGCCGCACAGGACCTAGAGTTGGCTTGGGGAGTATGTATCATTCTTACCGAAGGACGCCGTTGAACTCCGATGCAAGCTCCGATGAACCCTGTCCGCAGAAATACTGCAAGGTCCTTGGTTCCGGGCCCCAGCTTCCCCTTCCCATGACGCTGGGTCACCCTGGGCAATGTGGGATCATTGAAGAATGAAGAACCGCATGGTGTGTGAACTGTCCATTCACAATGGATTTACATGGACTGGGTCCACTAGGATATGCCTCAAAGCCGTTGTAATATGTTAGGAGGGCAAATTGACTGCTGGATCCGGAAATCTCACCGTGGCTCACTCCGTCAATAGTTCCTGAATTACGCGGACACCGTCATAGACTGTTGAAATTCGGCATCAATCTGTATCCTTGCCGATTGGGTCTCGGCATGGCCGGAGGGAGCCCAAAATCTTCCAATTTTTGCCCCTCGAGAGGGTGTTCTCCATATTCCTCCGTGCTTATAAGACTTGCAGGAGCATTCCACTTCGAGCTCCTTCAATTCCTCGCTGCACTCCTTCGGTTTGGCATTGCGACCCCTCCTTCAGCATCCCTCCTCCTCTCTTTGTAACCCAGACCCTGCTACTTGCTTATTCTTCCGGAGAAATGTTACTGTGGGATTACATCGTCGTTGGTGGAGGCTTGGCGGGCTCCGTGATTTCCAATCGACTGTTGGAACGCAACCCATCCTTGAAGATTCTCTTGGTCGAGGCTGGAATTAATGCCAACGACCGCCAGGACATTGTCTGGCCCAATTCCACCAACGGCCAGTTTGGTGACTTCGATTGGGCCTATTACTCTGAACCGCAGAGTAATTTGAATAATCGAAGCATTGCATCCAATTCGGGCAAAGGACTCGGAGGCAGCACCCTCATCAATGGAGGTGAGTCTACTATATGCTGCTGTATGAGGAGTTTTAGCTGACCACCCTTAGCGTTCTGGGTCCGCGGGCATACTGTCGAATATGACCAATGGGCTGGACTAGTTGGTGATGATCGATGGAGTTACAAAGGACAGCTCCTATACATGAGAAAGACGGAGACCTTCATGACGAATGATACCGACTTGGAGCAACACGGTTTGGACGGTAATGTCAAGATCCAGAATCGAGTTTCGACAAACAGGACAAAATTCCCAATGCGTGAGCCACTCCTCAAGTCATGGGAAGAGCTCGGAGCTGTACAGCTTCCCCGGCTTGATGGCAACATGGGCGAGCCAATTGGAATTGCAGAGGCACAGGAAAATCGAGACATGGGACGACGTCAGCAAGCTTCGCTAGTGTATTCTCTTGATGGCATTACTGTCCTCACTGAGACGATGGTTGCCAAAGTCATCACTACTACAACAACGAATGGTACAGTTATTGCTCAAGGTATTGAGCTTGCCAATGGCACGGAAATTTATGGTTCCGAGACCATCTTAACGGCCGGTGCTTACCGCACGCCCCAAATTCTTATGCTTTCCGGAATCGGTCCTGCTGAGACTCTCGAGAAGTATGATATCCCAGTGGTCCTCAACCAGCCTGACGTTGGTCAACATTTGCACGATCACCCTATTATCCCGACTTTCTGGCGACTCAAGGACCCTTCTGCTGGATACGCTCGAGAATCGGGAGCTTCCATCTGGGATGAGCCACAATACGATCTCGGACTCGACATTGACTTCCTTACTACACTTCCTGTTCCCAAGGAAGGCCTTGCAAAGGCGATTGCTGAAGATGAAGGCGAAACACCCGATCCAGACACCCACCCGTTACTCAAGCAGGATCGTGCCCACGTCTGCCACGTTGTTCAGTACTCGGGTGGCTCAACTGATGGCTCTGCACTTTTCTTTATGACGCTCATGCTGGTTGTCCAAGCCGAAGGCTCGGTCACCATCTCCTCGGCCGACATCAATGACGAACCAGTCATCGACCCTAATTTCTTAGGCACTGCAACCGATCGGTATGCGCTCCGTGAGGCAATTCGTACAGATATTAGACTCATGACGAGTAACGAAACCGTCATCGGCCGCGAGATCATTTCAGGCGAGGTCAGCAATAATCCGCTAACCATTGACTCGACTGACGATGAGATCGACGCTCGAATCCGTGAAAATGGAGCGTAAGTTGCCCTGAATGTTTTTGCATAAATCCATCCCACTAACTTCTCGTAGCGGCTGCTACCACCCAAGTGGTACTGCATCAATGGGCAAGGTCGTCGATACTGACCTTCGTGTCAAGGGTATCAGCGGCCTTCGCATTGCTGACACGTCTGTTATCCCTCTTCTTCTCTCCGCCAACCTACAAATTGCTACATACGCATTGGCTGAGCAAGCTGCCGTGATTTTGGAGCCCACCAGTGCTTGATACCCACGTTTGGACATTGTTTGGAGGAGTGCAACAAAAATAATGAGTTGTAATCCAAGAACATAAGTAACACTTAATCATAATGACGCTATCGCTAAACTTTGCTCTGGTGAATTGTGGAAGTTGCTCTCCAAAGTGCATCCATTTATATGAGCATATTTTGTCTCCAATAGAAATGAAAGACTATTCCTGTGACAGACAAAGCGGCGTTAGCGTTATGTACGCGTTGTAGTAACATACTCGTAGGCGCTCAGAAATTTAACAATATGTGTAACATTTAGGCAGAATCTCAAATATGTTACGCATACCGGAATCGTAGCCTAGTTCAATAATACTCCTAAGTTCAATTTCGAGCAACTGCTAATGATACACATATTATCTCTTTCAAGTAGATACAGTGTGAGCTTCTAAGTTACTTCAAATCATACCGCTATATATTGGTTTACATTCAATAGTTTTCCATGTTACGTGGATCCAGCAGACAATGGAGATTATATTAGCGCGTTATGAGGTAGACAATACAAATATCTACAACTCTCCGTGCCTGATTGCACGGTTTGCTCAAGGATTTAATAAACTCGGCTAATATGTTGATATTTAAGTAAGATAACTATAATATTTGCTGGTAAAGGGAGACAGTTTATATTAGATCAGGCAATTGAGTCCAGTATCTATTCTTATAAGGATTTTAAAGTCAGTCTTACAGATATATTATATAATACTATAGCCTATTAAAGTAGTTTTATTAGTTTATTAGATAATAGTAATAGCTATAAAGAGTAGAAACTTTAAAGATTAGTAGAAATATAGAGATAAGTTAATATTAAAATCTAATAAGTTATATAATAATAATAATTAGGCTAGCTATATGACAGATAATATATTATAAAAGTAATTACTTTTATCTTATATATTTAGTATTTTAAGTATAAAATAATACAAATTAAAATAAGAATTTAATTTTAAGTTTATTCATATATTCTCTTAAGATATATAAGCAGCTTAATCGAAGTGTTTGGAGTGCCGAAAGAAGATCAAGCGTGAGGGTTTGGAAATCTTCAAACTGGCTAGAGAAGGGCAAGCAACGGGTTAGTGAGACGTATCTTCTTGACCCAACCGATCAAGAACGTCTGGTGACTGCAGGATGCTCCTGGATTACCTTTGATCGGATTTGATCCGTCATTGTGAGTAGGCGGCCTTGTGGTCTCCGACGATGTGATGGAAAGGAGGGAGAGGGTTGGATCGAACAGACTCGCCCACTGACAAACTGCACAGCCACGTCACCCCTGGAGTGGCTTGGTTTTGGGTACCACTCAACGTGTCAGAGTGGCAGGTAAGAAGCAAATACCTACCTCCTACGTGTTCCATTAATCACTGTCCTGGATTCAACTTGGGACAGCTTCAAAACGCGTCCAGTCACCGTTTATCCTGTTACACCGCATGGCTCACTACCAATCTTACTCAGCCACGTCTGTCTAGTAGGCGGGGTGATTGCCTCCGCACTTAATCGGAACGAATCAGGCTGTCGGCTTGTTGACACTAGACATGGAGAAGGTCGATATTCAGCTGAGCCGGTGTTCCGAGCCTGACTGCCACGTAGGTCTGCATAAGTCAGCGCCCATGGTGGCTTGGGATAATTTCATCTCGCACAGATCCAACTCTCTTCCTTCCTTCGGCCGCGACGTCGCCATCGTTCAACCCATTTTTGGCATCGGACAACCTCCATCTTGCTACCATGCGTCTTCTGAATACCAAATCACTAAAACTCGAATACTTTGCGGGTGACGAAGTCCCCGAGTACGCCATACTGTCTCACAGATGGGAAGCCGAGGAGATTTTATTCCAAGACGTCCAGACCGACAAGTGGCCTCAAAAGAAAGGCGCTGACAAGGTCAAGAGAGCTTGTTTGCAGGCCAAAGACGATGTTTCGAGCACATCTGGATCGACACTTGCTGTATAGACAAAAGCAGTAGCGCTGAACTCTCCGAGGCTATCAATTCCATGTTCAGCTGGTACCATGATTCCCAAGTATGTTATGCGTACTTGTTTGATGTTCCTACTGGCAAGACGGAGGCTTTTGCCAAAAGTGAATGGTTTACTCGAGGATGGACACTGCAGGAACTCATCGCCCCCAGAAAAGTCCAGTTCTTTGACAGCCAGTGGAGAATGATTGGGGACCGCCTGTCCTTGCTCGACTCCATCGTCAAGGTAACTGCCATCGATCGACGAGTCCTTGACAGAGGACGACACCACCGACTTTGCCCAGGCCATGTTCTACGCTCATCAGGCTTTATGATGAGTTGCTACTGCGACCGGGGCAACGAGTACCCAAGTTTCCGCAGGCTGCTTTCGTCGTTCAGCGTGGCTAGGCGCATATCATGGGCAAGCACACGGGTTACGACACGTGTCGAAGACCGAGCATATGCGCTCCTGGGATTATTCAATGTGAACATGCCCCTTCTGTACGGCGAGGGAACGAAGGCATTTCGGCGCCTCCAAGAGGAGATTATCCGGCATTCCAATGATCAGTCTGTCCTAGCTGGCCAAGCCCAGCATTCGGTCGACTTGGACTTGGGTAACCGCGGCATTGAGAAGAGCCAATTCGAAGCCATGGTCGACGCCGTGGATCACTTGTTTCCACCCCACCCACGTGCATTTCGGGGTGCCGGCAATCTAGAACGACCTATCGCATCCTCAGAATACCTGTCCATGACGCTCACGAATCGCTGTCTGAACATTGACTTGCACGTGTGTCCTTGCCGGTGGAAACGCAAAAGCAGGTATCAGCCAAAGACGGGGTGGCTAGGAATCCTAGACTGTGTCTATTCGGACGACTACCTCTCCCGTCCGGCCATCGCACTAGACAGGCTGAGTTCTACAGGAGACAACCGGCCCGTCCTCACAAGGACACAGACATATGGGAGGACTTTGATTAGAATATCACCGGGCGCTCAGCCAAACAGCAACGGAGACGTTGAGTTTTCCGAAGGGGGGCTGACAGTATGGTTCAATCCAAGCCATATCGAGAAGATGAATATCGATCTGTTGTTGCATCCTCCCGTTGAGACACATGCAACACGGCAGCCCGCCATAAGGATCAACCCAACCATAGGAGGGAGCGAAGGCATGGCATATCAGATCCGGACATGGTTTCCAGACCTAGAAACGACACCAGACGGCAACGTCCGCGACGCACCGTTCATCCTCAACAATCTCCACGCAATAAACGGTGGTCTGCCTGGGCTTCTCGCCATCGATGATGGGTCTAACCATGGTTTCTTCGTCGCATATGGCTTCTCGGTGTACAACATTTCAGACCCCGACGTACTAGATTCTTTGACACCCCCCAAGTCTGTACCCTGGTGTCGACTGTTGGCGTGGCATCAAGTCGTCCCTGGTCGAGAGTTTGCCCCGGCGGGTGACGAGTCAGCCATCACCAACCTTCAAGAGGACATGGCTCGCTTTAACTATACGTTGAAGAACGGTTTGCCTCTATCGCACCACAAGACTCAGCCTCATGATTCTATGGACTGGCCCGGAAGACCAGATATACAATGCCATGTAGCGGCCACGCCAAGCACGTTCCTGGGACAGACTGTGTATGAGCTGGAGATTTTTGTTTGGAGAGTCTATCGTCAGGACCCCGTTGGTTACCAGGAATCCGGTCGTTATCAGGAATCCGGTCGGCATGAGGAACCCAAGGTTCAGGTTAAGGCGAGCGAGAATCCATCGACGAGATCGTTATGGCGTCGACTTCATCGTGCCTAAATAATCACGGAATCTCGCAACAAAGGCACTGAGAAAGTTCCGGGTCTAGTATTTTAACCAGCTTTGTATGAGATATTCCCTAGCTTCGCGCCTGCAGTCACAATTGTAAGCCTAAGTACAAGGGCAGTCTTGCTGGCGTATACCTCACCATGGAATTAGGTCTATGAAGGCAGGGTGGTAATGGTTCATCTGGGACACGGCAGGTCGACACCAGGCCGGGCACTTGGCCAGATTCTCCATTATGGGAAAGATGAAGAGCTTTTTTGTTGACGAGCGCCCATACTAAGCCATGCCACCAAGAAACCTACCGAGAGAACTCGATATAGGGCCCAGAACATGGCAAGCCTCCCATTTTTGCAGCAGGCTGTACGTTGCGTCTACATCCATGCCCAAGACAATACATACCGCCTGTAATCGGTTCCGCAGGGCATTCTTTTCGTTCTCCAAGGCAGCGTTTGCCTTCATAAGCTCGGTGACGAGTTTGTCATGCTGTTGACTGGCGAGCAGCTCCAGACGCTCTTGAAGGGCGGCAACGGTAGCCTGGTCCGATACCTGCTTTCTTTCACCATACGACGCCCCGCGGCGAGTTTTCTGGTGAGTTGCTGTTCCGTCAACCTGTCTTTCTAGCAAGGCTTGGGCGCACTCCCTGGCGACGTGGCATAAGAAGAGCGTGCTCTGGCCATGGCGAGAGTCGTTGACATATCTGTCTGTGACCAGGATGAGAGACAAGAGAGCATCGTGCCGCGACGTCACGGAAGGGATAAAGGCTGTGTTAGACGGCCTGCCACCCCCCATCCGGGGCATCCTGAGGTCTGTCTAACCGCCTAGTCAAAGGTGGCCTAGAGTGTGGGGACTCCGTGGGCCTTGGCCCGAGGTTATCCTGCACCCCAGTTTACCCCAGACGTTCCGATAGATCTAGACCTGGACTAAGTGCGGGGGAGGAGCATTTCCGAGTCGAATATTGCTGACTCGTCAGCTGCTATGAGGTAACTCCTCACCTTCACGTGGCAACAGTCTTGTATAGCTCTTGATCTAGAATTTATCACAAGTATTTGGGGATGGAGTTTCCAACCCTAGGTAGGTGATGTGCCTGTTTAATAGCTTTTGCACCGAACAAACAGTTTAAGTATACTAGTCAATCAAACCACTGCCCTAAACAGGCCAGAGAACTATCTAAATACCACTTCCTCAGATTATTAAACTAGAATGTTGCCAGTAGCCGCCTTGGAGCCCACCATACCTACTACCAACCCAGCCAACCTGTCCCAGCCCCTACTATGCAACCCTATAGGTACTTCACCAGTCAGAAGTTTGTTAATATCGGACACGAAAAACGTCGTATTAATGGAGATGTGCGGGGAAGTGAAATCGTAGTTTATTTGCCGACCTAATTGGCTGTTCAGCCCAAGATATATCCCAATCTTATGCCGTAACTTCCCTGCTAAAGGCAGCCAGCCCTAAAGGATGATTTTCCACTGGCAAAAGAAAAGAGTTTAACCTAGCGTTTTATCCCTAAAGATCCAAGATTCCCATCACACTAGCCTCTGGATCCATGTAGGTATGTTTTTAACCTTTCCACTAACCGGAGCTGAAAATCGGGATCAGACGCCGTCAGTTATAGAAGAAGGATATTGAGATATGACCTCCAGCTACACCTAAGGGCTACCGTTTCTGCTCTGCTATATTTGGCCACTACAATATGCTTCGAACAAGGGATCCGGGTCCAAAGAAGAAACAGGCCGTGATCACTGTTGTCCCGTTTGCCCGGGGCCAACATGCATACGCGAGTTCTGCTGAGAGCTAAGACCAGTTTTTAACAGTGGAGCCATGCATTCTGCCATCTCTGACCGTCTTGAGGTTGTGCAATAATCACACCATACATACCTTGGGTACGAATACCGGTAATCCGGGTGTTGGTTCCTAGATCCACAATATCTTTACCAATGACCAGGGACCTCGGTCTCGCTACACACCGCCCTTACGGACCTAGCCCCGTAAAAGTCAATTGTTGGTGGGACTTCACTAGGTTCACCAAGGGGCAACTAACCTGATCAGATTCGGATGCAACCCAATCAGGCCACGTCACATTCATTTTCCTGTCGGGATGATACGATAGACAAGAGTAGTTTAGTGTGTCAGTTGTCTTCTTCATCGTACTGCTAAGTACTCCATGTGTTCATCTTCCTATCTCTACAGGGGGCAATGTGGCAGGGATGCACCGATTGCAATCATGGATAAATAGGGGTTCCCGTGTTTTGAGGCAATAAAGCCTCAAGTGGCTCCAAGCGGATTCCTTTCCGGATTCCTTTTCATCCTCTAATCAAGTCATTGGAAGTCATTCTTGTGCACACTAACAAGCCAAGATGGAGACAATTGTGTTGAACGGATCCCATGTCCAGGGAAAGGGTATAGTCGTGAACCATACCCCAAATGACGCCAAACCAGGCCTGCGCATTCACTTCCCGGACATGTTCTCATCCATAATGGCTGCGGATCCGGTTGTTAACGTTCATTACGATGAAGTCAAGGAAGAATCCGCCGCAGCGATCAAAGAGTATTTTTCATCTAATCTCAATAACTCTTCCAAAGCTCACCTGACTCTTCAAGATTACTTCAAGTGAACACTGTCACAGCAGAGCAGTACGCCAAGGCTGACTTTGCTTTCCTTTGTGCAATCTGGGTTCCTTACGCCGACAAGGAAGCACTGCGAACATTGACTGATTGGCAGTACTGGGTATGTGATGATCATCGTTGAGATCTCGTTTCTCATCTACAGCTATCTGAGAAATTCTAATTTCAATCCCAGGCATTTATGTTCGATGACCGTGGGTGAACCATTGCCTGGTACTAAACAGTAATTCTTACCGCAAATAGAATTTGACGAAGGACGCCTCAAAGATGATCCAATTCGAGCCAAAGAGGAAGTCGAAGAGAATCTTGCAATGTTGGAGAGCGACGATACCGTGAACAGAGATGAAAAGCCACTTCTATTTCTTTTCCAGGAAATATGGCTGGCATTCAAAAAGGTAGGCTATTCATATAAATAGAAGCCACATTGCTAATATTCTTTAGAGATCATCACTCGGTAAGTAAACCAGATGGCCTTGCGTTTCTACCCGCCTAACATGACCAAGAACGGCAGGAACGCTTCAAAGAGTACCATCGAATATGGTTCGATGGGCTGCTGGAGCAAGTGGATTCCATCAAGCAAGATTCATGGTTCGACATTGACATCGAGGAATACATGGTTCGTCGCAGGATTACGCTTGGGGGATTGCCAAGTTTCGTCATGGTGGAGTAAGTGATTGAACCATGACTGCTACGTGAGGTAGTTTACTAATTTGGTCAGATATTGCTGCGATATTCAACTCTCGAGAGAGCACATCGATCATCCATCCATCCAGGAATGTATGCGGATTTCCATAGATCTGATGATTCTGTAAGAACTGTGTCTCATTCTCTTTTTTGCTTTCGCTGACCAAATATTTAGGTCAAACGATATTTTGTCGTTGCCGAAGGATTTGGTAAGTTGCAAAGGCTTCCAGGGAATTCGTTATGTGCTGAAGTAAAATAGGAACAAGGTGGTGACATAAACCTCATCTATTTTCTGAAGCGTCAGGACCTTTCTGAACAGGCCGCTGTTGATTTGATTGGTCGCAAAATCGAGAAGTGCTACGAGTCATGGCACTTGGCACTGGCGAAACTTCCACCGTACGGGGAGGCCGTTGATAAGGAACTCCTACGCTACATCGACTGCTGTCGAAATATGGCATTGGGCAATCTTCACTGGAGGTTTGTTTTCGGGCCAACTAGACGGAGAACAGCAAAATGCTAACTTTAAACAGCTTCAAATCTGAGCGCTACTTCGGGAAGAAAGGGTCGGAGGTGAGGGAGGCGCGATACTTTACTATGCCTGTCATAGCCTAGATTCTTTGCCATTTCTAGTCCGTTACAAAGCACAAATGACCTTCCCTGGATGTATATCCGTGAGCAAAGCATAACAAATCAACATGTTGGCCCGAAAATAGAGTGCAATCGAGCTCCAAAGTGACGTATTACAGCTTCTTGTTCGTAACATCAGTTTGAAGACTTCCGTCTTGCATAGTGACGCATGTGCTGCCATCCCCATCCCGTTGCTCATAGACGTCCAATTGAGACTAGTCTAAGCCTCAAAGCTCATCGCCTCGCGTACTCCCTGCTCAAGTGATATCCATCCGTCCCGTCCTCCCCACTTCTTCAAAAGGCCTAGCAGGCGGGTCTCATCGCCAATCGTGGCTAGGCAAGGTTGTTGAGAAGGGAGATCGTCGATGAATTTCCGGTCAGGGTACAGACGACGCAGAATAGCCAGGACTGCGTTTACGTTGAATGGTTCGGCCCAGGCAAACAATCGCTCGCCCTTGATCTCGGGGTCTAATGCAGCTGCGGCATGCAGGACTGCGACATCCTGGATATTGACTTGGCATCCTTTGAAGAAAATGGTCAGTTGTGTTGGACTTGACTTGAGCGATAAAGACTTGAGCGATAAAGAGTAAGCTTAACTCACCAGGAGGTGCAAACGCAAGTAGACCCAGTTCACCGTTGTAGATGTTGCGGATCCAGCCTCCCGTGCCCTTCAGATGGCGCTTGTGCAATGTTGGCCCAATGACAAAGAAAGGATTCACCGCCGTAGCAGTAAACCCAGGATTCTCGTCCTGGATGAATTTGAACATGGCTCTCTCGGCCTCTACCTTGCTTACCGCGTACACTTTGGGGGCGCGCTGTGGCTCGTACGGCGGCGGGGCCCATGCTGCGTCTAAAGCAGCGTCATTCCAAGAGTCCTGTGTCAAGGTGACCGAGACTCCTCCTTTGGGCGAATATACAGCCCCAATTGATGATGTGTAGACAAATCTTTTGACGGAAGGCTCCCGGGCGGCAGCGCGAAGGAGGCCCAAGACAATTTCGACCGCTTGGGGAATCACCTGGTTCGGGTCTGGGCTGAAATCGAAAGGTGTTGCGAAATGAAGGATGGCACTGGCGTTACTATCGATGATAGCGCTCTCAAATGCGTTGACAGCAGCCAGGTCCGGGACCTCGACGAGGTCAAAGACGCCTCTCTGGGCGAAGAGAGGAAAGACTTCTTCCGTGAGCCACCCGACCTGGGAGAGGTTGCGTACAATACCACGGACGCAGTAGCCGCGCTCGAGAAGATCTTTGATAACGTACGAGGCAAGATATGATGTGGCTCCCGTAATGAGGACCAGAGAGCCATCTGGGATTGCTGTGGTATTGTGACTAGCCATATTAGTTGGACTTTGGGGTGTTGAGGTCTCTGGTCTGTAAACAAGCGGGATTGAGAGTAAAGGAGGTTTAGAATAAGAAACACGCGTGCCAAAGGAAACATGCTCCTTTAATACTTCACGACTGGACCCCGAGCCGAACTTACTGTTCCCTACGTCGGGTAACTATCAGCCGTCTCTATCGACGAGAGGTGTAGGCTGCCTATTCGGGAAGTTGTTCAGGGATGGCCCGAGTAAGCGCTTAGCACGGGGCTAAGCTGTTTTGTCCATGGATCGCCAAAATTGCCACAGTACAAACTCGCCCAGACTGGCCAGAGAGGAGGCTAAGTTAATCCATTTAAGGAACTTGTTCGGGAGCCGGCGGATGACGAATACAACTTGGGCCGTGACGATGACGATGTTTCAACCATTGTTCAATTTATATCCCTATACGCTGGAATGCTACTTGTTTATTGACTCAATAGACTATAATTACTAAGTAACTCTACAAAATTTCCATTTCACACAATACCTTACGGATCCCTTAATTTATCGCAAGGTCACTGTGAAACAACTTTCTTAAAAAGCTACCGTCTCATCCTGTCCTGAATACTGCTGCTATATCGTCTTTGAACGCTCCAGCTTCATGTAGCTTGGCTTTTCCACTGCCGCCCTCTTCTGCCGGAGTGCCCGGAATTCCGACTCTTCCTGCGATTCCCAGGGTTTACGACGTCTTGGTCAATCCGATGAACGACGCAAGCGAGCTGCTTGCAATCAAATTGTGGCCACAACCAAGTCCGATACCTGGCAAAATTGCACTATGCGCAAAACACCACCAGACGGGCCCCATTCCCAATCTCAGCTTCAAACGGCGTTTCGAGGCCGTAAAGGACCACGCTTCGGGGTAGACATGTCGAGATTGTGAGGGCTCTACTTGACAACGGAGCTGGTCTGCTACTGCAATTCCGGCAAGATCGAGACCCGCGTTCAGAAGCTGAATACCTTGTCATCCTATCGTGATTGGTGCGTTGTCATGAGAATAGGTGGGTATGTCTCTACCCTTGCCTTAATCCAGGAGAGCGCGGTCGGAAAACCTTTCCGGACTCATCTCCCCGTCGCTCCAGAAAAAGACGCCGAGAATGACGCAGTCAAAAAACCAGCCCGTGGGCTTCTGCTTCATCAACACGGCTCATCCGAGCGAGGCGACGAGTTTCAGTACCCTCAGCCAAATCAGGTCGCACGCCGCCAAGGACATTCGCGCTCGAGCACGGAGGTCTCGGCGAGCGACCGGGACGGATAGAGGATCCAAGAACCGGGTGCGTCGCGGCAACCATGTTGCAAGTGCCGTGGCCGGGGAAGTCGATAATAAAACCGAGCCGAGTTGTACCCCAGAGCAAGAGGCTGTTGAGAGGAACACCCATTTTGGCAGTCAACCTGCATTACCTAGCAGGCTGCAAATCCCATGGCTATCCAGCAGAGACCCGCAATGGAGCCCGGCTCGGCAGCTTTCAGCCCAAGAACTCTTCCTGCTCGACCATTGTATGTCTCCTCTAGCATCTTTTGTCTTACTCCTGAGGAATCTCCTGACACGTGTATTACCAAGACATCAACTATGTCGTGCTATTCCGCAAGGGAAGTTGCTACAAGACTGGCGGCAATAGAAGCTACCCTGTGGTTGGTGGCAACACCAAGGCTTGGTTCACCAGTATGCAGCTGAAGTGCTGGCTACCGTTTGCTCTGTCAGACCTCGGCCTCCTTACGACACTGCTCCTCCATGCATGTCGCAGCTTAGACTTGCTAAGTGGCTTTCCAAACTATGCTGGCATGTACACTGCCTACAAGCACCAATGCATCCAGTTCACAAATAACTCCTTGTCTTTTGAGGATACAAGAGTCAGCGATGCCACTATTGCTATGGTTATGGCACTGCTGTCTGAGTCAGTAAGCAGTTCTCCCCTACTCTTCACTATTGGGCAGAGTATATTCTAAGATAGTGTTTTGCGGCCACTTCAGTACAGTCTTGGCAATCTTGAGGAGTGGCAGATCCACCTTCGTGGCTGTACTAACATGATTGGGATAAGGGGAGGCATCGACGCTCTCGGACTGGATGGTTTTCTGAAGGAGATTATCGTAAAGTGTGTTGTCGACTTCAGTTGAGGTATTTTAGCTGACTCGTCAAAACAGGTCACCACTGTATTATGGGCACCAGAGCTTATACTCCGATTAGGCCGGAACACAAGCTTAGAGCTTTGTACTTGCAAATCTGATTGCTAATTCGGCTGGGCATCATCAGTAACTAGGCTTGAGGAGAATGGCAGGTCCTTGTTCAGCCCAAATGAAGGATGTTTCCCACCGTGGAGTCTTTGGTTGCTGTTAGTGCCTTTGGTGTGCGACCGGCCATTTTCTTAGCATTAGGTGCCAAGAAAGTCAAGTGCCAGGGCGGGGAACAAACTGCTGATGAATGGAAAGGTATAGGGTAGGTAGCTAGCAACACCTATCATCCTCGATGTACTGATACCAAATCCGTCAATGTCAAAGTCTTTATAGAACCCGTTACCTGGACAAATTCGTGATAGTCGGCCGGCAGACATGTGACCCTTGGCCCATGAATAGAATCAATCTGAAAAAGGGTTCGTCCTTCATGGAACACATGTCTTTACGCTCACTCTCCCATACAAGTCTTTTGTCATCGGCTCATCTCCACATTTTCGGCCTTCAATATAAGGCCGCATTTAATATTCCAAGATTTTCTCCCTCCCAGTCTCCTCTCTTTGTAATCATTTGGGTTAGACGGACCTACAATGTCCAAGACCCTGCGATCAAGAACTGGCTGCTGGACTTGTCGCAATGATGGCTACAAATGCGATGAGAAGAAGCCATTTTGCCGTCGTTGTCTACGACTTCACAAAACCTGCACCTATGGCGCCCGACTAAGGTGGCGGACGAACACTTCGTCTAACGCTTCTGGCGAGCGACCCGACAAACCCGTTCAACAAGGAACACAAGCCGTCGTTCCCATGACTAGAATTCCCGATGTAAAATTCGGGGATGAAAAACTAGTACATCACTGGCACACCACTTTAGCCGATGTCATCTCCATGTCTGCTCGGCCAAACAATCCCTTTCTATCACACCTCACCCGATTCATATCGCAACCATGCGCCCTCAGATCGGTTGTAACTTCGATGGCAGCGAGTCATCTCGCTATTCTGGATCCAAACAGCAATTTGGATGTTCTGGCGATACAGCACAGGTTGCAGGCCGTCATCTATCTTCGCGAGAGCATCGCCACCGCCCACCCTGAAACTTCTCTTGCTACCATAATATTGTTACTGATTGCGGAGAAAGTATTCACAACAGATTCTAAAATCGATCACTTGGAAGGTGCAAAAGCGCTGATTCGCAAGAATGGTGGTCCAAGGGCCTGGTCCTCTTCAGCTGGTCAATTTCTGTTGGGAGTGTGTTGGTACCATGACGTTTTATCATCCGTGTCCAAACGCCGACCACTTCTTCTCGACTTAGAGAACCAACTTGTAGAGGGATTGCCGACCCTCTCAAACTTAAGCCTGGTGCTTTCCCTAGTGGGTGAAATAAGCAAATTGGGGTCGGATCTTGAAAAGGGTGGAGGGGACGGCGGAGCAGCCCAAGCAATCTTTAGCCAGCTGGTTTTACTCGAGGAATCGGAACCTCTCGACACCAACTCACGAAACGTTGAGATTTTTCGACAAGCGGCGTTCATTTATTTCTACCGATCAACAACACCAACCGAGTTCTCTAACAGCGGCATCCAGCATCACGCGAGATTATGTCTCGAGCACCTCGCCAACATACCATGCTCATCACCTCTTATTTCATCACACGTTTGGCCCTTGTTCACCGCTGGTTGTGAAACTGTCGACCCTGATATGAAGGAATTTGTTCTGCAGCGGTTAGATGACATGTGTCAGACCCGGCGATTGACGTACTTGGAAAGAGTCAAACAAGATATTATAGGAGTTTGGTACATGAAGAATCTTCGGCGGGGTGAGAGCGGACGAGATGATATAGACTGTATCCATGCTATCAAAAACACACACCAGCGAGAGGCTGATATAATTTAGTACGATAGGTGGCTTTACAGTCAACTGCGACTTGTATGGAATTTAATGTCAGTCGACTAGTTTTTCCAATGTTGTTCATTTTATTTCGACACATTCTAGGTAGAATACATGACTGTGAGGTTCTTAAGAAAGGACAACATCTTTTCCAGTCTTGGCACTCTCCATAACCGCCTCGATCACCCTCAGGACATCGCGAGCTTCGACCGCCTTGACAGGAATATCCTCCTCCTTTCCACTCTCAACTGCCTGACCAAATTTGTTGTAGAACGCTTGGTACGTCTCGGGGACCAGACGAGGGACGGGTTGGTCTTGAATCTTGCCATCGCTTCCGACCAGAGTTAAACGGTAGTTGTCGGGGTTTTCCTCGCCAAACTTGGGGTCCCCCGGGGTCATGCCAGCTTTGAGTTGATCTTCTTGCGTATCCAGTTGTTGCTTAAAGAAACTACCCTTTGAGCCTCTGATCCAGTACCGAGTCTGGCTAGTTTCAGCACTGAGGACGCTGACACGAACATGTACAAGCATGCCGTTGGGGTAAGTCAGCTCAATGGAGAGGCTATCAGGCGTAGTCAAGTCGAGACGACCCTCCCTTTGAGATAAGAGGCGGCCATGCACGGATTGTGGGAGGCCAAACAACGTGTAGACCTGGTCGATCAGATGTGTCCCGAGATCATAGAGCACGCTACCACCCCCAGAAACATCCAAACTACCCTTCCAGGTCGTTGGTGCATCCGCTCGGTACCGGTCAAAGTGGGTGTTGAACTCGACAACACGGCCAATGGTGCCTTGGGAAATCAGGTGCTTCAAAGTGAGAAAATCAGAATCCCATCGGCGGTTTTGATAGACGCAGATAAGCCGTTGATTCTTCTTTGCAATCGCCGCCAGCTCGTCGGCTTCGCTCGCTGTAGGAACAAAGGGTTTCTCGGTCAAGACGTGTTTGCCAGACTCGAGGACAGCCTTGGTCATCTCGAAATGGAAGTTTGGCGGCGTAGTGATGACCACAACATCAACTTCTGAATCGGCCAACACGTCCTTGAAGTCCCGGAAATGCTTCAAGTCAGGGTAGTCCTCCGGGGCAGAATCTCCCTGCTTCGGGGTTCGCTGAACAATGCTGTGGAGCTTGAACTGAGGAGTCCTCTTGATGAAGGGGATGTGGAAGATTTTGGCGGAGAGACTTTGGCGAGTGTCAGCCTTGGAAATGTAGTAAGGAATGGATAGGTAACTCACCCGTAGCCTACCACCGCGACATTGAAGACGTTGCCAGCCATGTTGTGAATCAGGCTTCTTGAGATTGCCGTTGACACGATTGTATTTCTGCCAATGGTTGTAGGTGGAAAGCAGACAGATGGGAGCGAAAATGCCGCCCAGAAAATGTAGAATGAACCACTGCATTTTATACCTCATCCGTCCTGTACCAAATGCCATGTATTTGGAGCTGATTAATACGAGCCGCCCACGCGACGTGTGATTGCCATCTTGGTGCCACCACCGAGGTGGGGCGTCATATGATGAGTTGGTGGATCGGCGATCTAGTCTAAACCGATTCAGGCAATTTTACTAGTTGGGAAAGGCGCAATATCGAGACTCTAGAGATTTGTAGTCCTTGGCCATTGCCTGAATGCCTTGGACATCACTTGTGGACATCGCCACGTCACCAAAATCCTGCTAAAAATCGGTACATGGAACGTAATAGTCACCGCACGTTCTGAATCAGTATTCCTAGTGTATCATTCCCCGCCTGTCGACCGAAATGTGGCCGTGTTGTCTGGCTCTTTGGACACTGGTCTAAGATGGCGTGTCCATGATTAGCAGCATGTCCCGCATGCCAACTAGCCTATTCCTGGTAATTTTATCAGTCGGGAAGAGCACGCAGTTATCTGCTCGTCCTCATCTGTCTGAATCCATGTCCTCTTCCCCTGATCAGTTCGCCACTGACTTGTTAGACGGACCGAATACACACTGGTGTGCCGTCTAACCTCTTAAAGTCAGGGCACTCGCTGTTCAATTTCAATGCATTTACCCCACCCTCTGCCCCTCTTGTTGCCTATATAAGGTCATGCTCTGAATACCCGGGTTAGCACTTTGGCTGTTTGATGCAAAGTCGTACTTCCATCCTATCCGTCGAAAGCGTTACCTTTTTCTCCTGACCGTAACATTTCACTGAGACCTCGATCAAATCTCGTCCCAATGGCCCCAAAGGTTCTGAGACGCCAGTCCCCGGCTGGCGCAGGCTTAAGAAAAGCCGCTATCGCCATCGAATCCCCTGAAGCATTGGTAGCTCCTATCACAAGCCCACCATCAGATGTAAGCTTCATCTTATGTCTATAACAATATATACTTATTTGCTCTAGCTTGCTGCGTTGCAGGAGGAAGGCCAAGCTGTCACATTTGCTTCGTTCACCGCCGAAGATGCCTTTGAGCTTGGGCATCAACTGTTTGCTCGCCTCGCCCCTCTAGCCCCGGAGAAATCGGCATTAATCTCCATCTGCCTCGCGAATAGCGGGCAGGTTGTCTTTCAGTGTATGACGGGCTCCGGCATCACCCCAGATAACGAGCATTGGGTCCGAAGGAAGAGAAACACTGTGCTTAGGTTTGGCGTAAGCAGTTGGTTTATGCATTGCAAATTTCAGGGAGACGAAGCTGCCTTTGCCGCAAAGTTTGCGATAAGTGACGAAAAAAAAGGAGAATACGCTATCCACGGAGGAGCGGTGCCTATTTATGTCCAAGGGGTTGAAGGCGTGGTTGCTGTAGTAATTGTTAGCGGGTTGGCCCAGAGTGAGGACCATGGAGTCATTTTCGATGTCATCAAGGAGAACTGGCAGTAAATAGTAGTCATTATGCGGTACAGCGTACCTTTATAAGCTTTATTGAGATATGGATATTATCAAAGATGACAACTGCGGGAAATGAAGCAACCTTGAAGAGATTACGCTATTATAGAGTGCGGAATTGGTTACCGTAGTCAGCTGCGATATCTGGAACCCAATGAACATTCTGCTCTCTGGCGAGGACAACAAGAAGAAGGCAGTTGACTTTGACAAGGCAGTAGAGCTAAGGTCCAAGGTCGATGGCAAGTGTGGCGACTTGGTAGATGTTGGGGTTTGCTTCTTGATGTAACTGAAGTTCATGTCTACCCTAGAGATGCCTAAAAAGAAGCAGTCGGGGATGAGGACGGGGACGACCCTCGAACTGAAGGTTAACGCGAAAGAAAAGGGCAATTAGTTGCCTGACACGAATAAAAACTAACATCAAGATGACTTTCAGTTCATTGTGAGGTGAGCTATTAACGATTGCCTGATAACGTTCGGGTGAGGTGGAGCTGCAAGAGTTCAACTTTGTGCCCCCATTTAAATGCTCTGACAACCTTCGATGGGCTGCTCGACTTTGTGTATAACGAAATCCTTAGTGACGTTAGCATTCAGGAAGCCGGTAAGAAGATCTTGGGAATCCAGAGGCGCTTGGCAAGTTGTAGGTCAAGGCCATGGTTGGAGAGTTGGCCCAGGAGATGGTAGAGAAACTAGTATGCCGGAAGCCGCAGTAACCTAAGGGCAAAGAGAATTTCAAGAATCGGACCAAGGAGCTACATGACAGAGAAAAAGGACATAGAAGGGGTTGCATTAAAGACCAACTGATCGCAGCACAGGATCCCGAATTTGGGGATCCTAGAACCGTGTTTGTATGAGTACGCATGTGGAATTCAGTGGACGGCACAGAGTTTGCTGCAAATGGCTGGGCACGGTCAGAGATCTCTCACACCGTGGACTGTGTATTCAAAGAGCTGATCGTTTGAGATTTTGGGCCCGAAGCGCTATCATGCATCTTGCCGTTCTTGGCCATCGCCTTTTTCTTGTGCTGTTATTTCGTGAAGGAACAGGGATATTTCAACACTGGGTTGCAGCAACCGGCCGACCTCGATTCCATGAGGATTAGCCGCCCACCGTTTTTATTCCTGTTGGATAGAGACCCTGTATTACGAGTCCTTCGATAGATTGTTACGGATTTTAGTCAGAAGGGGGGTCAGACAACCCCTCTTCCGGCCGGTCCGGAAGACCGGGAGGAGGGATCATCACGATCACGATCACGATCATCGTCAAGATGAACACTATTTCATTGATCAATTTGACCATAACAGATCCACCAATTCCCTAAAAAAAGAAAAAAAGAAAAAAAGAATTATTGGACGAGAGCGGATATTGCACTCTCATAGACTTACGTAATACTGGGGCGTTTTGCCTAGCTGCATAGGAGCCTTGGCGGTCAGATATCCGGAACACAGGGGCTCCCAGAACTGTGAGTGAGGCTGTCATCAACAATGTAACTCAACCCCTGCAGTGAAAAGAGGCCGAATGACCCTGCAACCTGACCCTAGGATTTTACTTCAGCTATCCCTGTGATGTAACGTAGTCAATATTAAGGGCGATGCTTATCCCTCGTCTGGCCCCACAAGCGCCTCGCGTCCTGGCGCATTTGTTTGCTCAATCCTTTACGGCTTGCTCGAGAGCGTTGGCTCGCAGGCTGCCCAAGTCAAGTCCCACGACGAATCGACCCATTGTTCAGAGTCAATCACATAGGCCACGCCGACGGCCTGTAATCGCTGGCGATGAACCCGTTACACACCCCATGTTACAGCGTGCGAATCCATCTGTAGAGTCTAGAAGGCTACGTACTACTCAATCAAGAGAGCACACTCACCCGTTGAGTTGGTTCCACTCAGGAAGAGCTCCTCCACTGCCGAAGCGAAAAAAGCACAGCCGACTTTAGGGCCGCGCCAATGGCTCCAGGGGTGGCGTTCAGAAGCCATTTTCTTCGGCGCCGGTACATTCATCTCGCTCATCATCGATGTCTTCCTTGTCATTTGGGCACACCGGCTCAACGACGATAGTATTGGGGTCCTCACAACTACAAATTGCGAGACCGTGGCCTCGTACAACACCTGTATACATGCAGGAGTGAATGCGATGAGCGCGTTGCTTCTTAGCGGTAGTAGCCACTGTATGCAGTGTCTGTCTTCGCCGACCCGAAATGAGGTTCAAAAAGCAGACCCCAAGGGCATCTAGTTAAATATCGGCGTTTCTAGTGCTCGCAACCTGAGAAATATTGCTGGGTATAGAATACTGCTCTTGGGACTGCTAGTTTTATCTTCAATTTCGCCTCACTTAACATAATGTATTATTCCTTTGTGCTCTTGTGAAATATACCCATCTAACATTCCTCCCAAGGTACAATTCCGCTTTCTTCATGTCGCTGACGTCAAATAATTATATTGTATACATTGTCTCAGAGGACTTTTGGAACAGTACTGAAAGTGTGCCTACCATTCCTACTCTCACGTTTTCTGAATTCGAAGACGATATTAAAAATTCTACGACTCATCTGAAGGAAATCAGAGACAGAATTCTTAAAAACCAAACCTTGTCTGAGTCATTCCAGCTAGGAATCTGGTATGAGGCTTGGGAAAATAAGGAATGCATCCAGAAGTAGCCGATGAATTTCTTTCGGATCGGCGTACCGCTATGATTACGACAGCGAGCGACAAAACTCTCGGTAAGCCATTTGGTTATGGGTATGATTACTCGCCAGATTCTTCCTAGTATCATTCATCCCCTTCACCCTCAACGGTATTTTAAGCACCATTTGTCCTGCCCAAGAATAGAACCACTTTTCAGACCCGCGACAGCGCAAGCCCTTGCGGGTGTCCTCGTCCCGGGGCGAATAGAGATGAACATACTTCTTGCAACTGCCCTACCGACTCGGCCTTGCTTTTACTATCATCTCTGGTGTTCTTCACTGGCTCATTTCGCAGAGTTTCCGTGGTGGCTTCTTATGCGCCTTGGGGCTGGCTTGATGGCAGGGTGTACGTTGCCACGTGCGGATACTCTTCTTGGTGATGCTCATGGTCATCCTGACTGGAATCCTCATTTTCGCCAGCATCGCCACTTTCAGGTTTTTGAACTACACAACCATCATGCCGCTCATTGGAAGTTGCAGCGCAGCTATTTCAGCAGCGTGCCATGATCCAGGCGAGGATTGCGAGGTGTCGATTAAGCCGGTGAAGTGGGGTTGTGCCTAACAATGACGAGGACGGCGTGGGTCATTTTTGCTTCACGAGCGGCCATGTCGAGCGGCCAGTAGCTGGTCAATTATATGCTGGTTTAAAAAGACCCATGTATGTAAGAATTTAGAGGCGATAGACGGTGTGGAATCTTACATACATACGGAGCTCCATGTTGAGGCATTTTGTGAGCAATCGAGCGAATCCTCTATTGTGGGTCTGCGCTGACTTACCAGGTCCCGCACCTTGCGAAACATCATGACATAGTAAACGAGTCAAACTCTTCTTCCCAAACACACTGCCTGAGAAGGAAACTCTCCGAATCTCAAGGAATCATTATGGCGACTTCTCAAGCTGAAACAGACCCGGTCCCGGTCCCGAAGCTATGCAAGCTATTCGAGGACATCGAGAACAGTTTCAAAAGTACCGACCTGGGCAGTCATCGTTGGTATATCGTCGTGATTGCCTGTCTCTCGGCCAGCCGCGATCCCGAGGCCGCCAAGGATCTCTACCTCTATCTAGTCAACAAATCCGAAAATGAGCCCGGCGGACCCGGCAGAAAGGCACTCATCCGCCGGCTGCGGGAGGCGCTCGTGAAGACAATTTGCCTGGTGGGCGTGTGCAAGCCCATCGAGGCGATCCTGGCCATCAGCCGGGTGGAAAAGCCCGAGGACCGAGACCTGAGCACCACGCGCGAGGGATGGCAGGCGGATGAAGCAAACCACCAGCGGGCGATGGGCTGGTTCAAGCAGGTGTACACGCGCAACGCCACAGACACCATCGGGCTCTTCGACGCGCACAAGGACTTTGCGTGGGTCTCGGGGGAGATCACGTACGGCTTGTTTCTATCCGACCGTCAGATCCTCGACGATGTCGAGACGCAGCTTGTGGTGCTCCCGGCGATAATGAGCCAGGATTTGCGGACCGAGACACACTGGCACATTCGGGGGACACGCCGCATCGGTGTATCCAAGAAGGATGTGCAGGTCATATGGGACGCGGTGCAAGCCGTCTCAGACTTTTTCGAGTTCAAACTTACCCGAGTGCCCACAGTCGATGAGGTAGAACCTGATGTTTAATAGAAACGAGTGAGGGTCCGAACAATACTGAAGCTATGACTGATGCTGGGCAAGACTACAATTTACAAGTCCTTTCCTACCTCTGCAGGTAAAACTTCAAGCGCAAAGAGCAAATAGGAATCTCCTGCTGGCTTGCCGGTGCTAACCTACGACGTATATGGACAATTTGTTGTCTGGTACAATCCAATCCAATTGACAACTCGCCTACCCTAAATCTCTGCACCGGCGTTCGCTTCAGTCCCGAGGGTCCGACTACAAACCAACCACTTTGCGATACAGGGGGGGTATACCTACAAGATTCCAAGAGAAAGGTTCGTTCCTGCATTGAGGCTGAATGTCTGGGCATAACTTTGCGCGGGAAGTGTTATGCAGTTTGTTCAATTACTTCGACAGCATTGATGACTGCACTGCCATTTCGTTGACCAAAATATTATCTGATATATATTACCGTATATTATTTCATTATTCTATTATTAGCGATACTAACTAATAGACCATCTTTATAGCGCCCCGTCTACTCTTTCCCTTGCCCGCGGTTTCATTATCCACGTCGGAATTTTACTACTTCCCCTCCGCTGCAGCTCCCGACACTTCGCCGGGATATGGCTTCCTTCCCCATACAATAAACCCCGGCATATAGGCGTGGGTACGCGGGTCGCCGAGATGCTGTCGTACATCAACGAGACATAGCTACAAGTCGTGAGTCAAATCTATTGACATTAAGGTGGTGGTTAGGTGTGCATACCTCAATCTCCGCAGGCGTTCTGTTGAATGCCCTGTTAAAGAGCTGATATGAGAAGCCGCTCAGTCCATCCAGGAGATTCGCCTCCCACATGTACCCTACCTCCTTGAGGCGGGCGTCCCTGGCCCAGCCGCCGATGGGCATCTTGACGGTGCGCTGGTGGATGTCGACGAAGCCGACCTTTTCGTACACCTCCTTCAGCGTGGCCCCCAAGATGGCGGGCCGCTGTACGTGCTCTGACGCGACGAGGAGGTCGTTGAACCACGCTGCCACAGGCCCAGTCGGGTCGAGGGTGTCGTCGTCGCAGCACACGTTGCCGTCGACTTCTTGCGACTCGAACCAGCCGCCGGGCTCGAGGGCGTCGAACGCTTGCTCGGCGATCTGGCTTTGGAACGAGGCCCAGCAGCCGACGGTCGATCGCGTGTGGATATAGTCGAATTTGTGCGCAAAGTCCCATAGGTCGGCCCTGAGCGCCATGGTTAGCTACGGGCATCCTTTCGCGACGGGCTGGCATTGATGTCCCGACTCAGGCATTCCAAGTGCAATGGACACATGCCCGCATAGATACTCACGAATCATCCACGTAGAAATGCACATTCGGAGGCACGTCGACCGGCTGGATCGGGGATAAATCCGTGGCAATGACCATGGATCCGGGGAACAGGTCGCCCATCTCGATGGCCCAGTCGCCCACGCCGGTGGCGATGTCCAGGATTCGCAGCGGCGGCTTCGCGCGCGAGAGGGGAGCAAAGTACAGCCTGTCGCGCAGGAGCTTCTTGATACACTGGCCCTGGAGAGCCAGGCGCTCCTGCTCCGAGGCGTCATTGGGGAAGGCGTATGCTGCGTGTCTGTGATCAATTGCGAGGCCCCAGAGACTGCAAACAATGGCATCTTACAGCCGGCACGGTAGGCGTGGTATGTGCGCCCAAACTCCTCGGGGAACGTCTGCACGCTGTCGGACAACGACGCCGTGTCGCTCCTGCAAGACGCCGGTCAATGTGTGGGAACGGTCAAGCTGTTTCAAGGGAAGACGCCTACATGGTCCAAGGCTGTCGCGGGGGCGGAGAAGCCATCAAGTCAGCGCACAATTCGCAGGGTTTTTGCGAGCTGGGGGGGTCGACCTACCTCTGGCTCGATGAAGCTCATGTTGCCAGATCCGGGCAGCTGCGCCAGGTCAAAGGTGAATTCGTAATTCTCCAGCGGCAGGCCGGGCTCGTCGTTGGGGACGTGGTCGGTATCGTCGCCTCCGCCGCCGGGTTTCGCGTGTTGTTGGCTCTCCATGGCGGCTGGTGATTGTTACAGGAGCAATCGAAAGACGTCCCAGCTGCTGAAGGCTCCAGGCTGATCCCAATTGGCATCCGCCGACACCGCCGCTTATAGCTGAGGGCCGACACGGCCAGTGGAGGGTCGAAAGAGCTGTGCCTCTGGCGAAGTTCATTCCACGTCTCCGGTCGGCTGGTTTATTCCCACGTCTGGCCCCCCGAGCTCAAGACGCCTCCTCATTTACTTTTTCTCGCCCAAGGTCTATTGCCAAATGCTGAAAAGCCGTGGGTAAGGGGGCTTGCATGTGCCTCGAACTCTGTCGCGCCGCGTCCCAGGCTCCTGGACCGGCCCAAGAGCCCGCCGGCCCACTTGGCACAGTGCTCCGGCTCTCGGATGGCATGGCAACTCGTCATGATTGCCGGGGGAGGGACAAATCGCAGGGTTTTTTGCCTAGTGGATGTGTGTACTGCGTGTAATGTACCCCCCCCCCCCTTGTAAGTTGTGCTGACCGCGCTGACACCAGAGCGACACCAGAGCGGAGAAGTCCACGCCTCTGCAGCTCAACCCACAAAGCAATTGGACAAGGCTGGCTGCTGTTCCCATCCGGTGAGCTCTGACACCCACTAGGTTCAAGGCGCGTCTCCCTTTTCGCCCATCTCGAGCGGGCCGTGGCGTTTGGCGTGATGCCTGGTGTTTGGCATGCTGGCCTGGCGTTTGGCATTCTGCCTGGCGTATGGCATGCTGCCTGGCGTATGACGATCTTGTCCAGGCCCGTCAGATATTGCCTACAGCCGACCGGGGTTGCGAATGTTAGCTCGAGACTTGCAGAGATACTGCGTAGTACTGTGGCACATACATGGGATTTGGTATGGATAGACCCTGAAAGAAAGGTACCTCGAGATGGAAACTGTGGGGAAATTGTAGAGAATTGATCGACAAGGACCGACACTTACCATGTAAGGGTGCTTACCATGTATGTAAGGGTATCCTCACTCTCCACTCTCGCTATTCTGATGATCTGCGATATCCCGTACCCGTACCCGTACTGCACTCCGTACTCTAGTACGGTAGTACTCCGTCCTCTAGTCCATAGTAGTCCTCCGTACTCCAGCTAACATTTGTAACCCTTGTGCACTGTATCTCACAAGTGAGGACTGGTGCCCAACCCCGCACCTCCCGGACCGCTGGGCTGGGACGCATCCCACCCGCATGGACACGTTGTATCACGCGCCGCCTTGGTCGCCTTGGTGGAAATCACGCGACTTTGGGTCTTGCATTAGGGCCATGACCTTTGCATTGAGTTTGGTGACATTTGCCTTGCCGTCAAGAGTCAGAGAGTCAAGAGCATTCACAGAATTTACCACCCCTTACCAGCACGTCGGGAGGAGAGGGATGCTTGTTGCTCAGCCACACCAACTTAACCCTACGCCTGGAACTCTGGTCCCGGAACTTTGGGTCCGGGTCTTGGAATGTGCCGGACGCACGTCGTCGGCATCATGAATCAGTCCAGTCCAGAATCAGTCGATTCGAGTCCAGTCCAGTCCAGTACCTGAACGTTGATATTGTTGAAAACAGAACTGTGAACCCATTCGCCCAGCTCCAAATTCCCATCTGCGAGATTTTCCCATCTTCCCATTCTCTCCGGCTCTCGCGATAGGAGATACACAAGACCCACGAGATGCACGCTAAGTTCTACCCCTCACCGGCGCTCCGGTACTTCCGGAGGATTCCGTAGGTGTCGGGATCATCACTATTCGATTGGCTCGCTTGGCCTCGAGGAGTGGAGGACCTGGAGATGGTGAGATGGTCATGGTTCGTCCTCGAGCTCTCGACGGGACATTCTTTCCATCTCGCGGCGATAAGCTATCGCTTCGCTAACTTCATCGTCGGCTTCATCGTCGGCTTCCGCCTTGTCGGTATCGTTTGCCGCTGACCTCGGGTTATCCGGTCGAAGGAAGCTCCGGATTCCAACTCGTTGACCTTGTCTTAAAATGTGGCGCCATTTACCTAATCGCACCATCTGCTTGTCAGGGTCGTACTCACCTCGACTTGGATTGAATGGACTAGAGCCAAACGCGCATATCACTAAGCTAAGTGCGCGATCCCCTCGAGAAATTAAATCAGACTCATCATAATCGAATATACGGCAAAATGAATAACGCTATGAGATGATAAGTTGGAGGCGTACAAGTATTTCCCGTTCTCGTTATGGCTCACCAGCCAAGAACATGACCACCCCTCGCTGAACCTGAAACAGATCTATTGCATGGTTCCCACCGTTCAGCCGCATTTGTGTAACAGGCCATGCAACACGTCCCCCCAGCCAGTAAACAGATAACCCGTGAAGAGGGTCAGGCCAAAGAAAAGACAGAGCAGGCCCAGGTGCCACACTTGGAAGCCGAATGCATGTAGCTGTGCGCGAACAGGCTGCCACACCCGATCGGCGGCGGGTCGCACAACACGGCCGTACATGAACGGAGACGAAGACCCAACTGCAAGTTTTGCTCCGGCGCCGCTGTTCTTCTTCTCGTGCTCGGGCTCAACGTAGGCGCCGGGAACATAGCGGCCGGTGCTCTTGGTGTGCCACGAGTAGACGCCCTGCAACATGATGCCGAGGTCTCTCGCGTACTCTTGGGCCAGTCGCTGACTTGGTCCAAAGTCGGGCAGCCCGTTCTGCAGGCGGATGAACTCCTCCAGGTCCTCGTCGTGTATCCTAAGCGCCTTCCGACAGGCATCTTGCAGGCTCAGCCCGGACTCGTGTTGGACGGTAATGATGAGGTTGACGACGTCTCCTTTGCGGGCCAGCTCTTTGGGCAGCGAGATGAAGTCGTTGTGGTAACCGATGAGGCTCCCGGCGAGCTCGTGCATTCGAAGTATACTCGGATCGAGGAGGACTTGGTCGGGGAGGAAACGGTAGTTCTTTTGCATGCACAGGTACTTGGCAAAGCAAATGCCCCCAGAGGTTTGTCGACGAATCGCTTTGAACGTCGGTAACGGTGCTGGTTTGCCAGCCGCGTTGTGCTTCTTCTCGTCCCCATATCCCATCATCATCGCCAGGATAGAGTCAACCCACTGTTGGTACAGATGTTGTGGCATCCCACAAGCGAGAGCCTCTTGTCGGACTAGATAGACCTGACGGTAGAGCCCCTGGTCCGGCTCACTGCTGTCTTGGCCGTTGAGGATAGCAGACACCTTTTCCTTGACATGGCCCAGCTCGTCACGGCTACTGCGGTCCATATAGTCATCGAGAATGGCAAAGAATGCGGTGAACCGTGCCACAGGGCGAAGCTCCTCCAACGTCAGCCATGGGAACCCGCGAGCAGCGAGATCCGAGAGTCGATGTCGCTTATGCCTATCACGAGCAGTCTTCGATTCGAACCGACAGTCGATGTCAATCCATTGGTAATACTCGGCAACGAGCTCTTCGATGTGCGGGCTAACAAAATCAGGGAACGGGTAGTAAGGGCGAGGCGAGTCCTTCAGCTCATTGTAGAAGCGCTCTTCAATAGCTCGGCTCATGATGCTCGTCTTTGGTAGTCAAGGGGGCCAATTTTTTTTTAATTGAGCGATCAACCGAGTTTGAAAACTGTGGGCAGTGCGTATCCGTGACTCGATAGTACTTGGATTAAATAACCGGGGATTTCTTCTTGGGACCCTATACTAGTTGCTCTCTATATATCTCTTTCTACACTTCTTCCTGGGGCAAAAGCTCCTGAACTCGCTTCCGCACCTACTTCTCTTTTCTGACTAGCTCCTCCGCTATCAGTGTGTTGGTGGTGTACATCCCGAATATCGTTTAACAACTTTCCGCATTCAGAAGGAACCCCGGCCAACTGGTGGACATGTGGGGGCATGCGCCCGTCCTACATTGGACATCTGCACTATTGACGTGTTCTGCACCCTCTTCCTGGCATATGTAGGTTTTCGGACGAACTAAAGATACCAGCATCTGTGATGTGTCCTCGTTCCATAGGCCGCAGGGCCGCAATCATCTGGCTCGGTAGTTGGTTTCAAATCTGGGCCGGCATGGCCAACATAGAAATGAGCCCATGACCCGCTCCGAGGGTGCCGTCCTGGCTGCCTCGTGCATTCTACCAGGTTCTCACTTCGGCTACGACTTTGACCAAGGAGAACCATTTGCCTATGCCCATTCCAAAGTATATTATACACTAGGGTCCGTCCCCGATAACCAAGGCTTTGCCCAGGGTAACACTCGACTGATTGACATCGTTCTTAGGACCTCACTATCATGAACGAAATACCATTTTCCTCGAGCACCGAAGTGGCAGACGTCAAATGGTTTGGCTCCGTTTGGCGTTATCCACTTCTGCTTGCGATCATCTGGTTTCTACACACTGCAACCCTTGTGGTGTACCGGCTTACATGGCACCCCCTTGCTAGCTTCCCGGGACCCGTCCTGTCTAGGGCCTCTTACGTGTATGAGTTCTGGTTTGATGTCATCCTTCAAGGAAGATATACCCGCAAGATCTCCAGCCTCCATAAGAAATACGGTAAAAGCTGATGCAGTGGTTGCCAAGCGAGCGGGCCCGTTGATGGCTGACTATTGGTAGGCCCAATTGTACGGATAAACCCGAACGAGCTGCACTGCAATGATCCTAGCTTCATCGACGTTGTCTACGCCCATGGGAAGGAGAAACGCAATAAATCAGACCACTACTTGGCCGCGATGCCTTGGGGGTATGTTGAGTGCTTTAGTCTGACTTGTGTCTCCTACCCTTGCGCCGTTCCCACCTTTTCCTTCCTGTCATGGCGTCCACGAATCGTCTAGGAATGATACATGTGCTAACTATTGATTGTTTTCAAGTTTACGACTGGTTAGCTCCCTTCCTGCGATAGTAATGGGCCACCTACTAACATAGACCCAAGGCCAGCGTTGGTACAGAAGACCATGACCATCACCGACTCCGTCGAGCACCAGTCACAAAATTCTTCTCCCGCTCCCAGATAATGAAACGCGAAAGTATCTTTCATGAGAAGATCCAACATCTTTGCGACAAGCTGCTTCTCTACCGCGACCGTGCGCCATTTCAGCTGGCTGCTGCGTACTCCTGCTTTACCACCGATGCACTGACGAGCTATTGCTTTGGCCGTAGCCTGGGGAATCTCGAACAGCCTGGTTGGAACCCAAGTTTCAAAGGAACAGTTGACAAGATCACCGGCTTGTTTTATCTCAGCCGTCACCTACATACCCTGGCACGTTTGGCGGATGTTATGCCTCTGTGAGTTCACTATAATCTCAGGACGGGAGCTTAATTCCCCTAACTCCTACAGATCTGTCTGCCGTGTTATTTCGACTGAGATCAGCTCATTGCTGGAACTGATTCGCGTTTGTCCCTCCCGCAAGACTAATGTTTGGCCCGAATTAATTGACATTGGTATAGGTCACCATTCCGAAGCTGGTGGAACAGTCTAAGGGCACCAGCGATACCGACACAGGAAAAAAGCAGCTGACGGTTGTTGAAACAATTCTTCAGTCTGATCTTCCTGAAGCTGAGAAGACACCCGACCGGCTTACAAGCGAAGCCATCGCCATAGTCCTAGGAGGCACCCACAGCATATCCACCGTACTCTCAATTGCGACCTTCCACCTACTCACCAATCCGGGCCAACTGGAAAGACTACTTGCAGAGCTCCACACTGTCGTCACAGACGAAACTAACCTCCCGTCATGGTCCACTTTGGAAAAGCTGCCCTACTTGAATGGTGTCGTCCTTGAAGCGTTGCGTCTGATGTATGGCGTTGCGAGTCGAATCTCCGTCATTGCACCGGATGAAGAACTATTGTACACGCCGACTGAAAGCCCATCTGGTACCACATCTAATGGTGGCACCTCTTACACAATCCCACGTGGTTACGCTATCGGGGTATCATCGTACATGATACACATGGATCCCACCCTCTTCCCAAATGCCTCAGAATTCATTCCGGACCGATGGTTGGATAAGGAAGGCCAAAGGGACAGGGGTCTAGAGAAATACTTGATGTCCTTTTCCAAGGGCCACCGTCAGTGCATCGGGATGCAGTGAGTGTACCTTGTGTCTATGGTTGGGCCATCGTGAAAACTGACTGTTATTCCATAGGCTGGCTTACTGCGAACTCTACCTTTCAGTCGCGGCTCTGGCTCTGCGTGTCATGCCTCACATGACTCTCCATGACACAACTATATCAGACATCGCATACGATCACGATCAGCTGATTGCCATGCCAAAGAAGGGCAGCAAGGGCGTTCAAGTAGCCATACATTAGCAGTGATTAGTCGGTTTGGGGCCCGGACTAAAATCGAAGCAAGAAACCAGTGCTTGACGAGTTATACACAATTTCCATTGTACCTTATTGAAAATCATGGATATTAAGGCCTGTCACTAGTCTCTATATGTCTGCAATGAAAATGGCTTTGTACCGATAGTGCTCCTAATAGTCCGGACTATTTAGACTAGTGGGCCAGACTACCATGCCCCAGAGTCTTTCCAGCTACCACCCGCTTGAAATTTCTGCCCACCAAGCTACTCTCTTAAACTGGGTCCTGCTGATTCACCCGTAACTTCAAACTCAGATCAAGAGCTGATTGGGTGTGAGCGCTTTCAATTAGAATCTCACTCTGTTTATGAGTCCACTGAGGATATGTTACTTGACTTGAATCCACTGTACTCAAGATTTTTACTAACCTGTAAACTTATCTGATGGAAGCTCAAGTAACTCATTGGAGAGGATTCAGTATCTCAAGTTAATACTACACCTAGGTATATTGCTGAGTAGCACCCATATTACCCTAAATACTGCAGAAGTGGCTTTGCCACCGTAGTGGGCCGGCAAAACACCATCGGAACCGCGAAGTTGGGACAAGTAGAATGCCTTGAGTTCTACCTGAATTGGGGTCTCTTATCTGATTTGGAAGTTAATGAGGGTAATCTCGAAACTCCTATGCACTTTGCTACTTAGTACCTACTCCAATGTCACCAAACTTCTTGAAGCTTCGCGGAGGAAATGTTGACTGAACGAAAGGCAGCGGCTTAATTCCGTTCCGCCCTCCTGTAGACAGGGTGCACTAGGTTCTATAGAAATCGGCAGAAGCTGCTCGGCGCATGCGTCATGTCCTTCCTGGATTGAGTCAAAATATCGATTTTCTGTCTGGACACACGTGAGGTCACAGCTACAGTCTGAGATGACTTTCTATCATGAGATTTTATGTCAATGCTTCTTTACTAGCAGGGTCTTCTGTAATTAGACCGCAATTTATTAAGCGATTGTCGAGCACGATCTTCAAGGGTGTCTCTTCAGACAAGTCAGCCACACTTACTCGGAGCGCGCTCCGCGCATGCCGTGCGTTCCGCGCATGGCATTCATAGCACGCATGGCACAGATCTAGTCAACAGACTCCTTGAAAATGTGCTTTAAAGATACCACGCCCTCTGATACCTTTTTAGTTTTAAATTGGAACATCCAGAAACCGCCTATCACTACCAGCTACCCTCAATTACCTTCGATCCCTCTCGAACATCACAGCATGGCATCTACCTCACCCTACGCAAACGATCACGCGAGCCCTAATGGGCCTCATGATGCTCGGCCAACCGCGCTCAAGATTATCCGGGACGAGGGTCTGGACGGAAAGCTCACTGGCAAGGTATTCCTCATCACTGGCTGCACGTCAGGCGTTGGCGTTGAGATTGCCAGGGCGATTCATGCGACGGGGGCCGACGTGTATATCACAGGACGTCAGGCGGATAAAGGCAAGCAAGTGATCGATAAGATCTTGTCAGATGGGAAACCAGGCAAGGTTGTCTATCTGGACATGGCCCTCGACTCCATTTCGAAGGTCAAGCAAGCGGCAGCCAACTTTCTGGATCTATGCAAGATACTGAACGTCCTTATATGCAATGCTGGTAAATCTATCTCGAATATCTGATCTCCTTTGGTCGATCACTAAGCCGCTCAATAGGTGTTGCCCTCGTACCTCAAGGTACGACGCAGGATGGCTTCGAGACGCACTTTGGTGTCAACTATCTTGCCCATTTTTCCCTCTTTCAAGAATTGCGTGACACTCTGCTGGCATCAGCAACGCCTGAGTTCTCATCACGAGTAGTGATGCTGTCATCCATGGTTCACTCAGCGAGCACCTTCAAGTTTGACGATTACAATTTCCAGCGCACTCCCTATCACACTTACGTAGCCTATGGCTCCTCGAAGACCGCTACCACATGGATGGCCAATGAAATCGAGAGACGTTATGGATCCCAGGGCTTACATGCTACTTCCGTGCACCCCGGAGCTGTGTTGACCGAGAAGCTCAGCGCTCAGGTAGACGAAGCCCAAGGAATGATGCAGAACCCGGCGATTGCTTTGTATATGAAAAGCATAGCACAAGGTGCAGCAACCCCAGTGTGGGCTGCTGTGGGCAAAGAATGGGAAACGAAAGGTGGGCGTTATCTGGCAGAGATGATAGAACAGGGGCCTCTGAGGGGATCAGAGTCGGACTTGATTCAACACGGGTATGCGCCTCATGCTTATGACAAGGAAGGGGAGGAGCGGCTGTGGGATCTGGGGCTTCAGCTTTGTAGCACAGCTGAGAAGTAAAGCTGTTCATAGATCTCAATTAGTGGCATAACGCTTGGTATTTCCGCTATAGTTTGGTCTTTGGTGCGTAGGTATCCAGGTAATGGTCACAGTGGACTTTGCGGGATTAACGGACATCACGGGCGTCGGAGTCTTCCAACTCACCGAGACTGCCGGCCTACGGAGACTTTCGACCTACCGAGACTATAGACAGAGGTGCGTGCGACTAGCAGGGTTGAGCAAACTCAATCCTAACCCTACCTACGGAGTATTATCATCATAGAAGCTACTCCGTACTACGTAGTAGAATTGCAATTCAGGATGCAGAAGCTTATGGTTACTCACTAATTGACAGTCCAAAGGCTGTATTTTATAGAGGAATTGGAATATGTTGGATTTTGACCACTTATTACGAAACCTCTGATCGATCGATATCCTAACCTTACGTAGTAGTCAGAGGGGGTGCGACATAACATAAAACCCCTATGGGAAAGAGGGGACCGGAGGCATCCTAGTTAATACAATCATCGTCTTTCTCCACACCCGATTGAACACTTATCCCTTGAGTGAATGTTGCGTACGCCATCCAACAAAAGAATCTAAAAGATCTAGATGTACACTGTGTGTCCTTCTACAAACTTTTCTTATTAACAGTGTCCGAGGTTATATCATGCAAGTATGATTTAATTCTTGTTTTTTAACCAATGTCTTTGTATATCATCACTTCTGCCTGGTTTGATGTCTTGCGAGTGCTGCTATGGCAATACACGAGGGTACTCTTCAAGCTCTGACTTGTTCCATAATGCCGCTTGCATACTGAGCAATCTTTCCATCTTGGTCTTCACTTCTTCTCGATTCTTCTGGCCCTATGAATTAGTATCAAATGAACAACATGGACAAAACGACGGATCTTAGCCATGTTTGGCAATTTAATAGTTAAAATAACGATGCTCTGAGCATGTGGTGCTATTGCGGACCTCATCCTTTAAAGCTCGGGGGTTTCCTGGATGGTGGCTTGTTGTCAACACCATGATGCAGATCTCATCATGGTCCACTGTTCACTGTTGCACCACATCCACGTGAGTGGACATCGCTACTTACAATTCTTACAATTTCGATAGCAGTTGGAATTGCAAACACTGCACTGGACTGGCCAATGTTATGTGCTTCGAACAGTAAATGGGACTAAGCAGGCATATACCTTGCCTTTTTTTCTCAAGCGCAACATGGAGACACTCAATCTGCAGAGCAGATAGGGCTTGGAAGTTTGATCAACAATTCGTATTTCTCCCATACCAAGACTGGTGATTTCGCTGAAGGCTCCTTGGCTCTTGAAGAATAATTTCATTAGCGCTAGATAGTTAATGTATATCGTTCAGCTGTTTGCACTTGGGGCTGTTGGTGTAACGTGAAAAATTTTCTCAATCCGATATCAGAACAACATTTGTTGGTTATTCAGAAATAAGTTTAAGTTAAAAGTTCATAATCGGCCAATGGGAGATGTTAACACTGTGTGGTCCGGTAGATTCAAAGATTGTTGCGCAATGTATCATTTGTCTGAGAATTTCACTCACTTGATGCTTCTAGGCATAGACTCATAATTTCGTAGCATTGACACCCGGCCCGTTCCCTATGTTGATCCGGTTACGTCGCGAACCATGGGCAGGAGAACGGCGAATTGGGTTGGGTGGAGGCGAGAGCTGTTTGTTTTATGCGAGGACACTATGTAAGCTTCGGGACAGTAGCATGATTGTAACTGACTGTTGAGTCAAGTTTGACAAAGACGACATGCATTTTGAAGGGCTGCTTCCTCTTGTATGAATAAGTTGAAAAGTAGAATGACTCTAGGGTAGCTCATTGGATCAGGATTACTGTTCATCCTGCAAGGATGCAGTCTCAAAACCCTATTAAATTGATCGTAGATGGTGACAGGGATAGTGTAGCTGTCAACTTTTAGGACCAGTTCGCGAATTCTAGCCAGGATACTGTCGCCTGAAGACTGGATGGTTTGGGATTTTGCGACCAAGGGTCTGTTCGTATTCAATAGCATCTTGCGATGCACGGTATACTGTCAGTTTTAGTATGAATTTGCAACTTGAAATTGAGCATAAAATGCACATCAACATCTTCAAACAAAAGTGAATTCTCGAGTTAGATTAATTACAGTTTGATCTATTGCGCAATGTTATTCTTGATACCGTTATTGTTGTAGATGGCCGTTACTGCGCCGAAATGTCTATTTGGAACCGCTCTTGAAATTCAAGTCCTACACGACGCAATGGAAACCGACTCATCATTTCCCGAGCTGATACAGACAAATAAAAGCCTCCTGATCTCTCTCTATAGATTTATATTAATGAGCTGAACACCTAAACCAGCAATAACAGCTAGAGCTGGGGCAGCTGCAACTGTAGCGCCGGATGTTGATTGGGCAGTTGCTTCGGATGTCTGTTGGGTTGCTGTTCCGGATGTCGACTCAGTCGGCGCAGTCGGGTTCGCGCTGGCCCTGTCCACGTCGGCGTCAGAAGCTAGATATCCACAGTAACGCGAGTCCATTCCAGGTAACTTACACGGTTTCAGAGGCGGTACTGGCATCCGACCCCCCAGAGGCGATTGCCTCAGAGGAGCATTGTTCGTTGAAGTAATCGTCGCTGAGGTAGTACTCCGCCGGGGGGCACATTTCCTTGAAGAACACGACGCAGTAGCCATACCACGCGCCGGCGGCGTTGTTAGGCTCGTTCAGGCTGGCGTCGCACTGAGGCACGCACGAGACGAAGTTGGTGCCCCCGTCGCCCTTACACATACACTCGGCATATGGCAGTTTTCGGTAGTCGCCCGGACAGCTCTCGTAGGTCTGGTCGAGGCATTCTTCGCACGAGGGGGTCGCATAGGCGCCAAAGACGGGGTTGGCGGCTTGAACGGCCGTAAAAAGGAGATTTATGGCCAGGGAGAGGATGATGAGGCGCGTCATCGTGGCGAAGATGCAGAAAGAGGATACTTTCGGTGAAGGAAAGGTTGGGTATCGCCAGTGAGGTGCGAAGCATGTACAGGGGACGAAGAGGGACGGGGTGGAGTAAGGAGGATAGCACCAAGCCACGGTCTGGACTGTCGGGAGACAATGCACTTTTATAATAGACCCAAGGCAATGTCGCCGGCGCGTAGTCCTCAATTATCAAGCGTGACTGAGCTATGCCTTTGGACCAATCGAGAACGTTTGGCGCTCTCAGCCCTGAGACCTTAGCCGTTCTTGACAATGGTCACCGTCACAAAGTGTAATAAAGTGTGTCTTTAGCGTAGAAACAGCATGGGCACATTTGTAACCCCTGGAAATCCCCTCCCCGCAGTCTCAGCCACGTCGGTAGGCCCAGGTCGCGTGTGCCAATCATTTGGTGGTGGCACAAGAGGTTGGTACCTGGGCGAAGAAGCAAGCAGAATCTGGCGTTACGCACGTCTGCCTGCATAGGGGCGGGAAGCTGCTGTACTCATCGTTCCACCATCATTTGCGGCAAGTTGCGAAGACTGTTGACCCATCTTCCATGAACTGAGCTAAAAATCGTATAGAATGTACGATAACAAGTAAGGAAGGGCACCGGAGCAGGAGGCGACTGACAGGCAGAGTCCCGACTCCATGTGTCAGTGTGTGCCAAGGGAGACTGAGGGGAGAGAAAGGAGGAACGTAGGGCTGATTTAGTGGTTTTAGTACAGTCTCGACTGTGTTCTCAATCCACCTTGGTTTAAGCTTGTCTTAGCTACCGGCATTGGCTATTCTACCTCTGGGTTCAAGTTCTGTTGTGGCGCCTGCCCCTTGCCTAGCTCTCAGCTAGACGAAAAAAACCACGGTTAACAAAAAGATGTTATTGGCCGTGGCGCAATTCAGCTGAAAACTATTTACGCGGCTGAAACAGGGGCGAGGCTCACAGGTGAAATCAAGGGCCCTGATTGCTTCAGAAGGAGTAGACGGGTCACCCGATGAAGCATGGTGGCAAGCCTCATCAATAGTTTAGCGCAGGGGACTCGGGGCTTGAGGCTATTCGCCCTGATGCACCAATTGTCGGGCACTTATTTGCCTTGCACAATGAGACAGCTGAAGAGGGAGACGAGCTAGCGACTCGATGTGCTATACCCTCTTGTCAATCAATAACAACTCATCATTCATAGCAGCTGATGGTCATTGTTGGTGGGCGTGTCACAGTCATCTTTACCCGGCGTCTCGATTCACACATAATCTGCAAGGTAATCACCGGCATCCGTGACCGACATCCACCATCCAAAAGCTGACAGTGGTGTAGGGTAATCAAATGGGTAGTGCTTTTGCTACGAGGCATCTAATGACTCCAGTTGATATTCATCCTCTTTGAGATCTTTTACTGTTGGGAATAAATCCACACAGAGCACAGTTTAGGTCAAAGTGGGATGTTGGTGCCGCCTTGCAGTTCAGCAATACCTGTCTCTGGGCTGCACGGTATTTATTACATTAGCTCTAAACACTTAGTTAGTACTGACTTTGAATAATTCACGCCACATAACGTTCGCTGCCAAACCCATTCATTCTGCGGTGGATAAATACACAGGCTACTCTCAAACATCGCCTTTTGCAAACAGCGGCGTTGGCTGATACGAGCAAGCCCGATCCCGTGACAAGTGACTCGGCACTACATATAATGGCACTGCGTCTAGTAGGCGACAAAATAGCGGCGATAGGGTGCTGCCAATCAAAATCTCGGGGCGCGTAAACGCGGACGCGCTGTGGCGATAAGAGCCCTACCTACCTGCTCGCGAGAATGGTCTACAATGGTAATGCACAATACCAAGAACCATCAGGCTGTAATGACAGAATGACGCCCCCTCCTAGACCCAATGTTACGTCAGGATTCGAATGTACTGCAGTCGCATGTGGGCCACCGATTGACTTGGTTTTGGATCGCTTCAGGCTGTAAGCTAGTGGATGAGCTGAGATTCGAACCAGCGTGCGGCGTGGTATTTGTCACTCTGAAAGAGAACTTCTTATTCTTATCGGGGACCAAAAGGGTGGTGAGGTACGGTACCAAATTGGCCTCTGGACGCAGCAGCTGACTTAAAGTGGATGAAACCTCCAGGATGCGGTATTTTCTCGCCCAATGTTGCCAAATATGCATCCCATTGCTGCCTGATCTGATGCTTACATTTGTAGCAACGCTGTATCTCTATCCGTTCTCTTGTCAAACGCCAACACCAACCAGCCCGACGATTCCTTCATCGACTCTCTTGTATTCGCTATCGGTCATGGGCACCCCTCAATATCACTACTCGTCCCTGCCTGGACAGGGATGGTTCCGGCTGCTCATCATCGAACCAGCAGAGGCCTCACAGGGCATTTCATGCAGGCTTGAACACCATGAAATAGACAGCTGTACCTCGTATGAAGCCATTTCATATACTTGGGGCGACGAGAAGTCAACAGAGTCCATGCTCGTCAATGGCAAACGGTTCCATCTCCGCCCAAATCTATTCTCAGCTTTTCAAGTCATGCGTAGCGCCAAAACCCCACGCACCATTTGGGTTGACGCCATTTGCATCAATCAAGACGATATCTCTGAAAGAAACGACCAAGTCCGGCAGATGAACGACATTTACTCCAATGCCGACGTTGTCAATGTCTGGCTTGGTGAGTCAACCGAAAGCTCAGATATTGGTATCGACTTCCTGCAAAAGTTTCATACGCTTGTCTATCAAAACCGAAAAGGACGTATGCCCGTTGTTGGGTCCACCCTCGAGCGTCCAGAAGAAATTGGCATGAGGCGTTCAGTCTATCCTCACTCCTTCGAGTCATACAGCGAAATATACGGACCCATCCTAGCCCATGACTCTCTTATCTCCAGCTTAGACCACGCAGTTGCTCTTCTGTCTAGACTCTGGTGGAAAAGGATGTGGACATTGCAAGAAAGCGTCCTCTGTCCAAGAGTAATATGCTGGTGTGGTACAGAAACATTTCCGATTCATTATCTTTATGACCTGTCATACTTTATATACTTCTCTGTCAACTTCAACTGCTGGAAAGGATCTCCAATTGATCCTGAAGTTTCACTGAGAGCAGTTTGGAGAGCTGCAGATCTCAGTCAGCGTTTAATGACCAGAACAGGCATTCGAGTAGCTTTGGCCCTCGATTCGACTTGGAACCGAGCCGCATCGGATCCAAAAGATAAGGTCATTGGACTTTTGGGTTTGGTAGGTCGTCGCCCTGACCTCGAACCTGATTATTCATGGCCTGTTGAAAAGGTCTACAGGGTGGCTATGCGAGCGGCGTTGGTCGAAGATGGAGACCTTGATTGTCTTGGATTAATATCAGAAGACCGAAAATCCAGGAACGAGAAGCTCAACTCTTGGGTTCCGGATTTCGATGCCCACAATGAACCATTCTCCGACTACATAACCTCGTTGACGAAACCCATCTTTTCACCACGACCTTACGACGCGTCTCTTCGAGGTTCCATTTCGCCTTCCATCAGCACAGAAAACGACGATTCGATTCTCGTATTGAAGGGACTCGCTGTTGATTCAGTTCAGAAAGTTGGCGAGAAAGCGCCCGGTTGGAAGGATCAAGACCACAGCAAGTGGGCAGACACCATGCGATCCGTGTTGGACAGATGGCGTTCTCTTTTGCCTGCCACTAGATATTATCGAACTGGTGAGGAATATTATCAATCTTTTTGGAGGACGGTCCTCGTGGATCTCAAGCAGGGCGAGCATCCTAAGCCGTCAAGTGCCATCGGGCCACAAAGACTTGATGATCTAGACAAACAGGAGTTGATTCGGCTCGACACGTCTGAAGGGCTGGAAAATCTGCTGAACACTTGGGCAGCTTGCGTCCAGATTGAATATCGGCAGCTGCGTCTTATTGAGCAATTTAGCAGGCGATTCTTTGTCACTACTACTGGCTATATTGGCCTGGGGCCGAGTGAACTCGAGTCTGACGATGCTATTTGTATTCTTCTTGGCGGGGGTGTTGCGTATGCTCTCAGGAAGAATGGAGCTACCTGGCGCTATATCGGCGAATGGTAAGTCTGGCACTTCAATTGTTATCGGATCAGTTCTGACGTTTTAGTTATGTTCACGGGATCATGGATGGAGAGATCATCAAATCCATGGCTGTTGAGTCATTTAGGGAGTTTAGAATTGTGTAGTAATGGTTCGATGGAAAGCAGTAGTCATGTTAACCATACCTAACGAATAATAACAATCAGTAATCAACTTCTCTAAGGATACCGTGGCTCTTTAGCTAGCTGGGAGTGATACTACAATGTGATATAGCATGTTGCAATTATATATGTAACGACTATTACATGGAACTGGAACAGCGTGATCTAGCGATTGCCTATTAAAGACATTTACTTATTTTGGAAATAAGGAACTAATAGTAATTTACAATAACTTATTAAAGTTATTATAACAGGCTAGGCCCACGAGGAGGTCTCGGCCAACACTCTCGACCCGCTAACACTTTGACCCACATCAGTTGCAAGATCAAGGAGCTCTTTCTCTAGCGCCCCTTTCTTATTTCCCTTCTTTCCTCTTCGGCTTCAGGATACTCGTTGCAGTCGCTCAGCTAGTTGTTAATATACTTAGCTGGACTGTTACACTTAAAATAGTTAACTCAGGAGCCGGATGGAGAATGGAGGGACCTGTTGGCGGAATCGTGAGCTTGAGCGAGGGCCGGCCTTACGGATGGTACGGTAGGCGAAATACTCGAGCTCTTGAAAAGCAATGCTGGAATTGGCGTGGCTGGATGCTGTTGCCCGCCGAGGGTCGGGCTGCTTTGTATTCGGCGGGCTGGTAAGCGGCAAACACGGATGATAGGAGCCTGCGGGGAGAAAGTGATTGGCTGCAGGCGAGTGATACAAAAGCGCCATGGCACATCACGGCAATGTTTTGTTGGGAGAGCAAGGCTGGTCATTGAGTTTTCGCTGTGCCCAGACGCAGGACAACTCAGCTCCGAGCTGATCGGGTCTCAGCGATGTTGTCCGCCCAATTCAGTCAAACAGCGTCGCAATCAGATTACTTGTGGGGGACTCAAAATCGTCACAGGAGACGCGAACCGGAAACAGTCTGACCAAAAGAGCCTTGAGGAGCGAAGTTAATGACGAAAAACCGGCCAATGCAACTTGAGATTCAAGCATCTCGGGCTAATTTGGTGTTTACATGCAAGACTTTCTAGGCTAGCTATTAGTCCTGAGATTCAAGCATCTTTGGCCAAAAAGACAGGCTTCGCAGCGTCAGTGTTGACTCGGAGGCTCAGCAAATCAGGTCGGGAATAATGTCCAACAATATCAAGGTTTTGCTTCGCTTTGATCTTCTCCTCGAGGTCGATGTCCGCATAGAGAATTCCCTCCTCGTGAGGCTGCAGCGGCTTCACCAACTCCTTTCCAAAGGGTGAAAAGATCATGCTGAACCCTCCACCAGATTCCTTCGTGTAGTCGTAACCCTCGACGTTAGCCTTCTTCTTATTCGCCTCGGTCATAATCTGGCTCGACAGGATGACGAAGCAGGCCCCTTCCATTGAGACCACATGCGAGAAGGCTTTGCAGCATTCGGGCGTAATATGGTACGGCCACTCTGGAACATTTTCCTTGAAGATGGAAGGCCAACTAGAGACATGAATGTCAACATCCTGGGAATACTCGTAGTACCTCAGCAGTGTCTGCGTGTGCTCCCAGCAGTTGAGTCCTGCTACCTTGCCAAACTTGGTGTCGACGACATTCTGAAGCGATTCGCCTTGGCCATCGCCATAGATGGCACGCTCAACGTGAGTTGGCTTGATCTTACGGCGGTGATAGACAATTGTGCCTGTCTCATCTATGTAGGACTATCGGGAGTTAGCTCTTGAATTGACTGTTGTTTGCCGCTTCCACGTACTTGGGCAATGTACAAAGTTCCCCTGTACCGCTCACTGTATCCTAGGACACAGAAAACGCCAGCTTCGCGAACGGCAGCCCGGATTTGGTCCATTTCGGGGGACTCGCGGACCAACGAGTTCTTGAAATACTCGGTCATGTAGGGCGCGTTTTCAGTGGGAGATTTGGCCCAGATGCTCCTGATTCTGAATGAGTTTATTCTCCTCCAACTTCACAGGACAACACTTACCATGGATAGCCGGGGATGAAAACCTCGGGGAATCCAATGACATTTGCGCCGTTCTCGGCCGCCTCTTGGATCAGCGAAATCGACTTGTCCACACCTCCCTGGAGGTCATTCCAAACAGGCTCGGCCTGGATGGCAGCAACTTTAACAGTCTTGGACATTTTGAGGATAGGTAAAATTCTGAGGAGATAGATTGATGAAGTGTGTGTATCTGAGTTGAGGACTGGGGGTAGACTGAACCTATCTACTTTCTTTATAGTCAACCCGAACCTCTTTGCCTTGGTTAGCGGGCCGAACCCGCGTATACCTATCCAAGGTCATCACTTTGCCGACCCCTATCCGTGAGAATTGCTATCCGGGACTATATTAACCGATAAGCACCAGTTGATCGACATGTTGTGGCCTATCCGGGTTCCAAGTATCCGGCCATAATCGTGTGATCAATCCGGGTAATAATTTGCCGAGATACCACTAGCCTACCAACCCCAACCTTATTCTGTCCCTCGTTACAACGCACACTATTAGCCTGTCGATAGGTATGAGCTAGAGACTAAGACGGCCATGATTATCTGTGATTGGGGTGATGCAGCGTAAATCTGTCGGTAGTTTGCGATGTCAATTGCTTTGGCTAGTCGAGGTGCTTTAGCTAGTCAAGATGCTATGGCTAATCGACGTTCGGATGCGTTGGCTCACCTTCGCTTTTGTGTAGCTATGACTATGTTGTAATTCAAATTATAAAAACCCGTACATAGCCGCTCTCGTCTACTCAAATCAGTCAAGAATTTCTTCCATCGACAAAAATCACCTCCTCGCAACAATGGCCAGAATTCAATTTTCGTGGGCCAACATAGCCGTATGAACAACCACCTACTCTTGGACATTTCTTTACTAACTTCATCTCAGATTGTCCTGTCACTCTGCCTGGGAAGTATTTCTTATGGCTATGACTTCAGCGTTATTTCAACCACAGTTGGCCAGCCAAGCTGGTATGCTTACATGGGTCTCACGGCTGACCCTACGCAAGCCGCATTGTATGCCTACAGTAACCAGATCATTGGTACCGTATTTGGCCTGTTCTCTGCAGGTGCTATCTTCGGTGCTCTATTTGTCGGATGGGTCTGCGATGCCTACGGTCGTCAAAAGTCGCTTATACTTGCTGCCATTATTAACCTTCTCGGTGCTGGACTGCAAACCGGCTCGGTTCATATTGGCATGTTTATTGCTGCAAGATTCGTCACTGGATTCTCGGCCGGTAAGTCCTCAAAATCTGAAGAGAAGCCCGAACAACATCTCATGCTGACATACTTAGCCATGTTTGTCACACTGGTGCCTGTTTACATTGCAGAAGTTGCCCCCCCGGCTACACGGGGACTACTCGTTGGCCAGCACGGTATGTTTGGGTCTTTAATCCAATCGGCAATATTCTAACCTTTTAGGTGGATTCTTTCTCACCGGATATGTCCTTGCCGCTTGGGTCGGAGTCGGGAGCTTTTACTTTTCCAATGCACAGCTCAATTGGCGATTTCCACTATCCCTGCAGGTTCTCTGGCCACTGTTATTGCTCTGCACTGTGTCTTGGCTACCTGAGTCCCCTCGCTGGCGTAAGTACACCTACCAGATTCCATCGATATCAAGATCTAACAGTCAGAAAAGTTGTGGCCAAGGGCCGGAATGATGAAGCCTGGACCATTCTTTCCAGACTTCACCACGACCCTAAGGACCATGAGCAGCTATTTGCCCGCGAAGAGTTCTTCCAGATCACGTCTCAGCATACGGCGGATCAGGCTGCATACGGAGATGTTAGCTTCATAGACTTGTTCACGAAGCCTCACTTCAGGAAGAGGATGCTGATCGGTACACTGGTCATGTGGGCGTCTCAAGCAAACGGTGCCATCGTCATCTACAGTAAGATTTACATGCTGAAGCCCGATACCACTAGCTAGCTAACAACCAATCCAGGTAACATTGTTGGCTTGGTCACGGGCCTCGGCTTCAGCACGAGTGACTCTCTCCTTCTTTCAGCAGGTTGGATCACCTGGGCATGTGTTGGTAATTTTGCAAATGCCTGGTTCCTTGACCGACTTGGCCGCGTCCGCAGTCTCCGTGAGTCATTCCCGAATACTTGTCCCGATAATCCTATTTGACTTTAGTTAACATGCCCAGTCATTGGTATTAGCGGCTGCATCGTATTTGTCATTATCGAGGCTGCAATTGTTGCGAATTATGGATCATCGACCAACAAGTCAGCGCTGGCGGCCGGCGTGGCTATGCTTTTTGGTTTCATCACATTGTGAGACATACTCAAGGCCTTGCAGTATCACCAGACTAATCATCCTCATAGCTACGGTGGTTTCGTCGACACTACTATCTATGTTTACTGCTCCGAAATCTTCCCTACCCACATCCGTGCCAAAGGCATGGGATGGTGCCTAGCTATATTTTTCTTGTCGACACTCCCATTTCTGGAGTCATCCGCAACTGGTTTCGCTACGATTGGGTGGAAGTACTACCTTCTCTTTATCATCCTGCCGGCTATCAATGTGGTTCTTCTTGCACTGTTCTGCCCTGATGTAAGTCAACCGTTGCTGTGCAAGGGAATACAACGTTTCAAAAGAACATTTCTAATAATTTTTCTTCCAGACCAAAGGATTATCATTGGAGGAGATCAATGGCCTCTTTAATGATCACGTCGCAGTTCAACTTACTCATCTTACTGAAGAGGAAAAGACTGCTTTGGAAGCTCGCGTTCTAGAAGGCAATGTCATTGAAGGGAAAGAGCAACTGGGAACTGATTTCTCCTCTACTGAAAAGGGAATCAAGTCTTGAAATATTCAAGTTCGGCTCTGTCTTAATCTCATTACCACAGCCTAGATCGGAACAGGTCGGCCACTGACAGAACCACAACATACCCACTATTTCATACCCATCTGGAGTAAAATACATGTCGAACAGGCTCCGTTCAACACGGTCTGATATAGATAGAGAAAAAGATGTCCAAGCGACCTAAATAGATCCGTGACCGACATCAGGATACGTGTCTCACGCCCGCTGTCATTTTAACAGTCATGTAGTCGGTAGAAGTTCGGTTGTTAGATGAAATTGCTTTTTATGGAGAGTGTGCGTGAAAATGTGTGGCGATTTCGGATTGGAGATAGAAAACATCAGGTTCTTCGTACGGCAGTATAGTGGTTATGCTTCGCCCCTCAGATTTAACCACAGAGCGATGGCGATTCAACTCAAAATTAGCTCATTTGCAGAATGTGTATGCACGGAGCAAGGTTCTACAGAGGCTGATGCCATCCAATATGGCGATTGTAATTGACATTGGTAATGTACCAGGTTAAGTTTGCCACTTGTCGATGTGAGCCACAGCCTCATCGGGTTAAGTCGACGGAGAATCCAGCATGCGTTAATGCATCACTCCTCTCTAAATCAAGAAAATCTCGTATAATGTATATCCGTCACGTTGCAGAGATAGTTGGGGTCTGACCAGGGCGGACAAGTCTCGGAGCAAGGCCCGTGGCTAGGGTGGATCTGAGCAATCAATTTGTCCGCAATTCCCCCGCATCAAAGAGAGAGCGTGGGAAATTGGAGAAGAGTTCAAGTATGCGCACGAATAAGGGCTCTGCCATGAGACTGGAGGGCCAACTCCTCTTCGGAGTCGGCCCAGAATCTTGCCCGGTTGGCCGGAAGTGATAACGAGGCGTGTGCATAAGATTGCTGCTAATTACCCGGTTTAATAAATGACGAAAGGCTTCGACCCTGGAGTCTTTGAACAACCACACACCAATCTTAACGCTGTGGAACGGGAGGCTTGTCTGTCAGCACGTCACGGAGAGATCTACTAATCGCCCACCATGAGATTTCTTTGCTACTTTGCTATCTTCTGCAGCTTTGCAAACGATATCCACGGTTCGAAAGACGAAAACAAGCCAGGTACGGACAACAGCTCATACCAAGACCCACCGTCATCCCAAATGGGAGTTGAAATCTTTATAGTACTCAAGCCCTTCAAGTTCGACACCCTCCCTCCAGGGGCCATTCTGCCAACTGGCTGGCTCAAAGACCAGCTTCAGCTATCTACGGATGGTCTCGGCGGCCACCTGTTTGATTTCTATCGCTACGTTGCGGGATCAACATGGCTCGGGGGAGACTGGGAGTATAGCGAGCTGAACGAGGCTTCGCCCTACTGGTTTAACTACATTGTCCCCCTAGCTTGGTCTCTAAATGACGCGAGGCTGAAGAAACAGGCCAGAGAGTACTTGGACTATGTCCTCGACCACCAGGCGGAAGACGGATGGCTCGGGCCCGAAACAACACGCCAAACTCGAGGTATCTGGGCTCGATCTCTGCTCTTGTTTGGCCTGACGGTGCGTGTCGAACCCCAATAAAATTCCAGAGTCGTTTTCAGACTAATAACTGATGCCAAGTAGCAATACGCAGAAGCAGATCCGTCCCAATCTAATCGCATTGTCGACGCCATGCATGGTTTCGTCGGCCTCGTGCACACCATGCTTGACAGTAACTTCACTGGTCTCCTTCAAGATAAGGCACAGCAAGATAACTTTGACCCTTATGGTTTTGGTCTATCTCGCACCCATGAATTGCCCATCTCTCTTATGTGGCTGTACGAGAACCACCCACGAGATCAAGGCGATATCATTCTCGAGACCATCGAGCTCATGTTTGATGGGGGACGCAAAGGCGGTCGAGACTGGACCACGTTCTTCGTTGACGGCGTCTTTCCCAAGCAGGGTACCGGGACATTTCGCCCAAGTGGCTTCACCCACGGCGTTAACCTAGCTGAAGGTGTGTTGGCCGCAACTGAAACTCGGTCTTGTCAGCAGCTGAAATTTGCCGCATAGGCCTGCGTTACCCAACAGTTCTCTATCGATACTCTGGAAACGAGAGCCTTGTCCAACAAACACGGAGTGCGGTCGACATGACAACCAAGTACCAGACGTCGCTCTCCGGAACCATCATTGGCGACGAGCACCTGGGTGCCCAGAGCCCCCAGCGAGGGTAAGTTACAAGGTTAAAGATATCTCCATGAACGTGATATCTAATTCGGAAGAAAAGGTCTGAGCTCTGCATGGCTGTCGAGTCCATCTTCTCGTATGCCTTCCTTTATCGGTTCTACGGTGAGAATGACTACGCAGACAAAGCCGAGCTTGCTGCCTTCAATGCCTTCCCTGCTGGGGTAAGCGCCGACTGTAAGTGAGATTATTGCATTCTTGGAGATCTGACTCTAATCTGCTACAGGGTGGTCGCACCAGTATGTTACGCAGACGAACCAGCCCTGGTCTAGAAATATGACCCAGAACCCCTTCTTTAACGTTGTATCCTATTCAAACACCTTTGGCCTTGAGCCGAACTTCGTAAGTTGAGCCTGGAGTATTGGTCGTTTCGCAACTAAGCTTTTGCCGCGTTGTTAGCCGTGCTGCACCGTCAACCATCCACAGGCCTACCCCAAGTACGTCGCCTCATCATACGTCAAGAACGGCGACACTGGGTTGGCACACATCCTGCTTGGTCCTACTTCTGTTAAAACAAGAATTAACGGGAAGAAGGTCGAAGGTAAGCGAGTTTTCTCATCATTGGCGAACTGATACTGACGGCAGATGTCCAAGTGTCGTGTGATACGAATTACCCCTTTTCATCCACCCTTCACTACAAGATCGAGACCAAAGTCGACTTTGAATTTGCAATTAGAATCCCTCAGTGGGCGACATCTAGCGCGTCGCTCAAGATCAACGATAGACGCCACAGTCTTCTCTCCCCCGACTCTTCCTCCCTTCAGCACGTGTCCATACCCAAGGGCAAAACGAGCCTCATGCTAGAGCTGCCGATGGAGGTCCGCGTCGAGACACGAAATTCCTCAGTGGGGATCTACTACGGCCCCATTCTCTACGCGCTGGACATGCCTTATGTCGAGTCTGAGCACCAGCCCCTCAACTGGACGGATCGGAAGCCGTTGTCCGACGAATATGTCCACCCCAAGGCGCGGGACCACGTGCTCGAGCCGACGGCCCCCTGGCAGTACGCAATCGATCCCGAGAGTGTTGTCGTTCAGGAGAAAAAGCTCAAAAATGGCAAACTTCCGAGCCCGATATTCGCGAGGGGTAATCCTCCTATGTCGCTGAGCGTGGATGCGTGGGAAATCTCATGGCCCGTGGGCAAGGACACCGCAGACTTGCCACCTATCAGCCCAGTTGTGGAGAAGGAGAAGAGGACAAGCATCAAGCTGATCCCCTATGGGTCTTCTAAGTTGCATATTGCGCAGTTCCCCGTGGCAAAATTTGATGAATAGGGAATGGATTGTTCAGCTCGAAGCCTGCTCTATTGTAAAGTAAAACCCTAGGAGTGATTGTTCCGTTAAATAATCCCCTACACCCTCACACTATTGGGTAGTTCTGTACCTCCATAGTCCATCCCTCCGTGCCGTCATGAAAACGGTGAAAGGAGAATCCGACCTCGGCTCTCGTTGTTATTTCCACAGTTGAATTTACCTACTGTTTTCAAAAATAGGTATGTGCGAGTAGGATATTTATAATGGCGTCACATAATAATGCAATTAAAAAAGTATAATAAAGAGATAGAGAGAGAAATACGAATAGCTACCCTTCTTATTCCTGCTTAGTGTTCTACCACTCCTCCCATAGCAAAGAACAATTTACCCTCTACAATTCATCAAAAAGTTCGTTCTATCAGATATTCGGCCTCTTCTGGCACTGAAGTTTGCATTGCAGACCCTTTGGTAGGGCATCCTGAGTGCCCCACTGTTCCATCACCCGATCCGGGTCATCCAACCTCGTGCTGTAAGTGAGGAATATGGCGGCCACAAGCATCTTGACTTGGAGCGTCGCAAACGCCTTACCCAGGCACAGTCGAGCGCCGTATCCAAAGGGGATGAACGATCGATCTAGTGTCAAGAACCCCTCGGGCGACGTGGCCAGCCAGCGCCGTGGGTTGAATACGAGGGGTTCGGGGAATGTTGTCGGGTCGAGGTGCAGTGCAATGGTCGAAGCCGAGGCAATAGTCTAAGTTTGATGTGGATGAATGTTACAAGGCTGTGGAGTACAGATTTCGGGGGTTATGGAGTATATGGAGTTGAAGGAGCCACCAACTTACATTCTTGGGGAGGTACATATGGCCGTACCAGGTGTCTTTTACCAAGACTCGCTCAGCTCGGCCGCTTGAAACAGGGTTGAGACGATATGACTCTCGAATGCACGCGTCGAGAATGGCCAATTTGTCGAGAGCAGTCCAGACTGGAAGACCATCCTCCTCTCGGGGCAGGTCGTCGAGTTCCTTTTGGACTAACGCCTGCCATTCTGGGTTTCGACTCAGGTGGTAGACGACATAAGTCAGCGCCACAGTCACGGTAGCCTGGGCAGCGTGCAAATTATCGATCACCTCGCAGGCCACGTAGTCGTCCGAGAGTTGGCGGCCTGCGCTCCGGAGATCCTGGAGCAGGCGGATCACTGACCAGTCGGATGAAACCAGAGGGTCGGCCATTGCTTGATCGACGCGTTGCATTGCCCATGCGTCCAGGTTTCGCTCCGCAGAGAAGAACCTCGATGAACCGGTATAAATGGCGATTGCCATTTCCATGACACCATAAACGAGAGGAAGGTTGTGCTTGACGGAGCTCCACAGCTCGTTGTTCTTCAGTCTCGCTAGGATATCGCGATCGCTCTCGTCTCCTTGAATTGCGTGGGAGCAGTGCCTTGGCCCAAACACCAATGCCGTAATGTTGTCCCAGGCATAGTGATTGATGATGGGGAAGACATCGATGACACTGTCCAGCTTGATCTTTTCTTGGATCAGCGCCACAATCGCGAGCGCACCTTTGCGGAGTGGCTCTTGGATATCCGGCTTGTAGATGGAAGTGGCCTGGTAGAATGCAGAAGACAGTGCCCTCTTGCGTCGGTGTTCTTCATACGGCTTCTCGGCGAAGATGGAGCGTGCGTTGTGATAGATGAAGTGGTCGAAGTAGTCACTCTTCCCATTCCGCTTAGAGCTGCTGTACAAATCCCGCATAGCGTTTACATCCGATATGGAGACTTGCCCAGGGGCAATAAGAACGAAGGGGCCGTACTTCCGGTGCCATTTGGCAATGGTTTGCGGGCGCTGGCGAAATAGCTCGAAAAGAGCAATGTAATGATGGGAAATCCGACAAGGCCACGGGCCGGGGATATGGCGGTATTTTGCCACTCGGTATATCCCAAAGACGACTCCGACCCCAAGGACAACGAGGGCAAGAAAGGAAACTTTCTCGGCGGCGGTGCGGGAAGTTAGGAAGGAGAGCATCTTGATGACTTCTGGGGTTTGTTGAATGACTTGGTTTGTCGTTTAGTTCTCTGATGTGAACAGATCAAAGCTGGCCAAATTTAATCGGGCAGCCAGCAACGTCGCTCTTAATATCTCTCTATATATCTTCCTCGACCCCGTGGATGCTAAGTTGGCTAGCAACGTATTAGACTCGATATGTCACGAGACTGACTATTACCTTACCCTCCACGAAAACACGCTGACAATGCATATGCGTGTCGGGTTGGGTTCCGCTTAGAGTATGCTGACTTTGCATTTATGCCAGGGCTCAGCATCTAACTTGAAACCTGTGTAGTTACCAAGTTGGGTGCTTTATTAAGCAATTAACTCTGTAACTCATCAGTATTCCCTACTAAAATCAGCTCAAATACTAGTATTTAAAATAATAGGGAACGATAATGAATTAAGAAGCTAGTCAGTGACTGGAGCACCTGACCTATTTTAGTCATCTGTAACTATATCGATTACTCAAGGGGTACCCGTGGATCTTACGGCCTTATTAAATCCACACTAGTAATAGCACAGAAAGAGTGTATGGGTGTTGTTAAGGAACGATGGTTGCAACTAAGAGGGACTAGGATCTTAGGGCTCAAGGTATGATAGTGGATATACCGAAGTGCCGAAACTTCCACAGTAGAACCTTCGATCCGGTACAGACTTGTTCGGACGGATCGAATTATGGAGTTACATTGAAAGTGCCGGGTATGAACCGGCTCCGGTCACGGCAGCGGTAGGTCCCGTGTGTCTCGGAGCGCTCCATCTAGTTAATGTGCTTGAACTAGCGGTCAAGGGCCTGTGTTGAGACCGATTTCATGGCACATGGTACAAAGTTGGCCAAGATGGACTCGTAATATTTCACATGACACACTGGAAAGTAGCTATGCCTCTACGACATCGGTCTGCTGCAAGAATCCCCTTGCTGCCTTCTCGTACGTTACAAACTCCACCTGCGGACCCCAAGCCTTGAGCCACAGGAGCATGCTCTCAATTGTTCCAGCAACATGTGCCATTCCTGATGTATCGGGATGCAAGACCAGCGGGAATACGAAGTCTCCGGGCCCGGCACCGTCCGCTCCCCAGTTCCAGAGCCAGGTGAAGCGGTCTTTCCACATCTGTTCGATGGAAGGGGCTGGAACAAAGCCGTGAGAATTCGTCACGTTGGGCAAGAACTGTAAAGGCGTCATGTCCTCCATGTACCAGTTGGCAGGAATCTCGACGACGGTAGTAGACTGTGGTTGGGCAGACGGATGCATCCACGTGTGTGCGGGTTGAGAATAGTCTACAGTAGCAAGAGAGAAGCCGCCGTCAAGAAGATAGATTTGAGCGTCGTGCCCGCTCAGGGATGAGTCGTAGAGAAACCCCTTGCGCTCGAGCAACGTGATCGTTTCATGGCGGAGCCGGTACAGGGGGGCTCGGAATCCGAGTGGACGTTTCCCCGTCAGGGACTCGGCGAGGGTGATGCATTTGTCCAAGATGTCCTCCTCCTGCTTCGAGTCGAGCTGCGTGCAATCCTCGTGACAGTATCCGTGCAGTGCAATCTCCGCGCCGGAGTCCACGATGGACCTCGTTTCCGCGGGGAACGTCTCCATGGAGTGGCCTGGTATGAACCAAGTCACCTTGTCGGACACGCCCAGGCGTGCAAACAAACTGAGCAGGCGGCTCACTCCGACGCGGCCAGCAAAGATGCCCGTCGAGAAGTCCGAAAGGCAGTTGCGGGGATGTTGTCCGGTGCCCATCCAGGCAGATATTGCATCGAAATCGACTGATACTAGCACCTTGACATTCCGGCGAGCCCCCGGGACTCCTCGGGGGACCTGAGCCAATACCGCTGTGTGCTGGAGCATGTTAATGACGTTCTGGAACGCCTCGGTCGCCTCCGGTCCATGGTCGATGGGGGAGACCTGTACTCGGGCACCTCCGAGTTCAAGCTCTTGGTAAACGGTTTAGTGAAACGTCGTGGGCTGCATGGGAGCCGGGCCGGGACTTACCTTTCCTCATAGTAGGGCTACTCCTTTGAGCCATTAAGAGTCGAGCGACGCTGTAGAAGGGCAAGATCGAACGAGGGATAAATATTTGACAGCACACGTGGGCGCCGGAGGGTCTATAGCCTGGTCGTCGTCTGCAGAGATCGACGCTTATATACGACGCAGCTTCGGCCAAAGGATGCGCGGTCAGGCTGGTTGGTGACGTGGCTTCCCTTTCCCACGGTCAGTGAATTGGTTCGGATAGAGTATACAGGTAGCACGACGCACCAAGCAAAGGCTGGTCAAAGTCGAGCAGAGTAGCCAACCTACAGTTTGCCCCGAACCACCCTGGTTAGAACCTATCCGGGGGAGCCCGAGGAGATTCCTGAGCAGGGTTCTTTTATTGATCGACGACCCTGGAAACATACTCACATCATCGGCCCGGTCATGGCGGCTTCGGCAATGTGGCCAGCGGGACCACGCAGAGCCAAGGCTGACATTGCATATTCTAGTTCTCCATGGGCATGCATGAGGTTAATTACCCCGCCCTAAATCTAGGTCTAGGGCGTGTAGGACGGAGTCTCATATGTTCCGACCTTCTATCCCCTTAGTAATCGGGCTGCCTCTCCACCTTCCACGTAGAGTAATACTAACCTGATCCCAACAGCTCCAAGTTTCTCCGCTTCCTTCTTCCTTTCTCCCACATTATTATTTCTTCCTGGGAGCTGAATTTCATACACTACGAATTGGCATTCCTAATCAGACTCTCTCTCTCCAACATGGCGTCTGTATTTTCTGTCGAAAATGCCAGGGCTCAGTTCCCCGCTCTGGCCAAGAAGCAGATATTTGGCGATAATGCTGGTGGTAGCCAGGTCCTCGGAACTGTTGCAAAAAGGCAGGTAATCTGCTCGACTCCTGACGTTAGCAATTCCATTGACCCTAGGAGATAGCATTTCCCAATACCTCGTCGAGACGAATGTCCAACTCGGCGCAAGCTACAAGACGTCGACCCAGTCCACCGGCATCTTTGACGACGCGTACAAAGCAGCTGCCAAATACGTCAACGCGAGTGTTGAAGAAATAGGTTCGTCTAGGAATAGGAACGGTGTAGCGCTATGTTATGGAGTTGACAAAATGCCTACTGACTTGAGCGACGCCGCCCCTTAGTCATTGGAGCTTCAACAACGCAGGTGCTTCGAAACCTCGCCGCGGCTCTCAAACTACAGCCTGGCGACGAGGTGATTCTCTCTGAAGCTGACCACGAGTCCAATATTGACCCGTGGCTGCATCGTGCTGCCCTCGCCGGCGCGAGAGTCAAATGGTGGACACCTGTTGACAGCAAGAACCCCAAACTGGACCCTGACGCGCTGCAAAATCTCATGACGAGCAAGACGCGTCTCGTTGCTTGCACGCATGCCAGCAATATCCTCGGGAGCATTCAAGACATCAGAGCCATTGCCAATGTCGTACATGAAGTTCCTGGAGCCCTACTGTGTGTGGATGGCGTTGCGTACGCACCACATCGAGCCATTGACGTGGAGGAAATTGGAGCCGACTTCTACGCCTTTTCATGGTACAAAGTAAGTATTCTGTCGGATGTGGCAAGGCTGTGCCAGCCCTATACCCCCGGAAACTGACTTCTGTCCGCTGTGTCGTAGGTATACGGCCCCCACATCTCCATTTTATACGGATCACGGGCGGCTCAGGCTCAGCTTGAATCGCTGGGCCACTACTTCAACCCATCTGGCAGTCTGATGGACAAGTTAGAGTTGGCCGCCGCCAGCTACGAGCTGACGCAGTCCATAATCCCACTCGTTGCGTATTTTGGGGAGGATGTAAAGCAGACGTGGGCGGCCATAGCAGAGCACGAGGAAAAGCTCCAGAAGCGCCTCATTGACTACCTCGTGTCGCGGCCTGATATCACCATCTACGGTGAGACATCAACAAAATCGTCCGCTCGAGTGCCCACTGTAAGCTTCAAAATTCGGGGACGTTCATCACAGAGCGTTGTAGAGGCCGTTGAGGCCATCTCCGACGTTGGCATTCGGTGGGGCCATTTCTTTTCCAAGAGGCTCGTGGAGAAGATCCTTGGACTTGACGACGACGGCGTCGTGCGTGTGAGCTTGGTGCATTATAATACTGGTACGTACGAACACTAGCACTGGACTTTGAGCGTGGTTTTGGATAGCTAACGGGACGTATTGTAGTGGAGGAGGTCGACCAGATTGTCCAGGCTTTGAAAAAGGTTCTAGGGTCAAAGTAGACAACGGAAGAATTGTGTGGCTATGAGAACATCTGCGAGTCCAAAGACGTAACGAATGAAACAAGATTGTGTCTGAGCCCTAGGTCTGATAATTTCGTCAAAGATCTCTCTGGAGATTTATCGGAACCACTAGGTAGATACAATAGCAGCACGTTTAAGTATGACGATGGAGGCGCGTTCAAACAGGACTACTTAGGTGAGCGCTTTTGTGTCACATTGGCAACAATGCTGATTACAATATTGCCACGACCCCATCCACAAGTATCAACTTCAGTTGACAGGCCCTATGTAAGACCTTATGTAATTCAGCGATTTGTCAAGGGAAATGATATATTTGAAGATGTAAATCGACCCGTACAATAAAATGCCCCCCTCGTTAGTTCGTGCAATTTTCATTTAGCTTCAGAAAAGTCTGTTTCTTTCTTGATATTCTACTGATGAGTTCTCCTCGTAACAAAAACCGGGTCTTAAGTATGGTCGTGCAGAAACCCTCGACGCTAGAGGCCAATGCCTCAGCAGGGTAGTGGAAGGCAAGAGAGTAACAGGAAATAAACAGCGCAATAGAGCGGTAAGCTAGGAAACAACGGATAAACTTGTAAAATACTGGTGGAAATATCTAAAGACGATGCCGATTGATTTCCTGGGGAGGACGGTTGCATAGTCGCGATGGAAGCGTCCCCTAGCTTGTAGAGTACGTAGATAGAATCAGAAAAAGTCATGATGCTCAAGGCTGCAATCCGTGCGCCATACAGTTTGGTCTTTGCTTTCCTTCCAAATTATCCTTCATAGGTAGTCACTGCATCGTCACAGCCGCACTTGGGTGAGCGTCTTGGGTAAGCCTGGCAACCCGCGCCAGGAGAGCAATGGTAGGGTGTTGAAGGAGATGGGCAACAGTGATGAGCAGTCCGCGGTCTCGTGCAGCGGCTACGACCTTCATGGCGGAGATAGAGTCGCCCCCGATTCGCAGGAAATGATCGTGGATCCCAATTACCCCGGCCTCGACCCGGAAGATGGCTGCCCACACGGATTGGAGCAGTCTTTCGCGCTCGTTGCTCGGCTGGTCCTTGTTCTCACCAACTCCGTGCAGGGCAGCCATGTCGCTTTTCGAAATGGCTTGTGCTAGCTGTCTGAGTGCCCGCCTGTCGGTCTTGCCCGACATGCTAAGAGGAACTTGGCTGATGGGGATATAGATCTCGGGCACCATGTATGCAGGCAAAGCCGCTGATAGTGCTGATGTGGCGGCCACACGAGCGGCTTGGATAGACTTGATGGATGACTGGTCAAAATAGACCGACTGTCTCTTCGTGTTCGCATATTGGGGCGCTTTTGTGGGCGCAACAAAGGCTGCTATCGCCGTGCGAGCTTCCAACTGTCCGATAGTCACGATTTCCGCCACAACGTCGAACGAAGGGAAAGCCTGGCGAAGGTGGTGTTCAATCTCCCCAAGCTCAATCCTTTGGCCCCGGATTTTCGATTGCGTATCCTTCCGGCCGTGGAGCTCGATGCTTCCGTCGGGGTTGAAAGAGCCCAAGTCACCCGTGAGGTAGAAACGCCCATGTTCATGCCCTGGGAGAAGCTGAGGTCTCCATTTGGGCGTGGCCACAAAGCCGGACTTTGCCCGCCTGTCGCCGATGTAGCCACGGGCGGTGGCGAAGCTTTCAACAAGAACCTCTCCAACGGCGCCAAAATGGAGCAGGTGATCGTGGTTGTCTGGGTGTACAATCCAGGTCCGAGGCCCCGTAGACGATCCAACGTTGCTCGGACTGCTGTGCAGATCTAATCTCTCTGATGCCGTGTCCCAAAGGCCGGACTCAGTGCAACCGTAGGCGTTGATGAGGTGGACGTCGGAGCAAAGAGCTTTCAGGGTATCTCTGTCCAAAGCCTCACCACCGAGGATGACATATTTCAGCGTTGGTATTTCGCTGGGGTTCAGCTGGCCCGCAACCGAGGGGGTGAGAAATGCATGAGTGACTTCCAGGGCTCTCATCTCCCCGTTAAGATTATTCAGTTTGCCTTGCTCGGAGGGGACGCACACACATCCGCCGCCGTAGAGGGTTGCGAAGATCTCGGACACGCTGACGTCGAAGCCGGGCGACACAAAATGCAGACAGCTGGTCTGGTTGTCCATGTACATGGGGGGTAAGAGCTCCATAGCTCCGGTACAGATAGCTGCGTGATCATGAATGACGCCCTTTGGAGTCCCGGTACTCCCGGAGGTGAAGAAGCATGTGGCGAGATCCGAGGGACGAGACGTCACTGGGTGAGCTGGCCACTGATGTGCGACGATCTCTTCAAAGGCATCGACAAAGACCACCGAGGGGTTGAGCTTGCGTCGCATCTCGGGGCCGAGATTAGTAAAATACAATTTGGCCGCGATCTGGAGAAGGATGCTGTTGGTCCGCGATGCTGGGCTTTTTGGATCGATGGGGACAAAAACAGCGCCTGCTTTCAACGTCGCGAGCATCGCCACGATGCTCCAGTAGGACTTTTCCATAATCGACGGGATAAAGTCTCCGTCTCTGATGCCCATAGATCGAAGCATGTTAGCAATCCGACTAGCGTGATCATCGAGCTCGCTGTATGTCAGATGTCCGTCCCAGGCCCGAACAGCAGACGCGGTAGGTGTTTGGCGAGCATGCTCGACAACCACGTCATGGAGGCACTCGTTCTGCTGCCGAAGCGTGCGGCTATTCAACAACTCGAACTGCCGAATGTCGTCAGAGGCCAGAACACTGAGCTCACTGATTCGGCGGCTAGAGTCAATGCTGGGAGAACGGAGACCCTGCCACGCTGCGTAGAACGACTTCAGAAGGGTTCGTGCAGGTTCTGCGTTCTTTGGTTGAGGGTAAAGGATTTGAGCCGTGGGCTTGTCCCGGATGTCTGAAAGTAACAGGATATAGCGAGTCTGATATAGATATTGTCAGCCATTATCACCATAGGAAGTCCCTGCTTGACCTACCCCACTGCTCCACCTGGGGACTGGGATGCCAGAGTTTCTAACGGCAATGCAAAACGTGTCATCCACATCCTGGATCTTGTTCGGTGCAACTTTGAGCTGCTGAGTCTGGAGAAGATCGTCGATTGTGGTAGAGTCGTTGATGTTCACAAGACGGTAGCTGTGCTCCCACTGTCGATCCTGCTCAGACAGAGAATTCAGGATCCATTCGCCAGAGTGATGGTACATGTTGGCGATAATCGACCACAGTGCATGACCCAGTGGGCCAAAGTGATCAACCTCTGTGTCGAGGACCAAGCTCTCCGTGGCGGCATAGTAGCCTTCCGAAGCCATGTTGACTGGGGCTGCTGAAGGCAGAAGGTGGCTGTGCCTCGAAATGATTGAACACTGCTAAGTCGGACAGCTTCTAGTGTACTGAATGGATAAAGAAAGGAAGGCTTCGGGAGTTATGTTCTCTTCTACGGCCAAATATCAACGGTTTTAATGGGTGTTCGTGGTTGCTTTTACAATGACACGGCTATAGCTCGGTACAAGACCCCAGCCAGAATGAAGCAGGGGTCAAAATGACCAATGTAGGAAACCCGTATATCGTGCTATGTTCTCGTTGGGTTACATCTACGCTTCCCCGGATACACCGGAAATGTCGCATTTTAGGCGGCAATAACAAACGCAAACTGTTGTGTGCACGGCGATTCCGATGCCCTGGAACACGGAACTACGACAGAGTTTGAACAGGTCAAGGCTGCATGCCATACGCAAGGTCAGCAATACCCATGGCAAAGAAGACGGTTCCAGGGATAGTGTGTACGGAAATGGAACTGTCACCCGGCCCCTGCGATGGATTACCGTTGCAATCCAATCAATTTCATGCATTCTTGCCCCATATCCGATGTCCAAAACGCGATGTCCTCGGGCTCGGCACGACATTAGGGAACTGAGTTAAGAACAATGCGGCCAGGTGGTTTCAACAACAACTTGCCACGGTTCTTTCTGCCGCGTCAGACTATTCCACCAATGATTAATCCGCCATGCCACTCTTCTACACCGCTGATCATGTCGCCAACCCTCACAGTCATGCCGAAGAACGAACGGTTTCGATAGAGTTCCCCCGTGCATAACAGCCGGTATTCCTTGCTTCGTAATATCTACAGTGTTACAACGTAGCTCCGAGATTATTCCGTGGTGTTGATGGCGACAGCTCGTATAGACCTTGTGATATGTACAATAATTGGTTTACCGAGGCATGTGTATTATGTCAATCATCTCCGTCAAGTCACCGAAACCCAGTCCTGAAACTAGCCCCACTGGTCAGCAATGGTCACCCCGTCACTGCATAGTTCCATCGGCACATTGAGACGGGACTAGTTGGACCATGGTTCATGATATCGTTCCGCCAAGAGTCTGTCCCTCTGGCCACCACAAGTTCTAGACCTTTTCCCCTCACCTTGGCGGTCTTCCAGGGCGAAACGCGGTCCCGAAGGTATCCCCGAGTGGTTGGCAAGGTCGGCAGACCAAGCTGCGATGATAGGGGTACATACATGGAACTTGGCTAAGATGGACTCTGTAGCTTCGGAAACGTTTGAAAATTGTCTCGGAACTTTGAGAGCACAATCATGGGAAGGTTCCGGTTCGGGACATGATCAACGGTATTGTATTGTGCCAGTTCTTGCAGACATGCCAGACCCACGAGATTACAATTGATGAGTGGCATGAGACAAATTCGTTTGATCCCAGGCACAGTGGCGTACTGCAGCCAGTAAACAACTACATGAACATGAAGAGTGAAGTCTACAGGCTTGCAATCATCCAAGGACACAGCGTGATTGCACTCACTCTACCGTTACTCCCATCCCTGCTTCTCAATCAACCACAACTCGCTGAACCGGCTCCCCTCCGTTGCCGCCAACTCCCTCGGGCTGCCCGTCTCCACGACTCGTCCCTGGTCCATGACAACCACAGCGTCAAAGAAGTCCATAACCATCTCCAGCCGGTGCGACACCATGACAATGGTGAACTCGGCGAACTCCTCCTTGATGATCTCCTGCATGACCTTTTCCGTCTCGCGGTCTACGCTAGAACTGAGCTCGTCCAACAGAAAGATGCCGCCGCCACGATTCCCGCGGAGCCTGTGCTTGGCCCTGCGGCGTAGGACCGCGCGGCCGAGGCTGAAGAGCTGCTTCTGTCCGGCGCTGAGGTCTTCGCCGCTCATGCCCGCATGGACTGTTCCGCGCTCGTGGACGAAGCCCGTGAGCTGGACCGTCTGCAGCACGGCAAGGCACTCGAGGTCTGAGGCCGCATTGAACGGGTCCAGGTTGTCCTTGATGCTACTCCCGTCGGGGAGGAAGACGGCGTCTTGCGGCACGGCGATGATGCGACGGCGTAGGGTGGAGCGGTCGATACGGTGGAAGGGAAGACCGTCTATTTCGATATTCTGAGAGCAGGAGGGAAGGGGGTCCAGGAGACGTAGAAGCAAGAGTATCACAGATGATTTACCGCTAGTAATATGTCACAACTAGGCTCCTTTGATGATCATTACAGCGGGGAGAACGTACCTGCCGGTTCTGCCGCAAAGGGCAACCTTTTGGGCGGGCTCAATGGACATATCAAGGCCGTTCAAGGCGAGAGTACCAGGGGTCTGGATCGTGCTATCGTCGTCCGAGGAAGCGGTCTCAACATCGCTTCTACAGCCTCTCGTCAGAACCGAACTTGTGTTGAGAGTAAGTAGACAAATCGATATACACTTACCCATAGGATGCCGAGACACCCCTAACCTTGATTCTGCCTTGATCTGGCCACTCCTCTGGCAGTTCCATGTCCTCACCGTCCAAGTTCTCGGATTTCACCTTTTCGGAAAACGTCTTGATACGTGACACGGCACCGATGGACGTTTCGACCTGCGTGTAGTACCGAATGAGCGTAGAAATCGTCTCGCCCCAGGTCATGAGTGTCACGAGCGAGGCGCCAGCGAAGCCTGAACTAGTCCTCAACTGCGTTGCCAATGTCACGACCATGACGGATATAACCATGACGACAAGCTGCAACGACAGCGCCAGCCACTGCTGGATCATTGCCAAGAGATAGGCGGGCCGTTGGGAGGTGTTGAGGAGACGCTGACTATATCCAATATACTGATCCGTCCAACCGAGGGCTCGGATGGTCGCGAGTCCTTTGATGGTGTCGAGGAAATGAGCACTTTGCAGGGTTAGTATTTAGACAAAAGCCACTGCCATACCCACCAAGGCCAACTTACTACAGGGGACTTTTCGCCTCCAGGTCTAACAGTCGAAGCTGCCTAGAGGTTCGGAGATAAAACCTCTGCAATATGTAGAGCACGAGAATGATGGCAGGATAACTGATTGCCAAGTAGGGGGATCCAATACCAACGACGATGGCCATCATAATGGCGTCAAAGCCTTGGGTCACCACGTTAAGCAGGGACATTGGCAGTTCTCCGTCAATAAGAGTCATGTCTTGCGAAAACAGATTTGTTACGACGCCAGAGTCAGTCGTGGTGAAGAATCTGAGCGATGCATTGATAACCGTCTGCAGGGCTTGCTGGTGAAGCAGGGCGCCGGACTGCGTCGTCATCCAGATGACGACGGACATACAGCACGCAAAGAGTGCAATGACCTGGAGGCCCCTAAGCATGCCAAAGATTCCGATGTAGAATTGCCCAGACCTGTCAAAGGAGTCTTCAGCCCAGTATGTCATCCACAGAGTTGGAATATTGCGGCCGACGCCGAAGAGAAGACCACTGGCCAAGCACGTCGCCGTGGCCCAGCCGCTGATACTGCCCAAGTAATGGGCGTAAACTTTGGTATCTCCCGTTGCCCTTGACTGTGCCTGGAGCTCGGCCGAGATAGATGCCACGCGTGCGGCTCTTGGTGGCGCGGCCGGAGTAGGCTCTTCGAGGGTGGACGCCTGGGACTCAAAGTCTCGGGTATCTTGAGTAGATGAGACGCCTAGGCTAGCGACGTACTTGTCATCCCGCGAAAGGTCTGCAAAAGTACCCTCCTCGATAAGTGTGCCATCGGCGCCGAGGGCAATGATATGGTCCGCAAGAGGGAGATAACGCACCGCGTGCGTACAGAGGAGAGCAGTCGCGTTACGGCGCCGAATGAGGCCTTCAGGACCGAAAACACGTTGAAATACCTCGCTTGCCGTGTCGTTGTCCAAGCCACTCAGGATATCATCGATTACCAGGAGGTCGGTTTCGAGATATAGGGCTCGCGCTAGCGACAGCCGCTGCTTCTGACCCCCGCTGAGCATAATGCCATTGCTTCCAATATTTGTTGCATCTCCTTGAGGAAGTATTGCCAGGTCTGTCTTGAGTATACAAGCGTTAATAATCTCGTCATATCTTGGTTGGTTAAATACCGAGTGCCCGATGATGTTGTCTTTAATCGAGCCGTTGGACAAGAACGGAGTTTGCTCGCAGTACCCAATCGCCGCTTGTCCCGAAGGAAATACCACCTCTCCACTACTCACTGGTAACTCGCCCAAGAGAGCCTTACAGAAGGTGGACTTTCCAGACGCCACGGGGCCAACGACAAGGGTGAGCTTTGAAGCGGGAACGGTGACGGTTATGTGCTTCAGTATCGTCTTATCAGCGGCCCAACCAAAGCTGCCATCGATTATGGAGATTCTAGGATCCGCGGCGGCCAGATGTTTGCGTTGATTTGACTCCATGTCCGTCTGGGTTTTCTCGTTGAGCATGGCTTCATCGTGACCGGCAGGAGGCCTGTCACCAAGAGGCTTCTCGCCAGGAGTTGCAGGAGAAGGAGGAGCAGGATATGATGACGGCTTTCGAAAGTCGACGTGTGGTGCCGCTTCTAGGAATTCCTGAATCCGTCCCAAGCATACAAAACCAGCAACGGTTGGCGGTACAGACTGGAACAGCTGGCCCAGGGGATTGGTGATAAGAGAGATGTAAGAGAAAGAGGTAAAGATCCTCGTCGTGTCCAGCTGCTTACTGGTGAAGCCAAAGGCGACAACGGGAGAGATGGCGTTGGGGATGTAGGCAGCCGTAGCCGTAGCAATCAGAAGCCAGCGGAACTGGTTTCCGACATTCAGCTCGTCCACTCGCATCTTTTGAATGAAGTCGCTAACGGGGGCCGTAATGCCAGAGATGCGAAGGTACTTTATGTTGGAGATGACGTTCGCCGTAAGTCCGACACGCGTCTGGATCCGACTCATCCAGCGGGACTGCCTCTTTCCACTCAGCCCGGCAATAACGAGTGTGACAGCGACACAAAGCACGATAACTACAACAGGCGAGATGAAAGCTGCGCCAAGTTCTCGCTCCAGCAGCCAGCATCCAACCGCAACTTCGATCATGTTGGCCCAGAACTCGTGGAGACCGTGGAAACCCTGAAGGATGCGCTCAATGTCAGTGCTCATCAGTGTGAGGGAAGCCGCATCACCAATGTCGGTAATCTTGGTCTCCGTGGTCTTCTGGTAGATGAGCGCGACCAGACAGCCGCGAGCCATATACAACGCCCTCTGATGAAAATACCAGTAGAGGGCATCCGCAATAGCAATCCCGGTGTATATCAGTACCGCCGCGCCAATCAGGCCGTACCCCGTGTTCTTAGAGGCATCCGTGTCCTGAAGGTAAGTGAGGAGGGAGCGGATGAAGAATGGCTGGCTATAGGTGAAACCAATCATGGCAACCCGTGGTGCCACTGGCAAGAGCAGCGGGACAGTGAGAGTCTTGGCCAGCGCTTTTGCAAGGCCAAACCGCTTGTCGTGGTGGGGTGACTTCTCAAACTTAGCCGCCAGTTTTCCTTGCAAGGTTTTCGAGTCCATGCCCCGGTCTAGGGCGTACAAGTCATCAGGAGATAGGATGCTGTGATAGCCACGGAGGAAGAGGTTGCTCAGCCAGAAGTAAACTCCGAGACTGAATATGCCGCTCATCTCTTCAGGGCTATGCTCGTCGACGTTCCAGCTTAGCCATCTCGCCTTTCTTTGCGACTCGAGAACCAGGATGACCACTTTGACAGCAAGTGTGGCTGTGAAGAGGCTGGCAAATCTTGTGGCCGAAGGAGATTGTGCTATCAGCCAATGGGTCCGGGCCTGAGCAATATCGAGTAGGATCTGGAGCAGCAAGTAGCACACAAGGAGTGCGGACGGTCTCGGAGCCCTCGAGTGTTCGGCAAAGGAGAGTCCGGCCATAAATGGCATGGCGAGGAAGCCCAGCGTAGAGGCGGCAATGGCGAATGCGTCGAAGCCTGTGTCATTGGACGTCGCGGATAGGATAAGAAGCGCAAGCTGTAGAGTCGCAGATACGGCGATGGAAATCTAACACGCGTTGACTCAGTACTGGGACAAGAAGATGCCTGAAATCGGATCCCATATGAGGGTCTCCCTACCAGCTTGGTAAACTGTTGCAGCGTGCCGCTGACGATTCGAGGCTTTACGGCCAGCCATGCTATGCGAGGCAGTGTGAGAGCGATGAAGACGGCCGCCGGGAGGATTGCGAAGAAAATGCGCTGGAAGCGGAGGGTAAAGTCGAAATCACCACGACATCCCTGGACCGAAGGGCCGAAGGAGTTGTCGTTCACGCAGGTGGACACAGCCATCGTCCAACGTTGACGTGTCTATACCGGTGGGATTAGCAGAGACGGGAAGCCTTGGTTGCGTCGGTTTGATTGAAGTTCGTCGGGTAACAAATGCGTCTCCGCTGGGGCAGGGGATGCAGCTCGGCTCAGTATTAAACAGATGAAGAGATGATGAATACGACTGCCACCCGCTCTATGTTGGGTGAACGCAGAGGTGTAAGTCAGGTGCCTCGGTAACTGACTAACTCTGTTACTAATCGGCGTTCTATATAAAAGTCGGTTAAAATATAAGTATTTAAAGTTACAGTATAAAATTTACTAAATAACTAAAAATATATTATATAAATTGTATTTTTGAATTCTCTTTAAACTAATAATATACTTATTATATTATAAAAATTATTGTAATTTCTAATTTTATTATTTTAGCTAATATAAGTTAAAAATACTAAATAATTCTATTTAATACTAAAGATTTTAATGAAAATAGAATTAAAAACTAAATTTACTTATTGGAATATACTATTATTTTATTATTTTTACCAGAGTTATAAAGGGATTAAAAAGGTACCTCTAGCTAGAAAAAAAGCATGGGAAAAGAAAAATAATAAACACAAGATTTTTGATAAAAGCTATCACCCTGACGCGTGCTCAACAGTACGTACTACGAACCTAACGCCCCCCCTCAATAACAGACGCCGGAGGCGACGGGTCGGGGTGTTACATACTCACGAACAAGGGTATGCGGCCTATCCTTGTCGGTATGGATGGTGCCGTTTACCAGCCGGATCCCCGGACCCACCCTCGCATGGTTCAAGGTTGAATGGGCTCGGAATTCGGAGCCGGGCCAAGTAACCCGATTCGAACTACAGAAGGAGGGGTCGTCGGCGGCTAAATGGATAACTTAGAGAGAGATCGACGATATAATGTTTCAGAAACCGAGTTGACGAGAGATCAAACCATAAAGGAACTCGCTTCCTCGTCACCGCCCTACCTCACTGACGTACTACATCGTATCATGCCATACTCCGTACCTAGGTACACAAAACACCCCAGCTTCCGAGTAGCACAGCCTCCCTCCGAGGTGTGGACCCCGTATTTCGGCCTAATTAATAAAGCCTGCGGATGGCAACGGAGACGTGGCTTATGACAATCCTGCTCCTTCCGTTGACCGACCAGCCACCATCAAAGAGGCGGAAAACAATTCCTCTACGCAAGCATTATGCAACGCCAAAGTCAATATCCCACGTTTCGGAGCTGTATGCTTCCGAAAGTATGCAGCATAAAATCGTAGGGATAGGGCCACCCACACAAAAAGACCCGGTTTTTAGTACGCGGCACGGGCCGTCTCATACCCCTACCCTAGAGCTTATTCTTTCCAACAGATGATACAAATACACGCTCTATCAAAACCCGAAGCAATTGAAGTTGAAGACACCCTTCCACACAGGGTGACATTACAGGATAAACGACAAGTGACCCCTCGGGGGGGCCTAGCGCTGTGGGTCGTGGTGCCCCGAGTTATGCTGGATAGAGGTACCTAGACGGTAGGAAACCAGTCGGCCATCGCCGGCGGCATCTTGCTGAACCGTGCAGAGACAGGTTGCAGGAGGACGGGCTGGCCGGATGCAGGCCGACTTCGTCATGTTTAAAGGTGTATATTATTAGTAAGCTCACATCTCACCTTGCCATCTGGAGTTGCCTTCCTCGAGCCATTCTAGAAATCCCCTTGCTTTGCTCCGAAAAATAGGCGCCAGCCTACAAATACAGTACGAGTGTCTCTTTGTAGTTGTCTACATCGGCCTCCGCCCACAAGGGGTAACATGAGTTCCTTATTAACAGCCATCACTATCAATCCGGCCGAACGTCGGAGGACACAAAACCGGGTTTCAAAACGAAAATCACGTAGGCATCTCGGAGGACTCGTCCCCTCTCTCCCCTCCCCAATCACCTTTCATTAAAAGACGTTGAGACGCCAACATTATATATTCAATAAGGAGCCAAGGAAAAGCATGCAGCCGCTGGTGACCAAGGCGCATCCTCACCGGGCGCAGCACCTGCGCCGCAGCTACCCACAACGGTCAGAACGACGTGCTTACATGCGCCATCAGTTTCTACGAAACATTTCGACTAATGAGACGCTGTAGGACCTCACATACGCATCAGTCGTTGCCGATCCGTACGTGTCATGGGAGACTCCGCCCGATGAACCAACACCAGATCTCCACAACGCAACGTCACTATTCTCCGCGTTGGATGTTGGTCCATCGGTCTGGCACAGCCCATTTCCGTCCCAGGGTCCCCCAGACGACCATTCGAACATGTTTTCGCCTGGTATCTCAGAGGCCTTGACACCGGGGAGCTTTGTCAAGCCGTGGACGATGGACACGAACACGGAGATCACGACCTCGTCAGGGCGACTGGATGAGCTACCAGATATTACTTTGGAGGACGATATGTCACAAGTGGACGTGAGTGTCAAGTAGCTTCTTTTGATCATCGGGAGAAGACCAGGCCGCACAATTAGACAAAGCTCTAGCATCCGGCCCAGCAACTGACTTTTCCCTACTTCACTTCTATTCTTGGAATGTCACAGGAAACTATTTCCGACATGTGGACTAACTTGATTGTTTAGGGCTGCAACCCGATGCCGGGAACACCGCTGCACATTGCTGCGGCTCTTGGTCACATTAAGGTTGCCAGAACACTTATTGCCCACGGGGCGGATATAAACGGCATCGATAGCGCAGGGCTCTCCCCGATACACTACGCGACGCGCAGCAACCACTGCGCCATGGTCGTGAAGCTGCTGGAGCATGGAGCTGATGTTCATTCAATGGATTCCGAAGGTTGCACGCCTCTTTACAGAGCGGCTCAAAGTGGAAATAACGAACTGGTTGAACACCTCCTACAGTATGGGGCACGGCTTTATTGATATTACGAAGGGGCGTCTTGCTAAGTTGACCTGAAGCTGCGCCAGACTATACATACATTGTCAGATTGACTTGTCATTTAGATCTCAATAGAAATATGTAATCAGAAACTTTGTTCAGTTAGTTACAGGAAAACATGGTTATAATATGTCGAATATACCTGCAGCAGCTGGATACATATTATTTTATATTTTAAATTAATTAGCTAAGCTAGACTTATATTGTATTTGTTATAATACGTTTCCCTATAAGCTAATAGAATAATATATTACTGAAATAAAAATTAATAATTATTTAATTTAATTTAATAGATATATAAGTAAAACTATTAAATATTAAATAAATTACTAAGTAAAAAATATTAATTTTATTATAGCTGAATTTAGTAAAGATTATAATTTAATAAAATATATAATATAAAAACTGCTTGAAATATAGAGAAAAAAAGAATAAAAAATACAAATTTCTATTTTTAATAAAAGTTTAAAATTATATATTATATATTCTTTTCGTAATAGTTATTTAATTTTTAAGAATACTATATAAATTGTATTTATTAGTTCTTTAATATATAACCTCTATATAAATATAAAATATCAATTCTATACACTACTAAAGCTAGTTAATAGAAAGTAGATACTACCTAGTATAACATGCTAATTTACTTATTAAGGAAAAATACTTTTAGCCAAGCAGAAATACTCAGTGTTTTGCCCCTAGATCCCGCATTTATTTGCCGACAGAGATCATCATTGCCTAAAATAGACAGCACACAAGAATAGATGACGCTCAGTACTCCAGGGAAGGTGGGATTTTAGTTCCCCTCGGACCGACACCATCTGCACGGTCGGGATAGACCATGTTGACAAGGTATCCGACCGGAATCATTCATACCCATGATGCATAGCCGTAGTGCCGGCTGTCAGCAGTCGGCATAATCCTTGCCAGGTGACACAGCATGCGGTGAAAGCCACAGTGGGTATGGCTAACGCGGCAAGTTGGAGAATTACACGTTGACCAACTCCGTAGCCGGCCAGACCTTCACATCTTCACGCAGTGTACACAGGTCAACCGCGAATGATGTATCGGAAGAAGCCGATAAGCAGTTGGTGATTCTAGGGCATTATTCAGCTCTATTGCTATATAAACGTACTCTGTATTTCTATAGTCTCAACAATGGCAAAGTAGTCTCTGACGTTTCCTGGCTTGAGAAGTCCAGACGCTGCCGCCGTACGCGCATTCCCCCGTTGTCGAAGATACGAACATCGTCACTACAAGACACGCTCCTCCTCTCGATCTAAAATGAGTGGAATCAACTTTGGCGATTTCGTCAGATCCCAGTATACGCCGATTCCCCTGCCGGAGCACGATTTCACGGGGCAGACCATCATCGTCACTGGAGCCGGCCGCGGACTCGGCCGCGAGGCAGCGCTCCATTTCGCTCGCCTGCACGCTGAGACGGTCATACTAGCTGTCAGGGATGCCAATCAGGGTCGTGAATGTGAGGCGTTCATCGAGAAGTCCTGCCCGTCGTCCAAAGGCGTGGTTGAGACGTGGGAGCTGGACCTGACCAAGCCCACACTGATTAAGCAGTTCATAGCCAAGTCCAAGGACCTTCCGCGTCTGGATGCCGTCGTCTTAAATGCCGGCATGAGCACCTTTTCGTTCGAAACCGTCGACGGCGTGGAGAAGACGCTGGCTACAAATGTCCTGGGGACGTTTTTGCTCGCCATCGGCCTGCTGCCCACTCTGCGACAGTCGGCCCTCGCATGGAGCATTCGGCCCCGACTCGTCCTTGTCGCCAGCGAAGCTCATGCAGAGGCGATCTTCCCCGAGAGGACGGCCAGCGATATTTTCGGCGCTCTCAATGACGCGAGCAAGTCGGACATGACGGACCGATACAACACCACCAAGATGCTCCAGCTGCTAGCCTTCCATGGCCTCCGGGATGCCGTCGACGCGTCCCCGCCCAATGCCATCATCTTCACCGCTGTTGACCCCGGTCTGTGCCATACAGGCCTTACCAGGGAGCTGCCGCTGTTCTTTCGCGCCATCCATCGAGTCATGAGAACGCTGCTGGCCCGGACGGCAGAGGTGGGCAGTCGATGCCTCGTCCAAGGTGCCGCAGACAATGGCGCAGATCACCACGGGGCTTACCTGAAAGATGGTGTTCTTGGCAGGTATGTTTCCAAGTCCCCCGGCCAAAACAATGCAAAGACCACGCCGACGAACGGAAAGTATAAGACGACTGACATTGCTTGGAAGACCTTCAGATGTGGTGACGAGCCCCACGGGAGTGGAGCTGCAGGAACGGGTATTCGCCCAGCTGGTCTCGGTGCTATATTCCCTGGATCCGGAGACGGTGTCGAGCGGACTGCCGGCGGTGCCCGAGGGGGAGGCAACCCCAGGTTATTGAAACGTCTCGCATTGGGGTAGTGGGCCTTTGCTGACAGCCTCGGTCCCAAGTTCAGGGTACCATGTCGAGGAGAGTCCGTGTATTGTGTATTGCCACGCATGTACAAGGGCGGGTGTGCCGGCTACCCGTCCGAGTTGAGGGGATCCGTAGCGAAGTTTCCATTAGCCTTCGATTTACTCCGCAAGCTCGGTCTCCATGAGTCTCCCGTGAGTCTAAATCGTCCGAGGGTGCCGGGTCCAGCGGGAGACAGGGGAGACTGATCTGGGGTCGAGCTGCACGGTCAGCATCATCCTTGCTGCCAAGATCGTCTCCATCGCATCATCCCACGACGGCGGCTGAGCTGGGATTATCCTGTCCTCCCCGCCCCTTTCCCGCCGCATCTATCAAGGTATGAAAGCTTAAATATACCATGTATACACACGTTACGCTAATTGGCTCGGGCTGCCTGTCCATCTTGGGCTCTCGCCTCACTGCCAGATTGGCTGCCGAGGATGGCAAGCGGGAGTTTATACTCGAATTTCTAATCGCATATGGAGATAAGCATCAACACGCCTAGTACGGGAAAGGAGTTAGGAGCATGGTGGGATAGATATTGATAAATATTGTCGCTGTCCTCAGTCTATATTGCGGTAGATCTTGAGTTTTCCCTACCAAACCTTTTGGTGAATATTGTTGTGACTTTGTCTCATGCTTTGACTTCGGGGACCGGGAATCAACACCAGTTGCTTCATTATCCCAACCACCATTGTTATCATTACCGTCAATCATCATTACTTTCATCATGCAGTTGCGTGACGGCACCGCTCCCTCTTCAAGCCCCAACGGCGACTCCTGGCCTGTGAGCGTCGCCAGCAATGGGTCGGAAACGCTCGCCAGCCACGTCGAAAGAGCCCTATCACCTTCTGATGCAATCCAGCCTACCCCCTTTCCAACTCTCCTTGACGGGAACGCCCCAGTCCGTCTTGATACCCGCTGGCCACTCGACATGGTGTCGGAGGGTTCTTCGGGCGACGACATCACCGGTGCTCTGCTTCCGGCGCAGCTCCTCTTGGCGTGGGCATTGGTCGTGAGGGCACATGCGGCCGCCGACAGCGTCGTCGTGTTTGGTGCCAGTGTACAGGACACATTTCAGCCTCTGGTAGTCGAGGTGGACATGCAAAAGCCCATCGCGAGTCACCTTGACGCCATCCATTCACAGCTGGATGATTCTGCCACTGCCAACGTGGCGATCTCTCGCAACGCCCACTCACCCTTTCGCTTTCCATCCGCCTTGCTGTACAGCCAAGGCATCTCCCTTGCCGAGCAGCAGAGCCAGTTGGCCGAGGATGGCGGAGTCCCTCTCGTCATTCTATGTTCCAGCCAGGGAGGCCGCTTGACGGCCGAGTTGGCTGCTGACTCGAGCGTCGTCGACCAGAATCTTTTGCCGTACATCGTGGCACAGTTTGAGCGCGCTTTCAAGCAACTGCGCTCCTCTACGTCCAAGGGCAAACTTCTATGTATCTCGTTGACCGACCTTCGAGATATAGACAAGGCACGCATGCTCGCTGGTCGCGTACCAGCACCCACATCCAACTGCCTCCACAAACTCATCGTCGAACGCGCCCGGAGCCAGCCCGATGCCGAAGCCAGTGTGTCTTGGGATACAAGCCTGACCTATGCCGAGTTGGACCGGTACTCAGATGTGCTGGCATCCCGCCTTATCTCCCTTGGCTTGGAAGTCGGCCAGATCGTGGCCACCTGTTTCGACAAGTCCGGCTGGGTCCCGGTCGTCTACCTGGCCGTGCTTAAGGCGGGCGGTGCCTTTGCTCCGTTGAACTCGGCACTCTCTGCTGAGCAACTTGCACCGATAGTGGGCAAGTTGAATCCATTCGTTATCCTCGCGTCCCCTCGGCACCATGATAAGTGTGCTGGACTCTCGGCACACTTGCTGGACGTACAAACGGTCGACAATGATATGGACAACGCGAGTGATCTTTCCAAAGTTTTAGTCGCTCCAAATCACCCGGCATGCGTCGTGTCGACCTCGGGCAACTCGGGGATGACCAAGCAGCTCACCTTTGACCACGAGGCCGTTTGCTCGTCCGTTGCGGCTAACCGTGACGCGCACGATTTCTCTTCTGCCACTCGCACGCTCCAGCTCCACCCCTACGACAATCAGCTCAGTATTGCGGAGATGCTGTTCACCCTCGCTGAAGGAGGTTGTGTCTGCACTCCGTCGGAAGACGAGCGACTCACAGACATAGCAGCTGCGTGCCGGCGGATGAAGCCTAACCTGGCTTGCCTCACTCCCTCAGTTGCGGACATGCTGGAGCCAGACGAACTGGCGGGCATTGAGACCATCATCTTGGCCGGAGAGCCGATGACAGGCAGCAACGTCAGAAAATGGGCGTCGAAGGTGAATCTGGTCAATGGGTACGGGCTGGCCGAGGCCTTCGGCTTCGTGTGCTCAACAGCCCCTATATCCGCTGTTGCGTCTCCTGACAACTGTGGTTGGCCTCGAGGCTGTGCCGTCTGGCTCATGGACCCCGATGATCCCACACGCCTTGCTCCCATCGGTGCCGCTGGCGAACTCCTCCTCGAGAGTCCGTCCATCGGACAGGTTTATATGGCAGACGACGAGGCCTCGGATACCACATTTATCTGTCGTCCGGCGTGCCTGCCATCCCCCCCATTCTCACAAAGTCTCACCACTCAGAAGCGTTGCCTCTTGACTGGCGATCTCGTCCGGTTTGACCTTGGCGACGGTACTTTGAAATTTGTCCGCCGCAAGGATTTTCAGGGCCAATTGTTGCAGTCGTCGACTGCGGTCGAGGAGCTCATCAGACAGAGCTCCAGCACTGTTAGGCAGGTGACTGTGGCCGCTCCAGGCCGAGGCGTCTGTGCCGGCCGTCTGGTGGCTCTGATCAGCGTTGAAGGCGAGAGCAGGACAGGAAAACTGGACCTCCTCAGTTCTGCCAAACAGCAGCCATTGTGCGGCACTCTGGTTGCAATTCGCGATCATGTCTCTCTGCAACTCCCTCCGCATCTCGTCCCATCCGTGTGGTTCGCCGTCACGGAGATGCCACTGACGCCTCGGGGAAGGCTTGATAGACCCGCCGTCCTCATCTGGTTGGAGGCCATGGACCGTGATGGCTTTCAGAAGGGTCTTGGTGACGGCCTGGTCTCCGCCTTTGATATAGGCAACTCCCTATCCACCTCGACGCCTCCCACGGAGCACGGGTCCATCCTGTCTGCCGGCATTGCTCAGAGTTTCACTCAGACTAGCTTACCTGCCAGCATTACTAGCGCTAGTCCTGAGGTCGGCGGTGATCGATTCTCCCTCCTGAGACTGGCACCGGAGAAGCTCTCTGAGCTAGAGGCTCTCTTGGATACCCTATTTCCAAATACTAGCACCGTGGAGGACTGCTTCCCATGCTCTTCAACTCAAGAGGGCATCCTCGTCAGCCAGGTGAAAGCCCCCGGGACCTACAACATTCTAGTGGTCTGGGACTTGATGACCCCGGCTGATGCTTCTGTCTCGGGAGCTGTCACCGTAAAGAGCCTCCAAGACGCGTGGACACACGTTGTGGAGCGCCATGCGGCCTTGCGGACGACTTTCGTTGAGAGTCTGCGTGATGGCGGGCTCTTTGACCAGGTTGTCTTGAGCACACCCGCCGTCGATGTGGTGGAAGTCCCATGGCTGGAGGAGGCTGGAAGCGAAGATAACCTGCTTCAACTCACAGCCGGCAGCTGGAAGATTGGAAAGCCGCAGCACCGTCTGGGACTATGCAAGGCCGCCGACGGCAGGTTGCGCTGTCAGCTGCTCATCAGCCACTCCCTCATAGACGGCCTCTCCGTCCCTAGCCTTCGCCGGGACCTCGAACAGGCGTTGAACGGGACCCTCAGAGACGGCCCCCGGCCAGACTTTCAGTCCCGGTATATCAGGCAGCTCCGACGGGCCTCCAAGGATGAGGGACGCGAGTTCTGGCGCTCTCACCTAGACGGTCTCTCCGGATGCTTGCTACCGAAGTTGACCGACTGGGCTGAGACCCCGAGTGAAGCCAGAGTGTCGGTGATGCGCCGTTCATTGCCCCAGGCCCAGCATCTTAGACGCTTCTGCCAGGAACACGGCGTCACCTTGTTCAACGTGCTCCAGGCGGCTTGGGCCCTGGTCCTGCGAGCGTATACATTGTCTGACGATGTCTGCTTCGCCTTCATGGCCACGGACAGACATCTCCTCGGCGACGAGGCCGAGGACGCCGTCGGGTTCTTTATCAACCTCATTCTTTGCCGCATTGTCTTGCAAGGCTCGACCCCGATCGTCGACGTCTTGAAGCAGCTGCAGCACGACTTTGTGTCTGGTCTGCCTCACCAGCACGTTTCGTTGGCCGAGATTGCCCATGAGCATAATATCCCGGCCAACCAACTCTTCAACACTGCTATGACTTTCCACGCCGTTGACAAGAGTCAAGAGTCTCGTAGTTCGGACGGGGTCCAGCTTCGCCAGGTTGATCTTCAGGACGTCGCCGAGGTCTGTTTACGCCTCCATCCCCTCCCCGTTAATGCACTCTCCCTTGCTGCCACTGCGATTAGATACTGACGAGTTACTCAAACAGTACGATGCTGTTGTCAAGATTCATGAGTCGGATGACCATGATATAGCTGTCCAGCTCTGCTACCGGAGCACGGCGTTGTCCGACGCCCAGGCAGAGAATGTCTTTGGCGCCTTTCTCGCCGCAGTCGGCTCCATCCCTCAGGCGTCCATGGTGGACGAGGTTGAGCTTCTAGACGAACGCATGGCACGGCAGATTCTCCAGTGGAACAAAACGCAGCCCCAAGAGGTCGATGTCTGCATCCATAGACTCATCGAACAGACGGCCAAGGAGGATCCAGCTGCTCTCGCCATCGAGGGCCACGATGGCAGCTTCACCTACGGTAACATTGACCGCATGGCAAGCCAATTAGCTGCCCATCTCGTGGGTTTAAACGTCGGCCCCGAAGTGCCCGTCGTATTCCGCATCGATAAGTCTGCCTGGGCAGTTGTCGCTATACTCGCCATCCTCAAAGCCGGCGGCATGTTCGTGCCCATCGATCCCGCTTGGCCCATTGATCGGGCGCAGTTTGTTGTCGACGACGTAGGAGCCGAGATCCTTCTCACCTCGGAGTCCACCGCCTCTTTGCCACTAGAACGCCTCGGTCATTCCTTGGTGCTCTCCTCGCGGCTGATCGATGACCTCCCGGTCCCATCCCCGGCGACCTCCTCCCTGTCCCTAGTCCACTCTCGCAACGCGGCATATATCCTGTACACCTCGGGCAGTACTGGTAAACCAAAGGGCGTCGTTGTAGAGCACCGGGCCGTAAGCAGCAGCTCGAGGGCGCATGCCCAGGCCATGGGTATCGACCGGCAGTCGCGGGTCCTTCAGTTCTCCTCATACACCTTCGATGCCTGCATCTGTGAGATTCTCACCACTTTGGTCCACGGCGGCTGTATCTGCATCCCCTCCGAGCACGACCGGCTCAGCAACCTAACCGGGGTTATTGCCAAACTGCGCCCAACCTGGACATTTATGACGCCCACAACCCTGCGGACTCTCCGTCCTCAGGACTGCCCTAGTTTGAAGACGGTATCCATCGGTGGAGAGGCTCTGACACAGGCTGTCAAGGATACCTGGTCCCCATATGTCCGAGTCCTCAACGGCTACGGACCGACTGAGACGTGCGTCTTCGCCGTCACCATTGACAGCACCGATCCCGTCGTTCCGCCGGCGGTAATCGGCCATCCCATAGGGTCTCGGGGCTGGATCGTCCGCCCAGGTAACCCCCAGAACCTGACGCCGGTGGGAGCAGTGGGCGAATTGCTTATTGAGGGACCAATTGTTGCCCGTGAGTACTTCAAGGACCCCGTCCGGACTAACAGTGTCTTCCTAGATCAAGTGCCGCCTTCCTGGACGGTACAGTCCCCTTGTCGGGTGTATTGCACTGGCGATCTAGTGCGGAACAACGCCGACGGAAGCATCACGTACGTCGGCCGCAATGATGGACAGGTCAAAGTCCGCGGCCAACGGACCGAGTTGGGCGAAATTGAGCAGCACTTGATTGCCATTGAGTCGGATATCGCGTCCTGCGTCGTCTTGTTGCCGAAGACCGGTCCCTGTGCTGCCCGTTTGGTGGCTGCCATCTCGTTCAACACGACTTATCCCTCTCTCGACCCAGTGGCCACGGATGGCATCCGACTGCTCGATCCCAACCGCATTTCCGAGGTCCTGGCGAGCTTACGGGAGAGGCTGGCCCAAAGACTTCCCGTGTACATGGTACCACATATCTGGTTGCCAGTCGTAGCTCTCCCATCGACAACTGCCTGCAAGATTGACCGGCATCGCGTTGCCCGCTGGGTCGAGCAACTTAGTCCAGACGTGCTGGGTAAAGCCCTTAGTCTTTCGCCCGCGCAGTCTTATTTTCCAACGGCCACTGGCCTCATCCAGACTATCATCGCGGGAGCCTGGGGCCGCACGCTCGATCTCACCGTCGACCAAGTCCCAACTGATCGGTCCTTCTTCAGCCTCGGCGGTGACTCGATTCTCGCCATGATGGTCATCAATCAGTGCCGAGCCCGCAACGTCAAAATATCTGCCAGCGATATCCTCCGTGGCCATACCGTTGCTGACCTCGCCGCCCGCGCGTCCCAGCCAGATGAGGTTCTGCAGCAGCCAGTCTCGAGATATGACCTGACACCCTCCCAAAGCTTGGCCCTTGGAGTCGGTCTTGAGCTGCCCTCCACTCCGGCCCGCGAATCTCGAACCGTCCGGTTCCACCTGGTTCGTTCCGTAGCTCAGGAAACCCTTGAAGACGCCGTCCGGAATCTCGTCGGCCTTCACCCGGCACTCCGCACCAAGCTTGTCAACGAGGGCACAGCGTGGCATCAATCTCCGACGATTGATCCTGCCAAAGCCTTCCTACTGACCGTCCATGGAGAGAGCGCCGGTACCAGCCGCCAAGTCCCCTCACTGCTGGAAAAGTCGCGGGCTCAGCTCGACCTTGCCGCCGGGCCTTTTCTGACAGTCGACTATTTCCCAGACACCAACATGCTTGTCCTGGCCGCCGCACACATCACGCTGGATCTACCGTCTTGGTCGGTCATGTTGAGAGATCTTGATGGCTTCCTTTCCGGCTCGCCCGCTGTTCCCCTTGCCCCCTTCACCTCTGGCCGCGTTACACAGAGCCCCCTCCCTGTCGAGGACGCCATTGGAGAACAAGCGCAAGAGTCTAATATTGGATACTGGGAGCTCGAGCCGGAGGATACTTATCTGCCTCGGAAGATGAAGTACGAGTTGCGTGTGGAGGCTGAGACTTCCGAGATGCTTCTCCAGATATGCCGGAACACCGACCTGAATCCCGTGGACCTTGTGGTGGCGGCGGCAGCACAATCATTCTCTGATGTCTTTCTCGATCGCAGAGTTCCCGCCATTCACCTCGTGGATACGACGTACGAGCATACCGAGATCGGCTATCATGACGCGGTCTATCCCGTCCAAGTTACTTGCAGTTCGCCATCCACTGGAGACCCGGACCTGGTAGCACAAGCTAGGATCTCCCGCGTCGGCGTTGCCTCCAAGGGGCTACCCTACATGACTCGATCTTACTGCCCTGAAGTGCTTGCCAGTCGAATACCCGAGATCATCGTCAACTATTCAGACTACCGGGAGTCCAAGTTCCAGGGCAAGACCATGCAGCAAATGGATGACGTGGTACCTACCGCTAAACCATCAGCCTCTGCTTCCCTGGTCCCGTCCTGCATCAGCATCACAGCGAGCACCCAAGAAGACGACTCCCTGAGTGTCGTCGTGGCCCATAGCTGGGACCTGGGCAAGCAGAAAAAAGTCCGGAAATGGGTTCGGCACCTCGAGACAGCTCTCGGGGACTTTATTCGTTCCACAGCCCGAGCCAACGCCCCCATTTCTCCTACTGATTTCCCCTTTGTCCGCGTGGCCGATGAAAACGCGTGGGAGCGACTGCGCGAAACCATTGCGGCCACAATTGGGTCCTGTTCGGCTCAGACAGTCGAGGATTTATATCCCTGCTCGCCGGTACAGGAGGGCATTCTCCTGAGCCAGGCCAAGAGCATGTCCTCCTACCAAGTCGATGTTGTATGGAAGATCCACGCTGCATCCTCCTCCTCGCCAGTGTCCTCGGACAAGATTGAGAAGGCCTGGCAAGCCGTGATTCAACAGCACGCTGCTTTGAGGACCGTCTTTGTCGACGGAGGAGCCGCCAACGAGGCCTTCCTCGCTTTGGTCTTGCGTAGCCCGCTGGCATTTGTCCAACAGCGACGGCTCATGAGTGGGCAAGGCGTTGAGGCCCTCTTGGCGTCCGAACCGCCCCTCGCCGTGGCCGATCATGAGCCTCCTCACCGGTTGACCGTTGCAGCGACGTCTGAGCAGGACGAAGTCTTGGTCCACCTACGAATCAGCCACGCCGTCCTCGACGGCATCTCGCTCGACGCGTTGCAGCAGGATCTGGCGCGTGCCTACGCCGCCGAAGATGCCTCAAGCCCAGCCGTGGATCATCGCCAGCAGGTGTCGGACACGACCTTCAGAGACTATGTCACCTTCATCCGGAGCCAAGATACCGACGTCTCCCTGGACTTTTGGAAGAGTCGCCTGGCCACCGTTACGCCCTGCCACTTCCCATGCCTGCAGGTACCGGACACGGACATTGTCGATGAAAAGCGCGTGTTGCGGGTTGAAATCGACGACATCTCGCCACTCACCCAGCTGTGCCAGGAGCACGGCTTCACAATCTCGAACCTGGTCCAGATTGCCTGGGCCTTGCTGCTCCGCTCGTACACGAATAGCCCACAGGTATGCTTCGGCTACATGACCTCGGGCCGCGATGCTCCTGTCCAGGGCATCGAGAGCGCCATGGGTGTCTTCATCAACCTGCTCGTGAGCAACGTTGAGCTGGACGACGACACTACGGTCCGACAGGCTCTCGAGGACGCGCGCGGTGCCCTTGCCGACGGTCTTGAACACCAATACTGCCCGCTGGTCAAGATACAGAGCGCGCTACAGCTCGGTAGCGAACCTCTTTTCAACACGGTTCTTTCCTGCTACCGCGAGAATGAGGTCTCCTCACCCTCGTCCGCGGCGGACGTGGTTGTTGATACTGTGTACCTGGATGACACGAGCGAGTTCAGTCTTGCAGCCAAGGCTACCTATACTCGGTCAAAGATTGAACTGACTTTGACTTACTGGACGGGGACTCTGTCCCCTACTGCGGCTGATGTTGTAGGCAGCGTCTGGGCCCAGACGTTGAAGTCCTTGCCTTCGCTACTCGACGAGAAAGTGTCCAACGTTAGCTTGTTCGACAAACAGAGCAGCCGCCTTGTTCAAGACTGGAACAACCACGTGCCCGATGCTGTCGACGCCTGCCTCCACGATATCATTGCGCGCGTTGCTGTTCTTGAGCCTGAGAAGGAGGCCCTTTGCTCCACGGACGGGAGCCTTACGTACGGCCAGCTGGACGATTATTCGACCCGGCTGGGACACTACCTTGTTTCCTGCGGTGTTGGTCCCGAGTCTGTCGTGGCTTTGCTGTTTGAGAAGTCCATCTGGGCTGTGGTTAGTATGCTGGGCGTTCTCAAAGCGGGCGGCGCCTTTGTCGCCTTGGATCCGGCTCATCCACCTGACCGCTTGGCATTGATAATTTTAGATATCGATAGCCCTATCCTCTTAGTCTCGGACTCGCAAGCTGCCCAACCTCTGGTCACGGAGCACTTGGCCTCCGCCGCCGTGCAGCCGTGGACCGTCACACCGGCGTCCATCCAAGCGTTGCCGATACGGGACGGCAAGCCATGCAGTACTGTCACTCCCGACAACGCCGCCTATCTCATCTTCACCTCGGGCAGCACGGGCAGACCTAAAGGCGTTGTTATCGAGCATCGGGCCGTGAGCACCGGTACCAAGGAACATGGCTCGCAGATGGCATATACCCCTGCCTCACGGGTTCTGCAATTCGCGTCCTATGCCTTCGACGCCACCATCGGAGAGGTCTTTACCACTCTTGTCCACCACGGCTGCGTCTGTATTGCCTCCGAGACGGAGCGGATCGAGGATCTGCCTGGCTTCATGAACCGTTTCCGCGTCACCTGGGCCTTCCTGACTCCCGCCGTCGCCCGGATGATGACCCCTGACGACGTGCCAACCCTGAAGACGCTCATCTGCGGCGGCGAGCCCATAGGCAACCTGACGCCGCGTATCTGGAGCAGCAAGGTCCAGTTCATACAGGCCTATGGTCCCACTGAGACTTGTGTTTTTGCGTCCATCAGCGATCGTCAACACCGCGAGGTGCGTCCCGCCATCATCGGCCATATGATGGGCAGCGCCGCGTGGATCGTCAATCCCAGCAATGCCGACATTCTCATGCCCGTGGGAGCCGTCGGCGAGATGCTGATTGAAGGTCCCATACTCGGACGCGGCTACCGCAACGACGTGGAGAAGACGGACGCCAGCTTCCTCCAGAGTCCACGGTGGTCTGATGATTATCTCCACCAAGGGCGTCCGCAACGTTTCTACAAGACGGGCGATTTGGTGCGCTACAACGTCGACGGCTCCATGGAATTTATCCGCCGTAAGGACACACAAATGAAGATTCGCGGTCAGCGCGTCGAGGCAGGCGAGATTGAAAGCCACATCACCAGCGCCCACGAAAATGTGCAGCATGTCTACGTGACCTTTACGAAGCAGGGCCGCCTGAGCTCGCGCCTGATTTCCGTGCTCTCCTTCCGGGGCATTGGCTCTGCTCCTGTCTCCGGCTCCTCTCCCGCAGAGGGCTACACTCTCCGCCTCGTCCGTAATGAGGACCGCGAGAAGGCCAGGAAACTGCTGCGTGCGATAACAGAACACCTATCAGCCAAATTACCCCGGCATATGGTGCCCACCGTCTGGGCCGTGGTAGAGGGATCTTCGGTTCCCCTGACCACGTCCGGCAAAATCGATCGTCGTCAGATGACCGCCTGGCTTGAAGGGGCCGACGAGGATACTGTGCAAGAGATCCTGGCCCTCGACGAGGACGAGGTGGTTCCAGATGAAGCCGTGTCCGCGGTGGAAGCGGCGGTGCGTTCCATTTGGGCCTTGGTGCTGAATCTCGAGCCGGAAAAGATCGGGCTGCACCGACCATTCTTCAGCCTGGGAGGCGACTCGATCTCCGCCATGCAGGTTGTCTCACACTGCCGGGCTCAGAGCATCGACCTTACCGTCCAGGACATCTTCCGCTGCAAGACCATTACGGCTCTTGCCGAGCTCGTCAACGCCGCCGCCGGTTCTAGTACGGCGTCCAAGGCGCAACAGCTCGACCTTACAGAGCGGCCGGAGGACTTCGCCCTGTCCCCGATTCAGCGGATGCACTTCAACATGAACCCGGAGGGCGTCAACTACTTCAACCAGAGCTTCCTGGTGCAGATCACCTCTGCCAGGCAGCTTCCTTCCATGGCCGTCCAAGCAGCACTTCACCAGCTTGTCCGCCGGCACTCGATGCTTCGGGCCAGGTTCCGCCGGGTCGCTGGCCACTGGACGCAGCGCATCACAGATGACGTGCCTGGTTCTCTGACGTACCAGGAGCACTCGCATGTTGCCCCTGAAGAGGTCGACGCCTTGACTCAGGACGCCCAGGAATCCCTGGACATCCAGAACGGCCCGATCTTGGCCGTCAAGCTTATCCAGTTGCCCGATCGCCAGCTCTTGTTCATGGTGGCGCATCACTTGGTTGTCGACCTTGTCTCGTGGCGGGTGCTTCTTGAAGAGCTCGAAGCTATCTTGACGAGTACATTCCATTCTCATCGCATGGCGGCCGTGACGCCCGTCCCCTTCCAGGCCTGGATCCGTCTGCAGTCTGCCCGCGTCCAACAACAGTCCCCAGCTGAAGTGCTCCCGTATGAGATCCCGGCGCCTCAGCTAGACTACTGGGGATTCGGCGCGGAGAGGGCCAATCTGTTCGGGTCGACACGGGACCTGACCTTTGGGCTGGACGAAGCTACAACAAGAGCGCTTCTTGGCCCCTGCAACGAGGCGCTCCAGACGGACCCTCAGGATTTGTTCCTCGCAGCGGCGTTCCAGTCTTTCCATGAAGTCTTCCCCGACCGGCCCCAACCGGCCATCTTCACAGAGGGTCACGGCCGTGAAGCCGACGCCGCCGACCACATCGACCTGTCCCGCACCGTGGCGTGGTTTACCTCCATCGTCCCCGTTGTCCTCGTCGACGGAGTCCAGCCGGACCTCATCGAGACGTTGAAAAGGACCAAGGACGCCCGGAGAGCCGTGCCCGGCATGGGTGTGCCTTACTTTTACTCCCGCTACCTGTCCGATGACGGGGCCGAGAAGTTTGGCCACCATGCCCAAATGGAGATCCTATTCAACTACTTTGGCCAGTACCAGCAGCTGGAGCGCGAGGGTGCCCTTCTCCAGCCCGTTCCCGAGGGCCAGTTCGCACAGCGGGACATCGATCCGTCGGCTCCGCGGCTTGCTGTCTTCGATATTGCTGTGGCCGTAGCGGAAGGACAGGCCACCATCTCCCTGACAATTCCACAGAGCCTGAGCGCCGCCCTCGCGCACCGTGTTTCGGCCTGGAGGGAGCGATTCCAGCAGCTCCTGGTGACTTTGGTCAACAAGACCGGCCGTATGGCCTCGGACTTCTCCTTGAGCGACATGCCCCTGATTAAGGATATCTCTTACGCCCACCTGGTCGAGATGGAGTCGCTCTGCCGGGAACACGCTGGGACGTGGGGACCCAAGACCATCGAGGAGATCCTACCCTGTTCCCCCATGCAGCAGGGCATTCTGCTGAGCCAATCGCGCACCCCCGAGCTCTATGACGTTCGCATCGCTCTCGAAATAACCACCTCTGCAGGGGATTTCCCCAAGGTCCACCGCCTGAGGGACGCCTGGAAGCAGGTTGTCCGGCGTCAGCCCATGCTGCGCACCGTGTTCCTCCCGAACCTTCGAGGTAGTGGTTCGTTCGACCAAGCTGTCCTGCGAGACCCCCTGCTCGTCATCCGCGAAGTACAATTGGAAGACTTCCCGGCCTCATCCGACGAAGACCTGATAGAGAGGATCCGGCACGAAATGGCCGCAGTGCCGGCTAATAGCTTTGAATACGGTAAACTCGCACACGAACTCGTCATTTACACGGCGGGCGAGCGGATCTTTGTCCTTATCCGTCTCAGCCACGCCCTGGTGGACGGAGCCTCCCTGCCTCTTGTGACGCTGGAACTTCGCAAGGCTTATCCTCGGCGCCTTGCGGCCGGCCCGGGTCGCGCGTACCGGGAGCTGGTTGCTTTTCTCCAGCGGCAGCCCCGGGACGAGACTCTCCAGTACTGGAGGGAGTACCTCCTCAACATCAGCCCCTGCCGCCTGCCTCCCCTCACCGATCGTGTTGTGTCGTCTCCGGACAGCCTGCAGACACAGGAAGTGGTCGTCCCCAATGCGGAGTCTCTGAGGCGCCTCTGCTCTGAGCATGGCTTCACCATGGCTAACCTGATGCACGCGGCTTGGGCCCTTGTACTGCGCGCGTACACAGGCGAGGACGAAGTGTGCTTTGGATACCTTGTGTCAGGCCGCGACGCCCCCATCGATGGTGTTGATGAACTCATCGGGCCCCTGATCAACATGCTCATCTGCCGTGTGGCCTTTGACGACCCCGGCCGTTCCGTCTTGCAGCTCCTGCACGGAATGCGGGACGATTTTGTCTCAGGCCTTTCCCACCAGTATGTCTCTCTCGCCGAGGTCCAGCACGGCCTAAACCTGGGATCGGAGAACCTTTTCTCCTCCGTCATGTCATTCCAACGACACGACCCCGTGGCCGACGGTCCCGGCCCCACTGACGGCCACGGCCCCACAGACGGAGCCGGAAGCATCCGGATGACGTCCATCGACGCCCGGGACCCGACCGAGTACGACTTATCACTAAACATAGTAGACACCGAGCAAGAGCTGTCTGTTGCATTTGCGCACTGGTCCTCCAAGGTCTCTACAGCCCATGCGGCGCACATGATGCGCGCCCTACTCGCCGCGCTCGCCGGCTTCGCTCAGGATCCCAATCAGCCGGCGACCCGTGTAAGCTTAGTCGACCCCCAGGCGCGTCGCGAACTGAACGCCTGGAATGCTGCTGGTATCTCAGCTCCGCGGCGTGCGTGTCTGCATGGCTTGATAGAGCAGCGAGCGCAGGAGATGCCCGACCACCCGGCCGTCTCGGCGTGGGACCTCGATTTCACCTACGCCGAGCTGGATGGGGCCGCAAATGCGTTCGCCCACCACATACAATCTCTAGGCGTCATCAAACCTGAGACATTTGTTTTAACCTGCTTCGACAAGTCGGCCTGGGCCGTCGTTGCGCAGCTCGCCGTATTAAAGAGCGGCGGTGCCTTTGCGGCCGTCGATCCCAACCACCCCATCGACCGCATCAGGTCCATTGCGTCCAAGCTGGGCTCGCCGCCGGTCATGCTCACCAGCACCAACTACAAAGAGCGTTTCCTCGGGCTGTTCCCACACGTCGTTCTTGTCGACGCATTGCACCTGGAATCCCTCGGCCCGCGGCCAGTCGCTCCAGAGACCCGGGTGACCCCCGAGAACGCGGCCTACGCCATCTTCACTTCGGGCAGCACGGGCGAGCCAAAGGGCATCTTGATCGAGCACCAGGCTATTGCCACAGCCACCACGGTTCACGCCGACCGCTTCCGTCTCGGCCGTGGCAGCCGCGTGCTCCAATTCGCCGCCTACACCTTTGACGTGGCCGTCGGCGAGATCTTCCACACTCTGGTCAATGGCGGCTGCATTTGCGTACCGTCAGAACGGCAGAGACTAGAGGACCTACCCGGCGCCATCAATGACTTCGGCGCCAACTGGATGTTCCTGACCCCGACCTTGGCGGACATGCTGGAGCCCACGGCCGTCCCGAGTCTACAGGTGCTTGTGCTTGGCGGAGAGGCCGCCACGGCCGACAACGTGCGCCGCTGGTCCGAGAAGCTGCAGCTCATTATCAGCTACGGACCGGCCGAGTGCACCATCTGGTCCAACGCCAATGCGAGTGTCACGCCGACCACCGACCCGGCCAACTTCGGTCCGGCCTTTGGCGCCGGCATCTGGGTGGCCGACATGGACAACCCGGACGTGCTGCTGCCCGTGGGCGCCGTGGGCGAGCTGCTCATCGAGGGACCGTTGGTCGGCCGGGGATACATCTCCGACGCCAAAAACACAGCGGCTTCGTTCATCAAGCCCCCGGGCTGGCTTCAGACGGGCTCCGGAGGCCAGCGCGTATACCGTTCCGGCGACATTGTGCGGTATAACCCCGATGGCACTTTGTCCTTTGTGCGCCGTCGGGACAACCAGGTCAAGGTCCGCGGGCAACGTATCGAGCTCAACGAGGTCGAAATCCACGTGTCCCAGGCCGACGCGGACCTGCTGCACGCCGTTGTGCTTCTTCCCAAGGCTGGAGCCTGCCAGGGACGTTTGACAGCGGTGCTCTCTCATCGTCCAGAGGACGGACATGACCCCGAGGTGACGGCCCAGAGCCCGCTTGCCGCCATCACCAATAGCGAAGCCGCCATGGCCCAGAACGCCGACATCCGCGCCTATCTGACGTCCAGACTGCCGGGTTACATGGTCCCCAAGATCTGGATCGCCGTCGAGCACATCCCCGTCACGACCAATGGAAAGATTGATCGCCGCCAGGTGCTCTCGTGGGTGCAGTCGCTGACCGAAAATGACCTGGCCAGCATCGTGGGCCAGGCTTCGGGGGCATCTGCATCCAAGCCCTCTCCGACGTCCACGCTGACTCCGATGGAGAAGCAGCTCGTCGGCGTCTGGAGCCAGGTCCTCGCCATACCTGTCCCGTCGCTCCCCTTGGACCAGTCCTTTACCAGCCTAGGCGGCGACTCCATCTCGGCCATGCAAGTCGTATCGCGGGCTAGAGAATCCGGGGTTGTCGTGACGGTCCACGATGTGCTCCGATGCCATTCTCTCTCGGGACTGGCCCTTGGGGCTCGGTTCAAGACTCTCGCTCCTCAGGACAAGGGGCGCGACTCCCTGGCCATGGTTGGTGAAGAGCCGTTCCCTCTGCTGCCCATCCAGCGCATGTTTTTCGAGAACATGCCCTCTGGCCCGAGCCACTACAACCAGACATTTACTGTCCGCTTGTCAAAGCGCTTCGAGGCCCAGGATATCGACGAGGCCATCGCGGCCGTGGTACAGCAGCACCCGATGCTCCGAGCCCGCTTCCGCCTCCAACCGGACGGCGACAGCAACTGCCCATGGACACAGCAAATCTCTCGCGATGTCAGAGGCAGCTTTCGCTTTCAGTCACACTCCTTCTCCTACCTGGTGGATGCGCTGGCCGTGATGAACGAGTCACAGGCTAGCTTGGACATTCGTCAGGGGCCCCTCGTTACTGCCACCCTCCTCGACCTGCCCGATGGCCAGGTCCTCTTCCTTGCGGCCCATCACCTGGTCATCGACCTTGTCTCTTGGCGTATTATCCTCGCCGACCTGGAGCTTCTTTTGTCGCTCGGCCCCGCCTCCTACGCGTCCGCCTTGGCCCCCGAAGCCGTGTCGGTGCCGGCCTGGAGCGAGGCGCTTGTCCAGCAGTCGGCCGAGTATGGCGTCGACTCCGTCCTCCCCTTTGCCCTGCCACCGGCCGACTTTGCGTACTGGGGTATACACGGGCGCGAGAATGTTATAGCGGACACGGTCACGATACAGGCGCGTCTGGATCCTTCGAGCACCAAGGCTCTCTTGGGTCCCGCAAACGCGAGCTTTGGAACGGACCCGGTCGACTTGATGGTCGCAGCCCTCGCATTCTCCTTCCGTCAGGTCTTTTCAGACCGCTCCGTCCCTTCCATCTACACCGAGTCGCATGGCCGAAACGCGTGGGACGACAGCATTGACTTGTCCCGCACGGTGGGTTGGTTCACCACCATGTCTCCTCTCGTCGTCCCTCACAGCGATGCCGTCGCGGCGCCCGATCTCCTGCAGGTGGTGCGTCAAGTTAAGGACATGAGACGTAGTATCCCCGGCAAGGGCCTCCCATACTTCGCCTCGCGATATCTCACCGAGGAGGGCCACGTCGCTTTCCAGGAGCATGCAGCTATGGAGATTCTCTTCAACTACCTGGGCCAATATCAGCAACTGCAGCAATCTGACAAGATCATCCAGGAGCTGACAGACGCCCCCTTCGATACCGGGGACGCTCCGTTGCCCACCCCACGACTGGCCCTCCTCGACGTTGTAGCCGTCGTCGAGTCGTCAGAACTGGTCTTGTCCTTCGGCTACAATGGCAAGATGCGGTATCGTGACCGCTTCCAAACCTGGCTGGACGAGTTCCTGAGCGCTCTGCAGCGTCTTTCGGTCGAGCTCCCGTCCATGCCCGCCACCTTCACACCTGGGGACTTCCCCCTTCTCGGCCTCGACGAAGAACGCCTGCTTTCCTTTGCCGATGCCGTCGAGGCCAAGGTGGGAGTATGGGGCCCTGCCGTCGTCGAGTCGGCCTACCCATGCTCCCCGTTGCAGCAGGGCATCCTCGTCAGTCAATCCAAGGACCCCAGCGCCTACGTGGTCCAGGGAGTGTGGAAGATCTGCCCCGCGGAGGACCATCCCTTCCGCGTCGAGCAGCTTGAGGAGGCCTGGCATCGGCTTGTCCGCTACCATCCCATACTACGCACCATCTTCTGCGAAAGCAGTCGGGCCGACGGAATTCTCGCCCAAGTGGTGTTGCGGGATGATGCCGCTGCCGCCGCTCCCATGATTCAGAAGTTGTTGGGCCATGAAGGTTCGGATGCCATCCAGTTGTTGCGATCCTCGCCTCCGCCTCTCCCGCTGGACAGGGCCCCCGTGATGTTAAACATCTACCCGGCGGCCCCCGGGGCCGACGCCTACATCTCTCTGCAGGTCAGTCATGCCCTTATTGATGGCACCTCCCTGGGCGTCCTGATGGGCGATCTCCAGAAGGCATACCATGGCGAGCTTCATGGCTCTGGCCCAGTCTATAGCGACTACATCTCCCATGTCTACCGCAAACCCCTGGCGCAGTCACTCGCGTACTGGTCGGAAGTCCTCGCGGACACTCGCCCGTGTCTCTTCCCTGATCTATCTACCACTCCAGGCGTCCGGGACCTGAACAAGATCACCCGTGTCGTGCCCAATGTTGACGGCATGCGTCTGCTCTGCCGGACACACGGCGTGTCCATTTCCAATCTCTTCCAGCTCGCCTGGGCGCTGGTCTTGCGAGCCTTCACCGGCTCCGACGACATCTGCTTTGGATACCTGACCTCTGGCCGCGACGTGCCCGTGGATCGCATCGAAGAGGTCGTCGGTCCTCTCGTCAGCATGCTCATCTGCCATACCAACTTCGGCGCCGGGGACGATGCTCAACCGGCCCTCAGCTTGCTGCAAGATATAAGACGCGGCTACGTCGACAGCTTGCCCCATCAGCACTGCTCGCTGGCGGACATCCAGCACGCATTAGGAGTCGGTAACACGGGCTTGTTCAACACAGTCATGTCTCTGCAGAAGGTAGCCGACGAAGAGAAGACGCCAGAGCAGCTTCGGTTTGAGACGGTCGAGGGCCACGACCCAAGTGAGGTATGATCATCCCCCCTCTACTCGATTGATCCTGGCATTGGACGCTATCACTAACTGACTGGGACCCTTAGTACAACATCACACTCAACGTGCTCGACGGCGATAAGGACATTGAACTGCACTTCACTTACTGGACCGACAGCCTTTCGGACAGTTACGCCGTAGACGTGGTCGAGGCAACTCTCCGCGCGCTGGATGCCATCGTTCAAGACCCCGGGCGTCCATTACCCGTCGTGGGCCTTCTGAGCGACGACAGCCGCGAGCGCATTCTGCACTGGAACAGTAGCCCACAGGTGCCCCTCGAGTCGACGGTACACGCGCTCATTGAAGCCCATGTCAAGGAGGTTCCGGATGCCTGCGCCGTCACCTCCTGGGAGGGCGAGCTATCATACGCCGAGCTGGACCGTCTTAGCACTCGTCTCGCATGCCACCTCCGCTCCCTCGGCGTCGGACCCGAAGTGACGGTACCCCTATGCTTCCGGAAGAGTCTGTGGACTGTGGTTGCCATGGTGGCTGTGATGAAAGCGGGTGGCGTCTTTGTGCCCTTGGACCCGTCTCACCCTCCCGAGCGTATCAGCATGATCGTCGAGCAACTCCCGGCGAGGCTTGTCGCCCTCACCTCGCCAGACGTCACCCATATTGTTTCCCATCTCGTCGACACCACCTTCGTCGTGACGGCAGATTCTCTCGAGCAGCTTCCAGGACAAGACAGCTCCTTGGTTCCATCACCTGTCGCCACGCCGGACAACGGGGTTTACATCATCTTCACCTCTGGCTCGACCGGCCTGCCCAAGGGTGTAGTGCTTGATCACCGTGCCGCGGCCACTGGCACAACGCTCCACGGGCGTGCAATGTCGTTTGGTAGGGACACACGCACCCTGCAGTTTTCCTCGTATAGTTTTGATGCCTGCATCATGGAGATCATCACCACCCTGGTACATGGCGGATGCGTGTGCGTGCTGTCCGAGGACGAGCGTATCAACGAGCTCGCAGCCGCCGCCAATCGACTCCGCGTCAACTGGGCGTTCCTTACCCCGGCCGTGGCCAGTACCATTGATCCCTCCGAGATCCCTACCCTTGGCCTCATCGCCATCGGCGGCGAACTCCTGGCTCACTCTGTCATCAAGAAGTGGGACTGCGGTACGTGCCGCGTAGTCCAGGTCTACGGACCGACAGAGTGCTGCGCCATATGTACCTACGACGACAGAACGGGGCTGCCTGTACGTCCCGAAGTCATCGGAAAGCCCATGGGCTGCAATACCTGGATCGTGGACCCTCGTGATCCCAACGTCCTCATGCCGGTGGGTGCCGTCGGCGAACTGCTCGTCCACGGCCCCATCGAGGCCCGCGGATATCTCAATGACGCTGACAAGACCCGGAGCGCCTTCTTGACGGGCCTTGCCTGGTTGCCCGATGAAATCAAGAACGACCGCCTGTACCGAACGGGAGATCTAGTCCGCTATAACACCGATAACACACTCAGCTTCGTCCGGCGCAAGGATACCCAGGTCAAAGTACGCGGCCAGCGCATCGAGCTCGGCGAGATCAGCTACCAGATCGGCGCCTCGCACGAGGCCATCGCAACACGCCTAGTGATGCTCGGCTCCGCTGGCAAGTTCGCCGGCAAGATCGTTGCCGTCCTGGCCTTCCGTGACCTGGGCAGCGATCAACAAGACGGGCCGCTGCAGGTGCTCGAGAAACAGGAGGACCAGATCCAGGCCCAGGCCAGACTAGTCGAGATCCAGAACTTCATCGCCGACAAACTCCCCTCGTACATGCACCCGGCCGCCATGATTGCCGTGAACGCCTTACACACCACCGTGGCGGGCAAAACTGACGCCCGCCGTGTGGCCGCCTGGGTCGACAACATGGACGACCAGACGTACAGCCGCATCATGAGCCTCGCCGAGACGGACGAGGTTCCTACGCCTGTCGGAGAGATCGAGCGGATCATCCACGCAGCTATCGGCGAGGTGGTGAACTTGTCTCTCCAGCAAGTCGACATGCGCCGTTCCTTCATCAGCTTGGGAGGGGATTCCATCACCGCCATGCAGGTGATGGCGCTCTGCCGCTTGAAGGGCATCTCATTGCCGGTGCAGGATATTCTCAAAAGCGCCAACATCACTGCAATGGCGGCCAAGGCCAAGAGACTCGGCCCCGGGGCCTCCGCCGGCGTCGAGAAGGACAGCGAGGAACACGAGCACGCCCCCTTCTCCCTGTCTCCCATCCAGAAGTTACACTTTGCCCAGTTCCCCGAGGGGGAGAACCACTACAACCAGAGCATGCTTCTCAAGCTGCAGCGTCCCGTCTCTGCCGTCGTAATATACAAGGCCCTCAGGGAACTGGTGCGGCGTCATCCGATGCTGCGCGCCCGGTTCGAAAAGAACTCTCGGGATGGCCAGTGGGTGCAGAAGGTGAACCTGGATGCCGATGAATCCTTCTCGTTTGTCAGTAACACTCTGGCTTCCTGGGACGAGGCTCAAGCCCTCCTGTCCGAGGCTGAAGAATCCCTCGACATCACTGACGGACCATTGCTCGCCGCCAGGTTCGTTCACGTCCCTGAATTCTCAGCCCTCTTCATGGTCGCCCATCATGTTGTCATCGACCTCGTATCATGGCGGATACTCCTCAGAGAGCTCGAGCAGCTCGTCGATGGTATATCACTTCCCAAAGCACCATCATCCTGGTCGTACCAGCGATGGGTCCGCAGCCTCGAAAGCTACTCAGAGGCGCATGCGTCGTCTGCCCTGGCGCTGGCTTTCACTGTCCCCGAGGCGAACTTGGGATACTGGGGAATGGACACGGCGACCAACGACTTCACCAACTTGGTCCACAGCCAATTTACGCTCAGCCCAGAGTTGACTGACGTTCTCCTTCGGGCAGCCGACAAGGCTCTGAAAGCCGAAGTCCTTGACGTCCTGTTGGCCATGGCCGCACACACCTTTGGGATCGTGTTCCCGGACCGGGCGATGCCCGCTATCCACACCGAGACGCACGGCAGAGATCATCCCTCAGGGGCAGATGTCGCGGCTCTGGTCCAAGAGACAGTCGGTTGGTTCACCGCCATTGCGCCTCTCGTCATCACCACTCACGGAGAAGACTACGTCGACTCTCTGATACTCGCCAAGGACATCCGCCGCGCCGTGCCGGGTTCGGGTGTGCCCTACTTCACGGCCAAGATGCTCCAGCAGTCGCAAGAAACGCCGCTGGAAATCCTCTTCAACTATCTCGGCAGGTTTCAGCAGCTTGAGCGCACCGACGGCCTCTTTAAATCACTACCCAAGTCCATGAGCCCCGTGGACGTCAACTTCTCCGCGGCCCGCCTCTCGCTGATTGACCTCTCGGCCGTCATCGAGCGGGACGCCTTGACCGTGTCCTGGAGCTACGACGGGAAGATGAAGCACCAGGATAGGCTCGTGAAGTGGCTGGCCTTGTACGAGCAGGCGTTGACCGAGGCCTCATCCGCACTGCACAAGGCTACTGTGCAACTTACCCGGAGCGATGTGCCCCTATTGCCGGTTTCTCACGAGCAATTAGGCCTGCTAAACGAGACGCTGGCTGCCATGACGCCCAATGGCATCGCGGGCATTGAGGACGTCTATCCGACTTCGCCCATGCAGCGCGGCATCCTCTTGAGTCAGTCAAAGGACGCCTCCCAATACGATGTCCATGCCGTCTGGGAAATCTACCCTTCCGAAGCCCGAGGCCAACCGATTGATGTGTCCCGCCTCCAACAGGCCTGGGATCGCGTCGTCCAGCGGCACCCGATGCTGCGGACCATCTTCGTCAGTGGCCTCCGCGAGGACAGCCCGTTCGATCAGGTAGTCCTCAAAGAGTTCCATCCGCTCATCACGTACTTTACCTACAACGACGACAAGGACGAGGACAACGCTATCGCCCTGCACCGGCTTTGGGAGGCTGCTCGAGGCGGATTCGATGCCAACGCCCCGCCCCATCGTCTTGCCATATGCTCCAGCCCCGGGGGCAAGGTATTTGCCCACTTCCAAGTCAGTCATGCCTTGATCGACGCAACCTCGCTGCAGATTCTCCTCCGAGACTGGAATCGCGCGTACGCCAGCGACGTTGGCGCGTTTGTCGGCCCGTCCTATTCCAGCTACATCGCCCACATCCAACAGACCAAGCTGGAAACATCGCTACGCTTCTGGATGGGCCAGCTCGAAGGCGCCGGCGCCAGTCGACTGCCCCGGCTGACTGACGGCGTCGTCCCGGCAGACCCCCGGAGCCTGAAGCGGCTCGACGTCGACATCCCGTTCGGGGCCCGTCTCCGGGCCCTCGCAAAGCGGCTCAACATCTCGGTGGCCAACATCTTCCAGCTCGCCTGGGCGCTGGTGCTCCGCTCTTACACCAATTCCCAGGACGTCTGCTTCGGCTACATCACCTCGGGCAGAGACGTGGAGCTCGACGGCGTCCAGGACGTGCTTGGCCCGTTTATCAACATGCTCATCTCCCGCGTCGTCTTCGACGAAGGCAAGACGGCCACGTCCATGCTGCAGAAACTGTTCGGCACATACCTCGACAGTCTGCCACATCAGCACGCGTCCCTGGCTGACATCAAGCATGCCCTGCAACAGGTTGGCGAGCAGCTTTTCAATACAGTACTCTCGTTCCAGAAGGTGTCCGCTTCGGGCGGCGCAGGCCAGGCACAGGAGTCTCCAATTTCCTTCCGCTCTATTCGAGGCGCTGATCCCACAGAGGTAAGTAGTTATTCAATCATGGCGTTGGTAAAGAAAGTAGGGCTAACACAAGCTTGCACCAGTATGATATCACAGTCAATGTCATCGAATCCGACACCACCATTGACCTGTCGTTTGTCTACTGGACCTCGTCTCTGTCCGAATCCCAGGCCAACAACCTCTCTTTGTGCCTGCTTCAATCCCTCAAGGCCATCGAAGCCACCCCAGACCAAGCCATTGGCGGTCTCGACCTCTTGCCTGCGGAACATGTCGCCCAGATCACGAGCTGGGGCGACCGCCTGCCCAGCCTTGTTGACAGACGTATTCACGACCTGTTCGGCGACATGTGCCGCGCTGATCCCACGGCACCCGCCGTACGTGCGTGGGACAAGGACTTCACCTACGCGGAGCTCGACGACGCTTCTTCACGCCTGGCTGGCCTCCTCCTCCAGCAAGGGCTCCAGCCTGATACCTTTGTCGCCCTGTGCTTCGAGAAGACTGCTTGGGTCGTTGTGGCCTCCCTCGCCGTACTCAAGGCGGGCGCCGCGTTGCTCCTCTTGGACCCTGAAGCGCCGCAGGAGCGGATGCGAAACATGATGCGTCAGGCCAGCGCGTCCCTAGTTCTCTGCTCTCCGGCTTGTAGGAACACAGTGGAAGATTGGGACATGAGCCGCATCGTCGTCAGCGGCGAGTTCTTGTCCGCTTTGCCCTCCTTTACAGGCCCTTTCCCCGACATCGCCAGCTCCAGTGCCGCATACATCATCTTCACGTCGGGCACGACCGGCACGCCAAAGGGTGCGGTGATGGAACACGGCTCGTACTGCACCAGCGCCATGGGACAGGCAGCCTCCATGTCCATCGGGCCAGAGTCCCGCTGTTTGCAGTTCGCGTCCTTCATCTTTGACGCCAGCATGATCGAGATGATCACGCCCCTGCTCGTGGGCGGCTGTGTCTGCATGCCACGCAGACAGGACATGGTCAGCGACCTGCCGCGGGTTATGAGGGACATGGACATCAACTGGGCCATCCTGACGTCGTCTTTCCTGCGTACCATGAGCCCCGACACGGTGCCTTCTCTCAAGACGCTGTTCCAGGGCGGCGAGCCCATGTCTCAGAAGGACATCGACATCTGGGCCGACAGAGTCTCCTTGGGCAACGCATACGGACCCAGTGAATGCAGCGTCGTGGCCGCCGCCCATCCGCGCGTAAACAAGGCCACCGAGCCATCCAACATTGGCTATCCCTCCGGATGCACTCACTGGGTCACCGAGCCGGCCGACATGCACCGTCTGGTCCCCATCGGATGCATTGGCGAGCTCCTTCTGGAGGGCGCAACACTGTCGCGCGGCTATATCAACAACCCTTCCAAGACAGCCGAGGCGTTCGTCTCCGGTCTGACCTGGGCACCGCGCATGAGACGCACTCTACAGACGCGCTTCTATGCCACAGGCGACCTGGTGCGCCTCAACTCGGACGGCTCCGTGACCTTTGTAGGCCGCAAGGACAACCAAATCAAGATCCACGGTCAACGTATGGAGCTGGGCGAGATTCAGCATCACCTGTCGGCCGTCACTGAGATCCGGCACTCCATGGTCCTGAGTCCGTCGGAGGGCCCGTTGCGCAAGCGCCTGGTGGCTGTTCTCGAGCTCAAAGAGTACTCTGGTTCTTCCTCCTCGGCCAACACCCCTGACGAGCTTCGTCTCATCGATCCTTCTCTACGTCCCCAAGCGGCGGAGAGCGTTCGCCGGATCCGCGAAACGCTCAGCCGCCATCTCCCCGCATACATGGTTCCATCCACTTGGGTTGTTGTCCAAGGCATCCCGACTATGATATCCGGAAAACTGCACCGGCCCGCGGTCCAGGCCTGGGTCGAGAGGGTCGATAACGACACCTATCGGGAGATGCAAGCGGCAGGCGACGTAGCGAGCAAGCTGGACCCCAGCGAGACTGTTGCCCTGCAAATCAGCCAGAAATTGAGCGGGCTTCTCAGCAATACCTCCGTCGCCGATGCCACGGGAGACATAGTCGGCAAGGACGTGGTGCCGATGCAGTGTGGCCTGGACTCCATCTCGGCCATTCTACTGTCCACCTGGATTCGCAAGACGTTTGACGTGAATGTTCCCTTGTCAACCTTTCTGTCGTCTGAGACCAGCGTCCGGAAGCTGGCCATCCTCATCGGGGAGAAGGCTGCTCCGAGCTCAGAGAGGCCCGTCCAGCCAGGAAATCCGGCGGCGGCGCAAGTAGCAGTACCCCTCAAAGGAGACGTTGACCTGCGATCCGAGTTCCAAACGCTAGACCGGAGACTATCTGAGCTGCCCATGGCAGAGACAGAGACAGAGACAGAGACAAACAGCTCCACGGCGTCCCAAACCCCATCTTCTTTCCTTGTGACGGGCGCCAGCGGCTTCCTCGGCAGCCAGATCGTCAAGCAACTCCTCCAACGGCCGGAAGTATCCCGGGTCATTTGCCTTGTCCGCGCCGAGAGCGACAGCCAGGCAAAGAAGCGCATGATTGACGCCTGCAACAAGGGCCAGTGGTGGCAGCCCGAGTTCGACACCCGCCTCGAAGCTTGGAGCGGCGACCTGGCCAAGCCGCATCTGGGACTCGACGATGCCCGGTGGGCTCGCATCACCGGCGGTGAAGTCGACGCAATCATCCACAACGGCGCCGTCGTCCACTGGCACGTCGGCTACCGTGATATCAGCGACGTCAACGTGGGCAGCACCGTGGACCTGCTCTCAGCGCTTTCAGCCGCCCCAGTGCCTCCGCGCCTCGCCTTCGTCACCGGCGGCTACTTGGCCGGTGTACACGAGTCTGACGATGATATCCTAGACCTTCTCTCTGACGCCGACGCCGACGGCTACTCTCAAACCAAGTTCGTGGCGGAGCTGCTCGTCCGCCGCCACGGGGAGCGGCTGCGGCGTGCTCGTCCCGGATCGCCGGCCCCCGTCGTCATCAAGCCGGGCCTCATCATCGGCGACGTCGAGCACGGCGTCTCCAACCTCGACGACTTCCTGTGGCGTGTGGTGGCCTCGGCCGTCCGCATCGGCGGGTTCAACGTCCAGGAAGCCGACGATCCTGACGCGTGGCTTATTGTCGCCGGCAGCGACCAGATTGCCTCTGCTACTGTCGACGCCTGCCTACTGCCAGCCTCTACCGCCGCCGCCGGACCGTCGTCTGTCCGCTTCGTGGATGGTGTCAGCGTGAAAGCCCTCTGGAGGCTTCTGATCGACGAGTTCGGCTTTCCCCTCCGTCCCATGGCCCGCCAGGAATGGCTCCGGCGCCTCGAGGAGGACATGGACAACGAGGGGCCCAGTCACCCTCTCTTCCCGGTATTCGGCTTCCTCCAGCAGAAGCAAGGCTCCATTGGAATGCCGCGGATGACGGACGGGGAGCCCGTGTTTTCTCAGGAGGAAACGTTGCTTCGCCTGAGACGGAGTATCAGGTATCTCAAGGACATCGGCTTGTTTGCAGCTTCTGACGGACGCGGCCCCAACGCCACCCCGGCCTTCCACTCTGTCTTCCGCCGGCTCGGTCTCAAGTCGGCAAAGACAGCCTTCTTTTAGATTCCCAAAGTAACTACAGAATGGGATTAACCGTGCGTGTGTGTAGTGTTGATTTCGGTACAAGTCAGAGAGTTGTGTTAGACCACATGCGTTTGCATCAATCGTTGCCAGTAATACTATTTTGCTTTGCTTTCCCTCGCCTCCAGCTTCCATGTCCTAATCGTCAAATAACAACGGCCTTTTCTTCTCTTTTAGGACCCACCAGTGTTCGACATTTAACCTCAATCATCTTCCCTCCGGCTCGCGGGCATCATCAATGCCCAACTCGCAGGGTAAGCTGATCCTGACAACTTCAGGACGTAACCGCGTTGGCAAACTTGCTGTGTACTGGACGTCCAGCAAATCTGTGGGTTGGGGAAGGAGTCACCCAATGTCTCATCGCCACAGCACCTGTGCTCTCTATTTTCAATAGCATGATAAAATACTCGTGTTGTAACAAAAATATGGTGACATGTGGCGATTCTGACACACACATCGCAGCTCATACCGAGGATTGACTCTAAACTATCATGGACGTCTATCGAAGGAAACACTTTGGCTCGAATCCCATCATTCTTCATCGGCGTCTTCACTGGGCAGCCTCACCAGTAGCAGGAGAGCAAGGGCCAGGGCGACAAGCAAAGCAATTCCGAGGTACGGCAGTCCGATCCAGAAATGGCCCAGTTTCATCCCCGCGGTGAATAAAGCCGCCAGCATGGGCTGTGCGTACACATTACCCACCGTCTCAACGATAGACATGATGGAGTATAGCCTAGTTCGATGCGCGGCGTCCACATATATCGTGGCTAAGCTACGTAGATGGCTGCCCCAGCCGGCCCCTAGTGATAGGATGGCCAGACCGAGGATAAATGTGCCTAAATTTGGCGCCGTAGACATGACGGAAGAACCAATCAGTAGTACCACAGAAGATGCCCGTATGAGGAAAAGGTCGCGTTGGCGGGAATTTGGGATGCGCGCTGGTGCGGCGAGGAAGCTTGCCACGGCTGGGAGGATCCAAAGAATCGAGATTGCCGTGGCGAAGCCGTAAAGCGACGATAGATAGCCGGTCTGTGCGAGGGAGATGTGATATCGCTTAGAGGCCAACTGCGACATGAGCTGCATCGCCGACTGGGCGAGAGGGAAGACAGCGAGGCTGGCTAAGAGAAGCAGCACGAGAGACGGTGACTGGAAAACGGCCAACGACTCTCGAATCCGGACGAGGGCGTTCTCAATAGCACCGACAACGCCATGCTTAGACGGTGCCTGCTCGGCAACGTGGTCTTGTGGCTCCTTGCTAGCCGGCTTCACCTCTAGGAGGATGTGAACGGCGACGGCCAAAAGAAGGAAGCCGCCAATGGCAAGCCGGACAACAAACCAGGGGCCAACCTTGTCCATAATCCCCCCCGAGACAGCCGGTGCCACGAGGTTGCCGAGCATGCCGCTGAGATAGGCACGCATAAAGGCCGTTGTCCTAGAATGTCTTCAGCGGTGATACTAGCGTGCGAGCAACGGACTCGAGTGAGAGTACATAGCAAGAAGCTTACCTTTTCTCCTCGGTGACGACGTCTGAGACCATGCTGAAGAGCGCCGCCGTAAGCACTGCATTGCCGCCTCCAATGACCTCCATGGCCGGCCCCAGCCAGATGGCCTCAAGGGGCAGCGTCCTTGGAAAGGCGCATACAAAGGCGAACCATAGGAGATCCAGGGTGATGCCGATGACGGCGATGCTAAGGACAGGCCTGCGTCCTATCCTGTCAGCGACAATGCCCCAGGGAAACGTGCAGGTCGCGCCCACGGTCGCCTGGATGGCGGTGTAGACGGCGAGGATGTAGGCCACGCGCTCCTGGATCTCGTCCGCCTTGCAGAGGCCCTCGTCGATGGGACTGACCGTGTCGAGGAGCCCGTAGTGCGTCCTGCAGGCAATGTCCTCGACGAGGCGTATCGCGGGGATGGCCCACAGCCCGCTGGATGAAGCGCCTAGAAGAACGAGCCCACAAACGGTGAGCACGAAGGCACCGGGATCATGGACCTTGGGGATATGAACTTGCGGCCGGCCTTCGGGCGCGGAATCGGCGACGAGCGGAGTCGTTTCCGTCGACGTCGGCATTGGAGACGCTGAACTAGGCGATGAGGGCATGATTAAACCTGGTGGCTGTTGTTGGTGGCTGGCGTTCCGATGGTAGAAAATGGTTGTTAAACTGGAATTGGAATGGTGGGCTGTGTCCAGGAATAAACTTATGTTCCTGTTATATTATCTACCTGGTTAATTATAGCTATAAAAACAATACAGGTGCCCTCAACTTGAGCTTAAAATAGCACAGCTGGTTAATCCACCAGTTGGATTAACTTCTAAGTATGTAGTAGCTGCGCCGTTTTGAGCACAGTCTAGGGTAGTGCCCACTTATGTTCATAACTGTAATTGTCCAGGTATATGATGTGTCTTGGATTCTGACCTTGTCTTACGAAACCTCTGATATATCGATATCTTGACCTTAGTAACAGGGGCTGTGACATGCAAGGAAACTCCTCTCGAGAAAACAGGGGACAGGAGGCATCAACGCCTAGGAAGGGGTGGAGGACAAGATCGTCCTCGGATTCCATGTGGGAGCCACCGGTGTTGGGAATGTCGGTCCCGGAACGACCTGGTCTAGGGGCCACGCGAGCAACGGGTGGTCGCACTATCTCGATGGAAAACGCGTCGTCTTCTTTTCCGGGGTCAAGGTCAAGTACGGCATGTTTGGGCCTCGAAGAGAGGCCCAGAATAAGTAGCGAGGTCAGCCTACCGACAAGTTCTTAGTTCACAGATTGAGTGACAAAGGCGATGGGGAGGTCCAGACGAGCGTGGCATAGATAGAGGTTCTAGGTGACGATTACGATGTAGCAAGGTAGGGGAACGGATGTTGAGGTAGTCGTTACTGTCCACCCTCGTTTTTCATGACTTTTTATCTCGGCAATGCTGGCACTTGGACTATGCCCCTGGAAAAACAGAAGTTGGATTATTTTCTGCTTCAAAATATTTTAAATCCTTAAGCATCAGTACTCCAAGTGTCAGGAAGATCGCGTCTATTCATATCGCATTGTCAAACAATAGATTGATCTCTCTTTGAAGGCGGCCATATCTCCATTCTGGCTGAGTTGCTCGGAACAGCCTATTCTCTAGTCTAATTCCGGTGAGGACTAAACTTGCGCCAAGATGTTCCGTTATCTCCCCGGTATCGCCGCCTTAATATAAGCTGGCTGGAGACCAGCACCGCGTGGCTTGAGAACCGGCTTAGCTGGCTTGGCCGGCATCAACTTGCTGGGCAATAGAAATCTTGGGTTGGCGTTATATAATTACCAGGCTATATAATATACTCGGCCGAAAGATATCTCAAGTTTATACTTATAATTTTTTTTCAGTCCAGATTTTCGCGCTGCAGCTTGTAGCTTTTCAATAAGAGCTGGGTTAGTCTCTATTAACTCTATCAGTTTGATTTGGAAGCTATAGAGATAGTAATAATTTGGATAGAGCTCTGCGGTCTGTATTATACTAATATATAAAAAAAGAAAAAAAAGAAAAAAGAGAAAAAAGAGAAAATAGAAAATAAAAGCAGTATTTAATAATAGATATTTAGCCCCCTCTATTTCAGCTTCTATAGAAATTAGTATAAGTAGAATCCGCTTACTACCTAGTAGTTAGAGTTAGATACTGTAAATCTAGCAGTTAGGCTAGGTAAAGAAACCTTCCAGAACTTTACTCCGCTTTAAAGTTCCTCCAGGCACTTTAGCCGGGGCATTCATTCCAATATAGCGCATATATCAAAGCACGTAATTATACCACCTTTAAATTTGGCCCGAAATAGCTTGCGCTCCTAGATTATTAAGGCTTAGGTATAGCACAGCCATCTAAAAGCTGTCGGGGTTAACTGCCGAAACTACTACAACCACCAGTCTACAAACTTCGGTTTATCACAGTAGTATACACACACCCGCAATAGACGTTTTGACCCACAAGCGGGCTTTTCTAGGTACTACATAGTCGAGAACAATACCACGTAACCAGAGCTCAGGGGCAGGACGAGCAAAGTGAACGGAATGAGAGGCTTGTTGATCTTGTCCATAACTGCAAACATAGCTGGGAACTCATCAAGATCAGATACGTCAACGACATCCGAGTGAAACACAACAGCACCTCCTGTCCTCAACGACTGACTACGGGAATAGTGATGGAGCTGGCTTGCACTCCGCCAGTGAAGATGCGGTTAACGGCATTACGGTGATAAGACTCGTCGTAGTCGCGCTCCCACCCAGCGATTCGGCCTCGACCCTCGGTAGGAGATATCTCGACGCGAAGACGTCGCCCGACCAGGATTCGTCCAGTCGCCGGCAGAAGCTCCACCTCGACCTGCACAACCTGGTTCGGAGTCAAAGGCTGGGCGTCTTGACGTCGATGCGTGTGCCAGGGACGCTCAGGAGTGCTGCGAGTGGGATCAACCGCCCGGTGCGAGATCTTGAGGCAACCCCAGGTTAGCGGAGCAGCCGATCCGGGCTCGCGGGTTCGATGTTGGTATGTAATAAGTAGTGAAGTTTGGATGTGATTACTATCGGACTTTGTACTGATTCGTACCATGCGAAGGTGGTCAAACCCAGATCAATAACCCCCAATTTCGAGAGGGAGCTCGAGGCTTCGTTGGCGATGACGATGCCGTTGAGGATGAGGATGGCGATGATCGTAATAACGATGGCGATACCGATAATGATACCGATATGGCGAGTCCAATCCGATTCGTCTTTGCTGGGGACGGCTATGGTGATGACGATGATGTCCTCGGTAAGTAGTTCATATATGTGGTGAAACCAGCAAGTATTAACTGTAATGTTAGGCGTTGAAGATAAGGGGCATTCCGAGGATCATGCAAGCGAACTTGGTGTGCTTGAACAAGACGAGGATGTCGATATGAACTATGACGAAGAAGTCGACGAAGATGTCGACGCCGATGCTGATGAAGTTGCCGATGAAATTACCGATGAAGAAGACGATGAATATGGTAAAAAAGATGTCGAGAAAGATGTTAACGAAAATGGCGAGAAAGATGTCGATGTCAACAACATCATCGTCGTTGAGGACGACGACGACGACGATGTGATCATGATTGAACCACCATCCCTGGACAACAATATCGAAGCCTTGTTAGGATATCCCGCAATTACCCCCAGGTCTTCCACAACAAATGAGCCACAGCGCGATTTGCTTCAGTTAAACGTGGAAGATCTAGGTATAAATCATCTCAACGATGACCAGGCCTCGTGGAAGGAGGCCTGTCGGTTCTTCCTCCACGATGAGGCTGATACCGGTACAGGTGTTCTACTTCCGGGCTTCCAGAGAGTTTGCTACAACTACCAGATGCTAGACGTCTTCAAGATGTTGCAGCCCTGTGCCTCGATGCAGCAGAATGGAACGCTCAACTGTAGCAAGCCTGGTATGGGGAAGACACTTGAGGCATTGCTCACCGCTGGTGTTATTGCACTTGCTCACATGAGCGAGGATCATTACCGGCAGAACGTGGCCAGCCATCGGTCCATGAATGTAGACGACGAAAGGTGCCTGCTCGATCACCCTTTCGGCATCATGTGCTACTGTATCCGGGACAGTTTTACGCGCGATATATGCAGGATGACCCAGCGAGCTCCGCATTTCGTAGTTACGAAAGCTGGTATCGTTCAGCAATGGATCAATGAAGGTAGCAGTTGGCTAAGTCCGGTCGTGATCCTTCGGGACGGATCCGAATATCTCTCCGAGTCGCTATTGTTCATGGCCTCGATCACCAATCGGACAGTCAAATGGGAAGGGCGGCATGGACGAACAATGAGCAAAGTCGGTGCCTCTGCCTTCCTCGATCAGTGCTTCACCACCGGCAAGTTACCAAGCCGGGGCGACGTTCTCAAATTCAATAAGATGACACCGGCTGAGGCTAGGGCAGTCGGTGATGAGGCTGTTTTTACCTGGAGCATGACTGAAGCCTCGAAGATGGACAAAGACTTCAAATGCAAGGTCAAAGAGACTCCGTTCATCCACGTTGGAGCTGAGGCCGTTGCGAGGGAGCGCCTAGTCCTCGTGTGCAGTGCTCCGGCGGTATCTGGGGGTGTTTTGGACAATCTGTTCGTGCGCAAGCTTGATGTTGTCGGCCACAACATTAAAAGTTCACGACGGATTACTATCAGACCCTGCTTCCGACCGTCGACTTTGTATTATGATGAATGGGTTGATGCGAAAAACAAGGACACGAATCTGGTCAATACATTCAAGGACATATGCAACGTCGATCATCTCGGACGGATCGATAGGCCGCTCGTTTGTCTCCTAAGCGCAACACCGATGCCCTGTGGTCCCAAAGATCTAGTAGGTGTTTTCCCTCTTCTTACCGTCGATCCTGATGTGTACCAGACAATGTCCGACCTGATCAGGATATACAAGAAGGCATTTAACTGTACAAGTCGATCACACAAAGGGGGGGAGAATCCTGAACTAGTGAGCAACAAGGGTGGGGGCGAAGAGAGGTCGAACTGGTTCAACGCGGCCGGAGATATCCTTGGCAAGTATATGTTCCATCGCAACTTTAGCATAAAGTTCCTCGATACTGTTATCGAGGACAGACGAACATCTGTCAAGATCTATCCTCCACGATTTTGTAACAACCCGTCGTCACAACCTAGGCGGGAGGCGGAGATGAGACAAGCGATCCGGGAAAAAGTCAAGTCCATGGAAAAAGTCAAGATCAAATCCTCACAGTTCGAGGCCATTTGCAGAAGCCACGAGTTTCAGAAGATGCTACGATGCAGCGTCATCCCCGGACTCTTGAATCTCAATGCTGAAGATTGGGAACTCATCTTTTCCGAGGATAAAGACACGGCGGACGGCGCTATCTACTGGAACCTGCAGGCGCTTAAGTGTGAGCAGCTTACCATTCTGCAACGCCTAATCAAGTCATCCGACCACGGCAAGCACGGCATCATCTTGGCATTTTCTCCTTTAGTTGTGTCGATTGCTGCCGCTTGGCTTAGCCGATATTTGGGTGACGGCTTTCGCATCGTCAAGTTACGGCCAATGATCCGAAGCCAATAGAGAGGCCAAAAATGGTCAAGGATCTCCAAAGTTTCTCGGAAAGGTACCCCGACACGCAGATCGTGATTTTGTCTACCTACGAACTGCTTTCTACTGGAGTAGATGGACTGCAGCTTTTTGCCAGCTATCTTGTGAAGCTGGGAGAGCCTATATCCGTCAAGCATGATGAGCAATGTATTGGACGTATTCACCGCAATGGACAGCAGCACGATTTAAGTGTCTATAGCGTGCACGGTGCTGTGAATTCCCCTGGTTGGATTATGTACAAGAAGAATCGTGCGAATTTCGAGTTGTGCGAGTTGTTGAAGGCAGGCGGAATCCTGAAGGATTTGGGTGTTAGGACGGATTAAAGAAGAAAAGGTACGGCAGGCTCACTACAGAGACAGAGCCAGCCAACTGAGGCTTTTGACCACGAAGGTTAGACTACCAGGGAGGGGCGCTTAGGCTCTCCAAGTTGCGAGGCAGGTCAATTGTCCCGTCAAAATCAGACACTGACTGGATTTGGTATTTGGATGGATTGGGCTTCTTCCGTCCTACTTTGATTTGCTGTATGGCTGTTCCCCCATTAGGGTTCTAGTTATCAGTGGCATATTCGAGATTGCGCATGCTTATGGTCAGCTATCTCTTCAATGCGTGTGCAGCCTCATTAAATCAGTTCGCTCAGTACCCCTCTCTTTTTCGTTCTTTGTTTTCTCCTTTATGGCAAATAGCGCTTTTTGACTCGGCCATGACTCACGGACGTAGGGTGTTTGCAATTTTTCAATTGTGGTGCACGCATGAGACCAACAACGCAAATGAGTGGTCCACCCATTGTGCTCTTTGTTCATGTCAACACACACACACATACACACACATACACACATGTTCCTTCAACCTCTTCCCACCTTGAAGTCATCGTGTCGCAACGGATATTGTAAGCAATCTATCTCTTCTCCCGCTCTCATTCTTCGTCACGATCTGACCGCCGTCGCCCGCATCGATCTCCTGCATACTAGATCACTACTTAACCACTAACTTAACTTACCCACCCAGGTTGTTAGCAATGCCCACTATGTCCCATACGAGGCGTAGTATAAAACTTTTGTCGACCCTCGGAGCCGAGTACAGCTATGATTTCCTGGGTATGTCCTCGGGCGAACTTCCATGTCTCTTTTGCGTTGCGCAGAAGCATCACAATGTTACACGTTGTTGCCTTCATGGTGCACCAAAGGGGATTTGTGCGAAGTGTCAGTACCATGCAATAGAGTGCAAAGTAGAAGTTACGCAGATTCATTTTTCATCGCAAATCCCTTCCCTCCGCTTCTCTTCCCTCTATCCTACACGTCCACTTGTCGTCGCCCAGTACTATTGCGGGTGGGAGGGGGAATACACGACTAATGCGAGTCTACCAGATTCCATACTATCTAATAGATGCCTCTATTTGGTACTGGAACTACCTTACTATCCTGAGAGATCGAGAAGCTGAACGGTATGGGTTGGAAGCGCCGGGCGCCCTCGAGCGAAGTCGCATCCATAAAGCTATTAAGAAGGCCGCTCTAGCCTGGAAGAAGATGCTCGACATTATAGATAATCCGATTGTAGACCTGATACCAGGCGCGTCGATTTTGGTCAAGCACTATAGGGACGAGGTCTCTTGTAAACGTGCTCGCCGCACATTTGGCCCTCAACTCAAGGTAGGACTGACTGACTGACTGGTTGGATAGTCTAGTCTTGGTTCTGTCGGCTAATCTTTCTTGTGGCAGACGGTCATAATCCCTAAGAGTAGCAAAGCCGGGTCCGTTATTGAGCAGAAAATCGTAGAGGATTTTCGCCGTCGAGAACATAACGTCATAGATGCTCTCCTGTTTTCCTTGGAGACGTTGGCTTCCGTCAACAACGATCATGAGGTTTTGCATCAGAATAATAGTAGCGGGGCTGCTGGCGACAGAGCTATCAATACTGAAAGGCAGGAAGATTCGGCCCATATCACGGAGACGAGCGAGGACACTGGTATACCGACGCATACGTATCCCAAACTGGGTAATGATCGGCTGGCCAGTCCCAATGGGGTTCCCGAAGCCTCTCTCGAAGGGCGACGTGCCGTTCTGTCGGCCAGAAATTCGACTTCATCGCCTGTCTCGACTCAGCTTCCGGCTGTAGCCATCTCGCCTTGCAGGAAAGAAGAAGAAGAAGCAATAGCTATAGAATCTGGTCTGGGTCCCATGGAGTCCTCCTCCGCTCCTCCTCGGTCGGATAGGAGGCGGGCGAAGCGCGACCTAGCGAAGCAAAAACGTCGCCGTATCGTCTTGATCACGCGCCCCTCCGATCACGGGCACGAGTACGGATAGACGCCCACGAACTCGAAGACGCGACAGAAAGACTCTCCGAGTCTTTCAAGCCAACGTCGGCAAGATTCCCCCGGTCGTCGCGAGAGGGCCACCATGAAAAAAAATAAACTGTGGTTCTGCTGTGGCATGGGATAATACAATGGCTACGCATGATGAAATGGCAGCAACTTAACCCAAATACAACAAATGAAGACATGGCGGAGACGACTATATAGTTCTGGACTAAGGCCGTTCTGAAGTTGGTTAAAGGGCGAGTTAAGAAGAGTATGGTTGCCGATATTGGTGGAGGCTGAAGCCATCATGGCGGCAATCAATGTAAGCGACTTCAACAAGTCGAGAGCAAACCCGCATTTTCAGACGCGCGCACCTGTGAATTGCTGACATTGGCTCGATTCATTCTGACTAACTTACTCCCTCTACAGGCAGAGCTCAAGATGATTCTCATTGGTCCTTGAAGGCCTTCTCGCCTGAGCCCTGAGCCCGAATCGTAGGGCGGTCAGAAATGGCAGAATGACTCAGCAACCCACAAAAAGTGGACGAACAACATTGCTGCCTACGGAATAGTAGGTACCTGGTACCTTATTAGCCGAGGGTCGTCCGTTCTCCACATATGTTGTACGCGCTGCAAATCACCCTCTCCATCTTCTTTCCTCTGTTATCAACTGCACACTCTCAAACACCATGGACAGCGGCGACTCGACACAGCCATTTTCATGGTCTGGGTTAGTAAACCAACCCCGGGCGAACCCGCAGTCTACGCGGCTAGCCGTGCCGCTCTGCTCGACAGCGCCCTGCGTATAGAATGCTCCTTCGCAGCCGAGACCGGGAAATTCCGACCCTGCTCATCAGGCTCACCTGTTGACAGGACCGGGGTCTCGGTGGCCGCGGACAGTGAGTAGCGGATTTATTTCGATAAGCCGCGGAAGGTGATCGCTAGCGGCTCTGCTTGCGATCCCCTTGCTCTTTGTCTCGCTTCCGTTAGCGATGCTTTCTATACTGCAGGTCGCTTCGTGCGCTGAGCGGCGGGACTATTCTTTAAACCAACTTTCCGCCTTGGGGAGGATGCTATGTGCATACTATTTGCACATGGATCAAAGTGAAGCCTGCTCTTGCTTATTCATTAGACATACTGACGCATTTTGATTCCAGGCATCATCGGGTACCTGAGGCTTATTACGAGACATCGGCTATTTCAGGTTCCAGCAAGCAAGAAGAACAAAACACAGAGACCATAGATTTTTCTTGTCTTCCCAGTGTGGTGGGGTAGGAGACCACCGACGGCAAGCAATCGACTCAGAATCTGCACCTCGACTCGTACTTGGATCCCTCCACCAACTCAGCCTTCTTCAAACTGCATGGCCGCATCTTTCTGAGGAAGTTCGGCAAGGATAACAAGCAGGCCATTTATCTTTTTATCTATCCCGAAAACATTCAGACAATAACGTGGGAGACTGCAAGCCATTTCTCAGGTACAAAACAGGATACAGGTCACTCATTGTGCCTCTCGTTGTTGAAGCCACCTGACTTGGTTATCCCCAAAAACCGTCCCCTGGAGGCGAAGAAGAATACCCAAAACCTGCTGAACTCGATCCTGGCCCTCGCAAAAGCGACTACACTCACCGCCTACTTCAGCGACAAAGAAACGGACCAAGGGACGCGGCAGCAGTTGGCATCGGTGGCGTCTGTCTTCTCCAAGCACAGGGACAACCGGCTGCTTGTCAACAAGGAGCGAGCAAATCTCACTACGTTGTACGCAGGCATTGGTGGTCAAATCTTTGACTTGAACCCCAAGCCTAGTTCTGAAGTGGCCCCGCCCCCATCATACAACAAAGTCGCCCCCAGTTCCAGACAACCCCATGGTAAGCACAATACATTTACTACTCGTTCCACAGACTAACTCGACCCAAGGCAGGAAACGCCGACGTACCAGCAACCCCTCTTCCGATGATTCTGAACCCATTCTCTCCCTCCTTAAAACGATGAATAATAAACTTGACAATCTGGGCATCCGGTGTGACGATTTTGACAACCGCTTAACAAAGCTTGAAGAACAAGTTTCGAGTACTCATAGTCCCTGCCGATATGGGTCAGAGGAGAGGACAGTCCTCTTGCAGGATATCCACGAGGAACTGGAGGACTCGGTACTGGATATACGGTGGGAAGTGCGAGACGATCTTAATGACGTGATTAACGAGGCTAGGGAGGACATTGAACAGTTGAAGAATCCGGAGATCATTAAGCAACTGATAGACGAACATGTCAAAGATGTGCTAGACCATGCAAATGTTGAATTGAAAGGAAATGTATCCTTGAAATTTAACACATAATATAATATAAGCACTGTTTGAGTTTTTAAATCATTTTTAGCCTCTCTACCTCCAGGAAGCTGGACAGTTGACGCGTCCTGAATGTTATTCTGTGTCTCCGGGTCGCCCACTTTGAGTATTGCTATCCGGACAACTTTCCTATCACATAACCATATTTCCCGCCCCGACAGAGCAGCCTGAGACCAGCCCTAAAAATGTCAACAGCAAGATCACAAGGCTATATAAAATACAAGGGGCAGGGGAATGAGAGGTGGACGGGGCCGCAGAGGCCGGGGCGGCGGCGGCCGGCGGCACTGTCTTCAGCTATAAAGGTCATCCCGGCCACATACCCCCACAGGGAAACACCGGGGACACATTCTCTAAACGACCTAACTGCAGCTGGGCTCGCAAGCTGCTATATTATGTAGTTAACTTAACCCACTTAATATTTATTATACTCTCTGATTTATATTGTAATTTTAGTGTGGCTGGGGGAAGATGCAGAAGGGTGAAAAAAGGTTGTCCGGATAGCAATATGGGGTTGTCCGAATAGCAATATCCGGGGGCTTAACTAAGCAAACTCTACTAGGCCTAGGCCGCCCTTACTTTTTTAAAGAGAGGGTAATAGAATCTGTAACTGTATTGTATATATAACCTGTTAAATTAGAGGGATAGAATATTAGGGCTTTAGGATATTATATAAGGAATAGAGGTTTTTTTAAGATTAATTTAAGTAGAGTTTATTAAGTTTTTAATCTTTTAAACTTATATTAATTAATAATAAAAAGCTAAACTTTTTTAACTTTAAAAAATAAAAGTTATAATAAATAAATATAATATATATATATAAAGTTATTTATTAATTATTTAAATAAAAAGCAACTTAATATATAAAACTGAGATTATTAAGATCTTAGCAGCTTCTTATTTAAAATCCAATTTAATATTAAAATTAAAATTAATATAAAAATCTACCTAAGTTATAATATTATAGCAGTAGCTATAAAATATTACTAAGGTAGAGGAATTAATAGCAGCTACTTATTATACACAAGCTCTATATACAGCATAGAACCACCCACCTTCTCTATTCACACCTAAACATCCTTCTATCCAGCCGTCCTTCCCTATTTAATTATGTCCTCTCTCTAACCTCGCCGCGACCACTTAAGCAATGCTCTGGATGTGTATTATAGAATAGTGTTACATATCAGCCCTGCCCCACTACAGCAGCTGCCTGGTGGCAGCTGCTACTGCCTAAACAGGCAATGTTTTCATTTGTGTATAAAGAGCTGCACGACTCAGTGCATCTTGTCATTGAGTTCTTGCTCCTTAGATAATTCTCATCAATTCACTGGTGCCATCAATGATCCCTGTGGAGCCAATTGTCTGACATTCCTACTGTCCTAGGCCGGGTATGGTTACTCCAAATTCAGCTCACTCTCAGCAAGGTCGCGGGCAGAACCCCCCGCTTCCCCACATCCCAGACTCATCATCGCGATATCACTTATCTCCAATATCAAAGCCAAACTAGATTTGATACGCCTCCCCAGCAAGCTACATCAAATGTCAGGCGTCGCTCAAGCAACCCATGTCCTCGGCTGGGACATACTGGAGAAACTCTGTGCCACAGACACGTCGGCGAAAGGCGTCTGTATCTCCCCACTCTCAATTGCAACTGCCTTGGCGATGCTAGCAGGTGCAGCCGACGTTGACCAAAGAGATGAGCTGTGCCGAAAAATAGGTTTCAGTAATCTTTCGGAGCTCTCGGGTTCTTTCAAAGCTCTCGTTGCCGTGTTCAGCGCCGACCAAATGGTGACAATGGCGAACGTCGCCTTTGCCGAATCCGACGTCGACTTTTATCCAGCTTACACCCAGTTCCTCAACTCTTTTGGCGCCCATGTCACGAGATTCCCTAGCTTGCAGGAGGCAGCCGGGGAGATAAACACCTGGATCTCCGACAACACGCGAGGTTTGATCAAGGACATGCTCTCTCAAGAAGATTTGGACCAAGTCCACATCGCGCTCATCAATGCGCTGGCTTTCAAGGGAACGTGGAAGACCAAGTTCGACCGAAAGCTCACCCAAAAAAAAACTCCATTTTTCGTAACGGAAACCGAAGTACGCAAGGTAGACATGATGTTCAGCCACAAGGAGAAGATCGCCACGGCAAAGGGACCTGGCTACACAGCCGTCAGACTCCCGTATGCAGCGGCTTCGCCATCCGCCAGTATGTCTCTCGTAGCGTATCTGCCCGACAAAGGCACGTCATTGGAACAACTCGTGCGGGCCATGGACCGCGGCCGGTCGCCTTTACCTTTCCGCGTCAAAAAGTACGACAAGTTCGGCTTCCCCAAGTTCAACCTCGACAGCAGCCTATCGATCCTGTCCATGCTGCTCGAGCTCGGCTTCCCCGTGGCGGGCGATTTCTCGGAGATGACGCGGGGAAGAAACCAGCTGCAAGCTATTATCCACAGAGCCATTATCAAAGTTGATGAGGAAGGTACCGAGGCCGTTGCGGCTACGGCCGTTCTCATGACGAGGAGCCGAGCACCCGATCCCGAAATTCTGGTGTTTGACAGGCCGTTTGCATTTTCCATTTGCTTAGATGAATCAGGTACCGTGGTCTTTACGGGGCTTTTCTTTGGACGGTAGCGCAGGTACACGAGAGACCAATACATGACAGGGAGGATGAGTACGTCACTTTTTACAATCCATGGGAGAGTTCAATCTCAAATTTCGAGACTTGTGCTGCGTATTTACAATTGAGAACATTCATAGCTATTATTTGGGACCAATTCACTCAACTTCCATTTAATCTTTCTATCACATCATAGAGTATTTCATTCCCATCGCTCTAAAAAGACCACTACATCTATACTACTCAATAAGAACCATCTCCCCAATATCACACAAAAATATGTCCTAGTTCCACCTCAGCCCACTGCTTTCACACGCCTCTTTCCCCTCAGAATAGCTGCGGGCGACAAGCTGCACATAACGTGCAGGCTGCCGTATATGGCTGTGCAAAACTTGCTGCCTCGCCAAGCTGCCTATAACAAGAGGCACCCCGCCTCGGATTCATTTACAGCAACCAAAGCACGTAGCTATAGAGCCTGTTAGACTGGCCGTTGGGATTGCTGGGCTTGCCGGCCTGTTCAGCTCCTGCTTGAAAGCCGTCGAGAAGGTGCAGTCTTATAGGTCTTTCGGGGCTGATTCTCAGGTACTAAACACCTAGTTTAAAGCTAAAAAGCCCCGCTTCGAGTAATAGGGCCGGCATGTCGGGTTTGACTAAGGGAAGCTGTTGGCTGACTACTACTAGGCTTTTAATAACCCGGATATATCTTTAGCAGTCCGGGATTTTTTGCTAATTATTAATAATATTTATAATATAAATAGTACTTCTTAATACCTACTTCTAGCTGGTATTAAACTTACTTAAGATAAGTTATTTTATACTAGCTAAGTCTAACTTATTTATATTATTTAGTTTTTTTAGCTTTACTTAATATTATTAAATAAATTAAAGCTATATAGTAATCTTAAATAATAAAAATAAATAATAAGTATAATATTTAGTACTAAAAGAAATAGTAGTTAAATAATAAAATTATTATTTATTAATTTCTATTTAAAGCTTTTATTTAACTTTTTTAATTTTAACTTTACTATTTATAGTTAATAATCTTAAGATAGTAATTTTATTTTAAGCTATAAAATATAAAAGAGATTAACTATTTTTTATTATTAAAAAACTAACTTTCTTTTTAATATTTATTTTATTATAATTAATTTTTAATATAGTAAATTTTACTTAAGTAGCTTTTTTAAAAAACAACTTATTATATTTATATTATAAATTCTAATTTTAATATAATTTTAAATTTTTTTAAAATTTAAAAAATAAAAATTAAACTTTCTTTTAAATTCTTTTAAAAAAGAAAATCTATTTAAGTTATTATTATATTATTTATAATATTTAAATAAAAGCTAATAAATTATATTAGCTATTTTTAAATATTATTTATTTTTTAATAATAAAATTAAAATTAATAAATAAGAAAATTAAATTTTTATTTATAATAATTATTTAGTTTTTTTTTAGCTTTACTTAATATCATTAAATAAATTAAAGCTATATAGTAATCTTAAATAGTAAGAATAAATAATAAAAGCTACACCCAGCACTAGAAGAAATAGTAGCTAAATAATAAGATTATTACCTACTAGTCTCTACCTGAAGCTTCTATTTAACCCCTCTAACTTCAACCCTATTATTTACAGTCAACGACCTTGCTGTCTGCAGTCAACAACCTTGAGATAGTAATCTTATTCCGAGCAATAGGATATAAGGGAGACTGACGTCTTCCATCGTCAAGGGACCAACTTCCCTTCTGACACTCATCCCATCTCAATAAATTTCATCTGAATAACTTGTCACCATGTCGACCATCAATCGCAAGGCCCTTATTACATATATCCCTGCGCATCAGGGATACGAATCTGGATTCCGGTATAGCATAGGATTCCATTGGAATCTTCGAGACGAAAGGGAAAGACGCAAGCTGGATAACCATCTAAAATTCCTTAGAGAAAGGAACCTCCTAGACCTCTTACCACACCACCTAGAACGCGGATCTCGGGGCGTTAGGTCGGGTCGTGGGAGTTTTCAGTGCATTCATCAAGGTTAGAGTCGAAAAAGTTAGACAGGATTCCGGCAGAGAAGAAAAAAGCAGCTTGAAACCCAAAACTTGGGCCTTGGCAACTGTGACGTGCGTGCAACGAAAATGCAGTAAATTTAAATACTAGGTTCCCTTATCGAGGGATTTATAATAGTTATATTTTCTAATTTACTATAAATAAAGTTTAAAGTAAATAGAAAGCTAAGTTATTAATAGATAAATTATAAGTTTATATTAATAAAGTAATTAAAATATTACTTATAGAGAAAATATTATATTTAGTAATAGTTAAGTATAGTAATATATAATAAGTTAAGATAATTAAAATAATTAAGTTATATTAATAGGCCTAGGCTACTCTTTCTTTTTTAAAAAGAGAGTAATAAAATCTATAACTATATTATATATATAACCTATTAAATTAAAAGTATAGAATATTAAAGCTTTAAAATATTATATAAAAAATAGAGATTTCTTTAAGATTAATTTAAGTAGGGCTTACTAAGCTTTTAACCTTTTAAACTTATATTAATTAATAATAAAAAGCTAGATATCTTTAATTTTAAAAAATAGAAATTATAGTAAATAAATTCTTTATTTATACAATCATCCGGATAGTTCTAGTGGGATGGGTCGCTTTGTATCGCTATAGAGCACCTACCGCTAGGCAGCCTTCAGGACCACCTTAGTTCGACCGGCTGCTTGATAGAGGCCGGGGGGGCTGAAAATCACATCCCAGCCGCTAGACGGCCTCAAATTCATGCACGAGAAGCATACTGCCTATCGAGACCTCAGCCTAGCGTGAGGTTACTTCCCCCGAGCCTTGACGGCTTTTCGAGTGAGAGGTCGGCCTGAAAGTTGCCGGTCAACAGCGAACCCAACGAGCGAATGGGACTTGCACAGCCACAGAGACGCCGGTATGTCACGTGGCTTTAGTTCAGCCATATTGCCAGCGCAAGAACATGGCTGAAGAGCTCTATTATAAGAAGCTTTCGAAGTAACAAGACTCAAACTAGGTGGACTTAGAAACATAAACTTCACTTGCAACTGCTAGAAATCAGGCAGTGCTGCCCTGCTACTATACTACCAGTCGAAATAAACACCATACTAATACAAATTTCTATATGCAGGTCTACCTGTCCTGGGCCATAACTTGAACTGGGCTGAGCAGTCCTAAGCTCGAATATCATCACCGAACCGCCAAATCAGCAGCCTAAAACCCAGTCACCACGCCTTATTCCAAGACACATCTGCTAAAGCAAAAGCCCTGGTTTAGCATCACTGGGTCCTCAACCCTGTCTGCTACTCGTTCATTTCCAGGTCCACCTGCCTTAACTAAGACACGAGTCTTGTGGTGTTTGTAGCCAGACACGTAGGGTCAGTCCGTCCGTACCGGAGGCAAGGCAGTCCCCACCTTGGCTGTGAATCCATGTCAGTATGAACAAGAAATCATGGACAGGATTGACGTACCACCCGCTTGATGTACCGGAGTTCGAGCAACACATCTTGCTGATGTAGTCGATGGCCCAGCCGGCTTCCCACCTCGATACATAGGTATCCACAAATACGTACGGGTTGCGGACGCACACCATTGCGGTGCCGTAGTACCAACCGATACCCTTGAGGCGAGGAACAGCTATAACGCTCCAGGGGTCATCGTTCTGCAGGCCATTTTTGAGAAATTCAATGTCGCCTCTGTCGATGAGGTCTCGTGCCGAACCGCATCCGTCGCGCTTCACAATCTCGGCGGCCTCGTCAGCTGTAGCATTAATACTATAGGGTCCCACAAAGACGATTCCCTTAGACGCCTCCGTCGGGGCAACGGCGGCAGCAAGGGCCATTGGCAGCATGGCAAGTAAGTAGCTGAACTGCATCTTGTGTTTGAATGTTCGTCTTTCGGCCTAGCCAAGGAGAGTTTGTGTTTTCGTGAGAGAAAGTTTGAAGGAAATGAGCCAAGATGATATTATTTGTGAATTGGGAACGACTGGACTGTACGAACGGATTTCCAATTAGCCAGACGGGTCGAAGTACTTTATACTGAGATGCGTATACTGCAGAGTGGAAACCCACCAACAACGACAAGGCGCATCACGGGTAACCGCCTACGCTGACAAAGCCAGCTGGAGGCGGCGTCGTAGATGGAACACCCTAGGTTCTCACCCCATTCTCCGGACTAGGGAGTTGGCAAGAATCTCAAACGGCTATTTGGAAGCGCTAGCTGCTCGCGCCCCCCGGGAGGCGGTGCGCCTCTATGCGAGGCGGAAATCATCCAATGCCTTGAAGCAAAGCGATTAATTTCAGATCCATCTGATTGACACTGCATAGAGGTGGCCCACTGTCCAGCTACAGGCCTTTACGGACCGACTATCGGGAGTGGTAGAGGCGACACATAGCAAGAGAGAGAGAAAGCCCAAAAATACTCCGCCGTTCATTAGCGCTGATACATTGATCAGCATTTATCCGCGGGATAGCGGTAGGGCTGAGTGGCGTCCCGCAGGCGACATGCAGGTCGAAAGATTGCCCTATTCGGGAAAGGTGCTAACTATTTATTAACGCTAATATATTACTCAGCATTTATCAGCGGGATAGCGGTAGGGCCGAGTGGCGTCCTACAGCTGCTCTCGCTCCTTGGTGCGACGCCGCTCTCCATTGGATGGCTTCGGAGGCGCCGCCAGGGCGCCGAGTAATCACTTAATGTAACTTAACCTGGCCCGTAGGTGACGGCAGGTCCATCTCAGACCTTCAAGCTGAGTGTGGCGAGCTCAAGGACCGCCCGGCGCGGCGAACCGCCGTATGCAGGGTCCGCTTTAGAGGCAACCCTGCTTAGACCTGTCATGTCCGGGCCGTATCGCCTCCCGGATCTGGGCGACGGTAAGCGAAACTTCGCTTGAGCTCTAGAAAGGCTATGCTACACCGTCGCTAGGCCTGAATAACACCTTGATGTAAGCCCGAAGAACATGGCGGAACTCCGTTTTCTAACAGCGGCTCCACGCCGCTGGCAACCATATGCACATTGCCTTAACGTGGGGTCAGATACTCGCCGAGATTGATTGGTTTGCCCTCGGCTGACTGACTGCACTGCCTCCTTGCCTTCGCATGCTCACCAATTGAAGATTTACAATGCACAATGAGGAGTTGCTAAATAATCGTGGCCCTGAAGACTGGATATGTAAGGACGGCATTGCTAAGCATCGAGGTGAATATATATTCTGACGATTGGGCGACACTTAAAAGCCGCTGTCTTCCCGCCTCGGATTGACTGAGTACAATTCAAAAGACTCACTATCCACCAAGACATTCTCTGCTTGCCAATCTTCGTCGATCTCGGCGCTTTCTGTCTCAATCGTCTCTGAGAATCTCCCTCTCCGTTCTTATCCTCGTTTACCTCTGAGCCATGCGTGCTCCATTCTTCGTCGTAAGCCTGGTTTCGGCCATGGCCTCTCTTGCCTTGGCCACGCCGATTCCTGATGCCACTCAGCCTGCGGCCCAGCCAAGCACGGATGTCACCGCCACCCCTTCCATCCAGTTCTACCCGCCTCGGCCCAACAAGAACACCACCGTCGTGGACCGTCGTGACACGGAATCAGCGGCGGCCGGGCTAGTCAAGCGAGACAACTGCTATCACGACAGCTTCAGCCGGGCTAGCGCATGGACCCTTGCGAGTAATCTTCAGAACCAGTGGCCGGACAGCGAAGTCAATCTGCCCAGGAATACTCACGTTTCATGGGTCGAGGGCAACGTGCGCGTGTGCGTTGCCAATATGTATGTCTTTGTTGATTCAAAGGTGAAGAGATGGGAGGTCGGTTGGGCGATGAACTATATCGACAGCACATGCTGCGCTGATGGTAGCTGGTAAGGCCTCTTTGATTCCCTGACCGCAAGTATATGTTCCTTACTGACTGATGTGTGAAACGAACAGCAACGATAACTATGCGGGAGGCGAAGCGACTGCTCACGCCCCAGATGGCCTCAATCTCTTGGTGAGAGTCGTGAACGCTGGATGGGAAGACTGCAGGCTTTAAGTGGACTTCTGACCATGTGCTGTTCAAGACGAAAGGGGTGCCTAGAACACATAACTGCAGTTAGGATGGAGTAGTATAGATAACTATAGCAAAAGTCGAAGGAATAAAGAGAAACGAAAACAATAATAAAGTAAACTGGCAACAATCTCCCCAGAATGCCTTAATATAGGCACGTAATAGTCTAGGCCCTAAACTGAGCACGGCACTGTTTCTATCCAATTTAAACAGGATTCTGGACTTTGCTGTACCTTCAAGTATAACCACGCCACTTTGCAATAAAAGAACTCAGCTTTCTGTAAAAGTATAGCTTAATTTGTAGACTGAAAGAACAGAGAAATTTAAGTAGAAATATATACTTAAGCCAGCGTAGAGTATAACGCTATTACTACTAAACTTAAATAAGAGCCTATTAGTATTGCGACGTAGCTATTTATTTGTAATTGCAGATATACTACTGTAGTTAGTACCCTACTTACAGTCTAGCTTTCTTACCCTATACTCTAGATAGTAATTTATAATAGTAATTTATAAAAACTAAGTTCTATTAGGTTATTATATTAATATAATAATCTCCCCTTTTAAATTTAGTATTTTATACTTATAAAAAGTATAATTTCAATAATATTAAAATAGTTATTTAGCTAACGTATATGATAAGCGAGCGGCGCAGACAAGCGAGCGGCGCACTGGGATTTACACCTTAAATCGCGATTTTAAAAAAGCCATTAAAAGTTCAAACTAAGCCTAAAATAGCTAGGATTTTAAAAATAAGCTAATTAAGTTAAAATCTATTTAGAAAATAATCCCTAAAAATCCTAAGTAGCTAGAACCTAGGTAGATATGAAAAGTGGGTACCTTCTAGACTTACTTTTTATATCTACCTAGGTTCCTACTAGTTAAAATTTATAGGAATTATTTTCTATATAGATTGTATCTTAATTAGCTTATTTTAAAAAGTATAGCTATTTTAGGCTTAGTTTGAACTTTTAATAACTTTTTTAAAATCGTGATTTAAGGTATAAATTCCAGTGTGCTGCTTGCTTATCTATACCGCTTGCTTATTATATATGTTATTTAATTATTTAATTTACTTAAACTTTTTAAATTTAATATAATTAATTAAGTTTATTTAATTATTTTAATTTAATTAAAATAATATAAAATTTAAATAATAAAATATATAATATACTTAATAAGTAAGTATCTTAAATAAATAAGTATCTTAAAAATTCCAACTTTTAAAATAGAAATTATAATAAAAATACTATAAATTATTTAATTACTTAAAATTACTTATTATATTCTTTTTTAAATATTTTAATTACTATTTAATAAATTCTTATATTATAGCTAAACTTATTATATATATTATAATATTAAATATTTTAATATTAAAAAAAATAGAAAATAATAACGTATATAATAAGTAAGTATATAATATAAACAAGCATACACTTTTATCCCTAACTACTAAATTTCATCTTTTAACTTAATTTTCTCAACTATAAATTATATTATCCTTAATTAATAAGGTAAATATTAATCTTACTCTTTAAGCTCTTAAAAAAGACCCTTAATTAACTTCTTTTCACACTTTAAAGATCTATAAAATCTCCCGCCATATCCTAGAATACCAATATAATAATATTTCTTCCCAATACAATATTATACCTAATTTAAGAAAACTATCCAATCTAGAAGAATAGATTATTATTCAATTTATTCTTAACCTAGATTTATAAGAATTTCCCCTATAATTATATAATATTAAAGAAATAGCTAATTAATTACTTACTAACTATAATATATTACCTATTAGTAAGTATTAGGCTTCTAATTTTATTAAGTAATAATTAAAACTTAAGATATAATTTTTTTATAAATATAATTATTAGAGAGCTAAATATAAAAATCTAATAATTATTTGTAATTAATTTAGGCTTATAGAAAATATAATTATAAAATATAATATTAATCTAGCTAATATTTATAATTTTAATAAGACTGGCTTTATAATAGGTATTATTATAAGTAAAATAGTTATTATAGATATAAATAAACATAGAAATTAGAAATTAATATAGCCTGGAAACTGGAAATAGGTTATAGTTATTTAGGTAATTAATATAGAAGGCTAGGCAATTTAGCTATTTATTATAATTATAGGCTAATATTATCTTACTAGCTAATATTAAAAAAGTAATCTTCTAGGTAATTAGGCTATTATAATAACTTAAAATAACTAGACTAATAATAAGATAGATTTTAAGTAGCTTAAGTATTTTAATTAGTATATAAAGAATTAATTAACTAGTTGCTATTATCTTTTAATTCTTAATAGATATAAAAGTTACTACTCTATTAATTTTAAGAAATATTATAAAGAAAATAATATTATTATACTTTATATACTATTTTATTTATTTTATTTACTTTAGCCTCTTAATATTAGGTACTTTAAGCTGCTTAAAATAACTTATAGTTAAGTAATTAAGTAATTAATTAGATATTCTATTATTTATATTTTAAAAACTAAGTTCTTTCTAGCCTTCTATACTACCTATAAAGCTACTATAATAAGAAGTAATATTAAGGGAGGCTTTAGAGGGGCTAGATTTATTCCCTTAAATCTAGAAAGTATTATATTAAAGCTTAATATATAGCTATAGACTTTAATACTAGCTATAAAGAAGTTAACCTCCCTAACTCTTAAGTCTTAAAGATCCTAAAGATTATACTTAAAGCTAGTTTGTAATTTAAATATCTTAAAAAATAAGTAAAAAGATATTAAAGTAGCTTTTTAATATTAATTCTTAAGATACTTAAGTTATTTTTTAAGGGAATAAAGGCAATAATATATTAAAAAAATATTATTAAAGTCTAAAAAAAAAATTAGATATTCTTTAATAAGT